CTAGTTGCGAGATGACGAGACGTGCTAGCCGACGTGCAATCCGCTTCTGGACGAACCCTTGCCCTGTTGTACATCAGGTAGGACATTTCAGCGTGTATCTTTCGGAGTATTAGCGGTATCAACAGACTCAGTAGGCGAATTTGAGCCTTCTCGAAAGCGACAGGCATCTCAAAAGAGGAGTGTCATGCATCCTCGTCTGGTGTGTTTTGTGGTGTAGATCAGCCGCCTACAACTGGACAATCTCCATCCCATGCTGAGACAAGATCGATAACCCCTACAGCATCACCCCAATTGATTGTGGTTCGATTCGCAACTTTCTGTCGTCATTATCCTCGGGTTAGATCAAACCCCCGACTCACCTTGCTGTTCGCTAGTTTTCGTCTGAAAAGCAGGCGATCAACCACGGCTGCCCTTGGCGGGTAGCTGTTTACCCCAGACGCCACGCTTTCCCGGTGGCAGGGTTAGGTCGATAGAACCTTCCACATCGAACGGTGTTTTAAAGCTTATTTTCCTATCGTCGGTGGGTCCTTGATCCATGAACCGCTCTTTGCTCCTTGGTGGCAAAGTATAGGAGTTGCGCCCGTAGACTATATGGAGCCCGAAAGTGAGATGGAGTGTCCCTGCATTGAGACAAATACTAAGTCGTGTGATGGTTGACCGTGAACACCTGTACGCATGACAGTTGACCAAAGCAGCTGACCTAGATGTCGAATAAATGCACCTCCTCGCAGGGCTTTACATCTGAACAAGGACCCCCTTGCCAATTTTGACTCGGCAGCTTCACTTCGAGAAGGTTGGGTAACAGGCGGAAAAGCCGATGGGAATGCAACTGCTAAGCAGCTGCTTCCAAATAGTCTGAAACTCCGCGTGCAGCCTAGCCCGTATTTCAGAAGAGATGAACTGATGTAAATTTCATGCCCATGCTCGGTTGAGGCAACAATTCGCCTTCCTTTACAACACAGTGGTGCCGGGGCTCATCATTGGGGAAGCTATACAATTTTTGGGGTTTCAGTATCGCAAGTGTTTTGGAAACGCGGCTGGTAAAAATTCATCAGACGAACGGACCTTCACGGCATCTGATGCAGCCAGGCCCCAGCGCCGCGCATGAGTGAACGATCTTGCAGGTTGGAAGTTCTGATGATGTCCTCTTAGATCGAATCCTCACCCTCCACGACGGGGATACCGACAATCGGAAGTGCATGCTTCCAGCCTCCACTGCAGGAGGCAGCGGCCCAGGGAACAGACTCCTGCCTGGATCTAGGATCTCTTTGGCAGAGTTCTCGAAGCTTTTGACGTTCGACGCAGGGCTTCATGGATTTCAAACTAGCCTTGTCCTTGTCATCAAACACCGCGCGCATCGTCGCGAAGCCATGAATGCAGGTACACCTTCGACTAGCGAGACGACGGATTGAAGAGACTCGAGGCGAAGGCGTAAAGTCATTGGACGTAACGTCTGATGATGAGGCCATCATACTGCCCCAGGTCGCTTCTCATTGCAGATCTCTGGGATAGGAAGCCCAAGAGCACGGCATTGTGGTCAGCGCATCTCATCGTCACCCCAACCTCGCGGCCGACAACAGGGCCCAGATGCACATGGAGATCCCGTCTGATGTCGATTCATGCAGTTGCCACTTCCATGCGTCTGAACTGCAGGCAAGCTAACGCGTTGGAACGTTCTTCCTAGTCGACTGGGTGAGCCATACGCAGACAAGGTGGTAGGTCTCGCCCAAGCTCATCGGCGTCGTCGATATCGACCTCGGCCAAGCCACCTTAGAGCTCGCTCTTGAAAGCGCCGTCACATGACTTGGCTGACGTAGGTATCCGGAATTATCACGCCCCATTTGCAGGCTTGGGGCAAAAGGGGCTTTGTTGATAGCTTTCTTATGAGAATTTGCAAGTGGATATCCAGATCGACTCGGCACAGGGTCACTGCAAACAGTTGAATGGCCAGAGAGAACAGTGCCTCCTCTTTATAGACTGAACAGGCACACACAATTACCTCCAACTAGTAGCATTATATGATCCATCTGTCCTCGGCAATGACTGATAGAATTGCCTGAAAGGGAGTGACTGAGCCTCTATTCAGCCTCTGATGTATGGGGGTAATTCGACATGATGGTGTGGCTAAACACTTAGGGGCTGCGCGGCTGTTTGACTTTGATAGAGTTTTCTTCTTTACACCGTTTCGACTTTAATGTACTCCGTTCCTTCTATATAAGACCATATAGCGCTAGAATGTTAAGGAGGAAGAGTTCATAATCATTGATAGTTGAGCCTTGTGTAATGCTGGCTGGCTGAGCAAAGTGTTGATTTGTGATTTTTTGGTTTGGCTTTCATTTTAGAATGAGAATGACTGGTATCTTGTGAAGACCTATATCTAGCACACATGCCAAAGTAGCTCATAGACCACCAACGTCTTGGCCATATTATCCGTCATACTTAGAAACCCGTCGTCTTTATGGCGGTCACTTTCTTATAGGGGTGTCATTGGAGGTCTCCGTACCAAATGGACTCCAGAGTTGACACAATAACTGGCGCAAAAACATAATTCCAAAGCCTGTCAGGAGAGAAACAGCCCACATCCTTGCTAGCACTCATACTGGCATATTTCATCAAGTGAAGTCATCCGTTCGACCTCTTGACACATCTCCATGGACATGGAGCGCCTGCAGCAGGCCAAGCAAGTACGCCAAACTGCCGGACCATCACGTTGACTCTTCGGGAGTTTCATCATGTCGTCAAAGACGGAGCACATATTCACCATTATGGTCGATACAAGGTTGATTAATCCCCCAATGAAACCGAACAACATACTGAGATATTATTCAACGGCTTTTGATGGCGTTTTAGGGGGAAGGGGGTCAGCAAAACATATTTCAAACGCGATGGCAGCCTCTTGTATTCAAGAGAGCGATGCTTCGAAAAGACTGTACAGTGTTTAAGGTTAACTTCTAAGTTATCCAGATAAATTGTGTCTATCAATCTTCCGTGTATATAGGAAGAGATATAACGTGGAAACGAAGGCGCTTCCGTCACTCTTGCTTACTAGCCGCTCTTTGCGCGGCCCATTTTCTTGAGGCGAAGCCCGATATAGAGATCCAAGTATCTCGCACCTGTACTAGAAACACTGACTCAAGTTGCAATAACGAGACCCTCGGGTGCAACAATTAGTATCCGATTTGCCGACAAGTCAAGTAGCATCTCCGCCCCATTGAGGCCGTCTCATTTCTATATACAAGTTGATATGATTGGTAGTTTTCACACTATCAACCGATCACAAGTTGAAATACAAGGCTATGAACAGAGACCCCTCTTGGGACTTGTAAATTCCACCGGTCATCATTTTGTAGCACCCGTGTGTAGTGGACTGGCGTCCTGGGTGATGTGACTCTTGTGTTTTCTGCAGATCTTGATTCGTCATCCCAGCACAGGTCTGTACCATGCTGCGGATTCAATTTCGGATAGGTGGTGTTAAACAGCACAGCGGCATTTCGAAATCGATATGCCGCTGTCGATGTCCCCATAGGAAAAAGTTCTATAATTCCGTCACAGTGCAATACTTCGCTGAAGGCGTCGCCGCCTCGATTTTGCGGACAACAAATTCAGATAGATGACTTCGTGCGCGCCTATCGATGACTGAGGGTCACCGATTACCTAGTCACATCAGCAGGCAGATTATGGGGTCGGTTCATACCATCATGACGCAACCTCACAGGCGACTAATTACTGTATCAGCAAAAGCAAGCTTCTCGGATGGCGAAGTCTTTCTGATTCTACAAGCACCGAGTTACCTGTAAGTATGTTAGCTGCTTAAGCCAAGGCATTGTGGCTGTTTGGAGGGCATTAGCCCCATGCTCTTCGTTCTTATCAACATCACAGATTGGCCAGTACGAAAAGCACTCCCAGGATCATGCAGCCCTGAATAAGAGACCGCTAACTACTGGTAGGGGATTCTTTATCGGATTGCGTGAAGTACTGATGGTGTCATCATGGCCACCACAAGTTGAGCCGGGGCAGTGGGGGGCAGGATACGTTCCGGCTACAAGAAAGCGCCAGTCGGATGTCTTATCTTCTCTGTTGTTGGCCCCGAGAGACTACGGTTGTCAATAGGCACCCCTTGATAGGGCTACACAACCACGGGCCGGTAGCGCGTGGGCAGATCTGAGACCGGCGTCATTCTGGTGATTGGGGGATCCTTATCTCCCCAGCAGATACTCCGCACATGAGGCCAAGCTAATGTAACAGGGTATGGTCCAGTCATCGAAGATATAATAGCTTCCTGTGCGCTACACCAGGAACACGATGCCATCTGCGTGGGAGAAGGAATAGAAAAAGCAAAAAGACAATGCCACCTGCACACAAGCCATACCCACCTCCCATAAATACCCTTCTGTCGACTTGGCTGGCACTGCTCTAATCTTGTATTCGAAATCGAGCCAAGCGTTCAACTGGTCTAAGTTAGGCCACTTTTTCCGCCATCGCGGGGCAACGGCACTTCCCACGGAGAGACCCGACTCGAGGAGGCACCCAGGTGAACAACTGCTACCCGCCTGTAGTCGAGTGAGCAGCCTGTCGGGTGTGCCTCTGCTGCTCCAGCACCCGCTTACAGTCAAGATTTCTTTACCGCATACCGTTCAAAATACATCGGAATAGGAACACCCCCGGCAGCAAGACACCTGTTGCGGCGCGCAGGCCAAGACCGCATTACTAAGCCCACGATACAATGAGACGACCCCGAAATCCCGCGAGACAAGCCTGCAGCGAAAGACTCTGCTGAACTCTTTTCCTTCGCGTACGGGGATTCGTCCCATCCTTTGACGTTGAGTCTAAAATAGTTAGCTGCTTCCGACCCATACTTGCGGAAAGTGGGCCGAGTCTGCGCGACGAGTCCGGACGTCAAGACCGGAAGCTGGTCCTTTGCTGTCGCCAGCCTGCTTGCGACAATCGTATTTGGCACCTTGAGAGGGTCGGCAGAACTCTGTCGAGCCGCCCGCGCGATAATGGATGCCCCAAACGTTCCCCCGCCGCCGCCGCAGCAGCTTCCGACAGATCCCAACGTCGCCTCGCCCGATGCCCCTCCCCCTACCAAGAAGAAATCGCGGCGCGGCGGCGATCCATCGACGCAGAAGCGCCGGTGTGTTTCTACAGCCTGTATAGCATGTAGGAAACGCAAGAGCAAATGCGACGGTGCTCTACCGAGTTGCGCGGCCTGCGCCAGTGTGTACGGCACCGAGTGCGTCTATGACCCGAATTCGGATCATCGGCGCAAGGGTGTCTACCGTGAGAAAATCGATAGTACAAAGGCGCGGAACTCTACACTACAAATTCTGATCGAAGCCATCCTCAACGCTGCAGAGGAAGACGTGCCCGAGATTGTTAGAAAGATTCGAACATGCGATAGTCTCGACTTGGTAGCTGAATCTATCCTGAAACAGGATACCGCCATGCCAGAAGTGGAAGATGATGAAGCAGTAGGAGAGGACTATACTACAGATATGCCTATTGAAGGCGAGAGGGACTTGGCCCGCAAAATGGGAGAGTTGAGACTGGAAAACGGCTCTGTGCGGTTTATCGGTGGCACTTCGCATTTGATCTACTTGACCAACCCGGCCGTGCCCAACCCTGAGCCTGAGCTTGTGGAACTCGATTCGGATGCGGACCCTATTACCAGCTGGACGGACGTCACCAAAGACACGGAGCTCGTTGTTCATCTGCTGAACATGTACTTCAACTGGCATTATTCTTATTTTGCAACCCTGTCCAAAAACCTGTTCTATCGGGATTTCTTCAGGGGAAAACCAATCGGCCCTTCACACAAGACCACATATTGCTCTTCACTACTTGTCAACGCGATGCTCGCCCTTGGGTGCCATTTCACAGACGTCGATGGTGCGTACGGTACCGCCGGGGACAGCTGGACCAAGGGCGATCACTTTTTTGCTGAGGCCAAGAGGTTGATCGTTGAAAACGACGAATATGAGAAACCCCGCCTGACCACCGTCCAAGCGTTGGCTCTGATGTCGGTCAGAGAAGCCGGATGTGGGCGAGAAGCCAAAGGCTGGGTGTACAGTGGGATGAGTTTCAGGATGGCCCAGGACTTGGGCTTGAACCTCGACATCGGCGGCATCAGCACCGACAACGAAAAATTGGATGAGACAGAGGTAGATGCACGCAGGATGACCTTCTGGGGATGTTATCTGTTTGACAAGTGTTGGTCGAACTATCTTGGACGGCTTCCACAATTACCAAAGGGCTCTTACAACGTTCCCAGATACGACGTATTCCCCGACGAGGACGCCGAAGATTGGTCTCCTTACACGGATGCTGGCTCCGATGAAACATCCAAGCAGCCGTCGCGGACCCGTGCCATTGGCCTTGAGTTATCTAAGCTCTGTGAGATCAGCGGTGACCTTCTCCTCTTCTTCTATCACCCCAATCACATCGGCAGATCAAGTGGTAAGACAATCGAGTTGAAAAAACTGAGCGAACTCCATCGGCGTCTTGAGGAATGGCGGAAAGAGCTTCCGAAAGAACTTGAACCCAAAGAAGGCCAATTGCCAAACGCAATTCTGATGCAGTAAGTCCCAATTCGTGTATGGCAATGTTGGAGGCTATCAGCGCTGATTTGATCTAGCATGTTCTTCCACCTGCAGTACATTCATCTTTTCCGACCGTTTCTGAGATACGCCCCCTCAGCTTCACCCTTACCGCCACATGTGTCGCCTAGGCGGATATGTACCGCAAATGCCGGTGCTATTTCCAAGTTGATGCGACTCTACAAGAAACTTTATAACCTCCGTCAAATATGCAACATTGCAGTGTACATGCTTCATTCAGCCTGCACGATTCACCTTTTAAACCTTCCAGAGAAGACGGCTAAGCGGGACATCATACACGGTATCAAAGCCCTCGAGGAGATTGCGGAAGATTGGATCTGTGGCCGGCGTACGCTCAGCATCTTGAGTGTCCTAGTGCGCAAGTGGAACGTTGAATTGCCCGAAGAGGCTGCACATGTCCTGTCACGCACAGATGAAAGATGGGGTACATTCAGTACTTCGGATGTGCCCTCCCCTCGACCCCATCTTACTACATCCCCTTCTCCGCCCGCTGCTCCATCTGGGGCGAAACAGGAGCATTATAGCCCAGTCAGCATCAATGCCCAACCGGCGGCCAACTCACAGCCCATCCAAGCGACGAGGAGCAGCTCTGACATAATGAGCGGTGTCGCGTCAAGCTCGACAATCTACCCAAATCATCCAAGTCTGCAAGGCTTGAGCAACGCAGGGGTGAACAATTCCATAGGATTCAATGGCATGGGTGGCCAGTCTTGGCGCCATACTTCTGTGCCTCAAGGTATTCCAAGCTTTTCTCGGTCTTACGCCCCCGTATCGAATACCTCAAGCTCTGGACGGTCAACGCAGAACGCCACTCGAAATGCGACGCCGAACTCCATGTATGCCGTTGACGGACAAGACTGGTACCTAAAAGATGGGGTCAATTGGCAGTCTGGATTTGATGCTTGGAATATCGGAGCTGCAGCAAACGGAGGCGACAGTAGCCTTGCAGATTCGTCGATGTTTATGTTCACAGGCAATCCAGGCAGTCCCAGCTCTAGGCGTTCTCCTGCAACAGCGAATTTCGATTTCGAGAGCCTGAACAACTTGTCCAGTTCTCTGGAGGGCTGGGACACACTGCCCAATCTGGACTGATGGAAGCCTTAATGGATATTACGACTTTTTTTCGTTTGAATAACTGACGTTTATTCATGCTTCAGCGATCTTCGAGGATGTTGGTCTGGTGTTACGGTGCAGGGGGGCTGGGTCAATAAATACATCGTGTTGGAAATGGGTGGTCAAAAGCGTCGCATGGAGTTCATGGAGAATGGTTGCTATCTTTGGAGTATAATCAGCTCCTGTACATCAAACCCGAATTTTTTTTCGAAATGATTACCATAGAGACCAATCTGATATATAGGGTGACACACCTCCCTTCAAAAGCAAACACGAACATCGTCTAAACAATCTCGTGCCTCTGTGTCCCCAGAATCCTACGTGAACAGGTTGAAACATGCCATAGAACACGGCGGGTCCTTGAAAAAAAAAAAAAAAAAAAAAAAAAAAAAAAAAAAAAAAAAAAAAACCCACCATGGCGTGGAAATATGTACCGCCGTTGAGTGAATTTTCATGAATCTATGCAGGCAAGTGTCAGAGAGAGGAAGTGCGCCATCTTTTCTCTTAATAACGAGCTCAGCCGTGGTAGAGGCCTACATTCACATGCAGGGGACAAGTCCCCAACGAGCACTTCGGTGAAAACACATCTCGATGGCCCAAGGAGAGTGAAATTTCCCGTAAGCTTGGTATTGGGGAGTGGCGGATCAATTCTGTCTTGATTTAATATTTACCTCTGAACTTCAATGACTACATATTTGAGATTCTGACGTGCAAGCCATGTATCTACTATTTTGCTGAGCTTACCTCCGCTAGCCATGAGAGTAAAATCAATTCTCGGTAACCAGCCATGCCTCTAATATCAATGGGTTTCACGCTCTCGCTGCTGATATGCCAAATTATTGGAGCTTCTGCCGTCGAGAACCAAGCAAAATGGATCTCAGAAGAGATTACTATGCCTCATGGATCGACCGAGATCTTCTACATCCGCGAAAACGATTTATCGACAAGCACTGATAGGATCAATAAGGATCTCCTCGAGGAAACAAAGCGCAGCTCGAGAACTAAAATTGTCTTCCTTAACGGCGAAGGCGAAAACCTCTGCGATTTGCAGTCACGCATGAAGGCAGTGTCTTTTGCAGGTGCTGAGGTATCTCACTGCGACGTACTGGCTCAGCAGCTCATGGACCGGTCTGGCAAGTGGAAGGGATGGGACTGGGATGGCGGCCACTACAGCATAGCCAGTTTCGCGGACTGCGAGTTCGGAATAAGCAGGAGAGATGGTGAACCCGGTTCTGCGTTGTACGTCACCGTTTTGCTATTAGCTGCGACGAGTGTTGCTAATTAGGCACCCATCATAGCATCGGCAACCTGGACGTTGCGGTCAATATCAAGTCCGCAATCGACCCGGCGCATGGCCTGGTCGAGGGAGGCAAGGTTGCCGCGGAGGGGAACTTCGATTGTTTCGGGTCAGGAGCGCCCAAGATCTTCTGGACCTTAGGAGCCACAAACTGGCCTACACCTGGTCAAGTGTAGTCTACAACCTTTCAGTAGAGCTTCAAGTTCCCACAAGTGAATCAGAACACCATTATCGCTCCGTCGAGATCTGTGCGATCTATTGACGGAAAAATAGATGCTTACTTGCGCGCCAAAAGTTACGGAAAATTGACGTCTGTAGTAAGCGCTTCCTTTTTGCTGTATATGTCTCTGAGTTCTGAACTTGGAGCTTGTGAGCTGCTACCTCTTGCAGCGGCAGAATTCTCGATACTCCTGTTGACTCCATCGGATGATGAGTTTCTCGACTTCCATTTGAGTTAAGGATATTCTGCAAGGAAGAGATATCCATATCCCAGAAGAAGTATTGTGGCAGCCTATGATGACCTCGCAGAAGTAGATCAACCTTGAAAAGTTTCCTACGCAGCTTACAGCAGGAACCCACGCATCTGAAAACAGCATGACGTTTGAAGCGCAAGTAGGCGTTTGACAACTGTATTTTCTCAGAAATCAGTTGCCTGTGAGTTCCGGATTCCTGCAACGTCAAGCACCTAAGATAGCGTGCAAGTAATATAAATTCAATGCCGGCTACCAGCCATAGCCGTGATCGGTTCCGAGTAGTGGATACACAGCGAACACCGCTTAACTCCGGTGGGGAGCCGAAGGGGTAGGCGGAGACGTAATCGGCGCGATTGCTTCGAGTTGACATTTTCTGCGAACACAGCCTGCATCATTGGACCTCGCCAATCCACACCTCCCACGGCTCCCGGGACCGTAGCTCTCTTAATGACACTGGACAACCTTGCAGGACGCCAGCCGGTCAGGTGCACAGGTGTGCATGGGCAAATCATACCGACTTAAAAGATAACGGTGCGCCCCCCTCATTCATGGAGGCTCTGTATTGTGCATCTCTCCTATCCGGTTTCGCGGGGTTGAGCTAGGCTGTCGGATTGGTATATATTGAGCCAAGAAAGCTCTCGCCAAGGCTACACATATTCTAAATATTTGACAATCCTCAATTTTCAGGCTTGAGCAGCTGCTCGTTGAACTTGCCGTAGTGCTTCTAATCTATATAGTCTTCTCTTGCAGTTGAGCATTCGATTTTTCTAACAGTCTCTAACGACCATATCAAGTCGCTGACATCCAGTGACCAAGAGATACCATAACGAACGTCTCGACGTCATCAACCTAAATCCCGAGCTCCTAAACCCGGGTGCTTTCTGGCCTCCGTGCACAACAGCCCCTACTTACAAGTTCAAGGGACTGAGTTATAGTGGCTCCACCCGCCCCATTCGCGGACATCGAACCCGGCAGTAAAGCGCGTTTCGGCTACAACTGAGGCCCGCCTACGTCCACCCTGTCGGGTACCCATCACCGAACATAATTTTTCTTTCGTCACTACATACATAAGCGATAAGGAGGATTTTTCTTGGATCTTGAAAGACCTTGAAAACACCAAAACGCCTGTTACAGGCTGGAAGCTATGAGGACCAGTATGGAGCCCGATATTAGCGAGAAAGCGCAGCATGGCGTAGGCCCAGACGTGGCTCAGGTCGAGAGAGACTCGAAGCAGTCCGAGGATGATGAAAAGAGAGAAAGCCAATCTTCCACGTCCAGAGGAGACGACTCTTCTAGTGACTCATCCTCTGACCACGAGATAAATCACAGACCAAGTCGGGCGTCAATGGGTGCAACCATTTCACGCACGGTTTCCGAAGTCCACGACGGCATTGAGAGTCGACGTGACCCAGAACTGGGGCCGCCGATGGAGCACAAGGTGACGACCACAGCGGCCAACCCTGATGACCCGGACCTTGTAACATGGACTGGCCCGGACGATCCCGAAAACCCAAAAAATTGGGCGTTCAGCCGGAAATGGCTTATCGTCTTCATCGTATCAACATTCACCTTGATATCGCCTTTATCGTCTTCAATGGTAGCACCGTCATTGACGACTATTGGCGAAGAACTTGACGTTCCCGCAGGAACAGAACAGGCCATAGTACTGTCCATCTTCGTCCTGGCGTATGCCATTGGACCGTTGGCGTAAGTATATTTCCCGAATTCTCTTGGCTATAGCTGACAATGGTTCTAGCTGGGGACCATTATCCGAGATATACGGTCGGACAGTAGTTTTGCAATCAACTAATGTCCTTTACCTCTTCTTCAACCTTGGTTGTGGACTCGCCAGGACCAAAGGTCAGCTCATAGGTTTTCGATTCTTGTCTGGGCTGGGAGGCTCTGCTCCTCTGGCAATTGGTGGAGGAGTCTTGAGCGACCTGTTCACGGCGGAGGAAAGAGGTAAAGCAATGTCGCTGTACTCCTTGACTCCACTTCTTGGCCCAGCTATAGGCCCTGTCGGTTAGTCTCATACCTTCTCCCCGTTCTCCGTCAACTTTGTGCTCACCGATCCGGACAGCCGGTGCATTCATCACGCAAAACACTACGTGGCGGTGGTCATTCTACGCCACCACCATCGCCGATGCCGCGATTCAGGTCTCGGGTCTGATTTTCCTACGGGAAACGTACACTCCGGTTCTGCTAGCTTGGAAGAGGAATAAACTCCAGAAGGAGACGGGCAACACCAACCTACACACCCCCTTCGATCATCCGGACAGGACGCTCAGCAAGACGCTGCAAATGTCCTTCACCCGACCTTTTCGCCTCCTGGGTACCCAGATTATCTTGCAGGTACTTGCCCTCTACATGATGTATCTCTATGGCCTTATGTACATTGTCTTGGTCTCATTTCCGTCCCTGTGGGCTGGTCCGGAGCCAGCGGGCTATGGTGAGCAGCTCGGTATAAGTGGACTGAACTACATCTCCCTTGGCCTTGGCTTCTTTCTTGGCGCCCAAATCTGTGCGCCGCTGCAAGATCGTATATACGCTGCGCTCAAACGCCGCAACGGAGGACCTGGCCGTCCCGAGTACCGAGTCCCCATGATGATTCCGGGGGCACTTCTTGTCCCGTTCGGCTTGTTCATCTACGGATGGACCGCCGAATACAAGACGCATTGGATCGGCCCCAATATTGGCGCCTGCTTGTTTGCCGCCGGGACTATCATTGGGTTTCAGTGCGTGCAGACGTTTTTGGTCGATACCTACACTCGCTACGCTGCCAGTGCCGTTGGAGCCGGGACCGTCCTGCGGTCGCTTGCTGGATTTGGATTTCCCCTTTTCGCGTCCAGTTTGTATGATCGATTAGGTTTGGGATGGGGCAACAGCCTTCTGGCGTTTTTAGGCATTGCAATCGGATGGCCTGCTCCCATTATGCTATGGTTCTATGGGGAGAAATTGAGGAAGCGCAGTCCCTTTGCTGCCGGTGGATAAAGATATATATAGACACTGTACAGTTACGCAAATACATGAGACCATCTTCTATTGAGACTGTCGGAGAACCTGATACCCAGAGTGTACCATTCATTTACATGCCAATATGGGAAAGATTAGATTCAAGGCCTATTATTGAAGACAGCTACGCTGCTGGCAAGAGAGACCACTGCGATATTTAGCCAAAAATATGTACTGGGGCCGACGCACCCGAAGAACAGGATTGTGACACAATGGCTGCAAGACCAAGACTGCAGTTTACTAGTTCCAATCCTCTGGTTTCAATAGACACCGTTAAATTGCTCATATATAACAACTCTTTTCTCCTTCATGTTGCAAGACCCCAGCCTGACTCTGCTCAAACGAGCTGTACCTAGAAGATGGTATAAAAACCTACCAAGCCCCCATTGACTACACGAAACTCGAGATTAGACAACTAAGAACCTAGTTGCTTGACACTGTGCTGCACCGCCGTCCCCTCCGGCCACAGCGCCGGCCCGGGCACGGCGTAGTCCGTGATCTTGGTCCAGAACTGCGGGATCAGCACGCCGGGCGTCGTGTTGTTATACACGCCGGGGATGGGGACGAGCGGGCCGGTGGACCCCGTGCCGTTTCCCAGCACGCGGATCTGCGCACAGGCGACGTAGAACTGGGCGCAGTCGAGCTTGTGCGCAGCGTGGAGCGCCAGGCCCTCGGCGCGCAACAGGTACTCGCCCGGCGGCGTCTGCCCCGGCAGGACGAAGCGGAACGAGTGCGTCCGCCGCGGCGCCCACAGCAGGCCCTCGGAGCCGAACGTGAGGTTGGATGTCGCGTTCGCCAGCGTCGTGGCGGCATAGACCTTGGCCCACGGGCCCGAGCCGTCGTAGTCGGCGGCGAGGCCGGGGGCACGAGACAGGTACACCTGCTGGATGCCGGGGTGGCCGAAGGTCTCCTCGACGCCGAAGCCGACTTCGTCGCCGGCGTGGAGCGTGTACGTCGATGTGTTCGTGCCAGAAGCGCCGCCAGCGTTGCAGCGCATGTCTGTGGAGTTGACGAGCTGAAGGGGGTGGTTCGAATTGTTGGTGCGCCGAACGTACTGGTAAGGCTCGCCAACGACCTGGCCGTTCACGATGAGGTTGTTGTAGTTCCAGTGAGCCACGACCGTCGTAACTCTAGCCACGAGGATAGCTAAGATGGAAAGCCCCTTCATTATTACGACTCTAGTTCGTGATGCAACTAATAGCAACTCGAGATTCCAGACCGGGACAGGTCACGGGAACTCTTGATCGAGCCCACACTCCATCTTATAGACACAGCATAAAGCACATTGGTTGAGATGAGAGAAGATCGTCCTTGATAGATGTCCATTCGGAAGATAGACGATATTGGTTTGCGGGCATTGAGGCTGCAAAGATTTAGCCTGAACCATAGATTCCCAACCATGTCTGACGATGCCTGATTACACGTCGTAACCAGGGAATATCCTAATCTACGTGCTCGGTATCCTTAAGCCCTATTCTCAGTGATAGAGAACACCAAAACCTTGGTTGCTTTTTTCATTGCCAAAAATAGTTACATGGTCATGTGCCTGGGCAATGCCTGGGCAGAGTAGCTGTTCCATCTGCACGAGCCCCTGAGTACCGCCACGAGTTGAACCATTTCCCCTTGTGGACGAATTTCTGGATTCCGACAGCAAAGCATTGCGTAGCGAATCTGCTCTATGATCCAGGAATTGTATTGCTCGTAAGTTTGAACGCTGCGTTTCACAGGACGGTGCTGAAAGGAATGAGCCTGAAATAGCCGACTCTTGACGGGTAATATGTCGCAGAGAACAGAAGCATATTTGGTGTTGAGAAGCACTAGAATTTCCGCTTGGTTTCTCTATTGAGTAGTAAAGCATACCGCAACGCCATGATTTCCTAAGCCCATCCTTCCTGAAATGGGGCGAATCCACTCCGCGCCAAGCTGGCCAAACTTCCTGCCTCATGGGTGGTGTAGCAACCACAATCCGGCAGGCCTGACGGCGCGTGCATCTTTTTGGTTTATGTACAATTCAAAACTCATAAGACCAGGCGATTGAATGATATCTCTTTGCCGGGCAGATGGCCGATGCCATGTGTTTATGTTGACGGTCGCGACCAAAAGCTAGTCCGCCTTAAGCACTTTCCACGGCGGGCTCCTTGGCGTCGACCTTCTTTGCTGGGGGAGCATCTTGGCCCTCATCCTCGCGAGCACGCTTGCCGTTGGTGCTGGCAGCTCCGTTGGCGCCCTCTCCGCTGACGTGGATCTTGGGCTTCCCATCACCCTCGCCGCCCTGAGCCTTGGGCTGATCCTCCTGGTCTCGGCGGGAGCGACGGTCGTCTCTGTCCCTGCCCCCACCTCTGCCACGGCCGCCGCGGCCCCGACCGCGGCCCCGACCACGCGAATCACGGTGGCCGTTCTTCTGGTCGCGATCTCGGCGCTCCTTCCAGTTGTCAGAGTCAACGTCCCGTCGGCCACCACGGCCCCGGTGGTTGCCACGTCTGCTGGCAGAAGGCTGGATTTCACCACGCTTAATGGCCTCGTTCTTCTCCTTGGTGTAATCTGCTTTCCAGAGGATCAACAGATCGTGGTCCTTCCACTTGGGCTTGGGATCAACAGCCATGAACTTGTCGGCCGTCTCCTTATCAACCCACTCTACGAAGACGGAGCCCTTGAAACCTCCGTCGTCGCCACGTCGAAGACGAACCGAGTTGAAGCTGCCGTACTGGGCGAAGAAAGCCTCCAAGTCGAACTGAGTAGAGGCGACCTCCTCGCCGAAACCCTTGGCGTAAATGCTTCGCTCCTCAATCTTGGAGGGTTTGACCGGGACAAAGGCGTTCTTTCGCTTGACAGTCTCGCTACCCTCCTCGCCCTCGACGACCAGCAGGTTGCTGTCCTTGAGGGCGGCGACAACAGCGGAGTAGGGCTGGAAACGGCGCATGCGCTTGAAAGAGCAGATGGTGGACAAGGGGACAGGCTTGTTCTCCGTCAAGCCAGTCAGTTCCGACAGGAACTTGTCAGTCGGCAGGTTGGCGTCGCTCAAGTAGAATTCAACCTGGAAGAGAAGACGTTAGTCAGGGTGCGTTTTCGCGTGTAGTGTCGTGACTGGCTTACCTGGCCGCGAATCTGGACGGGATCGTCGGTCTCTCCAAGGACAGAAGGGTCGAACTTGTTGCTCTTGTCCTTCCGCCCGCCTCGGTTGGGGCTGGGGCGTCTGACCTTCAGCATGTTCGGAGGGGGGTTGTTGACGGAGAAGGACTTCTTGTCGTCCTTGGTGTCGTTGGTCTCGACATCCTTGGCGTCGGTCGTCTTTTCGGTCTCGGCCATGGCAGTATCCTTCTGCTCTGCAGGCTCGGCCTTGGCCTCGGTGGGCTGGGCGTCGACGGCCGCAGCGACCTCGGGAACCTTGGTCTCCTGTTCGCTCATCGTGGAGGCGGCGACTGAGTGGATACGGTCACTATGTCACACGGTTAGGGGCCCGAGGTAAAGATAGACCAGCGTTGAGCGGAATGACGAGCAGTCAACGGGTGTTGGTAAGGAGGAATGAGAAGAATGAGAAGCAGTTTGCGCAGGTGGCGGGGCCAGAGGTTTTGACGATTGGTGAGTTGCGCGGGATGGCAGATCCCGATTGTTCAATCTGCAGAGCGGTGACTCGACCACAATGCTTGCGATCACAATGCCGCCCTCAACTCCTACTAGACCGCAAGGTTGACGCAGGCCGCCCCCGGGTGGTTGGTGCACAACGGTGTGGGAGAATGAGAGGCTATGGCGGGGCAGAAGAGTCACTCGGGAAGAAGCCTGAGACTCGAGTGCGGCAAACGGTAGGACGACGACATGAACGGATGATAGAAAAACTCACCAGTGAGGGCAGCTTGGGTGCCGGTGTGGGAATGCTGTGACAATTGGCTGCACACCTTTTCTTTTTCTTCTATCGTGCCTGTTTGCAATGTGAGAAGACACGGGAGACGCAAGAGCACGAAGTGTCGAGGCTGCCAGGTCCCAAAAAGTTTCTGATGGAGCTTCAGTAGCTGCGGGAGCGTCGACGCTAAGGCTGTCTGTCCGTCGCTCAGTCTGCGCACCAATTGCATTTTTTTCTCGCCGTCCCCACCCCGCAGCCCCGGCGAACCGGCCGATTCTTATTCCGCCGTTGTTCTTATCGAGGCCATCTCCAGGCAGGTCTCCTTATCGTTCCGTATACCACAATACTGTAGTTTCCTTCTGCAACACTACTAACTTATTTTAATTTTAGTGTTTGGCTGTGGGCCGCTTTGCGGTATAGTCTTTGTATCGCTACGGCCTTAGTCGGGCATGCAAAGCGCAACACTCTCCAGAGTTTCATTGCATCTGTTCCTTACGTGGTCCGCCGCTTGCTGTGAGTCAAGTCAATTGCTCATCTGCGCACTTGAAGAAAAAAAAAAAAAAAAAAAAGCATGTTCTCCTTTTGGTGGAATAGCGTTCATGTTTCATTCAAATCATTCAAGTATCTGGTCATTTATAGAGTGAATCCAACAACTCTAGCAATCTCTCCGTAAAAGACCCTCTACGGCTCTGCCAGAGGATTGACACCAGTCTTCTCCCGGATGACTTCTGACATGATCTGCTGCTTCTTTGCCACGTCAGCCGTGTTGCCTCGGTCCTTGAACACCTCGTCCATCTGCTCCAGCGTCTTCCGGGCCGTCTCGGGCACGCAGAAATAGGCCCACACAAAAGACAGCAGACTGAACACAGCGAAGAACACGTAGGCACCAAATCCTGTGCTCTGCACCAGCGGAGGCGTAATCAGGCCCTATCAGACAACGGGTCAGCTGGAAAGATCTTTCAAGCGATATCAGGCTGCTATTGACTTACAATAATGAAGTTGTTGAACCAATTGGAAGCTGTGCTGATACCCACACCCTTGGCTCGAAGCGACGACGGGAAGATCTCAGCAGGCATCGCCCACGGAACCGGACCCCAGGTACAGCCATAAGCGAGCATGAAGATCACTATGTCGAGTTAGCAACGTTACTCCTTCTCCACCGCCAGGCATGCGTTGCAAAGCCCAGCAGCCAAGACGCGAGTGTCACTTACTTAGGAAAGCAACACTTGCCCAACCCGCCGAGGTGTTCGACGGCCAGTCATACGAGAACTTTCCAACCAGGATTGCGATGATCGCGTGCGACACTGCCATGCCAATGGAACCAGACAACAGGAGCTTGCGTCTTCCGAGGTGATCCAGAGACCAGATGGCAGTGAAACAACCAACCAGCTGAACCATGTTGAGGACTCCCGACATGATTAACTGCATTTCGTGGTTCAAACCCATTGTTGCGAAGAGCGTTGGCGAGTAATAGATAAGAGCGTTGATACCCACTATAAAATCAAGAGTCAGCACCATTCTTCATTCAATACGCTCCTTTCGGGGCATATATATATAGTTGAGCATATAGGGAAGGATATAGGTACCGAACTGTTGGAAGAACATGAGTCCAGCGCCAACTTGCGTTCTTCGCCAGCAGCCGCTCTTGAAGCAGTCAGTCCAGGAGACAACTTCCAGCTTCAGCTTGCTCGACAAGCTCTCACTGGCCACGAGTTGTGGGTGGCGTTCTGCAAGCACTTGTTTCTGGAACTTGGACTCGGCGATGACCTCCATCCACTCCTGTCGGACTCGGTGGTCGGTCGTGGGTAGCTGTCTGAGCTTAGCGAGGTTGTGGAGGGCTTCCTCTTCTCGGCCCTTGGTTGCCAGCCATCGAGGTGAAAGTGGGAGGAGTATGGCGCCGAAACCAAGGAACAAAGCAGGCACAATCTGCAACAGGAAGGGCAGCTGCCACGACCACGCGCTGTTGATGTCCTTGGTTCCATATGTAATCCAGAAGGCGACCACGACACCGGTGACGATGGAGATCTGCTCGAAGACGAGGAGGGTGCCTCGGATTTCTGGCGCGGCGATTTCTCCGATGTAAAGGGGGACGACACCACTCAACCTGTTGAGGACTTTAGTACGGCTTGAGATGAGAGAGGAGATCGGAATTGGTTACGAACATTCCGATGCCGATGCCGCCAATGAAGCGCGCAGCTACCAACATAGCGTACGAGGTCGCCGCAGTCTGTAGGGCAGAACCGATGATGAAGACTACTACCGCAATCATGATCGTGTACTTTCGCGAGAACTTGTCGGCCGTCCAGGTCTGGTTCAAGGCACCTGCTGCCGTGTCAGCACGACCAGGGTTACTTCGATACACAGAGGGTGTCAAGCTTACCAATGAAGGCTCCCAAGGTAATCATGGCAGTCATCAGACCCTTGGCGAAGCCAGAGCCAGCGGCGCCGTCGGCGACTTCGGGGAATCGATCGAGAAAGTGGTCCATCACGAGGGTGACCGAGATCACACCCTGGCTGAGAACAAAGAGTCAACACCGAATTGGCAATGAAGGTGAGTATAGACTTACTCGTATCCAAATAGTAGACCACCAATGGTGGCAAAGGCAGCGCAGAAGGCAACATAGGAGGAGGTGAAGATGCCACGGACTCCGGCAGGGCCGTAAGCCAGTTCCTCCATGTTGAGGCTGAGTATACCTTCCTCATGTTCTGCAGTTGCAATCTTGGAGTCAAGGACTCCGTCATGCTTGGTGTCCTCCATGGTCAGATGAATGATTGATGATCAAGTATGAGGCTTGGATTCGAGTCAATGGAACCTGGAGAGGACAGAAGAACAGAATGAGGAGAAATCCTGGTCCTTATATCCCCAGTTCCATGCGGGTCTACGCATCGTCGTCGAGACACTACCGTCGTAGGGCCTGGCAGCAGTTATATGCTAAACTTTTACCCAGTTGCAAAAGGCGGGCTCCTATAGGCTGTCGGTGTCAGGGTTCCCCAATGTGGAGGAGCAGCCTCGAGACTGGACTGCGGAGAAGGACATGGGTAGGCCCTGCAATTTCCCCACAGCCCGCGAAACAGGGCAAAACCGTCGAGGAAGCCTCAGCTTTACAACGTCATCGCCTTGATTGGTGTTCCCTTCAGGGGCATTGCCGCGACTCGTGGATGTCGCTAAAACGCTCGGCCGGCACTTGGCCCGCCGTGTCTACTTCTCCCTGCTCCCCGAGACGTGGGGGAGATGCTGCCGTACCAGATAATTTACCGTGGCAACCCGCAGGCCATGTCAAGGCTTCAAGGCTTCCATCATCTTCCCTAGCACCGCGGCCGGCTTAGCCAGTCCCTCGAGATTTTGATGGGCACCCGGCCAGCTACCCGCACAGAGCTATGAAATCTTGTCCCTACGTGGACGCTAGATCATGCCGGCGTCCCATCTGTTGCTTGTTCGTCAAGACCAGGTCGGCCACCTGAATATAAGAAAGAACATTGGGGAAGTTGGGGTAAGTTTCACTGACAGGCCGGGTTGCTAGCTCAGTTTGGGGGCACGTCGATTTTGGCCAAATCAGGATGAACTAGAGCTCACTCCCCATATCTGGTTGGTCCTGGTTGGCCGAGGGAGATGGATTGGGAAGTCTGATCCACCACATAGTCAGCTGCGACAGAATCGGCGTCTTTGCCCTCTTTCGCCAATCGAGTCCAGATCCCCGAATGATATCCTGACGCATCCTTAACCTTCCTGGCTTTCTCTCTATGCCGTGATTTATCTCATTCCACCGAAACTCCTGGAAAGGAACAAGACCCAATGCCCCCTTGGCGGATCCGATCGCAAGCTCCGCGTCACTTCAGACAAGCCCAGGCCCTCCGTTAGCTCCCCAGAGAATGGGTCTGGGGTCTGGGGGTGACAGCACGTCGCCGTGTCAGGTAATCCAAACTCTCGGATCTATACATCTCCCATGTCTAGACTGCTCAGGTGGTCGGAATAGTCCGGGTTGGCCTCTGGCTGTAAACGTGACTAACGATGCCTCTAGTTGTGTCGCGAGAAACATCTGCGATGCGACTCGCTCGAAGATTATGTTCCAGAGCCAGGTGTTGAACCTCCTCCCTGTACGCGCTGTGCGGCGTCAGGGAAGAAGTGTGTCCGTGCCCGAGCGTTGCGCTTCAAATTTCACTTGTATGTAGATCTCCACCGACTCTATGCCTATAACACGCTCGAAAGTGGGACTTTCTTGCTGACCAGATCCTTCGACAGATGTCCCAAAGCCGACCGACGCTGGGTAGAATTACCGCGACGGTGTAAGACCCTTACAAAGTTTCAATAAGTGAAACATAATTCATCATGCCTGACTGACATTTGTAGTTTACTTTGTGAACGAAACAGACGAAGTCAAAGCTTTCTACACTTTGCAGAGCGGAAGCACACATTACCCCTTCACAGCCCAGAACTCAGAAGTTGAAGTTCCCCAACCCCCCGACGCTCCCAAGACCCCTATCATTCCTAACTTGGGGCGAGCGCAATGTACATATCCACATAATCCAACGGAAGTCACATTACTTTCTCCCAATGCTTCAACAAGTACTCTGTCACCGTATAACACAGTCCCATCACCAAGGGATGCTAGGAGCTATGCATTCACGCCCCACGACTCGCTGGTCGGTCTGGCCAACTCAGACGGCTACGCCAGCCTTGCATTTCCACTCCGCGATGCCGCCGAGGTGCGCCTGATGAGGTACTATCTCGAGAAAATGTGCTTTTGGGTAAGCATTCCCCAAGCCACAGTTCTGCCGGTTCGTCATGTCACTCAAGGCGCTGATTCTGACGAATCCCGTAGTTCGACCTGTGCGATGAAGAAAGGCACTTCGCCTGCGAAGTTCCACGAAGGGCGATTACGTGCCCAACATTACTCAACGCGATCTTTGCGCTCTCCTCGAGACACCTCAGTATGAACGAGCAGTTCGATCAGTTTGCTGCTGACCGCTATCACCAAGAGTGCCTGAATCAACTCTCGACCATATACACGGATCACCAATCGGCGCTCGCCAACGATGACCTCCTAGCTGCGACCATCCTTCTGAGGACGCTGGAGGAGATGGACGGTAACTCTCCCGCAATCACGGCATTGCACACCCCTGATTAGACCGAATATTTGGATACTAGAGAACTAACTCTTCCTGATTTCTAGTCCCACTCATCGGAGCAGACCACGAGCTACATCTGCACGGCATCCAGTTGTTTATGAACACGCCGGACCCCTCACCACCTATAGCCAGCGGTCTCCGGAAGGCCTGTTTCTGGACTGGCCTGCGCCAGGAGATCGTCATGGCATTCGTAAACCAGCGGCCGGTCAAGATCAAGCTGGACCACGCCTTCATCGACCGCTCCCTCGCCCCCGCCAACGACGACGCCTGGGCGAACCGCATCATCATGCACTGCGCCGACGTCACCCGGCACTGCTTCGGCGAGGCGGAGCACGGCGTCGCCGAGTACCAGGCGCTGAAGGAATACGACGCGGCGTGGCTCAGGGCGCGCCCGGTCTCGTTTCTGCCGCTGGCGTACTGTGAGCCGGATCAAGACCGTGGCGAGGTTTTCCCACAGATTCTCTACTTGAACAGTGCTGTTGGTAAGTGTAGCATCCGGGGAGGATGAAACAGGGTCGCTGACGAGGAATTCTGCCAGTCATCGGGAATGCCCATGCTATATTCGCCCGGGCGCTGCTTATGTGCTACGATCCGACCATACCTCGTATCGGGCCAGGTCAGAAGATTGCCCAACAAAAGCTTGATGTATGTCTGGCCACCTGACTTCCCAGAAACAGGCGGTTCGCGATGATCGGTACTGATACCTTTCTTGGACTCACAGGACTCAATACGAACTCAGATCCGCGAGCTCTGCGGGACTGCCCTGGCGAACAGGGCTACGATCCCAGCCATGTTCACAGCAAGCATGGGGGTAACAATGTGCGGGGATCGCTTCACTGAGGACAGGGAACGGCGGGCCTTGCTGGACGTTCTGGTCAAAACGGAAACGGCCCATTCCTGGCCGACCGGAGGCGCTCAGGATCATCTCAAGAAGGCCTGGGGATGGGCCGTTGAGGCATAACCCGGTTGGGTTTCTGGAGTTCAGGAGTGCAAAATTATTGTGTGACCAGTTGTTGGGTGGATTTGCGTATACTATAGCTCCACCGAACAGGTTCGTACCTCAGGTGAGTGTGGCAGCTCTAACCAATGAAAGATGTGAACCTAGGCAAACAACTGAATCCAGGCCATCGATCAGGTGATGTTCACAGATTGAAGCCCTTCTGTCAGCCACGGTTGCTTGGTCTAATGATAATGTACTCCCATTACAAGAGGGCGAGATCCCCCTCGCCCCCATCCACCCCGGCAAGAGCCATTAAGGGATAGACCTACGTTGAAGTCAATAACAGATTGGCATTTCCCTGGCTGGGAACGCCCGGCTGAACATTGTAGATCCGTTTGGAAGCCGAAAGACAGCTTACCCAGGGTTGCAAACTGGTGCTTTCCGTGAGCCATTAACCCGGGGCTTTTGTTCTCTTCTCTGCTTATTTGTTCCAGAGCCCTTGGGGTAGCGCATATGTGTATCAGAGAAAGATGTTTTTAGTTCGTTGTAAGCATGTTTCCATACTCGGACAAGCAGGCAAACAGGCGTATCCCTTTTTCGTCTCAGTCCACACAGCAGCATACGGACCAAGCATACAAGACACTGACTAAAGTTGATCAAACCCAGCAGAACTATATCACTATCTTTAGGTATCCTAGGCTACTTTTAGGATTCTGCTCCCGGACGAAATACCATACTTTATATTAACACAGGAACTAGTAGAAGAAGAGGCCCATTGCCATTGGTTGAGAGGCGTGAGGACTGCAGTAAAAGCGTTCGGCTCTTGTCATTACTGGAAAGTTCGAAGCCCCATCCGGTTTGCCGTCGTCCACCGGACGAATGAGTACTGCACTATTCCAGTTGTCAGTCCGAGATAGTATTGCGAGCTGCAAACAAAGCCTTTGAGCAAACAAGCCAGTGCGAACATGACAGAGGAAACACCCGAGGAACTCGAAAACTTCAGCTTGACATCGTGAAACCCACACAGTCCCTCTTCTACGCGTATAGAGCAAGTTAAGGACCGTATCCTCGAATGGGAAGCAGGACTAGTTGGTGGTAGGCAGGGACGTGCTGCTACGACGCAATGGAATGAGGGAGTGATGGGGCCCGTGCGTCTACAGTGCTTCGACTGACTTCTAGAGACCGGGCTGGCACGGTCTCGTCTCCGCGAACGAGGCGGGCCAAGTACAGTGCGCCACAGGAAGCCCACGTGACAGGGGTCCTCTGGAAATTTTTGGCCCGGAGAGCTACCTCACATATCGCGTGCAGAGAGACTCTTGAGCTCCTGAACCAGCCGCGGAGCTGCGCAATTGACGAGCAACTCCTCGCCAGACAGCCCAAGATGCCCAAGACGGGGAAAAGGCTTCACGTGCTGAAGCGGCCGGTAGGTCACCACCCCCTCCCCCCCCCATACACAATCCCACACCGTCCTGCTGCGACCACGCGCACGCCATCCCCTATGCAATGCACCGTACCTGGTCCCCGAGATGGATGCTGACCGGCGTTCCTCTTCGCACCGCTCCAGAAACTGCGGCAGTCGTGGAACAAGTACAACCTGTACAACCTCTGGCGCCAGAGAGACCCCAGGGTCGGGACGACGGACGCCGAGACCTTCTTCCAGCAGAAATGGCGGGCCAAGGGTCTGCTGCGCGCCTACCACGGCGAGCACATCAAGGAGCGCGACTGGGAGCGCATGTTCAGCCGCCGCCTGCTGTCCGTCGCCAACATGGACCCTCGCTACATGGCCGAGAACGACGGCTCCGAGAAGGCCGCCGGTAGGGGCTCCGGCAAAGACTCCGTTCCGCAATGGGGCGAATCCGAAATTGAGCCCAAGGCTATCACCCCCTACATGAACATGGCCTTCGCCCCTATGGAGAGGAGGTTGGATATCGCCATCTTCAGGGCCATGTTTGCCAGCAGCGCCAGACAGGCGAGGCAGTTCTGCGTGCACGGCGCCGTCAAGGTCAACGGAAAGAAGGTACGTCGTTGCTTCACCCAAGTTTGGTGGCACAACGGGACGCTAGAGGCTGACTTTGACTCCCGTCCGACAGATGCCCTACCCAGCCTACAGGCTCAACCCCGGCGACATGTTTCAGGTCGACGTTGAGAAGGTCCTGTATGCCGTCGGAGCGCCCAAGGTCGGTGCCTCCAAGCCGAAGGAGTCCGAGGACAGTGCAGACGACGCCGCGCCGGCCGAGACAGAGGCAGCGCCCGAGACCGCAGAGACCCTGGCCCCCGAGGCAGAGGACGCCGCCATCGAGGCAGAAGAGGCAGCGGCTCAGGACCCCGACACGACCGACAAGATCGAGCAGCCCGTCGACCTGAAACCCAGCCGCGCCGCCATCAAGTCCCTCATAAAACAGGCCAAGGCAACGCTCCAGGAGCAGAAGCTCAACGTCCAGAACAAGCAGGCCCTCCGCGCCTTCATCAAGCAGGCCAAGCCCCTCATGTCCGGTGGCAAGGATGCCACCCCGGGCTCCATAGCCAAGGAGCTCACCAAGATCATGGGCGACCTCAAGCTGACCGACCCCACCGCCGACGCAGCGGGAGAGGCGGCCGAGGACGCCTCCGAGACCAGCGCCCCGAAATTCACCCCCGAGGAGCTCAGGGAGCTCGAGGAACGCATCAAGGAGGAGGAGGAGAACCCCTACGACCCCAGCAAGCCCTACGCCACCCCGTGGAAGCCGAGGCCCTACCTGGCACCCTTCGCCTTCATCCCCCAGTACCTCGAGGTCAACCACAACATCTGCTCGGCCGTCTACCTGCGCCACCCCGTCGCCAGAGTCGGAACTGCCGAGGTGCCCACGCCATTCCCCTATCGGGTCAACCAGCTGGCCTTTAACTGGTACCTGCGGAGACGATAGATCATGTACATTGTTTGGTCAGGAAATACCGAGGGAGGTCGTTGGGAGACCGAGTGGGACGGTGGTTAATGTACCATACTCAAGTAAAACGGCCGCCGATCCCGTAATGTGAGACGGTGTGCACGTGCCCTGTGGAATTGCTTCGAAAGGGAGCGAGGGGCGTTGGTTTATGTATAGACATGTGTACAATACAACAAGAACTGTATATCACCCATCATCCCGATGTTTGTAATTGCGTGACCCCTGTTCCGTTGAAGACCGCCTGCCTCACTCATTGACGACAACGCGTACTACAGCCGAAGGGGCGACCAATGCTACAGAGAAACTCTGAGGCGGATCTTATACATCCAGAGCGGCACGTTTGAGATGGCATTTTACACGGGTACAGAAACACGGAAAAAGTCACGACCGTCTCTATCAGCCAAGGCCGATTTCATTCAGCCATTGAGGCGCAACGCATGTCTAAGAAAAATCATCCTCTTTTTGATTTCAGACGACCTAGACTAGAAAAAAAAGAACGCGTACAGAACAACAGCAAGGAGAAATCAAAGTGATCAAACGTTAAGGAAACCGTAGTGCAAGCCGCAAAACGCGGCCAGATGTGTCGATGTGAGGGAGGTTCTCATCCGTCAGATGGCGCAAAAGCCAGCGAGGCCTGCGTAGAAAGCCCATCTCATCAAGAAGAGATCCATCCCTCCTAGAATACATGCATCTAGTGTGGGCGGTGAGGGGTGTTTTTTTTTTTCAGTGTCCGACTAACATTACTCCTCCGCCTCCTACACAAACACGCCGAGCATCAAATTCCCCCATTTCAGATCCGGGTATTTTGTCGTAACGTGCGAAATGCATACAAAAGTTTGTGAAAGGAGAAATTGTTCGAGGCTGTCGGCGAGTCCAAGAATGCTGAGCGAGAGGTTGGCGGGAGGTTGCAGTGTGTAGCTCTCCAGCTGATGTCAATCCATGCTGACGAGTAGATACTACCCACGTGCCTACTGCCTCATAATTCATCCTTGCATATCTGCTCGAGGGTGGCAGGATAGCATAATGATTCATGTAGATGGCAATGTGGCGTGGAATTTTTCCGAAATAAGTCGCGGCTCGTAAAAGCGCGAGGCCTAGTGATCTCGCACAACCACCTTCGGGAACCACCTTCGAGAACCTCAACACCGGCATCTCTGACAACAGAGCTGCTTCTCTGCAGCATCGCCTCCTGATGAGACGGTCGACCGCGGTCTGTAACACCGGCCCTTGCGGTCTAACAGTATACATCTGACGACTTTTGTTCCCGCCCGTGACCATCTTGAGAGGATTGTGTATTAGAAAAATAATTAAGAGAGAGCGAATAGACAGACAAGAAGAGAACAAACGCGGCAGGCTGGTATTGTAATGGGCATCATCAAGGCTCGGGCATGAGTCGTAGAAAGGAGTAGGTAGTGTTGACTGCGGCTTATGCGCGAAGGGAGAAACCCTTGCGCTTGCCCTCCTTCTCGATCGGCCGTCCGCTCTCGACTCTGGCCTTCTTCTCCTCGAGTTCTAACCGCTGTCGCTCCAGCTGCTCTTTCATCTCGCGATGCCGGGCGTACAGTTCCTCTTCGCTCTGCTTTAGCTTGCTCTCCTTCTCGGCCACCTTCTGCTGGAAGACCATCTTCATCTCGGCCTCCATCTTGGCGAGCTTCTGCTCGTGCAGGGTACGCTCCTCTTCTTGCTTGACGGCAGGGTTGACCTCCTTGAACACGCTAGGGTCTTGGGCAACACCCATGGCGGTAAGCTTGTCGGTTCTGTAGTTCTCGTACAGGTTGTTGTTGGTGTGCTCCTTGAGCTCCTCCATGTGGGTGCGGATAAGCATCTGTCGAAGCTTGACAAAGTCGCAGTGCTCCTCGTTGTCGACCTCGATGACACCCCACGGGTAGCGACGTCCGCGGACCTTGCGGCCCTCGGCGTTGGTGATCTCGTTATTGGCACCAACGACAGCGAAGGGGACCTTGGACATGATCTCGTTGTTCTCAGCAATAGTCTCCTCATCATCGAGCTCGTAACGAGGTCCCTCGAAGATCTGGATACCGTGGTGCTTGATGTCGGCAAGGATCTGCGACTTTGTCAGTGTATGGTCAAGTGGGTAGGCATTGGCACTCTTACTCTGGCCTTGAAGCTGGCAATCTCCTCGTCGGTGAGGGTATCAGCCTTGGCAATGACAGGAATCAAGTTGACCTTGGTGTGCAGGCGACGCATAACCTCGACGTCCAGGGGCTTCAGCGCGTGACCGGTGGGCTGGATGAAGTACACGCATGCGTGAATTCTGTTGTCAACGATGTTCATGCGGTTGACCTTGTTCTCGGCATCAAGGTAGGCGTCGTATCGCTGCTCGATGTTCTCGACAATAGGTCTCCACGACTCGTCGTTGTTCACGAAGTCGCCGAAACCAGGGGTGTCGACGACAGTCAAGCGTAGACGAACACCGGCCTCCTCGATGTCTGCGCTGATGGACTGGATGGTGACAGTCTTGGGAATGATGTCCAAGCTCGGTCCCTTGCGCTCCTTGGGAGGGTAGAGGGATGTGTTGAACAGAGTGTTGACCAAAGTCGACTTGCCCAAGCCAGATTCACCTGCACGTTGTGGTCAGTTCGTATTCTTTCAACACCCTTTCGCAGGACGCCCGAGGGGTCTCTTGTAAACATACCAACAACCATGACGTTGAAGTTGAATCCCTTTCGAACACTCTTGCGGTGCCATTGGTTCGGCAGGTTGGCGAAACCGACGTAGCCTGTCAGCTTTCTGCGAACAATGTTCTTGCTCTCGTTGACCGCTGAGAGCACGGGGCTGGGTGCTGTAGTCAAGGAGGTTAGAAACCGTTGTCTCGTTAGGGAAGGAGTGCTTGCCGTTGGCCGCATCAGAGCCAATGGCTAGCGGGGATTCGGTACCGTTGTCTGCTGAAAATTCAAGAACAAGTCAGCAATCACTGTACAAGCAACAGGCTTGAAACACATGTCACGGCCGGAATGCGAGCTGTCCAGGGCGCCAGGAAACGAAAATACCATATGGTGGGGGCGGAGAAGGTGCAAGGTCCTGGTCGTAGAGCTCTGTGCAGTCCATGGGTTTCAGGGGACCCAATGACGGAAGTGTCGGGGCATCCACAACAAGCATGCTCCTGTAATGTCGAATAGACGGATCTCGATTCTCTTGTCCCGTGAGAGCCAAACTGCTGTGCCGAGTCGTAGGAACCGGTGGCGTGCCGGTCGACTCTCGCTTCTTTGCTACCTCTGCGGCCGCAGCTTCGAGAGCCAGAGTCTTGTCGAGCTGGACGCTGCGGGCTCGGGCTTTGTTGTGGTTGATGAGGAAAGTAGGCATTTTGCGGGCGTTTTCTATACTTCTTGCGGTGGGAGTGGTGGAAAGGGAAACGGATGTTCCTAGCGATGGCCGAGTATTCCAAAGAACCAAAAAGGGGCAGACCCAAGAAGTATTAGATCAACCAAGAAGCGAGCGTGGCGGTCGGTAAACGAGTGTGGTGTTGATGCGATGTTGGAAGAAGCGTTGCCGAAGAGCATCAAGGCGAGATAGGCGTCGTATCAGGTCCATGGCGAAGCATGGGAAGGAATTGGCAGCAGCGAGGGATGAAGAAGTCGCGGGCCCCGTTGTCCAACAGCAGGCAGGCGGCGTCCCTGGCGGTACTCGCTCCTTTCCGGCCGGCGACAGACAAGTGACAGGAGATTGTGCTTACCCATAGCGAATATTTCAAGATTTGCCGATATCTATGAATGAGAGGTGTCGACGGGAGGAAGGAAGGGGTGAAGTCTGTCGATGTCAAGCAGGTTAGTCGCGAGCCCGGCGTCGAATCGAAACGTGGAGTGTTGAACGACGGGTCGTCATGCGGAGGCGGCGTGAAGGGCAGCAGTGGAGAACTCCTGACGGGGAGAGAGCTAGGTAGGCGGGAGTCAAGGGAAAGGGGGTTGGGGCACGACGGCTTCAATGGCAGGCACACGAAGCCGGGTGGGCGGAGGGATTGCGAGGGTCGAGGGTCGAGGACGAAGGTTGGGAGACGGACGGAGACTTCCTCGTCGCTGGATGCTCGCCCGGGGTTGGGGGTGAATTTTCCCACGGGCAGGAGTTCGGGTTCGCGTACGTACCCAAAGACGCCAAATATGTGCTGCGCTGAGCTGGTCTGTCGTGTCGGCCGTCGCGTGTCAAGGGCGGCGGTGGACTGCGAATGCGGACAGGGCCGGGAGAGGTGCAATTAATTGGGTGAAGGTCTAGAGAATGTAGAGAAAGGACGACGACAAGGCCCGCGGGAATGGCTGGTCAACGCTCAAATGGTGAGGTGGTTGATGGGCCAGCAGGAGGTTTGGGGTTGGCGGAACGGGAACAGTAATTGAAGGGGTCGATTGTGTGAGTGAATCGAGTGACAGGCCACCAGTGGGCAGCAACTTTTTTGGGCCTACGTTTACTTGGCTCCCTGGCTCCCCTGGGCTCTCTCCCCTGGCTTGCTGGCTAGCTCGCTACCTCTTCTTCCCTCTTAGCTGGCTGGCTGGCTGGCTGGCTGCGCTTCGTCAAATTTGGGATGGCTGCAGCAGCGACAAAAGGGGCTCTCTCGCCTTGCTGGCCATGCCGCCGTCCAGTGCCAAGATGTGTTTTTTCCTCGGCTGCCACCTGGGCGCATCTTGAGCCCGCGCAATCGCAGGCCTAAGGGGAGCACGATGCGGGTGGCCGCCACTGGCAGCGCGCATGGCGACCTCCCGCCAGGCATGGGACCCGACATGGGGGATGCCGTCGATGCGCTGCGGCCAGTCTGCAGCCTGTGCCTCTGTGCCTACGCCAGGCCCCGCGTGTGGCCGGCTCAGGCGTTCAGCAGGGGACTCTCTCCACCACAGGACCGGCTAACTATGTAGGTCCCCTAGAACGGGATATTGCGACAGGGGGGCCCTCCCCCGTTCGAGCCGCTCATTGGCGGCGCATCTACATCTGGCCGGGGTGCTCATCGCCAAAAGGAGGCTTGAGCTCGAAATCTTCTGCCACATCACAGCACCTCGAGCGACACGTTTGGTAACTGATGAACATGTGTCGCAACGAGCCATGGGAGCCCGAGATCGAGGCGCCCAGAGGGGCAGATTCACAGGATGCGCACACAGAGTTGGGACGGCTGCCGAGTCCGTGTCAATCTCACAACTCTAACCTTCCCATCTGCCGGCGCCGCCCCTAAGGAACCATTGCGATGGGCTCGTGCTTGAGTGCCACAGCACTGACATGACGACCTGCTGCCGCCGGTCCAGAGACCCTGACGCTTGGGGCTGCCATGGTCCCCTTTTTCTCCCATTCCCATAGTACAGTAGCACGGCACATTCCAAGGGGCCCTGGGGTTGACAGCTGCGCATGGGTTGCTTTTGACGTCGATGAAACAGCCGGCAGCAACATTTGCAACGGCCGGAACGATTTTCCGGTAATCAGATATCGTCTTCAACAATGCAGGATCTTGCTGCCGGGCCCGATTGCAAGACCGGACAAGACAAGGCGCACTCTGCTCTTGGGGAGACGGGGGGTGTCCCTCTGCGAGAGGAGCGTAGCAAGCTTTCGTGTTCAGGAGGAGCAAATTGCCAATCGCAAGTTGGCAAGCTCGGAGCGATCCACACCCAGGGAAATCACCAATGTCGGCATGACCCCTGCCACCTCACATGTGGACCATAGCACCAACCCCAGCTTTGAGATTGTATTTCATCGGGAAATTGTAGAGCCTTTCGCCGGACCACCAAAGTCCACTGAGGTCCATCCATGGATCCTCTCCGTGTCGGCCAGCCAATGATGGCTTTGATAGACTGCTATCACTTCCAGAGATGTCTACAGTACCTACAACCAGTGCTCCCTTCCGCTATATTCCATGCACAAGGCGATGTTTCGATGGAGACGATGGACTGATAAATGACCGTACTGCCAACAAACAGGCGCTTCTCCCAGCTTGAAAAATAACATTTGTGGCGAGCCAAGCATTTCCCTGGATTTCGAGAGACAAATGGTGCGTCCTCCGCAAATCGCCGCCTTCTGAATTCATGTCAAGACAAGACTAGCATGATATGGTCTCGTAATGTCTCACTAGTCCGACTGCCCTGTGTTGAAAGTTCCGCTGGATATTCAACATCTTGGCACGTGGATCAGTAGGCCGAAAGAGGCTTTGGCGCGCACGGGCAAAGAGACATGCACATCGGCTGGTGATACGATGAATCATTTTGCCTGTCACAATTCTTGCTCGATTTAGATCCTCAAGCCGCGGCTTCCCCGGTGGATGCTGTGTTTCCATAACCAGCCTGTGTTGGCTGTTCTACGGTCGACTGTTGGTCGCTCTGAAACTAGCGAACTTGGCCGAATGCGGTCAGGAGTATAATACTCGAGGCATCATCGCCTTTCCGCACCCGGCAACGTCAAAGAAAGAAAAAGTGAGGTCCAACAGTCGACCATTCCAGGCTGGTACATACGTTGTTATATAATGTAATGGATTGCAGACATTGCGAGCAATAGCTATCACGGTAGTAAAGAACATTTCGAATACATGTGAATTCAAAGTATTGCATCGAACCCGCCCTGTGTCCTACTTGCTTGAACTATAGCCCACCGCCCGTAGTGCGACGGTTCATTCGATCGATACAAATGGGTAACTACATGGATGACCCCGATTGGGTTGTTGAACAGCAGCGAATTGCTCTCGACGAAATCCAACGCACCCACCAACACCAGCTGCAATGTGAGTTAGCATCTGTTCGACAGCAGCTTGCAAGTGCCCGGATCAGAGAGGATATGCTCAGAAGGGGGCTGGAGCAGAGCCGCGAGCTTGGACGTGAGCTGCAAATACAGCTCGCCGATAACGAAATATGGGACCTGAAGGGCGCAGGGGTGGGGGGAAGCATACCTTACGACGGATGGAAGTCATCTTCACATCGATCTCACGGATGCGGTGAAAGTGAAAACTCACCTACTTTCCCATATTCCAATGTTGCGCCGCCGCCTAATACACTTGACGCACCCCCGCCATATGAGACGGCGGTTTCTAGCGCGCGGTGGCAACCGGGCATCATCTCCTATCCGAACAATGCCTCCGCCCATCCAAGGAGTGACGCCCATGTGAGGTTCGCCGAAGCACCTGAACTCATATATCCACCCGAAGTGCCGCCGAGGACCTCGAGCTTGGGCAAGACGAAGAGTCAAGGTAGGAAACAAGCCGTTGGGCTATGCAGAAAACGTAACAATCGGACAGCTGTGTAAGTCTTCCCCTCGCCATCATTATGGACATCATCTCAGCTTTCGTACTCATTCAACGAATATGCAGGAACTTGTTGGTTTTGACCTTATCTTGATCATTACAGGTTGCTTGCGAAAAGCTGAGAGATTTGAATGCACAGTTGCTTATCCTGCAACAATTCGGCATCGATGATAAATGTCAGCTCACCACCCACCATCTGCGAGCAGTAAAATGCAAAATACAACGGAACCACGACAAGCTATATCTCTAACCTGGATTTCGTCCGATGGGTGACTTCTTGGACTTGATCCTAAAAGCCTCATGGAAGGCCGAAAAAGATTCTGAGGCCACCAATACAGAGTCACATTAGCCTAGTTGAAACAGCTGGGGAAGGAGCATACAGTTGAGACTTTCCAGGGCCTGGAGGATATTTCATACTGTCGTACGGCCCCTGGGGCATAGAATATCATCGCAGAGTCCAGTATTGCTGTACAGCTAGTTCGGCAAGGAGAGGAGGGCTGCGGTATTTCCTTGTCGGTCCTTCTGCTTTTGGATGACGAACCTGCTCTGAAAAGGACTCTAGCCACGCTCTTTAAAACCACGTGGTTCGGACAAGGTATTCCGAACTAGCTTGGAAACTGATCAAGATATTGGGATACAACAACAACAACAACAACAACAACAACAACTCACAACACACCTTGGCGAATCTACACGTGGACAGTCGATGAAGCCCAGCCCATAGACGCTAGAGTAAGGTAGAAATTATGTTCAAATTAGAGCATACCCATAGATTACAAACGGTATAGTAGTCAATTGGCTACTACAATTCCCATTTCCGAAGGTTGGAGGGCCCTCCCAGCCTTGGAAGAGATCAGAAGGACCACCATAAAGGTTGCTAGCTCGAGCACCCTTCACATGTCTTCTTCGTAGCCTATCATATCCGCGAAGTCGGATGATATCAAGTCATCAATTGAAAAGACTCCTATTCAATGCTTTCATTTTACAGGTTCTTAGTTAGACAATACACATGTGACCCGTTCTTCCCACCTGGATCTGTTCGCCTTGGCAGACCGGGGTTCAATCACGCCATCATTCAGGACGACAGTATATATCTATCTGTTTACTGACACCAGAACTTAACCGAACTAACAGCTTGGATGCCTTTTACACGAATTGCCTATTTCAGCAGAGATGCACAAGCCTCGAACTATGGTATAGTCTCGGCGAACTCCACCGGAAGAATCGCGCCATCGCCCTCTACTATGACGTTTGGCAGTTCCTGCAGGACTAGCTGCCCACGAAGATAACCCCAGCTCCCCGATCTTCTCGAAACATAGATCGGATCGAGGTTATTTACACGTGGATAAGACGATCTTCCCCTGCAAGGTACCGATGCCCCGCCTTGGTAGTTTAAGCCGCTAGCTTATCTCCCCCGGATCTTCTTGGTCCTATTCCTTGCAATGGCGAACTGGCGTGGAGATAGGAAGCTGTGAGCTTAGAGATGTTTCCTCACCCGCTCACCTCTGATAGCGGAAGATATTGTTGGCAAAGCTTATCACAACGTCTGTGATTAATGAGACAAGGATCCACCAACCTCTTGCAGCCCCAGTGCGGTGAAACACAGCCCCCCGTGACTAAAGCTGTCTGACGGTATACTGTTAATATCGCTTCCTGGAGGACATCACATGGTCGTTGGACATGCTGCGAAAGTATCAGCTGACTTAAATGCATGCTGAGTTGACCAATGGCCAAACTCTGGTGACCAGATCGTACGTACGAGCTACGTAAGTGCAGCGACTCTAAACTTGTCACAAGCAATGCCGCTATTACTGCTTGTTCCTGTTTGCCGGGGCGGCGTATGCATTTTGAACCGGGAATAGCCGCCAACAGTTCACAGTTCATACGAGACAGCTTCTTCAATGCCACACGCCTGCGTATGCCAAGGTCAACTGGTAATCAAGGTGCAAAAAGGGAATGAGGTTTTTCTATCTACTCACCGGCACCCAACAAGCGGAGGGAGGCATTGAATATGGATCGCATTGGCTCGGAGATTTAGCAGTGTCCGCTACTAGCGGCCATTTCCGGCATAGGGGGATAGGTTGCGACAAACAACAATAGCGCCACTTGGTCTGTCACCCGTTGTGCAAACCGCTATGAATTGAAACTTTTGACTGCTATCATTGTTAGAAACATGCCGGCAAGGCGGGATGGAATGTTTCAATAAGGTGGCGCCATTCGGTATCGAAGTCCCGGGTCTGGTGGAGTTGGTCAAAGAGAATGAATACCTCCCACATTATCGATCAGGCAAGTACTCTAAAGAGCGCAAGCAAGTTGCGATTCATCAGTATCCCCGATTCCACAAAACTTGGCTTCTGTTACGTGCGGCATCTGTCCAGTTACATTGTGTCTAGAGCATACCATTGGACAGTATACGGACATGACACAACTACCACCTTGTTGCCAGTATTTGCCAGCAAAGTTCGGACGCAACTCTTATCTGTGGATGATCCCATTTTCAGGACGTGCATATCCTCCCACATGCTATTGATTTCCTTGCATTGCGACTAATTGACACCTGCCAAGGTGGGCAGCCGGCAGCTCGACACTACCAAGATCGCGAGCCATCCCCGTTTCTCCACTAGCTGGTCGGGTCTCTCCACAGTACAGCGGACACAACGCCGACGTTTGCACTTGAGTAAGGGGTTTCGTAGACAAAACAAGCACAAATAAAGGCGCCTCTGGCACTGTGTAGAAGCTAAAACCAACAGCTTGTCGCAAGTTTTAGAAGCCTGGATGCCGTGTTTTGTTCGTCATTATCGTGGTGTCGAGCTCTTTGCATAGCCGAGATCGGCATATCCTTAAAAACGTGTGTCCGACCGATAGGAAAAGCGGAGTAAAAGATCCACAGATACCACATCACACGATCCCTATCTCTGCAGACGCACTGCCTGCCAACCATAGCCTGAAAACACTGATCGTGCGAGTGATTTCTGGCCTATTCGCATCCTCTCCACCCTCGAGTTGACCTCAAGACAACCATTCAACCATTCCAACAGAGCTCCAAGATGAACCGCTTTGAAGAACTTGTCGATCTGCTGAGAGAAGCCCTCGGGGAGTCGTCGGGTCTGACGTCTGACGATGTGGATGTTGACGTCCTGAGTGACTCCATGGCCCGATACGTGTCCAACGACGCCGAGTGGTCCAAGTATGCCCTCGCAGACGGGAGCAGAGGCTATACCAGGAATCTGGTCGACGAAGGCAACGGAAAGAGTAACCTTGTACGCTCAGACGCCCCTTGAGGCCCTCTGCATCTTGTCTGCCTGCTGACACCGCCCCCCTAAACAGCTCGTGCTTGTTTGGACGCCCGGCAAAGGGAGTCCCATCCATGACCACGGCAACGCCCACTGCCTCATGAAGATCCTCAAGGGAGACCTGACCGAGACGCGATATGACTTTCCCGACGCAGCAAAACATGAAGAAATGAAGATCAAATCCCAAACTGTACATGGAGAGAACGCCGTTGCATACATGGCCGACGAACTTGGCCTGCACCGTGTATCAAACGAGGGTAGCGACTTCGCTGTCTCGTTACATTGTGCGCAACACCCGCCCCCAATGTAGAAGCTTGCACTGACTGAGAGCAGTGTATACTCCACCCAATGTTGCCAAAGGCGGGTGCTGGATCTTCGACCAGAGGACTGGCAAGAGAAGCCACGTCCCCAAATGCGGGTACTACTCGGCATTTGGCCGGTTGTTGAAAGATCAGTGAAGGATAGGAGAGGACATGAAGTTATGAGAGATGATACCTTGTTTCGAAGTTTGTACTTTCCTTGCGTCTGCGCAGAGCGGAGCGGACACTTGTCCCCCCCAGGCATTGCTTTTGTATAATCCAGACTGAAAATGACGACACAATCTCTATCAACCCCTGAGGAAGATATGTTCAAGTCGCTGGTGAAGTCGAGTTGTTTCGAGGGGAGGATTGTCATTGTTCCCGATGAGGCGCGTGATTTTGGAGAGACATGGGCTTTCTGCGCGCCACGGTCTTTCTGAAGACAGCCAAATCATCGCCACAGCACGATTGGCAAGGTGAAGAAGAGGAGAAGTCGTCGTTGAAGCCCGAACTCTTAGATGTTCCTCACGACTTGCACGCTAGTCAATCACGCAATCGCCCCTGCTCTGACGGCTCTCGGGAACAGTGGGTCCAGACCGGCCGGCTGAGACGGCTTTAGCGCTCGCTTAGCGGCTCAGACACGGCCTTCCAAAGCGTTCAAGCCACAGTAGTCAATGAAGTCACCTGAATTCGCATCAGACTTGTTGCTTTTTCTGTGGCTCAGTTTGGCCCAGATTCTGGGCAACCGCGTTTGGGCGTGTGGCCTGAGGATATTCATGGTCCGCCTTGAGGAACAGTTCCGAGGCTTGTCATTTGGGCTGCCGCTCTAGATGCATTCATCGATTGCGTCTTGCTCCGTTTGATTTGAATGATTAACCTAGGCGGCACGTTGTAAGTGTGCTAGAGACACCATGGGTTCGCAGAAGCGGGCGCTCGATCCCGCAGGTACTGCGCCAGACGCGCGCAGCAACAAGCTTGCACGCGTCTCTGGGCTGTCTTCAAGCCAAGACAGAACTCCCGGTGGCTCACAAGCCTCGCACCGCAATCTTGCGACTCCGCCTTCTTCGCATTCCCAGTCTTCCTCGTTTCGATTCCCGGCATCGACCCAGGCTATTGACGATGAGGAAGCCGAGCTCATTGATCTTACGCAAGCCGAAGAGGGACCACCGTTGGAGTTGTACGGCACCCACGATGCCAAAATTGTAGGCGTACGCTACTACAATGGTGTAGTGACGCCCCATGAGCTCGTCGTCTGTAAGCGTGAGCCTCAGAATCAGTATGACGGCAACGCAATACGCGTCGATAATGTCATGGGACAGCAGATCGGTCACGTTCCTCGGAATCTGGCTGCAAAACTGGCACCTTACCTAGACGGCAATGAAATCGCCCTTGAAGGTGTCCTAACTGGTGAGAAGGGCTTCTATGACTGCCCAATACGCTTTTACTTTTACGGCACAAGCCTACCTGAAGCTCGCTTGACCCTTGAGGGCAAGTTGAAGTCCGACAAGCTTTTGAAGGCTACCGAGATGAAGAACACTAGGAAAGAGGCAGAGGCTCGAAGAAAGGCCACTGGCATGCGTAGCGGCATGACTTCAGGAAGCGGCCTGAGCGGAACTGCTGCTGTGACTGCCCAGAAGCAGGAACAAGAGGCGTCGCTCAAGAACTTGGTTGCTACGAGCGAAACTTACGACGCAGTGCGGGAAGACTCCTTCACTGATACACTGGCGACTGGGGAGGACGTTCTCAAGGCTATGCCTATGGCTGAACAGCCCGACACACTGAAGTCGCAGATGCTGCCATATCAACTTCAGGTACGTTGCAGCGTGAGTGCCAATTGATTGTCTCGTGCTGAAGACAGAATAGGGACTCGCGTGGATGCTCGCCAAGGAGAATGTCAAGCTCCCACCGGTAGGCTCCAAGGACATTGTTCAGCTTTGGCAGCGTAGGACCTCGACTGCGTACATCAATCTTGCAACAAGCTTTGCCACATCATCACCCCCCAAGCTCATCTCTGGCGGTATCTTGGCAGATGATATGGGACTTGGAAAGACTCTCCAGATCATCAGCCTTATTGTCTCCGACGGTGTAGAGAATGGCCCTACATTGATTGTAGCGCCTGTCAGTGTGCTGAGCAATTGGGAGCAGCAGATCAAGTCCCACGTGAAGAATGACCAACAACCTCGAGTCCTCGTCTACCATTCGTGCAAACCGATGTCAGGCGATGAACTACGCGAATATCAAGTGGTAATAACCACTTACGGTATGATTGGCTCAGAGTCCAAGGCTGGCCATACGGGGCGCCTCTATGGGGTCGAATGGCGTCGCATTGTTCTCGACGAAGGTCATACCATCAGGAACCCCAAAGCTCAGCTTGCTCTGGCTACCCACAAGCTCAAAGCAAGATCTCGCTGGATCCTCACAGGTACACCCATCATCAACAATGTCAAGGATTTCTTTTCCCTACTTAGGTTCCTCAAGCTTACCGGAGGCCTCGAGGACGAAGGCTTATTCTCCGCTGTCATTGCCCGCCCTATCAAGCAGAACTACAACCAACACCCAAGCAGAGTCAAGGCCGTCAATTTGCTTGGACATCTTATGAAGGATATTTGCCTTCGCCGCAGGAAGGACATGAAATTCGTCAACCTCAACTTGCCCCCAAAGACGGAGTACATCCACCGAGTCACATTCGACAAGTCCGAGAAAACCAAGTACGATGCCTTACTCGCTGAAGCTCAGGGTGAGCTGGAGCAGTACCAGGAAAAGTCGAAACACGGCCAAAAAGGTAGATACACTAATATCTTGGAAAGGCTGTTGCGCTTACGGCAGGTTTGCAATCATTGGGTTTTGGCTCAGGAGCGTGTCGAAGATCTTCTCAGACTCTTTGAAGATCAGAAAATCGTTCCCTTGACCGACGAGAATATTCCCATTCTTCAAAGAGCCCTGCAGCTTATGATCGAGAGTCAAGAGGAGTGTGCGATTTGTTTTGAGGACATCGCCCTTCACCAACCTGTCATTACAGCTTGCAAACACGTTTTTGGGAAACCTTGCATTATGAAAACCATTGAGATGCAGGGCAAATGTCCCATGTGTCGAAATCAGCTCTCACCGGAATCGTTGGTTGACGCGGCGACTGAAAGTAACAGCTTTGAAGCAGATGATGAGTGCAGAAGCTCAAAGACCGATGCATTGGTCAAGATCCTCAACGCAACGCTTAAGAACGACGGCTCCAAGGTGGTCATCTTTTCTCAGTGGACATCGTTCCTCAACATCATACAAGCCAGACTCAAAAAAGCTGGGATGACTTACACTCGTATCGACGGCAGTATGGTCAAGAAGAACCGTGATGCAGCCATCACCGCTCTCAATGAAGACCCTGATACACGAATCCTGCTCGCGAGCTTGCAAGTGTGTAGCGTCGGTCTGAACCTTGTTGCCGCCGACACTGTCGTCTTGGCAGATAGCTGTGAGTTGTATCCGACCCATGAGATCACATTGCATATGCTGACCGATTTCAGGGTGGGCCCCTGCGATTGAAGACCAGGCAGTCGATCGAGTGCATCGACTTGGCCAAACCCGTCCGACTACTATTTGGCGCCTGATTGTCGAGGGTACTATCGAGGAACGCGTCCTCGATATCCAAGCAGAGAAGAGAAAGCTGGTCAGTGAGGCTTTCCAGGAGAAGGCCAAGGGCGGCAGGGCCAAGGACACCCGCTCTTTGGCTGACATCACGAGGCTACTACGTTGAGTGTGACAAGAGTGACGAAGAACGTGGAACGGTATGGCCCTTTTGATCTCTGTGCATCCGTGTTTCCAACGGATTTTATTTCCAAACCGACATGCAGTATAAAATCACACGGATTTTTTGAAAGGTTGAATTGCTGAATTCGCCATATTCGCGAAATTTTGTACAATAGCTATGAAAGCAAGCGCAGGGAGCACAGGTGTTCGAGGCGTCTTTATAGAAGCTGGACCGCTTCTGAGGAGTCTGTATAACGGTTTGCTTGCTTCCGAAATAGACATTATTGCTATCACCGCCGATTAAACTCTCTCTACACCTGCGTCCATTATTTGAGTTTCATCAGAAGTGGAGCCAGCGACCGTCACATAAAGCTTCCGCACCTGACTTGTTTCGGTAGCAGCTTATGATACCAGCGTACGGGAGCTGACTAGCACTGTAATTCTGTAAAGTGCGGCAGAGGCAGTGCACAAATCTGCACAAAGAAACCCGATGTTCGCGGCAATCGTAAATGGCAGCAAGAGACATGAAACCAGACCCTACACGTTTTGCGCTACTACTGGATTGATGATGGGGTTGATACCATAATCCATTACATCATATCGATCATTTACTCCATTCTAGTATAGTGAAGGGTCGTCCGGTATGTACCATTGCTTCAAGCAAGGGGGTTCGTTTGTGTGTCTCCACACTCATTGCAACTCCTGTGCATGGTACTCGTCGACGGCAAGCGACGCTGTGTACGCCCATTTCACCTAATATCCCGGTTCTTCGAGACAACAATGTGCCGATGTTCGGTGGATCACAATGGACAAGTCTTTACAGAAACATGACTCGATCATGGGCTTCTCATACCATATCCCCGAAGTATCCGGGAGCCTGAATGATCTCCACGGGGAGACTCGCGGAGTGTCCCAACGTCGGGGAGCCCATAGTATAGGCTTTCGGTCTATAGGTAGGGCTGACCTACTCGTGCGAGAGTGGGCGGAACTTGTTTACGCAGTGGATCCTCTAGGAGCTTGGATGTCGTGACAGCTGCTCAGCCATGATTCTATCTGAGCCACCGCATGACGTGTAGACATCAACTCCTCGTTAGCGGCTTCGACCCTGCTTTGGAGCTCAGGGATAGGAGCTGTGTGTATGCTGGACTGGCCTATGAAACTGCACTATCTCGCACGACCCTGACATAGTAGCTACTCTGCAGAACAAACCTAGGAATCGGACCTATTTGCATTGTTTATCTGCATGTCTCTTGTGACCATGCGGAGATAAGGTCGAGAACGTCTCCGGGGCAAAGTTGCCGATTGTCTCGGATACGTGCTTGTGAGGCGCAAGGTCCAGCTTCCGAAGCCACACAAGCCATGTGTCGTCTTGTCGTCGCATGAGCGGGAAGCACCAGGTGCGGATCGTGGGCCCGAAAAGCGGGAATACCCTGCGTGTCACAGTGCGATCGTCAGTGAGTTCCAAGTCTAGAACAGTCGGCCACGCAGACACCTTGATTCCCCCTGCAGGAATTGCGTTTAGAAGGTTCGGGACCTGAAAATGGACAGAGTTACTGGGGCTGCTGTTACGCAAGCGATATTGCAGTATACCGAGACCCGCCTGCTGTGCAAATGCATGAATGTTCCCGCTCGTCCAACCCACCAAGTCAGGGACAGTCAGGCACCAACCAACCATATGGCAAGTTCGTATGGCGGGCTGTGCGCTTGTCTGAAATTTGGTGTTTACCGGGACGTGCCTGGTCCACTTGTTCAAAGCAGCCAGCAAGAGACAGAGTTTTGATTCGCACAATCTTTCGCAGTTCAGAATCATGTTCGTGAACGCCACCGTAAGTGAAATCTCTTGGAACGGCGCACCTGCGCATTTCATTGGACGCGAGTATAGCCCGCAAAAAGAAATCTTCTTGGAACTTGTGGGGTCGTTATGCGCCGAGTAACCGCCGCCCGACTTCTACGTTTGGGGCGCTGTCATGCTCGACTAGGAAGCTTTCTGGACGCATAGGGATTCGATCCGGATCTGTATCCCGCTTTAGTCAGTGCTTGGCGTTTCTTGCGCTCATGGGATTGCAGAGGCCAAACGAGAACATGACAGGGACGAGGCGGGAGCGAACGATGTGAGGACTAGATGCATATGTACTCCGGCTGCCAATGACGACACGCAGGGCTGTCGGGAATAATGGCCGTGGGTTGCATTGAAGAAAGCTGTAACCCGAAAAGGGCAATCCGATGAGCCGGCGTTGGGGTTACGGCGACTTTCGGCGTTCAACCGGATGCAAATGCGATTTCATGAGTCAACGCCGTAGCCTATCACTGTCAACCGTTTTGGCCTGTGACAGCGATGGCCTCGGGTTGGGCTGGCTTTGGCGAGCTAATCGGCAGCGGGTACCTCTTCGAACGAATGCCCCAAGTTACCGATGACCTCGGAACTGGACAACAGGTGCGGAAAAGGCTTGACACAGGGATGGCAGCTCGACGGCCAGCAAGAGATGAAGTTTTATGGCACAATCCGGAGAACTGGAGCTCTGGAGCAGGATGTGACGCGCCGAATGTTAAGCCAAGTGGCGCGGTGGGCTTCTCTAGATCTGTCTGAGGCCCCCAATTTCTGGAGGCCGGGCCACAGCATCGGGAAGCGACAGCGGGACGTCGAAGGGACGGTACCATTGTCCACGTCCACTGCGAGGCACATGGTGCCAAGGTTGACTTTGTCTCTTGGTAGACGCCAAATCAGAACGTTGCCAGATAATGCAGCCTCCATGTGCGCCGCCCAGGTGTCAATCATGCAGTCGTCAAGCATCCCAGGCATCTCGAGCATCCTGACCCATGGCCTGGTCTTCCATAGGACGTAGTAGAGTCTGGACGAACAGCTTCCGGGCCAAAAAAGACCAGGATGCCCCACCTCCAGGAGAGACTTTCTCTGCAAGCCGTCCCATCCCTGCCAACAGGGCCGACATGATCGCTGATGCCGAAGAGGGAAGCCAGGGGGTACTTGGGAGTACCTGGGCTGGCGGGCTGGCGGCTCCCGCAGGGCTGCGGCGGCGTGTCGCGGGCTCGTAGCAGGCTCGTAGCTGGCGAGCACCCCCCGTTTCCATGTCGTGAGCCCCACCATGGAGCTGGGTCAACTTTACTTGGAGCAGACTGGCGCCTTTTCGACTTGTTCCGTTCTTGACGTCTCGCGGCATCATAGCATCATCTTTTCTCCATTCTCTTCAAATCTCTGCCTGCCGTTTCGTTTACCCCAAGTATCGTCGCCCTCCGACCGCACCACCAACCCTCCCGCCTCGCCGGACAGATCGATGCTCCAGCACTGAGCAGCCATGCAGAGCGCCGCCAATCGTCAGCAGGGTGAGTACAGAGAACAAGTGAACCGAACCCGATGCGTCCTTCTCTGTGGTAGGGGCGTGTAGTCAGCCAACCCCACCACCGCTCTCTGCCGTACAGACCCGCGGGTTTGAGGCGTCATGCGCCTATACGCCCGTGGCTCTTGTCCCCTCCGGAGCCTCACGGCACTCCACGCGATGCCCTCTTTGTTCACATTTGCTAACCGCTGCTGCTTTCGACATCGCAGGCGGCTCGAGTCAGCCACCCGAGCATTCCGATAAGAATGAACTCGCTCCAGAGCTCGCACCCCCCGCCGTTCGCTTCGCCTCCAAGGTCGAGGAATTTGGTCCCGAAGCTGGCCAAACCCGGATCGAACCAACGAAAGACGCCTCTTCGCCCTCCAGCATCAGCCAGCCCCCGGATGTCACGCCTGAGCAGCTGCGGGAGTTGACCAAGTCCTTGGCCGAGTCTCGGCTGCAAGAACAACGCATGAAGAGCTTCTCATATCAGCCCTTCTCTCTTCCGGCTTCGCGGGTATGTTTTCTGGCTTGTCTAGTCCTTTGATTTTCTGATTACTTGCTTGCTTGTCTTGTCTTGCGTTGCCTTGCTTTTTCCCTCGGCTGCCACATGGGACAACAAGCAGCAATTCCAGGACATTTTGCTTTTCCGACGTTGCATCCACCCGTGAAATAGTACCTTGCCCAGCACCTCTATCTCATATATCTAAAGTTGTACGAATCTTGTCTTACACTTGCTAACAACCACAACCTAGGTTCCGTCCCACGAGAGCTCGCTGAACCCTACTCCTCAGCAAAGCCATACGCCCACCGGCCGTCATACACCAAGCTTGAGCCCTGGGCTTGAAGTTGTGTCGCCTCCCTTGACACCCTCAGGCACAAGCGGGCCAGAATCCATCTCCAGCAGCCGTCATCTGAAACCCAGTAGTGCGCAAGCAGATGGCGGCTACGAACCCTCAGCGATAACGCCCCAAGCTTCTGGTCAAGAATCCGCCCCAGTTTCCCCGCGCATAGGCTTGCCGCACCGCCCAGCATCATATGACCATATGCCGCAGCAGAAGACGAGCGCACCCGACGAGCGCGATCACGATACCCGCTCCCACCGCCAAGGTATGTTCAGCGTTGGGCCTGGTTCGGTCCCGGTATCTAGAGAATCCAGCCCTTCCAGGAAAAGTGCCTCTCAGTATTATTCTCGACCTTTCACCCCGGCGGGAGATCTCAATGACCCTTATGCTGCGAGCAAACGAGCACCACCAACCAAGAGTTCGGCCAATATCGACTCGCGGTTCGTTTTCTCTAGGAAAAAGGGGCGAGGGTCCCCAAGCTCCTCAACTACAAGCCTGAGCCTAGGCAAGACAGACAAAGCAGAGAAGCGTCATTCAGGTTTACTCGGAGTATTGAACAAGAGCAACCATGAACTTCATCATACGGGTACCGAGTCCACCACACATAGCCGAAATACTTCCATGTCCGATCTCAGGAGGTTTTTCAAGGTGGGCGGCGGTCATAAGCCGAAGAAATCAGAGCTCTCGGTGCAGTCCAAGGACACAAGGCCGCCGCTCGTCTCAAGGCCATCACAACAGGTCCCCTTCGCCGAGGACCACAGTCTTACCTCCAAATATGGCAAAATAGGCCGAGTGCTTGGATCTGGAGCTGGAGGATCCGTGAAGCTTATGAGAAGGCATGAGGATAACACAGTCTTTGCCGTGAAGGAGTTCCGACCCAGACATACGTATGAGACTGAGAAGGAGTACGTTAAGAAGCTGACAGCAGAGTTCTGCATTGGATCGGCTTTGCACCATGGCAATGTCATCGAGACATTGGATATTGTGTCGGAAAAAGGCAAGTGGTATGAGGTGATGGAATACGCGCCTTTCGATCTTTTTGCCATCGTCATGACGGGGAAAATGTCGAAGCCCGAAGTCAGCTGTTGCTTCCTCCAGATCCTCAATGGTGTCACGTATCTCCACAGCATGGGTCTGGCGCACCGAGACCTGAAGTTGGACAACGTGGTGGTCAGTGAGCATGGCATCATGAAGATCATCGACTTCGGCAGTGCCCACGTGTTTAAATACCCCTTCGAGAGCGATATTGTGCTCGCAACTGGTAAAGTTTACAAGTCCTCTTTCACCAAAGCTGCCGTGACTAATTGATCATCTTTAGGAGTTGTCGGATCCGATCCATATCTCGCACCCGAGGTGTATGACGAGCGAAAGTACGACCCGCAAGCAGTTGATATTTGGTCTTTGGCCATCATCTTCTGTTGCATGTCGCTTCGGCGGTTCCCGTGGAAAGTGCCTCGGTTGACCGATAACTCTTATAAACTATTCGCTGCGGAGCCAACACCAGGTCACGACCCGAAGAAGCTGATCCTGCCATCGCATTCAACAAATGACCTATCGAACACCCCGCAGCGCGATATATTCCCAGGAGACGAAGACAAGCAACAAAAGAATAGCAGTGGGCACAGTGAAAAGAAACCTGAAAAGCAAGAGGCATCAGCCACAAGCAAGTCTGAGAACGGCTCGACAGGACACAAGGAGGCGACATCCAGCGCGCCGCCGGCCAAGGAAGTGATACGAGGTCCTTGGCGCCTATTACGACTACTACCTAGGGAGAGCAGACACATCATCGGCCGCATGCTTACAATCAACCCACGCCAGCGGGCTACCATGAAGGAAATTCTCGAAGAGCCATGGGTCTCGGACACAGTCATCTGTAGACAAGAGGCACCGGGCCGAATCGAGCCAGCTACGGACCACACGCACATTCTCGAACCCCCTGCGAATCAATCCAAGTAATTCGTTGTTGTTTTGCCAATTTGTGGATTGAATTGGCTATGACCAGGATTGGCTGGTTGTCAATCAAAATCACTTTTGGGGGCACGCTCGCTTTTGCCTTTGGCAAGTTCATAAACCCCAAGCATCCTGCAAGGTTTCGGTTGGAAGGGTCAAATCTGAGATGAATATATTATTCACCCAGGTACCTTTTCGCTGAAGCTGCGCGCTTATGTGCTTCGCTGCAGACTTGGTTGTTCTTGGCGGTTGTCTACGCAGGCGTCGGCATCATACAAGCAGCGCGCAGCACGGCGTGGCATTGGATCACTCCTTGGATACGGCGGGGAGGCAAACTAATACCAAAGCTATAGCTGACAGTCTTTAATAGCGCTGAATTCGGAGACGGAGATCTTGATGTGTCACGCATAATGTTTACATTCATGACGGGACCGGACGGCGTTATCAGAGCAGGGCTGGAGCATCAGTACACAGTACAATTGAATCGAGCCGGGCTCACGGAGGTTGTGGGAACAACCCCAGCGGGATACAGCGCATAGACTTTTGACTTATATCTTCATAGATTAATTCACGTGTACCTCGACATACTGCGATATGCAATTAGCTTTATGTACATACATGCTGATCGTGTGTATTCCTAACGGCAGCCAGTGAGCGAATGTATGATAGTAACTCGTACGTATCAAGGGCCGACAGGCGGCCTTAGTAATGCGTAATGTCCGGCAGTGGTCTAGGCCCCCGGCAAGCTGGAGGATTCGGGGCGATCGGCACGCTAAAGAGCGCTGGAGGACCCGGCCACCCCAGCCCAAGGTTCGCAGGTGCCCTGGGCCCGGGCGGCTGCTTCTTCCTCGGCATCGGAAAAACTGGCGCAAAAAAAAGTTCGGGCCAAGCTCCTGAAGCTATTGGTTCTTCGACAGTTTTCCAGAAGACCTCGCGATAGCTTCAATTTCTCCTTTGCCCAAACTACCCGACTTGTAATCTTCTCGTCAGACTCTCGCATCTCTCAATCACACGCACGCACACCTCTTTTATATTTCTTGCACTTCTAATCACGATGGTGAGTTAGCACACCCCTCCTGCGACCCTCATCCAAGTCGCGCCTGGCCGTCTGCAGCAACCCCCCCCCGGCGAAGATGCCGTGTTCCCTCCCTCCCCACTGTGCAGAATGCAGGCCGGAACTCTCACCGCTGACACGTTCTTAACACAGTCTACCGCCATCCGATCGATCAAGTCCCTTGCCCCCCTCCTGGACCGCGTCCTGGTCCAGCGGATCAAGGCCGAGACCAAGACCGCCAGCGGCATCTTCTTGCCCGAGTCGAGTGTGAAGGAGCTCAACGAGGGCAAGGTCCTTGCTGTTGGACCCGGAGCTCTGGACAAGAAGGGACAGCGTCTGCCCATGGGTGTCAGAATTGGTGACAGAGTCTTGATTCCCCAGGTAGGTCTATTCCAGTCCAAGGTGTCCTAAGAGTCGGTTCCCGGCTCCGGACCTCTCATCCATCCTGGCTTGGCGTGCTGTGTATCTGACAGTCATCCTAGTTTGGTGGATCCCCGGTCAAGGTCGGTGAGGAGGAGTTCCATCTCTTCCGCGACAGCGAGTAAGTCTGCATTCAGCCACTTCCAGAAACGGCCTTTCCGTGCTCACCCGTATTCTACAGGATTCTCGCCAAGATCAACGAGTAAAGATACCCACGAAGTAATGAAACAAAACCCCAAACACTGTACCATAGCATGTACAAAAGAGGAAATTCAGGAAGGGCCAGATCGACCTTTGCATAGAGCGGTGTAATTCTCACGGGGGAGGAAGGCGTCTTTACCTAGGCTGTAGGGTAGTCTGCCGATCGCCTGAAGGCTGTAGGCGCATAAAATTTTCCCCACTCTCACCCTTACTTTCTACACGACTTCATAGACGTCTTCTCTACTCTGTCTCATGTGATCTGACAAGAGCCCTCGCCTTTCCAGTGTAGCATTGGGCTTTTCTAGGTCTACACTGTTGATCATGCCGGAACGGAACTAATGCACGCGTGGGGGATCTGTGTGAGCCCCCTGAAATTAGGGATTTTGCAGGAAGCATGGCCCGTATAGAACTCATTGTTCTCTAAATCGTGTATATGTTCGCGCCCATGACACGTAGGCTTCGACAGTAATCGGTCCAGACGGGAGAAGAGGATTGAGTCAAATAATCCCACCTCTGCTACTACAAGTCTTTGAAGCTGTGTCTGGTGAAGGGAGGGAGCGCACCCTGTGACATTGCTGAGTGCTAATTCCTGAAGTCGCTTTTTCTAAGGGGCACATGGTATTGTGTGCCTCGAAAGACAGCATTTTGTTTTGCCCATGTAGGATGCCGGGAGACCAATGATGCCTCCGTGTCTCCGGGGCGTTGGTTCGTTCAGGGTGGTATATCTTGCTTGACTCGAGGACTATGTGCGCTACCCAGGCGTAACCACTTTCGGGAAAGGTGCTCATCAGAACTACCAAATGATCACCGAGAGAAAGGGGATGAGAGAAGACAAAATTCGCTTCAACACTCATTATCAGTTCTACTCTGAAATATGCACTTAGGATGAGGGGCCAAATCAGTAAACATGCGGTTGCATCCGATGAAATCCGACAGGATAACTATGCATGCCACGCTCACAAACTCCCATTTTCACTATGACCCCTTACAGTAGTGGAAAAAAAGTGCATCTACCATCGTAGGCCAATCAACTCACACCTGAAATGCTGGCGATAGGACGTTTTCGACGCCAACTAATCGTTAAAAGTGAGTGGTCCGGGTTTCTTGCGTGGTTGTTACTCTGACCAATCGGAAAACGGACGTGAGCCATGCAAGCCATGGCAGCGGCTGATGGCCAAGTATTTCGACCTGTTTTCCGACCCGTCAAACGATCAGATGAAAGTGACCCGATAAAAGTCCAAACCGGCAACACTCTGAAACGCCCAGTCTCGGGGAATATTATGACGGGCAGAAGCGCCAACCAGAAGTGCGAGGTGCGTGGAAGCCGTGGGGAGACGTTGGTTGGGCTGCCGCTAAGGGTTGCACCAACCGGCGCCGCTGTTGGCGCACTTGGCTGGACGAAAACGGACGCCCGCGCTTGGAGCACCACGAGGGCGTCCGTTTCCTCCCCTCGACCTCCCCCCTTCCTCGGATTCTCTTACCGGCGGCTCTGGGTCGTGGCAGTTGGCCGTCGAGGGCGTTAAAGTTATCCCGCAGACCTAACGCATGCAGGACTCCTTGCTGCAATATCCCTTCTCCCCTCGAGGCTCCTGGCTGTGTTGGGTGCCCAAGTGGTATTGGCCCCCATTCAAGCCGTGGATATGGCACAGAGGGTGGGAGGCTGGCGGAGCAGTATAAACGGATGGTGATTGTCCCACGGCTCCCACCCAGAAATGCCTCTAAATGTGCGACTAGAGCTGGTATATCTGTTAGTCAGGGGAAGTTTTGTCCTACACGACTCGTGCGTTTCCCCCGCTACCGTCTCCACGGTATCGTGGTTATAAGACTGTGTAAGAGATCCCGCGCCAACACCTTTTTTTCTCCTTCCGTTCCTCAGGTCTGGCATCTTGATCAGGTGAGGCTTCTATCGCACACTCTTTTGACAAACGCGCTGCTGGAAAGCAGATTTCATTCTTTACTGTATCTCGATACATTCACGTCTTCCTCTATACCCCAACTGCCAGGACAATCATAGGCCCAGCTGCCCGTGATTCTGCCTGCACATTCCCTTCATTCACCAAAGGAGCTAGACGTTCTACCTTCTTTTGTATCAAGATTCGTGCTCAGAATTCTCGTTTTTTTGAGATTAGGCACTGCTCGTCACTCACTTTTTACTCCATAAATACCTTCTTTTCACCAAATCACACCCACTGTCAAGATGAAGTACTCTGTATCAGCCCTCGTTGGCCTGTCTGCAGCCCTTGCCAACGCCCATACGGCTTTCACCACTCTCCACATCAACGATGTTTCCCAGGGCGACGGAACTTGCGTCCGCATGAACATGAGGCCAGAGAGCGCTACTAGCCCTATCCCCAGTCTATCCAGCAATGACATGGCTTGCGGTAAGTTTTCATACCCCTGACCTTTAACCGTCATAATATCTACTGCAGTTTGCCATCCATATCTCATGAACATGTCTGATCCTCTCCTCTAGGTTCGACCGGCGAGACAGCCGTTGCATTTACCTGTCCTGCGCCGGCTGGCGCCAAGTTGACATTTGAGTGGCGCGTATGGCCCAACCGGGAGGAGCCTGGCGCGATAGACCCTGGTCACAAAGGCCCCTGTGCTGTCTATGCGAAGCAGGTTGACGACATGGCTTCGACTCCAGCCGCAGGGCCGGGCTGGTTCAAGATCTGGGAGGAGGGTTACGACGACTCGGCCGGGAAATGGTGCACCGAGAAGCTGATCGCTGCTGACGGCTTGATGTCCGTCGAGATCCCGCCTGGTTTGCCGTCTGGCAACTGGCTGTTCCGGCCAGAGCTGCTGGCGCTTCACAATGCCGATAAGGGAGACCCCCAATTCTACACTGGGTGCGCCCAAGTCCAAGTGCAGGGCGGTAACTCCGGGACTCTTGACGTTCCCGCCGAGTACAGTGTTTCGATCCCGGGCTATGTCAAGTACGGCGATGCCAGTGTTAGCTTCAACATCTATCCTCCCGTCTTTCCCTACCCGATGCCAGGTCCCGACGTCTACACCGTTCCGTCCTCGGGAGCATCGGCGTCTTCCCTTTCAGACACCTCGTCGATGAAGGCATTGGGAGGCGCGACCCTCGTCCCTTCAGACTGTCTCATCAAAGAAGGCAACTGGTGTGGTGTCGAAATCGCCGACTACAGCAATGAAGATGGCTGCTGGAATGCCAGTGAAGAGTGCTACAACCAGGCTGAGACGTGTTACGCATCGGTCGGGCCAACAGGGAACCGGAACTGCAAGGTCTGGGAGGCCAAGTGCAAGGGCATCCAGGATGCTTGCAATGCCAAGAACTTCCAAGGCCCACCGAACAAAGGCCAGAAACTGCAGGATGCCGAGGCGATGAACCTCACCTTGCCAGCGGTGAACAATCTCGGCGTTGGTCTGGGTTCTGCCAACACCAACTCCGGCTCGCAGGCAAGCACCGAGACCAGCGGTGCATCCATGGCCACTTCAACATCGGCTGCCACTTCCAGTCAGGCTACCTCTTCTGGCAGCCAGACTGGGGAGACCACTGCGCAGAAGGCAACAGTAAGCGCAGGAAAGTCCACGTCCTCTTGCAACAAGAAGATGCGAAGACGCAGACGCGGCGGTGTTAGGAAGTGATGGTGCCTCGCGTTAGGCCAGCATGGTGTGCCAAAGCATTAGAGAAGGGATCAAGGTGGAAAATGGCTTCTCGTGGCCCCTGAGCTGTACGCCGGAATGGGCAGAGGCAATTCGCATTTTTGTTCTCACAGTGCCAGAACACTGCAATGTATAAGTAACGGGTTTCAAGGATAACGAGTGTGGAATTGATGAAATCATGAAGGAAATCAATACATCATGGCATTTACATGCGCGTCCTTCGATCATGCTAGTCATAGCAACATGTGTGTCATTAGAGGGTCATCCGTGTAGGGTGTCTACAAGAATCTTGTAAAGTACTTGACTTCTTTCTTCGCAGCAGTTGCATCCAGAGTTTCCTCGAACTTCTTGCCCTCTTCACTCCCCATAAAACCCTCAGCCCTCTCCACACTCTGCCACCCACCGACCGAAACGAAGACTTCCTCTTGCGCGTCCTCTCCCTTCTCGATCTTCCAGCCACCTCGATGTACGTACGGTCGTGCGAAACCGTCCAGGTTTGCTTTCACCCCCTGCCATGCACGGTCAAACTCCTGCTTCCTCTCCGATGATACAAAGTAGTGCGTCAAACTGATAACAGGAGCTTTGAGCACTGGGATCAGCGGGGGGTTCTCGGAGCCCGAAAACGCAGACACCCCATCTACGTGGTAGTACACCAGGCGCGAGAGGTCGACCTGTTCCTGAAGCAGGGGGAATATCTCCTGGTTCGTCGCAGAGGCGATCCAGATCCCATGCTCCGCGACGCTGTCCCAGTGCGCGGTCAGAAGGGTCTCGCTGGGATCATTGGTATTTTGGAACACTATTTTCTTTTCAGCCACCGCGAACCTCGATTGTTTAGTTTATTTTTATTCTCGTCTGCTTCTACTCAAAGCGTAGGAGCACTCATACAATGTTCGAGAATAATCAAGACGTACCAGCTACGCCTCGGGCTTCAAGCCCCTTGGGTTGCTGAGGAAGATTGGCGTCGCACCACTCGTCCTGCGCCTGGATGCAGCGCAGGCAGACGGCGCGGTACGCCGCGTCGACATTGCCCGAGAGGGTATGAAGGTGGACGATTTCCGTCACTGGCATTATCAGAGGTCGGGATAGCAGGCGAGCAGGGTGTGGCTTTCGAAACAATGAAAATATTCGTTGAGAACTCAGCTGATAGACCCAACTCTGAAGCAAGTCGTCGTACAAACTCGCAAACTTAAATAGCATGCAGCTAGTTAGCAGAGTGCGAATGCATACTGCAGGCACGCCAGGCCGCATCATTGGCTACGTATCGGTGTTCTGCCTAATTAGTAACAACGAGAGTGTGGAGTTGACAAGTGGATACTCATAACATACCGCCAAGATGGTCGTTCACCTCTGATATACGTCCCAGTAGTGGAAGCAAGATTGATGCTCGCAGATTTGTTTTCATTGTGCACAGATGCTTGCAATTGTTACAGTACTCGACTAGTACTTACTATGCACCTGCGCTGCGCAAATGTCCAAGCTGGTATGCCTTGGTCGTCGGATCCTGCCTACTATATAGTCTTTGGAGTGGTCGTAATACGAAACAGCCGGAGTGAGATTCATGTCGGTGTGGATTGCGGTTAGAGCAATCTTCACCAACCTAAGTCTCCAACAGGCTGTTGACTATTTACCATCTCGCCAAAGGAGGGTCAAGTGGAAGACGGAAGGTGGTCGAATTTTGCCAGCTACAGCTGGGCGTCCGTGGCGCTGAGCTGATTGTAGTGCACACGCAATGATGCAGCCGAGAGTCAGACGTACTGTAGGGGTAGTGCTTGCACAGCCAGGTTAAGACTTCTATCACAGAGGATGGTTCTATCCTGTCCTTGAAAGACTGCAGGCAACTAGGTACTTGGCAGCGCTAGCCATCCGTGTGCTCACCCTTGCTCCTACCTAGTCGCGCTCGGGGCCGACGTGATTTCCAGCAGGACTGCACTGCCCCCCTTCGTAGATCTTTCCGATTATACCTTCTAAAAACACTGTCTCTCCGAAGCTTCAGAAGTACCGACTTTAATCAACTCATTCACCAGGAAGAATGACTTGGAAAGCTGGCATCGTCGGGGTAACGCCCTGGCACCTGTTATTAGCGGGTCTAACCGTATTCTGCTACTGCTGTGCTGTGGCGATCTACCGCCTATACTTTAGCCCTCTCGCGAAGTTTCCCGGGCCGAAGCTGGCTGCTCTCACCAGTCTTTATGCCGGGTATTACGACGTGATTCGTGGCGGACAGTATGTCTGGATCGTTGAGGAGATGCACCGAAAGTACGGTAGGTAGCGGTGGCGCCTCTCCCAGCAAACGCCGCTGATCTCCCCTTCTTCAGGACCTGTAGTTAGGGTCAGACCTGATGTGTTACATGTCAATGACCCAAGCTCTATTGAGAAGCTCTACCCGCTGTCTCCCAAACATCGTCGCGAAAGATACAAGACCATCTTGAAGACGCTTCAATTACCTGGCTCCATCCTCGCAACCCAGGATCATGACTTGCACCGAAAACGCCGGAGTGTTCTGAACCCCTTCTTCTCCCAGCAGAACGTGCGCCGTCTTGAGCCTATCATCAATGACACTCTGGCGACCTTGTTGCGTCGCATGGATCGCTGGGCTCAACGTGGGGATACTGTGCATCTTAGCGCTCCCTTTCGTGCGGCCACCAAAGATATCATTCAAGTCAGTTTGAGAATGGGTCTGCCTCTTATAGAAAGCTACTAACTTCCGGTGATCCCGGCAGTCCTATGCTCTTGGGATAGTGCCAAGTTCCTTGAGATGGAAGACTGCAATGCCCCATTCTTTGACGTCATGGGACCATCGAGAGTTACTCACTTTGGCACGTACGTTTACTGGCTCGCCTTTATAATGGCAAACTTGCCACCTGCTATCATGCTAGCGCTACTACCACGAATTGGTATATTCTCAAATTATATGCAGGTATGGCAAGCATAGCAGACCTGATCGGATCAAAACTTATGAGAGTATTTGAAGGAACTGAATGCTCGAATCGAAGAAATACGTAACTCAAAAGACTTGCCTGAGGGTAGAACGATATTTCACGAGATCTATCGCAGTGAAATCCCCGAGTCTGAGAAGACAGCACAACGGCTCGCTGATGAGGCTGTGGTCCTATTGATTGCTGGCAGCGAAACGACCGCATCGACGCTAGCTGCAATCACGTTTCATTTACTAGATGAACCACGTATGTTGGCAAGACTGAAAGCTGAACTTGAAACAGCAATGCCGGACCCCAATCAACTCCCTATTGCATCGAAACTGGACGGTTTACCTTTCCTCAATGCCCTTATTGAGGAGGCTATTCGCTTTTACCCCGGAGCGAGCCACCGTCAGGATCGCGTCGCCCCTGATGAAGATCTTGTGCTTGAAACAACAGAGGGCAAGAAGTTTGTAATACCGGCAGGGACACCCTTCGGCATGACAGCGCCGATCATCAATCGTCACCCCGCGCTGTACGAGAACCCTAACGTGTTCTACCCTGATCGCTATATTGAAAACCCAAAGCTTCTGAAATCTCAGTTCAGCTTCTCGAAGGGTGCTCGTCAATGCATTGGCATGAACCTGGCGTATCAGGAACTGCAATCATTGACCGCTGGCATATTCCGCAAGTACGATGTTTATGATCCTACGTTGGAGACACAAACTGGCCCCACTTTGGAATTGTACGAGACCAAAATTGAAGATATCGCCATGGATGCCGATTATATAACGACTTCTCCTTACCCTGGAAGCCAGGGCGTCAGAGTCAGGATCCGAAGATGAAGAGGTTAGCAGACGTCCACGGATATATCTGGAAGATGTATGGATCGAGTTCTTATTGTTCACCAACAAGGCACGTGCATTGAATTAGTCTCAAAAAAACCGGTTCGCAGCGTTCTACTTACAAACATAGAAACAGGCCAATTGCAATGTATTCTTTATCCCAATTGCAAGACTCATACTGCATGCCCATCGTGCAATGTGTGGTGGCAGCTATTTACATCAGCCGAGAGTTGGCAGTATTATCTCCGCTTGGAGTTTGCCCCTTCAGCTGTGCCTAACCATAGTTTATACCTGCGAACCTATAAAATAATAAAGACACTCGTTAATAGGAGGACTGAGTCTGCGGGTGAATGATCCGATACCTCAGCGAGTTTGCGCAGGTGACCATTCAGCGCTGAGTGGGGTGCGTTCGGTGTAAATGGCACCGCAGCGGCTAAATTGCTTGCATGGAACTAAGCCCTTCCCCTCGTCCTGGTCTGTATATAGTTGCTCCAAGGACGTTGACTATTCACGTGCAACTCGACCGCTTCAACTTGCAAGTAACTCAAACACTCACCATGCCTCCTATCCTCAATCCCATCCTTCCTGGCTTCAACCCGGACCCGTCGATTCTTCGGGTCGGGGATGACTACTATATTGCTACTTCGACATTCGAGTGGTACCCAGGCGTGCAGATCCACCACTCCAAGGACTTGGCAAACTGGGACCTGGTGACTCGACCCCTGAACCGTAAGAGTCAGCTGGACATGCGAGGAAACCCTGATAGTTGCGGAGTTTGGGCGCCTTGCCTGACGTACGATGGCGATAAGTTCTGGCTCGTTTATACCGATGTCAAGCGAAAAGACGGATCATACAAGGACACACATAATTACATCGTTCACGCCCCTGCCATCGAAGGGCCATGGTCTGACCCTATATATGTCAACTCCTCCGGCTTTGATCCTTCACTGTTTCACGACGACGATGGACGCAAGTGGTTCGTTAACATGCTGTGGGACCACCGTCGACGGCCACAAGCCTTTGCAGGTATTGTGTTGCAGGAGTTTGAACCAGCTTCCGGCAAGTTAGTCGGCCCCAAGAAGAACATCTATCCCGGCACAGACCTGGGGTTGGTGGAAGGTCCCCATCTCTACCAGCGAAACGGCTGGTATTATCTCTTGACTGCCGAGGGCGGCACAGGCTACGAGCACGCCTGCACGCTCGCACGCTCAAGGGACATATGGGGTCCGTATGAGACACATCCGCAGAAGCACATCGTAACATCCAAGGGCACGCCATGGGCTGCAATCCAGCGGGCTGGTCACGGCGACATTGTTGAGACACCGGAAGGCAAGACGTACTTGGTGCACTTGAGTGGACGGCCCACGACGCAATTCAGGCGGTGTGTTTTGGGACGGGAAACCGCGATACAAGAAGCGTATTGGAGTGACGATGACTGGCTATATGTGAAAGATGGGCCTGTGCCCTCGTTGAAAGTTGATGTTCCCGGAACTCGGGATGAAACTAGATACTGGGAGGAACAACGCTATACGTTTGATAAGGAGCTACACAAGGACTTCCAGTGGCTCCGGACACCAGAACCCGAACGCATCTTCTCAGTCCAGGGTGGCAAGCTGTCCCTCACAGGCAGAGAGGCGATCGGCTCTTGGTTCGAGCAGGCGTTGGTGGCGCGCCGCCAGACACACTTCTCCTACGATGCTGAGACGGTCATCGACTTCTCTCCCACGGACGAACGCGAGTTCGCCGGCCTCACGGCTTACTACTGCCGGTTCAACTTCTTCTACCTGACCGTCTCCGCACACTCTGACGGAAAGCGCGAACTGCTTATCCAGAGCTGCGAGGCGTCGTGGCCCAGTGGCAACTTGAACATGCCGTTTCCCGAGCCCGTGCAAATCCCCAATGAAGGGAAAGTTAGGCTCGCGCTTTCAATTCGTGGCAAGGAGTTGCAGTTCTTCTACGCGCTCGAGGGAGAGGACCTCAAGAAGATCGGACCGGTATTCGATGCTTCGATTGTGTCAGACGAGTGTGGTGGGCACCAGGCGCATGGGAGCTTTACTGGTGCCTTTGTGGGCGTGGCCTGCTCGGATCTAAACGGCACAGCTAGGGAGGCCAAGTTTGATTATTTCACATACCGCCCAGTCAAGCATGAGAGCGACCGGTACGAAATATGAGAGAGCTTGTGGGATACGAGATTCATTAACTCGAGGAGCAAGGTCAGATGAAGGAGTGATGATGATATCAGCTGTAAGAGTGTATTCGGCTATCGAAGCCTATTTAGCAGGAATATGCAGATGTCCTTGACGTGTGCTTCGATCACGCCTAGAAGAACAACGTGGCTGTCATCGTCACCGTCATCGCATTCATTCCACAAATCTGCCGCCTACTTTGACTTTGTATATGGTGTAGCGTACACAATTGGAATTCTGAAGTAGGCAAATAATATCCAGCGAAGCTGCAGGTCGGCTTCGTGCAGCCGCTGCGTGGCGTAAGCACTTGTACTATCCGCACAGGTCAACCCTTACAAGTTTTTATGTACGTAATCTTGAGGCAGCGGACTTCTGATGTTACGCGCCATGCAAAAAATACCAGCTGCCATGTTGCACTGTCTGTTCTGATTGATTCATCACGGCAACTGAGAAGCCTGTCCTCGCCATCATTTATTGAGGCTTTCCCCGGCCTCACCATTGTCGCAGGCTCATTGAGCCTCCGCGGCAGCAAGGCTACACCGTGCTTGTACCCCCGGTTCTGACTACTGGGCTGGACATATGGTCGTTGGAAAGACGTATTTCGATGATGTGAGGAGGATTTACGAGTTGCCACCACCGCACGTCGGGAAGGAGGCGGTAGTAATCTGGCAGCACTGGCTACATTATTCTTACCGAGGATAATGTAATCTCGCCCACTGGTCAAAAGGCGTCGGCGCAGACGGCAAACCGTAAAAATCATTGATATTGATGCTGATCACAGTCCATTTCTAGGGGATGAAACCACGAAGCTGGTCATTGATGGGATCGTGGACGATTCTGAAGAGTAGACGTCTAGCTAAAGTTGAGGACGGAAGCCATGATGTAGCCTGTTCTAAGAGTGTGCCTTAGTGTTGACCAATTTTCCTTGTAATTTCTATATACATTGTCTGCAGGGGTCGTCGTTGTTTCGTGTAGAAAGACCAGAGGACCCCAGCAGGAGACTATGTAGTTAACGGCGACGGCGATTGCAGTAGAACTGGATCGTGACCGTGACTGCTTCAGTCATTCTGTTGGTGACGTGGATCCTCCATGATCTCACCCCACTCAAACATGTCGGAACTCAAGGCATTGAGGCTTCCACTCGCGTCGACAGCCATGATGAGTCTAACATTGTCCATTCCCCGTCTTAGCAGTGCCCTTCGAAACCCTCTGAACATCTCCACGATCCCAACCATCTTTTCCGTCCACCCCGCCCACTGGGATGTGCAGGTATACATCAGCCTGTACACCCAGTCGGCATCCATGTCCAAGGTAACGCCAAAGGCCTCGTACGAGGGAAGTAGGCGGTCGTTCTTCGGCATATCCCGCAGAAAACTTTCAAGCTCATCATCGAGGTTGCTGTAATCGGCGAGAAATACCGCCACTGTCTCATCGATGACAAGAACCATGTTCTCCAGTGAGGTCATGCTGTCTGCATATCTGTCGAGGAAATGGGTTGCCTCTTTCTCGCTGATTCACCCACAAGTCAGCCGTTGCTAGTCTACACAGATTGCATAATGGACAATGGAACGTCTCTAAGGCCACATATCGTGCTCAGAGTGACTATGGTCGCACTGTTTCAAACCAGATGGTTTCTAAGGACCAGGATAAATGCACTTACTAGTCGTCTTCTGGGTCTTTTGGTCCGAGAGCGTCTGCCTTTCGAAGGTCTTCGTCGAGAGTATTCCAGTGATCGAAAGGCCCAAAAGACTGCAGGTGTAGACCTAGATTCTTGATGCCTTTAAGGCCTTCTGTTTGAGCAAAGAGCCATGGAAGTTGCGTAGCATTGCCGCTCTCAGCAAGATAAATGAGGTCTACGTCCCAATCCAGAACGAGGCATCGGGAGACGGCCCTTTGCGTGTGCCCATTATCGAGGCCCGCCCGGTAGTCTGTCTGCTCTTCGTTCGAGAAGAACAGTGACAGGTGGCGGCACGCAACAGTTGTGAACTGCTTCTTACACACCTTGCGAGCAGCATGACAAACGCTCATGAGAGCGATCCGGCGTCTCTGGATTCCGATCACGTTGACATGGCAGATGGCTGGCAGAATGAAGTCGTTGGCGTCGGCATCCCACGTCGATGAGGTATTGACGAGATCCAACCTCATAGGACCGCAATCGTCGGCCGCGTGCTTCCAGACTTCGAGCTGAAGCTCGAGCGGAAGTTTGTTAAAATACGTGAAGGCTGTGGTGGTAGCCATCCCTGGCAGAGGTCTATAAGGAGACAGATACTATCGGGGTGGGCCAGTTTGAGGTCAATGGGGGCAGAATAATGAGCATAAAGAGAGTCGTTGACATGCTCGTCATATTTGAAATTAAATAGGGTCAAGCTACATGCCGAAAATTCCAAAAATTCACCATCGTCGATGATGCTGTTGATATTGTTGTCACATTGCTGTGAATTTTCGTGGAAGTGAATGGCATTCTATTCATCGCGCAGCTTCAGATGAAGTCCGTAAATGTAAGTACACGGCACGCTCTGATTCAGCCCTTGATGGGTGCGACTGGCAGGACAAAGAAGACGCTTTTGGAAGGGAAGGCGCCATTATGACAATGAGAAATGAGGTGAGCGTTGCACTTTTATAGGAACCGAGTTGAGGGATGTAAACACTACGAAGCCATGGTCTATGAACATTAAATCCTTAATTAATCACGACTTCACGATACATATTACACTTCGGCCAGAAGTCAAGAATCTAGCGCAGCGGGCTGACTCAGAAAGAAGTAGGTGTAAGGTTTACTAAATACATCTCCCCCTTCCCCATCACTTCCAATTCGGTTGGGTTGGAAACTTACATTGGAAAGAGAGTATGATGGAATGAATTCAGGGGTCATAGATCAGTTTTATACACCATGAAATTCCGAGCTACACAACTAAATTATCATTTTCGACATGATTGCCTGGAACGAAGAGCAATGACTTAGCAACAGAGATTTGGCTTTCATCTTTGCCAGAAGTTTCCATACAAACTTGATTCCCTTAGCATACTGGTTGCTATTCCGTTACTTAATTGGGCAGTCATTCACTCTTCGGGGAGGACCGTTTTCCACAGTTGAGCTCGTTGAGCCGCTCCTTTTCTCATGACATGGATAGGGAGCTCAGACGCGAGTTCGCTAAACACGATTCAGGAGGTCTTAAGACGTTGTTTTCATAGTATTGTCTCGGAAATGTACGGCTTCCGTAACGGAACGGCTATATTCAGCTCATCTGTGTCTTCATAGCTAGCGCGTGCGCCAAGCTTGGCACAGGGTATATACATCTGATTGGAGAGCGTTTGAAATGTGCCACCTCCAACCAAACCAAAACCAAAATTCCCCTTTGACGCTATTGTACACTTATTGTACATTGGGTTGTAGTTCAACCCAATCTGCAGGTATATACCATCGATGTTCTGACCAAACGCGTATATACACCATCCGTTTTTTCACTGTGGGCCCTGGCTAAGAAGAGGCAAACATACCAAATCACCATCCACCTCTTACAGCGGATATAAGGACGCCTAAACCTTACTTCCTATGCCGAGGTTATCCTCCCTGAATACCAGTAGGGCCAGGCGATGTCTGACAAACAGACCAAACAGGCCCACAGCCGTCTGCATCGCCGTGATCTCCCAAGCGAGCCGATCCTCCCTTAGCGGTCCACGCCAGTAGAGCCATAGATTCAATATGGTGAAGTTGGTCGTCTCAAGGATGCGGCCCGTCTCCTTGTCTTCCGTGACCCGGAGAAGCTTGAGCTTGTGCAAGAGACGTAGGCCTGTTGCAATTAACGGTTTGGGCTGCTTCTTGAAGTCAACCTCCCACCGCGTAACGCTAGGCTCGAGGAGGCCGGTGCGTGCGTTGAAATGCGGCAGGCGGTGGCGTGGGCAAGGGATCAGGCCAAAGAGCTGCGGCACCGAGTAGCAGAAGTTGAACACCTGCGGAATGAGAAGCAGCAGGAGGGTCTTGGAGAAGTGGCCTAGGATGGAGACCACGACGAAGACCATGCCAGCGAAGTAACAGTAAGTGTCACCAACAAAGACGCGCGCTGGGTATCGGTTATGGGCGAGCAGGGCGAACGACACACCGAGGAAGGGCAGCAAGAAGTACAGAGAGAACAGATGTGAGTCGGTGGCCGGGTGAGGGTAAGGAGTCACCAAATAGAGGACGTCGTTGAAGGCGAGCAGAAGGGCAATGACGATGGACTGCAGAACCTCGATGCCATTGATTCCGGCCAGGATGTTGATGCTGTTTGGGCTGAAAATGCAGAAAGCCGCCATGTACAGGTAGTATAGGAAGCCCAAATCGAGGAGCTCGCGGCCGGCGTAGGGTTGGAGGAAAGTCGGAAGGACGATGGAGGTCACGCCAAAGTCAACAAAGTAGATGACGAGAAGCGGGATAGAGGCGAAGGCCGGGATGAAGAACTTGTGTCGCCAGCGGATATCGAAGAGGTCGTCGCCGATGCCGAGAATGGAGATGGACTGGAGGGATATGATGGCCGAGAGAAAGGAGGCCAGCTTGCTGTGCGGGAACTTGTGTAGCAAGCGGCCCTGCTGCACGTACTCGACGTTCATGACGACGTCGCGGTTTCCTCCACCACTAGTCGCGACTACTATGTCCTTGTAGAAGGGGAAAGGAATGAAGACCATGATGACGATCAGGTAGACGACGGCGCAGATGGCGCCCATGCATTCGGGCAGCTCGTGCTTGTTGTTCACCTTGGCCATGTCGCGGCCCTTCAACCCGGCCTTGATGAAAGTCGGCCCCAGCCAGCGGATCATGGCATAGCTCGCGGCAAAGGCCAGGCCGCTGAGAGCCAGCGATGCAACCAGGGCCTCGCCGTCGCCCTGGAACGCATTGGCGAGGATGGTGGTGCAGAGCAGGGAGAGTGCGGCCAGGCTCAGTGCCTCGCTGCGGCTAAGGTCGGTCGACGGCTTGGGTGAGGACGAGGTTGATGACATGGTTGCTGCTGTGTCGGCTCGCGGCGCTTCATGGCATGGACGGGGACGGAGAAGACGGTCGGCGGTTCGAAGCCACGCGCGTGAAAAGACAGACTGCCCGGCAGCCGTGAGGTCGACGAGCTTGCGACAGCGCGTTCATGCAGTTGCGATGTGGATTTCGTGGCCCCCAGCGAGGAATGACGAGGCATGTGAAGCTAACGTGCTACGTATGCCATTGGAAAAATGCTGTGGGGTCCGTATCAGTGGACCCAGGACCCTGTGAGTCTCCGTTTTGGGCGGTGGTTCCAGGGCTAAGCAAAAGCTAAGGCTAGGACCCTGGTGCCTACCAACCTGTGGGCCGGGGTGCCTTCGACTACCGAGACCGCCAAGCACCCACCCGATTAGCTATAGGTGAGCCCTATAACGATACCTGGAGCTTGTCTTGCGCTCTGGTATGTCAACTCTAATTCCATGGATGTTCAGTATGCCCTGTGCTAGGTGCCACAGATTGCCGTATACGGATGTTCATAATCTGGCCAACATGCGGGTGCTATTTTTGGTGATGATAGATGATGACCCCTGTGTTGCATGAGACGAGAACTATCTCACTTGGAGTGTGGACTGCGACTATCGATGGACGAACGCTCTTGAAGTCTGTGCCACAGAAGCAGAATCGGAGGTCGTCTCGAGTGCTCTGAGAAGCTTGGGAATTTGCACCTTTCCTGTCGTGCCACAATTCGCAAGCTCACTCACCACCTGCTGCGTTGCTGTATGATTGATGCTAGTCGGCTCGACTTGTCTGGGAAAGATGACCCATCGCACTGGGTCTGTCAAACATCTTCCATTGGTGTCTCTTCCTCTGGGGTAGCATTGTCCACCTCGCATTTCCTTGCAGTTTGGAGAATCTGACCTGCGTTATTGGCCCATCTTGGCCCAGGTGCTTGGACATTGATCCTTCAAACCGTGGGCCTAATTCACGATCAGAATCCATCAAGTCGGAACCCGTCTGCACAATGGATTCTTTGCGCCATGTGCAGATTGGCACGTTAGGGCTGCCTGGCAGGCAATCAGCCGTGTGTTAATGGGCAACTCTTGAACTATCTGACTATTCCCCTCGATCCCCGCAACAAGCAAGCGTTCGGCGCCGAAACGGCTATCTAGTAACGCTGTCGATCACTATGATCCTTGGCGGAACTTCGCCAATAAGTCAAGGATGAGATTTATTCCCGTTGATTTGTAACCAGATGTATCTCTCCTCAACAGCCGTGCTTTCCGCTCTATGGATATTCTTGCATCCATATACCTTTGCTGTGAACGCCTCGTCTTGGCGCGCCCAGATGAGGGGATCAAAGACCATCTCACTTAGGCACCCATTTTAAGTGCTCTCGCATATACCGCAGATATTTATTTATCATGGCGTCGCCTCATTCTGAAACCGGGATGGATTCCTCTGCGCCAATACGCGATTCACCTCGCGGCCCGTTGGACTATGTCCGCGATGTGGCACGACCAAGCGAGGAAGCAGCCGAAACCGAGGAGTCTGATGAAAAACCTCATGTCAGCAAATTCGAGAGAGAAGAGGCTGACTTGATGGCTCGCCCCAATAATGGGCCTGGGGTCACAGATGTTTGTTGCAATGCTGCTTGATCTCTAATGAATGGACGACTAACAGCTTTTCTAGGATGAAATCAGGCGCACGGAATCGCGGAATAGTGTGGCCAGCAGGAGAAGCAAAGTATCCCAAACTATTAGTAAAGTACTCAGCAAACCCAGTAAGGAGAGTAAGAAGGACCACCTGCAGCCTACCATACTGCCCTTGTCTGAACTTGAAAAGGGCATCGTGGGTTGGGACAGCCAGCATGACCCTACCATGCCGCTCAACTTCTCTAGAAGGAGGAAAATGACAGCCGTAGTGCTGCTGGCGCTTATAACACTCATGGCGCCGTTATCGTCCTCGATCCTAAGCCCCGCAATCAAGTACTATACGGCCGAGTTTGGCGAGACAAACGCAACGGTGGCTGCGATGCCAGTCAGTATATTCTTGCTGGGCTTCGCTGTTGGCCCGCTGTTCCTCGCGCCCATGTCGGAGATATTTGGACGCAAAATTGTGCTCATATTGGCCAACTCCTTCTTTTGCTGCATGGAGATTGGTTGTGCCTTGCCCCCGAACTTGGGATCTCTTGTCGCCTTCCGTTTCCTCGCCGGTGTTGGAGGCTCGGTCAACTTGACGATAGGAGGAGGCATTATCGCTGACCTCTTCCCAATTGAAGAACGTGGGTTTGCCATGTCCATCTGGACTATCGGCCCGACTATCGGCCCCTCGGTAGCACCTCTCGTCGGTGCCTTCATTGCTGGAAGTATTGGATGGCGCTGGGCAGCATGGATATGCTTCATCCCATCCACGCTTGTTACGGGCTTGCTGGTCTTCGTGTTTCCCGAAACGAATCATCGCGTCCTGATCAAGCACAAAACTTCCAAGTTGCGCAAAGAACTTGGGCGCCCAGAATTGGAATCATGTTATGAAACGCCAGAGTCGAGATCCCTTTCGAATGCTGCAATTCTGAGGCTTGGCCTGCTTCGGCCACTCAAGTTGCTATTTCTCAGCCCTATCATCTTCACCATCTCTTTGTACATCTCCTTCGTCTATGGGACGTTGTATCTCATGGTGAGTCCCACGCAGTGTGTACAGTTTTTTACTCCTCCATTTCCGTGTCAGTAGATGGTGCTGGCTTGCTCCCATATAGCGGTCGCTAGTCTGCTATCAGATTAGGGACATTGAAAGACTATTGGATACTGTAGCAATTCCCAGCGAGATGAAACCACACAAACTGATCAATGTGTATATTGTAGTATAATTCAGTACCTACAGTGTTCCAGACTATCTACGGCTGGTCAACGGGGGTTTCTGGTCTGGCGTTCATCGCGATGGGCTGTGGTTACACCGCCGGGCTGATCTTCTTCTCATACTTCAGCGACCGCTCCGTTATCCGCCTAACGGCCGCCAACGGAGGCATTTACGAGCCTGAGATGCGCCTACCGACCATGGCATACTTCGCCATGATCACTCCCTGCACCTTTTTCTGGTACGGCTGGGCGGCCGAAAAGCATGCTCACTGGGCTGCGGCGGTGACCGGCATATTTCCGCTGGGCCTAGGCATCTTCGGCCTTTGGATGCCGGCCCAGGCGTACATTATCGATGCATACCCGCAGTACGCTGCCAGTGGAATCGCGGCCTTCACCGTGCTCCGGAGTTTGACAGGAGCATTCCTACCGTTGGCGGGTCCGGCCCTTTTTGCCAACCTTGGCATAGGATGGGGGAATAGTGTTCTGGGCTTTCTATGTATCGCCATGATTCCGGTACCCATAATAATTCATAGATTTGGCCGCAAGATTAGGAAAAAGTGGCCTGTGAAGTTATAGGCAGTAGAAGACCTAAATTTCACAGTTCTCATGGTGACCTTTCAAGGGCTTACGTAGAGACATAGGCGTATTCTGTTCTTCTACAAGCCGTCTTGGAGATTTCCTGGATTTAAGACCGAAACGAGTCCAGTGGCATTTTAAAGGTTTTAATAAGCTATAAATTGGTATCTCCAGTCAATCCTGAATTGACGATGAATCTCTAAGATTTCACCAGTATGCAGCAAGCTTGCCAAAAGCAGATGAAGGATGACAGAGTTACGGTAGGCAACGTGCTCGTTTCATTCTGATATAAGACTTTACTCTCGCTCAACAAATAATAGTCTCAATAAACAGCCATCATCCAAAACGCAGTATGTATGCTGTAATACTTATTCTTTGCGGTCGAACAATATATAACCAGACTTGGACATAAGATTCATACGCCAAACCAGAGGGCTGGTAGCCCAGTCGATCAAGACACAGCCTTGCAACTCCTTTGGATAGTGCAGCACTGAACAAGCGTCTATGGTTTTCACAGATTTACTTGTCTGGATAAAACACAGGTCACCGTAGATGACCAGAACCGTCTCGTCCTTGATGGAAATCGCTGCTAATAGAGCCATGGCTCTCCAATTCAGGAGGAGTCGCTGGAGGTGCCCCGCCGGGATATGAGAGGCTTGGATACCAGGTGTTTTGATCGGGCACATGGATTTGTTGTGGTGTCCCGAATGGTGCATTTACCTGCTGCCTGTCCCCGGGGGGTTGACCCAAACCAGACCAATTGAAAGCGACTTGGAAGTCTGGGGCTGGTTGTGAGGCAAAAAAGTCTAGAGGCGGACTGGTAGACCCTGTTAAATACGAACTCAGAGAAGCTTGTCTAGAATCCGAGGGTCGTGAAGTTTCGTACGACAGAACTTGCCTAAAGTGCAAGAATAGTTGATCTATAGCAAGGCGAGCCACGTAGGTGATGGTCGGCTCTTGGATGGCACCACTGCTAATCATCTGCTGCAAGGTCGAATCGAGCTGCACTCTTCGATTTTGAGAAAACTGCTCTAGGTAGTCCAGCATTAGAAGGGGGTCGGACTCCAAATACGGTGAGTGGGGTCGACCAAGATTTGGGAACAAAATCTTAAACATGTGGTACCACTGCTCTCGGTCATCTCCATTCAACTGAGGAGGAGGGTTTCTGCTGATCGCTTCCTTCTGCATGTCGGTCATACTTTCCAGATTGTGTTTGATCCCACGCTGACCTGAGGTCATATGTTCATCCACATGGGAGTCCCGGTGAGAAGGATCTTCGAAAGTCTGGTGGCAGATTGAACAATATGGTTTATAATGTTGTCGACGTAAATGTTGCTTGATGTCCCGAGGGCGAGTGAATCCTCTTTTGGAGCATTCTGGGTAGGCGAAAGGCATTGCCTCGTTGTAAGGACAAGCAAATTGTTTCTCGCTAGATGGCTCAGACAATACAGGAGCTTGGTCGACAATACAACTTTGCTGTGATGTCCGACCAGCTGACTGGCCTTGGCCTCCGAAGTTCGACGGATTGCAAAATCCGGCCGCGCTGCCCCCTCCATAGTTTGGTAAGTTGCCAAATCCGGACCCGGCCGCACCGCCTCCTCCGAATGAGACTGGGTGTCCAATATAGCCCGGTGGACCCTCGTTGTAGAGGCCCCGTACACCGGGCACCTGCTGGTAATTCCTGATAGGGGCGCTATTAGCAGCACTGCTTTGTTGCGCGCTTTCGTGCTCATGTTCCGAGAGATCCGTTTCAGAGTCGAACAAGTATTCGTTTCCGCTGGTCGAAGCGCCGGGAGATGGTGCACCGAGGGATAGATTAGCTAGTCTCTGCAGTGGAACTTGTGAAGCTTCAGGTACTTCCAAAATAGTTTCTTGCTTCTCGCTTCTCCCCCTTTGCCCGCTTGTCTGTCGCACAAGAAACGTTTCGGTACTGTTACTCGCATAGGCTGGAGTTTCCTCGCTGAATTCCGTCGGTACAGTACTCCGTTTACTTGAGCCCAAGTGTGAGAAGACGGCTGAGAATTTGCTGGAAACAGAATTCTTGCCGTGGGATGAGACCAGAGCTCTCTGTTTGCCGTTTCCGGAAGCGTTGCTCTTGGAGTGGCTCAAGATGGTCCAATTTTCAGGCTCGCCTTTGCCACTTATTGCTGCTGCTTGCGAGGTGGATGACATGGAGGTCGATGAGCGATTCGATTCGAATCCCGGCCGTCTAAGAATCTGTTTGATTGCCTTTCCTGAATGGCCAGTCGCATATATGAATGCATCGTTGCCTCTATTGTCCTTGATATGAGGATCGGCATTATGCCGCACCAATTCTCTTACGCTTTCGATCCGCTTAGCATTTGCTGATGCCACTCTGGTTGCCACAATGATAGGTGTATACCCACCAGGCCCAGGTTTGTTGATGATCTTGGAGGCATGGACAGTGTTCAGAAGTACTTGCATTGTTGCAAGGTCGCCCTGTTCACAGACTGCGTGCAGAGGAGTCTTCCTATGGATGTCTGCGATTTCAGGATCCGCTCCGAGATCCAGAAGGAGCTGTACCATGGGAATATGTCCCGCTTCGCATGCCATGAACAGAGCCGTTTTTTCCTGAGCGTCTTTCTGATTAAGCAGGGAAGAGTCTCGCTCAACTAGCAACCTTGCTAATTTGGTGCCCCCCTCATTACCTAACCTGGGACAATGTTGGCATCGATGTAATGCTGAACGGCAATGTTCGTCGACATGATTCACCTTGGCGCCGCTATCAATCAGAGATTGTGCAAAGAGTGTATGTCTGGTGTCAGCGGCCAGAAGAAGAAGGTTGGATGCAATAGATGACATCGTTGCTCGCGGCAGGGTAGTCTGTTCGAAGCGCAGCATGGCACGGAATCTGTCGTAGTGTGCATCTCTGAGAGCCAGTTCCAGGGGGGAGATGCCTTTCTTGGGGTCTCGGGAGTGGTAGTGAGCAATACTGGGGTCCTGTGTCGGAGCATCGGCCGGCGAACTTGGCTGATACCATTGGCAGATGCTGAAACCCTGATCCTCACACCACTTGTTAACGGCGGCGATTTCTCCAATGCTGATCTGATTCACCATTTCGGGAGAGATATCTCGGCGGATTGTTGTGATCAGATTTTGTACATTCCCATTGTCTTCATTCAGGTCGTAAACATCAAGCAAAGCCTGACAGATGGCGAGGAGCGTCTCATGGTTTGATGGCTTGGATCGGATTGAGGATGCCAGGCCAAGCTCCAAGTAGTGCTTTGCTTTGCTCAGGTTTTGTTGCGCAGACCATCTCAGGTACAGCAACCCAACATTGACGCAAAGCTGACCCCATTTAGAGGCATCAAGGTAACGCGCGTCATGTTCGACTTCATCCAGTCCAATGGCGATGTGGACTTTGTCCAACCCAGAACACTGAAGAAGGATCTCTGTATGATGTAGTATCATGTCCAGTTTCTCACCTGCGGAGAATCGATGTAGCTCAGAGTAGCTTTTGCGAGCTGCCCAACAATCGGTGGCGAAAGTGGCGGCATCGTCGAATCGCTGTTCAGATTCTGCTCTTGCCATTCCCCTTGCCGCCTTCATGTAATCTTCCTTAGCCTGGGCCCAGGAGCTCTGATTGCGTTCATTGATAGATCGCGTCTCCCGAGGAGTTGCTTGATCCATGCTTGCTTGCGCCGAGAGACTGCGTTTCGTCGACGTTGGTAATGTTGTCGATGGAGCTTGATCGTCATTCGCATCGCCAGAAGCCGTGTTTTCGGCGGCGCAGGGCTCCTCAGAACCGAGGTTGGTATGTGACTGGGACTCCATCGAATTGGACATATTATGGCAGAGAGCAATAGGGGCAGCAAGCCCACAATGCTGTAAAGGATGGGATGAAACCGTGAAATGATTCTAGACGGTCAAGCCAATGGGCTGCGCTTGATTTGATATATCACCGTGGGCGGATATTGACTCACGCGTCTTCAGCCCTGGAATAGTCTAGTCAACGCCTTGAAGCAGACGTTGATCTTGGTGGAAAAGAAAGGTGTCAACCGAACGGATCTTCGACTTCAGCTAGACAGATATATCACCTTTCTACTCTGGGAACCAGGAGAGAACACGGAGTGGGCCCCGCATGATGGGATGAACAACACAATTGATCGTACCCACCCCCGCAATAGGCTTTAGGCGAGCCCATGGGGGCAGGAGGGTCACATCAGCAAGGGGTACACAGGAGTGCGTTCATGCTTGGCCTGGAGATGTGAAGAAGGCTCAAACTGTTTGCCGACCGGGCGAGACCGATCACTGTGTACAATGGCGCTAGAGAGGTCCTCCATTGGGATTTGTTTTAATATCTACGTACGACTCTTCGGCAAAATGTCATCAAGCGATTGGGCAGTGATTTTCGGTGAGCGTACTACGGAAGGAAGGGTGTACGGCATGAGGCTCTGCACAGGTACGACGTGACCGATCGAGGAACCAAGTACACAGCTAGGTGCTATAGTAGCCCCATTGCCTAATTCAACATATTGGAGTTTCCGAGTACGCCCTTGTGTGTCTGGCCGTTTGGCGACGTGGCGACCCTGGTTCGGCTGCCGATCCTTGCGCTCCGAGCGTACATAGTATGGCCGGTAGGAAAGCCAATAAGAACAAGACGTCGTGATAGTTGGTGCCCGGGTGCGGAATAGGTCTCCGATTAGGGCGCCTTGAGTACCCAGATTCTTGCCGTCGCAAGAATACCTGGTTTGGCAGGGAACGATTATAGAGATTTCCCCAACCTTCCCCACAGCACCCCAGGCTTTTGGACCCACCCGGCCGCCCGCATTCCAGAAGGCGCTTTAAGCGAGTCATGGCACGCCGTCTATAGGCACCCGAGGCAGCGAGGCAATGAACATACGGGAGTAACAAGCTATGGCTGAAACCGCCAAGAACGGAATTTTCGCTGAGTAGGATACAAATGTAGCGCCCCTTTTTATTTTATTTTTTGTTTTTATTTGGTTGCCAGCCAAAGGTTTTGTTTTTCGCGCCGCCCAAGGGACGACGGGGGCTAGAAGCCGAAATAAGGCCTGGCGAGTAGCAACAAAACCCGGATAGGAAGTACGAATAGGAATCGGCAACATGATCAGGCTGGGATATCGACAGGGATGAGATGCGAGTCACTTCTTTATGTGGTGGTTGTATACACCCTTCGCCCTCGCGTCTATCTCCCGGCCCGGAATGAGTCTTCCTTAGTCACCAATCAGGCCACTTGCGAGGCTTTACAAGGATAGCGCACAGCCGTGCTAGACCTAGCACAAATTGTGCCAGTGTCAAGCGGGCTGCCTTACTTTGCCTACTCGCCTGGTTCGCCTAGAGGAGAGAGCCATACCAGTGTACGACACTGTGGACACGCTTGGTCTTTGCGCTTGACATGGAATACTCGGATTGATTGGCAGACCACTTCATGTTTATTACGTCGTCAAGGCTCATCGGTTTTCTTGACCATAGGTTGTATTTGATCATTGAATTCCCATCTCAACCGAGGCGGATCTGTTTCTCCAGGCTATCTGCAAACAGTTCATCCTCACCCTTCCAGAAGGTCTCACACTACTCCTGTTTGACGCTTTTCTTTCCTCTGAGGAATGAAATCATCCCCAAAAGAGCAAAGATCAAGCCTTAACAGAATGGACTTTATCAGACAAAGAAGAGTACGAGCTAGAGCCAATAATATCGATGCTCGGTTGGAGAACATACTCAGTAAGTTCATCTGCTGAGTGTGCATAATCCGTCGCCAGCCTTAGGCATATAATTTATAGACTGCTTATTTTCGATGTCAACGTCCAGGATTAGATGAATTGTACGTGCTGACACTAGAACAGGCAACTTACGTGACGAGGATCTTGCCGAAGATGTTGCTGCTTTTCACAGATGCTACCTGCCAAAGGTTGACTATGGAAGGCTTCTCGGGGCTGCCAAGGTAGCCAAAAATCCAAAAACATATGAGGATATTAGCAGAGCTCAAGCGCCATACAAACCTGGATTGGTGAAACTCAGCGGCGAAGAGCAAGAAGCACTTATCAGAGAGCAGGACTCTGCTATGCCGGAAGCTGGCGTGAGTAGTATTGAAAGCCATCTACTCTCCTTCCGGTAGCGTTTGGAGCTCCAACATCAGCATCTTAGGCGCCACTCGCCTGAGAGGAGGCATATCCCAGCGGCCACTGACGTTCGTGTTGCAGATGTTCATTGTAATTCTCACTGTCTCACTAGCGGCCTTTCTTCAAGGTCAGGTCCAGTCGTCCATCAATAGCGCCTCTCTCTATGAGGATTTGTTCGATATATCGGGTATAAACGCTACAATCAGGGCTCACAACGGCACAACTTTGACGCACACGCCAAGAGTTGAAGCAAGTGATTGGATATTAGGAGTGATGAATGCAACACCATTTTTATCTGCTGCTTGCTTTGGATGTTGGGTTGCTTTACCTCTCAGTGACCGCTTTGGGCGCAAAGGCTCCATGCAAGTTGCTGCTATTCTGGTACTCATCACATCTGCCATCTTGGGGGGTGTCCCTGCAATGAGCGGTGGTTTAAAACGGTGGAATATTACAATCATACTGCGGATGTTCAATGGATTTGGTGCGTTATTGCTGTTGCGATACTGAGTTTATCGCTTTCCTCCGGTGTGTTGAATGAGTCTGACTAATTCCTGCTCCAGGTATGGGAATCAAAGCCGTAAATACCCCTATGCTTGCATCCGAATGCGCCGTCGGTTATTGGAGAGGCACCTCTGTTATGGCTTGGCAGCTATGGTACGTTTGCAGAAACATCAGTATCAGTCTTGAATAGACTGACAAGATCTATTCAGGGTTGCTTGCGGTATCATGGTCGGTTTTGCATCCAATGCGCTCTTCGCCAGGATCTCAAACTATCAAACTCAGTTGACATTGATACTCGGAGCCCCGCTGCTCCCTGCGCTTATTCTTTGTGTGGTTTCGCTTGCCTGTCCGGAAAGTCCAAGATATTATCTGAGACGCCGCGATTACAATCCGGCGAAGGCTTACAATATTCTCAAGGGACTAAGGCGATCCGAGGTTCGTGGCCAAGACAACTACTCTTACACTGCCGCTAACCTTCCTCTGTCTCCCAGCTCATCGCTATGAGAGACATTTATGTCCTGCATAAGTCAGTCCAGGAGGAGTTTGAAGCTGCAGAACACGGCAATCCCTCAGAATTACAACACTCCAGCGTGTTTATGGGGTTCAAAGACTTTTCAAGCCAAGTGATCGAACTTTTCCAAAAGCCAAGGCTTCGGAATGCCCTTATAAGCACTTCTATTGTGTCATTGGCCCAACAACTATGTGGCAGTAAGTAGGGACCATCAGCTTGAAATCCCGTTTTGCAGCTAACATCAGTGTCAGTCAATATTCTCGCGTTCTACTCCGGTCAGTGGCAGACTTCCTCTTCGTGCTCCGCCCCCTTTTTTCCCTTTTTCTTCGTTGGCTTACGTGATAAATAGGTACCTTATTTAGCAATCTCAGCGGAGACCAGCATACGTCACTAGCCTACAGTATCGGATTCGGTAATCAATCCTTTACTGTGTTCTGTTCACGATATGGCGTACTTCTCTAACCTTTGAGCGCCAGGTGCCGTCAACTTCATCTTTGGACTCGCTGCTATCAAGTACATTGACACCATTGGTCGACGAAAATGGTTAATCACTACTCTGCCCCCAATGGCTGTACTACTTGTTGCATCATCGGCCTCCTCTAAATGGGCGCTTGGCGGAGGTGAAGATGATCATACTGCATCAATATTGGTGGCAATTTTCTTATACAGTGAGTAGCTCATGATTCAACCCTGATTCGTTAGTTGATGACCCTTTGTAGTTCATGCAGCACTCTACTCGCCTGGTTTAGGTATGCTCGCATACGCAGGTATATGTTCTCATCACTAAGATCATCGACAGGACCTGTTCCATTCACATTAGCAGCGGAAAGGTACTTCATCTCTGTCACTAGAACCACACCAGTATAAGTACTGACAGCATACAAGCTTTCCATTGACACATCGAGAAGCGGTATGCACGTAGCCATAATGCAAACCCATCGTAACACTAATTGTGAAATTCAGGGCTGCGCCTTTGCCATATCTATTAATCTTTTCTTCGCTGGGCTATTGAGTCTGTTTTTCCCAATGTAAACCACCATGCTCTCAGGTTTACCGGATGATCTCCCAATGCTAACAGGCGTCAGTGTCCTTTCCAAGATCAGCTATCCTGGAACTTTGGCTCTTTTTGCTGGTATGAGCGTCTTAGCATTCATCCTCGTTTTCCTCTTCGTCGAAGAAACGAAGCAGAAGTCCCTTGAGGACTTGGATTTCGTTTTTGGTGTCCCAAAGACACAGTTCGTACGATTCCAGGTCTTCAAATACTTGCCTTGGATCTTCCAACAATATCTACCTTGGTATTTTAATGATTACCTCCCGTATCTAATCAGGCTGCGTTTCCTACGACGGAAGGCTACCGACCAGAAAGGCGATCTAGAGGCAAGAGTACAAACCGAGAAATCAATGATATTCTGGCAGCGCAAACCCGATGAACCAATGCTTTACCATCAAGATCTTCCCACCTGTCGCGAACCACTGGACCCCGATGACCCATGTTACTAGGCCTTATGACCTCACTCTTATGGCAAGCATTTAATAAAAAATCATTTCGGTCATCAGACTGCATTTTTACGGTTCAGAGATGGCGGAGAGCAATAGTGAAAATGCAAAAATGTGTATTCAACCTGTTATTAGAATGCATCATAGACTAGAAGAGAGGATAAAATTGTTCATAAACACTTGCGTGAAGTCACCCGGGGAGGTACTTCTCTGCACAATCTCATCAGGAGACATTGAGCCCTACGATAGATCAATATGCTTGAAATTTGTTCATAATACTCCTCCCAACTTCCCAGAGATTTACTGTGAGTGTAGCCATATCCACAATACAGGTCGGTCGGCACTGCCCTGAAGGCTCTCCATCCGGTCATGTGCTTCGCCATAGTCTACAAAAGTCAGCCAAACTACATGGATCAGAAATTTGCAAACGTGATAAGCTCTCTGATCATTCAGGTCATGTGGCGAGCACACATTGTGCCCTTTCCCCCTGTCACCGAAATCGTGGGCACAACGGTGCTATACGCCAATAACACGTCCCCAAGACCAACACATATAGAAAGTCAGTGTCAACTCCTGTATTTGACGAGGCCCAAGACTCACTAATGGTGATTGCTCGCGACAATGATCCTTGCATGGAATCCCGTCGTTTCCCCTTGTGGCGTTGTGCCGGCCAGATGCCCGCTGGGAGTCTGCGCTCGTCCCCCGGCGGGCACATCTGGTGCCTTTGAGTCCATGCTTGCACGCACTCCCCTGTGCCTTTGCTTCGATTCAGGCTCCAAACCTCCGCACATTGTGTGCTGCTCAAGCACCAATCGCGCGACAACCGAGCGAGCTCGTGCTACTATGGAACGGGCAGTGGTCGAAGTAGCGATTGCAATTGCGATGGTTGTAAGGTCAATGGATATATCAAGGGCTGCCTGCCATGACCAGGAAATCGATCTTCCGGCAGTATCACTAGGCCTCACTTCATCGTTGCAAAAGGAGCCCCTTACAATTAAAGCAGAAGAAGACACTTCATCCCCTACGCCAAGGATATCGGGAGATCTAGCAACATGCCCGGAAAATACTCTGGAAATTACGCAGTCTCCTCAAGCTCGAGCGGGTATGTGCATGAGATGAAGAGGCCCTATGACCCTATTCAGAGGGCAACTTGGAGGGGTAGAGGCTGACTAGTGCCATAGAAAGAAAAAGTCCGATCACTCGAGTGCCACTATTGACAGATATGTCGCCAGTGGTACCCAAACTACCGCTGAGCGACTCCTAAGCCATGGTTCCTCCAACTCGAACGTAAAGCATAAGGTCAAGGAGAGCAAAACGGCGATGAAGAAATATCTTGATACATGGGATTACACCTACCAATCGGCGTCAGGAAGCTCGAGGAAGCACTAAGAAATGAGTGGGAAATGGTCAAGATATAGCTGTCGAGAAACTCAATCGAATTATTCCTCTCAGTACAGACCCATGTGCTCTACTTTTTGTTACCAGTCTTATCCTCCTTCAAATTCTTCTCAGACTCCCTTATGCCGTTGTGTCAAAAAGCAACCGAGAGTTGTTGTCAAGAATACTGCTTTGGTTAGCAGCAAATGAAGGCGATCTCCATTGTAGCGGTTTTGTACAACAGTGTAGGGAAAATTGTCTGCTTGTCTATCGCTCAATAGGTCACATTCATACACAGATCGCCTCCATCGATTCTTGACCACATTATATCGTTCCATGCTGCTGGGTTGGCTAAGTGCCCGCTGAGGAGTCACCGTGTTAACATGCCACAAGGTCAGAAACGAGAATACAGTTATAAGGGTGTCCCAAACCAACGGATGAAACCTGGACCAATGAGAATTGCGGTCACAGTAGGTGAACTACACCCATCACTGGATGTCCCCACTGACCGCGATACTTCCGGCCCAATCTGTATCCTGCATAACGCTGACACATTTTGCCCAATCAGAACGCAGAGTTGGAAGTCCGTTTCAACTACTGGGCGCTTCAACTGCAGCACGTTATAAGAAGCGTTGGCATGAGTAAGCACCGCAGCCTTGTCCAAACGAGCGCGCTCATGAGTACCAGTAAATCCGACCATTGGATTCCTTGCTTGAGTGGTCACCGGAAAAGATGGGTATCACGTAGAGTGTATAAGAAGGCCCCGCGGCCCTCTTTCCGCTTGAAGGTTTATGTTCCTGTTTCGTTCGGCAGAAAACAATCGGTAGAGATATCCTCGTCCAAAGCTCCCCAAGATGCCACAAGAAGTTCCCCAAGCAGACCAAGCGCCCATTCCGGGTGACATATGTGCAGTCGAGGACAGCCTCGTTAATCATGGGGCGCAGGGCGTAAGTGACTTAACGTCACTATGATTACCAGCTAGTCGTCCTCTTGGGCTAATTACAATAGATCTCTTACTTCACTCCTGTTCAGGACCCCGCGGCCGGCACTGCCTGGGATAAGCAGCCCGAAGGCTCTCTCTTTTCGCCTCTGAAAATCAATGGGCTGACGCTACACAATCGCATTATTCTGTCTCCCATGTGCCAGTAATCATGATTCCAACGCCAAGCAGTGTTAGAGCCGACTGAACAAAGGGTAGGTACTCTTCTCAAGATGGCTATATGTCCATGTGGCACCACGTGCACCTGGGCGGCTTCGCCACCCGGGGCATCGCTCTCGTGATGACCGAGGTGCAGGCCGTGTCCCCCGAGGGCCGCATATCGCCGCAGGACCTGGGCCTCTGGGACGACGGGCATGTGGAAAGCCTCGAGAAGATTGTCGAGTTTGCACACAGCCAGGGCGTCAAGTTCGGCGTCCAGATTGGCCACGCGGGCCGGAAGGCCAGCACGGTAGCGCCCTGGGTCAACCGCAAGGCTTCTGCTGGGAACCATGTACGTGTACCTCCCCTGTCTCCTGTGGAACGCGGCTGACAGATACGTTCCTAGTCAGGCGGATGGCCCGACAATGTCATCGCAGCGTCCGCGGAGCCGTTCAGCTCGGCCACCATTACACCTCGGGAGGCTACCAAAGCAGACATTGAGAAGTGCAAGAAGGACTTCGTCGCGGCGGTAAAGCGTGCTCTGAAAGCCGGTGTCGATGTGAGTCCAGCTGCGAGGCCAATATTGTCCGTTTTTCCAATGAAACCGCATACAGGCTATCGAGATCCACGCGGCGCATGGGTATCTCCTTCACTCGTTTTACTCGCCCGCATCCAACCATCGGGCCGATAACTATGGCGGCTCTTTTGAAAACCGTACTCGACTCACCTTGGAAATTGTCGACCTTGTCAAAGCGGAACTCCCAAAGGGATTTCCCTTGATGGTGCGTATCTCCGCGACCGACTACCTAGAATGGGATCCATCGCTGCCACAGTTCAACGTGGACGAAGCAGTGGAACTCTCCAAAGTCCTGGCGGACCACGGCGTTGATTTCATCGATGTTTCGGGCGGTGGGCTTGATGCCCGCCAGAAGATCCAAACCAGTCCCGGATACCAAGTTCCTTGTACGTCTTACAAGCTGCTGGGAGACCGTGTCTAAGCATATTGACCTTTTCTAGACGCAGTGGCTATCAAGAAAGCACTCGGCAATTCTAAGTGCCTCGTTGGAACCGTCGGGGAGGTTACCTCAGGTAGACAAGCCCAGGAGATCCTGGATGCAGGCTCAGCGGATGCTGTCCTTGTAGGCCGTGCTCTGCTGAAAGACCCCTTTCTGGTGTCAACTTGGGCGGATGAGCTCAAAATCGACGTCCACGCGCCTAGTCAATGTGAGTTTCCTTTTCCTTCTCCTTCCTCTTCCTCCCGAGAATAACATCAGTATACACTGACAAATATGAACAGACGGCTGGCCGTTTGGAAACACCAGGACTCACCGGCCGAGGAAACACACCTAAGTGAGACCGACTATTCTGGGATTGGATTTGATGCGCCGAGGTATCAATGCTCATTCGAGCGAGCCCATCAGTCCAACTCTCTTAACATATGTGCAGCAAGATTCACCAGATCAGCAAAACAGTAGGGTACTGAAGAACTGTCTTTGTCTAATCGATGTAGTTATACTGTGCAATCACCTAAGGGTAGTTTTTGACTACCATGCACCCAAGCTCTTCAGTTTTCGCACCGTAGCACTATGATGTGTGGTCCTAGATCAGTAGCCCATGTGGCAGCGAGAGTGGAGTTGGGATATCTATCTCCTATTTCCTGTATCCCTGGGATGTATCACTACTACCGCGCGTCTTGCAGAGATAGGGTGTTGAGACGTCCGCAATACTTCTCTGCAGCCCAGTACTTTTCCCTTCGCCATTTCTTACTCTTTACGTTTCGCTTTGACCAATCGCTTCTTTGCTTGCTTGTAACTCTTGCAAAGCCACCTCATCATCTTGGACTTGTTGTGCTTTTGAGGTTCGGCCACTGCCTCGCTAGTGACCATAGCATTGACAGCCGTCCGCTCTCTGTTGGCTGTACACCGGTCCTCGTCCTCTCCGACGCTCCCTCTATTTCCATCGGACGCTGCATCACGAGCTGGGCCGGCCTCGTCCTCAGCAACGGTATTCGTTCTTTCCTCTGTCATACTTCCATCCTGATGTTCAAAGGCCGCAAGCTCTTCCTCGAGTGTAGCAGTCAGATTTCGCTCATTGCCGTCCGACAAGTCCGTAGAACGGAGCCATTCTGATGCTCGGGCTCGACTCAGACAGTACCGCGAGATATCGGAGCCATCGAAACTACGCTTGGGATTGGCTTTCGTGGTCCTAGCAGGAGAGAGACACTCCTCTGAACGAATACCCTCCGAGGGGTAGTTGGACGATGAAGGGCTGCGACATTGGTGCAAAGGACTGGTTTGGAGCTCAACCAACCCTAGATCTGCCCAAGATTGCTTTTCTGTCTTTTGTTCTTGGCCAGCGGGCTCGGCTGCGTTTGGTGTTGTCTCCTGCAGCTCGGGGGCGTGATGCGTCTCGTCCAAATTTCCCACAGGAAGCTTGGAGTGTTCGACGTGTTGAGCTCGCGGAATCGACTCGTTTCTGTAAAGGTCGATGTACGCTGAAACTTCAGAGGACGAGTTGCGCCTTTGGTTCTCCTTCCTTTTCTAAAGGCCGTCAAATGTATTCTCAATAATTGATCGTTGAAGTAGCGGTCCGTTACCGAGGTGGATCGTGTATGGTTGTGTGGATCTTCCGGTATCGTTCTCAGGAACATTTCGAGTTGCATAGGCTCTACTTGGTAAGGAAAGCCCGTAGAAAGACATGTTGATCAAATTTGCCTATGTAATCTTGTATAGACGGAAGTGAATGATATGTTGGACGGTCCTCGAAGCGGCACAAGTATTGCCGAAGTGCCAGGTGGTGGAAACAGCAGGTGCTCAATATGTGTCCCTGAGGCGAGATACGGCTCAGATGGCAGAACGTGCTTGCCGGGATGGCAGCAATCGGCCAGACTCGTGCATTATACTCCGCCATTGATTGCGCTTTCCACCAAGCGTTACGATGCCAGACAGCGTGTGGCAAGAAAGAGAAAGTTACCATGTTGCAAGTGTCACAATTTGACTATGGGGTTATCGAAGTTGCCAGAAACGACTGGGAAGTGTGAGGACGCGTTCAAAATCTCATTGACCATTACTACAACTGAATCGGAAACCAGTTGAGTGTCTATGGTTTATTATCTTGGCGTTGGATTCGCAAGCCAAGGAGGACAGGAAGAGCTAGGTCCCCCGTTTCCCATGTCGTCAACCGTGAATACTCTATCTATCTAGCCTGGTAAATCTTGGTCCTTCTGACGTGACCGGACAGAGTTACAAGGATGGAGGAAACGGATCCTGTTGATGGCTGCTGTATTGAGAAGTATTACGTTTCCTGTCTTGCATGGCAGCGGAACCGGAACCAAACCCGAAACCGAATCACCTGGTCGCGATGCCCGGAGCAAGGCGGGCAGATCAGGCCAGAAACCTGAATGAAGCATGGAAAGTAGCAGTAATTCCAAATGCATGAGATCTATATCTGCGATTCCGTATTTGCAAACCCCCCCCATTGACCCTTCCTGTCTGCCAGGATCCTTACCAGTCTGCACGGACTATATGCACCGACGTTACCCCCACGGATGCAACGAACTGCTGGGGATGGTATTTCGCAAGAAACCAAGAGTGAAAGGAGGCTAGTGATCATACATACCTGGCAAAAGCCAGGTGTGGTACGGCAGAAACCAGGCTTATGCCAGGTATCCAAGCTCGTCATCTTCGAGGCGCTCAAGATATTCCTTGTCAAGCAATATCTCAATGCACTTCTTGATATCGGAAACCTTTGGCACGAAGCGAGACTTGATCTGCGTGATAGTCTCACTGACCAGCTGGCTGTGCTTCATCTTCTTTCGTGCCTTCATGATGCGGACGATGGCAGACTATGGGATCGGTTAGCATGACATACTGATCAGTGCATTCACAGGTTAGTTGATCATACCTGCAAGACGAGCTTCCGGTCCTCCTCGATCGTCTTGTTTGTCTCCACCTCCTCCTGCTTCTGCTCGGTCTTGGTTCCGATGTTCAGGTTCACTCGGATCTTCTTGCTCTTGAAATCGTAGTTCAGGTGGTAGGTGGTGTTCGGGCCAACCTTGCCTCCATCGGGCTTCAGGTTGACGACCTTTGCCTTGCACAGAATACCCAGTGCGCCGTCGAGAGTTTCCGAGTTCAGCCCTGTGTTGGACAATATGTCCTCGTACGAGTGCACGTCCTTATCATTGAACATGAGGAGAATCGCCATCTGGTAAACACTGACTTGGAACGTGAAAGGTGTTTTAGAGGACTTGCAGTAGCCTGTTCGTACCTCACCTTTGCACAGCTGCCACAGCCATGTGAGCTTGCGACCGTCGTGCTTGTTCTTGTAGTAGCGGCCAAATCTGTCGAGATCAGCCTGGACCTCAGCCGGGGGGTTAAATTGTGTGTTGGGCGGCGTCAGCGGCCAGAAACTCGTTCCCAGGATGGAGTAGGATGAATCGAGCGGCTTGTCCAACGACAGGCCCTTGGTATGCTCTTTGTACCCATTGTTCAGATCCTTGGAGATCTGCATGTCCTGGAACATTCGCTGCAGTTTGTTGGTGTACTCAAAACCGCACGCTTCTTTCAGCTTGCTAATCATGCTTGTCTCGGCATCGTCCGAGGACGAGTTGCTGTGGACTAGACGTCGTGCCAACATCCTCGAGTAGAACTTCTGGAATACATCCTTGTCCTCAATATACTTGAAGACAGTCATGATCTGCGTAAGGGTAGCATCCAGCTCAGCCTCCTCAACACCCGTGCCGCTTTTCCGGAGAAGGACGTCGGTGTACTTGGCGAGAAGCTCAGGCGACTTGTTGGAGCCTGCCTTGCAAATGTCGTTACGGTTAACAAACTCTCTGCAGGCGTTGTCCAATGATCTGGTGAATTCGGGCTCATCATGGAAAGCCCGCTTAACCAAGCCCTGGTACTGAGTGTGAACCTCGAGGAGGGCATCGACGTAAACCTTGGGCTCGAGTTTCTCGGCGTCCGAGGCCACCTTGGTGACCGCAGCGAGGCCAGCGTTGCGGACATGGGCCTCGAACTTCTGTCTCAGAGGCTCCAAACCGTCTGTGATCCTATTGAGGAGGTTAAACATGCGCGCCATGTCGTCTTCTCGATTGTTGTTCAGCAGAACCTGGAACTCGTCACGGAGAACGTCCTTGTGGTTGGCGATCAGAACCTCGTTACAGGCCTTGCGCAGGGGACCAGTTATGTCGTTGTGCAAGTACATCTTCACGCGCTCTTCCTCTTCGTTCAACCGGGTCTCGGCCTTCTTCATGTACTCAACGACGCTGTTCTCGGAGATGAACTGCTTCGACTCGGCGTCGTAGAACTCCTTGGTGGCGGCCACGAAGGGCTCTTCAAAGTGGAATCGGTATGTGTCGAGAGTCGATTTGGAGGCATCGTGCTCATCGAGGCCCAGCGATACAAAGGACTCGACAACCTGTTTGATCTGGTTATGCTCGATGGTCTCACCGTTTCTCTGCTTCTCCACCAGCTTCAGGACGGCATCCATGACCTTCTTGACGACGACGTTGAAGAACTTGTCCCGCCAGCGGACAAGGTGCAGTGTGTAGACATCGTACGTGTCCTTCTTGCCTTCGTCCATTTCCCGCTTGACCCAGTGTCGGTTCAGGTATCTGAAGAGATGATGGATGTACTTTGCGGCAGTGGTGTACCGGTCCCACTCTTTGATGTAGAATGCGAGGAGGGCCTCGTCGGTGTGCGCTATCGACTTGTTGCACAGCCCTTCCATGTGGTTGTCGAGGTACTCGATGAGTTTCTTGTAGAGGTCCTCACCAAGGAGGTGTGCTATTCGGAAGAGGAATGCTTTAGCGTTGGTTGCATCTAGGACTTTGGGGAGATCTGTACCTCCTCTGTGAGCTTGAGAGCCCATGTTGGGACCGCCGAGTCCGACGGCTTTCTGTGAAGTGCAGAAGTTGTGAACAGCTGTGTAGATACCCATGTACTAAGAAGACGTCAGCTATCAGCTCGCTCGCTCGTGATGGGGCCTAGGGTCTAAGATGCATACGGTTGCCAGGTCCATGCCATCTTGCAGGTTGACCATGATCCTGTCGATGCCATGCTGGAGGTAGTTCCATCTACATGCTGTCAGCCAACCCAGCTCTTACGTGCCACGTCGAAGGTTGGGTTTCTCTGAGCTTACGTCGCACCGATGTCCTCCCGGTTGGGAGCCGGTGGCATGGGCATGCCCTGGCGGGCGGATGCGGTGGCCATGGTTGAGGGACCGGTCACGTTGGAGGTCGGGTCGGGGTCTTGTGCGTACTCGATGGCGAGCCGTTGGAACGTTCCGTAGACGCAATCGGCGTCGGGGTGGGGTGTGAGCTCGTGGGCTCTCGCACGCTTCGGTTCGGCTCCCTCTGCGGACTCGGCCTCGGCGCGCCTCTTCTTCTGAGCAGCTATCTCAGAGAATCAGTGTGGTGTCGAGCTGGCACCAAGCGGGTTAGTATGGATGCGAAGGGGTCAGGTTTCGGTGTGGCCTGGGGGCGAGGCAAGACGGGGAAGGAGGAGGCTGAAGGCGGCTCGCAGCGGCAGCGGAGCCAGACAACGGGTCCCCGGGGCTCAGGCAAGATACAAAGTAGACAATAACGTGTTGGTGGTTTGACCGGGCACGGGTGAGGGTGAGGGTACGAGCTCGTCTGCCGGGAATGACGCGCGAGAGTTGAGGACTGGGCAGGCAAGGTAAGTAGTACCAAGTGGATGCCGGCGATGGATCGATGGATCGATGGTGGGACCGGCAGCCTTGGAGTGTTGGCTAAGCCTTATTGACCAGGCACCCCGCGATGACCAAAAGGTGAGGGTAGGGTGATTGTCTGCCGGCCTGGACTCGAGTCGAGGAGGGGAGGGACGGGCAATCGTGGCAAGGGCTAGTGGGGGAGGAAGTGTGCAGAGAGCTGGAGAGGACTCACGGTTTGCTCGCAGCAGCGACGTTCAGACCGTCACCTGCAGTGGCTCTGCTTGGGCTGGTTTTGGCGAGCAGAAGTCGTCGCCGTTGGGGTTTGCGGGAAAGTGAAGCAGACAAGACTCTCGGCGCGGCCTGAGTCAGGTCTACGCCTCTCACTAAGTTATTCACCAAAAGCGTTCCCGTCTGTCAGGGCAGCTGCGGCGGCGGCGGCGGCGGCGGGCGGTAGGTGGTGGTAGTGGTGGTGGTGGTGGTGGGCGGCAGCCTTGAGCTTCCAAGGTCACTACTGTCCAGTGCACGTACCTAAACCCCAGCAGGTCCAGCCTACCAGCAGGTACCCAACCCCGTTAACTTCACCACCCGTGGAGCACCTGGGCAATCTGTGACAGCCTGGCGCACGGGCCAGCGGTCGCCAGGCACCCTTCGGCCTTCACTTCATTCACACTGGACCAGTTCCTTCGCTTGACTGATAAACAGGTACCATTGGCTGCCTTGTTGCGTGTGGTGAATGCAAAGCACTTTCGTACTATGTACCTCAGGTGCAACTACTGGGACCAACCAGGCCGTCCGTCACCAGCACAATACACCTTGCTGGCTGGCGCCTGGGAACCGGACAATGTGGGACTTATCACAATCAGGAATCGGTTGCAAACTGCTTTCACATTGCAGCACTCACAGGGAGCAAATCAGAAATGGTAGCCACTGGGTAGCACAGATTCAGCCAGGTGATGGTCAACAGTCGTGCGGTGCGCTTGGTATAGTACTATAGCACCACTCTGAGGGAAAACAGTCTCTTGTACAAATGTATCTGTCTGTGTATGTAGCAGCGTTCTTGAAGACGATATTGAACAGCAGCGCCAGGTGTATCTAATGCAGAGGGGTTCAGGGGGTTCCACTCAACGCTACGCATAATCCCCCAAGTGTATAGACCTATCTTGATTTCACAAAGACGACATAACAACCTCACAACTTCGACTTGGGCGGCTTGAACGATGGCGTGACCAGAGGGTCATACACCGTGTGGCCCAGGCTATCTCTGGGGACCGGCGTGACGTGGCTTCCCAGATTCCTCGTGTCGATCAGCGAAGGGTTCAGCTGGTCCACGCTCGTGCAGCCGATCAGCCGCATGTTCATCTCCATCTCGTCCTTGAGCAGCGACATGGCACGGTCGACGCCCTCCAGCCCATATGCGCTCATGGCATACAGGAACGGCCTGCCGATGCCCACACCCTTGGCGCCGAGACATAGGGCCTTGATGATATCGGTGGCGCGGCGGATGCCGCCATCGATGAAGATCTCGATCTTGTTCTCCAGACCGAGTTCGCGGAGGACCGACATAGTCTCGGCGAGCACCTCCACGCCGGACCGCGCAAAGTCGAGCTGTCTGCCACCGTGGTTCGAGAGCACAACACCCTGGACTCCGACCTCGATCGCCTTGAGCACGTCCTCCGCTCGCTGAACGCCCTTGAGGATGATGGGCATCTTGGTGACGGACTGGAACCAGGGGATATCCTTCCAGGAAAGGCTTGGGTCGATGAAAGACGAGATCGCCCTTGCTGCGCCCTGAGAGTTGTCCGTGGTCTGACCTGACTGCACATTGGTGCCCTGATCTTCGAATTTGGACCGCATGTCCTTTTCCCTTCGGCCAAGCTGGGGCGCGTCCACTGTGATGAACAAGGCCTTGCAGCCGCGCTTCTCCGCGTGCTCGATGATGCGCTGCGTGATCTTGCGATCCGAGTTGACATAGAGCTGTAACCATTGCACCTGATCGCCCTCGGCGGCATCCACAATCTCGTCGAACGAACACGACGCGAGGGTTGGGATCATCTGCACCACGTTGTGCTTCTTGGCTGCTTTCGTGAGCAGTACCTCGCCCTCTGGGTTCCCCAGCTTGCCCAGAGCAGTGGCAGTCACATAGAACGGTATGTCGACCTTGGTGCCCAGCATCGTGGTCGAGAAATCGACATTCTTGACATCGACGAGAATCTTGGGCCGAAACCATATCCTGTGGAAAGCTTCGTGGTTCTCTCGTAACGTCTAGATGTCTATCAGCCTTCAGGTTCATTGAAATGCGACAGACCCTGTTGTACGCACAACTTCATCATCTGCAGCGCTTGAGTAGTAGCCCCATGCACCCTTCTTCATGGTCTTTTTCGCCACCGCCTCAAAGTCTAGGAGATTGTAGCATTGCTCTAGCAATGGCTTGTCCTTGATCCGCTGTTGCCTCTCTTCCTCTTCGGGGTCTTCAACCTTCTCGACAGCAGCGACCGTGCTCATGTCAACAGCTCCTAGATGTTTCGATTGGTCGAGATACTTGTCGAGCGTGTCAGGTGGGTGGATGGGGTCGAACTCCTCGGTCGCATCTTTGCCCTGCACATGTCACATCTCAATAAGCCATCTGCTCTATATATATAAGTGGCGGTGGTGGCTTACGGCATATTTCAGGATGATCTTCTGTCCACCGGGATGCTCTACACAAGGCGTTAGATAAGGCGTCTGGCTATAACCCCTAGTGCTGCCAACTCACCCGGCAGGAACTCCGTAACATCGTATGCTTTTCCCTGGCCGAAATGTCAGTCAGGCAGCTCTGATCGCAACATCAATGAACACGCACGTGGACGATAACCCAGCACGAATCCTTGTTGTCGTGCTTCGCGACCTCAACACCAGAGAGCGGCATCGTGAATGATGTCACCTGCGTAACTTGGGCAGTTGATATGGTGTGGGAGAGTCCGCAGTCGCTTCAAGATGAGAATGATGTCTCTGTACTACAGTAGAGACGCGCGAGACCACGCAGCTGCGATCTGAAATATGAATTTGCGTCCTTGGGGGAATTGGCCACTTGGGGGAGATGATCTTGCGTCGGCAGTTTTTAGTCTCCCATCTGGACAATTGACTCTCGAGTCCTCGACAGACAAATGGCCGACGACCCACCAGCGCCGTGTGGAGAAGTTTGGGGTCTTTGTGGAGTTGATTCGGGGTTTCGGTAAGAAGGAAGGCGGAACTAGTCGGCTCTGGGATGAATCATCATTTCTGGATTTCTATACTGTGAGGTCACATTGGTCGCTCGCGAGGCTCGACCGTGCTGATCCAGGCGCAAACTGTAGAACCTCTCAGCTGGGCCCCCATCTCTATCGGCTATCTCGGTCTGGTTGGACGAACGGAACCCTGACTCTTTAGTCTGCGCAGTAACAAACTGCGACCGACTTCGGCAAGCTCCGCGTAACTTCAGTGTAGTTACGCATTAGTCCTAGCATGTCAGGAAATCCACTGTCCGATTTACAGAAATAGCAAGATAATACGTACTTCAGGATAGTTGCGTCCAGTCCGACATGCTGGGTTTCTATTCAAGTCGAAACCAACCGTCACAGATTAAACAAGTCAGATGCAGATGACAGTTCGCGGCCCTCGAAAACATAGTCAAGTAGTTTGTTTATTGCAGTACCGCTGGGTGACAACCACTCAGCCAACTTGATGTGGAATGCTTTTGTAGCTGACCCTGCGAACTCCGATGTCTGTCATGAACTCATTGTAGTGTTATAGATTCAAACAAGGAAGTCCGGTAATATTGGATTGTAAACTATAGACATTCGTCTTAATCCGTGATTCCAAATCACGGATAGCTGCATCTGCATGACGACCCCGCAAATCGAACATTGGAGTCCGGCTCCCTGCTGTGGCGTGGTGCTTACAATAGCAAAGCACCAGGAAAGCAGCATTATAAATGCGCCGGTAACTTCGTAAGTTTACCTTCATCCTTCAAACAAGGAACAAGCGACGCTTGAATACAGATTTCCAGAATTGACCCAGCCAGAAATAATGCCCTCCGGACCCGCTAAAGCTGTGGTTAACGGTACAACCGTGGCCGAGACCGACACCTACGAGGTTGTCGAGGGGAACGTGTACTTCCCTCCGTCATCAATCAAGTCCGAGTTCTTTAGCAAAACGGATCACAGCACGCACTGCCCTTGGAAAGGAGATGCGAGCTACTATACGCTCAAGGTCGGGGGTGAGTCAAGCCCTCTCAAGGAAGTGCTGTCGACTTGTATATCTAGATAGTCGAATGAAGCCGCTCGCTCTGTAGCATGTTGAGGTTTACCTAACAGCCCTATTTTTCTAGACAAGGAGCTCGAGAACGCGGCTTGGTACTACCCCGAGACCAAAGAAAAAGCCAATAACATCAAGGGCTACGTGGCTTTCTGTAAGTACGCCAACTTTCGGGCGCAGGGCAACTAGTTGACCATTTTCGTCTCAGATAAAGGCAAGGTCGAAGTAGCCACCAACTAGGCCGTTATGCGCAAGTTGGCCAAGGTTGAGAGGTACTCGTAGGAAGACAAAAAAGGAGCATGGTTCAAACGGATAAACTTCTTGGCTCTGTCACTCGTCGTCAAAAGATGGTACGAACACATTCGTAGTAAAAAGCATGAAATATCTGAATTAAGGCGATGAGTACATATCAAAGCAGCTTCAAGTAATGGGATCCACGCCATGGGCAATTTGCAAGTGTCACTTTATATGGCCAGATTCCTATTACCTAGTTTAAACATTGGAACCTTTGCGACGAAGGCCTGTTGCATATTTCACAATACCCACTAAAGTCGCCGATTAGGCCTTCTGCTCAATGTTGGCTTCGTCGAGAACACCATTCCCGTTGGCATGACTGCTAGGCAAGGGCTGGTCCTCGCCGCACAGCTCCTCGAGCGTCTTGCGCTTGGTCTCCGGGATGAAGAAGGTGGTGACACAACCGAGAAGCATGAAAAGGGCGTAGATCTCGAGTACTGATAGGCATAATTAGCAATTGTGGTAAAAGGGAAAGGTGATTTTTCAGGATATTTACCGTGGTCCATCCAAGGAGCAGGATTCTCAGCAGTGGCACCGCGGGTGCGGAGAGTCGCAATAGCACCCTGGCCAATGATAGAGCCGATTTTGCCAGAAGCGGCTGAGATGCCGTGCGATGTCGACCGGTATCGGGTGGGGAAGACCTCGCCAGGAACGATGAAGGTCGTGCTGTTCGGCCCAAAGTTGAAGAAGAATTGGGCAAGAACGTAGATGGCGAGAAGTCCAGACTGCGAGTGCGCCTTGATCTGCAGATTTCAGGTATATTAGCCTTCAGTTCTTCAACATTCGATGCAGAGAATAATCTAAATGATTGTGGTGAGTACACCAAGGTCTAGTTGAAATACCACTTGGCCACAACTAAAACCTTCTCTAGTTTGATGAAAAATGAATAATACGGGGTATTAGGAGCACTGACATAATTGTAGGCGAATCCCATGACGATGAAGAGGATAGTGAGGATAATAAACCCTCCCATTTGAATGGTCTTTCGGCCCAGGGTATCAACAGTTGCCACAGTCACCCAGTAGCCTGGAACAGCACCAGCCAGGACAATGATCAAGTTACCAACGGCAGTGTTGTATAGATACTGGTACGCGTTGTGGACACCCGAGGTGGAGTAGCCAATAACGCTCAGGATGGTGGCATTGTTCAGGGACAGACCGTAGTCTGCAAAAATGTTAGTATGGGAAGCGATATCTCAACCAGCCTACTCACAAGCTACGTCCAGCATGAACCATGAGCCTGCAGTGCCAAAAAGAAGGAGGCCATTCTTAGGCTTGGCGTAGTGGCGGCAGAAGTCACTCCAGCTTGCCTGCGGAACCTTCATCTGACTCTCAGCCGCAGCCCGGGCCTGGATGCGGGTAACTTCATCAGGGTTTCCCTCATGCTTGCCCGACATGTAGGCTTTAACATCATCGGCAGCCTTCTCAACATCACGACCGACATCGAAGGTGTATCGCTAAACAATTGATCAACTATGAATAAAGGCGGGTAGCAGAACACTTGAGACTTACGGGAGTCTCAGGGATGGTAAGACGGTAGTAGAGTGCAACTGGCGACAATCAAAAGTCAGTTTCGTCTATCAAACACATACACCTCCTGTGAGAAGTTGGAAATAAAGCAGGGAGTAGAAGTGAGAATATGGGGATCACGAACTGCAAGCAGGAACCGCGCCGAAGCCGATGAGTGTTCGCCACATCTTGTCGACTGCAATCGAACAGTATCCTGTGCAGCTACTAATGCCTTGTGATTGCTCGAGCTGCTCCTTGAAGCCAAGGGTGACAAACAGCATGACAAAAGCACAGACAAGCTGCCCAATACCCTGCATGGCGAATACAGCACCCATCATGGCACCTCGCCACTTGGTAGTAGCGAACTCGGAAGTGATAATGCTCGAAAGAGGGTAATCACCACCGATACCCACGCCCATCAGCACACGCCAGAAGATAATGAGGCCGACGATGTCCATGGAGGGCGAGTTGGAGCTCAGAGCCTGGCCGAAAGTCGCAAAAATGATGATGATCAGCTCAATCCCATACACCTTCTTACGACCGACGCGGTCTGCCAGCCAGCCGAAAAGAAGCTGGCCAATAACGGTGCCGGCAGAAGTAGACAGCTTGATGGCACTATCTGAGGACGTAGGCAGAGTTCCAACTGTCGGGTTGTAGACTATGCCCAGCATGGTTGTCAACAAGCTCACAGCGAAGATGTCGTAAGAATCGGTGAAAAAGCCGATACCGGCAACAATGACAGCCCTGTGACGAGGTTGGATCAGCTTCACCTTGTCTAAACGCCAACTTTCTCAAGTTCGTTCTTACCGCACATGGTACCAGCCGAAGGGAGCCTTGTCAATTTCGGCCAGAGCCAGACGACGTCGTTCGTTAGGGTCCGCGATGTGAACAAAGTCATTGTGAAAGTTGTGGTAAGCGGCGTTGCCGCCAGACGTCTTGGCGACGGTGGCCTGCTTGGGAGCAGAGTCTTCCGACGACATGTTGACCCTCTTACTGTCGACCTTGATCTGTATTCTTGTAAGTCGTTGTCAAGGGAGGAGATGCAATGAAGGTCAGGCTAGTAGTCTGGCAATAAATCCGGTTTCGATGGGGAAAATATCGAAAACGAACGGATTGATATGCGCCGATGCCAAAGATATGCGGGCTCTGCACAGGGAAATAAAATACAATCGAGGATGGTCCAGGTGAACGGATAGGCAACGCCCTTTTAAGACACGCGGGATGCAAGTAGCACTCGTACGTTGCGGCGTGGGTTATTTCCAGCTGACCATCTTCCAGAAGCACCAAGGCAACGCGTAGCGGCAGCCATGCATAGGATCAACCCACCAATGCTAAGTGGAACTACTAATTATGTGAACCGGCTGCTTTAATGAGCACTGGACTTCGCCATCCACACAACTTCGAGAATGGTCAAGGGTCCATTTACGAATCGGATCCGTATGCGCGACCATGCATGATGACTAGGCTCTAGCCCCCGGTAAAACACCCCTTCGGTTCGGTCAACGTATCCGGACGTCGCGGCCCTTTTCGTTCCTCAGACAGCCGGTTGACATGTAAGGATACAGTGCTGGTTTGGACGAAACGCGCACGAGTGTACTCCATACGACCTTTTTGACGTTGCCCTTCCCCGAGGAGAGCTTCCAGAACGAAAAGACAGGATTGCTCTGGAGCCCTGATGTCGAATTTGCATGTACATGTACGTACTTTCACACAATATCACACATGCAGTATTCACTAAGGACCTGACCCAGACTGACGGAATGGAACTATTACGCTACTAAGTCTGGACTCGCCTGCTAGGTTTGCTAAAAGCTCGCCGTCGGCGAATTGCTCTTCTAGCCCATGACTCTTTGGGTCGATGGGCATCTAATTCAAAATATTCGTCCTAAGTTGTACCCAGGTATCCTAGAAAAGACGTTTTGGGAATCATTATCCCAGCCAACCAGAACTGCCTTTTGAAAACGTGCTCTCAGAATAAGCTCTTGATTCGTTCTATCCTCCCGCACCCAGCCTTACTACTTGTAGTTAGTGCGTTCCGGCTCATGCGTAGCGTCGGCAGCTTCCCTGCTGAATATCAAAGAACCAAGCTGACCGACGATGAATGGAGCCTTTGGCCACAATGTCCAGTCATCCAACTTCTCGCAAAGCGTGAGGTACTAGCAGGATTGCTCACTGCCCGGATTGCCCATAATCGGCTCACGACTTTCCATGATATTCTTTCAAAAAATAGAGCCAGTTTCCTCCTATACATACGATTTTTCAACTTGCTCGCGTGATAGGCTTAAAGTCAACGTCAGAGGCTTGATAGGAGGCGTGGAAACAAGCATTACCAAGCCGGGTACGCGCAGTTTGTGCCTTGGCAATGCTGAAGTGGACGAGGGTCAAGCTTGGCGAGATGGGGCAGGCGTCGGGGCAGGCGTCGGAGCACATACCTAACTCACTACCCTCGGCCTAGACAAGCTATAATGAGTCGCGCCCGGCGAATCATAGTCCAGAAATAATACACGCGTTCAGCCTGGTAGCCTCGACATGCGAAGGACACGAAATAGTCTCATGTATCCACTATTGCGCCTCGCCTGACGGCGTCAGCCGGGAACCGATATCCAGTAACCGCTGCCGAGCCGTCCGCTACAGGTGCTTCAACGCCGGCTGTCCTGCGTAGTCACCTCATCGTTGCGGGAGCGGGAGATGTGCGCCCGACCATCTTGGCAAAGCTTGCCTTCATTGTCAAGCGTGGCGAAGTGGCCTTGGTGAGACTATTGCCAAGACTGTTGGTGCAATAAAAGGGATATCCTATTATTCTGGACCTGCAATTGCACTATCGATTCAGATCGTGTGAGAGCGAGGAAATGTTGGAGCGATCCAGACAAGCCCAGCATCTATCTTTCCATGGAACCGAATAAGGTGAACGAGCAATTGCTACATATGTGAGGCCGAGGCTCTCCTGAATTTTGCCGATCGTTTGCAGGAGGATGCTAACAAGGGTCTCGATCAACCTACAGCTTGACATAGACCGTCATTCCAGGAAGCAAGGGGATTTCAGGTGTTCAGCTTCGGAAGAAATCGCTCAGCCGCTGTAGCTCTGGGCCCAACGTGATAGGCGGTGCATTAACTTGCATCTGCGCAAGCTGCAGTCGCTCATTAGTTCCACAAAGAGGATCCACACAACCATTCTGTCGGTATCCTGAGCACAGCTAACTGCAACAGAAGGAGGCCTGGTGACGCACGCCTCCCTCGAAGAAGCAGTTCTGTCTCCTTTCGTTGGCCCACAGCTACGATGCAGTTAGACCTCGACAATTTGATCGTCCTCGTCGTCTACACCATCTGCGCCCCTTGTCTCCTCGGCGTGTCCAACCTCCTCAACACGTGCCTTACCACTCGAGTCTTCTTCGTCGCGCATAAGAACGTTAACTAACCGCTCGCAAGTATCCTTGACGTCCTTATCGTTGACTCTGAGATGTGTTTCTCGAATGATTGGATACACTTTGACTTCGCGCATGTAATCTCGGGCTTCCCGCCTGGAGGACAGCAACATTAGCGTTTCCAGGTGAGTCTGGATGATGTTGGGATCCGATTCACGCTCTTTGTCGGGCGGTAATAACTGCAGATCTGGAAGCATGGCCATGGTTTCTTCTTCGTCATATTCCTCGTTTCCGGTGAGAGGCAACAGGATGTATGGTAGGATGTTGATTTCATCCTCAGCCAGGAATGCAGCATGTGACGGCACATCAAAAGCCACGTTCTTGAGTGTGGAGGCAACTCCCTTCCGCCTGACCTCAGACTTGTGTTCAGTGAACACCTTGAGCTTTGCAATAGGGATAACGCCATCATAGTCTTGCTTGGTGACGAAATGGTGGCGGATCTCGGCATGTTTCGTGAGATCGGCAAAGAGATATGATAGATGGTCAAAGTCAGCAGTCTTGTTGTAAGTGCCCTCAGCCCCCTTGACAAAAAGGTCGAGCAACTGGTTCAATACCAGGTCGCCGGATGCGAGTTCCTTGGGAGGCTCTTGCTTCTTGCTCAAGACAGACTTGAAGGCGTCCCATTTAGCAAGGTTCGCAAGAAGCATGGACAACAGATTTGCGTTTGGCTCGGTCGGTTGCTGAGCGTGTAAGTAAGGGCTTTTTTTTTTTTTTTCCATCGAGGGTAGGTATTCACTTACAATGACATAGCCCAGGATGGTGTCGAGGAACTTGTCATCGGTAGCCAAACACTCCAGAACGTCACGATCAGCGGAGAGGTTGACGAGAATCGTGACAACATGTTCTGCGATTTTCTGCGTATTATGACATCATTAGACGACCGCATCATTCGTAGTCTGTACCTCTTGTATTTCGAACTTACCGGGTGGTCTTTGACTAAGAGCTTCAGATTTTTCACAGGCTGCAAATTTTCCACCTTGAAGATGCTGGGTTCTGATGTCGAATAAGGCACCAGATTCTCGGTAGCTAATAAACGAATCTGCGGGTTGGGATTGGCAATGAAGCCGACCAGCTGTTGCAAACACGTTAGAATGTGCGGACAGAACGAGAATAAGAAACTGGGATGATCAGGGGCAGGTGCCATACCTCCTCGAGTTCCGTAGGCATTTTGGCTTATATCCTGTGCTCGACAGACTGTATGCTCGTGTCGCGGTCTTCACCGGGCTCTATGGTTAATAATTGAGAAAAATATTTCAATTGGGCACATTACCTCATGGAGGGGCAGGCCGCCTTGGAGGGGTCGTCCAACTTGGCGCTGGGCATTCTTTTTTGGACGCCAAGAGCGATAAGATAAACTTGACCCCGATAAGATACAAATTTGGGTGCGTTTTGGGCGTACCCCACCAGGATTTTTTGGGGACCGCAGTAGAAATTTTGACTCCGGCTTTGGGCTCGCTGAGTGTCTGGACCCTGTACAGAACGAAGTTGCAGACTGATTGCCCTGTCGCAAACGTTCCAGGACCACAACACCTCGCCCAAAATGCCTAAAGCTACTACACCAAAGGCCGCAGGTGTCAGGCGGCGTAAGCCTCTCGCAGCACTTGGTTCGACGTTCGCCCAGCTAACGTGGACTCAGACAATCCTCTCGAGGACGACTTGGTCGCAACCGGCCTGCTGCGTAACAAGGCGCCGAAGCGCAAATCCAAGGATGGCGACGCCGACGAGGAGCACTATGTCGATGCGAAGGCGTCCAAGCAGATCCTCCAGCTAGGACGAGAGCTGATGGAAGAGAACGATGCGGCACCGCCGAGACCGCCTACCGAGTCCAATGCTTTCGGTTTTGATTCAAGGTTCGACCAGGAGGGCGAGACCGAGGAACCTTTCGGCGACGACGATGCCGCTTGGGGAGAGGAGGAAGAGGAGGTTGAGGAGATCGAAGTAGAGCCCGAAGATTTGGAGATGTACAACAAGTTCCTGCCCACCGACGAAGACCCACTGCTCAAGCATGGATGGCCAGGACAGGAAGAGCAGAACGCCGCGGCAGCAGGAGGTATGAATCTGGCTGATATCATCTTGGCCAAGATCGCAGCACATGAAACTGGTCAGGACGCCAGCGCGGAAGCAGGCCCTGTCGATGAGGACTACGAATTGCCTCCCAAGGTGGTTGAGGTATACACAAAGTGAGTTTTCCGGCCCGGCCGCCAAATTTACTCAACGACTGACATTTGTGAAGAATCGGCTTGATTCTATCTCGCTACAAGAGCGGAAAGCTCCCCAAGCCGTTCAAGATCCTCCCCACGATCCCCCACTGGGAAGATATCATCCAGCTCACGAAGCCCGAGGACTGGACTCCAAACGCCGTTTACGAGGCTACTCGCATCTTCGTCTCATCGAACCCGGCCGTTGTCCAACGATTCTTAGAGATGATTGTTCTCGACAGAGTTCGGGAGGACATTTACGAGAATAAGAAGCTCAACGTCCACTTCTTCAACGCCTTGAAGAAGGCCCTGTACAAGCCTGCCTCCTTTTTCAAGGGCTTCCTCTTTCCCCTTGTGGCAAGCGGAACGTGCACACTTCTCGAAGCTCGCATCATCTCGGCAGTTCTGGTGCGAATCCATATTCCGGTCCTGCACTCGGCCGCCGCTATCAAGGGACTGTGCGACATTGCCGCCGAGGAGGCTTCGTCTGGCACAGAGGGTGGTGGCGCAACCAACATCCTGATTAAAGCTTTGTTGGAGAAGCGATACTCCCTCCCTTACCAAGTTATCGACTGTAAGCCACCAAATAACTTGCCTCCATGTCGTCAGTGACGTTAACACTTCTTGTAGCTTTGGTATTTCATTTCCTCCGATTCCGAAGTCAAGACCCAGCCTCCGTGCAGCAGGGCGACGCCATGGACACCAGCGGCGAGCGGGCTGCTACACAGGCAAAGCTCCCTGTAATATGGCATCAGTGTCTTCTCATGTTCGCTCAACGGTATAGAAACGACATCACAGAGGACCAGCGTGAGGCCCTTCTAGATCTTCTCTTGTCTCAGTGAGTTTTCCATTTGGTTCCTTTCCAGCGTTCGCTATCGCGCAGCAGCAATTTCCCCAAGAAACTTCAACGCTGACCCTGTAATGTATAGTGGTCATCAGAAGATTGGACCTGAGGTTAGGAGAGAGTTGCTGGCAGGTCGTGGACGTGGTGTTCCGCTGGAGCCGCAAGGGCCGGCGCTGGATAATGATGATACCATGATGGCTCTAGATGGTTGAGATATTCTATATCCCATACGTGAAGAGCAGGTGGAAAGTGATCTGAAAAAAATGATTTGATACCAATGATGACGGTTCAAGGCGCACGGCGTTCGCATAGATATTGGAACTCAACTGCTACATTTGCATAGTGGCGGCATTGCGCACACCTCAGTATATGTTATTCGTATCAACATAAATGACAAGGAGAAGCTATTGCAAGCCGAGTTAACCGCATTTCACGGAGGCACACTTTCTCAAGATGAAGCGAATCTACACACGGTGCAATTCCCTCGCGGGTATCAGTTGTTATAGGAATGCCAGATACTCAAAGTCCAAGAGTTTATCGGTTATCGTAAACATACTACTCTTCGTCCTCGGTCCTGGTCTTCCTCTTCTTTTTCTTCCTTTCAACACCCTCCTCGGGGGCGATGAACTCCTTCTCCCGCTCGCGCTTCTTCTCCTCCTTCTTGATCTTCTGCTGCTCCATACGCTCCTCCTGGGCGATGCGCTTCTTGGCCTCGCGGCCGATGTGGTACTCGCCGGCCTCGATCTGCAGGTCGACCTTGCTCTTCTCCTGCGGCGGCGGGAAGGGCGTGTAGACCTTTTTGCTCTTGTCGGCGACCTTGTGCGGCACGTGACGCTTGCTCAGGTTGCGGCTCTTGTAGTTGGGCAGGAAGCGGTCCCAGGATTCGTTGGCCAGCTCCGGGTCCTTCATCAACTCTTGCTTGACCATGAGCTCCTTGACCTTGTAGACTGTTTTCGTGCCGTGTTAGTGTTTTCCGAGACGTAAGTAACCGCCGGGATATCAGACGAGGGTAGCTTACTCGGGTGGATATTGGCCATGCAGTCCTCTACCACGCGACGGACCTCCTTCAAGCCCTTGAAAGGTCCCATGACGGAGACTGTGTTACCATGTACCAGAATATACGTCGATGTGAGCAGCTCAAGCGCCTTGAGTGTGGTACCACCGGGGCCCAGGATACGCTGTCGCCGCTTCACGAACTTGTCCTTATTTCTGACGAGACTGCGGATCTTGATGATGTCGCATGCGACGCCATCTTCGAGTATCTTGACGGCCTGTGGTGCGGGCACAGAGCGGGCCAGCAGTTTGATGAGGTCACGGGCGTTGAGAATCGCCGCAGGGTCGTAGGTTTTCCTCGTCGTTTTGACCGTCATGGAACCCTCGACCAAGTCCAGGGTGCAGGCGATGCCATTCTTCTCGAGGGACTTGGTGACCAGCGGCCATGCTTCGCGCAGGTAGACTTCTCGGTACTTGGGGAACAGGGTCGCGAAAGACGACTCCTCGACAAAGTGGCCGCCGACGTTGTCTTCGGGCTTGAAGGCGTCGACCTTCCACTTGTCGATGTCATCCGTGTCCCACGGCTTCTCCTTGTTGTTCGTGGAAGGCATCTTGGCGATCGGAGGTTGAGGACAGAGCTGGAGTGTTCGGCTGCAAGCCCCAGAAACTTTGCAGTTGACAGGAAAGTCCGCGATGAACTTTTTGGTGGGGCATGGCACGATAAGCTGCGCCACACCCCAATCAGCGCCACGGTTTTATCCTGCACGACGGACTTATGCCTGTGCACATTGCACTGCATCGAATGCGTCGAACTTCCTCCTTTTCCCCAAAGAGTCTGAGAAGCTTGGCGGGGTAATATTGAATTTAATCTTCTGCCCCATTGGACCATCTGTCTTCATTTCACTCGCGTTCTGTGCTTATACGGACCACACGGAAGAACAGACACAGACACGTTACAGACTCCCCGTTGTGTTTGATGGAAGGATTCGGGATGGACGCAGGAGGGAGATCAGACCACATTTTTTCGAGTGTCCGAATATCTGCACGATCTGCACGAGTTTCCCATTGTAGAAGGCAACTATAGAACAGGGGTAGTGGAAATTTCAGGTGGAAATACAGAGAGTCCTGCGTACACCGCAACCAATGTTGGACCACGTTGAAATACAAGGGGGGCAGTTCTCACCGGTTTTCGTTCATTCTCATCCGATGCGTCTCCGGATCCTGGGTGTCTGTGTGGCTAGCATCGGGACTAACAACTCTAATTCTGAATCCACTACGTACCCGTCATATCACATGCGGCTGCGAACTTTTCACAGTTGTTGGAGGTCCAACGCAGTTGGCGTGTTATTATTACTAATAAGTTATTGCTGGGGAGTGATTGCGCAAGTAGCGGGCACAGATCTGAGATTGCATAGGTTTCTGGGGCAAGAGGGCTCCCCATACTGAGTTATTGGATTGGTGAACCAGCAATCGGACAGATCGCCGTTGGGCCAGAGAAGGAAGCCAGACAACCTGACAACCTGACAACCTCCGTAGGGGTTAGCCATCTTGACAGGCCCGTTCCGTAATGCTGATGATGACAGGCTCAGCTGATGGAACTTGCGCCTCACTGGAATCCTAGCTGAAAATCTTATCAACGCACCCACAAACCCTGGGCATTATCAGCACGCCGGATCGCGGGATCGCTTATCCGTCATTTCGTCTCGCGCGGAACGGCAGGCCAATGCCCTGATCTGGATTAGATATGCTAGTGCCGCGCCGTATGTATGCCAAGACCAAAAAATAAGGTAAACTGCACCTAGACTTCCTAAAATAAAGTACCAATGGGTGCAAAATAATTGTCAAGAATGACAGGCATCCGCCGTGGCTCGTATGTTGTCCGACTTCAATAGGGGGTCACGTTTGAATGTTCCAGTCTCTCATTACCAAGCCTGAATTCTGCACAATCGTCTCTCAGGTTCCAAGGATTTGGTTATTCGAACGATGCTGTGGTGACTTGAAATACGATACACTTCAAAAAGTTCTTCCCACCCAGTCGCTCGTTCAGTCCTTGTTGCATTCGCAGGAGTCCTACCGAGCCTTCCCTTCCAGATACCACGTCAGGCCCTCGATCCGAAAATTTTCGAGTTTGGAAACGCCTATACGAATCGACGACACGCATAACGAAACGGTCCTTCACCAGCCCTTACTCAACACGACGCCCCTGTCCCGCGAGCACCCAGTTGCCTGTTTGAAGTCTCGAGTTCTCTCGAGACGCACTCATCAACCACGGCTTCCATATTGGCCGCAGGTCCGGCGAGAGGTCTGCCACCGATTTCTCCCATACCCACGCGAATCTACTCGTCAGCACTCCCCCCGATCAGAGCCATCATGGAGGATGGGGCGGCAGCTCCGCTGCCGACTCTCGAGCCGATCTCGCGACCGAGTTCGACAGCCACGACAGCATCCGAAGCGATAGCACAGCTTCCTGGCATATCCGCCCTCGCGACGGGAGCATCAACCGCGAGTTCCCCACAGCAGAGGTCAGTGAGTCTATAAGAGTTTGCACAGTCGTCGGGGGCGTAAGAGTTCGTTGGTGGTCATCATGGAACTGTGGTCGAAATGCCGGGCAGAACAGAGTCTGTAGGGTACAGCTGAACCGCTGGGAATCGACATGGACATATACGTGAGGGTGTACTTTGGGCTCCGGCCTATAGTGGATCTGATCATCCGATGTCAAGCTTGATTCCTAGAAACATCTGAGCTCAACAACCCCGCCGTGACGGGTAGTGTCATTTATTTGATCTGCAACATTCGGCGTCGCGGCTGTTACCGAAAGACGGAGGAACTTGTCATGTCCTCCAGCTTGTTTGAAGGCGAACCTCCGGCTAACACGCAATTGATCTAGGTCAAGCACCGCGCCAGCTCCCGCAGCCATGCCAGCGGCAACGCCAATCATGGCTTCGACTTCGCCGCATGCAACGGTGCCAACGGCGACAGGAAATCTGGTGAGTTAGGGCGAAGCTTCCTTATCTTGGTCAATCCCCCCAAGCACGCTATATCTTATCGGTATGATACCCCTGCACGGGTGGTGTCTGGTGTCTCGCCTAAAGACGACTGTCGAGTTTGGGGCAGGCCAGATTGGTGATAACAACGGCCGATGCTCTGTCCGTCGTGGGGGATCTTGGCATAACACTACCCGTGGGCATGCTACGTACAGTGCATAGCACCATCCTGGCCACCCTGTTCCCGCTAGTCCATCCTCACAAACCCCAAGCGGGAAGCCCGACAGAGCAAGTACAAGCTCGCGCGCGAGGACCCTCCCGGATGGCACCGGCCAAGGACGACGGCAGCTGGTGGTGGCTGCGGTGCAAGTTCTGACCTGCCATCGAGCGTCGGGGAGGTGACTAGGTGACGCTCACCGGCCGTGGCGGGCAGGACGGGGGGCATCTGGAGCCGGTTGCCCAGTGGCACGACCCCAAGTACCGCAGAAAGTCGCCTGCCCGCCCCTGCCAGCGTGCGCGGGTGGTGCCAATCACCGGCCGCTGATTGGCCCGAAAAATTTCCACTGGGTGGCTCCACCGCCAGAGATAAGCGGAAGCGGCCTGGAGAAAAAAAACCCAGCAGCGCCCAGCAGCCAGCCAGTCAGCCGGCCGACAATTTGGAAATTTCTTATCAGCCCCCGAGTTCTGATAACGCTTGCCAATCGTTCTATCACTCTATCAATCAGTCAATCCATCCCGTCTTCCCAGACGTCTCCATCAGTTATCGGCTCGACGCCAGACTCGAGGTTCTCGTCGCCGTTGCTGCCCCTACATACCTGATTCCACTCCCGCCCTCCTCTCTCTTTCGCTCACTCTCTCGCGATGGCGACCCTGCCTCCGACCCCGACGCCCACCATGGCCACTAACCACGAGTCTACGCAGCCGACGTGCCAGAACTGCCAGACCAGCACAACGCCGCTATGGCGACGCGACGAGATGGGCTCCGTCCTCTGCAACGCCTGCGGTCTTTTCCTCAAGCTGCACGGCCGCCCAAGGCCCATCTCGCTCAAGACCGACGTCATCAAGAGCCGGAATCGCGTCAAGACGGTGCGCCCGGACATGCAGATGAAGAAGAAGGTAAGTCGGCGCATTCCGCCGCGCGCCGGCCTCGAGACGCTTGCTCACTTTGTTCTCCAGCAGAGCCTGCCAGCTTCGGTCGCTGATTCGAACGGCTTCAACACACAAGGCCATGAGAACGCTGCTGCCGCCCTCGCTGCCGTCCGCCGGTCCTCGCAGCACAAGCCCAACGGCCATGACGACTCCCCCCTATCGCGTACCGGCACGCCTTCCATGTACGACCCTCACTTGCCCGTCTTCAACGGCGTCGATGGCCACCAGTACCAATCGTCCGGATTGCCTCAATACCCCCTCCCGACCGGTGGTTCCCCTGGTCGCCCGGGCTCACCGATGAACGGCGAGGCGCGACTTGATGCTTCAGAAACCCGTGAGCAGCTCATCGCGAACAACTCGAGCCTAAAGACACGTGTCAGTGAGCTTGAGGTCATCAACGAGCTCTTCCGCAGTCGCTTGACCCAACTTGAGGCAGACCAGATGAGCTCAGACAACTTCCGCCACCAGGCCGAAGAGGCTGCTAGGACCGAGGCAGAAGAGCGTCAGAGACGCGAAGATATCCAGCGCAAGCATGAGGAGACACAGCGACAGCTCGACGACAGCCACCGCCGTGAGAACGCCTTCAAGCGACGACTTGATGAGATGGAACAGGAGCTAAAGGACGCCAAGGAGCAGATTGAGAAGTTGGAGAAAGATGCCGTGGAGGACCGTCCATCCAAGAAGCCTCGTCTTGAGGAGTCTGCCAAGGAGGAATCCGAGGCAGCTCCCACGCCTCAGTCAACCTCATGAGACACGGTCCATTCTAGGCTGTCCACTGTGTTCCCAGAAGAACATACAGGAGACAGTCCCTCGACTGGGTCTTTTTCGAGGCTATGTAACACCACCGAAACGAATCTCCTTACTTTCGATATACGCCACTTGCGTCCAGCAGCAGCACTCCAGTTGGTTGCCGAAAACGGCGTACCAACATAGAGCCACTGGTGCAATAATGGCACTAATAATCTTGGCTGTCATCTTTCTCTAGTCAAAGCCACGCGATGCCTTCCAGCATGCGAGCATATTCCTTTCAGCGATCGTTCCTCTAGCGGCTCATGAAAAGGGAAATGGGCAAAAAAAGTTGGGCTTTGTATCTGACCCCATGGTCAGGTCTATTCGGTATGATCATGACGGTCGGAGGGTGATGGATCGGCTTACTGCGATTAGCAGCTTCACGGATATACTGATACTGATGGCGGGAGTTCGAGGGAGTCGAGGTCTTGCCTGGTAATATGCCGTAGGCAAATGGTCAATAAAAGTTGCTTTGATTTTCCAACCCCCCACCATAATTTCGATGCAACGAAGCCTTTCCAGCGCGGTGATCGCTTTTGGTAGAATTAACGCAACCCTATGGTGACGCCAACAGCCCTTCAGGCCATTTCCGCTTTGTACCAAAATCAGTTACGAACACAGCTGACCTAGCCGTGGTTTATTCAAGCAGTAATATGTGGAATGGCTGCTATGTTGATGTAATCGCCGTATCTGCAGGCTGTCGATATCATGCGATTGAGAGCATGACAGTGTTGTACTGCGCCTCTCGTGCAATCCAGTGACATGATTGACAACAACTTGGGAAGTCTGACTTGCAGCCGGCTCTGACAGTTTGCAGACTAGCCTTGGTTACCTACGTAGTTTCGAGAAACAGCCAGACTGGCCTCGGTAGGCGAACTAACCATTCAACTCTTGACAGGCTGGTATCTTTTCTTTATGTCAAACCGCCAGATTCCGTGCTCCGCTGAACTCGTTCCTCGCAGCTGACCTAAAGCACGTCGTCGCAAACCGCTGTCCAGGCCGGGGTCCAGTGAAGCCTTTAATACGAACGTCTAGTTTATGATTCGGACGGGTGAAGATAGCTCTTGTTTTGACCAGCGCATGGCGTAACTGTTAGCACAGTATATATGGACTCAACTTCGTGTGGGAATATCAAAATGGTAGCCAATATTCATCATCGAAAGTAATCATGACATCCATTTGGAATGCTCGATACTCGACCAGTTAACGAGGCTCTAGGCCACTGCTCTTTTCCCTGGAAGATGGTATGGATAATACAGGACCAAACTTCTGGGGAAGGGGCGAGGGAAGTTATGTTCCAACAGACAGAATCCCTCCTGGATTGAGTTCCCAGTCAAAGACTTCGAGGCTTTGAATTACTTCGAAACATTGAGCTTGAGTAGCAGGAAGTAATGAGTTGTCATGGTCAACGCCATGCTTCGAGAATTGCGGCTTCTTTCTTGGAGGCAGTGTATTTCGTCGTTGTGATTCCGGGGCACCACCTGCGTAGTATTGTAGTCTTTCTCCCCGTGCCAGCTCTTGCCAACGGAGAGTCAGTCCGACCAAGAAATAAAGCCATATGCCATGGGTTTGACAAAGTATTGCAGCACTTCTGGACATAGCCCGAGGAGCTGCCATCGCGGCAAACTGAGCATACTGACCTGCAACATGCGGGCATCCGGCATATGCAAGATGGAAAGCTTCACCGGCAATGCATGGTGCTGTATTCAATGTCTGCGGAGGAGGGATTAGTCGCCGTCATCGACATCACGATTTATGCTTGCGATGCCGGGTTTGCTAACCATGGTCGGCCCTACAATGAGGTATCCATCCCCGGGAATGACCATGCAGGTAATATACAATAGGACCTGGTCGTGCGACCCGGCTGATCGGTGAACCACTAATGTGTCGCGAGTTGCTCATACTCGGCATGAACTCACACGAGATCCCATAGTTTGTCGCGTGAGACCCCGGAGTCTGCTGCCCGCAGGTTCAGGGGTGAGCCGTCGGCACGGCATCTCTGGCCAAAGATACCGGTTTCCGGCTGGTCATACAAGGGTGCTTTACTCATTGCAGTGTGGTGCGCGATTCGTCTTTCGGGATCTCATGACTCTCTGGTCCTAGCGTCCAATGTGCTACTGAGCCGAACCGACAGCATGGAGAAAAACTGGGGCATTTACCCCGGACTGTGGATGCCCCAAACCCCCATTCCGGGGCGCTTACTGGAGCTATTCGAGTCTCGGCCAGGCCCTTGGGAAGCAATGGGGACATAATATAATCGAGACCATGTCTCCCCTCGCTGATGGTCGTATGGTGAACGTACGACCGCTCCCTGATCAGCTACCAGTTCGTGTGGTACGATCTAGTGAACCGGGAAATATCTGTGGAGTGAGAGAGTATAGTAGTACATGTCGAGCACGATGGAAGTCGAAAAGGTAGATACCTCCCAAGTGGAGACCGCCAGCGCGCTCCCGGAGAAGTCATTAGGTCAGCAGCACCAAGACAAGGGCGACATCGTCCTGGTCGGCGATGGTCACGAAGTTCGCAAGATCCCCATCCCCACAGATGACCCGAACGACCCCCTAAACTGGCCGAAATGGCGGAAGATGGGCATTGTCGGAACATGCTGTTGGTTTGGTAAGCCGGCAGTTCGAGACGAGAGAATCGAGGAATATACTTACTAATCTGTGTTTACACGTCAGCCATTTTCTCCCTGCTCTCGGTGAGCGGCATCTCGACCTTCATGAACACACTGTTCATGATGTACAGCCCGGCGAAGACTTCAGATGAGATTGTAGGATTAAGCACTTATCCCACTATGGTGATGGCCCTTGGTATGTGTACAGTCTAGCGTCTTCACTCTTACACAAGAAACGAGCAGTAGGGGCTAATGGTCATACCTCATTATAGGAAGTTTTGGACTTCTTCCCCTGGCTTTCGTCTTTGGTCGCCGCCCAGTTTTCCTGTTCTCGGTTATCCTGGCCTTCATCACCGTGCTCACCGCTGGAACGAGCAACGACTATGATGGCCACTTCATCAGCCGTATCTTCCTGGGCCTGGCAACAGGTGCCACTGAGTCGGTGAGTCTCAAGACTCTTGCGTAATCGAAATAGCTAACACCTGCACCAGCTCCTGCCTCTCATCATTTCTGACGCTACATTCATTGACGAGCGCAGTTTTTATTTCGGTGAGTTCAGATCCCACAAATTGCCCACAGCCATAAGTGTAAATTCATGTCTGATCGGTGTTGCATATCAGGGCTGTACTGGTCCGTCCAAAACAGCGTCAACGCTGGGCTGCAAATCGGACTGTCCTACCTCACAGCTGCGGGCACGTGGCGATGGTACTACTGGCTCTTCGCCATCACGCTGGGCCTCAGTATCCTGATCTCCATATTCCTGCTGCCCGAGACCAGGTTCCAGAGACCGGCAGCTTCGCTCAACGGCCAGATCGTCTACACGGACGAGTTTGGTGCCACCCACTTCCTCTCCGATGAGGACGCTCGCGAACGGTTCGGCGACCTCGCACAGCCCCTGAGCACAGCTACCGAGAAGAGAACCTTCCTGCAGGAGTTGAAGCCGTGGAGCCCAGTGGCGCAAAACGGCTTCAAGATCTGGGCTGGGGCATATGGGAAGATCTTGAAGAGCTTGAGCAGTCCTGGTGTGGTGTTTGCCATGCTGGCAAGTTCCATCTCGCTCGGTCAGTTGTGACCTTTCCGGTGCAGTAAGGAAGCACGAGAATGAACCGCAAATACTAATTATTGTGTAGGAATTGCTGTCGCCATTTCTCTCGTATACAGCACTATTCTCATTGAAGGATACGGGTGGTCCGCGGAATCAGTAGGACTGTTCAATGTCGGAATCATCCCCGCCGCGTTTCTCGCTATGGGGTACTCAGGCTGGTTCGCCGACAAGCTCAACATCTGGCTGGCTACGCGGAACGGTGGGGTCCACCGTCCAGAGCATCATCTCCTTCACCTCATTATCCCGTACCTGGCCGGTGCAATTGGTATCATAGTCTTTGGCGTCTGCGCCAACAACCCCGAGAAATACTCGGCTTGGGGTATGATAATCGGTAAGTGGCACCATAGAGTTGGTAACTCGGAAAGTGCGGTCACTAAATGGGTCCTCATTAGCTTGGGCCGTATATGAGTTCTCATTCACGTGTATCATCATTACCACGACGACGTTTGCTGCCGAGGTGTTCCCCGAAAACCCCGGAGCAGCCATGGTGCCCGTAGTTGGAGGCAAGAACATCATTGCGTTCGGTGCTGCGTACGGGCTTATCCCGATGCTTCATATCTACTCATACCTGCAGTCGTTCATGATCGTAAGTGGCAGGCGCTCGTATCTTGCTCCCAGCCTGAACGTGAGCTTACCTACTCCACTCTAGTTGTTCGGAATCTTCACCGGAATTTTCGCACTCGGAATCCCGGTCTACTTCCTGAACTCCAAGGTAAGTTAAGTCAAGTTTCAACTTGGAGCGTGAGAGAAGCTGACACGCCCGACAGTGGAGGAATGCTGCTCTTCAGCGGGACTGAGCCACACAGGTCAGAGACATATGATAGGACTAATGAGGATTTGGTGCTGATCCATTTGATCGGGGCTACAGATCCAGATGCGTGTAGTTGACAATTTAGTATCAATATAAACCTGCGCATCCTCATACCAATCAGCAGTACAATGTGCCAAACCTGCTTATTGATTTGTTATCGACACTTGTGGAACGAAAAAGAGCGGCACCAGCTGGTGGCTAGATCTTCGTCCGTCCCCGTGCATGCAGTGTATCACCTACCTGTATGGCTCTTCACCAAGGTTTCGAGTTTCAGATCGTTACGGTAATCTTCCGCATATACATGTTTTCCACGGGGTCATCGCATAAGATTAATATCAACGCAATATTGTAATAGCCGTTCCTCGGAGAGCGGAATTTTCAACTAATTTAGAGCATAGAGAACATATCCCACTTGAGGTAAGATAAATTCAGTAGCTCCTCAACGGCACACGCGCCGTTGAATTTGCAATCTGGCGGAATGAGTAGCCGAAGTTGCTCATATAGCTAAGCCAATAGCGCGATCTCCAAGGATCAAGAGGGCAAAGCCCAATGAGACTATATCAAATGGGGCAAGATTTGGCAAGTAGAGACAAGGATGAGTATGGCACCGTGAGAACTTGCACACGCAAAGAAGCCTCCTGCCGGGTGCTGCGCACCCACATGCCTACCCATGGGTAGTGTCAGAGCTCTAGATGCCGAGGTCGTCGATACGTTACAGGAGTACTAATTTGCAGTGTTGACAGAGTAAAATGCCACTTGGGAGTACATGGCCTCGGCTTCACTGCGCAACTGTGCAACTATTGTTCAAATAGTCTGGGAAATTCCCGGGCTGACATGACGTGTGGCAGACAATACGAGACGACGCACCGTAGAACTGTTCTAGAACCCCAGACTGGGGTTATTGTGGGGATTGCCCTAGAGAATTGCCATTCTGCGAATTGATCGTCAGGTACCGAAAAGCGTGTCATATATTCCCGGAACACTATTTTCAGACCACAGGGCAGATCGGGTTTAAGATCTCGGGTGGGAAGTCTTGGAAGCTCTAGGAGGAATCCCTGAGCAGTGCAACAGCATCGGTCGATGATCGGCAGGCAACACACCATGCAGCATAGTATATGGTGACGTGAAGCCATGACGCTCCTTACTGATGCATATCCTTCCGCACACGTGGGAGTGGGAATTGATTATTAATTAGTGTATGTTTGTCACCGCCGGGATAGCGTATTGGAAAGGCCGTGCAAAAACCATGGAAAATGATCTGTGGAAGGCCCCTCAGCGTCCGTGACGTCATCACACTATACTGTGAGGCTAAGAAGCTTGCGATCAATCAACTCGGACCAGAAACCTCACGCCTTAGTCTAAGGGGAAACGTCACGAGTGTGTTGGGCATCATGTCCCATGCAGACGCACTCCTAAAGCACTGGTGTCAGGCGGTGGTAGGGCTGCTTGCTTCTACCAAGACCTGACCCGCAAGCCTCAATCTGGTATACAATGGTCTCTCTGCTGTACCTTTGATATTTCAGGCCATGTGACTGCATGTATAATGTCATGACAGGTGATTGGCCTTCATCGGTGCTGAGCTGCTAAACTTCCAGAGCTGACAGGCTAGCGACTTTGGATACTGCGTTATGGCTGTAGATAGCACCAGGGAAGAAGTACAGTGCTGTACCGTATTCATCCGCATTTACAAGGTCACGCTGGGAGGAGCTAAACCTCCGGATTATATGCAAGTTGGGCGGCACACGTGGGGAAGCGCTTGCGTGATAGGACACACCATGCAGAAGCGACTAAGAAGTACTCGTAAACTAGTCGCTGTGAGCGCGCCACGCTTGTCAAAAACTGGAAAGAGGATTTGGCCGTGTAATATGCGACTCACGGATCGGTTCTCTTCACAATCTGGACCCTGATTGCTGCTAAACGGTTATGAACCGCATTCTCGGGATGCAGTGGGCCGGTATAGCCCGGTCGCTAGGAGGGTTGCGACTGCGTACTGGTACTGTGTATAGGTCAAGAACATGACTGGTGTCGCAGAAGTACCTCAACTGAGATCGTAGGGGCGCACCAGACAGCTTTCTGAATACTTCGAGATAAGACCTAAAGCAATTGGCACGAGCATTGATCGGGAGCGAAACCCCCTCATGCTCATCAGCCCCAGACCGCCGGCACTGGCGAGCCGCGGAGGAGGCATTGACGTGTAATCCGTATTTCCTGTGAAATTGGTGCCAGGGCGTGCACATCGTCGATTACACAGCAAAGAGCACGATTGCTGTGGCTCACTTTCCACCCGGCTAAAGATTTTGTGAGAAACAAGCCCGGCCCCGAATCCACCAAGCCTTGGACAGTTGCAGCGAACCACGCTTGTCCTATTGAGGCACGCCCGTGGATATGTGGGACAAATCGCGACGGGCAGGGTGAGAGACCGCAGAGCAGCAATGATGTCATGGCTACAGGCTCCATGGGAAATCCAGCAGGGCTTGACTGTTTTGCAGATGGGTCCCGTGAGCTGAGGCCAATCACGAGAGGCCGCTGCTGGCCTCCGTACCCCTCACTGGAGTCGCGAGCCAGGATGCGCCAGCCTGGACCACGCTGTGGGGTTTGGCATGGTACGGAGTACGAACACAAGTTACTTCCTTGACAGCTGGCGATTGCACCCGGACAGAAAACACCACAGCACGACGAGCCGTGTTTGGCGATAATAAACTGGCCGAACAGGCCTGCCCGCCGCGTTTGTATTGCCCAATCAGACAGGCCGTCGGCAGCTTGGAGGCTTTCCAGGGAGGACGACTGGGTACCTTTTGGGCTAACATGCATCATGGCCATGTGGGCTTGAATTGAGACCAAGCAAATATTGCAGGTGCTCGTGGTTCGATAGGGTCCACGGCATCGAGAATAGGAAAATCCAATCCAACATCTCCATAGGATACAGAAACCTGCTTTGCCGAGGAGAGATTCCCATCCTCCTCTTTCCCTTATTAGTGCTACCTGCCTAGCTCCAACAGCCTCCTCGTTCTTTGTGCGTCTCTTCTCCCAGACCCAGAGCCTCGTTTATCGTCACATCACCAGACCTGCCTACTCACAGCGCTCACCCTCACATATACCTCTTTCAGGGAGCATTGGGCATCGTATCTAGAACTCCGTTGCCGACGCCGAGCGACCATTCGCACCCACCGCAAGTGCAAGAACACGCGGAACGGCCCTCGAAGTCCCGACTCGCCAGATCTCCCAACCATAGTGGAAAAGCGGGCGGATACAGAAAGATCGACAGCGTCGCAGGTCCCATCCTCTACCAAGGACACAGCCATTGCCATTCACGTGCGGCGAGATTGTCCAACTTTAAACGCGCGATCGCTTGAGCCGTTGTGATTGCCGACATAGTCGTTGCAAGTCAGCATAGTCCTTGACGTTGTCTGTGAAAACTACAGCGCATCGCGGGTAAGCGCCTGATCCCGTTCCAAGCCATCTGCTGCCTATTCGATTCTCCTTTGTCTGCCTCGTGGGGGCTATCAACTTGCCGGCTTGTGGCTTATGGGAATTCCGCGTTACCAAGGAATCGTGAGGCTGGCTGCTGGCAGCCCTCGCAAGTCTTATTGGAAGCGGCGCCTCGTCCTACCTAGATGGTGCGGAGGGCTGCCCTCTGCAACGCCTGGATGGTTGAGTCCACAAAGAAGGAGATGGCACCTGCAGGTCGTGTGTGTGTGTTGATCGCGTAACTCACTGCTTACCTTTCTCTCTTTTTTTCCAGAACAGGGCGAACAACCAGCCCAAAAGACACGATCGATCACGTAGACGTCGAGAGCACTTTACTTAGTTGTCTTGTGCATAAAATACGGATCAGCTGCTTGACACTCGTCGACGCGGCTTGCACTATTAGCGGGGTACTCCCAACTCGCCGTCTCTGCTCTGCATCCCAGTCGGGTCTGTCTCCTTTGCCTCCCCGCTCCCACTTTGTTAGCAGGCTCAAGCAATCAAGGCGCACCCGAGCACCCACTCAGCACCGGCGCCAACAGTACGTACCGTACCAGGACAGGCTCCGTCAGGTATCCTAGTGACAGGTACCTGTTTTCCTTGGACGGCATCCACCTGTCCGGAACGGTTTTGGCTGGCTGCTGGCTGCTGGCTGCTGGCTGACTTGCGATCGCGATCGTCTGCTGTCTCGTCCGGTCCCAGTCCCGCTAAGCAGCGTGAGAGGTCAGGTCGCCGACCGCCTTTGCCTGGAAGAACCTTATCCAGTGCCCGACTCGACTTTTGCAACGCAAATCCTGTTTCGCCTACCCGTTCTCACAATCCCATCCTCTCAATCGTTTTCCCATCTCCGACCCCTCTGCGCCTGTCTTTCTGTCCTTTGAGTCGATTGCTGGAGATTCCCCCCCTCTCGCCGTCGTTCGCAAGACTCGCAATCTTCAGCCTCGTTACCCCGCCCCCCTCCGTGCTCTGATACTATCTCTGTCTCTGTCTTCCATCAAGAGAACGAAACAAGATGGCGGAATTCGTACGGGCCCAGATCTTTGGCACCACCTTCGAGATCACCTCGAGGTACGCAGCAATGGCACCCCCCTCCGCCCCTCTAACCGCTGCTCGTGCTCGAATGACGGCTAATTCGCACACAGGTACTCGGACCTACAGCCCGTGGGCATGGGCGCATTTGGACTGGTCTGGTAAGCACAACAATACGACAATTCCCCCCTCCGTCGTCTCCTGCGCCGGAGCCTGACTTCGCCTTTTGCGAATCTCCCGCGCTGTGGAACATCAAGCTGACCACGCGCTCTGTCACACAGTTCCGCGAGAGATCAGCTCACCAACCAAAATGTTGCCATCAAGAAGATCATGAAGCCGTTCAGCACTCCTGTCTTGGCCAAGAGAACATACAGAGAGCTAAAACTGCTCAAACATCTCCGACACGAGAATGTCATTTCCCTGAGCGACATCTTCATCTCCCCCCTCGAGGATCTGTATGTTACACAGCGACTTATCGCCAATACACCCCGCCGTCACATGCTAACAAGGACGACAGCTACTTCGTGACGGAGTTGCTTGGTACCGATCTGCACCGACTCCTGACTTCGAGACCTCTGGAAAAACAGTTCATTCAGTATTTCCTCTACCAAATTATGGTTAGTTTTCTTGCCACCCACATACCAGCACGCCTGCACTGCTGCTAACACCTCTCTTCTCTAGCGCGGCTTGAAATATGTCCACTCAGCCGGCGTCGTGCACCGTGACCTGAAGCCCAGCAACATCCTGGTCAACGAGAACTGCGACTTGAAGATTTGCGACTTTGGCCTGGCGCGTATTCAGGACCCCCAGATGACGGGCTACGTCTCAACCAGATACTACCGAGCACCCGAAATCATGCTCACCTGGCAGAAGTATGACGTCGAGGTCGATATCTGGAGTGCCGGCTGCATTTTCGCCGAGATGTTGGAGGGCAAACCCCTCTTCCCTGGCAAGGATCACGTCAACCAGTTCTCCATCATCACCGAGCTTCTCGGAACACCCCCAGACGATGTCATCAACACCATCGCGAGTGAGAACACGCTCAGATTCGTAAAGTCGCTGCCCAAGCGTGAGAGGCAACCGTTGAAGAACAAGTTCAAGAACGCTGATCCTGCTGGTACGTATCTTGATGTTGCAGTCGATGACCTGATTTGATGCTTACTTTGGGCGTAGCGATCGACCTCCTGGAACGCATGCTTGTGTTCGACCCTAAGAAGCGAATTACTGCCACCGAGGCCCTGGCCCACGAGTACCTCGCACCGTACCACGATCCCACCGATGAGCCTGTGGCTGAGGAGAAGTTTGACTGGAGTTTCAACGATGCAGACCTGCCCGTAGACACTTGGAAAATAATGATGTGAGTTATTCAAGCGGATCCCTCCGGTTCTCTTGCTTTCGTTAGGCCTATATCTGACTAACTTGTCCGAGGTATCAGGTACTCGGAGATTCTTGATTATCACAACGTCGAGTCGAATGTTCAGCAGCATCAGCAGCAGTCGCAACAAGCCGAAGAGCAGTTCAACGGCCAGTAGACGGGCAAGTCAAATCTTCTGCATTATACAAACCGCGATGATACCATGGAAAAATCATAAGTTCCTTGCTCATACGTAAATTTCGAAATCGACGGCGTTTTGAGAACGGTCTGGTCTGGGTCCTTTCATATTTCCACTTACAGAAATGCGCGACGGGGTATGCTATTTGTTTTCAGCGATGCCTTGCACAGTAACGGGGTGAACACGACGGCGACTTGGCATTTATGCGCCTGGATAGCAAGGGGCCGCTGATCTGAGCATCTAATGAAATAACAAAACAAGGATGGCAACATGGCACGGGCATGGTTGGTGTGCATGGGAGACATTACTGCATGGAAACGAGACAGCTCGGAGAAAAACGAGACCCTCGAGTGCCACCATTGATGTGGCATTGGCACGCCTTCGTCCCGATCAAGGGGCTGTGTGGTGAGCCACGGCGAAACAGGACATGCAACGAAACTAGCGAAGAGCTGAAGACAAAAAACCAAACAAATAGAACTCAATTCGCCATGATTGCAGTCAAGACATCGAGGCTGCTTGTCACCTTTGAATGATCATGAGCTACCAACCCTTATGTTACTCTCTTATACCAATTGCATAACATACTACAATTGTTCAGCTGGAAGATTCAGCGTGCACTGACTTATCTGGCTCAGAAATGGCGATGCGGCTGAACTGAACTAGGTAGTATCGGAAACCAAAAAGCCTTATCCCAGGCAGGACGATATTGGGTCTAATGCGTATGTGTAGATTTCACCAGCAACGGCACCAATATTTCTCCTGTAGTTCTGCTAAATATTTTGGGTAAATGAGTGAGTTAGTTCATTTTGCTAAATGGTATTGTGCTGTGCCAGGAGCATACATGTGGGGTTTCGAGCTTTCACTGATGGCCATGGGGAGAACCACTGCGCCATGTATGTGACTTTTTGCAATGTCCTTGGCGCACCGCCTTGCCTCACCTACTCATCGCGGCGTGCATCTCCATTGCATATCAGGAGGATGTGTGCAAGCAGACGAGGTCAGTTTCTCCAGTAGCTATCTCTCTCATTGTGCTCCAAAATAAGCCGATCATTCAAAAGCGTTGTTATCAACCCGAGCTCAAAGTATAACGTGCACGGGATACAACGCGTTCTGCTCTGTTATACATGATTGGTGGTCTTGGGAGCAGCGACCAGCATTTCCAAATCTGGTTCTGCGGGGAACAACCTGCAATGCAACCCGGGAGAGAAGTCCTCGTTCTTACGGCTTCTACATTCTTATCTCTCAGAAAACCGCGCTTGTCAAGTCCTCAGTCACGATGAATCGCCAAAGCGAATTGCTGTTTCAGCAGACGGAGAAGGATGGTGGGGTGGATAGTCTTCAAACTACGAATGAGAAGCATTCAGAGGCCCGCGACTCTATAGTCGATTCGACTACGCACCCACCCAATCATGACCCCGAGATTGGAGATGTCACCGCTTTGCGTACCAGCGCTGACCAGGATATAATACCTCCAGGAATAGACCCAAGGTTCCTAAGGCCCGAAGGCGTGAAGCGAGGTCTTAGTCAAAGGCGTCAGTGTTGCTTGGCCCATGTCCCCTATCCCCGTTTAGTCGCTGATTCATTTACTAGACATCCAAGTAAGCATGCCTTCTAGCTGAGCACGTCGGCGTCAATGCATGCCCCTTTGAACTCGATATTGACGAAAGTTAGATGATAGCACTCGCTGGAGCCATAGGAACCGGCTTGTTTCTGGGTAGTGGGAAATCTATCCAGAGAGCGGGACCCGTAGGGACTCTCATTGTAAGTTCAGCCCTTCCGTGGCCCGTTGCGCAGTCAAATGTTTCTCCTCCGATGAACTTCTTCGTGCCAAACCACTGAAATGCTCTGGTTGTCCCACAGGGCTATTCGGTGATTGGTCTCCTTGTCATCTGCGTGATGCTCTGCCTGGCAGAGTTATCGGCCTTGGCCCCGGTCTCGGGGGCCTACGTGCGCCATGCCGAGTTCTTCGTCGATCCCGCCCTATCCTTTGCCATCGGCTGGGTCGCGGTCTACGGACCCTGCGTCAGCGTTCCGAGCGAATGGGTCGCCGTCAGCACCATCGTTAGGTATTGGACTGACCTGCATGCCGGTATCGTCATTGCAATCTGCCTTGGTAAGTACTCAAGGGACTTGACCGGGAATTGCAATAGAAACTTGCCGGGATACTAATTCTAGAACACCAGTTGCGTCCTTCGTCACTAATATATTCTTGATCCGCGTCTTTGGTGAGGTCGAGTTGGTATCGGCTATGCTCAAGATCGCCTTAATCATTGGACTCATCCTATTTGGGTTGATTTACGACCTAGGCGGCGTACCTGGGCAACCCCGACTTGGATTCTGGTATTGGGTCAACCCAGGGGCATTTGGTCAAGGATACCTCGTCGATGGAAGCGTAGGACAGTTTGTAAGTCTCGTGTACAACCAAGAGCAGTGAATAAAAGTCTATGCATAAGACTATTGTACTAACTACTAGCAGTGTGGCTTCTTCTCCGTCTTCGTTACGGCAGTCTATTCATTCGCTGGGGTCGAGACCACGTCGATCGCCGCCGCCGAAACGAAGAACCCTCGGCGGAACATCCCACGGGCAGCCAAGCATATCTTTGTCCGAGTCTTCGTATTTTACATCCTGTCGCTGTTCGTCGTGGGTCTCATCGTCCCGTCTGACGATCCCCGCTTGCTCAAGTCGACGGGCAATGCCGCACAGTCCCCTTTCGTTATCGCAGCTGAGAAAGCCGGCGTCAAGGTTCTGCCCAGTATCATCAACGCAGTGGTCATCACCTCGGCCTGGTCATCGGGGAATCACGGGCTGCTTCAGGGCTCTCGGTCTCTATATGCTCTGGCACTAGAGGACAAGGCTCCGGCGTTCTTCAGACGTACTTCACGATGGGGTATTCCGCACTATTGTGTGATTTTCCAGAGCTCGTTCATGTTCCTCGCCTACATGTGCCTGAACTCCGATGCAAACACCGTATTTGGTTGGCTCTCTAGTCTCACAGCCTCCTCCACGCTAGCGGTTTGGATTGTGATCGGGATATGCTCCCTGAGGTTGAGATGGGCCATGGAAGCACAAGGTATTTCGCCAAAAGATCTGCCGTACTCGGCACCTCTACAGCCGTACCTTGCACATGTTGTCACTTGGGCTAGCTCCTTTGTCATGCTTTCAGGGGGCTTCTACGTTTTTGTGAGTGCCTGACCACAGGGACCAAACTTCCATATGGAATAAGAACCAGTCGCTAATATCCGCCAAGGTTGATGGACAATGGGACGTGTCCGACTTCTTCTCGTCGTACTTCACGATACCCCTGTGTTTCGGTCTGTATTTTGGCTGGAAGCTTCTCAAACGTACTGAAATCGTACCTCTAGAGAAAGTCCCAGTTGGGACATTCATCGCAATAGCCAAGGCTAACCCCGAGCCGCCTTTAAGGAGAAAGAAGGGAATTGTCGGGTGGTTCGGGAGGTTTTGGTGGGATTGATTACTGCCCACTCATTTGAAGGGGTGTATCTAGGTGCGAAAGTAACCTACTATGCAATATGCCTCGTTTGTGTAGGCATAGAGACTCCACAGCAGATAGGTTCTGACAGTATCCGAGACTGTTGAGTAGAAAGCCACTCAACTGAATGCAATCGTGATATACTCTGTCAGAAACTGTCTTCCCGGAAATTTTCCAAAAGGTGTTCTATGCAAGGCCGAGGGTTAGATACAGCCGGATTTTATTAATAGCCCTAGGTGCGAGACGTTGCCTACAGCTCTTCTGCTAACATCGTTTCGCGAAGTTTTCTCACAAGCACCACGAGTATTTTACACAAGCCATGTTTTATGTGTTTCTCATTCTTTAGGGAGAAGATCAGTTATTAACCTGAAACATTCAGGCACCAACGGTGGGCGTTGTAAGTATTCCCGCGACGCCATTCCACTCAGTCGATAACTTCAAGCATGCGATATGCATCATGACTAATTGCCTTTCGCATTGCCGCAGACGGATCCAGTTTATTCTTCTGCTTCTGCACAATGACTTCGTCTCCGTGCTCACTCTCCACGACCTCATCAGGATCATCCTCGAATTGGCCATTTTCCAGGAACATCTTCAGTTGTCCCTGAGAGTAACCGCTCACAAGCGCCACATTCTCCTCGTCTGCAGTGACTGGTTTCGAGGCCACACGGTTATTGCGACCACCGGCAAGGTTCCAGAAAATCAAACGTGGCATCTCGTATCCAGCGTCCTGGAATTTCTTCTTGATGCGTTCGAATGAGCTCGACCAACAAGATGCGGTGTCCTGCGGTCTGCGGTACGCTTCGTATGGTTGGCCCACATCGGCTTGGTTGAATTGCATATCTGAGAAGACGAACACTTGCTTGACCATGTCCTCAGGCTTGAGTCCGTGCTCCACAGCCATTGGAAGCAACAAATCCTCAAACACAGAAACGAAGTTTGTAGACATGCTCCAAGCAGACTGAGCAATGTAGTCAACTTTCTCTCTGAGAGACCGCTTGTCGGATGTGCCTCCGACATGCATGACTTGTGGGTAGTCAGAGAAGGTGATAAATGCACCCCCAAAAGGTGGCTGGGTGATCTCAGCCATCAACAGAGACAGCCCGATTGATGAATCCATGGGGCAGGTTCCGTCTCGGAACTTAGGATGGAGCATGGAGCCAGAGACATCACATACAGCTATCGATGACTCCAGTTTTCCCGAGTCTCGGATGCGCTGGCATAAGGTCCTCCACTGCCCATCAGCCGTTTTGTCGAGAATTTCTTGCGTTAGAGGATCTCTCTGGGCCTTGAAGCGGCTGCTTGTAACTCTACCAACACTACCCGAGACATTGGAGTGGCCAACACTTCGAACACCGTGAATAAGGGTAGATGGTAGCAAAGTGGCACCGGAAATGCGAGATTTGCCCGATGCGACTTTCTCAATGTACTTCGCAAATCCGTCCTTGTCTTTCTTGATGAAGAGAGAGGTGTACTGCTTCATGGCGAGGGACGGGATCCTATCATACCTGATGTGATCAAAACACTCCTCTGAGATAGGTCGCTCAACCACCTCAAGATGCCGGCGTAGCTTGGAGAGGGTGGAACACTGATATGCCCTTCGGGCATATTTCAAGTATGTAGTGCGATCAGTCGGGTCCACGCTCTCTGGGCAGACTGTATCGAACGGGAAGAGGAGCTCCGCGATTGAAGAGGCAATGAATGTGTGTCGGTCATGGGCATGCTTCGGAGTGGGAGCCCATTTGGCACACAAGGATACCTCTTTGTTCTCACACTTTGAATTGCTGATACAGGACATGTCAAGCGCAAGCTGATCTGCAAAGATCCTGGCTACGGCCATGAAAAATGCACGATAGAAGCTGTCCTCCTGCAGGCGGGTTACAGTATTGTCGTGCCTTTGCTTTAACAGTGACTTTTTGCGGCCTTGAGACCAATCTCTTTTGGATTTCCCTTTGTTGTTGCATGCATCATCGTTCAAGATACAGTGGATGTCATTTGGTGTTAGGTCGGCGTTCAGTTTGCCATTGGCTGCCAGAGCAAGCATGTTGAGTAAGTCTTTCCAATACCCGTGACTAACACCATGCTTGACCTCAAAGTGCGGAAGGTCGACGTCAACTGTTGTCTTTCTAATCTTCGTGGGCGATTGTCCGTCTTCGGCATTTGAGTTGACAGACACTATATCAAAATCTTCCATGGAGTCACAGACCTCGCTAATGTTGGCATTACTCGAGCTTGCTGCTTCGGCTGATTGAACAGCCGAGTCTGTGGTGGGGACTTTCTTGCGAATCACTGGACGGACTAGCCATTCAATGTTGGAGAGGAACGTCTGTGGGTGGTGCTGGGCTAGCCAGCCGGCAGCACGATAGAAGGTGATCTTGTCACTCTTGCCCAGATGGATTGATCGTGCATTCCAGAGGAGGCGCAGAGTAGAATCGGGGTCTTTGTTCCACGCTGCTTCGAGTGTAACCTTTAGTCTGTCCGTAGAAACAAGAGTTTCGAGTTCGTAAAACAAATCGACGAGCACGTCCCCAGAGGTGCTGTAGGCAACATCGCCGTTCTCTGTGAGCATTTTACTGTCGCGTTCGTCAAAGGTTGGCACTGCCAGCTTGCTACCAAGTAAAGCATCCATGAAGAGGGCAGTTGATGCCTTGCCAGTTTCATCTCTCTCGGTCGGGAGGGGTGCACTGGGTTCCTCGGCGTTGGGAAGGTCATGGCTTTCCACAGCTCGGTCACCCACAAGACTGCAGATATAAGACTTGAAGAGAGATTTCTGCAATCCGAGCTCAGGCAGCTCTGGCATCCAGACAGGGAAGGACGAGTTCAGCGAGCTATGGGGAGAGGAGGCTGCAGCCGAAGAACAGCTGGCGGCAGCTCCAGCAGACTGGTTTTCCGGAACTGTAGCGGGCGCCATTATGGGCCCAACAAAGCGAATCGACGAGACGGTACAAGCCTTTTGCTCTCAGATATGGCTAGTAGCTGAAGCGCTTGTGACTGTCCCGTAGCATCCGGGTCTGAGTTCAGAAAGAAGACACCAGTGGATGACTATTGAGCAGACGGCGAGGAAGTGGGTGGGGAGCGATGTTGACTTTACCACAGAGCAGACGATTAGTCCTGTTCATTAAATAGAGAAAGAGGGAAGGAAAAGGGAGAATGAACGGAACCCAAGGCTTACCGGCTGTGTCACCAAACGGATTGGTCTTGCGTGATTGGCTGAAATAGTCTGACGGTGATGAATCAGGCAATTGCGACCACGCTACGGAGGCCACAATTAACGCGGAGGTTGCTGCCACCCAGAGTATATTCACCTATAATTATTCCCAATTGACGGGCTCACTAATGTTAAGTAACAAGGCCTGATCTCTTAATGCCGCCGGTGAGTGATTTCACAGTGGCACCTTGGCTGTTGCCTATGGCGAGTGACTCACGCCGCACGGAGCTATGTATTAAGACTTGCGGAGCTGTTTGTTGCTTGCATTTGCCCGAGCCGAAACGCACAACCCCTGCCATACTCAACCCCCCAGTTATGACAATTCTCGATGGTGTCTTCAGGTGTGTCCTCGGGTATGTAGCTTGTATTGTAGACAAGTGGCCAACCCAACTTAGGTATTCACGCATACCTGCCAACGATAGGCCAGACTAGACCGCCACCATTTTGTAGACCTAATTCGCCAATATACTCGAACATAGACTGGCCTCGCAGCAGTGAAAAATTCAAAAGGCAAATTTCTTGGGCATTCCGGTAAATCGGCATCCTAAGTTTGGGATGCTGGTGGCCGTATTGTGGTGGGCATTATGAAGGTTTTGAAGGCTAGCTGCATGATCGTGCCCAACATCGTGCCCAAAGACGTAACCTTCGGGGCCTAATCTGGGTTGGCGTGGACCATGTCATTTGCCAAGCACGTTATGTGCTGATGGGCTGGGCCTAGATATGATACAATGCTTTCCACGACTTGTGTGCCAATATTGCGGAACAGCCAAGCACCTCGATACAGATGTAGTACCACTCCATAGAACGCCAAAACTAGTAGTGCTTCCGGATTTCTGCTCAGCAGCAGGTCTACAACTTTGACGTCTATAAGCAGAGGCCAAGCGAATACCATCTGAAAGCTATGGCTGATTTGGCGGTCATCGTGAGAGCTGCTCAGCGCGTCGATACTCCACTGAATCTTATCGATAGCCTCTTGGCAATATTTAACCTCTTCCGCACTTAAAGTTCTTGAAGCTTGAATGGTTTCTCGCAGCTTCGCAGTTTCAGCTCCTGAGCTTCCAAGGCCACTCAGATTGATTCCGGCAGCTATGACGTTGCTCATTTTCGACTCGAGCAGATACTGCCAGGCTTGTGATGTGAGCATTCGGACACCTCTGTAAACCTCAAGATAACGTAGAAATCGGTTCAGGAAGTCGTCCTCCGGGCCTATGGTGGTGTCGCGGAGCATGTGGGCGCTCAGTAACCAGCTGAATCCCACCACGCCCATGTAGTTGTGTGGACCGATCTCGGTCGGCGTCTTGTTGAAGAGACTTAGGGCATGTGTTTGTAGTTGCATGGCTTGGTGTCTGTAGAAAGAGCTTTTGTTCGGTCTCAGGAACGAGAAATGGCATGCGGCGAACGCGAGCAGTTCATTCATTAGGTATGGGGTCGATAAAGCTGTTTCCACCACCACCATCTCCGTGAAATGAGGTCGATCTGTGTTGCCCAAATCTAAACCACCGCTTGCAATATGATGAAACAGCTCCAGTTGATTCATGTTGGCCATGGGTACGTCGAACGCCGCAAAGGAGGGTGATAGTGGCCGCGGAGTTGGAACGGTGAGTGGACTACATTGGGGTGCAGTGGTCAACAGAGACAGCTTATGGGATGGCCTTCCGGTGTTTCCAGAAGTCAGATCCGGTAGAGCAGGCTGCTCTGATAAGAAAGAGCATGTCTTTGATGAAGTAGCGCAGTTGCTACAGATTGGACGCTGCTCATCGCACTGACAACCATTAGCATATATTCGGCGATGGTTTGCGAGGGGTCAACCTTGATGTGACGCCGCTTGCACTCTCCACATCCATGCCTGGACTTCTTGTGAGGTGCTCGCTTTCCCATCACGCACACACATTGTATCGAATTCAGACACAGATGTACCAATAACTTTGTAAAGGACGACACGATCGCGGGAGCTACGTGCGACGAAAGCGTGCGCAGACAGCCCCACTCCAAGGTGCACTAGACAGATCCAGCTCGGCACTCAGGGGCGGTGCTGCCAAACACCGCCACCAACAGTCTCTATAGCGAGATTAGGCAACAATGAATCTGAATGCACGTGATATCTGCATGGAATGATACATGCAGTATGGTCACTCTACTGTCGATGTATTTTGAATGTTATAATCCGCGGCTATCTACTTACATCATCGTTCCCGACGGCTTAGATTCTTCTATCATTCTAGTCTAAACTCTCTCCGCCTAGCCAGCCACAGCTCTCGCATAACGCCCCTGGCAAGTCGCTCTTCGAATCAATCCTTCTGGCCAACTTGACGGTCCCCCATATACAGTTGGACAACGCCATCAGTTGAGTCCAATCCCTCTGCAGAATTGACGCGCTCAGTGTCCTGGTTAAGCGGTTGTAGCTTACTTGGATACCAGAAATAGAAGACAACCATAACAATGAACATCGGCACAGCATCAAAGATGTACAGTGTCCACTCATTCTTCATCGGATAGCCATCATTCCCCATGACAAACTCAACCACGCGGAAGATGCTTCGGACCATGATTAACAAGCTCACGCCATAGAGCATGTACAAGCTTCCCAGCCAGTTCGAGCCAGAGTATGCCATCGCGCTGACGCTATACCGTGTGTACCGGTAATGAAAGACCATGGCGATCATGCCAAATAAGCCAAACATGATGATTTGTACCAACAAGCCGCCGATTACGATCCATTGCCCAGTCGAAGACAAGCTAGCGCCTTGAGCCATGAGTCCAGCGCCGCTGCCTTGTATGAAGAATGAGACCACGTCGCCCCAGACAAAAGTCTTTGTCAGTCTGGCCACGCGAATGAGGCTGTATTGCTCTCCACGGGCAGCGCGAATGATTCGGCCGAGGACCATATAGATCGAAGCAGCGAAAAGAACAGGAGGTAAGAGCGTGAAGGTACTTTGGACGATGTACGGCATGAGCTTGTCGGTTTCGTTCTCGGCTTTGGCTCTCGCGATATAGCCTATGACTTCCACTAATTAAGGTGAGCAAAGGATACCGAGAAGGGAGAAAATTGTGGTGTTTGACGCACTAAGACCGCCCACGAGAAATGGAATACAGAACCACAGTCTGAACTTGTACAGTTTGTATCCATGCGCGGCCGTGATAAACAGGAAGAGAATGATGAAAACTACAGATGCAGGCAAGGAAGGTACATAGTGCCAAACATAGTAGCCGCTCTTGAGAGGCTTTAACACGGCCATTGTATGATGTCGAAAAATATATTCAGGCGAATCCAGACCAAAGGAAATCTGTGCTTAGTAGCCAAATGGCTAGTCTGGTTGTCGAGGTGCTTTGGGGAATATGAGGGAAGCATCTTGGCTGTGAGTAACGAAGAGATTTAGGTATATATAGGAAATCCGCTGATGCCAACGATGTGACATATTTCATCTGTACGCGTATAGATAGACCCTCAGATCTACGACGGGAACACGAGTACGGGGCTAAGCGATAGTGGGTCCTCATATGCCGCAACTTGCCAAACCTGTCCAATCATAATCGTCTGTATCCGCGTATAGCTTCGCCGTCCACGAGCCCCTTGCGCCGCAACGGCTCTTAGTCGCGGAAGCTAAAGCATATGTTTTGCAAAGGTCGCAGTGCCTGATATTTGCAGTGGATAAGTCTTTTGAGACGAGACCTTGTGGAGGCATCACAGCCTCAGCCTACAACATACATGGGGGCAGGGGATGGGCTACAAAGTTACATGCTTGCGACAACTCTTGCACTACAATCTCCACTACATCATTCTTCATCCCCAGCGTTCACCTTCAGTCTTGGAAAGATAGATGCTACTTCTTGAGTAGACTTCTCTTTCACACAGCCAATTGCCAGAATAGTAGATCAAGGCTCAAATTATTCGGAGTGCTTTTCAAACAGTTCTAAACCAAAGCTGAACACGTGCCCCGCAGCTCATGCCAGCCAACATTCATGCATGGAACCTTTGTTTTGGCCCCCAATGATCTAAGCCTTAGCTGCCTAGCTCAGCGAACACCTTCGTCAACATCATGTTGATTCCACAACTTGTGCGACTTACTGTGCAGAACTGTGTACAAGACTGGAACACAAACCACATGAGTCAACAGCCACTCGTTAAAACCTATTATCTGTCGTCATTTTTACTAAATCCTCTGGGTGGCTGTGGAATACTATGGAGAGCAATGCCAGTACCATGGAGACTCCCGAATTGCGAGAATCCACAATGCCTTTTCGTCCTAAATGTTCGAAGGACTGGGAAGATCGACGTGAAATCATCGAGCAGCTCTACTGGCAAGATGACAAGGAGCTGCCAGAAGTCATGGACCTCATGAAGGCGATCCACGGTTTCCAAGCCAGGTATCATACTTTTTGGATCATGCATGATTGCGGTAGTGCTGATAAACCACAGCAAGAAGCAGTACAAAACCAAGTTTCGCCAATGGAATATTCGAAAGAATATTAGTAGCCAAAAGAAGAATGCAATGTTAAGCATTCAGGAAAGGAGAAGATTGGTGACGAACAAAGAGACCAAATTCCTGTACCACGGTCGTCTTGTCGCTCAGTACAAGCTCGACAGGTTCGAGAAGAGCGCAAGCTGTACAAATCAGACAGGGGAAGTTGACGACAAGGCTGGTGTCCAAACACCTTCGGATGTTGAATACAGAACGCCTTCACCGGCAGTAGCGCCGGGCCCTACGGGTCCACCCACAGATGACTATGCGGAGGGCTCGATTGGTCCAGGAGATGACCTGGAGATCAATTTGGCCACGATCTTGATGAATCAAACATTTCCGTTCTCGATAAACGATGAGTCCCATTTTGCGAACACAGACACCACAGCCAACGGCGCAGTCGGGGATGTACAAACCAGTACTACGAACTGGTACGCCAGACAAAGAGGCCCCTGGGACAGCTTGTTCTTGGACTCTGACCACGATTACTACCACCATGAACAAGTAGATTATGATCACACCCAGTGGGGAAACATGCCAACCTTGCTAGATTCGAATTACGCAGTACGGCCAGCATCGACCATAGACCCTTCGGTCTTGAGCTCTGAACATGCTATGAACTTATTCCCCAGCGACGGGTTGTCAAGTTTCAATCACGTATTTGACACCAAATTGGAGCTCGAGACATCATCTAGACAAGAAAATATCTTGCATGAAGTTGACAATACTACTAGTCGATCATTGTCAACTCCACTTCAGGAATCTACTGCGGTCGCTGATCTGTCTATTCCATCACAAGAAAAGAGTAAGGCGGATGGCTCCGACTCTGACAAAGCAGAAAACAAGAAGAACACTACGATATCTGCCCTAGAGCAAACGGCCTCGTCCACGTCTCAAAACTCCAGACAATTAATTATTGCAGACACCACGGAGTCTAGAGAGAGGAGGTGGGAATGTAACCGACGAGCGCAGAAAGCATTCCGTAAGTTCTCTTTCCCTGGCAGTCATTTTCCTCGTTGGTCCACTAATATCGGAAAAAATACAGGTAAGAAGGTACGCGAGCAGAAGGAGCATGCCGAACGTGAGCGCCAGAACCAGCAGCATGCTGGGAACAGCTATTCCATCCCTGGGTCGACAGAGCCTTGGGCTGCAGATGAAACGTGCGGTCTGCCGTGGGGCTCCATAAGTATACGGCACGTGATGACGCGAGGCCATGAGAGCGAGAGTAGGAAAGGTGGTAGCGGGGACGACTGGAGCGATGGCAGCCAGGAGACGGTCACGGGGAGCATGCTTGAAGGTCTAACATCAATGGCTGTTCAAGATGATTGAACTTGACGGACGACCTGTGACCACAGAGTAGCTTATCTGTGTTATCGGTACACCTACTAAGAGACAGAGCATTTCTTTTTGCAGATATCCTATACAGTGCGGCGTTGAATTCATTTAGGCGAAACCGAGGCTTTGAACGAATTCCTCATTGCTTTGCTGGGTGCAGTAATCACTTGAACACCAGTGGGCAAATGTTCTGCCCCCTACTTCTATGGTTTGAGGCTGAACAGGGGACATCCAATACGCGCACTTGTGACCTTCCAAGTGTTCGATATGGGGCGACCTTTAGCTCACTAGGTTGAACCGATTTGGTAGCAGTATTGAGTGTCTGGTCCTCATCGTGTCACATAGGTACGTACCATAGACAACTTTACATAGGAGTACCCAAACCCTGGCTGTGAGCTGGAATGCAAGTCTGAGTGGAGACTTGAGAATATGTGGAAGACAAAGTTTGCGTCTCTGGAGGGTGTCTTGATGAGTCTAAGAGGCCGCCTTCTAATAGAAAGGGGAACAACTCCGTCAATGGTATGTGCTTAGAATGTCGGCGAAAGCTCCTCTGATCCGTAATTCGCGCTTCCTTGTCAACAGTTAGCCAGGAAACCTGCCGGGGTGGCCAGGCTGGTAAGGCACCTCACTTGCTAGGCATTGTTACGTCTCTTGCTCTACCTCTTAGCCACACTCAGAGGGGACCCCGGGCACAGCTCCCGGCTCCGGTATTTACTTTCTTCTTCTTCATCCTGTCAGCTTTCACTTCTCATAAGTTTTGTGCTATGCGATCGAGCAACAAGGCTGCTGGTGATCTCCACGATTGGCAATGGCGCTTGTGCAGGTTATATGCTAGCACTGGTGTTCACATACATAAAATGCTACCTACGATTGTAAATGTCTACAAAATACTCTACAGCGGGTTTCTAGAGGTTTCGCCTACAATTAACATACTCTAACGGGGTTGCACCACGAATGTGCGGGTGATCTACACCTTCACCCAGGATGAAGGTAATTAAACCTCTAGCGAACTAGGTCGCTAGGTAGGTGAATTGATTCGGGAAGAGGAGAGCTTTCAGAAAGCGAGTGAACCGGAGAAAAGCATCTCACCCCTGGGGTATGGTATGGACTTCTGAGTGGTAGGCAGACTGGTCAGTGGGAGTTCAAGCTTACTATCTTGAGCTGCAGCAAGCCGTCACAGACGAACTTCAAGAATAGGGGCATTAGCATCATTTGATTCATGCAGTGTTCTTGATTGACTGTGAGACCAACCCTAGATGTTTCCATCGCAACCCAATTCAATCAACGCCTCCGTCCTCGCAGGCAGTCGTGGTTCGTGTCCGTCGTCTCATTGTTGATGATTCTTTAGTAGAAAATGGAGGTGCTACTAGTATCGGTATCTGGTAGAGTAGTCCTTGGGACTGACGACCAAACCACGACCCTTCTTGGCGCCCTTGTAGATGGTCTCGCAGATGTCGATCAGCTCTTGCTTATCCTCGAGCACAAAGTTGAGCTTGTTGTTGTTTCCGGTACCCAGATCGATCATCATGTGCTTGTTGCGGAAGAACCACATGATTGTGCAGGGGTCGTACAGCTCGTACATCTGGTTGAAGTCGGGGACCTGGTCGATGTCGCACAGGTAGATGACGCAGTAGTTCTTGACGCGCTCGGCGATCTTGAAGAGCACCTCGTCCTGGCGCATGCAGTCCGGGTCCCAGTCGCGACCGAAACGGATGCACACCAGGCGCTCCTCCTCGCTGAGAATGGCCTGGTCGACGTGCCAGCCGGTGGTGAGATGGGGGAGGACGACGGAACCCATGGTGGGATGAGAGAACCGAGACGGTGCGACCGACCGACGGTGTTGTGGCAGGTGTTGCAGCGGATTGCGCGGGGGTTGGGCCTTTGAGCGCTGCGCAAGATACCAAAGGTCTTCAGAGGCGGTCGCAAGTCTACAAGGAGCGACACGTGCTTTGATGAGAGACGGTGTGTGAGCAAATGCGACGATGCAAGAAGACGAGTCGACTTTTGGCGTTGCGCCTGACAGGGCAGGGCGAGGCGCTATGTAGCGGGGCTGGAGTTACCTAAGTTACTGTGTAAGGTACCTGGAGAGCCGCAGCGGGTCCAACAGCGGGGCTGTCTGCAGTGGGGCGACCCGGCAGACAGCGAGTGGGAGTGGCCGGGCCTGGGTTGAGGTACTGGGGACCTACCTAGTTAGCTCAAGTTGGTCGTCAGAGCGGCAGGCGGTCAATTTTTTCCAAAGATCTCGGCCGGCAGAATCGCAGGTTTGTTTCGATACCCAGACGAGGCGTGGGGTTGTTGCTGAAAAGAACTGCATACATGGTCATGTACTTTGTCTGAATCGAGGCCATAACACGTTCGTTCCTCGCTCACGCCGCCAAGAACGCTGTGCGAGCTCATGACGTGATCTATCCATAACCAAACGCCTCAGCCCCGACGTTGCACCCAGCGCCCGGCCTTCTGCCCATTCCCGCCCTCCCGTTGCGCCGAGTACCCCGTCCCGAGATGAAGCGGAAGAGAATCTTGGGCGGCGCGGAGCCCGCGAACCCCGACCAAGTCGACACTACCAGGCCGCCCAAACGGAAGCGGAATGTCGTCCACGAAGCCCCGACCTCGGAAGAGGTATACTCGGCCAGGCAGTTGCGGCAGCTGCTGACGTTCGAGCAAGACCTGCGAAAGTCCAGACATGGCCTCCAGTCCTTCAAGGACTTACTCGACGGCATCTACAATGAAGCCGGGGAGAAGGACGAGGCCAAGATGGAAATCGTCGTCCAATTCCTCGACATGACCAAGCCAAGAGCGGCCGAGACCGAGACCGAGGACGAGGCGCCTGTCTACCTGGCAGACATCATGGAGGCATGGAGTATGGCTTCGCAGATGAGCAATGAAAACGTCATGTCGGCTGTCGCCGTAGTACTGGCTCTTCTTTTGAAGCTCATATCAGCCCATGTCGAGCTCGTGCCTAGCGGCCTGGGAATCGCCCGAACCATCTTGCAGAGACGCCAGCAGGAACTTCTGGCCAAGAATCTCTCTGCCGACAAAGGAAAGGATTTTATAATATCGCCGACGTTGAGATTGCTCAGAGAGGTCATCTGCCTGGATGGTGGCGCGCTTGCCTTGCCGGCCTTCCGCGCGAGGACTTACACCCTCAAGTCGCTGGCTCGAAACATGGGACTGCGCTTTCTGGGAGACGGCATTGAGGACCCCAAGAGACCTAGTGTCAGGACCAATGCAGTCAGAGTCTTTCTCAGCTGTGTGAAATTCATTCACGTCGAAGCCAAGCGGGATCTGCTGTCGCAAAAGGACCTCGTTGCTGCTTTGATGCGCAGCCTTCGGGATGATCCTCCTTACTTGATCTTCGAGGTATTGAATACGTTGAGAAGCTCCGTCGTCTTGGACCAGAAGCTCTCCAAGGATGTCAAGATACGACTGCTGAACTCGCAATCCCTGGCGCGCATCGCTTCGCTGTACACCTACAAGCATCAACAGTCTGCGGAAGAAGATAGCCAGTCCGTTGCCCAGGCAGCCCATGATTTCTTAGTAGCTGCCTGCACCAGTCCGTCTGCTGGAATTATTCGGTCTCAAAACGGTTACTATCCCGACGGTCTTGACCCAGATGTCTTGCTCAACGCTCAAAGCGATGGGGCCGGTCTGCTTGGTTTGGAAAGTGTTTCCTGGATTGACAGTTTCGTCGACGAGGTCCCAGTGCGCAACACTCTGCTCTCCGATTTTATCCAGACCTTGAGACCATGGTCGAGTCTAAAACAGAATGAGCTTCTTGTGGCGATCCTGTCGGCTTGTCCTGAGCTGATTGCCAACTACTTTGCCAATAAGAAATCTTTCAGTTTCGACCCCAAACTGTCGGCTACGTGGATAGGCTATTCTACATTGTTGTTCAATACCATTCGCCTAGATATCCCGCAGTTCTTCGGCCACTCCAAGAAGTATGCTAGGTTACCGCCACCGACCGCCGTCGTACTTGGCAACATCCTCCCGCTTCCACTCGAGCTCAAGGCCCTCTCAAAATGTCTAAGTCAGAAGTCCAACCTGGTTTCGTTCTTTGCAGTTCGCATACTCGTTATATCTCTTGAAAAGCTTTCGACTGCATTGGACATGCACAGAAAAGCATCTAATGCATCTGATACTATGTGGCAGGACGCTTCGCGCCGCCTCATCGATGAGTTTTGCCGGAGAGTGCCTAGTATCAAGGAAGTCATTACTGCTTATCGGGCTTTGTCGGAGGATGATCTTCTTCAACGAGTTGCCGCGAGCCGACTGCTGGTACTGTACCACGACGTCATTCCTCAGGCTGCTCTTGGGGCAAAATTCGATTTCTCTCCCGTGCTGTCAGCGGCCATTAAGAGATTCGAGTCCGCCCGTGGTAATGGAGAAGAAGCTTCCTTGCGGCTACTGGAGCTAGAGAACCTGTTCACCATGGCGAAATACTCTCCAAGCATGAAGTGGTTCGCCCGCAGCGACAAGTCTCAAGCTTCGCCGTTTATCACCCTTCTTAGTCTCTACACAGATAATTCCCAAGGATTTGCCACGCCAAACGTGCAGAGGATCCTCGGTTTCATTGCTGAAGAGCACGAGCTCGTCATACGCCTTTCAAAGGTCACTGGCCTGCGACCTCTGCTTCTCGCCCTAAGAACGCTTCCTGATGTTGATCCAGGTATCTGGACATTCCTTGACAACTGTTCAGATCGTTGTGCCAGATCTCCAGTCAAATATCAGGAACTGATATCTGAGTTGGTTGTTGAGAATTCCAAGGACGGAGATGGCGCAGTAGAGGATGCGCTGAGTCCCCTATTAATGACAATGGTGGAACAACTGCCATTCTTCGTGTCCTCAACCACCGACAAGAAATCGCTGGTCAACATGGCGGATTTTCTCTCTAACTACCTTGGTTATACCAAAGCAGCCGGAGGTAGCAAGAAGCTACTAAAAGCAGTTCTTGACAAACTTTCATCAGCTCTTGGAGACTCCAAGGCACGAAAACACCTTTCCATCTTAGACCAGACAACATCTCCGGATGAGATGGATATAGACCAGGTGCCCCAGCAAAAGGTCATGGCTTCAGAAGACGATGAAAACGCCCGCTTGAGCGAGGAGCAGCTGCAAGAAGTGCTTGCAGTCCCAATTACGATTAGCAAAGACAACAGTGCCTTGGTCAAGTGGACTTCAAAATCGCCAGAGGAGCTGGTTGAGGAAGGCTACACTGCCTCCGTTGTCTGGCTTCTCGCGTCTGAACACCCAAGTATCCGCAAAGAAGCTCTCACAAGTGTCATCAAGATAGCGGCCAAGATCAAAGAGTCATCTTACGAAGAAAGTGAGCAGGTATGGCTCCTTCTCTCGGAGCTGATTGAGACGGTCAGGCACAGTGATGGAGCCACAATACCTAACTCACTCCTTGCGTTTGTGTGCCGTGCGCTTGATGTGCTCAAGGTTCCCACACACTGCCTGTATCCCAAGTTGAACACTTTCCTCACCCGTGGTCCGGTTTGGGATCTTGAGAAGATTCCACTGGTGCAGGATATCCTTCAAGAAGGACCTACAGAAGATGACGCCTACTATACGGAGCTCAGCTGGTTATTCAACTACCTCTTGGACAGTTTACGGACGACGGAGGATGTGGGACTTTTCCACAAGCGGAAAGTTTTTGAGCGACTCTTTGCCCTCAACTCCAATCCGTATATGGGACCCAATCTGCGCATACAAACCCTGAAAATCATATACAGAGTCAGCTCCATAGAGGGGGGCAGTGATACCTTGATCACTCGATTCGGGGTGATCAGTTGGTTGGAGTCTCAGAAGGCCGTGTCAGGCAGCGATGCTGGCCTGTGTCATGCTTTGCTGAAGAGGCTATGGGCAACATGCGATCAGAACAGGATTTCGACATGGAGCCGTAATGCAGTTAAAGATTTGGCTGAGAAGTGATGTGGATAGGGGCAAGAACTTGAATGGCATGCTTCAACATGGAGGTTCAAGCTAACTAACCTATATACCCTTGGATCTTATTTAACGAAAGAAAGTACTGGCCAAAAACCGAGATCTCAAGCGTAAAATGTGAACAGAACCGTTCTATCGACAAAATAATATCTGATCGTGAGATGCTATCAGGTTCGACCGCCAAGAAATGTCTCATGCCGACAGACGGAGCTGATATCCGGGAACCACTTGCCCCAAAAGGTAAGAGCCACATTCGCGATGTTGGCCGCGCCGCAACCTGAGGCGAAGCTGGACAAATTCAACGTACCATAGGCGTGCACCAGCAAATCCGAGACTGCTCGAAACACTTATACTCTGAATTCTTGAGTTACTAGTTTCCCCACTCGCAGCCGTGAACATGTCCGCTCCCGCCATTAGTAGCTCCACCGCGAGCCCGCCCTCATTCGAGATTCGCGAGGAACTCATCCCCGAGGACACCTCGTTCATCACGGCGGCCTTTGACTCGTGCGTCGCGCACCTGGCCGCGGTCGACTGCGCCGGCATGTGGGGCACGCAGCCGTTCTCGGAGAAGGACGGGTTCGCGGACAGCGTGCGCGACGACATGGTGGTCGCGTCGGAGCGATTCCGCAACAGCGGCTCCACAGGGGAGGCCGTCGAGGACAAGGTCCGGACATTCATCGCCGAGGCCCGGGTGGGGCCCGGAGCAGACGCTGGAGATGGCCTCGACGACAGTGGATTGCATTACCGGGTCTCCGATGACGGTGGTATCACGGTGCGGTATCTGCAGGTCGGCGCCGTGGTCGTGCATCTCGACTGGTTTCCACACTACATCGAGTCGCAGGCCGGCTTCGCAGCGCTGGTAGGTAAGGCGAAGGAGGCGAGAAGTCAAGGGGCTCCCTCGGTCTACATTGAGGTCATGGTGTCCGACTTTCGGGTTGGACACGCTCGCAGAGGGGTTGGCACCGCCTTGATGGGCCGGGTCCGAGAGTTTGCGGCCGAGCAGGGGGCAAAGACGCTCTTCGTGGATTCATGGTCGGGGAACGGGGGGCGGTTGGTCAGGTAAGTGCTGAATTCCTTCACCTCGCTATGCAGTTGGTCCCCTTTTTGAGGTCGGTTGTAGTCTGAGAGTTGTGGCTTGTGAAATTTGACAATCAGGTGCACGTTTGCGAGGTAATCCACGCCTTGTGACAACAAAGGGTGGGTTGGAGGTGATCAAGGGTTATGGACTGCAAGGCTGACTTTACTCCAAGGTACTACGAGTCTCTGGGCTTTGTCGCTGTAGACGATTTCTTGGTTGAGCGCAAGAACAAGGACCCGTGGCCTGGAAAGTTGCTCCGCATGGATCCCTTGTAGGAAGAACTACGTGAAACCGTCGACGGTATCAAGATGAACTGCAAGCCAACGAGCGCCTATGCCGTTAGCGAGATATCAACGTGTGCCACTTGGACTGCTCAACATCTATACAATAAACGCAAATGTATTGCCTGCTCGAAAGCTGTTTGTATAAACACTTGTCACTACGCCTGATTAGATTTCACTCAAGATCCTGATTCAAGGGACACAGAAGGGATAAAGGTACAAGTGTATAGAAAGTCTATTGATCAATATCGTGTACATCCTCAAGAATGTCAATTTTCCCTCCCAACGCCAATCATGAGTTGCATTTCCACAGGCAATCGTCCCAGATTCAGTGTCAGGGGTCTTTATAGTGCTACAATGGCAACGAAGGCTGCAAGGAATGCGACGCCGAAAGACTCAATGCCGGAAGCCATGCTGATGGGCACAGTAGACTTGGGTGATGTGCTACCAGTACCGGTGCTGTTAGAACCACTACCGGCAGTACCCGAACCGGAACCGGTGCCTGAGCCTGAGCCAGTACCGCTGCTACCACTTCCAGTTCCAGAACCCGAGCCAGATGAGCCCGATCCGGAAGTTGCAGAAGGGCTGGCAGCGTCGGTACCACTAGCTGTAGCCTGTGAGTTGATGCCACTGACGCCCGGGGAGCCGCTGGTGTCGCCAGCAGAGCTTGTTGCCTGCGAAGAACCGGAAGCGCTTCCAGCAGTCGCGGTCGAAGAGGAACCAGCCGAAGAGGATGAGACTGGCTTGACATCCTTGCAGCTCAAATCGTACAGCGGCGTGTTGCTCAGTGTGCTGCCGACGACACCAAATGAAGGGTTGGGCGTGTCAGGAGAGGCATCCTGAAGAGTGAACCACCAGGTGTTGACCTTGCCAAAGAGCTTCTCGCAACCCACAGCGTCCCAGAAGGCCTTGGCATTCTCAGTGCTGGGTTCAGCCTGCCCGACGGTCTTGCCACTAACAGGCCAGCCAGTCTCGGTAACCCAGACAGGCTTACCACCGACGGCATTCTTCGTCTGGCCGATAGCATCGTCGAAGAGAGAGCCGCCCTTTCCGATATCGTTGACCATGGTGTCCTGGAAGTAAGGGTAGGCGTCGACACCAATCCAGTCGCAAGCATTAACAACACCTGAGTTTGAGCCGTTCACCCAAGCCGTCCAAGTGTCGACGTGACCAATCTGAGCCCCAGAGAGAGACGTGCCCTTGAGGGCATCTCGAACCTGCTTGATGTAGCTGACGAGGGTGTCCGGCTCAGCACCGACGTATGAACCGGCCTTGATCCCCATAGGACTGTTTCGGTAAAGATCCTCACTGCCAATAGAGATGCCATCGACGATCTTGGTGAAAGAGTCACCGTATTTCTCAACAGCAGCGGTCAAAGCCTTGAGTTCGTTGTCGAAAGAGGCCTGGCCAGCAGAAGCCCAGAGGCCGAGAAGCAGCGAGGTCTTCGTCTTGATGGCGGCTGGAATTGCTGAAATGGGATCACTCGCAGAGCCGGCTTGCTGTTGTCAAGGTGATTAGCCCAAGGCTATTGCAATGTGGGTCTGTATATCGGGAAGACTTACGACCATGGTGTAGAGACGGGCGCTGGTGAAGCCTGAAGTGCCCACTAGACTCTGAGCAGTCGTGAACTCTGCTTCAAAGTCAGATTGCTGCTTTCCCTGACCATTAGTGAAAGTTGAGCCATAGTTGAAGCCCTGGACAGCCGCGGAAACCGTCGTGGCCAACGCTAGAAGCCCAGTGGTGTACATCTTGATATTTTGGTGGAAGGGTTAAAGAGAAAACAATGTATGACCGGTTTCCCAGTGATAAAGATACTTGAAAGTGAAGTGTGAGATATGGAGTAAGCTCGTTTGCCTTATGCCCGTCCAAAGTGTCCCGAAACAAAGGCGTTGGGTAATTGCGATCGAGACCCAGGCACAGTACAAAGAAGCGAGCGGGTGCTAGGAATTCTGCAGGCCTAAGTGAATAGTCGACAAGACTATACAGGTGGGTAATAAAGAAGGTCCGGAGCGGATGAACGAATGTGTTGCCGTGTCTGTTGTATGCGAAAATGACGACGACAGGAATTACAAAGGCTATGGAGATGTAACGGGTTGAGAAGACAGTTGGGATGGAGAGGAAAGAGAAAACCAGGATTTGATCCAACACGAGACCTGACGTGTTCGCTTATTTGTTATGCTCTCCCGAAGGGCGTGCCTTCTAACTCACGCATACACACCATCGAATTCCTCGCTTGAACCTCTCATTCGTCCAGTCTCTCCACACACACTGACTTGCACAGGACGGGCTTGCAGCCACCATGAGTCCGGCTTTCGCGGGATCGGATCCTACCATCGGGACTGGCATACTGGCACTGCCCAGCGTGAATCGATCATGCAACTAGACACGAACATATCGCGTGTGATTCACAGCTGAAGAAGAATTGTTGCCCTGAAGATCAAAATTGCATTTACTTCCTTACTCTGTCCCGTTCGTAGACTCTGGAAATACCTTCGTCCCTCACTTCACACCAGGGCAGACGGTCCTGCGGGCGCCCGTGCCTGACAGAAGCACCACAGAGCTAGCAGGGGCAGCCCCCGTAAGCCATGTTGCTAGCTGGGAACAAAAGGGGCAACGATCGCTGACTCCAGGACGTCAGCCCAATCCAACCAACACCATCGCAGGATCTAGACCACCTAAATTGGCAACAGTCCCGCTGCGTTCGGCTGTTGTTTCCCCTGAGCGCTACTCATTCCTGGCCACAATACAAGCTTTTCCAAGGCAGCGCACGAGCAATGCCGCGTTGGGTCCACCCCCAGACTCACTGATCCGATCGGCTTGTGAAAGCGAAAGGGGGAAGCTGGCTTGGTCAGGCCATGTGAAGCCCCGGGCAGGAATGTGATGTGTGTTTGTGGTATTCGTGGCATATGTCACCTCGTATCCGATTGCCAAAGCGTACGCGCGCGTGAGCTGCACGAGTGACAGGGAAAAAATGTCTCGTTTTGTTCCGTTTCGTTTCCTTGGATGTGCAAAGCTATGCAACTAACCAGAACGCCACTCAAGCCACTTGACTAAGACGCGCGACATGCCGTTTGTGTGTGGTGTGGTGGATGAGTGATTGGTTGTGTCCGGTTTTGTAGTACGCCTGTCCCGGGCGCCTGAAAGAGTGGGAAAGGGACGGGGACAGGCAAGACAGGGTTGAACGGGGAAAAGGGTCCCCCTCCTTGGAAGTGCAGGTCGCTTTTGTTCCTGCATTCGCGCCGCCGGTGGTGCGATGTGGCGTAGGAGGTCTTGGGCTCCTAATCCAAAGCTGGTTGGTTGGGCAGAACTCGATCCCTCTCGATCACCTTTCCTTGCTTTAACACAAAAACAAATGCATCCCACATCGGGGACAGTATGCTGAACCGTAAAGAGCACGGTTCAACCCATACACAGTATTAATAACATCCTCTGGCCGAGTCTTGGTGAGGATTGAATCCGCCTGTTTAGTGCCATTGAACTCTTTATGCTCGACTCCCTTGTCACGGTCTGTCCCGTATTCACTGAGACGTATTCTTGAATGCATATTTCTTCCTGTCGCCCACCCATGTACGCGGATCGTTGCCAAGTCGCGTTTCTTCTGGCACTTCAGAATGGTCATTCCCCAGAGAGCGGCCTCTTGAATCCCGTGTTAATAATACATGAATTCATAGTAATTTAGGCGGATAGGTAGACAGGTTGTCTCTTTCCGTAATATTCATCATTCATGAGGTGGTCTACTAGTTAGTGTATTAGAACCACAGCTCCCCTGGGTATCATTCAATCATACGAAGCCCCTGATTCCTCGAATGCCACTGGACTTCTTCCTCTCCTTGTCGTCCTTTTTCTCTTTTCTCTCCTTTCTGACTACATTTTGTACGCCACCTTGAAATAGTTAGCCAGGTACATTATAGACTGCAGGACTGCTCACCTCTGCCGTGATATCGTTCTGCTGCGGGGCTTGACTTGCCAGCCGTTGACCCGGACCCCTCGGTGAGTGCGGGTGTTGAAGGTCGTGGAGTGTGGTCCCTTAGTACCGCATCGTAGGGCTCAAGTGGTGGTGTAGGGTTGTAGGAGGCTGCCTCAAAGGCCTCTGGATCGGAGAAGACACGGTGCTGGCGGTTTCGGAAGCTCAAGGGACTATCATTCTCTGAGGATAAGAGAGACACCTCGACATCGGAAGAGCTTCGCCGTTGCGGATCAGATACTGATCGGGTCGGCATCGTGGACTGGAGTTCCAGGAGTGTGGCATTGAGAGCCGTGTTCTTCCTCGTCAATTGGGTGATCCGCTTCTTGAGCTCGTCTTGTTGAATCCTGCTTGTTGCTAGGGCACTTTCCATGTGTGCCTTGAGGTTATCTTCGTGGCGCTCTGCCCCGTTTTTCAACGCGTCCTGAAGCTTCGCGTTGAGCACGGCAATCTGGGATTGATAGAGATCGTGAGTCTGCTGTAAATCGACGTCACTTGCATCCAGCTTCCTTTGCAGTACTTCGGCACGACTATCTGCCTGTGTGGCGCGTGTCATTGCCCCTTGGCGTTTGGTCTCCTCAGCGTTTAGAACCCGTTCTGACTTGGTCAGGCGATCCACCTCGAACCTTAGCCTGTCCAACTCGTTCTTGTTGGCCTCGACATATTGCATCTGCTGTTTTAGTCCCAACTCCCTGACCTCAGCGTCACAGACGATTTTACGTAGTGCTTCCGCCTCGGCCTTGGCCTTTGCTAGGTCATCTCTGAGTGTTTCTGCCTCCGCCAGCCATTTTCTCTGCTCTTCACGGATTGTCCTCAACTTGGCAGATAGGTCAGCCTCCCACTTTTTGGCCAGCGTTCGACTCCGTTCGGATTCTGTCTTGACCTGTGACTCGGTTTTCTTGGCGTCCTCAAGTCGTTTCTTCAAATTTCGATTTTGCATGATCAAGTTCTGCGCCTCAGCCTCGGAAGCAGCCTCTCTCACTTGCCTCCTTCGGAGCTCTCCCATGTGAGTTAGGTGTTGCTGCTTCATGAATCGCTCGAACGTGAGGTCGTTGTGGAGTAAAAGGATCTGACGGTAGAGGTGATTTATCTGTGTGTCCTTGGCTTCGGCAGACGAGGTCGCAGCAGTCATAGACTGCAGGCTTGGCCGAGCGGCTACCGTTGGTTTCTCCGCAATAGAATCTTGGTGGCTCAACGCTAGGGATGGAACACTGTCATTAGCCAACGACTGGTTGAATGTTGACTTGATGGCTTTGTTCGAGTTGATCATGTCTTGCAACTGCGTGAACGAGCCGGTTGAGGGAAGTGTTGGGCTCTCAGCAGCCCTGGCAGATGGCCGCGTACTTGACGAGTCTCGCTGAGACTGGTGACTGCTCTGCGATGATTGCCGAAACAGTGTGGACTGCACTCGGCTACTCGTCGGCGACCCGATTGGCATGGCCTGTCCATTCCGCCAGCTTTCACCCTGAAACCCACCATGGGGTGAAGCTCCAAGAGGAACGGACCTACTCAACAGAGCCGCTTCAAGGCTATCTCTTTCACCATCATCTTTGATAGAGAGGAGTGGCGGTTCTTGAACCCCGAACTGCGAAGACATTGAAAGAGATGCCGAATCCGAAGGCAGACGCAACGCCATGCAGTCAGCGACAACTTCGGCAGGCTCGCTCTTGATCCATCTCCCAAAGTCGGTTTTCTCAGACTCTATGGTGAGGGTATAGAAATTTTCGTGGAGTGCATGGCACTGACGAAACTGTTCGGACGCGTGCCGGATCTCTGTTGGTTGTACTTCTATCTCATGTGAATCTGGCGCCTCAGCATGGCGTAGATACCGCTGTGGTTTCCGGATATAGTCCATGAAGTTGATAGGGTACAGGCCATAGAGAATGGTGAAGTAGTTGAGGAGCTGCGGAACGGATCCGTCGTCGAACTCGGGAGAGTATGTCATGGTCTCCCATGATACCGCACCGGGAGATAGTCGCCGCTCCGCTATCAAATCGGCTCCGAGTTCTGCAGCTGAGAGCTCTCTTTCCCAGAACAACAGCCGCGCATATATGTTAAACAGCGTAGGCAAATATGGCACGAGGGAGCTTGGCATGTGAGGAAGGACCATGGTTAGAACCGTCAGCGCCAGCGAGACCACAGTCGTGGATGTATCTAGCTGGAGGCAGTTCATCAAGGTATTGAAGAGGGGAGTCTGTAAAACCAGATGCAAATGGGGCGGGCGGTTTCGGATGAAGTCGGAAATCAGATGGAGAGTTCTCGCGCGACAGTCCTTCTTGACCAGAAACTTGTCGACTATGGTCATGAAATCCCTTGGTCGTTTCTTGCCGAATATCAGGAGTGTTTCACGGAGCTGCTTCTCCCGGAAATTCCCTAGGGCGTCTTCAGACCTGCCGGCCACCTCGCAATCCTTGATCCAGAGGGCCAGCATCTGCTCCGCCAGAGGCACGGCCGCGCTGCCGCCGGGGTTATCGCCATCTTCGCCAGGGTCGGCAGTGAGGATGTCCAGAACAGTTGCTTGGCCTTCTTCTGCCAGGTCCTTCTCCTGGTTCATATACTGTAACGCCGGCTGCAACAGGTGCCACCACTTGACCGTCCTTTCAGGATGCGCAATCAAGGGCCTCAGACGGCGGAGTATATTCAGGAAGGGCCCGTAGCGGGAAGGGTGGCCCAAGACTTCCTTCTCGAAGATGGAGATGAGCTCCTCATGGATCTTCTCGGAGATGCTCTCGTCATGCTGCTCGTGCTTCTGGAGGTAGCCATCGATGATTTCGACCAGTTCGTCGGGCAGGGGAAGCGAGGCTTGCGGGATGAAGGCGTGGATGGCCTTGGTGAGCTCCTTGAAGGACCTACGGGGACGTTAGTGCCGCACGGCGCAAGGGACGGACGAGGGTGCGTGTGCATACGGGAGAGCGGCCATGGCTGCTACAGGGACCGCCGGTGCCGACTCATATACTTTGCATGATCGTGGGCGCTGAAGTTGCTCAAACCTAGTTGTGCTCGTCTGGGCTCGCTGGCTTGAGTATCAGACGGGAAGGCTGCAGGTTGACATGCTCCGTCCGAGCTGCAGAGCGGCACTACCTACGGCGGACAGTCGTCAGAGGGGCATTGATGAATCAGAGGGCCCCAAGTGGGGTCGGGTCAGGCGGATTCGCGGCAGGCCACGGGCCACACGGGCCACAGGCTGCACACAGGCTGCACGCAACGCTGAGGGCCCGCCAGCCAGAGACCCAGGCCAGCCAGACGAGGCCGGGCATCAGCACACAGTCATACGACAACGCGCCCAGCAGAGTCGTACTGCTCGTCGGTACAGAAAGAGCTGACACTCAGGCGTCCAGTGGGGATTTTGGGCCTTGCATGGATGGGCTAGCTGCCGTCGCCTGGGATGGTTGAGTCTGGGCGTACCCAACGCCCATCGCGGTGCAGGTGTTGATTGTGCCCAGGTGCAGAGAACGCAGGAATGCTTCACACTGTGTCGTCGCAGACAGTCCAGGCTGCTTTGCCATGTGTCTGGCACAGTCTCTGCACACGGCTCTGAAAGCCCCCACCCGCGAGCGATCACCCCGCATTTTCCCAGCGAGCAGACGAGCATCCCCAGATTCTGCTGAGTGGACCCGCCCGCTGATTCCGTACAAGTGCGCTGTAGGGTAGCTTAGCTGCTTAGCTCTAGCTGCTGGGGCCAGGCGGCCGGCCCTCTGCCGGGCCCTGAATCGTACGCCTGGTGGGGCAGCACGCAGCGCATGTAACTCCCACGCTGCGACATGACGGAAGGGACATCTTAAGATCAACGGGCGACTGGCCTGCACGCGTGACCTCCAGTGAGGGACAATGGGTGAGTTTAGCCCAATGAGGAGACCAGACAGCTGAACATCAATTCGACCCCTCCTTCTTAAGGGCCTTCTCGAGCTTACCTGTTCCCAAGCTCTTCTCCTCCTCTTCTCTGCCTTCATTCTGCTTTTCCAAAACAATCAGCCGTCCTGCCTTGATCATCTCCCCGCGGCGAACAAAGCTCGTTCGTGGTTGCTCAGCACTGTCACGCCTACTGTCCATCGGATTGACTCGTGAGACCACTTGATCAATTCCATCCCGCCCCGACTCTGATACTCAAACTTTCCATCCCGTCTGCTGCCCCTCACCTCACATCTTCACGACCATGTCAGCCCACAAGACTTCCGCGGTCTCTGATGACCCGGTCGATGTCCTCGTCGTCCTGCACGACAAGTTTGATCTCCTGAACTTTGCCAGCGTAACCCAAGTTCTGACCTCGGTCCTCCACGACAAGAGCGACCCCAGTAAGTGATGAAATGGCCTGCCAAGGATATATGGACACATCGCAAGAGCTACGTGCTGATTGTTATCCTTGTCTCTCAATACAGCCTCCAAGGCTTTCGAGGTCACGACCGTGGCTGCCGAGCCCAAGGTGCTCTCAGAGCAGGGTGTCGTCATTGGCACCCAGATCGCCTTCAAGGAGGCCTACGCTCAGCTTGACGACTACGATGTCCTCGTCGTTCTAGGCGGCAACAGCGAGGCCATCCTCAAGCAGAAGGCCGAACCCCTCCCCATCATCAAAGCCTACAGCGAATTGCAGATCAAGGATAACACCCGGGAGCGTACTCTCTTGTCCATTGACACTGGCTCCATCTTCCTTGCCGAGCAGGGCATTCTCTCCGGCTTGGCTGCTACCACCCACCCCGACTTCATGACTGCCTTCGAGAACATCTGCAGCCACTCGGCTGTGAGAGACGGCACAGACCGAACCGACGTGGATGAGATCGCCCGATACGTGGTCAACAATCTCCGCTTCGACATCGGTGACGAGGACGAGAACCCCTACATCCGCCGCAAGTCTGATGCCGGTAGACGCCCATCAGCTGGTGCTCGGTAAGCTACCCTGACACCGAGACGTGCAGACCTGGCTACGGTTTTGACCCGTGACTGACTTGAAACACTACAGCAAGGGAAGCATTTCCTTCAAGGGCATGTCCCGTCGCGAGTCAATCGCACGCCGCGCGGCGATGCGACTTGGTGGTCTTCGGGTCATCACGAGTGGGGGGTCTACTGCTGGCATTGATGCAACCCTGTATCTTGTCAGCATTCTGGTCGATGAGGAGGCTGCCAACGAGGCCGCCCGTGTCCTGCAGCACAATTGGGTCAAGGGCACCGTCGTAGACGGTTTGGATGTCTAAGGGATAGACAAAAGCGAAATGAGCGCAGGTCACAGTAAACCTTGCTCATATGGCACATAGATAAGGTAGATCAGATAGATCGGATGCCTTGCGAACAGTTGACAGAATCAATGTACAATTGCTTGTTGAATCACACATGTGCAAGTCCACCGAGCCCTTCCGGCGTCAGGCTGCATAATGAAGAATACACAATGCAAGAATTGATTGTGAGATGGAGCTCCCTGGTGAGCGGCTGGTCCCGAATGTCTAGAACCGGGGTTGAGCTGTAAGTGGGTCCCGAGGTCAGGTGGATCCCCGTCGGAATTTCATCCGCCGCGGCTCCGAAGCCAGACGCCAATCTCGAATTTGATGATTCTGGGAGTACAGAGCTTCGAGCGAGAGAGGGAGAAGGATCTGGCGGCGCATCGAAGCAGGAACCCACCTCAAATCAGACATCATGGCCGCAGCTACGGCGAGGACGTTCCGTACAGGAACGAAGCAAGTCTTCCTGTAAGCGAAGCCCCTCAATCGGTCCATTTTGTCCCTTTGCAAACCCGCAGACAACTAACACACAGCCGTCGTTACGCAGACCCGATCATGTCGTCGTCCTCACACGGCCACACCGCCCGCAGCCGCCGCAGTTCGCGACCTTCCAGGTGCCGCTCACCTTCAACAAGCTCGACATCCGAGACTACCTGCTGAACGCCTACGGCGTCAGCACGCGCGGGGTGCGCAGTCACATAGCGCAGCGCCCGCCGCGCCTGTCGCCCTTCACCGGCCGCCTCGGCCGCCCGCCGCCCATCAAGTACATGACGGTGGAGCTGGAGAAGCCGTTCGCGTGGCCCAAGGCGCCCACGGCCCCCGAGGAGACGGAGAAGTGGCACTCGGAGGAGATGCGCAACCGCATCGCCCTCGAGAAGGACGCCGACCGCCGCCGCAAGGTCTACGGCGAGAAGGGCGAGCTCATCACCCCCGCCATGCGCAAGCGCGACGCCGACCGCCGCATGCTCGCCGACCAGGCCGCCGAGCTGCTCGAGGGCCGCAAGAAGTGGGAGAACAATAGGGAGCTGGACCCCAGGTGGCGGACGGCCGACGCCGAGCAGGCTTCGTCGGAATCGAAATAGGGGGCGCCCGCGTATCATCTGTGGGAGGGTGGACGTTGTTGTACGATCTTGTGAAATAAGCTACGTGTGCAAATGGTTCGGTACTGGTATAAAGAAAGAATTGCGAATTATGGGTCTTGCATTATAGAAGAGGGCTACACATTCTACTACACCGGCTTCGTGGGGCAGAAGTTATGGGTGAAACCCACACCAGATGTCTTTCAAACAACCGGGCATGCCTCGATTGGGGCACAGATGGAGAGGCAGAGTGTGTCTCCGGGTATAAGACCTCGAGAAGTCCCCCGAGGCAAATGATCAGTACCAAGGGAAGCAGTCAGCAACCGAGAAAGAAGATCATAATGCATTGCAAGATATCCAAACTGAAGAGAAATTCATGGCTTTATGCTGACTGACAGCGTGATTCGCTTGGCACATCCGCGATCTCGTCCATCAATGTTTCGTAAGTCATTCCTTTCCGGATGCCAGGACACAGCATGCAGCGTAATGGGTTTACGTGACACAAATTGGCTGCTCTTGATGCGTTTCACGGGCATACTTAAAATGGCCTCCCGAAATCTGCAGCTACACAGTGACTTAGAGGCTCTCTTCAGAATCTTACTTTTTCTTGTCTACTACATTTTCATCTGCTATGGCCTCTTCAATCCAGTGGTGTCGATGTTGGAACATCAGGGTCTGGTCTCCCCAACTCCACCACCCGGCAGTAAGATTCCTGGCGAAGATCTCGAGCCCCACGTAGTCTTCGGGCAATGTGTTGCCAAAGAGCCGCCTGAGGTTCGGCTTTCTGGAATGCAGATCGGGAACGCCAAATATCACCTTTCTCTCGGCATCGAGCCTGGCTGTGCCGCCCTTCTTCCTCGCGATCAACAGCCGCTCCCATGGCTTCCTCCACGATGACTGCGGATCTACAATGGGCTCGCCGGAGCTGGTAACCTTGACCCATATCCACTCGCCGATCGGCTCGAGCCCCCATAGATCGAATATACCACCCGGTGATCTCAGAAGGTCTATTACGGCTGGCTTGTTAGTCACCCACAAAGCTACCAACCCATCGGGGTTGAGATGTGCGGCGACGGGGATGAGAGACAACAAATTCTTGGTCTCGTGCATGTCGTAGGCCGTGGCATAGCTCTCCCTCTTCCTCCTGACGGACCTACTGGGCCATGGCGGATCTAGAAGGATAAGGTCGAAAGCCGGTGCCTTCTGTAGGAACGCAGCTCTTTCGTTCTCGATAGAGCCCAACAGGTGATGCGCCTTAGTTGGAAAGAAGAACGCATCATTCCCAACTTCTTCTGGACGCTCGTCTATCAAATACTCTCCCGGCTTGTGAGGTGTCTGTACCTTCGCTGCATCATCTCCCTCCTCCTCGCCGTCGAGTTTGCGTTTTTGTGGGGGTATAATGTCCGTCGTATCTTGGGCCTCGTTCTTAACAAGTCGAGAGAAGCACCAATGCCCGGTGTACGACTGGCCGATCTGATCAATGGCTGCGCGAACAGTCTCCTGAGTCATTAGCTCATCTATGGCCGCCGACGGCGACTGTGAGACGCTTGGTTCTCGACCCTTTTTCGAGTCATGTCTCTGCCAGGGCTCCGTCAGGGCTTTGCAGGACACCAGCCGCCTCGGGGGCGGGTTTCCAGCCAAGACTTGTGCCTCTTCGAGTGATCGAGGGATGTCAATCAGGACAACAGACTTATCTGCACTCTCGTAGAGCAAGGAGGACTGCATGGTTGAGAAGAGCGCTTGTCGAGCCCCGCGCTGATGATTGATGCATTGGAGTGCGCTCGATTGCAGTCAAAACGACCCAGGGTTGATTCAATTCATGATGTAAGCTTGGGGCCATGGTCTTGCTGGGATTGTGGGCTCTGTGTAGCAATGGCGGAAGGATGCTAGACGCAAGATTTGACAGATTAGGTTGAGTAGCATTCCCTGCCCCACGTTACACCAGCCAGAGCTCCGGAGTCAATTCAGGACGAACTGCTTGGTATTACCCATCGCATGCATGCATCGCCGTTTATCAATTCCACGGGTTACAGAAAACTTGTCTCGATAACCTCTCCTACTGAAAGGGGTAAGAGGGACCGAGGGTGACGATGGAGGCGTACTGCAAGCAGCTGTGACCTCATAGTCATCGTGGCAGGACATTGTGTTGCCAAGACAATGGTCCACGCGGCGGACTAGAGCGACAGCCATTCGCTGGGGGTTCGTACATAACCGAGATATGAGCGATAGCATCAAGCACACACCCACCCTTTCGCAACGCTGGTGGACTCAGTGCACGTGCACCGCTGGCAAACAAAAAGAATGACAATCATTTCCAAGTGTCATTGCGAGTCTCCAAGATTGAGAGACAAGACTAGGTAGGCCGTGGGTACTATAGGGACAGACAGATTACGCTGTTCTAAAGAAAGCGACAATGGCGATTAGGCGCGCGTTTGTTCCCACGGGTTTCTCTTTGATCGAGCGGTTCCCTGCAGTCAAAGGAAAAGAGAGGAGAAAGAGGGCGCCAGGTCAGGGGCCCGCCAAGCTAGCGACATGGGTTTCATTCGCTAGCAGTGCCTCTGATGTCAAGCCGCAGATTCTATGGTATAGCATGCTAAGCAGGGGCCCCGGTCGAGACCTGCCGTTCCAGGTTTTCCCAGCTCGCTTTGCACCAATTGGCTTGATTTGTCTGCCCGCGGCAGGCTCAGCTCGCGAAACGCCGTGTTTCAACGTCAGAACCTTGGGCTCCACGGAAAGGAGGGCGTCAGGCGTCTGCTGGTGGTGCTGGCTGTCTGTGTCGGTCTAGCCCGCTTGTGGGGACGAGATCCGAACCTGGTTCGGCTTCTCCTTGATGCAATAGCAAAGTCCATTATCTATCTGATTCACAGTCTTCCCCCACAACCTAACAACCTCACATTCACTTTGCCATGCCTCGTAGAGCATGAATAGAGCCATTTTTGGTCCGTCACATACACTCAACACCACCCAAGACTCTCTTGATGATTAGCTAGCCCGTCAGAGCTCTCCCCCTCCAGGGTCGCGCGTACCGAAACTATCACTACTTGCCCGCCCCTAACCGACCACGTTCTCGACCAGCACCTACTCTGGCAACACCGTAAACCCAACTCATCGCCCCCAGTCGGCTTGCTGCCGGCAGCCTACAGCACCATGTCGGGCTCATCGGGCGATTCGGCCCTCGACACGACCGATCCCAATGCCCATTCCGCCTCGGACAGCACTGGAAGGAGTCTGGTGGCCTTGTTAGCCTCTGTAGCGGCTTCGTTCGCTGTCTTCGGTGTCCAGACAGGACTCTTCCTGCTCTTGAGGAACAAGCTCGCTCGAATTTTGTAAGTCTTTCCGCTGCCTCGCGCCTTGCAAAGCAGCCACACTCATACCTGTTTGTTTCAGCAAGCCCAAGACATACCTCGTGCCGGAACGCGAACGAACAGAACCACCCCCCGATAGTCCATGGGGTATGGTCAATGCCCTGCTGCGATTCCGAGACCGAGAGATCATAAAAAAATGTGGACTCGACTCCTACTTTTTCCTGCGCTACCTGCAGACCCTCCTGATCATCTTCATTCCTATGGCCCTGATCATTATTCCTATCCTAGTCCCTATCAACTATGTCGGAGGCGTCAGCAACGACTTCAATGGCAGCACCACAGATACCGCGGACGATAGCACCCCCAGAGGCCTGGATACTCTTGCCTGGGGTAATGTCAGCCCGTCGAAAACGCACAGATATTGGGCCCATCTTATATTAGCCCTGCTTGTGATCCTTTGGGTGTGCGGTGTGTTCTTTGCCGAGATGCGGGTTTACATCAAAGTGCGTCAGGATTGGCTCACCACAGCAGAGCACCGTCTGCGAGCCTCCGCAACTACCGTCTTGGTTAGCGCCATACCTGATAAGTGGCTCTCTGAAGAAGCTCTTCGCGGCCTGTTTGATGTGTTCCCGGGCGGTCTTCGGAATATCTGGCTCACGAGGGACCTCCAACCCCTGCTGGACAAGATCAAGGAGCGCGATGAAATACACAAGAAGCTCGAGAGTGCCGAGACCGAGCTGATTCGTGAGGCAAAGAAGAAACAGCTGAAGAAAAGAGACGCCGATGAGAAGAAGGCCCGGAAGGATTCAAAGACCAAGGCGCCAACGAAAGCAGAGAAGGCTCAGCGTCAGCAACAAGAGGATGTCGCAGCCCAGTTGCAGGCAGAGAGCGGCGCTGGCGCTAGCAGCGGTGACCACCACGAAGTACCTCATGACATCAAGGAAGGAGTAGAGGAGGCCCGCGATGTGGACGAAGAGCGTGGGGAGCATGATGACGATGATCATGGACGAACGTCGCGTGACGAAGGTGGCCTGATGAAGATTCCGGTTCTTGGCTCTGGCTTGTCCAAACTAACTCACGGTATCGGCAGAGGAGCTGACGCCGTCGGCAAGACTGGATACGGTATCCTTGGGGGTGCCAAAAACGTTGCCGGGACGCTCGACAACCAGCTCGAGACGACTAACGGCTTTGTGACGATAGCACCGTCAGCAGCGAGGTCGTCCACGCCAACAAAACGCAGCTTGGACCGCCGTGTACAACTTCCGGCTGAGGAGGATCTGCCTCCTCGGCCTTCTACCGCGGGTTCTGATCACCGTAAGGTGATGGGCCATGTTCCATCAAACTCAACTGCGGGAGCACGTCTTACCCATTCAGCCAATCCCTCTATTGCTTCCCGCAATTCTACCTCTAAGAATGAGGATATTGAATTGAAACCGTTCACGAACACGACCCGCAAGTTAAGCAACCTTGACGATATGTATATTCACGACAAAGCTCGCTGGTTTCAATTTTGGAAAGCTCCCGCCGGCGGCTTTGCTTCGCCTGTGCCTCAAGGTGCCGAAGACTCTGAATTTCCGTTCAAGCAGAAGAGCTTCGGTGAAAAATTGAAGGCTGTTATCCCGTTTATGGGCCAAGACGACGAGACCCCTATCGATTATCCGGAAGCATTCGACGAAGAGTTCAAAGACGACGGTGGCGAGGGCCAGCCTGAGTGGGAGAAATGGCTTAAGAAGTCAGATCGCCCTACCCACCGGCTCGCACGATTCAACTGGACACCGGGTTTCCTTCCTGGGCTCCCGTACTTGAACAAGAAGGTAGACACCATTTACTGGTGCAGAGAGGAGCTCGCCCGCTTGAACGTGGAGATCGAAGAAGACCAGAAACACCCTGAACGTTACCCGCTCATGAAGTCTGCATTCATTCAGTTCAACCACCAAGTTGCTGCCCATATGGCATGTCAAAGTGTGATACACCACGTACCTAGACATATGGCGCCTCGAACAGTCGAAATCTCGCCCAACGATGTAATCTGGGACAACATGGCCATGAGCTGGTGGATGGAGTGGCTCCGCACTGCCGCCATTTGGGCCTTCGTTGCTGGCATGATCATTCTATGGGCCATCCCCGTTGCCTTTACGTCTTCCATTTCGAACATTGACTCACTTGTCGACTCCTACCCGTGGCTTGGCTTTCTCCAGGACAACACCACTGTCTGGAAGGCTGTCCAGGCTCTGTCTGGTGTCTTGCCTGCTATTTTGCTTGCCGTCCTTCTTGCATTGGTTCCTATCATCATGGATCTACTTGCTGGCTTTAAGGGAGCCAAGACGGGATCGCAAAAAGCAGAATCGGTGCAGAGCTTCTACTTTGCCTTCCTCCTTGTACAGGTGTTCTTCGTTGTTTCACTTTCTGGCAGCATCTACAACGTCATTGGAAAACTCGCCCAGAATCCTGGAAGCATAGCAGACCTTCTCGCGGACAGTTTACCCCAAGCCGCGAATTATTTCTTCTCGTACATGATTCTGCAAGCCTTCAGTACGAGCTCCGGTACCCTGCTTCAAATTGGCGCACTGATCAACTGGTACATCATCGCCAAGATCATGAACAGCACAGCGCGTAACAAGTGGAACACGAATACGAAGCTTCCAACCATTAGATGGGGGTCTTATTTCCCGGTTTACACCAACTTCGCCTGCATTGGACTGATCTACTCCGTGGTGGCGCCTGTCATCTCCATCTTCGCCATTCTCACATTCAGTCTCCTTTGGATCGCGAACAGATACAGCATGCTATACGTCAACCGCCTAACCATCGATACCGGCGGTGTGCTTTATCCCCGTGCTCTCAACCAGACATTTACTGGGCTGTACGTCATGGAGATTTGCCTGATAGGCCTGTTCTTCTTGGTCCGAGACCAGGATGGCAATGTCGCTTGTACGCCTCAAGCTATCATCATGATTGTTGCGACATTCCTCACGGTCGGCTACCAATTTCTTCTCAACTATTCATTTGGACCTTTGTTTCGGTATCTTCCAATCACATTCGAGGACGAAGCTGTATTGCGTGACGAGGCCTTCCAGCGTGCACAAGATCGCCGGATGGGATTGGTTGACGATGGAGATGAAGAAGTCTTTGACAAAGAAGGCCTTCCTGCTCATCAACACCGTGGCAGTCATCCCTCCAACGCTGTTGATGGGACAGGCGAGAAGCAATCTAGGGGTAATAAGTTCACGAATTTCGCGCCCGTCAAGGGTCTTACCCACGCGGGCACTTGGGCAGTCCGCGGCGGAAAGGCGCTCAAGAACCAGACATACGGACGGGCCGAGCAGGGCGTGAAGAGTGCCGCAAAATACCGCCAGGAACAGCGTCAAAAGGACCTGGAAGCGCAACGTGCCATAGGAGAAGCACTTTACGGCGGGTACCATGACGAAATCGAGGATTTGACCCCCGACGAAAGAGACGTCTTGGTCCGACGTGCCTTCATGCACGAGGCTCTGCGCGCACGTCGGCCAACCGTTTGGATCCCGCGAGATGATCTTGGTATCAGTGACGATGAAATCAGGCGGACCAATCAGTTCAGTGAGCATATTTGGATCTCTAACGAAGGTACTGCTCTGGACAGCAAGGTCCGCGTGGTGTACGGACGAGCGCCACCAGATTTCAGCGAGCTGGACTTGATCAATCTTTAGAGCTGATCCCAAAGGGGAAAAGGAAGGCGAGGAAGCACGAGGCGTCCAGTACGGAGAAATGGACCGGTTGTACATATGACGATTCAGAATGACTGCATGGCGTGGGATGCGACTCAAGATCTTAGATCTGTTCTCTCCCTTTTGTACACATTACATCATTGCGCAGAAGTATACCCAGTTAGTGAAGGCGCATTCAGCATAGCATTTAGACGCATACAGATCATTTCGTTTCTCTCCGTCAAATTTTCCACAATGATGTACGATGAAGTGATTGGACATTTGGGCTACTGATGGTCACGACTGCTCTGGTATCCTTGGACTGTGCTACGGCAAGTTGGATATAATTAGCACTCTTACACCTCGTGTCATTGATATTTGGGCTCCTTTGTTACGGTCCAGCACTGCCTCTCGACGATAAGCTGTCACTATTAAGGGATTCATCTTCGAGACTGATCACTAGCTATTGAAATCTACCGGTAAGTGGCTTCTTAGGAAGTCTACCATGTCTTGCAAAAGAGTCTCTGAGTACCAGTGTCCCAAGTCCCCGTACTCATTCCACGAGACACTCATTCCAAGGGTAGTCAAACACCGTGACGCTTCTTGTCCTAAAACAACATCGACCCTATCATCCTGTACCCCGTGGCCCAGGAACAATGGCACATCTCGGAACTTCAGCTCATTTCCATTCTGAGTTGGTGGTACCTGGATCTCATCTCGCAGCCAAGATAAAGCTCTGGATGCTGGATCCGTTTGGGTAGTTGCATCATCGTCAAGGTGGTCTCTCGCGAACGGATCAAAGACATCTTCGCCACCATCTTCTCCCTGCAGCTGACAAGACATCTCCCCAATTTGTTCGCCCATCCGTGCTGCAAAGGGGAGCCACCCACACATACCAACGGCAGCGCAAAAAGCGTCGCCCTCCCAGAGCAACAACGCTGTCAGTGAGGCTGCGCAGCCCTGGCTGAGGCCACCGAACACAACACTCTTAGCACCGCCAGGAACCAAGGCAATCTCTCGCTCCAGTATCCGATGAAGGTAGGAAGTAGTTTCTTGCAAGCCCGATACCTGAAGATCCTCTCTATCGGTTGCTGGGGGATCCAGCTTCCAGTTGTCGAACCACTGGTGGGTAAGTGCGCGCTTGTACACCGTGGCGCGCCTTCGTGCTGCTGAAGGGAAAATAAATCGTGCGTGTGGAAATATCGAAGTGAGGGTGGACTTTTGGCTATTATCAAGCACCGAGGATCCGCGTGGACAAGATATAGGAGTATCGAGAAGGACAGAGCCGAACTTCTCGCCCGAGGAGCCTCGTCCGTGGAGGAGGATGAAGGTCTGCTTGTGTGGCAAGGCCCGAGGTTGGACTACGAAGGGTTCAGGGTAGTCTGCCATTATGACAATGTGACACTCACTTCAGATGTGATGTTTCCTTAGTAGTCCAGCATGCAAACTGCGCAAAGATGAAAAGATTGATAAAGGGGAGGAACAAAAAAATTTATAATTCGGTGGTTGCAGCAGGAGTTGAGTGAGGCACAGCCACGTCTGCCTGGCTGGTATGACCAACGGCGTTGCCGTTCTCGCTAACGTTCTAATTTCAATACACCTGTGAAATAGCTGGTTCCTCATCGCCAGGCCTCTTTCAGTGAAGGGCATTTGCCAACATGGAAAATCACTAACACAGACCTTGCCAGCTTGTTGGCTATGCACGTCTGCATGATAGCGGGGCTATGCAACCCTGCACGGTGGTTGGGTAGAACTCTTTAAGCGCCAACATATACTCGTATATCCTTGTATGCCAGATATCTGTTCCCCTGTCAACATGCATTGATCTACTAGCTCGTGTATTGGAAGCGGACGCAATCTGGAGCTTATGTACTTCTGGTGATACGTTCCGCTTTCATTCGAAACTGTAATCGTAAAAAATCAGTATATTTGATGAATACGAGGCCCAAGGTCTAGCCTGACACCTCGACCTGCTAGCGGCCCCCTTTCGCAATACGACAATGCTTTACAATATGGTGTATCAAGATATTTGACTAGTAACAAAAAGAAAATCTTGTTCAAGATGATGCTACCCGCAGAGACCATGAAAATCAAGAAAACCAGCCGACTCCCAATGCACTACGAAAGGATATGCTCTGCCTCACTTAAGAAAAGTCAAATCGGTCAGGCAAGGCGATGGGAGCCACCAGTGTCCAGATGTACATGAGGTAGCAAGCCCAAGCACTGACGATCTTGACCCAACTTGCCCAATACGTCCGTCCCACGGTTGCGAAATCACCCTCATCTTCAATGTTCTGACCCTGGGTCAGGAGAGTTGCAACCCAGCACGTGGCCAGGAAGAAAATGACGTGAAACACGCTGTAGCTGTACTGGGTGCTAGTGCGCTCGTCGTCACCCGTGCCCTTGGTGCCAGAATCTTCGTCTTCGTCATCCGACAGAAGGGCGTCCGCCGGCAAACTACCCTCTTCCACGGCCCGACGCAACACCTCGGCTCTCATTTCCCGGCGACCTGGCTGCTGGGTGACGAGATCATGCTCATCCTCGTCGGGAAGCCTGATGCCTCCGCGGCTGTTCCCAAGGCCCAGGCTCTGGGTAGCTGCCCGCGTTGTCGTGTAAGCTACAGTCAGCATAGTGACGATGGCGCCGATGACCACCGAGGTTGTCCGGGTGCCTTGGGCGCGGTACAGGGGGTTGCAGTCCTTGTCGTTTGGCTCCATGGACACGGCAGACATGGTAAGGTACGTGCAGTAGACGGCCACCATGGCGCTCTGCGCCAGACCGGCCTTCGGGTTGTATTCCTGGATAGTGGGGTGGACGGATACGAATGACACAATGATCCAGAAGAGCAGGTTGATGGTAATGACGGCCTGGTTCATGGAGCAGCCCGACTTGGCGAAGAAGAAGTACTGAACAATGGTCATGGCCAGGGAGGCCAAGTACATGCCCAGCGTCGAGGCTATCAGGACAACCCTCCATGTTTTGGAGTCCGTGTTTTCGATCTGCTCCAGACAGTACTCAGCCCAGGTGTGGGCGAGGTCAACCAGGAGGATGAGACCCAAGACCAAAAACAGCATGCCTCCAATAAAAGCGATGTAGTTACCCCAGACCCTGAAAAACTCATCGGGAATCAGGAAGGACAGCACGATGAAGGCGATCCAGGCAATGACCTTGGGGCCCCAGAAACCGTTTTGGATGGCGGCGCGTGGGTTCTTGGAGTTATTGACACCGAAAAGGAGACCGGCAAAGATGAGGTGGAAGAGCCCGAGGGCAAAGTTGATGCGGTAGACGGCCAGCCATCCGGTACATTCGCCTGTCGGGCAGTCGATCTTTACGTAGTCCAGCATGAGGTGCTGGAGCTTCTCGATTGCCCAGGGCGTGAGCATGATCCAGGCCACGATGGAGTTGACGAGGAGCATCAGGGCGTATGCGATACGCGTGGCGACGCTGTTTCGGCTCTCCGTTAGCAGCGTGTAAGGTATATCCGTATATACGGATATCCTCAAGGGCGTCCAGAGTCGCTCACCTGTTACCACACTTGCCACAGGCACTGCACACCATGGAGCAGGTGGCGGCGCCGCAGCAGCTGGCAGCGAATGACATCAGGGTGCCGACGCTGGGCACGGCCAGCAGGGGGATGGAGAGTAGTGCGCCCATGGTCGCTGATGGATGGGGTATTCGTTGTGCGACACGGATGCTCGATGGGCAGCGGCTCGGTTCGCGATGTTGATGGACGAAGGTTGCCTTGCGGCCGTTGTTGATTCAAGCTTCTCGGCGGGTGCGACGAGGCCGGGCACGTGCGTCATAAGTCAGTCGCCGTGCCCGCCAAGGCCAACCTGGAAGCCTGGAAGCCTGGAAGCGCCTCGCTGTTACATGCTATGGTTGGTACCTAGAACCCCAGCCCCGGACCGGCGCATTAGCCGGGCATTTTCTGTGCTGGAGCTCAACCTTGAAGTGTCGCACGGCGGTTAACACAGTCGAGGAGCGTGGAGCTATCTATAAATTACAGGGCATTCTTCGTTCCGCCATATCCGAAATGATCTTGCCAAGTCCTGTCTCATCCAGCATCTCTCGAGGCAGCCTGTTGAAACTGAGCATTACCCAACTCTTATGTCTTCAGTAGAGTGCAGGACACTCAGGCACCCTTGCAACCAAAACGGACGCCCGCGCTAGGATGCAAAGGGGCCTGGCGCGGTCCCCGCACGCTGCCCGCTGCCCGCTGCCCGCTGACCCCCCGTCCGCTATCGTGTCTCTCTCCGATGCCAGGGGTTGAGATCCGAAGCACGACACGACGCATTGCGGTGCGAGATAAGGCACCCCCAATCAGCTATTCCGCAACTCTGATCGTCGCTCGTCGCAACCCGCAACACACTCCCCGTCCACCAGATGTAGTCCTTCATTTTGCATCTTCTTCGCCTACTTCTTCTCCCTCAGCTTGCGCTGCCTCGACATGTTCGTCTGGTAGACTGGGGAAGCGACTCCGTCCCGCGCCGACCAGCTCTATTACGCCCGTCGAGAGTCGTGACCGCTAGACCCCCGACCGATATCGCTTCTCATCGCATCCCGTTCCGCCCATCATGACACTAGACAAGCAGATTCACAATGCTCGCATTGTCTCGAGCGTCGCTGCCACCCTGATATCATTGGCGTGTGGAACGAATGTGAGTTTGCGCACGCCATACAACTACGGCGCCCCAGCCATGAGCTCCTACATATCTAGATCGGTTATCTGATGCTTCGTCCCAGTATGTATACTCAGCATGGGCCCCCCAATTCGCCGACCGGCTACTTCTCTCCGCCACCGAGAGCAACTTGATCGGTCTCTTTGGAAACCTGGGCATGTACTCCGCGGGCGTGCCCGTCGGGATGCTGGTTGATTCGCGAGGGCCTCGGCCCGCCGTCATCCTCGGCTCCGTGCTACTCGGAGTTGGATATTGGCCCTTGCACACTGCCTACAACGCCGGCCATGGCTCCGTTTCCCTCATGTGTTTCTTCTCTTACCTGACTGGGTTGGGGGGCTGCCTGGCCTTCGCCGCTGCCGTGAAAACATCCGCCCTGAACTGGCCACATCACCGCGGCACGGCCACGGCCTTTCCCCTGGCAGCCTTCGGTCTCAGCGCTTTTTTCTTTGCTTTGGTTGGATCCATCTTCTTCCCCGGCGACCCCGGTCGTTTCTTGGAGCTGCTTGCCGCAGGCACTTTCGGCATCACCTTCATTGGCTTTTTCTTCTTGCGCGTCTACCCGCACACTCATTACCATGCCGTTGCATCGGGCGATGACAGCATGACGGACTCACAGCAGCTACACCGGACAACCTCACATGACTCCAAGAACTCCCGCGTTAGCCGCGGGCCCCGTGTTGAACCTGGTATGTCCACTAACACCACCAATCAAGAAGGAACAACCTCAAACCCTCCCGTCATTGCCGGCAGTCTAGACAGCTCAGCAGTTGATGTTGAGGCTGCTGTTGCACCCAAAAGGACACCAGAAGAGGTCGAGGAAGCTGAGATAGACGAGACCTCGTCTCTGATGTCCCGGTCGACCTCGTCTTCTTCATTACCCGGCGATGTGTTAGTGCAGAGCAGTGTTGATTTGGATCGTTCTCATCGTGTAGATATCCGCGGCTGGAAGCTCTTGAAGAACTGGGAGTTCTGGCAGCTGTTCAGTATCATGGCAATTTTGTCAGGCATTGGCCTCATGACTATCAAGTAAGTGGAGCCATGTGAGCGTCACTTACCATAGAATCATCTGACCTTTACTCAGCAACATCGGAAATGATGTAACGGCTCTTTGGAAACATTGGGACGATTCGATCGACGACAAAACTCTAGTCTTGCGGCAACAATTGCACGTTTCCATCCTCTCCATCGGCAGCTTTGCAGGCAGACTGCTGAGTGGTAAGTCAAGAATATGCCCAATTCGGCACTTTCTGTACTAACACTGCGCAGGCGTGGGTTCGGACTTTCTCGTGAAAATCGTTGGCGCCAGCCGGGTCTGGTGTCTTGTCATCGCAGCAGCCATCTTCTCCGTGGCGCAGGTCTGCGCGCTCAATATCACAAACCCCCATATGCTGGGTTTTGTGTCGGGCTTCAGTGGCTTGGGCTACGGCTTCCTCTTCGGCGTCTTCCCGTCTATCGTTGCTGAGTCCTTTGGCATCCATGGACTTTCCCAGAACTGGGGTTTCATGACACTTTCTCCCGTTTTGAGCAGCAACGTGTTCAACTTGTTCTATGGCGCCATCTTTGACGCCCACTCCATTGTGGAGCCGGACGGCAGCCGAGACTGCACCGAGGGCTTGGAATGCTACAGAGCTGCGTATCTTGTGACCCTCGGCGCCTGCGCTGTAGGTGTTGTGGTCACTCTCCTTGTCATTTGGGTGCAGAGAAGGGACCAGTTGAAGGAGAACAGCAAGGATCGCGCTGAAGACTAAATGAGAAAAGACAAATGTGGATATTTACAATAGATTATATAGAGATACAGGGCAACTGGCGGCGCTCAGAGGTTATACTTTATGGATGAATAAGACAATTCAGTTGGCGCGAGATGCCGAAATGGAATTGTGCGGACGAAAAGGGACGCGACATTAGCCAACTCCTTATGAATCAATTCTTTGTTATATGTACTTATAGATGGCCTTCACCAGAGCTCTGCTTATTGCTTACATGTTGAAGGCCCAAATCTTCTATTGCCGCCTATTTTCAATGCCGTGAAACGCCAAGCAGAAGGCAACCCACCCCATGGTTTCCTTCAAACTTTATCAAAATCGATCCCCAGGCGAAGTTTCTGAGACTACAATTTGCGTCCGCTCCGTGATAGCGCCCTTCGTCGGCTGGAGGATCAAGCCATCTTCGCTGCTGTCGTCATCATTTCCAGCTCTGCGCCCGCTCCCGCCATTGTTCGTGCTTGTTACACGCGCCTTGTACATGCTGCTGTCATCGAGCCGGCCGGTCTTGCGCAAGCTGTCGAGGCCGATGGCGTCGTCCTCCTGCCTCAGGTATCCGTTGCGCGTACTTCGCGATGTCACACCGTTCGTGCCGTACTTGTTTCCGTACCGCGAGCCGACGTAGCCCGCCGACCGCAGGTGCCGACTCGTGCTCTCGAGGATCGACGCGAAGAGTGGGCGGAGGGCCGGCAGGCACGCTGCTGTTATGCCGGTATGCAGTTCGGCACTAAGAGGAAAGTCAGGGGGCTGCTTGCTTTTGGCGGGTGTTGATAGAGGTAGTTGGGACGACTTACTAGTTCCAGATGAAGAAGGAATAATTCCTGCACAGACTTAACATCAGAGGTTTCCAATTCAAGGCTCCTAAGGGATGCTTACCACAAAAAGTCCGGGTCTTCGAAGACGTGGATTCCGATTACTACCCGCACGATAGAGGCAACGCAAGCGCTAATAAGGATAAGCTATTTGCCTGAAAGGAAGATACTTCTGGAATTTCTTCTTACAAGAATCCGAGACTGAGGATAAGTATTAAAGAGATTTTGGTTCGTATATTGACCTGCAGACCGATGATCATAGGGACGGGTAAAACGACGAAGATGGCATCTGTGATGATGTTTGTCACTGGATGTAGCGTCAGTCCTGGTCCTGCCGTTGAAGTGAGCATCCTTACCACCGTTGAATGTTGATATCGTAAGGAAAGTCTCCTGTGAGAAGCATTGTGCCCCCGGCGGTCTAGGCATGGTATAAGTTGCGGAAGGGGGTATGCATTGCAGCACGAGTGTAAGGTTGCACGAGATTGCGAATAAAACCAGAAAACCTGCAGTTGGATGGATAGTTAATAAGAACCCGCTACGACTTGACGTTCTCCATATCACGGAACCCGTACCTATCATAAAGATGATGAATCGTCTATACCAGATTCCTTGAACAAATCGCAGAAGGAAGAACCCTATCGAAATTTTGACGAAGCTTATACCCGTCACAAGCAATGGTCCGTGGATATATTGCCAGTATACCAATCGTGCAAATTCATCCGGTAAGATCTGGTCCGAATGGCGACCAGCGCCAGTCTGTGTTTCGGCAACAAGACAGATCATCGTACCAACTGCTGCGAGCTATGGCGGTTCCGTTAGGTTCCCATCTTTGGTGCGTCAGAACGGTGAGGAAGTAGGTTTTGGCTTACCCATGATAGCAGAATAATCCCGTCATCCCACCCGAAGGTCTTGATCATGACTTGGCGCACGTAGACCCGCAACAGAGTACTGAGCGTCGAGAGCCCCATCATGAATCCGACGACCCCGAGGATCGCTGGGACATTCGATGGTCTTTCGCCTATCGGTACTACTGCGGGGACCTCCTGTCGTGGCCATATGCCATGAGAGCGAATCGCAGGGCCCATGCCCAGCTGCTTAGAAGGAACGACTGGTGATGTGACTGAAGATTGCGATCTTCAGGAATATTGCAGCATATTGGGGATGCTTTTCCACCCTCGTTGGCATCGAATTGGCTATATAAAGAACATAGCCGGACGCGCCGTTTTTCTAAGTCAAGCTTTCGCTATGTATTCTCTAAAGGGGCATTCGAGGAGCGCTAGGAACGGGAAGCGAGACTGGAACGTTGTGTCCCAGGGACCTGCAGATAGCCACAATGCTCGCCAAGGACGCCATCTCGTTCAGGCCGTCGTGCGCTTTGCCCTTCTAGAGCTTCCGAGAGTCCATACGAAGCTTGGTTCCGATGCCCACTTGTTGCATGTGGCTGAAAAGCTCCTGCTCCATGGACTCGAAGGAGGGTCAGTGCGCCAGAACTGTTCTGCACCTGAAGTTGACCCGGTATGTTTGATTGGACTGGCAGGCATAATATTGCTCTCCCTCTTTCTTGACAGGGTTCCGTGGCTATTGCAGAAGGAGACCCTGGACCAGCCTGCGAGGTTCATCCCAATAGCGGCGAAATGGTGGTCGAAGTCAGGTCGCGGGGCGTGATTGGAATCGAACCGCCATGCATTCAACGCCATCGACATGGTACTGGTCCCCAATAGGCCTCCGAAACTTGGCGAGGTTTGATGGCTGTAGATGCCGGTGACACGGTCAAGCCGGCAGCTTCCAGTAATTAGCCTGCAGCGGGCTTTGTTCTCCTCGCGAACCATAGCACCAGGGACTATTCTTCATAGGAGACTTGAGACGAGATGTAGTACTCGCTTCCCGTGTCGCAGTCGCCTTAGATGTGAATGGGTAGTCACAAGGTCTGTGAGTATGCGGCTTCGCATGCTGCACTGCTGGTGGTCAAGGTCAGAGCTCTGTTCTGGAATAGCTGAGTCCGGGGAAGGGACGGGACGGTGAACCATGTCTTACCCAGATCAGGTTCACTTGCGTGTTACTTAGATTGCATGTGCAGCTGGTGATTTGCCTAATTGGGGTATCACAGTAAGGTAATATGCAGCCAACTGAAGCCACTTCACTGTGCCTTCATATCCCCATGAGTCGCAAACCAGTCTCCATCTGAACCCCCGCCAAAACGACAATCAAAGATGATTACTGGGATCACGCTGGGTAGAGCGACAGGGGAAAGCGATTTTCCATCGCCTCGATAACCGAGACACCAAGCATCATGCCAATTGTCGGACGAGCTGTGACTGTAAGGGCGAATGAGAGGGACCTCAAGCAGACTAGGGTAATCTGGGCCGTCTCGCCTAGCCTCTGGATGGGTTTTCTGTGAGGACTGGGGGACTAGTCTATTGACATGACTTAAATAGTTAGTGGATGCACAGCCGAGTTCCGGGATCTTCGTTGCCAAGATGCCACCTCAGGGCTTCTTCTTTCTTTTGGGAGACTTAGTTCGGAGAAGGTCATATAACTCGGCCGGGTCTCGCTATCGGCCCGAAGACGGTAAACTGGACAAAGGCCCCTAAGGCTCCACTACTCCACTTCTGTATACTTCTCCGCGTACAGCGTTGTCGCATTCCCATGCGAGGGAACAGCCCGAATGCAAGACGGTGAAGCGAGGGCGGAGTAGAATTCCTGACAGCTTCTTCACCACCTGTTCGCAGTCCCTGTCAGGTAGTGCATAATTGGTTGGTGCGCTGTGCCGCAATGCTACACGTGGACCCTTGCTGTGTTCGCACAAGAACCAAGGACGCATGCAATCGTAAATATGGGTTCTAGATCAAGTCGGAGCCGGGGACCCATGTTATGAGCAACTTCGAAACCAGACAAGCTTAAATCTGGGTTGCTAGATCTCTCTGCCACCGTCTCATTTCCCTCTCTCCCCAGATCGGTGTAACTTTGAGGTAAACGAGTATACGATGATATTGTGTCTAAATTAGCATATAAGGTTCTTGTCACAACGTAAACCGGACGCACTACTATGGTATAGAGCAAAGATTACTATAACGTTTCTATCCTCAACTGCAAGCCCATACTGTGACTGCCTTATCGTAAGGAAAATTCTTCAAGGGACCGTCGCACACCACCAATCGTACCTGAGACCCAGAATGCGGATAAGACGTATGTGCAGCTAACGCGCAACCCCCTGGCTCGCCTAGAAGGCCCCGAGCCCTGCATCACAGCTCCCAGCGCAGCGGTTCATTTGCCACAACCAGGTCAAGCCCATGTCGTAGCCACTCACAGATTAGTGTTGAACGGTGTTTGTTAATAAATATCGCAAGCGATGCTGTCTAGAATTCCTGGAGCATCCAGGTGTTGCTAGTTGAATCATTAGCGAGTGGCGCTGTGCAGGATCAAACGGACGTAGTGGATAGAGTGACAACGGTTCCCTAGTATTATCAGGCCACAATCGCGCCCGCCACCTTCCTTCCCATACCCGTCCCATGCGAACTGCGAGATTATCTAATTCTATACTGAATACAAGTCTTCCGGTCCGAGATTCCCTTTCTGTCCGACGCCGTTGAGACCAACGTGAATCGGTCTGGTAACCTTGAATACGGCCCGCTTCCAACGGCTCCGCAGCCCAAGGGACCAATGGTTTGAGCCGAAGGCCTGCACTATTGTATTTCGAGGCTGATGAGGCCTGTCTCCCTGATTTGTCTCAATTTTTCCATGGAGAAATATCGTCCACAGGGGTGCTTTCCTGGGTCACTGGCTGTGCCACTGACGCCGTCATATATCTGAGCCGAAGACACTCTCTGTTTTGTCTCGTCTTCTCTGCACACCAGACCCTAATTTCAAGGTGCCACCTTCCCCGACCATTTTTCTGTAACGCTTGGCGCCGCACCACACCTTAGACAAGATGCAGCTGTCCATATGGGCGCCTCTGATTACCTTGACCTCGGCGGCTTGTGCCTACGTTCCAGAGTCGACGCTGGCCACGGACACTCTAGCTATAGCTAGTCTGGCAAAGCTTACGGCGTCTGTTGCCGATGGAAGCCTGAAGAATCAGCTCAAGACAAAGGGTGTTTCGCAGACATGCGACCTCAGAAACGTAGCTGTCAGGAGAGAATAGTACGTAAGCCTCAACAGAAGCCATACTCGTCACTCACCTTATCGACAGCTCCACACTTTCCAATAATGAGAAGCTGGCCTACACCAACGCCGTAAAGTGTTTAATGTCTAAGCCAGCGAAAACACCGTCAGACCAAGTCCCCGGAGCAAAGTCACGATATGACGACTTCGTTGCGACTCATATCAACCAGACTCTCACCATTCATGCCACCGGAAACTTCCTCTCCTGGTAAGTATTATACCTCCTTTCGGTTAAGTTTTCGCCACTCCAGAAAAAGGAGTAGTGTAAATCGCTTGCTGGTTCCCGCAACGCTCTGTCTCACTATATTCTTGCAAGTTGCTGACGCTGAACTGTGCCAGGCACCGGTATTTCAGCTGGGCCTTTGAACAAACCCTTCGTGACGAATGCGGATATAAGGGTTACTTGCCGTACTGGAACTGGGGAAAGTCGGCCAAGGATCCTATCAACTCGCCTTACTTTGATGGAAGCATATATTCGCAAGGAGGGAACGGCGTCTTCGCCCAACACAACTGCACCAACGCTATGCCTTCGGGGCTGAACTGTATCCCTCCAGGACAAGGCGGTGGCTGTGTTAAGACTGGCCCTTACGCTGGCATCACTGCCAACATTTCCGCTACCGCTCCGTCCCTCGCCGCAGCAGATGTCACGGCGGGGAGCTTCCTCGGCTACCAGCCCCGTTGCATACGACGTGACATTTCCCCATGGGTATCGAGCCAGTGGTCAACTGACAAGGAGTCGTTCAACTTATTGGCAAACCCGCTGTATCAAACTGGCATCAAGGCCTTCCAGGACCACCTGCAAGGCGATTTCGATACCGGCTACTTCGGTCTCCACTCTGCCGGGCACTACACGATCGGCGGAGACCCCGGCGGTGACTTCTTCAACTCGCCTAACGATCCCATGTTCTGGCTTCACCACGGACAGATTGACCGCACATGGTGGATCTGGCAGAACCAAAAGCCGGTTGAGCGCGCGTATGCGATCGCGGGAACGAACACGGTTTTTAACACGCCGCCCAGCGCAAACACTACAGTGGAAGACACAATTGACTTGGGCATCGTGCGAGGGCCGTTGGCTATCAAGCACCACGTCAGTACGGTGGCAGGTCCGTACTGTTACATTTACGTGTAGGGGTTGTCTTCGTACTCTGTCCATTATACATGACAGGCTAGTTTCTGTCGTGAAAACTTTAGATATATTTATAGTATTTAATAGAAACATAGAGAATGTGAATAGCTACACCGCTACTTAATCGTTGGTTACTTAGTAAATCAAGTATTGGTGTGTATGAAGGCTCTCTCTCATCAAGCAATGTCTTCCATATTCTGGGCGGGATTTCGTGAAGGAGTATTTTCTGCCAAGTACCAGTCCCTTTGAGGTAGTGCTGTGTACGACTTCCTGACTGTGTAATGTTCTAGTAAACCCCGCTGTCCCGCGGTAATAAGGCTGAAACTTCGTGGCGCGGAACAGCTAAGAACTCCACGGAGTGGCAGGAGACTATATGCAATAACCCATACCCGCAGCACATGTGGTGGGCTTGCACTCATGCCATAACTGACATTGCCTCTAAATGGAAACCCAAGGTATGATTTAGAGACGTTGCTATTGCGCCGACATCGACGCGTCATCGATAAATGCACTAGACACAGCTTCAATGAAATATGGTCATCTGTGGAGGATTGCCCAGAGATGACAGGCTGGGCGGCTTCTCATGTTTTGCACAGCATAGCCACAGATTGAAGCCCAGAAGTTGATCAACCACAATTACCTGCGCCTTTAAGAATAGGAGGGCGGGATGAAGATGCGCCGGTTCGGGGGCGACCAGACAGCTTAAGTCAGCCTTAGTAGGCTTGTCAAGACGAATGCGAGGTGGGGCCTCAAACCCTTGTAGGCGATCCCCACAGCGATCTACAATTTTGGTACAGTCGGTCTGCTTTCGGTCAAGCGTAGCGTATGTACATAGTATAACCGTACAACGTATAGCGTTTAGCGTATCGCCCACCGGTTCTAATGTAGCGTCCTCAAATGGGCTACGAGGGCTACCAAGACAACAGAGTTCCTCCGCATTTTTTCGCTAGGTACTCGGAGTGACGACACGTCAGATAACTTTCGCATTCGCAACCCCCCATGAGGCTTGTAATATAGCACATGGCATCCACAAAGTCGGCTGTGGTAAGGAATCGGTGCCTGGTCTGTGGTTATTATGAGCATGCTCGGGATGACTCTGAATACATAGAAATCGGCGTATATATAATAAATCCCCGTACACATGGGAATATTCACATCAGATATCAACGGCAACAAGCAAAGAAAATAATCACATTCAAACCCCTTCACCAACTATCTTATTTGGTCCACATTATCCCAAGCTTGCCATAAAATGGTCCAGTCAGAGAAACTCCCGGCGAATGCCTTCGTAGCACAGGCTCGCAAGATATATAACCCCATCGGGTTTTCTAAAGGCTACAACTTTGTCCTGTGGTTCATTTTCCTCGGAGCCCTTTTCGGTTTTACCCTGGCGCGTCTTCAGTATCTCAACATTTTTGGGGTGTACTGTGGTGAAAGTGCGGGCGCGAGCTCAGCCGCTCTGCCTGGAGAGTGTTTCTACTATCTCCAGCCACGAAGCCGAGAACAAATCGGAATAATACTGCACCTGGGGTGCATTCTGCCTGCTTCATTGCTGGTTTGCCTTCAATTCATACCTGTGTTGCGGCACAAGGCTATCATTGTGCACCGCATCAACGGCTACATTGTTGTCTTGCTGTCTCTCATCGGCACTGCAGGTGCTCTCATGATTGCTAGGCATAGTTTTGGCGGCGGTATTGAAATCCAGACCGGTGTTGGCGTCCTAGGCATCATGTTCATTGGGTCGTTGGTCCTCGCATTCATAAACATCAAGAGATTGCAGATTGAGCAGCATCGTGCTTGGATGCTGAGGGCATGGTTTTATGTAAGTGACTACCAGCAGTTCAGCATACCCAACACGTGAAAGGCTGACAATGTGTAGGCTGGAGCTATAATAACTTTGCGCATCATCATGATCCTTACCGTCATGATTATGGATGTCACTGGAGAATACTACATCGCTCAGCCTTGCGACAAAATCAACTTTATCCTCAAGAGCGCGGAAAAAACGGCTACTCGGTACCCGGAATGTGCGGCCTTCTTCTCGGGCGAGAACCCAAGTCAACAGGCCCTAGTACAGGCAAAATATTCTGGCACAGATGCTGTGCAGGTAACGGCTGCGTTCAATCTGGTGTTTGGTATGGCCGCATGGTTGGCTGTGGCACTACACGCTATTGGCGTTGAATTATATGTGGGTTTGCACATGGCCATCGTTTCTGGACAACTTCTCGACTAACATCCAACAGCTTCGTCTGACACCCGCCGAAGCCGAACGCCTCAGGAATGTATCCTATCAAAGGCAGGTCGAGGCAGGGTTGAAGCCCGCAGGCCGTGCTGGTCTAACAGCCGACCGCCTTGGTGATGCTGCAACATGGCAACCTCGTGATGCTTACAAGGCGGAGAAAGTGTCCAGTGGCTCAGATCAACAACACCTTGCGACACCATTATCCTAAGCGAAGGCAATATTGAGTTGCTTGCCCCCTTGTTCTCTGCGAGCGACGCGGAGGCGAATTGCACACCGGGAAGCCCTTCGTAAAGGCAAGGACATGCAGTGATTTGGAGTTAGGACAGGTCGGCGCTCTATGGCAGGTGTGGGCATCGCTATTGGCTGGGATCAAGCTTAGAGAAACCCTGAAAGGTGACTGTGCAGGGCTTTTAGAATCTATGTTAACGAAATAAAACTGGCCTCTTTACCCTAGATTACGTTTTCTTGCGAGCTCTGGCTGATGATTGGTCAAATTGTATAATTCGTTCCGGGCATGAGAACTCAAAAGTGATATAAGTGGCAGGTTATAGCCATTTGATCACTTTCCGATAGAGTTCCGCCAGCCTTTGCACATTCGCCTTCTCTCATCACAAAAGCCGATTGAATATGGTGATTCACTCCCCGGATGAATCATGGTGTTACTGAAGTGGCCAACATGTACAATAACCAAAACTTGATTGGACTATGACCTTAAAAGCATTTATGGACGATTTGACAGTTTCTAAAATTGACGATGTTGACTATGCCATCAGTCATTGAGCCCTGAAGTGTCATGAGAAGCTTGGTGATTTGACTACTGCTGTTGCAATAGTGCCGAAGTGAAGATCAATTTCTATGACAGCCCTGCTGAATGCATCGCTTGTCAATGCCTATCGTACACGTGGGATACACGGTAGTTGTACACTTGAAGTACAGTTTTATACAATCGCTCGAAGTGAGGCCATTGACAAGTCTAGCCGACGACCTCCTTTACCACCTTTGCTAACTGGGCCTTCTCGATGCTCTTGCCTTCCAAAGGTCCACCCGGCGAGAGAAGTTTCTTCATGACATCTCCCAATTTGGCTTTCCCTTGAACCTCACCCTCGCTCGTCATTGCCGTGACAACGCCCGCGACAACGGTTCGCAGCTCATCCTCGCCGACCACCTCGACGCCGCTCTCCGAGACGTACCCCTTCAGTATCGAGATCTGCTCCTGCTCTTTGGCTACGAGATCCTCGCGGCCTGCGTCCTTGAACTCGGCCGACGCGTCTTCGGAGGCTCGCGTTGTCTTTCGCAGGAGGGCTACGAGTTGTGCGTCGGTGGTGATGGGCTTGTCTGTCTTGGAGGCGTTGAGGGTCGCTGACAGAATAGAGCGGAGGACGGCCAAGCGCGCAGTGTCTTTCGCTCGCATTGCTGTCTTGAGGTCGCCCTTCAACTTCTGGAGCAACGGAGGTGCTGGCGGGTCGGAGGAGTAGAAACGGACCATCCCCCGGGGCGCAACAGGGGTGATGCGAGTGCGCATGAAGCTCGAGGCGAGCCGCTTAGGTACGAATGCCGCCATGGTGAGGAGCTCAAGAGGTGTGGTTGTTCGTCCTGTACGTAGCTCTTCACAAATGCAACACCGGAGATGATCGTTCGTTCGTTCGTCGCCCGGGCTTGAGGCGGGTCCAGTTGTGGCAAGAACAAATGCTGTGATTTGATTTCTTTCTCGGTTCAAGATTGACCACCCGGATGAGTTCAACGTGAGCTTCGTGTCGCAAGGGAGCTTCACGCGGAAAATTTGGGCTTCGCATCCAATTGGTCAATGGAACACCAGCTTCTGGAACCTACCCTTGTACTTGGCCAGTTGCTAACGACGCTACCTTAAGGTGGGCACTAACTGACTACGGCTACTTGGGAATCCGACACCGCAATCATCACCCCCAAGGACCGAGATCGCATGCAAATACCCAACTGGGGTGGGAAAGCTGGATGGAAGTCCAGAGACCCCTACATTGGTGTCGAGTGGAATTCCGCAAGTGGACGTAGGGAAAGTTAACAACAATCGCCTCGAGTTACATGGCGTGTCACTACCATCCACCAGCCAGGCGTCGACATGCTCAGGTTGGTGAACAGGCTCATGTTCATCGTCGCCGCGTGTAACCTACTCCGTACAGCACAGGCGGTAAATGGTTCAATGGCCACAGGCCATGGGAGTACAGTTACCTATGTACTTAGGATGGAGAGCTCCCCACAATGGCCAGCGCTGACCCTTGCCAAAGACGCCTACCTACCTCGAGGCTTTATCGCAACAGATTGGACTTCTGGCCATAATCTTTCGGACACTTTTTGAGAAACGAAGGCTGCAGACTCGCTGCCATTATCATTCACGGTGCGTGCGTGGATGGGTACGGACTCGTTACCTCCATACCAGCTTTGGAAGTCGGGTTGGGCGTCTCTTTTCAATGGACTCTAATGCAACCCCCCGAGCAATACACATTACACAGCCAACATTTCCTCGTCTTTCATCGACCAAAATACTTGCGGAAGGGGTCTTGTCCCGGGACTTGACGGCCGACAAGGTTGACATGAGGGACTGCCTCCATGCTCCGCGTGTTGTGTCACCTGAAGACATGCAATGGGTCCTAGCTCATGGCGGGCGTCGTTGAATGAACAGGACCCAGCTGGCTGGAACCGAGAACACCCAAGTATGATAGGATCGCGCTTTCCAACTTGCTGCCCAGTTCTGCGTAAACCTTAAACAGACTTCCACTTCCTACACTTGGTGCTAACGGCTTGGAGTCCCCGTCTTCCAGATCCTGACATGCAACCAGCCCTGATATGCACTGTCAACTGCCAAGACACGCTACAAGTCAGTAGGATTCTGTATACACAGACACTTCTAGTTGACTCAGTCAGGGTTTTCTGGACTCTGAGTTATCCCCTCGGCATACCCTTCAGGTCGTGCACACCGAAGACGTTCCAATTAGTCTAACCTTTATCGCTTACGACCGACAGCGACGTAGCTCATCCCTAAGTTAACACGATGCAATCGTCTCGTGAGTGTTGATAAACTTACACTTCGAAATATGGCTACCCACAACGACGGTCTGAAGTCAGCAAATGAAGCCGCTCCTCATTGACGACAAAAACATACCTTCAAATTCGGGTTGCTGGCTTCGACCCTGGCATTGCCCACCAGCCGATCGAACTCATCGATGGTCATCCTGCAAGACCGTCAACTGGCCTTCCTCGTATAGAGATCTAGACTTCAAACGTTACCTAAGCCCTCCAGGTCTTGCTGTTAGCGGCCACAAGGCTAGCGAATGCAGCAATTCAGCCACATTGTATTGGTTATACGCCGCCAGCTGAGACTCTGCCGGGTCTGAGCAACGTCAATATACTCGGTGTCTAGGGGGGAACCACGCGTTTCTGACCATTGGACCATGCGCACATGGGTAAGTTGAACGACTGTGCCTCTACTTCGACAAACCCAGAAGCTGTCAGCATGTCACCTAGGCGCATTCCGATTGCCGGGTTCTTCCCCAGACGCCTCATTGCCCCTAAGTAATGACTTGACCACTGACGAAGAGCACCGCCTATGTTCGAGTTAGCACATGTAACTTGTAACTAGGGTAGTTCGAGTGCACCGTCGGGAAGATCATTGAATGATCCGTTGAAAGACTGTGCATTGAAGTATATCTCAACCATCTGGACCCATCCACGACGGACAAGAACCCGCTTCATTTCACGAATATATGGAACCCATCGGTCAGAGTTGACGCCGCCATCAACAAGTCTACTGTGGACGAAGTCGAAGTGATTGTCCGGATAAGGGATCCTGCACATATCGCATATTAGCATGTATCCCCATTGCCTCCGCACTTGGAGACCCACTCGTCGTTAAGGTCGCATTGGTAGAGGAACAGGTTCGAGGGTAATCCAAAGGGCATCATGATGGGACTAATATCAACCCCATGCACCTGGAAACGGTCAGAAACAGTCAGCGCCATCTCAAGAGCGCCACAGAATCAAGTGTTGCTGATTCAGTGGTAGATTGTACATTGTGCTACGGTCTGCGCCGTATGAATCACTCGTCGACCTCGATGGAAAGGTGTTGTGCTCGGACAAGAGAGATATACCCTAGTATCATGTCTCGGAACCACGGCGACATACGGCAGAAATCGTCAAAAGATGAGCTGGGATCACATACTTCGCAATTAGGATACCGGCGGGCGACGTCCAGTGCCCAGCTGCAATTTCCAGACCCGCAATCTAGCACTCGGCGTAGGGCATTCATTCTCCGCTCGGGCAGAATAAGCTGCTCGCCAAATTTGAGATGGAAAATGTCATGGACCAGTCTGAGGCGTTGAGATTCGGACTGCAAAGGTCAACATCTGCCAGTCGGCTTCCGTTTTAATCCGTACCTCGTCAGCGGGGACAAAGTATGCCCTGCTGTCTCGGGATACTCGGTGGTAATGTCGGCTATGGTATTCGAAGGTCTCATTATGCTCATCCGGCAACTCATCACTGTTCGTCCTACTCAAGTCTCAGCACTTTTCGACGCTATCTGCTGGTGCTGGTCACATACGCAGCCATGAGCCGCTGCGGCTGGTCCTGTTCAGCCTTGCTTACTATCAGAGCGCAGTTGTTGCAGTATTGGAGATTGATCACTGGGCAATCAAAGTCGCGACGTTTAGTAGGACGCTGCAAACTCTTGGGTGTTGGCGGGGGTTAGGCGTATATTGGAAGGAGAGGTGCGTTTGGCAACAATTCCCTTGCAGCTTTCAGGAACACAGACGAACCCGCCTTCGAGAGAACAAGCCGCAATATTTCTCATGCTACAATGCTCATCTACGATATGGGGTAGTCGAAGGTGTGTATGTAAAAAGGCCCCTGACGAACACGCTGGCAACGCTAAGCAACAGCTTCAAACCCATGACTACTTGCCGATCGTGGGTGTTACGAGGCTCTGCACACTGTACAAACCCGCAGGAATATGCTGCCTTCTAGAAACCTTCTTTGCAGACGACGAGCTTCCCAAGGGTCGCGCACCTTGGGGGTAAATGGTCCAGGCAGATGCAGATTGACCGAGGCCCAAAAGGCGAATATCTCCGAACTGCTATTCTACACATTACTTGGGAGCTGTAATACATGAAGCTAAGCGATAACCAGTTGTTCTAATTAGTTTTCTGTGCAATGCGTTGTCTTTTGAGTAATCATTCGGTAACAACACGCATTTGCCACGAGACCGCATACCGGAATGACCGCCTCGTATTTCGATTAGGCGAGAAATGGGAATCCTCAATATCCATTGACGTTCGCTAAATTGGAGCTCTGACAGAAGCTTACAGTACGTCCATAGTTGCAGCTACGGGCTTGGGAGAGCTATGCAACCTGCATAGTGGTCCACGGCCATGCTTTTCTTGTCTGCAGCCACCCTTGGTAGTAGTCTAGCATACACAATCTCAAACACGACACCAGTCAGCCCTCGGCTTTGGGCCATCGAATCTTGTCGATGTCAGCCAGCGTGTTTGGTGTGCAGACAGCGGACCGTTGGAGTGACCCATATTATCCAGGATAACGTGCTATGTATGTGGTTTCTGCAGATCACTCATTAGTGCTCTTGGTTCAGCGTGTTTTAGAGAGTACTCCACCCCAATGACAGGCCTTGTATGGTAGAGCTTGAGGCGACTACCATGGGTTGCTCCAGAATAGATGACTTGCAGTCGACAGAGCGCAATTTTGGCTTGGCTTCACTTGAAGGGAAGGTGCTTCCGCTTCGGTGACCTCGGAGGAAGAAAGGCATGGGTCATTAGCAGATACCAGGGCTGTGGCTCTGGCTGGGGCTCAATAAGGTACTTTTTCGGCAAGGCTTCTGAGCATCCTTGACACTATGCTACTCGTGGTTAACAAGGTTGATACCCGCTCGGGTTATTCTGAGTCCCGGGAATTTGGTTCACATTCGTCATTCTTGGCTTTCTGAGGCGGTGGCAGGACTGTCACTGGTATACTAGCTAACGCATGACCAGAAACGTAGATGGCTACGCAAGCATGAAGGCACACTTCAGGTTTGGAAAACTCTAAGATTCCTCAACTTCTAGTATTTCCTTGGCATGAATTTGCATGAACCCAAGCCAACTTGCAGTGAGCATTCCGACGGGGCAAATTGACAGGGCCCTGCAGCATCCGTAACGTGGCACACCGATCCGTCAGGATGCTCTCGGAATATATAACGAAAGGGGAAACAAATAAGACGGAAGTCCCATCAACATGGGTACCAGACATACAAGCAGCGCTAAACCCTGAGCGGGTCGTCTCGGCTAGCTGCTGCATCCATCGGCGACGCCCTCCTGCACGCTCGCCGCCTCCTTCAAGGGTCTGTCTACGGATTGTCCGCCGCTCCCTTGGCTGGAAGGAAGCTCAAAATACGGTCCGTACGGCTTGTCGATCTCGGAATGCTCTCAATGGATAGGTCCACGTGACCGCTGCCCTGGCTCATTATGGAGGCACGGCGCAACCTGTTCACCGCTGACATTCGGTGGACCAAGACCCACACATATCTTCCTTGCCGCCGTTTGCGATGCTGGTTGCGAAATGCGCGCAACGGTATTGCTGGTCTAGGCGGCATCCCTCACCATAGGGTTCAGAGATATTAGGACCTCGGCTTCATAGTTCATAAGTTATCTCTAGTCTCTGTTTCTCTGTTCGGTTTAATTTTCCTCTTTTGCCACTGGAATCTCAAATATATTGCAAGTATTATACCTGGCTTCCTAGGTAACCCTCACATCGGATTATGGAGTAATTCCATACCCACGCATAATTCACCTGAAAGTACTGTACATTAGCGACTTATTACTACAGATTATCCAAGCAACAGGCTTTTGAAATAGTCCCGAGGCTCTATTTCGGCTAGTCCGAGCCGGGCCAGAAGGAACACGCCGGCATTGTCTCAGGAACCGCTGCAGGTTGATCCTGCCAAAATCCCTCTGACAGGTCGCGTGGGTTCTTTTATTAGTATCATTCATGTCGGTCATACATAGTATTCCCGCAAAGAAGGATTTGACAAAACAAACCCTGTGACGAAATACAATCAGTCCCTCAAGCGCTGAGGTGTTGTTGTGAGCAATGAAGGGGTGGCCGATTCTCCATCTTTTCTGGGACTGGAATCCATTTGCCTGAAGCTGAGGTATAAACTTGCGGCCACTCTGATTGGGCGTCCACGCGAACCATGCCCTCGGGTCTGGTTGCATCCCTGACCTTCTAGTCATATGTCATCTTTGCTTTACAGTCTACAATCAGACTGTGTACCTATCTGTAAAAACTCCTGTTTCTTACCAACTTTCGGGGCGCATCAATCCTGATCTCACATGGGACCAAGGGGTCTTGCTACTCCTAAGAGCTATTTGTGAGCGATGCAACCCTCCTCTTACAGATTCTCAGTCGAGTCCATGAATTTTCCGATGTAGCATGCACTTGGTACGGCCCGCGCAGGTGGAAACAACCAAGACGGTTATCAACGTACTCTGGGGAGATTGCTGTCTGGAGGATGAAACGCAGCACACTTCGAGCCTGGCCACTTGGAAACCTCGACCAGTTTTCCAAGAAACGTCATCTCCCTAGACTGGAGCAAAATACAGCCGCATATGTATCGCCCCATTGGTCTTGGTGTATAGGCTTTACACGTACATGCACCATAAAACTACTATTGGTGTTCCTCGAGTGATGCTGGCCCAAAATGACGAATCACCTTGCACTCATGCGTCCTGTCGCCTGGCTTCGGGCAGAATCTTTCCATATTGGTTGCCTAAGTGCCCGTCACACCCCCATACCACATTCCCTAATACATGATTGGTTACTGCGACCGTTGAACACAACGGCCAGGCTGCCTCGTGCGCCGCCAGTCGGTTGCACAGATCAGCCTACTACGCAGCAGGTCATTTGGCATATAAGAGGGATTATTCGGGCACAGACGGTGGTGCTCAGCTAAGCCCGTAGATGGTGGCGGCGGTGCACGCTGGTAGCCCATTGCGATCCGTCGTATGGCAGGCTATCACAACCAACGTGTCGCCATCTCAGTTCAGACCGCGCAGAATAAGAACATTGGAAAGGCAGCATTAGCAGGCTGAGTTATCATCCATCACCCGAGGAAGACGGTTTTGGTCTAATAATGTACAGTTCCCCTCAGAATATGCGCCGCAGCCCCCAGCCCGCCCCGTCTAAACTAGGTATACAAGGGAAGAGATTAAACATGATGAACAAGAAGAGACCATATGCAGTGCCGTAGTCTGTAACCTGAAGCTGTATCCCATACGCCGAGCCCGAACCATATTGATGCACCTGTACGGTTTCTGGACCTTTCGCCTGCCCTTGTGCAGAATGCCGTCGCTGGAAATGAAAATGAAACCATCTACCAGCAAGTGAACACAGGATTCCTAGCCTTTACAGTCTCTAAGCGTTCAACGATCACCTTCCTCCTGTTTCCCTCCATGCCCTCGGCAGCCGCGTAGCCCAGGTCGCCGTCCATATCATCATCCACTCCAATATAGTCGCCATACATCTGCTGCGCGATCGAGTTACTGCCTCGACGCCCAGCTCCAGCGGCATGACTGAAACGCCGTTCGCGTTGTGGCGTGTGCATATGGGCAGAAGGTCTTGATGGCCCTTGATAGCTTGCGCGTGGGGCATTGCGCGAAAACCTTGGTCGTGGTGTTGAGCCCTGTGACGGGTCCGCATTGAGTTCATCGAACGGATTCATTGTCTTGCCGTTTGGTGAGTTCTGCGTCTCATCTGGGGACTGTGCTCTCGGAGTCGACAACTCGAAACGGCCTGGATTTGGCAAGGGACTAGCAAAGCCCAATAGATCGTCTGTTTGGTTCGTAGGTGCGCTAGATGAATTGATGGCACCAATATCCATTTCTTCTTGGATAGCATCTTGTAGTTCTGGCTCGGCCTTGCGGCGCATCTCGGCGCTTGCTACCCTCATAGGGACTGCCACAGGTACATCAACAAGATCGTCCCAAACACAAACTCTAGTCCGGCGCGTGAGCTCCAGTGGGCCGTGATCAGGAGTCTTTAGAGTTTCGACCACGTTCCAAGCCTGGCCTTTCATGACAGCCATCTGGCGCGAGAACATCTTCTCCTGAAAGTCGGGATCGATGCGGAATACCTTCCGGAGAGCCAATTGGGTCTGGCTCCACCATTCAGGAGAAGTCAAGAGCGGGAGGAAGTGGTCTCGCGTCTTTTGAGAGAAAGGACGCCCGATCAAATCGACAGGTAAGAAGAGCCATCCGAAGGGGAAGCTGTTCGACAATTAGTGATCCGTCCAGAGTGCAGACATAAACGAGAAGAGACCCACCTTCGCCAAGCGTCCGGGTGCTTCCAAGGCCACGATAAGGAGTTGTCTATGGCCCCTATGGTCATCTTGGGCTCCTGAATGTTTGCCGCTCCACTTGCATTCATAGGTTTCTGTGCTTTGTACGGATCCAAACGTGGACTGCGGGAATCGCTCCTCTCCATCAGGTTCACTGGGCGTGCTGGCTGATCCTCCCCGTCACCAACATCCACGTTGAATTGTAGAGGCTCAGAGGCAATAGACACTGCCTGGGTTTCCCAATCAACCTTGACCATCCAATTATCCAGGCCCCTGTCCGTATTTCGCATGATGTAATCAAGAATGACAAGTTTCTCAAGCTCCTCTCGGAAAGACTGTTTGAGGTTTTCAGTCCAGACGAAGTTGTCGGGACCAAGGGGCCGGGGCTCCGGGGCGTCGTACTCTTCGTCACTCTCACCATCGTTGACACGTCTGCTGGACGGCCTGCAGTTGTCCGCCCATTTCTTTTGCTTGTTGCGATGGGTATCGCCGGATCGTAGCCCAGACCAGTACTGGTCCGGCCAAGGATGCTGCTTTAAGAAGACGTTGGCGTCTTTGAAGCCTTTCAAGAAGACCTGGAAACTGCCAGGCTTGGCAGGAAATGGCTTCTTCTTCCGGTAGAAGTTTCTGCGATCCCAGTAAGGATAGTGGAACGACTTGGAAGAAAGCCAGACGACATCCGTGTACGGCACCATGTTGGTTCTGAGTTGACAGTCGAGGGTATACGCAGCAGCCTCGCTCACGTACGACAGGTTGGGAATGAGACATGCCCTCCCAAAGCAGCAGGGGAAAAGATTTCGATGGATCCATTTGTTCCACTTCGGGTTGCCGGCCGCGTATGGTTCCTCGTCCTTGGGTTTGAAGACGCCCACAATCTTGCCATCGGTATTGCGGGCAAAGTAGCTTCCTGAGCTGCCTTGAGTAATCATGCTAGGATGCATGCCCTGGTCAATGGCCGTCCTCACGCTTTCGACAATCTCCTCAAACTCGACCGGGGACATTGCCGTATCGTGAGCTGTTGCCGCCAGGCCCTCGGCAGTCACTGGCCGGACACCATCGGGAGCTTGAAAGACACTGTAATGGATTTCGAGCGGTTCTTCCTCATCCGACTTGCCCTTGCCCTTCCCTCTCTTGAACTTGGACGCGATCTCCTCGGCCCATTTCTCCAAGCGGGCATTGATGGCCTTCAAGTCGACACCCGAGTTGGTCCTTGCTCTCCTTGGGCGATGCTTGTGCTTCGACGCCTCCGGGGAGGCCATGCCCGAATGAGGGCGAGGTTGCGTGGCAGTCGCATGTCTGGGCGCTGTCTGCGGTTGCAGGGAGGCAAAGCTCTGGCCGAGAGCGCCCTCGTCTTCGGAATCGTCGCTGAACTGGTCGGCTTGGGCAAGGCGCTCATAGCCTGTCGTAGCAGGGCGACTGCGCGGCATGGCGGGTAATGACGAGTGAATGATGCAGGCTGAGGTCGTCCGAGTCTATCTCATCGTGCGTCGGGAGCCTCGATACGGAAGGGAATCCGGGGGTGGTCGTTGACTGGACTGGACTGGAAAGGGGTCGATACTCTCGCTCTTTGTCCAGGGTTCCCGGTGCCGAAAGAATCAGGACGGGCAGGGCAGGAGCCGAGGCGTATCAAGGAGTGTGCAGAATAGCGCAACAAGACGAGAGAAGAAGTAAGTCGAGCCACGAATAGAAGAGCCTCAAAAAATCAAGAGTGGCACAAGCCGGGTGCCTGAAAGCAAGCACAGCCAACTAAGTTCTACAAGTGTCCATTTCGTTGAAGTTGTGAAAGGGTGCCGCCGACACGTCACGTCAGTGATTGAAGGCACGCCAAAGCTCTGGCCCGCCACCTACCGGACCCAAAGGGCCCCCCAAAAAGACGCCAGGGGCCAGGATGTTGGTATGGCCCTCCATTAAGGCAGTGGAGACGACTGCTGGAGCCGCCGCACGTCGACCCAGAAGCTGGCCTTAGCGCCTCTCCCGAGATTTGGTGAACTGGTCCATAGGTTTACAGGTTGACCTATGATTTATTTTATGTTGATTTATTTTTCCTCAAATGGAATATTTGTTCACTCTCAAGCGTTGCAACGGACGCTTAAATGAATCTTCGACGTTGTACACACAATCAGTCCCTACCGAGAGATGCCAGTCATCAATAAAGCGACTGCCTGCAGGTGTGGTGCGAGTTACCCCCTTCATCTCCTCTAATGCTCTGTAGCTGCCGAGGGATGGTGGTGGATTCGAAAAGCCGAGACCTCTCAGGACAGCATTGAGGGAGCCAGGGCAGACGTCCACTGCTTTGAATACAGGAAAAATAGGTATACCTTTGCAAAAACCCAGGTTCTTTTGACACGATGGAAGCAACAGATCCCCAGGCCGTACCGCAGGCATTTGGAATGCTTGCCGATCAAATCGAGCGAAGGGCCACTGCCACTTCACTCGGGCTTGGCGTTGACAACCATTGAGAACCATTAGCAACTCGTCCCCGAGTATTGGAATCATGCATGGCTTGGTTGTGCAGATAAACTTGGATCTTTAAGAGCACAGGAATTGGTGCAAACTAAACTCTTCCCCTCCTACGTGAATGATTTCCATATAGAGTTGGCTACATGCCTGTTACAGAGCGTAGAAACTAACCATGCACTCACCATAGTCAGGAATAAGAGGAGACCTCTTGCTTGGTAGCATTTCTTCGTCCATCTTCAATTGACACATGGCTCTTACAGATTGCTAGCTAGCTAAACAAACCAAACATACTGAATTTGCGAGGGCCTCGTATTGAGGTTTACCAGACTTTGTCTCATGGCAGGGTTCATATACATCTTGGGAATTATCGTAATGCGACGGCTGTTAAGTAACAGAGGCATCCGCAGTTTATCGCAACAACAGGGTATGGGTAATCAAAGAGGCGCGAGTTTTGAGGGACGTAGACTACTGCTGTGGTGTTCGTCAACCGGATATCCCAGCGTTCCCGCCGCCAGAGCATTGAGGACGCCAACTCGAAGGCCTCGATCCCAAGTCCCGAGATATGCCTACTGTCCGACATTCTGCCCCACGAGCGACGGCTGATATTCAGTATTACTAACGGACTGACCGGATGATCTAATAGCACAGGGTACTTGGCTAGCATGTCATATTTGTCCTTGGCGAGCAGTGAGTGAGGAGAGGGGTGTTGCTGGAATCGCGCACTCCCAAATCCGACATGGCAACTGAGCATAGGCCACCGGCTGGAGCAAAAGGACGTACTGATCTCCTACAGTAATATGATTCTAGTTTCCTGAGGATGGCTAAGGCTGTTCGTTCGTAGCACGGGTAGCATGGCCTGCATGTCAACGTATTAGCCTGATGGAAGCGCACCGTACGGTTGCCTTTGTTAAGCTATAGCCATTCAAGTCACCTTGGAGGCTCACTGTGTGCGGGGCTTATCTGGTATGAAGGGCCAAAGTCCGTCTGACCTCAGGGTTAAAGCGGCACATAGCTAGGCTTGGTCACTAACTACGTTTTACCTGGAACCTTTTACAGTACTTCATACCCCCTGTTGCCTCGAATGCATGGTAGTGCGCTACGCCCCCGACTTAGATAAGGCGCCGTGCTTCCCCAGATTCTTGCTTTGCGCAGACAATCCCGGCCCCTGCTGGGCCATGTGTGTGGCTCGATAAAGTCTTGGAAAGGCTTCAACACAACTGTCCCGGATGAAGACCATGTACTCTAAGTGTGTGAAGCACCCTGCTGCAAGCTTCCAGACTGCTATTGTTGTAAGTTGTGCGGTCACTTGAGCACAATTGACCTTCAAATTGCAGCGATCAGCTCTTGTCAATCTATATGCATGCATATGGGTTTCAGTGACGGGATGCAACCACCAGGCAGCGCCATTGTTCTCGCAAATCCAGCAGCACTCTAATTCCATGCAGATCTCAGTCATTGCTGCAATATCCGAACCGAACTGATCATCATCACGCGATCCCCTGCGTAACACGAAGCTTCTGGTCAACAAATGGAGTTCGTCTTGAAAGATGGGAGCCCTTGCGCGGCCTTGATGCATCCGATCCAGATGTCTTGGCGTGTCGTACTATAACTTGGTAACCTGCGGCACCACCGCGCCCGCACATCAGCTGTCATGGCACCACGTTGAGGAAGGCAAGACAAGCTTGACAAGCTCGACAAGCTCTCGACAGAATCAGCATTCTGATCATTCATAGCTATGAAATACAGTAGTGTCGAAAGACGTGCTAGATAAAGGTGGAAATCCACTGCCGGCTGGTCTTGGCGAGTCTTAAACTTTCCGCTTGGTTTCTGGCTCGACGCAGAGTTTACGTCAACGAAGCCGAGCCAATAGGATCGACCCCCCGGACTGGAAACCAACATCTTCCAGAATGTCTGGAGATCTCCAGGAGAGAGTGCTGATCTACACCAATTCCCCGGTCATCCTTGAATATGACCATAAGCTCCGTGCGACCAATGTTCCTCCTAACATCCTGGCATCCCATACCGGATCCTCTTGGCTGTCTTATGCGCGAAGGATCTAACGTTTCGTGTCCCTTTTTTTTCCAACATTCCCTACCGGGAAGCCGGCTTAACCTTCCAGAGTTAATGTCCTCAGCAACATTCCTATCCTTTTTTTCTTCTTCTTTCCCAAATCGCACCGTATTGCAAACCTCACCTCGAGGAAACCCTCGTATGTAATTGCATCTTTGCCCGCCGTACGTGTAATCGCTTTGGCAACTCAATTACACAAATCATTTCTAATTGACCCGGTCATCCCGCCCATTACTGTCCGTGTCGACTCCACAGAGGGGGGCGGGCCACGCACCTCCACTACGAATTGATACGAGGCTTGTCGAGGTGGTCTCGGCTCGACTTCTACTTACACCCTTGAACACAGCAAGATTTTGTCGGTGGCTTTTGCATCGAAGCTCCTAATTCAGCTGTTGATCCTAAAGACCACCATACTATTGAACAACATTTCATATGTCCGTCCAATCACCCACCAACGAGAGACTGGCCGAGGTCATCCTCTCGGCCTTCTCATCGCCAGAACCGGAGCAACGGGGCCGGAAGCGACGTCGAAGCCCAGGTCCGTTCCTGACCGTCACCACGCGCCAGATCCCTTCGGGCGAATCTGCCACTTTTCGAGGTCGCTCCAGACATCGGTCCGTATCGCGCATCGATGGCTCGAGAAACACGTCCCGCCTGAGGGGTTGGTCTCTTTCACCAACACGACGGAAGCTGCTGCGCATCGTAAAGATCAACCGGCACCGAAGCCAAAGCCCCTCAAGATCCCGTTCTCCAAATACCCAAGAACCATCCAAGAGGAGGCGGCAGAGGACACGGAGCCGCAGCCGAGAGCACACTGAACACACCAAAGGAGGAGAGCATCTGTCGCTTCTCCGACATGAGATTGTCATCAGGAACGAAGCGATCGAAGGCAAGCAAAACGGCTGACGCATCTCATCCGAGAGTGGAAAGCCTGAAATGAAAATCGAAAACGAGACTAGAGTCGTCGTCGACAATTTGGAGACACTCTAATAATACACATGCTTCAAGCATGGAAAACGAACAGTCATTGACGTCGATACATGCTGACGAACCTGCACATGGCTGCTGCAGCTCCCAGGTTGCTGCTGGCCTGGCCGTCCGCCCAATGTATGTTTTAGTGGGACTTATTTGTCGTACCCAGTCCTTGGTTACGCGCTGGTCAAGATTGGAAATGCCGGAGTTCCTGAACATGGCGCAGCTGTACAGGTCACGCGTGGGGTAGTGAAAAGCAGGGCCACAACGACTTTACAGGTGCTTGTATACTGCTGGGATGTTATCTTACCAGGGGGCGTTCGTAAAAACTTGCCGGTTCGTTGGGTTTGCTGTTCCTTGTACACTCTTGTTTTAAGTAAGATATGGATGCAAAAAGCAGCTACAAGAACAATGATCACGTTGTTTCACACACACACAAGTCATGTGGTGTAGTGGAGTATTGGAGTATAACCACGCACCTCGCTAGATGGATGGGTAAGGTAGCCATAATGGTGCATTACTACTATCTCCGCAACCGTAACCGGGTGGGACAAGAGCATGCTGGAGCTTCGTGAACGGCCAGCCACTAAATACGCCTCGGGACCCAACCAGACACTGTTGTACGCTCTGCCATGAGCGCGACCTTGGAAATACTTGCATAACGCTACGGCCTTATCTACAAACACATTCCACTTGACGGAACCAATGAATAACAGAGATGTTCACGATGCATCGCATTTCCCGCTAGCACATAAAAGAAGGTGGAACGAGTAGTTTGGGGACTGCCTTTGAAGTTTTGGCAGGGGCACGTGGACATGTTGACCTAATCAATTTGAGGTTAGGGGAAATGCTTCAAGGCGGTCATGAGACCAATAGAATCTGCAAGTCGGCACGGTTTTAGGGGCCATGGCCGGGCCAAGGGGGCAGGCAAGAATGCGCCAGGGCGCCTCACCCATGGCTGCCACGCCAGCAGCCAGGCAGGCTTCTACTATGGTATAACTGACAACTGAGGCACAAGCACCGCCCACGGGCATATGCACATGCCAGTCTGGGGCCATGCACGCACGACACGGGCCATGGCGGGAGCAAATGCCGGAGGTGGCAGCGAGGGACTTTTTAGAGTTCTATCGGATGGATTACTATGGCCCATGGCGCAGAGGGCGAGTCGATCCCGGACTCCTCGTGGTAGGCTGCTGGCTGCTGGCTACTGGCTACTGGCTACTGGCTGCTGGCTGTTGGCTGGCTGCTTGTAGGTAGCTGGAGCTGGGTGGGGTGGAGCCTGTGTGAATGGGTCCATGGGTGGTTTCGATGATGCCCGCCGCCCGCCTATCGAGCTTACAGATGCGGATGCAACCTTGGCGGGGTGGCCTGAACCGCCAACAACAACCGCATAGGTCGATCACTGATCATCTGAAGCCCTTTTCGAGGCCTCGGAGAATAGGTAGCAGCTGCGAATACACACGTCTCGAGAGGCCGCGTGACTCAAGTTCACGACCCATCGTTCCCGCCGCCGCCGTCGTCGAGATAGAAAATAATTACAACAGCAGTCCGCCGGTGCTGTTGCCGACTGGGTCCTGTTGTGCTTGTAATCTATCTTGATTCTTGAAGCAGCCGGCATTCTCTCCTCTCCCTCCCTCCCTATGCGTTCCATGCCTTTGTCCTCCCTCGTCGCAAATGTGGATCGGCTTCCGTCACCACAATAGTCCCTGACTACAATACCTCGCTTGGCCCGGCTACTCCCTTCGTGCCTGCGCGTGCGCCTGCATCATACATTCTTTTTTTCTTCCTCTTTCCTTTCCTCGCACAAGACCGGGGGGGTTCCTGGCTTCAGCAAGAACACGAACACGATCGGTGCAGCTGCCGGGCCTCTGCTGCCTTCGAGTTCGGCAATCGGTAATTCTCTCGATTCTTATACTCACTCTCGACGCCTGCGGGTTGCCCCACCATCCGCTTCCTCGACTGGCCCTTCACTTCGCCAAGTTACTGCTCGCTTGCCGCCGGGACAAGGCGACCGCGCTTTCTTCTATAACCTTCATCACTCACCTCGACTTGACCAAGTGCGACCGCGGCAGCCGTGTCTCGTGGACCGCCGACTACCATACATCACATACACACACACACCATACATATACACACATCTCACACGCGCATGAGCTCCTGTGGCGCAGCCGAACTGCGTGGAGGGAAGCTTGCGGTTTCGCGAGTGATGAGAGCCTCGCTCTCCATCACAACCACCACTTAACGCGAGTCTGTCGTCCGAGCCGCGCTTCACCAGCCGGCCGCGGCTGACCAGAAGCCACAACCATGGCCTCCAACAACCATGCACATGGTAAATCTCTCATTTCCTTCGCTACGTTTCCCACTGCCTCCAGCAACGGTAAGCACAGATGCCGGAGCGAGAGCCCGCAGCCGCTCAAGGAGCGCATTGCACAGTCCTCACACCCAACACCGCCCTCCTCGCGCGACGACACATACGTCGGCCAGGCTGACTACCATGGCACCTTCATTGACACTCACAAAGGCATCGCAGCCCAGGACAGACTCGCAAATGCCCCGCCGACCGTCAACCCGAACGTCGCCTTCGGGCTCAACTACAACCCTGCCGATCTGCTGAACCCTCGTGGCGCTGCCATGGTGTCGCGCCCGAATGCTGCAGCTAACATGTCGCTGGCGAGTGGTGTGAACGGGCTGAACGGTTCGAGCAACGCTGGCCCTCTCGACTTCCAATTCTCGAGTCCCAACGAAGGCACCGCATCGAGCACCAGTACCCCGCCGTCCTTTTCGTCGCAAGGCACCGAGAGCGCCCGACATACGCCGACACCGAGTGGCTTCGCAAGTATGTTTGAGCGCATGAATAACGTTCAGGACCGCTCCTCCGTGCCGCAACCAAAGCGCCGAAAAGTCGAGGCGGAGAACGGCAATCAGCATCACAGCTTTAGCGGAGGCGGCAGTGGTATAGTCGGCCAGGCCATCAAGGATAAACGTGCTGAGGCTGCGAAAAACCCGGCTCTTGGTCGCGTTGACACAGTCGATCTCACCGAAACACGTAGGTTCAATCTGCTTCGACCCTGTGCGGCGACAGCAACGATTGCGGACAGGATTGGGCTGACATGTTGATAGTGGATGATGATAGTGACATCGTCGAGGTCACGGATGCGAAAGATCAAGAGGTGTGCTTCGGTATGCTTCAAAGTGCTAAAATCAACTTCGACGTGGTACCAAGCCCCAAGCCGGGACAGCGTGCTCTGGATGATCAATACTGGCCGCAAGTCAAGATCATGCTGAATCGAAAGCAAGGCGACCCAACGCACATCATCTTTGCGAAAGACCATACGCGGAGAATCGTCGGTCGCGTTGATCACCAGACTGCGCTGGGAATCTCGCCGCTTCTGGATTCTCGCCTTCACCTCCGAACCGAGTGCAAGCTTAAGTCTCGTAAGAAGAAGCCCGGCGAGCATGTTGGCAACCAAATCTCCGAGTCACTTCCCTTCGACTGTATATTATACGGTCCCAGACGCTCAGGCAAGGCTGTCGTCCGACACCTGATGAACAAGGGCCTCCGGTTACTTCATCCCACAATCGTGGAGAGGGGCATAGAATATGAAAACCCTATGAATCAGCTGGTCGTCCAACAGCAGCCTGTCGTAAGGCCGCAGTTCGTACCGGCCAGTACTGCTTCGTCTGTTCATCCTCCGGTTATGAGGACTGTCGAGGAGGTTCGTACCGAGGTGATGGGCGTGTTCGATTCTCTCACTAGGAGTGAAGACCTTCCCGAGATGGAGCCCGACCCGAGAATCACGTCCCAACTCCTCAAGCATCAAAAACAGGGTCTCCATTTCATGACCATGAGGGAGAAGCCTGTCGAGTTGCGAGCTGATGGCAAATCAGCGAATTCATTCTGGCGCGTTCGTATCGGAAACAGCGGCCAGAGGATCTATCACAACGTCATTACTGGTCAGATGCACTCGCGACCGCCGCCGGATACCTTTGGTGGTATACTTGGCGATATGATGGGCCTTGGAAAGACGTTGAGCATACTGTCTCTCATCACTGGCTCTCTTGACGTAGCAGAGGAATGGTCCAAAGCGCAGCCCCAGCAGCCCCCGCCCCCTCCTGCACCCAAGAAAAATGGACGATTTGATGTACCTGCACCGGCGCCTCTAGCATTGACAACCCCAGTACTCAACTCGCGGGCGACTCTACTGGTCTGTCCCCTGAGCACCGTTGCGAACTGGGAGATTCAGATCAAAGAGCACATTAAGCCTGGCACTCTCAAATACTACATCTATCACGGGCCGAATCGAATCAAGGACGCCAAGAAACTTGCCGAATTTGACCTCGTCATTACGACATACGGCTCAGTCTCCAGTGAGCTTCGAGCTCGACATCGGGGAGCTCGGGGACCTCATCCTCTTGAAGACATCAGTTGGTTTCGCATAGCTCTGGACGAAGCACACATGATCCGCGAGCAGTCCACCCTGCTGTTCAAAGCCATCTGCCGCCTACAAGCCAATCGGCGATGGGCTGTCACTGGTACCCCTGTACAAAATAAGCTGGATGACCTAGCAGCTCTCCTCGCCTTCATTAGACTAAAGCCATTCGACAACAAGGCCATGTTCACGCAGCATATCGTAGCACCCTTTAAGGCCTGTGACGCTGAGATCGTCCCCAAGCTGAGAATTCTCGTCGATAGCGTCACCCTAAGGCGATTGAAGGATAAGATTGACCTGCCGCCCCGAGTCGATCAAATCGTTAAGCTCAAATTCTCGCCATCTGAAGAGAAACTATACAAGCTATTTGAGCAGAAGGCTCAGGACAAAGTCGACATTGTGACTGCAGGTCGGGAGAGAATGCTTGGCGGAAGGACCTACATTCACATTCTGCAGTCAATCCTGAAGCTTCGGCTCATCTCTGCGCACGGCAAGGATTTATTGAATGACGACGATCTCAAGCTATTACAAGGAATGACCGAAGATTCTGCGATCGATCTCGACAGTGGCGACGAAGACGAAACCGAGAAGCCGGCAATCACAGAGTCGGGTGCTTATGAGGCCTTCGATCTGCTGAAGGACACCAACAATGACAGCTGCAATGAATGTGGCCAGTCTCTCAGCGCAGCGAGTGACGATGCAGATGCAGAATCAGAACGTGACGAAGTAATACTGGGTTACATTTCTCAGCACTATCATCTGATCTGCACAAAGTGCAAGCCAAAGTGGGAGCAGACTGTAAGTGGTCAGGCATCGGGTGATTGCCCTTATTGCGCAAATACCACCAGATATGCGCTTCGCGAGCTACGAAAGGATCGCGCTGAAGCTGAGCACGAATCGCACCACGCCGGCGTAAAGGGGAAGTCCAAAACGCCAAACATGGGTGGCTACTCTGGACCTCACACGAAGACGCGTGCATTGGTGGATGATCTTCTCAAGTCCCAGGCACAGAGTGAGGCTAACCCGCATGAGCCTCGTTACAAATCCGTCGTCTTCTCTGGATGGACATCCCATTTGGACCTGATCCAGATTGCGCTCGACGACGCGGGCATCGTCCACACTCGTCTGGATGGCAAAATGTCACGCACTCAACGTACGGCCGCAATGGACAGGTTCCGTGAGGACCCGGCCCTGGATGTGATCTTGGTTTCCATCACAGCCGGCGGCTTGGGTCTCAACCTAACTGCTGGTAACAATGTCTACGTCATGGAACCGCAGTTCAACCCAGCTGCCGAAGCTCAGGCTGTAGACCGAGTGCATCGTATTGGACAGAAGCGTCCTGTGCGCATTACCCGCTACATCATGGAGCACAGCATGGAAGAGAGCATGCTGGTCCTACAGGATAAGAAGAACAAACTGGCCAGCCTTTCCATGAACCGTGGGAAGACCATGGACAAAGCTGAAGCAGCGAAGCAGAAGCTTATGGATCTCCGAAGTCTGTTCAAATAAGATCACCTCCGAATGTCGGGCACGGGATCTTGTAACCGCTCTGCCGCCATGACCTGCAGGCATAGCGCCCTTCTCATAGATCGACTTTTGAACGGAGGGGACCATGCTGCATATTTTTGGCGTCGAGGACGGTCTATGTTAAGTTATGGCTCTGTTTAGCCTGCTCCATCTGTTCCATGGCTTTCGACCGCATTGTTTGTTTGCAGCTTTCTTAACAATTCATTGATGCACGGCGTTCTGAGGCTTTCGATACCATACCATAAAGGGGAAAGAAGGCACGTGGAAATACCATAAAGGCGGTCCTCACACGAGGAAATCATGACCCGGAAGGAGTTGAGGCACTGTTTTCTGGGACACCGGACATGGGCATCACTGAGCATGGGGTTAAGAAGGGAGTGGTTGGTTTGGCACCCTGCGGTGGGACGGCGTAGAAATCTGCTACACGAGGTTCGCGTATACCCTGGGTTGGGCATTCCCTTCAAGCCAAAGCGACTCTGGCTTTTCTCGACAAGCGGGTAATTGTCACTGCTCCTACGCTGTGTGTTGTCGGCGATGATACCACCCATACATTCCGCAATTTGATGCGGAGCCTCCCTGCTGCATTCTGAAAGCCCACTTGATAGACCATAGCTAATGGGAAATAACCTGTTACTAGTGACTTTGCATTTTGTGTTGAATGCCGCGGAAGGTAGCTTATGTACGCTTGTCTCCGTCAACCTCACCAGCTCGGATTCGAATTCCACATGTCGGCTGCCAGGTAACTCGTCAGCCTAGAGGGAAAACCTTTGGGCATCCCATCCATAGAGCTCGACCCGCCCATTGGGAAGACGGTCTCTCTCAACCCTCGCTTCGTGGCGAGTGCCCAATAACTAGTAGGATTGACTGATTACATCCATCTCAGGCCCCCCATCGTTCTACTTGTTGCGTGTACATACGGCATACTTCCGTCATCCGACTCGCGCCCTCTGATAAGCGGAGCGTTATACCCAAGAAAGCCGACCAACCAGAGAACAGGCCAATGTGATTTGGTTTGTTGGTAGGGCTGAAAGCGAAAGCGAGCAGCACCGCGTTTTGCCTTGACAACATCCACCCGCTCACCCACTCACATCCCCCGTATGCAGGGGCTCCGCGGGCTAGGGACGGGGCCTCGTCGCGTCACGTCATGGACAATGTTGGGGCTGACATGTGACGCCGAAGAGGAAACGGGACGGTCGGGCAAGAAGGGGGAGGAAAAGGCATGGTGGTGGTTTTTTTTTAATTGAGCTTTCGGCTCCACTTTACCGATACCGTTTGCCGATAATGTTGGGACGGGCAGGCGCGCGGCCAAGGACCGCAACACGGGCCTCTTTTCACCTCTGTCTTTGGTAAGGCTGTCTTTCGGATGGAAGGGTTGGGCGGGAGTGGGATAACTTCTTCTGCCAGGCCTGGACGACTTGGGGCTTTTGGCGGTTTGCATGTGAAATTTGAACTTGTCGCAGTATGAATTTACATGAATATTCCTTTGGCAGTGGACGTATCTCCTCATTTCTCACAAATGACTAGTATAGAACATATTTCTGGTCACGTGGCAGGTATATTATTGTTTCAATTTTTAATTCATTTAATCTCAGTCTAGTGAGTGATGATTTGATATCTTTTCATCATGCGCCGCTGTCCGTGAAGCCCCTGAACGCCAGTTTAAAAAAGAAGCCAAAAAAGAAGACGTCAACCGCTAACACTGACGTCTGTCTGATCTATGTACAACCAAGGGCTGAGTAATCTCAGTAACACCGTAGGGTGCGGGGATAACTCTATTCTGAATCGGAAGCGGGCGTCAACCCGTCCTATACCAATAACCACTTAACCATCGCGAGTTCATGCAGCCTCGGCGCTGGCAAGCGGCTGTGTTGTTCTTGTGACTTGGTCGCCTGCTCGGACGATGCGCTGACCAGTTGAGTCGTTGACGATCGTAACTTCCTTGTTCTCGGATTGGGCACGCTTCCAGATCTCAACCTCGCAACCACCGCGGAGCACACCAACGCGCATGGTGGAGAGCAAGTTGTGGGCAGCGTTGGAGTGGAGGTACACGCCACCATTGAAAATGGCAGTGGCGTCCTTTCCGATAGCCGACGAGATGAGGGCCTTGCCACCGGGGTGGTCCTTGATGAAGTCGGTCACATCGTGAATAACACCAGCAATGGCAACGAGGCCCCTGCCGTTCTTGGCTTCGGCAACGAAGTCGTCCCAGTGGATGATGGGAAGCTGGTCAAGAGGAGTGCCCCAGTCGAGCTTGGCACGCTTCTGGTCGAGCTTCTTCTGCAGCTGCTGGACACGGCCCTTCTCGATCTCGTTGGAGCGGAACTGCTTGAGGTCGTAGGCGAGGCCAAGCTTCTTCCAGGTCCAGATGGACCACTTGGTCGGGTCGTACTGCCACCACTGAATGGCGTTACGGTAGTCCGAGGGGAATTCGTGGTGGAAGTTGTGGTAACCTTCGCCGAGGGTGACAAGGGCGGTGATGACGTGGTCACGGGGCGAGTTGCGGTCATCGAAGGGCTGGTCGCCGAGCCAGTGGGCAAGCGAGTTGACGCAGAAAGTAGCCTGCTGGACGACAAAGATTCGGAGAATACCGGCGTAGACGAAGCCACCAAGGTAGTCGCCCCATCCGAGACCACAGACCAGGGTAGGGAAAACAAGACCCATGGCGATAACGCACTTCAGGAAGTGAGTGTGCTGAAAGACGACGACGGGGTCTTCGTTCAGGTCGGTGATGTCGGTGCGGCCCTTGCGCTTCGGGTTCTGCTTCATGACCATCCAGCCAATGTGGGAGTACAACAGTCCCTTGCGGACAGAGTAGGGATCCTTCTCGGTGTCGGTGTAGCGGTGGTGGGCACGGTGGCCATGAGACCACCATCTGATGGATCCCTCAACGGCGCCAGCGCCAACGGCCGCCAGGTAAATCTTCAACGGGAGGGTTGCCTTGTAGGAAGAGTGCGCCCAAAGACGGTGGTATCCTGGCAGCAGGTTAGTCTCCCACCCTCGGCAGAATGATAGGACTATGAAACTCACCGGCTGTAATGCCGAGACCAGTGTTGAAGTAGTAAATAACGGCAAAGACGGCTGTGTAGAGGTGGAGGGGAGTCCAGTAGGCCGCGACGAATCCCATCATGGGCACGACGAGGATGAAGTAGGTGTTGAGCCAGTTGACATGCTTGTACCAGTTACCCCAGGTGATGGGGGTCTCGGTGATGTGAGGCTTCTTCAGGTCATACTCCCTGGACCGGAGAGGCTTGTAGTCCTTGGTGCCGTCCAGGACAGGCGCGGCCTGCTGGGACTGGGCATCCGACGCCATGACGAAGAATCGCTGTGGCGGACGATGACTGTGTGTGGTTGTCGGGCCTCGAGATGGACCTGTCGAGGGCTTTGGCTGATGGGAAAGGCTTGGAGGAAGGGAGGTGAAGGCGGAAGCGGCTGGGGGTGGGTTGTGGAAGATATTTATTCGAGGCGGACGATCCCAAGCATTGAAGTACCCACGTACCGAGTATGCAGTGGGTAGGGGACTGACTTTGGTGGGACAGGGCCCAGTTACTGCGGGTGGGCAAAGATGGCGGGGGGTGGAATAGTGGTCCCTTGGGAATTCGCCTCAATAGTATATCCCTGCCCGGGGTGGGCATACGACACAGAAACGAGTCTTTTGGCTGGATCCTGCGCCAGAAGCAAGCCCGTCCGTCCGTGGTGACAAGCTGCTGCGGTGAGACCGGACGGGATGAACGTGGACTGTGATGGGTTCTAGAATGAGACTCCTGGGTCCCGTGTAGTTTGTGTGTCTTGGTCTTGGATCGAGCCGAAACAGACACACGTAGAGACTTGCACCAATTCACCCCGTTGATAGAGAATCACAAGCCCGGAGAAGCCACAGCGGAGATCGAAAGGCACTGTCACAAGCCGAGGTGGTGGACGTCAGGAAGAGCCCAAACGTGGGGAATGGCCAGGGGGAGGACCTGGCAACAAAGTGGTAATCGAATCATCGCCATTGCCCGGCCACCAGTCCTGAATGCGAGTTGTGACTGCATTCCGGCTGCCAGCTTGTTCCAGAATCCAGACGTGGTCGTTGTTGGGGGAAATTGTTGGGAACCACGTTGACGCTGATTGGCCCGCGGAGCCCATAAGCCGCAGGGCGGAACCAGGGTCCTTCCCATTCGGGGGCCTGTCCCTGCACCTCTCGCTCGCTAACATCAGCTTCTGCCTCCCGCGGCCTGCGACCGACCACACCGTGCCCGACCGCCGCAGATTGTCCCGGACGAGACATGTGTCCTGTGAATCCCGACGTCGACTGATCGATCACCTTAGCCATGGACCCGAAGAGCTCCTGCACAATCTCGCAGAGGTCTGTGTTGCGGTGTCGAACTTTTTCGCTGCCTGGTTCCCATTGGAATCATCTCTGCCACATAGTCGGAGGCTAGACTGTTCAACAATTGCGCCTAAAGGCTTTTAGGGCATCGCCTTAAGCCGACTACAGCACGCGGCAAGGCGAACGTCCATGCCGCCGGTACACGTCAAAAAAAGGGTAGTCGCTCTCGTCTTACACCGTGTCTCACATATTCCTTGTTACCAACCTACAGCATGCACATAAGTTTAGGTAGTACTTGCATTACACACATACATCATGAATACATACAGTCGGACGATGCAAAAATTCTTCATCTACATTGACAGCCCAGTTCCTAGAGTCCTCATGCGTTTCTCGGTGATGTGTGGATCATGACATCATGTTCTGTTTAGTAGGAGATGCTGTTCGTTGTCCATGCTGAAGACAGCGAATAACGCTTTCTTCGTCGTATGCCTCGGCAGCAGCTCACGGACGACTCCAGGTAGCAATCGCACACCAGAAACAGCTGCCTGCCAACTTAGCAATTGGCCACTCTCTATTCTGTTCCTAGCTAGAGCGCCATACCACACAGTATGGCCAGCGACGATCGCGAAAACCAGACGGGCGGCTCAACGAAACCCACCAGCCGAAGAGCCGGGTGACACGACGAGTGGGTGGCGACTTTTCGGTGACCGAGCCCTGCGACGTTTTTCACCTGGCTGCTGGGCGCGCCCCATCCGCAGGATTTCCGGTCGTTGGCTCGCCCCGCATCGCCCGTTGAAAGGAGCACGTGCCACCCGATCTCGACCAAGCCCCGCCAAGCCGATTTGTTTCCAGAAGCCTTCCAGGTTCCCTGATCGACAGCACTAGCCTGCAAAAAAACGCCAAAAATGTAACGCCACCCGTGCCGCGTCCATCAACTCTATCTTGTTGGCCCCCAAAAAGTCTAACATGGTTTCAGGCACAGTCTTGTCTAGAATGCCCCCAGGTCTCAGAGAACTGGCCATTGATTCGTCGCCATTGTCGGTGCTATACTCGCTCACCCCTCTGCGTATCTGCTGCCCCACCGTAGATTAGACTACTAAGTTAGTTCTCTCCGGTTATACTACCGATTGCTGAAGTCCTATTCGCCAGGCCGGGACTTATACTTTCACCCATTGGAGCCCATGCAAATGAATCCTTCCGCTATATAATGGTACCACATCGTACCACAACAGTCGGTTCGATGTAGCGCCCCCATCCGCGAACACCTACCTTCACCACCACGGTCTCCCATCCTTCTGTAGAGACTGTTGGGTGTTGGGAACTCACTGCAAAAAAAGAGACTATCCTAGCAATTTTGATTTGTAGGGAAAAGAGACACCTGGTCGGTTAGCATCATCGCGCGATCTCGAATGTCTTGTGGACCAGTGATTGTGTTCTACTACCCCGAGGTCCGGATCGCTTGCACGTGAGGTAAGGTGCGAAACATGTTGACAAGATCTTGAAGGTCTAAAGACCGCTCCAATAAGGGGCGTCCCACTGTGCGCGGTGCAAATAAATGTATCATTTCGTCATATTTCATCATTAAAAACTGTTGCTCGTGGGGGGAGCAATCTACGTGTACACCACCCAGCCCTCATCGTTACATTGTACATATCTCCCGGGCCCGGGGAAACCTTTGCGACCCTAATCAACCAATCATGCATTGCTCAAAAGGTGAAAAGATAACTCCGTGCGTGGTAGGTATCCTGTGCTGTCTCCCAGTGTTGGAGGAACAATGAACCAAAAGAAAAAAAAAATCCCTCCGATGTACTGTGTCGCCACCTTTGTCATTGTTTTGTATCTGTATTTCAAAATTTCCGCATCTCTCACGCTTGCGAAGTCACGTTCTGTGGGGCTGTTGTTGCAAGACCCAAATCCTCGTCTGAACACATGGGTTGTCGAATATCATCTTCTTCGCCATAGGCCATCCCGATGCCTGTCAGCTCGCCAGTCATCTCGTGCGCGACTCCTGTAGGCGCCTCCGGCTGCTGTGTAGAGCTTGATTGTTCTGGGGGTGCGGGTGTGTATATGGCGTCCTTGCCGATGTGGGTGTAGTGAGGACCAGAGCTGTCGTCATCACCTTGGTCTTGGGGTTGGTGAAGAGTAGAAGTCTCAGCAGAAGCCGTCCCAGGTGTATCCTTACCCTTGCCGAGCTCGGGAGCAGGTTCTGTTTTCCCTGTCGTATCAAGCATCGGCTGGGCCTCGGGCTCGGCATCTGCCACTTCTGAGTCTATGTAATCGGATGCTGCAGGCCCAATAATTGAACGCTTGCTGGATTCCAACTCGTTCGGGCCATCCAAGAGTAAGGGCTCGGGAATCTCGGGGGCCAAGATCTCGCGTGCTCTAGCAGCCTTGTCGGTCTCGGCAACATCAGTGCACTGGCTTTCTTTGGAGGTCGAGATGACCGGGCCAGGTGACTGATCTTGGAAAGCTGTCTCCTGAGTCTGTAGGCTGGTTTGCGTTTTCGAAGCCAAGTAACGAGACACAGCGGTCTCGGTATCCGTGGGCGTTCCGGACTCAGCATCGTTAGGCCCAACATCGCTGGCTGATGGCGGCCCAGAAGGATGATCTGACCAGACCACGTTGCGATCAAAGAATGGCGTATCGCAGTCATCGACATTACTTGGCAAGGGACTGGGTGGGGATCGTCCACGAGGAGGATAATAATAAGCATCATCTGACAGGCCAGGCGAGGTCAACCCAGAACTACAGCCAATGCCAGAGTAGTAGACGTCGCTCTGAGGAGTCACCGTTCTGATAACCGGACGTCCGTTTCGTTCGTAACCGTCCACCAAATACTGCTGTACCGAGTAACCGTCGTCAACAGAGATTGAAGGGGGGTCTCCTTGGTCGTAGTCATCGTCATATGCAGTCTCTGGGAAGAAAGGCAGAAGAGCCGTGGCTTGCATCCGAACGCGGGGGTTTTCGCTCAAGCAGTTTTCCACTATCCTGCGGTACCATGTCGGTACCTCAATCTCTGGGTCCAGGTGCAGCGGCCTACGGTGGGCTTCCGGTTCATCCTCGAGTGTTGCCAGTGCCCACAATACCATGCCCAGCTGGTATAGATCCGACTTGACACCTATGTACATAGAAATTCGTTGGTTGCTGTCGATAAGCGGAGTTGCCTCCGGCGGCTCCCAGCCCACTGGGCAGCCTCGTCTGTTGATGTCTATTATCTTTGCGTTGTATTCGTCATCAATCACAATGTTGGAAAGCGTAAAGTCGCCTTGCACAAAGCCGGCTTCGTGAATGTCCGACAGGCCTTGAACAATCTGCCGTGCCCACTTCTCCCTCGTGGCCCAGGGGAGGTCGAGTCCATGTTCCTGCGAGTCATAAATTATCTCGATGAGGGCGCCTTGCTCCGCGTAGTCGATGAGAAGGCCCTTGACTTTTTGGTCTTCGTCGTCCACTACGACTCCATGGAAGCCAATTACATTCGAGGAGAACCTTAGGGAATTGAGCGCGTTGACTTCATAGAGAAACTCGTCTACCGTATCGGGCCCGGGGATCTCCTTCTTGATGAGCGTCCGACCGTCAACCTTAACTTTATACACAAAGCCAGACATGTGAGAGTCAAACTCAATATCACTCTCTCGAATGCGTCGACATTTCAAATGCTGAACCATTCTGACAGTGGGGAAATGGATGATCTCCTAAATCATGATGGTCAACAGGTTATGTCCTACACTCTTCTCTTTGGCAACTCGCGCTTACATTGACATCTTCCACGACGTGAACGTGCAATCTGCCGTCCGTGGTCTGTAGCTTGAGGTTCGTGACTGATTCGTAAAACTGGATGTCCTGAAGGCTTTCCCGGATGGCCTCGTAGATCTTGGCGCTCTTCTCCCGCTGAAATTTGATTTCGGACAGCTCTCTCTCTAGAGACTCGTCTGGGGCATTTCGGTAGTCCAGAGATATAGTGACCCGCCGCCATAAGTGCTCTTTCTCTCTATATGTTACGAAGAACTTCTCTCTTTTCGACCTGTCTCTGAAGTGCATAGAAAGGTTGAGGATCCATTTGCGTTCCAGCTCTTCGTGGATTTGTGCGTCGTATAGAGACGTTCTGATGGACTGTGCATCGACAGCTGACGGTGCTAACGACGGTACAATTGCCTCCCTCGGGGCTTCTTCCGGAAGAGGCTCTACATTGACCGTGCTAACGCTGGGAACGTTAAGGAACTGCTTCTCCTCGACGCGGCTTTGGGGTACTGAAGCATTGTTGCCGGCAGTTGTCGTTGAGTAGGTGTCATCCAGGAAGTCGGGCGCACTGGCGCGAGGAAGATGTTGTCCCGAATGAGCATTTCGGAGAGGATGATGGCCCCGTCTATCCACAGACACTGCCCTCCGTTCCGCCTGTGAAGGCTTGGTTGCCTCAAGCTTCTCCCGGACCTCTGACTGTTGTCGTTTGAAGGTCTTTGCACGAGGGAGACCAGGAACAACCTTCCTCGAGGCCCGTCGTAGCAGACCTGCGCCTGGTAGAGGCTGTGAGGCCGATTCCTGAGCATCGTGAGGTGAGCTTGCCGAAGATGCAGGCACGCTATTCCGGCCTATAATCCTCTTCCACAGACTCGAGAGCCTATTGTTATAATCTGCAGCTGGAGGCTCGTGCGAGGGCTCTGCTTGCGTTGCCATTTCGGCGGCCAGTCAATAGAATCGAGCCCGCTTGCTGCAGAGTCATAGGCGTGTCTTATTCCGAAATGGTGTTCTGCAGGGACGTATCAGAGTGGAACCAGCTGGCTGTATGCGGCGACGAATTGTTGCAGTTCTGGCACGTCCAGCGGGACGATCGTTGAAGTACCGGCAAGATGCTTCAACGTCAGTAACGAGGCTGAGACTCGTGACCTCTCTACGTCCAGTCCTGCCCCAAGACGACACCGATGTCCAGACTCTATCTGGGGCGAGGGTATTCCGGGGCGGAGTAGAGGCGGGTCAACGACTGTTAAACCCAAGGTCCATGCAGCCAACCGATACTCTATGCACGGGACATCAGACGTATGACGGGAATTGGGTACTCATTGCAGGGCTATGGTACAGAAAAGGAGCATTCTTTCTGCGGCAGCAATGGGCGCAGCAGCAGTTTAAGCAGGCAGGAGACTCGATTGGGAAGCGGGAGTGAGGCGGCTCGAGGGTTATTGGCCGTCCGGGTGCCGATGCTGCGGTTGCTGTGTTGTCATTCGGCCGGGGGGTCTGTCTCCTCTGCACGCCTCCAGTCTGGGGGCTGGATCGTAGGAGTCGGAGAGGAGAGGGTGCAGAACAGGAGCAGGAGGAGAGGGAGGCGCGGAGGCGCTTTGGGAGTCGGGGTACAAGCACGATTCTTGTGTGAAGACAGGTTAGACGCAAGCAAATACACGCAAGTAGAGACGCATGCGGTGAACAACCCACCCAAGCAGGCACACGCCCCGGACTATGCCGAACTTTTCCTAGCCGACGGGCAACGTGCTTTTTTTTGCTGGGATCAGGGGGCCTTGGCAGCTTGGAGCCAGGGTCCGTCGCGGTCAACCTAAGACAGGGATCTTCGCGATGAACGACCAAGTCACTTCTCGAGGTGTAAATGTGTATCGAGTCTACCATGGAGGGGTTCGGTATTATTCATCCTGGATCACGGAGGCCCTAACCATCGTGGGCTTACTTTGCTGAAGATGCAATGCACTCACAGGCTGGAGGGTCCGAAGTGGGATGAGCAAGTAGAATCAATTCGTGCTTCTGATTGACCGAATCCACAATGTGTTGTCCAGCACGGCATGGTCACGGGGGTGTGGGCATCCCAGTGGTTGGAGAGATGTATGCCCATAGCCCGTGCGATGCACGCTGTCGACGCATCCTCGTTCCCTTATTCTACACCAGAATAGTCTAGGGGATGCATCACCAGCTGCACCGTGTCTACGAGGCCCGATCTGGGTGCCTGCTCCCACATGGACATTTACTGACAGCACAGCCAGAGACGACGCTACCCGTTCGCGACGATGTCATTCCGGGACATACGGGTAGCGTCTAACAGCAAGCGTGATCCACCTCCGGAAGAGCTAAAGTCGCTCCTCAAGACTATCCACAAGAGCAATTCTGGGGACAAATTAGCTTCAAGTCGGGTTTTGGTGCAATAGACGTGCAAGACGTGTTCAATTTCGGCACAACTGCACAATTGATGACCGTGTTGTACACGCAGCTGGGTGGGTGCGGCATTTCATACACCCCACGTACCAGGAAGATATCCCTCTTTGAGCTGTCAATATTCTCAGTAAGCCGCGGAGTATAGCCGTGGGAGGAGACTTGGTCAATGCTACCTCATATACTCAAAAGAATTACCTCAACCAGACGTTTTTGCGTCATGTTTCGGGATACTTTGGCTGCATCACCAGCGTAGACACCTCGATCAGACATCATACTAAGCGTTCACACGAACGCGGACGACGAGACAGGTGACTACACAAATGCAGGGCCTGCAAAGAGCCTTGTACCCAATTCCGTGACTAGGATCTACACCGAGGGTTATGGATTTTCACCTTGATATCCTCACGAATCGGAACGATCCATGATCATGAGCTAAAATGCCGTCGGTCTCAGATCTGCCTAGGATCTACCAGGTTGGCGGGCTCTGATAAGTTGAGAACCGGGACCACATATATCTCACCGCCAAAGGGCGAGGGAGTCGTGGTTTCTGGCTAAGGCACAGCGGACCAGGGCAGACACGACGCGGCGCAAAACTCTCGTCTGGACGACTGCAGGCAAACCCGCTGCTGGACATGGTCATCTGGGTCGATGGCTGCGTATGAGCTTACAGTATCGGTGTGGCACGACAGCTAACGACTCGGGCTACGAGATGACGTGTGGAACCGAACAGTTCATGTACGGGTCTCACATTGTAAGTAAATGAGCGGCCGACTTCTGGAATGTCTCAAAACGGGGCCGTCACGGGCGCGCCCAAGCAAGACATAACCGGTAAAGAGGGTGCCGTCGTTCGATACGTCAAACAAGTGACCGTTAAGAGTCCATAACGTTCAGCCACCAACGAGCCATCCAAGTCGAACCCCGTCATTCAGCCCCGTAAGCGGCGCGCATCAAACCTTTTAACCAGCTCCGGCAGCTTGGGCAGCGATACATGCCCCCAGCTGTCCAGCCCGCCAGGCGTGCCCGTCTTGCCCGTCTCTGGAAAGCAGGGCTGCTGCAAAGACACTGGCTAACGAGCCCTGCACGGACGGAACTGAGTTCCCTTCCGCATGCGATATATCACAGCCTTACTATCTGGGGACACCACACGCTGGCAAGGGAGGGTGGCATCATCGCCCAAATGCGGCTCTCCGAAGTGCGGACAGGACTGCTCGCGAGATGTGCACTAATTAGTTGACCCCACGAGATCGAGGGGTACGTCGTCACAGTTCCCCTCCAACCAATGCACATTTCACCCCTCCAGAAGGCCGTTCGCGAAATAGGGCCAGGCACTCGTTTCAATTGAGCTTATAGTACAGTCGCTATGCCTGGGTCACTATATGCAACAGCAAACAGGCCTATCCATGACTCTGCGCGGGAGATCTAGATCGAGCTACAGCAGACGGCGCGTGGTCAATGGACATGGAACCGCTGCGTAAGTTTGAATTTCCCAGGGTCGAGCCCGCATTGGCGCTCCCGCCGACCCCTAAGCCCTCAGGTCCACGGGTACCGGTAGGCCGTCAGGGCGTTCGTCCCGACTGAGCTCTCAGAGTCTAAAGTGGCTTAGACCCCACCGACAAGTTCCCGGCGGCTGGGCTCACAACCTTGGAATTCTATGCTGCTTCAGGACGACATTGCTTCACCAACAGCCCAAGGGTCAAATGTCAAACCTCCAAAGCGGCAGGTCGGTTTCTAGGAATAGACGGCGATGACACAATGTGATGAGTTGTACAGTTTCGTAATCCAACCCGTCAAATAACTAACCATGCAGACCCCAGGCTTCATGTGACTGGACGGCACCTCCAGCGTTGGGCAATTGGGCACCCAGGGCGGCGTGCGCCCGGATGCTCCGTGGACATTCGCAATAACTAAGGGGTTGTCCCTCGGGAAAGTCAGCAACCAGCAGGACGCTACTGACAAATTACCGATCCCGGCTATCCGCAAACGTCAGAGCTGAGGGGGTTTGGAATGGAAACAATTAACAACCCACCCCATCTCCCCCAAGCTTGGGCCCGACTCCAGAATGGTGCAGCATACAGTTTAGTGAATGCGACCTCCTGCAGAGTGCAGTAGCGACGGCGGAGCCTGACAGGTAGTCGCGCATGATGCGTGTTTATAGTTCGCGAGCCCAATCTCCGGGAAGGACCAAGACCATTAGGGGACTATTCAAGGTTCAGGCTGGAGAGCCCACCAGTCACCAGACGTCACGATAGCGTCCCCGACGAGAGAGATCAGACGTCAGTGGATCTCGTCCACGTCGTTGCCGACTGCTATGAATGGCATCGTCAATATACAGCGCTTGGCTTCATCCATTTGTATCTACATAGAGTAGTTGGGCCGACAAGTCTAGCGTAGACGGACACAACCATCCGCACTGTACCGCACCGCACCGCACCGCACCTCCGTTCTCTACTAATACAATATGACCCAGTCGGGTACAATTACAGGGGGGTCTATTCGAGAGAAGAGAGTGTGTTGTAAAAATTCCTTCGAGCCCGCCTCGTCGAGTCGTTGCGTCCCATCGCCTAGAACGCCTTTCAATGGTTCCCCTTCCAATGCCGCAAATGCTATGTAATGTCGAGAATCTCTATGGTGTATGCAAGCCGTGGCCGATGAGGCAGTGTCAGTGTATCGTAGTGGATTCCTAAACTTCCTTGGCGTGCCTTAATCGTCGTCCTTGTCGCTCTTTGCGTCATGCTCCTTCTTCCACTCGCAGATCTTGCATCGATTTGCTGCCTCTCTGTCTACATTGGGGAAAACGAGATCGAACACCTCCTTGTACCAGCTTGCTGGCCGGCCTTCGATACCTTCTTTGATATTCTGTAGAGCATCCATTAGTATGACAATTTTGATGGCGAAATAGTGGAGGTCCTGGGGGGTTTATCATTCACTCACCTCAGGCAGCTCCAGCCAATCAGACAGGTTGTCCTCCGGGAAAATGATCAGCTTGCAGCCTGCCCGCCGCGCTGCTACGGTCTTTTCTCTGAGCCCGCCAATCCGGAGGACCTTTCCAGTCAAGGTCAGCTCGCCAGTCATGGCGACAGCGGGGTCAATCGGGGTATCAAGTGCCAATGACAGAAGAGACGTCGCCATCGTAATACCAGCTGAAGGGCCATCCTTCTGCACAGCTCCCTCGGGGACGTGCAAGTGGATCTTTGCCTTGTCAAAGAAGTGGTTGTCACTGAACTCCTTCGCCATGAAAGCCTTGGCAAAGGAGAGCGCGATTGTCGAGGACTCCTTCATGACTGACTTGAGGTTTCCGGTGATCTCCATGCCCGGTCGGCTGCTAGGTCTGAGAGCAGACTGCAGAATGGACTCAATGTACATGGCAGAGCCACCCATTTGCGTCCAAGCGAGACCCATGGTAACTCCAGGTGGCGTCACGTCGTAAAGACGATCCGATGTGAAGACTGGAGGACCAACATAGTCCTTCAAGTTCTCCTTGTCAATGGTCACCTCGACAGAGTCGGGCACCTTAAGTGCAACTCGCGGCTTTTCCGTGGTTTCCTGTTCTGTTGCCTCGGGCGACACTGGATCTTTGTTGCCCTTCTCCTTCTCCTTCTCTGACTCTTCCATTGCTGCCTTTCCATCCTCGGTGAGTGCCTCTGATTCTGGGAGAACATCCTCTCCAAGATCCTGCACGATCTTCAACGCTGACTTTCGGAAAACCTTTTCGATTTGCTTCTTCAGGTTTCGAACACCGGACTCGCGACAGTATGACTTGATTAACTCGTCGATTGCCTCATCCGACAAGGTAACATTGGCTTCTTTCAGGCCAGCGAGTTCCTTGGCGGCAGGTGCCAGGTAACGGTCGGCGATGGCCTTCTTCTCATCGGAGACATAACCAGACAGCCTGATGACTTCCATACGATCCAGAAGCGGTCGCGGGATGGTGTCGGTCATGTTTGCGGTACAGACGAAGAGGACCTTCGACAAGTCCACGGGTACGTCCATGTAGTGATCCAGGAAAGAACTGTTCTGCTCTGGGTCAAGTAACTCCAGAAGCGCGGAGGAGGGATCACCTTGGTAGCCCCGTCCAATCTTGTCAATCTCGTCGATAAGAATCAGAGGGTTCTCTGTTTGGCATTTCTTCAGGGCTTGGATCACTCGTCCTGGAAGTGCGCCGACATATGTTCTCCTGTGACCTTTGATCTCTGCAACGTCCGTAAGGCCACCGACGCTGAACCGGTAGTATTGACGGTTGAGTGCTCTGGCAATCGATTTGCCAATACTGGTTTTGCCGACACCAGGGGGGCCAACGAAGCACAGGATCTTGCCTTCAACTGTGCCTCGTAGTTTTCCAACGGCAATGAACTCCAAGATCCTGTCCTTGACATCTTTCAGTCCGTAGTGATCCTCGTCCAAAACCTTCATAGCATTCTGAATTCCGAAGTTTTCAGCGCTTCTCTGACCCCAGGGGATCTGGGTAAGCCAGTCGAGATAGTTTCGGGTGACATTGAACTCCGAGGCAGCGGGTTCCAGATGTGCCAGCTTGTTAATCTCATCATCGAAAACCTTGCGCACAGCCTCTGGCATGGCTAGCTTGTCGGCCTTTTCCTTGAACTTCTCAACCAATTTGTCTTTGCCATCGGACTCGATGCCCAGTTCCCGACGAATGCCCTTCATCTGTTCCATGAGCCAGTACTCACGTTGCCGCTTCGTAATCTTCTGCTCAACGTCCTTGGTAATCTTGGATTGAAGCTGTGCATTCATGAGCTCTTTTTTCAGAACCACGAGCGCTTTCTGCATCCTTTCCTCGACGTTCAGACAAGCCAGGACCTCTTGCAACTCAGCAGGTTCTCCTGCCGAGACAGCTGCTGCAAAGTCGGCAAGCTTAGCTGGCTCGGCGGTGACGTTGCCAGTTGACGAACTCATGCTGAAGGTAGAAATTTGGTCGCGGAAGAGGCTGTTCATAGTTGCCACTTCTTTGAAGACGTTGACAATCTCGTTTGTGACGGCCCGAACGACGGAGCTTTTGGGGTCAAACGGCTCTTCGGCGAGGTTATCGACGTTGACCAAGCTGACGTTGTATTTCCGTAGGAACGACGTTGGCTCATACTTTTCCGGCTGTGACTCGGACTTGGGCGCTACGACACCTTCCTCGAAGCTGGCGACGACATCACCCTTCTTCTCCCGTTGCACCTCTTCATCGGTCTTAGCGGGAATAGGCTCGGGTTCGGGAGTCGCCTCTGTGCTTGGCTCGGACTTCTTGACATCTTTCTCCTGGGCGCCTGGCGGGATCAAGGTGGACAGCTTGATACGACGGTGTGGGTACAAAATGGCAGTCAGACTAGTAGTCTCTCCGTGAACTGGGAAGGCACTCGTGATTTGCGCAAAAACACCAGTGTCATAGACATCCTCGGGGTTGCGGATGACATCCTCGTCGGCGTTGTCGTCTTTGAACAAGAACGCGCCAATGTACGGCTGCCCCCGCTTGATCATCTCCATAATGGCTGCCGACACCTGAGGGTCCTTAATCGTGATGGCCTTGTAGAAACCAGGGAACAACGGGCGCTTAGCAATGGGAATTGCCATGACCTGCGGGTAAACCTCAGGCACGATGGGCTTCTGAAGCGCCTTATCAGCTCCAGACTTACGACCCTTGCGCCCACCATCCCCTGGGCCGTCGCCCCCGGAGCCAGAGGAAGCTCCGCCAGCAGCGCTACTCCCCTTTCCATCCGCTGCATCGCCTTGGCCGTCTTTTACGCCAGACGGGGGAGAGTCAGACGTGGAACTCTTGGCCTCACTGGCCCGCTCGGCCACCTCCTCGGTCTCCTTGTTCTTCTCCAGATTTGCTTTCACCTCCTCTTCCGATAGCGGCTCCACCTTCTGGTCGAAGAAGTCGTTGTCCTTTTCCTTTCGCCTGGCCGCCGATGTAGAGAAGCGGGCGGTGGGCACGCCTCTTGCTGTCGTGGGATACGAGCGCGCTGCATGCGGCTTGGGTGCGACGCGTGATGTGGCGGCATTTATCGAGTACAGCCGCGATAACGATACGGTGTTCAGCCTGTGGGCGTATCTCGAGGATCCCCTGGCAACAATGTGCCGCGACAGATGCTGCCGGCACAACATGGTGGCGGCTCCGCGGGCGCAAGGCTTGAAAAATCCGACCCAAGGTGACAGCGGCGGGAAGGCAGAGAGGGACTCGGGAAGTCTGATTAAGCGGCGAAAGCCAGCCTATGTAAAACGAGAACTTCTACAATTACAAATGACGGGTAGAAAGAAAGATGCTGTCCTGGGTGGCAAGTGGTGAGGCTGGCGTCAGAACTGCTGCCCATCCCTCGTTACGGACGTATCAAGATCCAATCGTCTTAATAATGCAGACAGAGAAGCTTCTGAAGCTCGGACATGGAAAAAGACGACATCATCATAGAGCTGCCTCGGGCTGGCGCCGGTACCGTCCGGAGTCTGGACGCTAAAAGTCTGAGGTCCACAGCACGTTATCGGCGTATCAATCTTCCGACAACAGACCTCCAGGATGGCCGGACCGGGGTGGGCGCAGGGCTGGATGCTGGGCATGCCGGCGCTGTTGGTTGGCTGGAGGGCGGCATGTTGGCGGGACCGCCCCTCAGCAAAGGACCCCTATTCTGCTACAGCTGCAGCAGCTAGTCAAGACCCCTCCTTGCAAGCACAGACGGGGCAGACTGGACAGGACCTCGTAGACAGACATAGGCATATTTTCTTATTGATTTCCTCCAGAGGAGTTCCGACCTAGTTGCCATCTGCCAAGCCTACTAAATAGTTGCACTTTGCCAGCAGCCGCCATGGAGTCGATTGACCCAGCTACCGGCCAGCCATTGCCGGCAGACTCTATCCAGCGGGTCCTCTTCATCACCAACACAGTCCATGTCTACAACATCCCGCCCATGGTTGCGGGCAAGGGCCACGTCGCTGCGACTTGGACAGCCGATGGTAACAAGCGCCAGATCTTCACCGCACGCTTACGTGTGATTGAGACTTCCATCCCGCAGCCTAATGGCGGCGAGACGCTCAAGACAGACATCGTCCTGGAGGATGCCAGCAATGGCCAGCTCTTTGCTGCAGCCCCCTATACAACACAAGCTGTGGTCGAGCCGGTATCTGACAGCTCCAGATTCTTTGCCCTGAGAGTCCAGGATGAGGCCGGCAGGAAAGCCTCCCTGGGCATTGGGTTCGAGGAGAGGAGCGAGGCATTCGACTTTAGCGTCTCATTGCAGGAAGCAAGGAAGAGTCTGGGCTGGGAGCAAGGCGGGCCCGCGGGCAAGAAGCCCTCAGCGGAGAGCAAGGACAGCGAAGAGAAGCGGGACTACAGCTTGAAGGAAGGCGAGACTATCACTGTCAACCTGCCCGGGAGGTTCCAGCGCCGGAGACCAGATCCCGAACCCGCATCAGGCGCACCATTGTCAGCCTTCTCTTTGGCTCCGCCGCCCTCGGCATCATCATCGAGAGGTGGGATCCTCCCTCCGCCGCCAAGTGCGCAGAGCGTTAAGTCACAGCGAAGAATCAGCCAGAACATGCAGAGTTCTGGTCAGCCCTCGGCAGCGGATCTAGGATTTGATGATGGCAAGTTCGGTGAATTTGCGTGAGCTACCTGCCAGGCCAGAAAATGAAAAGCAACAATAGATCTTCATCGACACTCTCACAATGTTTCCGTCACACTCAAGCGCCTGATAGTCTATTTTTCTCTCCGCCCGCGTATCCAAGACACTTGTGGCCTTCCTCACCCACAGACTCATCGGTCCAGACGTACATCAGCTCTGGCATGCTGTTTCTCTTCCGAGTCGGCTGAATTGTGGAGATATCGCTTGGCGAAGATTCTGATGCCTTGGAAATGAAGTATTGGAATTTGTTCGTCTTCGATTTGTCATGCAATGCAGCAGGGTTAGAGCCCATCGCCACCGTGACCATTGGGTTTGCTGTTAGCGCCACGGCATCCTGCTGGTAATCGGGGGAATGCTGTTTTTGGTATTGCCCGCGCGTGAAGGCATCTTCCTCACAACCGGGTGCACTTCCGTTTGAAGAGATTAGGCCTAGTGGAAGAGACATAGCAGGCTGCCAGGTATGAGGCCGCAGCGTGAGCGGGGAATGAGTAGCATGATGACCTTCGTATCTCCTCCCACCATTTCCATGGTGCCAGGTCTGTCGCAGGTATTCAATACCAGGTTCGCTCCGCTCTTTCCAAACAGTACACCACCGTTCTCGGCTTTGGATCTCAATGTGGATGTCGCTCAGGCGCAAGAGGATAGCCTTTTCTTCTTCGATGCTCTCAGCAATCTGCTTCCTACACCATGAACGAGATTTCTTAATTTCCCGCAGTCTGATCCCCTCGCTGAGTTGGACCATGTCGTCAAAGGTTGCCCATTCACGGAAAAGTTTCAGGACACGTTCGCTCTCTAAATTGAGTGCCTCGAGCAAGCATTCGCGCTGGCCGTTGAGCTCATTGAACGACCGCGGCTCAAGGGCAATTTGCAAAGCTTTGCTGTACGACCAGGGATCACTGCCTGCAACCCGGATGGGATGAGCTAGGCGGGAAGTAATAGAGTGACGACCATTTTCGCGGCGGTAGGGCAAGGTAGTCCCGAAATTGAGCTGGCGATAGTAGTCGAATTCGCTTGCAGGTGCAAACGGGGTCGATGGGTCGAAGGCCATCATCTGCGAAAACGCTTCAGGCCAGCGTAACAGGGCTAGTCCACCCAGTACACCTGAAGACGCACCTCTAAGAGAGAGCTATACAAGGTTTATATTCCAAATTTTAAGCCAATGTTATTAAATTCAAGAATGTATAGGCCAATGCAACCGCCCCCCCCCCCCCCCCCCCTTTGAATAATAAGGTATTCGCTGGTAGTCTACGAAGCAGGTCTCTCGCAACAACGAGATTCAAGAATTGCGCTTAGCGACATAGATTTAGATATTTCTCCGGATAAAAAGCAAACAGAAGACTTGTTTCTCTTAGAAGTGTTACAAAGGGGATCAATTACGTGATATTTACGGCAGCATCTTTGGTTTGTTCTAAATTTTGAGGCCAAGACTCAGTTCACTCTTTCAAGATATACAGGCAAACCTGCTGCACACACACTTTCACTTGTAGCATCAGCTTTATATATGGGCGTGCAATGGCACAATTACTATACAGCAGTGTCTTTATCCACTCTAGGTAGAAACCCCAGTTGGTCCTGTACACATGGTGGCTTGCACAGTAATAGTGTGTCAGCCTTTGTCTTGTTATTTTGTACTTGTCTTATCCAATTTGATTCATCACTTATTGTAGCTGGAGTGACTCAGATCCGACTTATCACTGGTTAGTCCCATGAATATGGGGAAGCTCAATCCTAAGGTGGATTGTTAATCTGCTAGGCCGATACCAGGAACCCGAGTACGCCCACTAAGCAAACGCTAGAGTTAAGTTGGGCCTAATGCGTCGAAGGGCGTACTACACGTCACCCACTTGCATTTGCGATTGGCTGTGTATAAATATTGCCCGATCAAGTAGGTGCATCCCCCCAATTCCTATCTCAAAGGCTTAACACTCCTTCCCTTCATAATTGCCTAGGTATGATTGCTCAATCAACTATTTCAGTTTCAAGCAGCTTATATCGGCGCCAGATACACAAGTATAACATTATTGGTGCATTTGTATCCTCCCGAGGCAAAGCGCGATATCACCTTCCACAGTGGTGGCAGCAGCAGCAGCAACAAAAGTCCAACAGTCAAAATCCCAAGTCGGGAATCCCTATCATGTCGTCAACTACCATCCGTCCCGTTACTAAGGAAGACGAGGCCAAGTGGCGAGAGTACTGGGCGGCCTACAACGAATTCTACAAGCGCACTATCTCGGAGGAGGTTACGGCAACGACGTTCTCGCGGTTCCTGGACGACAACGTGCAGATGTTCTGCGCCGTGGCTGAGGACGAGTCGTCCAGGCAGATCATCGGCTTCGCGACCTGGTTCCCGCACATGTCGACCTCGAAAATCAACGGCGTTGTGTACCTGAACGATCTATTTGTGGACCCGAACATCCGCTCCAAGGGCGTGGGCGGCAAGCTGATCGACCACGTCTACGACCACGCCAAAAACGTGCTCGGGGCCGAGTCGGTGTACTGGCTCACCCAGCACTTCAACCACAGGGCTCAGCTGCTGTATGTCAAGAAGGCAACCAAGTCCGATTTTGTGCATTATTCGAAGAATCTATGAGCCTTATAACATGGATACGCATCATTGAGAAACCTTGATCTACGATGGCTATGGCGAAATGATGATAGGAAGTTACATGAGATGTACGGTCTATATAAACTATTAATTGCACAGTCCACGCGCAGCTGACACATTCGTTTCGCGGCCAATGTATTACCGAATTCTAGTTCAGGCTTTGCTCGCTTTTCCAGGTCTGCTGATACTGTCCAATCATTTCTCGAAGTCTAGTATAGCGCTTTGGTATTTGCGAAGCACGATCTGATAAGCCATTCAGATGGCGAACCCATCGTGTTTGGGAGGATCATTGAACCGCCAAAGCCCAGCCCGCTCTGCCGCCCTTCGTACCGTTGAGACCTCCTCGTCCGTGACTGCTCTGTTGATCTCTGCATACCTAACCTCTCCGTCTTTCTGAGCGGCCTCCACGCCACCGGTCTCCACAACCTTGGCTCTTCGCTTTGGCTTCCCTACATTTGCCGCCGGCCGGTACTGCTCCATGATGTTGACGAATACATCCCGTCCCAAATCCTCGGCGAGGAACTTCATGATTAGCTCGCCCTCTGCCTCCTTGCCTGGCATGACCAGATGACGGACTAATACGCCTTTCTTCGCGAGTCCATCACCCGTAAAGCATAGATCGCCCACCTGTGCGTGCATGGCCCTCACACTCTCTCGAGCAGCAGCGGCGTAATCCTCGGCCTTGAGCAGACGCCGGCTTGTAGCGGGAGACCAGACCTTGAAGTCTGGTAGGTAGATGTCGACAAGCCCGTCCATAAGCTCAAGCGATGCGAGCGAATCGAAGGCTGAAGTGTTGTAGATGATGGGGATCCGAAGACCGAGTTCCCGGGCATGCAGGATGGAGAGGGCTACCTGGGGCACGACGTGCTCAGGGGTAATCAGATTGATGTTGTGCACATTCCCGACTTCCTGTAGCTTCATGTACCACTCGGCCAGCTCCTCCGGGGTCAAGTCCATGCCATTGCGCTGATGAGCAATGTCGTGGTTCTGACAGAAGGAACATCGCAGATTACAGCCAGAGAAGAAGACCGAGCCAGAGCCATTGTGACCTTGGATGCAGGGTTCTACATGAACACATCAGTCAATGGAACCGGTGATTAAGGGGAAGACGAGAGCGGACAGGTGCCTCAAGAGCTTCTAGCCTACCTTCTCCAAAGTGTGGCGCGATCACATTGACCTTCACATTTGCCCCTATGAGACACATCCCCGTGGTTTCGTACCGGTTCACACCACAGAGTCTGGGGCACAAGTTGCAGTTGCGCAGGTGCGCGTAGGCTCGGGACCGCTTTTTGGAAGCCTCCACTGAGGTGAGCAGTTGATATCTGGGGATATAGTCATCCAGCAAAAATGGCGGGGCCAGATGGAGCGATCTCTTCAGCGAGCTTCTGGCTAACGCCGCTTTGATCTGAGCCGGCCGAGGTCGACCCATCGCCTGCAGTAGCCTAGACGATAACATCATGCCAGCGGCATCTCACCTTAACCTGTCCCTAAGGCTTGCGGGTGATAGGCAGCGTGCCATCAGCCATGAGGCTGAGCTGACCTCTCAACTGAGGTGCAGAATGCACCTTCCAGCTTTGATAATTGGGGACCCGGGGTGTTGTCAGCCCCCTTTGAGGTGGCCTGGCGCAATCGGGCTGCAAATCTTTGATGCCTCTCGGAAGGGGTATTTTTGATCTGTCACAAGTCGCAGGAAAGGGCGGACAGGGTGGTGACGTCGCCTCCTGTGCAAAAAGCCCAGAGAGCCAATTTGCAGACCGCAGTATCTTAAGTCCCAAGCAAAAGTCCTTTAGGTGTGCTAGGGGGCGGTAATGAAGATCGGGAGCCCGGGGGTTTCGTCCGGCAGCGTTGAGCCGGGAGCCGGCGCTGTATCAAACCCCGCACCGTCTAAGACCCCACCTCTGACGGGCTTGGCCGGGAGCTGCGCGATGTTAAAATCACCGAGTCTGTTGTCGGTCTACGAGCCCATCTATAAATCCGACTATCCCACATATGACGATAGTAGACGTGTTCATCAAACACAGCTGCAATTATTCAGCCTCCGTTGGGGTTGATTACAAGAAAGGTCGGCGATAAGGAGGAGTTGCACTAAAAGCGCACCCAGGGCTAACTATTCCCCTACGTCACCTATGCAGTCTAGTCGAAAGTCAACCCAAGGCTCTTGAACTCCTCAGTATAAATGCGGCCTGGTTCGGCAATCCAAAAACACAACCCGCAAAGAGCTACTTGGAAGTCGAGCATTCTCAACTTTGCCCTTGGCAATGTATGCCGTTTTCCTTTGACACTACAACACCAACAGAGACTATAGCTGGCATAGTCACTTTCTAGTCCCTCTCACAGCTCAAGTGAACATCGATATACGCTATCAATAACTATGGCTCCTCAAATTCTCTGGATTGGCCTCGGGAACATGGGCCGAGTGCGTTCGAGTCCGAATCGATGTCTCATAACATCAAGCTAATAGTCAGCAGGGCATGGTGGAAAATCTCGCACAGAAGGGTCATCTAGATAAGCCCTTGCTCATCTACAACCGGACTCAGAAGCGCGCAGATGACCTTAATGCCAAGATTGGCGGCAGCAAGACCGAGGTCGTCACCTCGGCAGTAGATGGCGTCAAGCGCGCCGATATCATCTTTACGATGCTTAGCAACGACGCTGCGGTGGAGGAGAACTATGACCAGATCATCGCCTCGGGCAGCATCAAGGGCAAACTGTTCATTGACAGCTCTACTATTCACCCAGATACCAGCGAGCGCGTAGGCAAAAAGGTCACAGAGGCCGGCGCTGAGTTCATTGCCAGCCCCGTGTTCGGAGCGCCGGCTGCGGCGGACGCTGGACAGCTCATCTTCGTGCCGGCGGGGCCGAAGACGGCAATTGACAAGCTGCGCCCGTACATGGTGGGCGTGATGGGCAAGGCCGAGGTCCCACTGGATGACCGACCGTATGGAACGGCGTCAAAGCTCAAGCTGATCGGCAACACGTTCATTGTCAACATGGTGACGCAGCTAGGTGAGGGGCTGACTGTGTCAGAAAAGTCCGGGGTCGGCGTCGAGCCGCTGAAGCAGATCGTGGACGCCCTGTTTGGCGGCGTCTACTCGGCCTACGCGGGCCGGATGATCCAGGGCACGTACTGGAAGATGGACGAGCCGCTGTTCTCGGCCGACAACGCCATCAAGGACGCCAGCCATGCGCAGAGCATCGCCAAGGAGGCGGGCGTGGAGCTCGGGAATGTGGCCAATGGCAGGTCGTACCTGGAAGAGGTCAAGAAGGAGAAGGGCGGTGCGAAGGGCGATATAGCAGGCATCTACGGCGCTGCGAGGATGAGGGCTGGGCTAAAGTATGAAAACGATGCCTAGAGTGTGCTCATCTCTCAAGACGCTGCGGAAACCAAGACAAACTATAGGTAGTTTGCAAGTATACCTTCGAACTAGTTGGCTGTCGCTAGTCACACACCGAATAGGTCGGCTTCACCATGCAGTGACAAATGGGAAGGAGCGTTTCCCGTTGTCTTTTATGAGTTATTTCTCGATTAAGAGACTTTTCGGTTTTTGGTTTTTTGTACAAAGCAATTTCGATGTCATGTCCAACAGGAAGAGTTGATTGCTTGCAGTATACGGTCCTATCAAGACCCCTGTATGATGACTCAGCCGACTGGTTAGCGCGCCGAAACCCACCAGCTGGCCGCCTCATCTCCCTCTGAGATCATGTCCCGATGTGCCATGCAGCTCCCATCCCCGAGCTCCAAAGCGTCATTTGCCAGGCAGCTCTTCCACCACCCTGCAACCGATCCGACGTCACTTTTCCCCAGACCAAACCCCCGAGTACCTCGACGGACGCTCATAGCAAGCAGACAAGATGGCTGGAGGGTAAGCGCACCGACGGCAATGACCTAGACCATGATCGCTAACCACAGCTCGTCCCTGCGTCCAGTGGCAGCATATTCCTCGGCGCCGTCATCGTGGCCGCCATGTGCGTTGCCGCATGGTTTCTGGCGCCAAAGGGAGAGAACCAGACGTGAGTTGTCCTCCTCTCTGATCCCCCCTGGGGCTCCGACAGCAGCTCTCGCGCCGAGGCCGAGCCTCAGGTCGCCTTTTGGACGGAAATGCAGATGATGGAGCGTCATTGCATGCCGCCCATCCGATGCATGCCATCCTTCCGCAGCGCTACTTTACAGACGCGAAATAACTCAGAGATAACTAACGGACTGGTGAAAATCTGCAGTACATGGCGCTCATCCCTGATCATCGCCTTCATCTCCTGCTATCTCATGTGGTTCATCACCTTCATGGCGCAGCTGCATCCCCTAATCGCCCCGAAGAACCCGTCGGTCCGGAGCGGATACCAACACGAATAGAGCTGGGGACTGGCTGATATTTCCCTGATCGGACGGAGCGCAGGCGAGGGACGACGTGCAGAGGAGTGCTATTAGATAGCATCAGCAGGATGCCGCGTTGGCGAGCGAGTTTGTACCATAAGGACTGCCTAGCTGTTGGGGTCTGACTACACATCTTTTCGGCGTTCAGGAAGAATGGCATGGATTTGTTGATTGCTTGTGCATCCTGGTAGCAAGCCTATTTGTGGGCAAGATACAGCAAGTCGGTCAAGGATTGGCTTCTGATGAGGTATCCGAGCCAGGGGGCAGTTGAGATGTCGACTATGTTTCGAGGCTGGCCAGCGAATGGCGCCTCCGGTGTATAGACGCGATGCGACTCGAGAGCTGTCAACACATGCGTCATAAGCTTCACAATTCAAACTCAAGCGCTTCAATTTGACATATGTAAACCCGTGCTACCCAACAGCTAGACTGCTGGCCCAGTCCCTCACATACAGCAGTGCAGCCCATAACGCCCTCCCGTCTGCCGCGACACCGCTCTCGCCCACCCCATCCACGCCCTCCAGCCCAACCATCCACAGGATCATCCTGCCTACGACCCATCGCGAAACTGCGCCCGCCGCCGCTAATACAAGTGCTACAGGATATCCGCAGTCCAAAAGGATCTTGAGCGCCTCAACGTTGTTTAAGACCACTGCCCAGCCCAGACTCCTAGCCGCTGCGGGTACGTCGTAGTCCCAGATAACCATGAGTATCGGGAAGAGTTTCGTAGACGAGCTGACCAGCAGCGCTGTCGATACCGAGTTCGGTCGCGAATAGGTCCGCAAGAGGCCGAGCTGGTTCAGGGGCGAGAAGGGGGCCGATGTAAGGAAGCGAATGGACAGGTGGAAGGCGAGCGTCGAGAAGGTACAGAGGATCACTGTTGCAGATGACGTTATTAGTATTCACGTCAAATGGGGGTTGCGTAGACAAGGCACTGGGCACGGCGCGGCTTACAGAAGAACATGTACTGGAACACAATGGGCTGCTGCGCCAGACCTCCCAGGTTGCTCTGGCTCCCGGGCGAGGGGAGGGTCTGCTTCTCGATGCGGGCCCAGGTCAGGTAGACGTCGAAGAGCAGGAGCAGGGTGCCGAGGCGGATGATGGAGGGGTCGAACTGGTCGCGCTCGCGCATCAGGGTGTTGTGGAGGAGGTGGCGGTAGACCTGGGGCTTGATCAGGACCAGGTCAATGAACAGGACGACAAAGTCGTGCTCGACGTATTTGTCGCAGAAGCGGCCGCAGTTCTTGCACACCGTCAGCCGGATGTTGTGGCCGCTGCTCTCGCCGCCGCCGGCGCCGCCCGAGTACTGCGTCCATAGCGTCTTGACGGGGTGCCGGCACTCGATGCAGATTGGCATGGTTGCGCGCTCTTCGCTCGGTCTGGCGGTCTGGCGGTCTGGTACACGGCACCACTTTCAATGTCTTTGCATCTTTCGCGGAGGTGGCTGTCGTCGTTGTGCACTGATGGAAAGCCGGGGGCGGCGCTGCGCTCGTTCGTCTCGCCCGTGTCCGAGGCGGCGGGTTCCAGGTTGGCGTAATCGCTAATCTCGGTTTGCATAGCTTATCCTCCAGCCTTGCATAAGTGACGTGCGTCTGCGGCGCAATTGACTTCTCCATCATCTGGCTTGGTAACCTTGGAACCCATCCACTGCATCCATGTACCGTCCCCGAACCCACATCGAAATAGTCTCGACATCGCGCGTTTTCTTCTTGGTCGGATTCCACTCTTCAGATGATAGTGCTTTGCAATTCGTAGTCTAATGCAGCTTCCCGGAGCTTAGCACGGACATAGCAATATGTTCGTCCGCTCAGATTACCAACCAGGCAGCCAGGACAGCTCCCCCGAACACCGCACTTGACTTTTCGGACTTAACCATGCTTCTGTGGTACTGTCTCGAAGCCAAACCCCACGCCTTTGCATTGCCGGGCCTGCATGATTAGGCCCAACTCTCCATACAACCGAGGTTGTATGGTTGGAGATGTTACAGGTTCATGATATCATCCTGTGTATTGGAGGCAATTACGGAGATTGGGCTAGGGGATAATCGTCAAGGCCCATTGTAGATCACGTCCACGATTCCATCACATCCGACGGTGCGAGCTACCGGGTGACACAGCATTTGCCTCGAGTATAAGTTGGACAACGTCCCCTCAGACTAAGGCAGTTGTCGAGTGCACTTTCCCAAACTTGACCATTCAGGCCATTCCCGTACTTACTTTACTCCTCTTTACTGTTTAACACCTCAGTGCCTACTGCTAGCAAACACTAACATCTATCTCACCTTGATCACTCGTGGTTAAGATCTACAACCCCTTTGCAACATGTCTGTCTTGCCTATGGCGCCGCCCGCAAAGAGCCCTTTGGCTCGCTACCGTGTGCTCTCGCCCACTGCCTCGGTGCGCGTGAGCCCGCTCTGCCTGGGAGCCATGAACTTCGGGAACGCCTGGAAGGACTATATGGGAGCCTGCGACCAGAGCCAGACCGAGAAGATTCTGGACTTTTTCTACGAGCAGGGCGGCAACTTCATCGACACTGCCAACAACTACCAGTTCGAGGAATCCGAGCAGTGGATTGGAGAGTGGATGAAGAAGCGCGGCCTTCGTGACCAGATCGGTAAGCAGAAATCAAGCCCGGGAACATACAGAGAAAGCACACATTAGAGACTGACCTGATGCAGTCCTGGCGACCAAGTTCACTACAAATTTCCGTTCCGGGCATGACGAGGAAATCACTGTCAACTTCACTGGGAATGGCACCAAGAGTCTCCACACGTCGGTCAACGCTAGTTTGCGCAAACTACAAACCGACTATATCGACCTTGTAAGTCATAGGCCAGCTCGCTTGCAATCAAGATAATCGCTGATCGCTCCCAAAGCTATATGTCCACTGGTGGGATTTCAGCACCTCAATCCCCGAATTGATGCAGGCGCTCAATGCCTTGGTCACCTCTGGTAAGGTATTGTACCTCGGTGTGTCGGACACACCTGCCTGGGTCGTCTCGAAAGCCAACCAGTACGCTCGGGATCACGGCTTCCGCCAGTTCTCCGTATACCAGGGTAGGTGGTCTGCCGCGAGCCGTGACTTCGAGCGCGAGATCATCCCCATGTGCCGCGAAGAAGGTATGGGTCTGGCCCCCTGGGGCGCGCTCGGCGGCGGCAAGTTCAAGACGGAGGAGCAGCGCAAGAACAGCGGCGGCCGCAAGGTCGAAGCGAGCGAGACCGACATCAAGGTCAGCAAGGCACTGGAGGCAGTCGCTAAGCGCAAGAACACGATCATCACCTCGGTTGCCCAGGCCTACGTGATGCACAAGACCCCGTACGTGTTCCCTATTGTCGGCGGAAGGACCATCGACCATCTGAAGGGCAACATCGAGGCCTTGACACTCGAGCTTTCGGAACAGGATATTCAGGAGATTGAGGGCGCCGAGAAGTTCGACATCGGCTTCCCAGCCAACTTCTTGTGGGGCGAGAAGATCCCCGATCATCCAGGAAAGGTCTGGCTGCTTGGAATGGGCGGCACTTTCGACTACGTCCAAACGCCCAGGCCCATCGCGCCCTCGAAGAGGGAGTCTTAGAAGGCTCTCTTCTCCGCTAACCGATGGGTGCACCGGCAGTGGAGCCCGGCGTCGTTTCACACGGGGTGGAAGAACTGTAGTCGAAACTACGGCTTCACTGGCAATGACTTTGGCGAAGCACTAGGTGCCAGTGCGACACTATGCCAAAGATGCCATGGAGTGGTCTAACAGTTGTTTACTGTCTCGTGTTTGTCCAGTTGCGCTCGTATGGTGGACGACAAAAGCTGGGTTAGAACAAGGACTGCCTCTGATTATATCAAGTATCACGGCAATTTGATGAATCCATCAGTAAATCAAAATAATTTCACTCAAATTACACACACAAGACAATAAAGTTCATACAGCTATGTTCTGGGTTGGGTGACATTGAGTTCAGTACAAACGAAGGAGCCCAGTCAGCTGGCGTGGATTTAAGTCAAGGGATAGGAGTGGCCCCTTGATCTTTAGTAAGCACTACACGTGACATTTTGTCAGCCTTTTCCTGCATATCCTCTCTTGCACCGAGATCAAGGCTGCTTGTATGGTCTACAAAGCTTGCAGGACAGCAAGCATGAGGTGCCAAAGATGGAGAGGTTTAAGAGAAGTTCTCACCACCATCCTGATAAACGCAGATCCTTCCCATCTGAAATAAACATTGGTCCTAGGAGATTTTGGCCGCACGATTGTCGTGCTTGAACGCAGCACAGTTTGGCGCTCAGGAGTTGATTTCATGGACGTGCTTATCAGAGACACCTACTCTACACTTGTCACACCCGCGGGAAGGTGCGATGTCATCTATTCTCACAACTCGGATACGACAAGAATCGCAAGTCCGAGGCGCACCTCCCCAACTTAATAGTTTCCCGTGCATATCAGGAAGGCTTCTCTACTTAGGTACCTATGCATTGCGTTGAATTTTCCTGTCCAGAGGCTTTACTCCGAGACTGATTCTCGATCTGATCCATGCCCGGTTTTCAAAGGCAAGTTTTGGGTCACACATTACGGTCACAACATGGCTTCCCCAGTCCGCAGATGTGTGTCCGTTGCTGTTGAGGACATCCAGTCCATTGGCTCTTCAGACCCAATTGTAGCAAGCTCACCTGTCGAAATACCGCCAACGAGACAGCAGCCCCGTGGATCACTGAGGAGGATCAAGTCTCTGCCTCATCAATGGGGTGTTTCAGAACAAAGCCAACCAGAGGTCTTGAGTCCCCAAGGACATCAAGTCCAGCTGGGTTCTCCTGTTCGAGCAAACTCCAAGCGCCGCCGGTCGGCCGTCACTACAACTGGGCCTCAGCGTTCAAGTTCCTGGAGGTACCATCAGCTCCTCTCATTTGAGTCCTTCACCGCAACGTTTTGCTCGGTCTCCTGACACACAGGCAGTACAAGGCACGGAGCCATCACGCCCAACAGATCCCGCTCGCGCAGCTTAGTCAATGAGTCTATAGAAGAGCAGCATGGTATGATTCAGGCCGCCTGGTCCTCTCCAGATGAGCCATCCAGAGGCAGGTCTCGCCGACGCAGAACAGCAACACCTTACCCAATAGTTGCCGAGACACAAGTCGAATCCCATTCGAGCCCACAGATCAGTCAGGCCAACAGTAGGCGCCGCAGAAATGCTCGACCTGGTCCGGCAGCTGCTGTGCTATCAGATATGCAGCAATTTGATGAACTGCTTCTTACTATGCGCTCTAACAGCAATCAACAGAGTCACCACCATCGTCATATACAGAAAGGGGTTTTCCTCATAAGAGAGGATCCCGAGCTGGATAAGTTCAAATTCCCTGTCCATAGAAGCCAAGCGGAAATTATGTGGCGCCCGGGAGATGGATTCTCTGGGGACGAGGCGGTGCCAGGCTTTGTCTTCTGTGTGACAGGAAAGCACAAGCGAGGGCCCAAATATCTCCCGGGGATGGAAAGTCTAGCGTTAGGCGACCATTTCGGAGAGAGTGGCAGTATCTTTGCATCATTCAAGCGGAGAAAAGTCGACATTTACTCTGATTTTCAAAGAATGAAGCTCCGCGGCGCGGCAAAGGACGTATGGCCGACGTATGATGACTTTGTGCAGAGTGAACTCCCAGAACGACCAAAGCGAAAACATCCTCCAGCAGGGCCGAAGACTGTTATTAGCGACGATCGCCACCCATACGCCTCAGTTGACACTGCGCTTACCGCGCCGCCGAGAACATCTACTGAGCCTGCCCAAGGTTGCAAGAGAGGCCCTCCAGACTTTCGGAATCTGCGGAGCGGCGTGGAACTACGAGGACCAAGCAACTTTACAAGCGCAATGCTGCGCATGAGTGCTTGGAGAAATTCAAGTCCTCTCCAGGAGCCTGAAGACGATGCGTCTGATGACTTGGGCTTATCTTCGGACATTTGCTCTGTTGGGAAAACAGGCTACAGTGAGGAACTGTCGGATGAAGAACGTTCGAGCAGCCCGCGCTCTGTCGGTACTGAGCTGTCACACTGGGATCGGAACGGAACCTACTGGGACAGATACGGGAACCATCTCTTCTCTGACGACATTCGAGCGGCGAATAGAGCCAGGTGGGCACCATCAGGAGGAGAGACTGAGGAGGACACTGATGGCGGCATCAGCGTTCTGGAGAAAGAGGTTGCGTCTTCAAGTGAATGAGCTGCCACCTGTGAGCCCTTAAGTGATATAGGGTCTCCTGGGATCGGCGCATGATGGCGCGCGATTTGCTAGATCATTGTTGCTCTTCTATCGCTTCCAGATAGCTTGCTTGCCAGAAACATGAGCTACTTGTATCATGATTTGCCTTCAATGTCAAGGAAGACATACTGTTGTGAATCATCTTTGATGCATATGGCCCGCGGGGACCTCAAGCTTTCACATACATATGTTCAATACACACATGCACATGTGATAACGTCAGCACGAGTGCGAAGCAATCAGTCCTGGTATATTTTACCGGCCCAAAACGCCAATTCGCCAGAATTCAAATCGCCCAGCCATGCAACTCTTCCTTGATACTCATCGTAAGTCTGACCCTCATATCCTCTTTGACAACCCTAGATACCCTTCTCACTTCGCACCCTTCCCTTTGGCCTCGGTCTCGCCCAGCTCGCGGATCACAACCTTGGTCCTCCCCTCGCCGCTGTAGTCCTCCATGCCCGTCTCGAAGCCCGGGCACACGCCGATGGCCAGGTACTTGCCGTCGCTCGAGAAGGCGAGGGCGGCGACCGAGTCGGGGAACTTCTGGTAGATCTTCATGCGGCGCTTGGCGGCGGCGTCCCACAGGGCGACGATGGCGTCGCCACCGCCGCTGGCAAAGGTGCCGAAGGCCGGGTGGAAGGCCAGGGCGTTGACGGGGAAGACGACGTCGGCGGCGCCGTCCTCGGCCGTGCCCGTCTGGCGGTGGCACTTGAAGGCGTACTTGCGCGCCTGCGACTCGGCCGAGGCGTCGAACCACTCGACGGCCACGCGGCCCTCGATCGACGACGTCGCGTAGCCCGCGTCCGACGGCATCGCGGCCACGGCGCGCGTCAGGAACTTGAGCGACGACTCGCGCTGCTGCCACGGCTCGGGCGCCGCCCCGCTGCCCGAGGCCAGCGACGCGCCCAGCGCCGCCAAATCGTAGATGTGCACGAGGCGGCTCGTCATGGCGATGATAACCTTGGACGGCGAGGCGGCCATGGCGTGCGGCTTGCCCGGCAGGGTGATGGTCAGGGGCGTGAGCGAAGTGTTGGACGGGTTGAGGACGTGTAATGTGTTGTCCCAGGAGGCGGTTATGAGGAGGGCTGCCGGGTCAGGTCAGTCAAGGGCTGCAAACATGCTCGTCTTAAGAGGTGCAGTATAGCTATAGCCGCGCTATGACGAAGCACGAGACGAGAGGGGAGAAACCACGTACAGTGCTCTCGGCTGTAGACGACCCTCCGGACGGGGGCGGCGTGCTTGCTCACGACGGTCTGGTCGCCGGACTCGAGGTCGATCCTCCTCACGGTCCAGTCCATGCCGGCGCTGAAGGCCTCGTTGTCGTCGGCGCCGAAGCACACATCCATGACGGGGGCGCGGTGCTCAAAGGTCTGGAGCAGGGTGCCGTGGCCGCCGCCCTCGGCGTCGGTGTGCGTGTCGTAGAGGTAGACGTTCTTGTCCCATGACGAGACCAGCAGCCGCGTGGGGGCCTCGGGCGCGAAGACGAGCGACGAGATGGCATCGTTGGGCGGTTGCGCCAGCTCGAATTGCGTTGCTGGGTCGGTGGTTAGCTTTAGCTGTCGCCGTATACAGAGGAGGAGGAGCAAGGTCCAGAATACTCACAGGGCGCCATGTTGGGTTGTGTCTATGTTGAGAAAGTTGCAATTGGATCGCGCAACCAGGTCCTTGTTCTGGGTGTCCCTCTTGTTCTTCGTCGTTGTCGTCGTCGTCGTCGTCGTCGTCGTCTTGGCTCGTCGGGGGAGCTTCGATAGGCGGATGTTTTCCTACCAACCAGACCCCTGCTCCATGTTGTCGATAAACAAGCTCCCCCGGGGATCCTGCCCTCTGTCACCGCCTAAATTTCCAGGCGCCTCGGGGGGTTCGCTGGCAAGGATGCGGCCACTGGAACCTGTGGCGGGGCACTGGAGCTTTCGTCCATCCATTCATCCCACTTTAGATAGATCTCTGACTGCGATGGTAACTATCTTCCCGCAGTGCCCGTAGGTGGAGAGATCACGCAACCTTGAGCCTCTCCCTAGCTATACTTCTGCAGAAAAGAAAGAAACCACCGTTCACCGCCAGACATGCCATTCGCACAGCTTGTGCTCGGCAGCCCCGGCGCCGGCAAGAGCACGTACTGTGATGGCAGTGAGCTACCCCACTACCTGTTCTGCCCGTTGAGTCTGGGGGCCTATACTGACCGGCTTGCTCGTGATAGTGCATCAGTTCATGAGCGCGATCGGGCGCGACTGCTCCGTCGTCAATCTAGACCCCGCCAACGATAGGACCAACTACCCGTGCGCCCTGGATATCCGGAAGCTTGTCACCCTGGAGGAGATCATGGCGGACGACTCCCTCGGCCCCAACGGAGGAGTGCTGTACGCCTTCGAGGAGCTGGAACACAACATGGAATGGCTGGAGGATGGGTTAAAGGCGCTCGGCGATTCATATGTGCTCTTCGACTGCCCCGGCCAGGTCGAGCTATATACACATCATAACTCGCTACGGAACATATTCTTCAAGCTCCAGAAGATGGGCTTTAGGGTGCGTGTCTACAAGAGCTCTGCCGAAGGCGGCCACAGACTGACCTGATGTGACAGCTTGTCGTCGTCCACCTATCCGACTCGTTCTGCCTGACTCAACCCTCCCTCTACGTCTCGAATCTCCTGCTCACCCTCCGTGCCATGCTGCAGATGGACCTCCCGCATATCAACGTCCTCACCAAGATCGACAAGGTCTCCGAGTACGACAAGCTTCCCTTCAATCTAGACTTCTACACAGAGGTCCAGGATCTGAACTATTTGATGCCGTACCTCGAAGAAGAGGCACCCGCGCTGAGGACCGAGAAATTTGCCCGCTTGAACCAGGCTGTAGCAGATCTCGTCGAGAACTTCTCGCTTGTGCGCTTCGAGGTCTTGGCGGTCGAAAACAAGAAGAGCATGATGCATCTGTTGCGCGTCATAGATCGCGCCGGCGGTTATGTATTCGGGGGCGCTGAGGGTGCCAACGACACAGTGTGGCAGGTCGCCATGCGTAACGAATCGTCCATGCTCGAGGTCCAGGACATCCAGGAGCGTTGGGTCGACGCCAAAGATGCGTACGACGAAGCCGAGAGGAAGGAGGATGATGAGCAGGCCGCGAGGTTGGGCCAGACAAGTACAGGTGCAACGACTCCCGATCTGGTGACGGACGACGGCGAGGATGATGAGTTTGACGGACTGCCGCCGCCCCCTCCTGGCGGTAGTGGCGTGAAGATAGTGCGAAGAAATCGATGATACCCCTCCTCTTCATCCGTCGCTGTAGTCTTGCATTTCCTCGTCGCCCGAGCCGTCCTCATCCACATTGAGGGCATCTTGCACCGGAGGCGCCTGACGGGTTCGTTTGCCCTCCCCCATGATGGCCGCTAGGGCGGCGTTGTCTTTCGCCCCGGCTTGATCCTTGACGGCCAGCATTAGATCACGCGCACGGCGGATTGCCTCCTCTTCCACCCGGCGAATTGTGCCGCTGACATGCACCACCCGATACGTGCACAGCTTGCCGTCGCGGGTCGGAATATGGTCCATCATTGTTAGAGCCGTCCATACGAGTCGGTAGTGCGCCCTATTGACGCGCAGGATGAATGTCGATGTCGCAGTTGAGAGGTATTTGACTATGCGGGAAGATTGTTAGCTGCTAGGCACTGCGACAAGAGCGCGGGGGCCGGGCAAACGCACTCTGGAGGCTGCTGACGGCGCCGGAGCCGTAGTCGCCGAATAGCGACGCGACTTCGGCGCGTATCTCGCGGATCAGCTGTCCGTGGGTGAGCCTATCACTCGTGGGTTGGTTGACCATCACCGCATCTGGGAGATTGGGCTTCGATCCGATCTCGCTGGGGTACAAGATGTTGACCAGGAGGTAGCGCTCCTTGATGCGGACCATGGTGGGGGAGAAGTTGGATGGGTGGCAGTCCCCTCGGGCGTGCGGACAGTGCTGCTTATGATACCGGAATAGGCAGAAATTAGTTGCGTTTGACGGTGAGATATTCTGTGTTCAAGCCATCAAACGTGTTCCCAGCCGCTTAGAGTCACCGGCTATCAAAGAGAATGTGATGATTTGCGACGCGGCGACCGTCCCTGGAAATTTTGGCGGAGTTGAGCTTTATCTTATCGAGATCCCTGTCTGAGCGAGCTACGGGCTATAGTGACTGGGCTGGTACGGGCCAAGACAACCTACCCCATCTCATATGCCATCCGACCTGCACCTGTATGTGGAATTGTGGCCGCTCGGAAGCCAATAGCTTTTCGTAGTGGGCTTTTGCATATAGTTTTCAGAGTGCTTCTAGATACTACGGGTGAAGTCCGTAATAAACCGGGATGTCGTTATCAACCTTGAAAGTAGCGATCCTGATCGTCTCGACGACAGCAGCCAAGGATCCCAGCACGGACGCATCCGAGGCAACTCTTAAGGACGTCTTGGAGCAGGAGGGTGGCGGCAAGTGGGAAGCAGTCGACACCAAGATCGTGCCGGATGATGTGGCTCAGATCCAGCGCCAGATCATGCTGTGGGCCGACGGAGCGGCGGAGCAGGTCAACCTGATCCTAACGACTGGCGGTACCGGGTTCGCAACAGCAGACCACACGCCGGAGGTGAATTCTCGTCTCTTTTGGTCACATACTGAACGAGTGCTGACTTATATTAGGCTGTTACGGCTGTGCTACACAAGCAAGCTCCTGGTTTGGTTCACGGCATGCTGGCAGCGTCCTTGAGTGTCACTCCGTGTAAGTGGTCGCCCTCGCGTGGCTATCTACCCTGGTTCTGACATCCCATAAGTTGCCATGATGTCCCGACCCGTCGCCGGTGTGCGGAACAAATCTGTCATAATCACTCTACCGGGTTCTCCAAAAGGAGCCAAAGAAAACCTGCAAGCTGTCCTGAAGACTTTACCACATGCCTGTCTCCAAGCAGCCGGCTCGGACTCGAGGAGCTTGCACGCGGGCGGTCTCAAGAAGCTAGAGGCTGATGCTGGTATCGGCCCTTCGAAAGGAGGTCACTCCCACTCCCATGACCACAGCCATCACCATTCACATGGGCATTCACACGGACATGATCACTCTCACTCTCACAGCCATGGCCATAGTCATGGCCATGGAGGGCTCGTTAGACACACTGCACCCGGCGCCAACCCAATGTCGAATGATCCCAGTCTGGGACCAAGCAGAAGGAACAGAGAATCGCCATATCCTATGCTGTCGGTTGACGAGGCTCTGGCCCAAATCAAGCAGCATACTCCCCCATCAGAAGTTGTCACGTCAAAGGTTGACAGAACTTTACCGGGTTCGGTCCTCGCCGAAGATGTCAAGGCTAGGGCGAATGTGCCAGCTTTCAGGGCGAGCATCGTTGATGGGTATGCCGTCGTGGTGCCTAAAGACGGCAATATGAAGGGCGTGTTTCCAGTGGTCTCGGTATCGCACGCTGCGCCCGGTGAAGCGAAAGCCCTCAAGGAGGGCGAGATCGCCAGGATCACCACTGGGGCTCCATTGCCCCCCGGCGCTACTTCCGTTATCATGGTTGAGGACACTATACTAAAGACTATGACGGACGACGGCAAAGAAGAAAAGGAGATCGAGATCCTGGCAGAAGATGTCAAGGAAGGGGAGAACATCCGCGAGGTCGGAAGCGACATCAAGATCGACTCCTTGATTCTCAGCCAAGGCGAGCAGGTATCCGCCGTAGGGGGCGAAATTGGCCTGCTGGCGGCGGTAGGTGTATCTGAAGTGAAGACACATCGCAAGCCTGTCATTGGTGTACTATCCACCGGTGATGAGATTGTCGAACACGACCGGCCCGGCGACCTGCGTCTGGGTGAAGTCCGAGACACCAACCGTATCACCCTCATGTCCGCAGCAGAAGATCAGGGTTTCTCGGTGGTCGACCTGGGTATTGCGTCTGACAAGCCCGGCACCCTGGAACAGACGTTACGCGATGCTCTCCGGCGCGTGGACCTCGTCATCACCACCGGCGGCGTGTCGATGGGCGAACTCGACTTGCTCAAGCCGACGATCGAGCGCTCGCTGGGGGGCACGATCCACTTCGGCCGCGTGGCCATGAAGCCGGGCAAGCCGACCACCTTCGCGACGGTCCCCGTGAAGAACAACGACGGACAGAGGGTCAACAAAGTCATCTTCTCGCTGCCGGGAAACCCGGCCTCGGCCATCGTGACCTTCCACCTCTTCGTCCTGCCCTCGCTGCACCAGATGTCTGGCGTCGAGCCTGCGGGGCTTACCAAGGTCCCCGTCACGCTGGCGCATGACTTTGGGCTCGACAAGAAGAGACCAGAGTATCACCGTGCGATCGTGACGGTGGGCAAGGACGGTGTGCTGAGCGCCTCGAGTACGGGTGGGCAGAGAAGCTCCAAGGTCGGCAGTCTACGGGGCGCGAACGCCTTGTTGTGCATGCCGGCAGGCGAGGGACCGCTCAAGAAGGGGGAGAAGGTGGATGCATTGCTGATGGGAGGTGTAAGGAGCGCTATGTAGCTCTGTACTGAGCCCTTGTTAGCATATAATGTTACTTGAAGCAGTGAATATTCATTTGATGGGCACGCCACTGATACGTAGTTTCTTCTTGCTGATCAGTTAACATCGACTGGACCTCAGAGACTAGGAGTGTAGACGCTGCCGATATCGAGCAGTCCCATAATCAATGCGTGGACCGAACTCGGTACCATTTGAATGTCAAAGGCTGAAAGCCGGCTTAGATATCGAATCACACCCTATACGTACATTTCTGTTGTCACTATAAAAACTACGTAATGCACTTTACTGCACGCAATCCGTCTTCCTAACGCCGAGGAATCCGTGCTGGATCCCGTATGCAATGAGTTGTTACAATCATGTACCGCCCCTCCTCTAAAAACGTTGCCCGCATTCAAGGCCTTATGAACCGGCCATCTGCTTGCCGAAGTCATTGGCCTTGCCCGAAACCAGGAGGCCGATGATCAGGCCGAAGAGACCGAGGACGGAACTGAAGATCTCAATAACGAGAATCTTGACAAATCTTGGATTGAGGTTAGCAGAAGTCACGATGGCCAGACAGACAAGAGACGACGAGGGGGACAACGCACAGGGTGGCATCGGCAGCGTCAGCCAGGGCGGCTCCACTGCCGTTGATACCGACGGCGATACCGCAGACCAGGTTGCAGCCTCCGACGGTGATTCCAGCCCAGAACAGGGCAAAGCCGGTGTAGTAGGCCTCTGCGTCGGCGACGCCAGCCGCGTCAACGAAGCCGACTTTCGAGGAGAAGACGATGGCCATGATGACGCCGTAGATGGCGACGACCTCGCAGAAGATGATGGAGATCAGGTTCTTGGTTCGGATTCGGGGGGCCTTGACACCGGCGCCGAGGATGGACGAGCCCGTGATGAGGATACCCCTATGCGATGGTTAGATATATAGGCCGAGAGCCGGGGACGGGTGTGTGGATAGAAGCGTACCATGCTGCTCCTACGACGGAGAGACCGATGCACAGGGAGATACCGAGACCAGCCCAGCCGTAGGGAGAGATGGACTCGAGGAAAGCGCCGACCTATTCCAGTTGTCAGAGAACGATATTCGGGCACGGGGCGGTGGGCTGCGGATGGCGTACGTTGAACGATTCGCCGCTACCGGTGAAGAGCATGTCTGGCAGGGACAAGTTAGCTACGTCAACATCACGACGCAGGGCGCGGGAGCTGCTCACAGGCTCCAATGACCAGGAGGGCGGTCGTAGCGCTCCCCAGCCCGTAGTTGTAGCCACCCATCTTGACAGGCCGTTGTATGCAGTGTTGGATCGAAGAGGCGGGATAGTCGGGCGGGTAACGTGGTGGGTTGGGTTGCGAATGACAGCTCGAGGGAGCTCGCGGAAATATCGCGACGTTTAGCTCCAGGCGATGCAACAGCAGCAGCAGCAGCAGCCAGCCAGCCAGCCAGCCAGTCCAAGTCCACCCATCAATGACCCTGGGAGCCGTGGTGCGGCAGACTGGGCAGGCTGTGGCACGGGCTGGGACTGGCCTGGGCATCGACGGATCCGGGTTATGTTGATCTCCGGGCTGCCGTAACGGGAGGCTTGATTTCGAAGGAGGTTATGCAACAAGAGAGGGTCTCCAGTGCGAGCATAACTGGGTCGCCTAACTCGATGTGGATGCACATAGCTCATGCACAACTTGCATGGCGGGTATGCATAATCTGCATGGCGGGGTAGTTGGCAAATTGGCTGGCTGGGCACCCGAGCTCCAAATTTTGAGCAGACCAAGACGAAACCGTCGACACCCCGCCAACAGCAACGAAAAGTACAAGTGAGGATATCTCGTCGCCAGTCCCCGTCCGAACCGCCTACCCCCCAGTAGGCCCAGACCGTCCAAGCTGTCACTCCCGCGTCTGTTCTGTCCTGCTTTCCGCAGCATCGCCTCACTGCGAGCCCACGCCATGGCCGCCATCTCGTCCCAGTCCTACAGCCCCGCCGAGGAGACCGAGATCCAGCAATGGCTCACCACCTCTGACCGCCTCAAGTCCTCGCCCTCCGACGCCTCCATCCTCGGCAGCCTGAACACCCACCTGTCCACCCGCACCACCCTGCTCGGCACCAAGCCCTCCAAGGCCGACGTCTCCCTCTACGAGACCCTCGCCCCCGTCGTCGCCAAGTGGTCGCCCGAGCAGCGGTCCGGCCAGGAGGGTCACCCCCATATCGTCCGCCACCTCGACTTCGTCCAGAACTCGCCCGTCTTCGGCCTCGACGTCAAGGATGCCGACAAGGTCCACGTCGACCCGGAGGAGGTCCTCTACGTCAAGCCCCCCGTTGATGCCAAGGCCGAGAAGGAGCGCTTGAAGAAGGAGAAGGCCGCTGCCGCTGCCGCCGCCGGTGGTGCTGCCACCGCCACCCTGGCAGACCGCACCAAGGGCGCTGCTGAGGCTGTCAAGGACGCTGCCGTCCAGGCCAAGGACGCCGTCGTCGCCGCTGTCGGCGCCGGTGGTGAGCAGAAGCCCAAGAAGGAGAAGAAGGAGAAGCAGCCCAAGCCCCAGAAGGCCCCCGCTGTCGCTGCCCCACCGACGCCAGCCCTGATCGATCTCCGCGTCGGACACATCCTGAAGGCCATCCAGCACCCGGACGCCGACAGCTTGTACGTGTCGACCATTGCTATGGGCGACAAGGAGGCCACCGACGATTACATCGAGTACGAAGGTCAGATCTGCCGCACAGTCTGCTCTGGTCTCAACGGCCTTGTGCCCCTGGAGGAAATGCAAGGACGCAAGGTGGTTGTCGTGGCCAACCTGAAGCCCGTCAAGATGCGGGGCATCAAGTCCTGCGCCATGGTCCTGGCCGCGTCCCCGAAGCTCAAGGAGGGCGAGGTTGACGACCACAAGGGCCCCGTCGAGCTGGCCAGCCCGCCCGCAGACTCCAAGGCCGGCGAGCGCGTATACTTCGAGGGCTGGGAGGGCGAGCCCGAGGGCGTGCTCAACCCCAAGAAGAAGGTCTGGGAGACTTTCCAGCCTGGTTTCACGACTACCGACAACCTGGAGGTCGCATTCAACGCTGGCGACGTGAAGGAGACGGGCAAGACCGGTGTCGGCAAGCTCGTCACCAAGAGTGGAGGCATAGTCACAGTCAAGAGCTTGAAGGGCGCTACTGTGCGATAAAGTGTTGGTTCGTTGCCGAGATGCTATAGCCGAAGTTGATATTTAGACAAGATGGATACAGAAATAGAGAGCCAAGTCCTGAGCCAATTCATCACTGTCCATCTAACAGGTGAACCAGGCAATTTTGGCTAATGCTAACTACCAATCTCTGCCTCGCAACACGTTTAAGCTCGCGCTCTCGTAGAACATCCTTCCGGCATGTGACACCGTGCTGTCTTAAGTTTGCACAGGTATCGGAACGGGTGTCGTAAAAGTCGGGCAGAATCCGGTCGTCTGTGTGGTCGTCACGGTCAACGTAGTACATCCGCACGTGGGGCACGGCGCATCGACGTATGACGTCGACGTCGTCGGACAGCAGTCCGTTGAGCACGGCACCTGGATGGTGGTGTAGAACGCGATTGCGGGACAGGTCAAGGTCACGCCCGGTGCACACGCCGAGGGGCAAGACGCTGAGGTCCTCAAGGTCAGCGCGATTCTCCTGAACGGCAAGAAAACGGGGCACTGTTCGAGGAAAAAGAAAAGACGCCATGGAGAGAGGGGAGTCAGGGAGGAGGTGGGAGCGGCGGGCGGACGAACCTGGTACCGTCGTCTTGGTGTAGGTGTAGCAGCTATGGCCGCTAACCCACGCCGTCGTGTGCTCGAAGTCGTCGAATGTCGTGGAGCAATGCGCTGGCTGCGTGAACGTAGGAGCAGCGGTCGTGATGATGGCCGTCCCGTATGCCTCTTCAGCCGGGGCTGCCAAGCTGCAACTATAGCATTAGTCTGACAATGTCCTCAACCCATAGAGAGGATATCATAGAAGCTATCCCAGGGATGGCAATTACCATGATTTGGCTGTCAAAAGGCTGGCCGCCAGGTAGATGATAGTCTTGGTAATAGGAGCCATCGCAAACTAGACCAACCCGTCTTTACAGATAGGTGCAACAAAACTTGAATTCTCAGAGCAAAAGTTCTTGTCGATGCTATACTTTCGCTCGCAGAGTGCAGACTATGGCAGCATAGGACCCAAGCGAACGAGAGCACAAACAGCCTGGATGGCCCGGGTATTTATGCAGACACGCAGCGGCCGCCGTTTTCTCGTATTCTACACATGATGCGGACCGAACCCATGTGTAATAGGAGATTGGACTGGCACTTCCTACGGTGTATTTCTCCTCTCGTGCCCGAAAGGGACGGGCAAGGATCTGCAATACCTATCTCGACATGCCAGGCCAAGCCCAGCCAGGGACCATGCGCAGCTATGCGGACGCTCGTAAGATGGTGATAGTCGCGTGGTCTGAGACAACAGGCCAGACCAGTATGCAAACCGGGGAGGAGCGAAATGTAACTTACTCTCGTCTCATGGACCATGATCAAGTGCGGAGGAAGTCGGTCGACTTCTCCGGAGGATTATAGCACAGGCAGCTGGGGCCTTCGGCTAAGTATAAGCTATCTGCAGTGCAACGTGTGGTTCCGCTGTTGCTCCCCAGGCCTTTTACAAACTATCCTTGCCCTTGCCCTCGCCCATGTTCTATGCGTCCAAGTGGCTTCTCTTGTGTTCCATCGTAGCACTTACAGACCGTGCCTCTTCACTTCAGGATCGACTCTTGTCTAGAACCGGCAGGGAAAAGGAAGAACGAAGTGTTCTGCGTTTCGGGCAGAATGGAGCTGACCGCTTGGTTTACACTCATTCGATTTCGTATAGGTGGGAATTGAGGCTGCTTACGCCGAGAGCATTGCTGCAGGTGTTCATTGACGGGATTGGCGGCGAGCAGGCAGGCTGGGGCAGGCAGACCCCCACCCCTGTTGCTCGTATTACCCCTCCGGATGTTTGACTTACATTTTCATGGACTATACAGTGAGAAACAAAGCTTGGGACAAACATCCGGGAAAGGTGAAGATCACCCAGTGGCTTCACCTGTGCTGAGACCAAAGTTCTCTCTCATCTACAATTGACTGGCACGTTCCGTACCGGTGTCTAAAAGTGAAGAAATAAAGCTCAGGATGCTCATGCAGGCTGCGGGGCTAGAGCCCAAGATCCCCATGGGGACGAGGGATGCCAACTGAATCGTCACAGAGAGTACCTGCGATCTTAGCAACTGCTAGGGAGTCACAACACGAGCGGCCGGCGACTGACCGACATCCGGCACGAATCTCAATGCCAGACACAAGGGGAACCTGCGACCCTTGGCATCTGTCCTGGTTTGGAGGTCAGCCAGTAGGGGTTGTGAAGGATCACCCGATGTGACATGAATACGCAGTCTGGCACCCGCAACCAAAGAAGTTGACCGGAGACTTGAGGGTTGTGATTGATATTAATTTTCGGGTTGTAGTATATGACAATGCCCTTAACTTGAAGGTTCAGGCTGTTGCTGAGCATGATGCTGCTGACTAACCTGTCATCGTCCCAGCGCTTTTGCCTCCACTCTCTATGAAGTACTATACAAAATGTACAAGGCGTACGTGCGTCTTATCATACCCCCGACTCCCAAAGCGGCCTACGCATCCGCCGTCGCCAACCCTGTGGTTCTAGTGTACACGCTGCGTAAATGTTGTATAAAAAAAATTTGGCCCATAGTTGAACACACCCCTTTTTCAAAGCCATAACGCCGGTGGCCACAATAAATGCTTACAAATGCAGACGCTCCAAATGCAACAATGTCTGACGAAGTGCTGATGACGGTGTCCATCAAGCAAATATATCCTACAGCCCATGCCCCTGTGTTTAAGAGAAGAAATATTGGCTGCCCTTGAGTCGTTTGACGTCGAACTCACCCTATAAGAAAATTAGTACTCACATGGTTTATCGGGTGGGATGGCCAAACTTACCTTCTCAGGGAGCTTGGGAAAAGACAGCGGAATCCAAACCCCGGTAAACTTTGACTTGTTGACTTTTGGAGTGGGCTGCTTCTTGATGGCCTGCTCAAAACCAGTCGTGGCAAGGAACTCTTTGACATACTCAGGGTCGTGCGCTTTACCCTTGATCCAATCCTCCGCACCCTTGTACGCCTTGGGCCCGTCTGGGCCCGACTTCCCGATCTCTGTACCAGGAGGCATATTTCCCAAACCAACTTCACTCATTTCGTCCTCAACCACGGAGGCCTGGGCTGCGGCATGTTCTTCGAAAATGCTGGCAGGCGTCGTCATTTGGCGCCCGCGTTCCACGTCAGCGGGATCTGCCGATTGAAGTAGTCGCAGCCTCTCCCGTTCCTGAAGCAGCTCCTCTGGCATGGCCAGCCTGGACTGGGCACGGTGGGCCAGAATTGCCTTTTCGATTTCGCTGCCACCCTCCAGCCGGGCATAATAGAGAGAACCTTTGTAGCGAGCCTCGAACTCACTTGCCAGTCGTTGAATAACATCCTCGCTGTGTATCCGAATGAACGAGTCTCGCAGCACGCGGTTCATTGTGTCGACATCAGCAGCATGGGTCCAGAAGGAGTCATGCACTGCAGCAAATGTAAGTCCCACATGATGGCTCTCAAGTGCGGACAGCAGCATGTGGGTCGCATCGAGCGAATGGATGAAGTTAGGCGGGAATGCTTGCAATTGCTTTCGTCGATTGACAGGATCCGACCTGTCGGGGATGACGAGATTAAGGTCCTGCAAAGCTGTCGCGATGGTACGAACACCGCTCCTTCGATATGGCTGGACAACAGGTAGACGTAACGGAGTCGTCCAAACAATGGTAGACTTGAACGAGCCCAAGAGATCAGACGAGGAAAGCTGGTTCTTCTTAACCCGACCTGTGGGCGTCTTCTTCACGTCCAATGGTTCGGCTTCAAGCCTGTCCAGTTGCTCCGGTGTAAGCGCACGGCAAACTCGTCCCGCACACTCTCCAAGCCAGTACTGAATATCGTGGGCACCGCGGAACATAGTAGATAGCGCCTTGAAGATCTTCGTGGCAACATAAGATGCCAAGAGCATGGAGCTGCAGCCGGTCTCAGCTCGGATGCGAGGGTAGGCAGCTTCGATCTGCTTCTGCACTTGAGCACGGGCGCCAACGAATGTAACGCCATAAACATTGGTCATAACTGTCTGCTTGACGACTTTTCGCGTAATCTTGCCATCCATGATCTTGCCAAGCAGAACATCGGCTTTGGCATCGTCAGCGATGCTCTCCTTGACGAGATTGGCAACAGCAGAGTACACATCTGCAGGGCGATCGCCCGGCTCGAGGTTGACCTGCTGGGCTCCCCACATGTCACCCCCAAGAGCGGCGTAGTGCTGCAGTCCATTACATGTACCGTCCTGGTGGACAGGTAAATGGGACACGTATTTCGTTGGGTCTTCCAGCTGCATTGCGGCATACACCTCAAAGCAAGCCGCCAAGCATTGCCATGGGTCCTCGGCCTTGCACCACCAGCGCTGGCCATTCAGAGGATTGGTGGCAGAATCTTTGATGTTCTCATAGTTTTCTGCTGTGAATGCTGCGCGTTCTGATAGACTGGCCTTGTCGAATCCAAAGACGTTGGCAAGTTGGACCTTCAACCAATGGAAACCAGCCTCCCCAAGCTCCTTTCCCTCGGCGAACCGTAACAAGCCACGAGCGTTATCTGCGCCCATATGGTTGAGGTATGTGGGTAGAGGATAGGCTCGACCGCGGAAGTCCATGTTGTGAGGGAAGTAGAAAGTCTGGTCCTTGAAGGCGTTGGCAATCTCCATCTGGAAGTTGATGAAGCACCGTTCTGAATGTAGGCCCGACTTCTCGTTCTCTACAGCTCTGACTGCCTGCATCCACCTCCTCCTCTCTAAAGGATCGCCGGTGGCTTCCGGCTCAGGTGGGAGAGGTATATCCGGGTTCAAAGGTGGGAAGTTGTTGATGGCCTCACCAGAGTTCCAGGCCTCAAGCATGACATCGAAAACGGGACGGTTGATCCTCCATGCCGTTCGGCCTAACACATCTAAACCTTTACAAACCTGGTCCAGGTCACCCCGTTTCAGCGCAGCTTCGGTGTATATTTTCTGGTCCTTCTCGCCATTCTTCACTCGTATCAGTGAGGATGGACTCTCGAGAAAACCACCCTTGTCAAACTTGCTCCACGGCTCTGGTTCGACCAGCATGGGCAGATGCCTGGCCAGGAAGTCGCCACGTGGTTCACGCTTCATGAGTTCTACCAGGTACTTGTTCGGCATGATCATGCCAATCTTCTTGCCCTTTTTGAAAATGGAGGTCTTTGCAAAAGCAGGCTGGGCCTGCCGAGTAAGTTCCTTTGTCTCGGGGTGCTCGCGCACGACTGTGACCTTGGCCGTATCGATGAGGCTCAGCAAGACAAAGGCCGCAACCTTGGTGCGAATGACAACTGGCCACGCTGTGACATCGTATGTTGGGGCATCCACAATGTTGGAGGGTTTGGGGTCTTCAGAACCAGGTGCCATCACAACCAGTCCATCCGCGTGCGGGTCAGACACGGCTGCGTCGCTTGGCTTGTTCTGCACACCACTGCGCTGTTGAGTCTTCAGCACACGCTTTCGGCCCTGCTTGGGTTTCTTGGTCTGTGTGCGTTGAAGTCTAGCATCTTCCTCAATCGCCTTGCCGAGCGAGTTAACCGCTTGTGAGAGGAACGGGCCACTATCTGCGCCGGCAGTCGCGGTGGCGTTGAGAAGACTCAATATTGCTACGGCAGAGAGCCGGGTTGGCCCGATTTGGTGCAAGTAAGGAGCCAGGAGACATCGGTCGAAGTCTTCTGCAGACTTGTCTTCCCTTTTTAATGAAATATCCATCAGAGCCATTTCATCCTTGAGCTTCTTCTCCAGCGAGCACTGCCAGTCGTACAGTTGGCTGTTGAGAGCATGTGTGGACAATGAAGTGTTCCTGCCCATCTTCATCAGAGTCTCATGCTCCTCTCTCCAACGATTGATGGCAGCCTGGACACAGTCCCGCTCCAGTCGGGCCTGGATCTCACGCTGCTCTGCAATGGGTAGGCGCGAAATATCGCGGTCTTGGACGTCGGAGAAGAAGGACAGCACGTGGCGCAAGGTCTTCAGGCCAAGGCCCTTCTGAGGTACGGGGACGACCTCAGGCCGCGACTCCGTTCCCGTGCTGGCACTTTTGGTGTCTGACCACGCGATCGGGTTTTCCTGGGGCGGCTGAGGAGCCTCTTCGGAGTCAGGTACCCAATCCTCGGGGGAGAAATTATGAGTCGTGCAGATGCTCGTGATCTGGGCAAGATCTTTATCCGACAGAATATCCGCTTCGCTGTAGACCTGCAGACCGGCATCGCCGGGGACCATGCCCATGTACCTATGAACGCGGCGCTCAAGCTTGTCCTGATCTTGGGCCGAGAGCAAGGAGACCTTGAGCATGAGGGCGACGGTCTCTGGCGTCTGGGGAAGTCCTCTGGCGCGAATGCGTGTCTCGTACCAAATCTGCATCGACTCGGCCCACTTGGTATCTGGCTGCGAATAGTGGCTCTGGAGGTTGGCGCGGAGATATCTGTTGTGGAGCTTCACCATGGAAGAGCCTGGCAGGCAGCCCATGGAATCGAAACGCTTGAGGACGAGAGCAGCTCGATCGAGATGGCCGACATGCAAGCAAGCATCGAAAACGGACAACATTGACTCTACGTCTCCTGGAACACCGTGGCCGTTAGTCTTGGCGCGCGGCAAGGCTTCGCTGTCGACGGCTCGGAGCAGCAGCGGTTGCTTCGGATCGGGGAGTCTCAGGTCGTAGGGCGCAGACTTCCGCGAAGACGTCGGTGGCTGCGTATACATGGACGGAGGCCCGAGGTTGAGACCGTCCTGGATCCGGGCATCGTCCATGGCGGTGGCGAGCGATCGCTCATGGAGGGCGCCATGAGACAGGCCGCCACTACCTCGTCTCCTCCGGGGGAGGAGGTCTGGTCGCGTGACGAGCAGCCTGTGACTTGACGCCGGCAAACGGGACCGGAGCGACGCACATGGCGAGAACAACTGTGGCCGTCGGAGGCTGTTGACTCTGGGTGCGCTGAGGCTCCCTCGAGCCGACGGCCTGACGAGCATCGCGACGGCTTTGTGTAGAGGGAGGACGCCCCCGGGCGTTGTACGTGGTATCTATGCAAAGGAGCGACGAGATATCCCAGCAGCCGGACGTGGGAGGGTGCTACGAACGCATCAAGCGGCCTTAGTGACGACTGCGTGCGAGGGATCTAGGGTACTGGAATAGAAGGAGGATTGTGTGACGAGAAGGCCGGCAACGTCGGGTCCAAGTCGATGGGGGAACGGCAAAAATTGGCAAGAAGACTGATGTTATCGACAAAGTCTCGATAGGAGGCGATATGATGGAGCACCCTGCTCCAAATTTTTCTTCGCGAATCGCCATTGGCAGGCGGGGCGGCCCCATAGGCAGAGCTGGCCGGAAAGGGGACTAGCCTCTAGGCATGCTAACTTAGGCACTGTAGCTGGGCTCGTTCCACAGCAGGTGACCCCTAAACTTGCACTGGAAAAACGGTACCCAACTTAGCGTGTCCAGGTTCTGGAACGCGCCAACGAAGGTCGACGCTGCACGCCGCACGCCGTGAAAGTCAACCTATTTCCACTGTAGGGCAGGGCATCGCGCCAAAGCAGACAGCCGGGCCAGCCAAATTCCAAGCTCCCAATTGGCCGAGCTCTCCAGCTCACCCGCTTCTGCTCAAGCAGCCAGGAGCCCCAGCTCCACCATCAGCTGTCGGGCTGGGTTCCACGTACCGTACGAAGCAACTTAACTGGCAACTTAACGTTCAGAACCAGGGTCAGCTCGGCCAAGCAGCCCCAGCTCAAGTTGCTGGGCAGGGTTTTTCCGACGCGCCAGAAACGGCATCAGGGATCCCGAGGCCCCAAAGCTCTGATCTCATCGGGAGACGTCAATTGAGCTGTCAAGCGGATATGAGGAGCTTTGCAAATCCTCCTGAGATGTCCACGCGCGAGGGTCCAGGACTTTGACCACTCCTCTTAGCAACTGCACTGCCTGCAAAGCCGCCAATTATTATCCGTTGTCATGGCCGCTGGAAGGGCATTGGCAGCAGCTGGCTGCTCTCATTGCCGCACCTCTGTCTTGAGGCTCTTCTTGAGCTCGTCGAAGCCATCTCCACTCGCCAGATCTCAGCACACGCTCTTGTGGTCTCCCGTCGCGACCACGCGCCACCTTCTTCGCAGCTACTCCTCAGCCTCGAGTTCAGGCCATGTGACTGGTAGCCACGTTACTCCTTCCCCCGAATCTCCAGAGACAGCCCGACAGGCCGCGCAAGACGGGTCTGCATCCGACATCGAAACCTTGGAAAGCGCCGCAGCGGAGCCCGCCCCGGCGGGTGTGCCATGGTATCTTCAGGTCGAGCCGCCCAGGCATGCTCCCTTCGCTGAACCACCGCCGCTGCCTGAGCTGCCGTCCGGTTCGCCGCCCATCCTGTCCGCCGTATTGGAGTATGCAGCCGAAGAGATGGGCCTCGATGACCTCTCTCTCCTTGACCTACGCGAGATGGATCCTCCTCCGGCGTTAGGGCCCAATCTCTTCATGCTGTTTGGAACGGCACGCAGCGAGCGCCATCTGAACGTGTCCGCCGGCCGCTTGGTAAGGTGGTTGCGAGCCAAGCACCATGTGCACGCTGATGCCGACGGACTTCTCGGCCCGAATGAGCGCAAGACGAAGCTGCGCCGAAAGGCAAAACGGGCTAAGCTCCTGGGGACCATGGGCACTGACGATGCCGACGATGGTATATCCACTGGCTGGATCTGTGTCAACCTGGGCACTATCAACCGCTCCCATACAGAATCTGCTGTCCTCAGCGAAGATGGCCGAGTTGCGGGTTTCGGCGTCCCACAGACCGGTTCAACTATAGTTGTGCAAGTCATGACGGAGGAACGAAGGACGGAGCTCGGCTTGGAAACCCTCTGGCAGCGGGCGCTTGGCCGTCCGTCTGAGGAACGGGCCGTCACTTCTACGGAAACTAAGAAAGCTGCGGATTCGCATCCTTTGGAGAAGGCTATCCTGTCCAAGTCGCCAACGCGGCCTACCCCTGGGCATCAGGCGTCAGACAGCTCCGCGTTTTCTGGCCAGACCAGGTCCATGTCGACTACACCTATCAGAGACGGCCCCAAACCCGGCGAAGCCAATCCGACCGACCCGTTACTGTCCGACCTCTCTGTTCTCCAGGAACAGCTCCTACATGATGGCCCCACGAAGCTACGCGTTCTGGATCTTCTTCGAAGCTACCTACAAGATGTGCAAGAAGACCAACTCTCGGCAACGCTTGAATCTGCGGCCTTTCAGAAATTATCCAGGTTAGCGATGGAAAACCTGCCTGCTGAACGGACGTGGTCCCTGCGGCTCGCTATGGCGTCCAAGACGCGGGGAACTATGCATGGCTCCCCTACGCTGCTCACTATGCAGCAACTCATCCGGGACCTTCAGTTGTTCGCTATTCCGGCCAGTCGGGGTGAGATACTTGAGCTTCTGAGTTGCATCTACTCAGCTTCAGCGGAGCTAATGGATCGGACACAGGTTGCAACTGAAGTGTTGGATATGCTGCACACCCGTGGCCAGCCTGTCCTTAGCAATGATGTCATTGTGTCCATCATGGACGGGTTGTCATGGTTTGGAAGGCCCGATGACCAGTCCCTCAACCTCCAAAGAAGGTTGGAAGGGTTGATGGTGCAAACTAAGCAGCCGTACATGGGGGAACGCTTGCTGATCAGTCTCATGGACGCATACGCGCGAATGCATCGATGGGAGCAGTTCTGGGAAGCCTGGCGCATACCTCCACGCTTCGCCCAGCCGCGGTCTGAGGCTATGTACATTCACGTCTACCAGTTGATGGCTGCTACAGACGACCCAAAACGCCGGGCATTGTGTGCCGACACGGTGCGTCGATGCTTCCAGGAGATGATCATTGAAAACCCACCGATTGAACCTGCCGGACGGGTGCTCGAGTCACTGCTTGGGTGCATTCGAGTGGTAGATCCCCGAGCCGAGGACCATGCAGATACCATTCCAGCCAGCGCTCCAGGCTTCGCAAGGTCGCTTGGCAATCGCGAATTCGTAAGGCTTGTCAAAGACATCAAGCTTTTGCAGCGGCACCGCCACGGGTCCCGAGGACTGGACGCCTAGCGAGACACGCTCAGGACAAGATAGTTTGAGAGCATCGATACCTGATGTGAGGCCCGGCGTCGCGATTCTATCGTTGACCGTCGGAAACCGGATGCAGATCCGGCGTCTGTCTGTACGCTATAGAGATGTGGCCCGGCTTGTGACTGCCGAATGGATGGTTGATGACGCAGCCGGGTCTCCAATGTAACCTACTGTACACTACTGCACTTAAGAGGGTGCGACTGTAAATGCTAGAATATAGCTTATCGACAAACACCGGGTGCTTGCCAATAACCTTTCGAATTGCGATTTCCGCAAAGGCTGTGTTGTTAGCATCCATTTACCGCCTTGGTCGACTCATTACCTTCCTAAACGAGCAACTAGGCCGTTGCGGACTCACGCAGATTGCTTTCAGCTAAAGCCAAGCTACACACGTACTCCGTACCTCAAACCCAACTGATAAGACACGTGCGAGATTAATTACAATGCGAAAGATTCAGGACGTTCGTAATGCCACTCTTGCCCCGAATACCGGAATACCGCGGATTGCGGGTTAGCTAGCTGTGCCCAGTTCCGGCTGTGATTCTTGGGGGGTCTCAACCTCAGCCTCGGGTGATGTAGCATGGTGGCATGGTAGTGAAGCTCTCCGCTCTCAAACCATGGTACATGAAGATTACTTTACCTATCCCTACATAGTAGATCCACACAAGAAGCAGACAGACACCATTAAGCCCACGTAGAGTTCTGGGTGGCTCATGCGCTTAGGTCGATACTACAGCCGCATTGCACCTGGACATCTAGGTACTGACCGACAACCAAAAAGGATTAGCAGGCGTAACTCCGCAATGGGCCTCAAAGGAGGATACTTGTTCGGCTTTCAGTACATAATACAACCTCTACTCGTGATCACCGTCTAGCTAGCCGATTTAACCGATCCATATTCTGGGGCTTTATATCGAACGTGCCCCAAGTAATTGGACAGCCAGCTCGATAAGCTCCCCTGCCGCAACCCCAGTCTGCAAGGGGCGGTACGTAGTGCGCAACCGAGAAAAGCCAAGTTCAGACCCTTGTAAGAATCTACAACCGCGTAAGCAAGGTGACCGCGAGCTGCACTTAAGCCTAACAGGGGTATACCTTAAGGTTGTGCATCCAGTGGGACCCCTTTCTTTTGTTCCAGTCTCCAGAGGTGGACTAGTATACCCCGTGGCCGGCGAAGTCGCATTCGAGGACGGTCACCCAATCTCGCGAGCCAATAAGCAAAAAGAACGCGCTCAACTGAGCGAGCTGCCAGATCAAAAGCCCACCAGCATGGGTTGGGAGTCTCGTCGCGAGGAACCTGGTTCTTGATGCACGCGGGCGCACCTGGGTCCATATAACGGTGGCGCCGGATGCCTATATTACCTCCCGTCGACCTCCTCGCTTCCTTGGCATTACACCATCCCACAGGCTTCCCCATCTCCGTTCTCCAAGACACCTTGCTGTCCATCCTTCAAGCCCGCCCTTGCTCGTTCTCCCTAGTCAATATGGTTCGCATCGCTTCCGTAGCCCTGCTCTCGGCAGCGGCCCTTCCCGGCGCCATGGCCTGGGGCGCCATGGGCCACGAGACCGTAGCCTATATTGCGACCAATTTCGTGGCGTCGTCCACGAAGACGTACTTCCAGAATCTGCTGGGCGATACGTCGACGGACTACTTGGCGTCCGTTGCATCGTGGGCTGATTCGTACCGTGTAAGTGATTCTTGTCTGCGGGAAAAAAAAAACCCCCCCGATAGACTCAACAAGATAGTAAGAATTGTCACTAACCACGCGTTCCACAGTATACAACCGCTGGGAAGTTCTCGGCCGGGTATCACTATATCGATGCCCAAGACAATCCCCCTTCGTCCTGTGGTGTTGACCTCGATCGGGACTGTGCAGATGGATGCATTGTGAGCGCCATCGCAAACTACGTACGTTCAGCTCATCGCCAGGAATATTTGAGCACCATGCTAAACTCGAGTTGACAGACCTCGCGTGTCCTTAATTCCAAACTTAGCACATCTGATCGCCAGATCGCCGCCAAGGTATGCCCACCAGTTCACCCCAACCCCAGGTCCTTGTCCATGGATCGCCTACTCACCAAAGGACCAGATGATTATCCACTTCATTGGCGATGTCGGCCAGCCGCTGCACTGTGAGGATCTCGAGACCGGCGGAAACGGCATCGATGTCCTGTACGACGGCGACGACACCAACTTGCACGCCATCTGGGACACTCAGATCCCGGAGTCGGTGTCAGGCGGCTCTTCCCAGAGCTCTGCCAAGACCTGGGCCACGACTCTTACCACTGGTAAGTCCCGAACTTCCCTTTCCCGCACCCGGCATGAATGCACAACTCATCTTGATGGCCAATCTCTGACTCATATTACCCGTAGCTATCAAATCCGGCGACTACAAGTCCAGCGCCGCAGGCTGGGTCTCCGGCTTGAACATCAATGACGCCGAGACCACGGCGACGGGCTGGGCCAGCGAGAGCAATGCCTATGTGTGCAGCACTGTCCTGAAGAGCGGTATCAGCGCCGTCGAGAACAAGGAGCTGAGCGGCACCTACACGACCACGGCGCAGCCGGTCGTCAAGGAGCAGATTGCGAAGCAGGGGTACCGCCTCGCAAAGTGGTTGGATGCCATTGCTGCAGCTTAGATTAAGGGATAAAGTGGGAACTTGGTGGAAGAGATGTGGCGCCTTGGGGATTTGGCCTTGGGTCTGAGCCAGCGGTAGTGAATTTGAAGCGAAGCGTTGCATAGGATTCTCAGTTGTCTTGTATACCCTGTTAACATGATTTGATTTGACGAATTCTCGATCTGGCTCTGAGAAGTGCAAATGTCAAGAATATAGAAACGTGTCAATGGCATAAGACATAACTGCGCCTCTCTGGGTTACAAGTCTGCTCCTGCTCTAGATACTATCTGGTGTCGTCGCGTTTATGTCAAGAACTCAAAATCAACCAACACTGTGTCCAACTTGTCGAACGCTGAGTATTGCTGCTTCTAGATAATCTCACTGGCATCATTGATGCCATTCTATATTTTTGCCTTCATGGCCTCTCTTAGCATAGGTGCGACTTGCTTGCGGCTGTTCTCGACACGACCTTGGGTCCAGCATCGCAGCCATTGAGACTGCTCATCCAGGTCGAGCTTTCCACTGCTCCAGGGGCTGAGCTGAAGCTTCTCAGTATAGTCTTTCTCAAAGGCCTTGGCAGTCGCAACCCCCTTCTCCGTTCGTGCGAAGAGGAGAAGCTCGCGGTGGAATGAAGCCTCGTTCGCAAAGGCGGTCAACACAGTCACGAGGTCCAGGTCTTTCTCGGTGCCCCATCTCTTGATTCCGTCGAGGAGCGCGTCGCTGCTGCCCGCCTTCTCTGTCAGATACCCGAAATGCGCGGGCACGGACGAGGTCCCCAGCTTCACTCCACTGTCGTCCCACTCCTTGTAGTCCTTGCGTAGGATGTCGCGCATCGACAGGGGTGAAATGTCCTCCTTCAATTTAGCGACGTCGGAGAAGAAGTTCGTTCTGTCGTACCCCGTGGCTGACGGAAGCTTGGTTTCTAGATACTGCACCGCATCCTCGTCAAATGAAGTCGTCTTATTCTTGTCCCCAAGCTTCTGCGTGTCGATCAGGATGGGGCCAACAGCCAGATGGGCGAGCTGTGCGTCAATCTCTGTAGCCTTGTCGGCGTCCTTTAACTTCTCCCATGCCTCTCGGCAGTGCGTAACTACCAGGCTCATACAGCTGCCGCTCTTCTCAATGAGCCGGACCTCGCTTTCCTGAGGGACTTTGCCCTCGTCGGTGTGATGATCGACGCAGCCAACTACCTGCTTGTTGAAAAGCTCGAGATGGCCGGTCAGGCAATTGTGGTCCACAAGGAGCCATTGCGTATTCGTGGCGTCCAGTTCGGGTAGATCATCAAGTGTGATCACATCATCGGGTGACGTTGCAGCTCTCCTGAGCACCTCGGTGAACTCGGGGCGTAGCGTCAGGTCGTCTCGGGGCAGATGACACAAGGGTATGTGGAGAGTTTGCGGCGAGCCATATGTACGTAAGTACGCGAAGAGCAGAGCTGAGCAGAGGGAATCAAGATCTTTTCCGAGCGGTTAGCCGATAGCCCATGCTCTGCGCTAGGATTTCGCAACAAGAGAAAAGGCTCATACCAGCAGACTCATTGCCCACAACGAAGGTCAGTGTTTGCTTCTTGGAGGCGGACGCTGCTAAGGCAGACCTCGCGGTGGCCAGAAATGCCGACAGTGAAGCTCGTGCAGGCATTTTGACGTCCCGCGACCATAGAATTTCAGGTCCCAGCTAGGCCATAGGTGAAGTTACGTGGAATGCCCGCCAGCTATCGTTGGAGTCGCATGCAGCTTACACAGGTGTGCTGGGTAGGGGAGGGGAGGTATACAGTGAACTAAAATCAGAGAGCCCCGCCATGCGTTCGAATTGATCAGCCAGTTGCGTCATGGCTTTCTGTGTTCAATATGCGATTAAACGGCAACCCTCAGGGTATAGGGGTTATGTGGGGTTTACCAGATCGCAACACTCTTGACATAACAGTGAATTTGATCAGGATTGAAATGCGGAAGTGACCTTTCCCACGTCTCATTGCTCACTGAACCGCTATAGACCAAGCTCAGTCGGTATAAATAACAGTGTGCTAGTGAAACCCTATGCCGGTCCATCGTTCTGAATCTACCATGTTTAAGGCGCTGTAAGCACTAGTAATGGGAGTTCATTTGACGCGAACCAATCACTGTGGGTTCGAAATACTTGACTCCACAGGTATGATCGGATTTCCCTTATATTCGGTCGTACAACAAGACTGCAGATGACAACTCGTTTCTCCAATTTCGTAGAGGGGTCAGATTGATTTGGTCCTTCGCCGCACGTTTCTCCAATCACAGGCGGACGCCGCTGCATGCAATATCCCATGTTGCAGAGTAGTAATGCACGCCGAGCTCCACTACCTATCAAATCCAGCATGTGAGGTTACAGCAAACCCCCAGAACTCGCAGGGAACTGCACACAGACCAGAAAGATCAGCAACTTACGGGTATTCTTCTCCAGTTGCAAAGGACTGCGCCACGAAGTCGCATGAGACTCGGTGTGAAGCTGGCCGGGCGCCGTGCTAGTATGCCTCGGGTAAAGGTTATATAAGAGGTCTCAAGGTGCAGTCGGGACTTGGAAAGTGACAGTCTTCTTGCAGTCCCATCCATTGAAGAACTGAGGGGAAATGGAAAGTTTCTGGATCTTGTTGGCTCTGCCTGTAGCAGGTGTCTTAATCTACCAGCTATTGAAAATTGGCTCTCGACCGAAAGGTTGTCCTCCTGGACCCCCTACTCTCCCTATAATCGGCAACTTGCATTTGCTTCCCAAAGAAAATGGTCACATACAGCTTCAGAAATGGGCTCAAGAATATGGGTAAGAAACTTATGATCTTGTTCCAATATGCAAGCTTATCTTGGCAGGCCGGTGTACTCCCTGATGATGGGAACAAGGTTGATGATCGTGTTGAACTCTGATCAGGCGGTCAAGGACCTACTTGATAAGAGAAGTAACATCTACTCTTCGCGCCCCGATCTTTATCTTCCCAATATAATCAGCGGGAGTTTAAGGGTGGTCTTGATGGTAAGCCTGACCGAATCGTGCTTGGATGTTCGAATGGCTAAGAGACACCACCAGGCATACGGAGAGACGTGGCGGATGATCCACAGGATTTACCACAACATGCTTCACGTCCGATCGGCCACAGCTTTTATACCGTACCAGGATCTGGAGAACAAGCAGATGATGCGCGGCCTACTTGATTCCCCCGACGAGTTTGTCGACCACATCCGGCGCTACACCAACTCTCTGACTACCCAGATGGTTTTCGGCTTCCGGACCTTCAGCAACGATGACCCAAAGCTCAAGCAGCTGTACTACGGCTTCGATAAGATGGTGCAGGTCCTAGGATCAACCAGTGCGGCGTTTCTCGACCTGTACCCTGCCCTTCGTGAACTCCCAGATTTCCTGGTGCCGATGAGAAGGTACTGCAAGGATCTCCATGCACGTGAGAAGGAGCTATATGTTAGCCACTGGCTCGATGCAAAGGCGAGGATCAGCAATGGTACGAGCAAGGTAACAAACACCCAACTCGAGCTAATTGGAGATTCCTGAGCGCTAACAGGTACTCCTAGCCGTGCTTTTGCGTAGACCTTGTAAAGGCCCAGAAGGTTGAGGCCTTCTCCGACGGCCTAGCAGCCTATATAAGTGGCTCGTTGCTGGAAGCAGGGTCCGATACAACAGCCGCTCAGCTGGTAGGCTTCGTACAGGCCATGGTGTTGTTCCCCGAAGTTCAGAAGGCCGCTCAGAGGGAGCTAGATAAGGTTTGCGGGGATCGGCTGCCCACATTAGATGACAAACTACCATACATCCGTTGCTGTGTCAAGGAGTGTCTGCGATGGATGCCCACGGCGATCCTCGGGATCCCGCATAGTGTCATACGAGAGGATGAGTACATGGGCTACAGAATCCCCAAAGGGTGCAATGTCATGCTCAACGTTTGGTAGGTCGAGATTACTGATCATGCTAACAACCGCACCCAAAGATGGACACCGTTATTCTAACAGTGAGGCAGGGCTATTCATATGGACCCAAAACGGCATTCCAACCCTCGCGCCTTCGACCCTACAAGATATGAGGGTGACTTGCAAACGGCGGCAGAGGCAACCGCTAATGCTGACGCCTCCAAACGGGACCATTTCGGATTTGGCGCCGGGCGCCGGGTCTGCCAGGGTATACATATTGCCGAACGGTCCCTGACCCTCGGCATCGCGAGACTCCTCTGGGCATTCCAATTCCGCAGAGCTGTGGACAGCAATGGGAGGGAGACCGTGCCAGACCCCGAAGACTTAACGCAAGGTGTCCTGGTGCAGCCTCGGCCGTTCCCAGTGAAGATCGTCCCGAGGAGCGAGGCGCATGCTTGTGCGCTGAGAGAAGCTTGGGACAGTTGCCAGGTGCTCCTGGATGGAGAAAAACAGTGGAAAGAAGTACCAGAAGGTATGCCTTTCTCGACCTATACCCCAGAATAACCTACCACCTGAACCGCTGGTCTATGCATAAAGAGGAGGAAGGTGGATGAATTTGTAATACAGACCATCACGGAGTCCATGAGGAGATCTCTGTATTTGATGCTAGTAAAAATGCCAGATAGCCGAGCGACTTATTCTTAGGAACATGTTCAAAAGAACTTGATCCCCTGCCAACCATAGAAAATTTCGTGCCTTAACGCCCTGCGCCGAGAGTGGTATTGTTGCGCCCCCCAATGGCTTCCATCTTCTCGCTTAAATGTCTTACAATTTCTCTCCCAATTCCCCATACCAGGAAAGTCGTAACATATAGTGGGTACGTGTTTTAACAAGAACTACCTGGGCCTCGTGTGGCTTCCGGCTGGATAGAAAAACCCGTGCACTATCCAACAACGGGTTTTGACTCATGCGTCGAAACTGACCGAAGAGTATACCTTGTCTCGAATTTGATCTACGTCCTTTAGTCCCAGGTTCATAGCTGCGGGTTGTAGATAACATACCTCTCATTCCACCAAGAGCTTCAAACGCAGTCCCATAGTTTTCCAGTGTGGCCAATATCGAGAGCAGACCTTGCTGCAGCCTGCCAAGAAGATTATTGGCCAAGGATCCAGTGTCACCATTCCAACCGGAGTACATTGTCTGCGTCTTTTCATGGACCATGAGCAGCACGTAGCCGCATTGCATAGCGCAACAAGCGAATGACGGCATCGTTCTCGGCGCAATAACACTTGAGAATGGACCAAGGTAAGAGGGGCCCTCAGCTGTTTGTGTGGTGGGGTTGGGATATGGGAGTATATCAAACGCATTCGAGATACTGAGGGCAGATTTCAGACAGATTTTGGCTGATTGGTGACTGCTGAAAGGGAAAATTGGTGTCACCGGTGCCTGGAAGTTTTGCACGCTACCCTCGGAATGAGGTGTCAGTCGAGGTGAAAGTGTTGGAGAAGAGGAGGAGCCTGTATGACTTGAAGGTCCTGAGTGCCCGATGAGAGTGGCACAACATGTCGGCCAGTGACGTAGGGCATCCTTGCTCTCACTTGGTGTTACAGGCTTCAAGTCGCAGTTCTTTCGAGGGAACACAGGCAAGTCGAAGAACGCGCAGTAACGGTGCACTTTGATGCGAGCACTACATAATGTCTTAGTTCAGATTAACCTTCGAAATACGCTGGCTCCACTGACCTGTTCAATTTGATTATTGACATACACCGCAAAGCTTGGGCAACAACAGTTTCGTGGCTGTCGACAAGTCGGGTGGGTGGGCAGCTCAAAACCCAGGCCTCTGATGCGGCGACGAGAGGCTCCAAATACACTTCAAGCTCAACCATCCTCTGATATACGTGTGTCATGTCAGACTGGGATTTCATTGCCGCATTGAGGTCAATGACAAATTGTGTTGCGGTGAGAATGGCCTGTTGTGACTTGAGAAACAAAGGCCAAGCCTAAAGGGGGTCAGTATAGGATCACTTCAGTGGGGGAACAACACATACCTCAGGGTCAGCTTGGATAATTGGCATCTTGGACGTGAAACTCGGTGAAAAGATGTCAAAAGCAGGTTTCTTCATTCCTGTAAGCCAGTGTCTACTTCAAGTTGTTGCGAGACATCTTACCGTATTGCTGACGATGGAACTCTGACAAACGCAAACAAATGTCATCCACCAGACACGGCGTCGTGCCTCCGAGTAGACATCATCATCGTCGGTATGGGTATGTAGAGAGAGGCTCATTGCTGACATCAGAGCAGCATTGGCCCTCGTCCTCATCCTCTTCAAGTTACCGCGCTGGGCGTACTCGTAAACGCTTAGCAAGTCAAGTGCGATGATGTGCTCTAGCTGGACGGGAACGCCCAGATGAAACGGTTGACGAGAGTATTCGTCATCAGAATCATCTAGCGCTCTTGATGGGTCCATGGATGATTCAGGCTTTTCGGTTTCTACCTCAATAGCCTCAAAGGCTGATTGCGCAAGGAACTGGGCATATTTACGCCGGAAGAGGATCGATTCTTCAGCCAGGGGGTTTACGTCTTGGGCGCAAGGGATAAGTGCCAGTATTGCCGAAATGGCAAGAGCAAGAGGTGAACAAGACTCATCTACATCCTTGGGTCGACTCTCATATAGAGGCACAGCCTCGTCGGGCATGAGAGGAACTTCTGTTGGTGGTGGAAGAATGGGGAAATATGCGTGTATCCATATGTAGTAGGCGTTAAGGCTGAAAGCTTGATTAGTCACGGGTCCCGGTCCTTTTCTGATGGAAACAAGGGCAGTCAACAGCAACGAAAGCAGTAGGAAATGAAAAGGAGCTCGAAAAAGAGAGCTTTGCTCACACTGCACGGTCACAGGTATACGACCTTGCCATAGGCCCAACCTCATTTGTGGATGACGTTAACATAAGATTCGCAGAATTACTAAACAAACTGTCGAAGAGCATGTCACTATCATTCATCACTTCGGTAAGGTTTTTCAACCCTGCGCCTGGATTGATGTAGCTTTCGACTGACACTGTATATGTCGTTAGACACTGCCTGCCTCAAACAATTGCTAGCAAACTCTAAACTCACGATTGGGCAGCACCACGGGTGCTGGCTCAGGGTCGGCCGTAGCCTGCTCATTATTGTCCCCGAGCAGGCGCGGCTTCTTGCGCACACGAGGACCGCCGCGGCGACTCGGCTTGTAGACGCATGGGCGATCTCTGGTGGTGCACTGGGCACAAGGGTGCTCGCCTGTGCACCTTGTCCTTGAGGCACGGCTGCGCAGTGTAAGCATATACATATACGTGGTCGCTCGGGTCCACCGGGGGGAACGCGAGCGCCAACATCAAAAGCAAAAGAATCACGACATACCAGGCGAGACAGGCAATCTTGACCGGCGGCGTTGCAAATTTCTTCCTGCCGGCGACTGGGCCCTCCTGCGTCGGTTTGGCAACTTCGGCCATGATGGCGGTGGCCCTACCCACGCAACAGGCTGGTCTCCCGCGTCGGGTAAGTCAGGCTTCAGGCAACAAATCCCGATCCGTAGCTGAACATGTATGAGGATGGTTAAACGGTCACGGTTTGGGCAGCCGAGCTTGTCCCCGGAGGGAAGTGGTGGAGCGTGGGCGTGCTATTGAACGACCGACTTTCGACGAGGCCGAGTGGGGTAGACTTCAGCTGGCGAGGCCCGGCGTTGCCAATAGCGTGGCAAATCACCGTTACACTAATCGCTTTGAAACGTTAGGGCAGCCTTGGGCTACTCTGATTGGCTCTTCACGGCTACCATCACGGGAGACCCATATCAACGGCCATTCCGTAGGGCTGACACTTTGCTCCTTGAGCGTCAACCTTGGAAGTTGGATATGATGCAACTCCGGGCCTCCGCGTGCGCACTCGCTGGCGGGACATCTATGGCACGGGACATTAGCATATTCATGGGCCATTCGCCGACCCGAAATGGCAGCCCATGGGATTTTATATGGATCCTGGCTGGTAGCTGCCGGCGTCAAGCCACGGGACAAAGATGGTACCTACACATCACATATGGTACGATATCCAGTCAGCCAACAAAGGTAGGTAGGTCGGTATATGTAGTTTCGGCCATGCCAAGATGGGGTGCTGCATCTGAGAATCGTACAAATCCCGAGTGTCTGGGGCAGCAGACACCGAGCTGCCGATGTCCAAACCCCGAAGTTGCGGCTGATCTTGAGACACCCTAACAAAATTGGTTAAAACCTCGATATTGCGGTTCCGTATGAGGAGGTATACGGCAGAGGACTTCAAAGTCTTCCAATGTCAAGTGGCTTCATACTCGCTGTTGGGGCTTTTAAGGGTGCCAGAAGCCCCCAGGAAACCTGAAACACTCAACTAGCATGGGCACATTGGACGACACTCGGCCGATTGTGGATCGATCCGGGGCAGAACAAAAGCTTGAGCTGCCCCATGAGCTTGTTTTCACCTTCAACGTTGTGGCCGTTCTAGAAAGCAGTAGGCTGTTGTTATTCAATGCATTGATCCGAATGTGAGGAAATTCTCATTGCCAGCCTACGAACTATCGAGGTATCTGAACCGCCATCGTCCATTTTACCTACCGCGGGCAGACATTGGACCCTCTACTGGTGTTGCCATTACGAATCGGTATTCTGAATTGGAACCGTGGTAATGATATTTGACGGCTGAGTTGTACAAACAATGCTTGTCTACGATCTACTGCGCAATGGTATATGGGAATGGCTAAATCCAAACATACTATCATGGCCAGCCAGTGTTCATTCACATGCTGTCTTCCGCTTGGCGACTGCGAACCTTTGCCCAATCATCCCGATCTTTCTTGCCTCCAGAACCCTCCAGACCCATGCCCCTCTCGACCCATTCCTTGCTGCCCATCTCTGTTAATCGTGACAAGGCTCTGATGAAAGCAAATCTTTCCTCGTCACCAGAGAAAACATTGGCGTCCTTTAGCTGCTCGATGTTGCTATTCACGTCCTCCATAGCAGACTGCATGGTATCATGAACAGACTCGCTTCGCGGGCTTTCGTTTTCAGAAGCTTTCCCTTCGTCTTTCTTTAGCGAGTCCTCCATCTCCTGGGCCGACACGAAAAGCTGAGTTAGAGGCTTCGCTGTCGTCAATACAAGCTTGGCGTGTGACTCGTACACAGCGTCGATGAACGTGATGAATCGTCGAGCTAGGTCGCGTTCGCGATACGTCATACCCGGAACATCGGTCACAATGAAGGCATCATAACTTCGCATGAGCTCGATGTAGTCGGCAGCACCAGTAGCCTTGCCAAGGAGCTCCTTGAAGGTGAACCATGCACAACGACCACTAACTCGAGGGACGTATATCTCTCGGCCCCAAACTCTCTGCACCTCTGAGTGAGCTTCGGGGGACTCAGGGTCTCCGAGGAAACGGAACCACTTTTCAGCATGAGATGCAGCATGGGCATCCAGAGGTGTGTGGTAGACTCCGGACGGAGGCCGGGGAATCTTTCGGTAGTCGGTTGGCGAATCAAGGTTGATCACGTGAAGCCGCGCCTTCAGGAGGTTGATCGCCGGAATGAAGGATTCTCGTTGGATCCCGTTCTTGTACAACTCGTCCGGGACTCGGTTGGAAGTTGTGACCAAGACCACACCATGAGACATGAGAGACTCCAACAGTCTCCGCAAGATCATGGCGTCTGCCACGTCGGTGCACTGAAACTCGTCGAAGCACAGCACATTTCCCTGTTCCGCTATATCTGCAGCGACAAACGGCACGGCATCTATGTCGTTTCCATGTTCCATCTTCATCTTGTGAAGCCTCTTGTGCACATCTTGCATGAAGTTATGGAAGTGTATCCTAGTCTTTGACTTGACCGCTTTGGGTAACGTATCATAAAAAAGATCCATGAGCATGGTTTTGCCGCTCCCCACATCGCCATAAAGATACAAGCCGTGAGGTAAGTCGGCCGGGATGTCTTGTATCGGCGTCTTGCCTTGTTTCGAGCCAAGCCAGCCAAAGAGAGACTTGGAGGGCTTCAGCGACTCGATCGTGGGATGTATGACGGGGCGTGCTTCATAGTGCACGAGCTCGTCGTGCAAATGCTGCAGGCTTTGAATGATGCCCCGCTGGTGCTCGTCCTCGCGTAATCGGCCCTCCGCTACTCGCCTGTCGTACTCTTGTATGGGGCCATGGCTGTCTGATATGCTCGCCTTCGCCGTGTAGCCCTCAGCGATGGTCGCATACGACCGAGAACGTAGGCAGAGTCGTGCGCGTGCGCTTTGTGCTGGGCAAGCGGCAAGGTGTGTTCTCGAGCGAGGATTCGACGAGGCTCGGCGAACAGTTTGCCTCTGGAAGCATTGGCTGCAGAGGAATTGCCTGCTCTCGATGCGCGCGAGTGGCCCCGAAGAGAAGAGGCGAAGAGCGGCCGCCGACGTCGTGCGGACTCGCATGGCGGTCAGCTCGCCGGTAAAATACTGCTATCGGCAGGCCTCTTTCTAGCGATATATATATAGATACACCAGCAACATTCAAATCAGGGCCGTCGGTAGGCGAGGCGGCAGCAACGAGAGGAAATCGGGAGAATATGCAGGAATAAAGCAGAGTTCCGGCGAAGTCGCAACATGATTTCGGGGTAGTTTCGGCGCATGGCGTCAAGCGGTAGGAATTCCTTGGATAAGCCGGCCGATCTCAGGCGCCAAGCCATATTGGGCAAGCCGAGGCTCGAGTAGTTACCGTACGGCACCAAGACGCAAGACACTTTTATCGTGGTTATAGTTATCGTCTCACACACGATGAACTGACTGGCTGGCTTATCTGCGGATAAACATACTGTTTTACTTGGATTGAATTTGTTCATTAACTGCCTCATATGCAGCTTTTCGGGAGTGACCAAATGTTGCAGCCCTTCCTGCTGATATCAGGTCGTGTTGTCAATTTGAAGTCTTTTCTACCTCTTTTAATTCATGTAGCCTAACTTGAATGGTCCCAGCGAAAGGGATGCAAGTGCCATGCGGGAATATGAGGTTGAAATTCGATTTTCAGATCTGGACATGCCAAATCCGACCCAGAGGTCAAGTTTTCCGTTAGAGGCTATCGATCCTTTGGTGCGCAGAAAAGTGCAGAGGCAGCCGAGACAACCTGTTTTCTAAGCAGCCAAGCGCTTTCAAGGCCTCTAGGGGTCATCGTCCGCGTGCGAACTTCTCGTGCCACTTGCCTCTGGCAGCAGGGGCAACGCTGGCTGCGGCCTCTGACACGAGCTCGACACTGTCGTGAATGGTTGCCACAGCTTTGAGTCCAACTTCGGGAATATGTGATGAGTCTGTGGTCGTTTCGGCGGGGCGAAGCAGAATCAGCGCGTTGGAGGTATTCTTCTGACGCATGCCCCACGACTTATCCCCGTGCTTTATGACGGCAGACGTAGAAGACGACTCCAGACTGAGGCTGCATCGTGATGTGAGGTGTTGCTTTCTTGAGACGAAGATCTTGGAACTTACGTGGGAGGATCTTCAGACTCGAGCTCCGCCAGCAGTTCCGGTGGCAGCTCCAGCAGCTTGTAGCCCACGCCGTCGGGAGCATGCGTGAGGAGCACGCCAGCGTCAGTCTGCGTCGACATGGCGCCGGGTCTTGGGAAACAGCAGCAGCGTCCCTGACCGAGCCAGAATGTACGAGTATCCCCCCGGAGAGCACTTGGTCATCCAGGACCTCGATATGGCCTCGACGTCTGAGATGAGATTGGCAAAATGGCCTTCGCCAATTGGTACTAAAAACAGCACATTCCGACTCCCGACTCCGGAGTGAACCGCAAGTGCCAGGGAGGGGCTTCCGGCAAGCCGCGCTAGGCGTCAGGATGTTTACTTGTTAGCGGGGGAGCAGCCAATGGGAGGGCGAGCGCACGCGTATCGCGTTCTGGTGCGAGCCATCCCAGGCTGTTCTTTGGCAGGAAATTCTCCGATCTGGGATCCCATCGGGGCGGCGAGGCACGGCGAGGCCCCTAGATTTCCGGAAAATCATATGGGATCCTGGTCACTCTTGCCAATATCATTGCAGATATTCATCGTCCTGGCGAGACCAGATGACTGTCGCACATTTCGCAAGCCTCACTCTTCGTTGTACATATTGATGGACGCCAGATTGGAACATCTCTAACTTGAGACTGTTCTGCCTACTAGTTGGATGCTTTGGCTTGCCCCCTTGCGCTGCAGATCAGATTGCCTGCAGGAGCCGCCGCATTAAAGTAAACAATAACCTAACTTTACCTCCCTGTCATCCCGCCCATGAGGTGCCCTGCTACCTAGAAGACGCGACGAGCAGGGCTTCCCGTCGGCACTCGAGGCCTGTTTACTTGAGATAGTGCTGAGTCCGTGCGACGCAACACGCAGTCGGCAACTGACTGCAGTACCTACCTAGCTGGTCTGGCTGGTAGAGTTGGTCTGTTCCGCTATCGTCGTGGACGGCTAGACGTGAGCCTTGTCGTGTATCGCTTCCACTTCCAATCATTTTCCCCCTTCACTCGTTACTCCCAGTTACCAAGCTCAGCCTGCGCGACCGAGCTCTCTCGGCTCAGGCTGTTCAACAACTTCAGCCCAAACAACCTGGCCAGCCAGCATGATCGCGACCTACTGAAGCCGTCATGGTTCGCGTCACTGAGGAGCTGGCTCTTTCGCCAGAGCATGTCACTCTTTACCACACCACCGACCCTCTACTTGGGCACCTCCCCGTCTTGATACTTCACGGGCCCTCGACCACGGCAAACTACACTTTCAACAGCTCCCGGGTCCAGTTGCACATATACAGTCCCGCCGGTTTTCAGTCCTTTCCACGAGTTACCATCTCGCCCAACTCGCCCTTTTACAATGTCGTCAACCATCTGCCGCGGGAGTTCCAGGGTGACGAGATCACGCGCGCCTTAGCCTTTGGACTGTTCAAGTACTTCCACGAGCTACCCGAGACGGTCAAGGCCCATCTCAGACATCAGTACCCTACCACGAGAGGTCGGCGGCCCGGTTCCGCACCGACTCTGTTCGGCGAGCAGCATGCGGCCGAACTTGCGAAGAACATGGCCAGATCGGAGGTGTCGGCAGAGATTGTACAAAAGCTGCAGATGGCTCTGCAGACGCAGCATATCAGCAATGTCGACATCGACCTAGTGCTGCCTCCCGGCTCCATCACCCCGCTGCAATTCGAGGATCTCGACGTGCTCGAAGACGAAGACGACATTATGGACCCTAGCTTGCGACAATACGGAGTGTACACTCCCCTGGTGAAGCTATTCGGGGAGGCCATGTTCTTGCCCACCTCGCGTTTGCGCCGAGCCCCCTCGAAGCCGACCGCGTTGAACAGACAAAAGTCATTCACCAAGGACCAGAAGTTGGAATTACGTCGCAAGCTGGCCGAGTTGGTAGATACGGAGGAGCGCTATGTAATGAAGATGAACGAGCTAGTTCAGCATATCGCAGACGACTACCGACAGAAAGCCAAAACGCGAGCCGCAAACAGCTTCAGCCCGTCCATGGAAGACGTCGAGAAGCTGTTCCCAAGATCGTCCGAAAAGATCCTCGAAGTCAACACGGCTTTCATGCAGGAACTGCGCAAGATTATGGATGAGACCGAGGAGGACGCTATGAAGGATATGGACACTACGATGCCGTCTGCCCGGATAGCAGGTCCGACCAGCGTCCCCGGAAAGCCCAAAGACCCTAGTGGCACCTTTGCCGTGGCCAAAGTCATGTTGGAATGGTTTCCGCAGTTCACCGAGTGCTACCAAGATTACATACGGGCCAGCCAGAACTTCCCACAGCTGATTACCTCCTTTATCGATCAGCAATCAAGTTTCTCTCAGCGTGTGGCCGTCACTGGAGAGCAACATCTTCGATCGACCGTCATTGAGCCTGTTCAGCGTCTTCCGCGGTACAGCCTGGTCATTGACCAGATCGTCAGCTGCTTGCCAATAACGCATCCCGCTCTGCAGCCAATGCTGAAAGCTAGGGATATCATCGCCAACATCTGCTCCATGGACGATCCTCTCGCCGACAAACCCCATGTCAGCACGCGATTGCGCAACATGATAGAAAGCTGGCCCAGTGATTTGGAGCCCAAGGGACGTTTCATTTTAGCTACCGACTTTTCTGAGCTTCCAGCACCATATGAGACAGATGCTCCCCTTGACATCAACACCGACGACCGATCAGGCATATTCTTGCTGTTCTCCGACTGCATGGTGATTGTCAAGAAGATTTATGGTTACAATATGACAGCCCGCGACCTTCTACGAGAGATTGATAAGCCGTCAGCAGCTGGACTTTTGGCATCCATGACAAATGCAGCCGGAGGTCAAGGGACGTACGAACTTGGATTTGCCGGTTGGCACGACCTGGCAAACATCAGGTTCACCGAGTCGGCCGATGGCCGTATGGTATGGATGACATCGTCAAAGGAAATGTCCGGAGCTCACGCCGGAGAATACGTCACCAGCACTGGAATCACCTCGCGGTGTTTTGTCCTACAAGAAGCATATGAGGGCAAGGCTGCGAAGTGGAGTGAGGACATCGCAAAAGCTCGCGTAGAGGGTCGCTTTGCAGAAACTGAGAGAGAAGATCCGCAATGGTCTCTGCGATCCGTGCGAATGCCTGATACTGGCCTTGGGCTTTACGCCGCTGTTTTTCAAGAAGGCCTTGACCAGCTAGTCGAGGGCCGTAAAGAGCCTGCGCCGATTCGTATCGTGGTCGATCACGAAAAGGGCACGAAGGGCTCTCCAGTTGGGCATTATGGCGTGGAAATCGTCTCCGACGTTAAATCCAGCGACATGAAGAAGATCGTGTTGGTCACTGCAGGTCTAACGGGCAAGAAGTCTACTGACGAGGTTGACCTAGAAGACTTCTTGCCCACCCTGGTTAGAAGGAGTGAGTCTGTGTTGGATGCATTTGGCATAATTGCGTAAACTAACATTTCTCTAGTTATCCAGTTGTTGAGCACTCAATTCAACGTCTCTAATCCTCACGTCACCACTGCTCTGGTATCTTTTCACACGAAGATACTGCGGGGACTGAACCTTTCCCATCGTATCGAGAAGTCCAGGTCTTTCTTGGCGAGTTCGCCAGTCAAGATGCTCACAAGCTTCTTGGGCGGTGGCAGCGTCAATGCTGACACTTTCAACTCTACCAAACAGCAGTCGCAGCAGCAGCAGCGTCCACCCGTTTCTGGGCTCTTTCCTTCGCCTCTCAGCAGGTCGAACAGCTCCATCAAAGACTCGGCTTCTTTGTATGGGTCAGCAAGGAGCCGAGACGGCATTAAAGTAGGAGGGGACGATGACCGACCGGAAAATCCTCTTGTTCGCCTCGAGCAAACCTTCACGGGCTATGTGGCTAGTCTCCACGCTCGTAAAGGCAACTTTATTGGCCACACGATACTCAATCGCGCAGCTGTTGACGAGCTGTCTGTCAACGATCTATACAACAAGCTCATCGAGAGTCCATTCGACATTGACACCTCCCCAGAGATCAATGCAGACGTGGTGTTTGTTGCTTTTGAGAAGTTTGTGAGGATTGCCTGGCGCGAGCAGATGGGTGCAATTATGACCCTGAAGTCGCTAGATGCACTTCAGGAACGTGCATCAAAAAGAGTACCAGGTGATTTCGCAGACTTCGTACGCTTTCTCTTTGCAGATATGGCGCCCCAGAATCGCCGAGCGTTTACCGCCTTGATCAAGCTTTTGGCTGAACTGCTGGATGGCTGCGGTAATGATGGCGACAGAGGTGCATTGACACTGGCTTTTGCAGAACTCCTAGTCGATGATGGCTCCGCGCATAATTACATCAACCTCTTGGATAGACTAGTCGAAGATTGCGACAGGATATTCGACAGTGGGCCAGGGGAGTTTGATCCGGGCCCTGCGCCTGCCGGATCTGCATACGAGTCTCTGAACTCCACCACTCGCAGTATGAAGTCGCACACCGGTTCCCTAACTTCCAACACTTCATCGCTTAGAAGGAAACTAGGCTTCGACAATTTGTTGCGTCAGAACAGCAAGAACGAGGACCGTCCGTCTGTCTGGCGGACCCTCAGCAAGCATAGCAGGAATCCTGTCACGGGTGAGAGCTCGAGCTTGTCCAAGGCATCTGTTGGCAGAGCAAGGTCTATAGATTCGGGCACCGGACCTCATAAGCTGCTGAAACGGCCTGGTTCGCGTGATAGACCTCCGATAGCCGGCGCCTTTGACGACTCGTTTGCACGCCCTACTAGCTCGCATCGCCTGGAAACTATCGGAGAGCCAGATGGAGAGGATGCAACTGCAAAGACCCCTAGGAGGAAGCGGCGCAGCTCCTTGTCGGATCTGAAGAGTCTCATGGCAGCGACAAGTCTGCATGACGATGAAGAACCTTTACAGCCTTTGTCTCACATGAAAGAGACATCACAGAAGTTCAACTCGGGTCCAAGACTTCCATCACCTTCCAGGATACCGATTAGCCCACCCTCTCCCAGCCGTAGCGGCCGACAGAAAGAAAACATTTCTTTTGTCGACCCTTTTCAAGGCACGCCGATTGTATCTTCACCACAAACACCCAGGTCGCCCTTGAAGGGGCATAGCAAGGGTCTCTCAACGTCTAGCATCCCAACTCTGCGAGCGTTCAGAAGTGCACCGCCTACTACTGATTCGCCTGCACGACCAACAACACCCGCCCGGCCCACGACGAGCGCTGGCAAGAACCACACGGGCAGACTACGACTGCAATCACCCCAAAAGCTCCGCGAGCGTTTACAGACGGAGAAGCAAGCTGCCGAAGAGGTTGATGCCAGCTTGCAGTCTGAGCTCTCCAAGATAGCAGCTGACATGGCTCGTATGAACTCTTCATTGCCACGGTCAAACACCGTAGATCTCAGGAAGTTGGCTTCAAATGTTTCTGCCCTCGAATCGCGCATACCGACTTTGATTCAAGATCTCACCAGCCGCCATGAAGCATTGCAGCGGGATATGGAGAACACCCTGAAAGCTACAGAGGCGAAGGTCAAGGCCATCGACCAGTTGTACAAGGAAAGCACGGCCGAGAACGAGCTTCTCTATGAGAAGTTCAATAGCGAACTTACCAAGATCGTGCGTGCCTTGAAGGGCAAGAGTGCCGAAAAGGAGGACCTGATGACAAAGGTCAAGGAGTCCAGTGAGGAAACAGCAAGAGTTAAGAAGGAGAACGCGCGGCTGAAGCGTGAAATGGCTAGTTTGAGAGCTATGGTCAAGGGCGCCGCAGCTGATGCTGCTTAGAGAGTTGCCTGGTTGCTTGTAGGGTTTGTGAAAAGGCTGGCGTTCTGGTTGCTCAAGAGGCTTGGTGGTTTGTGACGAGATGCTTCTATAGCCCCGGTGTTGGAATGGTTGTATATCTAATGTGGCGAGATTCCCACTCGGCGGATACTGGACTGGACATAGGTTTTCAGGAGTGTCCCCAAAGTACCCACCAGTGTATAGCATCACAGGGGTGAGACGAATCCTCGTCGGATTGTACGAATGGATGCCGACGCAAGGGTAATGAATGAACATACTGTCCCAGATCGGGCTTTGACCGTTGAATGTAGCATCTTAGTGTAAGAGAATTATGTCACTTGGCAGTTACCCTGCCATTCCCAGTGAAGAATTATCAAACTCAAAGATTAACAGTGCACTTTACGGACTACAATTATATTTGCGCAGCATAATTGTGGGTATATGTTGATCAGCATTGTCTAGAGAGTAACCCGTATAGGATCATCTTGCTTCACATCACGCATACAGCACAGCTCACAAGTTACAGAGGGATTTAATATTTCACACTGTAAATACAACGTGACGCCGGCATGGAAGTTGTGCACCACGATTATTCCCTAACGAGTGGCGGTAGTTCCTATCTTGCCCCTATCGCTCGTCCCTTTATTTCTTCTGCACGCAAAAGTCTTAGTCACACCGTAATATACTGCATCAGGCCAGGCCAGACGTAGGGGAACTTACAGGGCAGTTGGTGCAAGCACACGAAGACTCGCACTTGCAGGTGCCGGAGTTCTGGCACGCGCAGGTACCCGAGGTGCTGCAGCTGCAGGCCATTGCGGACTATAAATTCGGTTGATGACACTTTTGAGTCTTTGATTCGTTGAGAAGGCTTGGGATACTGCTTTGGGCAGGGTTTGATTGGATGATGATGGCGAAAAGGTAAGTTGCCCATCAAGGTGTCGTGGAGTGGCAGGCGGGCTTATATACGTATTGGGGGTGCCCGTGTACAGGCACCATCCATAGCTCAGAGCTTGCCAACGTTTTGACCCTTCGAAAACACCTGATTTTCCAAAATGGGGTTTAGTGAGAAAAGTCGATGACGATGAGTCTGGTGGCATGCTGTCAGACAAACGTCAGTGGCCCTCCTGGCACTGCCGGGTGAGGGGAGAGGGTGGAGAACCCGCGCGGCGTTAAGCTTCAGCATGTGCTTCCGACTATAAACATTTAGAGTTGGTGACTTCCGAAGGTACGACGTTTGGACTTAACTGAAATGGGTCCGTCAACCTCAAATCCACAGTGCCTCCGGGATTACTACTGGTCCCTTGTAGCTGTCTGGCTATCGTTGAGCACAAGCGACATATCATTATGCCGGCAATAAACACGGAAGGCTATATCGTCTAATTGAGTTCACTTTCGGCTTGGGCAGGTACATGTAGATCCAAACTCTCGGGTTTCTTGAAAATTTACAGAAAATGCACAAAGGCAGATCCCTTTCGCGACACGACCCGATCGCCCTGATAGGAAGATGGGACGCATGACGATGTGGCTCTTGCATTATTCGCTGCGCAGGGTGAAAAATAAACAAAATTTAAATAGCACAGGTATCTACTGAGTTAATTACGATGAGCAACTCCTGCGCCTGAAATCTTTCGACACGTTCACCACACTGTGAAGAGTGTGCTCAGCTTGCTCTTCCTAACCTCGAAAGGGAGTGCATCTAGCTCTTCGTATATGACCCTCATTGCCTTCTCAGACTCTTCAGTGTGATTCGCTGAAACTGTGGCTCTGGCTTCCCTGAACTTCGCCTGAAGTTGATGAAACTGCTTGGCTTCCTTCTCCTGTTCGCCTCTGATGCGACACCTCCGGCACTCATTCCCGACCTGGCCCCCTTGAATTATCGTCTTGGGCACGCTAAAGATTCGCTGAGTGTCAAGGATCAGCGGATCCAACTTGTGTCCGCAGCCACGGTGTCTGACCGACATCTGACAGCTGGGCTCGGGACAGATATCGTACTCTCGCAGCCACAGGAGAAGGCATTCGGCACCGAAGCAATGCCCACATGGTAGAATCGCCGGCTGGGTGTCCTTGATCACGGGCCAAGGTGTAGCAAGTTCCAATGTCGAATGGTCACAGAGCTGGCAGATCTGGTTGTCGACCCCCTCGACTGCGAAAGTAACCAGGGGGGACGGGACGAAGTTCGTCCGCCTCGCTGAATTTCTAGTATTCCTTGCGGCTGGGCTGTGATGTGCTCGTGTGAGATCTTCGATGATGTTGTTCGACGGCCTTGTCTGTTGCTCGAGCTTCTGGAGAGTGTGGTAGTTCCACACAGGAGGTTCGACGACAGCACTATTCACAGGGGTAGAAATGTCAGCGGCGGCTGTTGATGTGCCATGGCCAGCCTCTGAGTATAGGGAGGGTTCTACTGAGGCAGGTTCCGTGGGACGCTCCATCTGGGTCTCCTGGGTCAAGAAGTTGATGTAGACGAGCTCTCTACTTGGACCGAATTCTCTCTGCATCCAACCCCAAGGTAGGTCTGGCGACTCATGCCGCCGAAACGCCGGCTCCGGTGATACACTCTCGATATTTGTTTCCTGGCCGGGAGAGCCTGCGCTGTAAGGCGCAAAGCCATCTTCTCTCAGGACTTCTCTCGGGACTTGCCTCTGAGTCGTATCAGGGTACATTCTGGCATGCCTATCCTCGTTTTTCGGAGGTAGCGGAAAGCTTGCCAATCCAGCTGGTTTTCGGGGCAGTTCCTGTATCCCTTGGGGGGCTTCTACGGGTGTGGTGGAGTCAGGAGGGGGCCTTATTGGTGTTTCAACTTGAGGGTCCAATGGGTGTTGAGTGTAAGTGTTAGGGCTATAACCGTGGTTCTCTTGATACATTCGGTCTCCGGGCGGAAAGCCTCCCACAAAGCCTTGTGTATGAAATGGAGTATGGTATGGAGAGAATGGAGCCGGTGTTGTTGGTATCCTATCATAAGGACTGACAGGAGTCTTAACGGGCGAGCTCGAATCATAACCGCTCACAGGCGAAGGACCTGGGCCTGGGCTTGGATCTGTTCGCCATGCGGACGACTTGTCATTGCTGGTTTTGTGTTGGCCGGTGCGGTGCGTATGAGGTTGGAACACTTCAGCTGTCGGTGAGTACGGACGTGAGTTCTTGCGAGGTTGAAATACCTCTGCTGTTGGTGAATACGGATGCGACTTCTTACGAGGGTGGAACACTTCTGCTGTGGGAGAATAGGCACTCGAGCTCTCAGGCACCGCAGCAGAGATAGAAGCACCTGTGTCTACGAAGCCGGGTCGGGGTACTTGAGAGGTTTCAATTGCTGAATCGTTTGACTTCACTTCACTTCCCCGACCGGTGTTCTCGCCTGTTTCGAGCCCCAGACTTGATTCTACTTGATCAGCTTGACGTGTTTCTAAGTCTCTGGTGCTCTTGTCCTCGGACTCTGGCTTGACTTTGGTGGCATCCCCTGGAACCACGCTTCTGGGTGATGCTAAATATCCTTCTGTGGGTTGTGGTGCATGGCTGTTGGATTTTTCCTCATATTCTGCATGTTCTGGAGCTTGTTTGCCGAGGTCTGTTGATTGAGAATGCCTCCTGCCATGACCTCTCTTTCCCCTTTTCCTCTTCTTCTTTGTCGAGTTTGGTCCAATACCAGGAGACGCTGTGGGACTGCTCTCAGACTGCGTGCCATGCTGATCGCCTGATGGTATATTTAGCTTAGTACTCTTGAAGAAAGTACCGGAATCCCCGGTTTTGCTTTTCGACTCATTTTCTCTCCCCTTGTGAGGTGTATATGACTTGGACTTAGACACTTGTTCAGTCGATTTGGTTTTGACGGTGTTCGGGGATGGGGATGCGGGGGCCGTAGATCCAGTTGAATTTACTGTGTCCGAAGAACCTCGCCTGACCTCTTTGTTTCGAGTTGGATCTGATGGACTAGGAGCTGGGGATGGAGCTGAAGTGCTGGCTACTACTGATGCGTAGCTGCCAGAACGTTGTCTTGTCTTTCTATCGTGGGGTCTCATTTCGTTATCCGCATGTGATTTTGACTCGCTTGCTTTGGAAGAACTGACGGAACCCGTTCCATTTCCCACAAAGGCACCTTCTACCTCCTGTGATTGCTGCGTTGAAGGCGGCTGGTAGTCGTCATGTGTACTGGGATTCCTGCTGCTCGAGCCTTGCCGTGTGTTTTTGCTCCGAGAATTGGTCAGAGCTTGAGCGAAACTCAGCGGAATAGCGTGCTCAGAATCTCCAGATTTTGCAGGTCCAACAGTTTTCCTTGTTTTATCTTGACGCTCGGTGTTATCGTTCGCTATTTTTACAACTGGCTGTGGCTGTGATGCTTGACTAGCGAGTGGTTTGTGGTTGCCAGCCACTACCGATGCGTAGCTGCTCCGCCGTTCAATCCCAGGTTTGACTGCATCTTCTACTGGTGGCTTCGATTCAGTTACTGTTGAAGCAGGTGCCTGATTATGAATGTTTGCCGGGGTTTGGTTGTTGCTCGATTCTCCGGCATTCCCCAGCTGCGAAAATGCCGACTCAGATTCCTCAACTTCAACCCGAGCTTCAGCTGCTTTCTTCTTAGTCCTCCTGGATCTGTTTCGCGTCATGGCGAAACCATTCGTCGCCTTTGGACTTCAGCTGTCACGTTCAAGATGATTGTTACTTCGTAAGTCAAAGAGGGCCATTGCAAATGCTGGGGTCTGAAGCCTAAGCGTGGGGACAAAGATATAAGTGATAATTCAAGAGCAACAAAAGCTCATTTTGCCGATCTATCTCTCCGAAATCCTAGTGGACAAAAGCATGCATGTTTCATTGTGTGTAGCCAGTCGCTGACGGAATCAGACATGGTGACAAAGGATTCTTTGAGAGAACCCGACGCAAGATGTCAAGTGGCACGCGCGCTGTAAATACAGATGACCCAAACTATTTACCCATTCGATATGCAGTATAAACCACGCTCTCAATAGTAGTTACCGAATTGAGGAGCCGAATGATAGGCACCAAGTGCTAGAAATCATGTCGCTTTAGACAATGAATTGGTCCTCATTGTGGAAGAATCTTAGGATTGCCGCAGCGACCGCAGTGCCATCATGCTCAAGGTGCGCCGTCTCCTTTGCCCGGTCGGCATGATCCATGTCTTGGATGCTACCGCTTTCCACCCTCATCTGAATCTGACGATGTACCATGGCTTCGTCAAATCCTAGGTGTGCCTGCGTTGTAAAGATCCGATCTGCGATGAACACACCCTGAATGGGCGTATGGTCGCTGGAACCCCAGACATGGACTTTTGTGCCAGGTGGCATAAGACCGCCAGATGTTTCGGACGATGGTGGAGAGACGACTTGGTCCTGATGCATCTGATGGAGGTATATCCTATCTTGGTCCGTGGAGAACAGCTGTTTGCCGATGGGCGTGAGGTCAATTGGGCTATGAGCTAATTCCCAAAGGCCAGAAGGTTCCGGCTTGATCTCAGAGCCCAAAAGTCGGCAGAGCAGTTGGTGGCCGAAACAGATACCACTCAACTTGCAATCAGGGCGCTGCGTGTACAACGCTACCGGATATTAGTCTTCATTGTGGTATTGGAAGCGGTGTTACGAACCTCGCAGCAGTTTCAGCAGGTCGAGTATCCAATCATTATCACCGTGAGCATCAAAAACGCTCCCAGTGATCAGTACACTATGAACGCCCTCAAACTCTTCGAATGTTGGTACCTTGCCTCCTCTTTCAGTTACCACGAATCTGTTGACGGTCTCAATGCCCAAAGGCGGATCGTGTTCTCTTCCAGCTTTTGAGAAGTGGTCATGTACAATCTGGGCAAACGTCCCTCGCTCTGCTACAGTGTCAGGATGCGGCTCATCTGTCTCCAGAACCATCATCCGGATGGTCGAGACCTCATCAGCTTTTGAGCCCATTGTAAGATTTGCAATATTGGAAACTTGTGTGAGGGAGTGGGCTGTAGGGTGTAGTGGTACTGTAATTGATAGCGTATATGATAGTAGCAAATGTGAGAGAAGTAGCCTTCGCATGGCTCCCGGACTACTGGATTTTCATCGTGACGCCATCCTCTGTTTCCGGTCCGTTGGCTCTACGAAGACCGGAAGCCGGCACCGCGCCAAGTGCCGGGAGGCCCGAGAAAACCATCGCACCTGGCCTCTGCTGCCGTGGCGATCATAAAGCAGGACACTAATCGACATAAGTCGGCTGCTGAACCTGCTAGCACCATTGGCATTGGGCGTTCGAATAACAGACGAGCGTTTGAGTTTGTCTTACGGCATGCCAAGCCGGAGTTGGCCAACCTCGACATCATCGAGACTTTCCCGGTCTTAAATAAACCGGGTAACTCCATACGCCCCGGCCTGCAGACCAGAAAAGCTCAGAATCAACTATATACACTCTTGAACGGATCCGGGCCCTCGAGCAGTCAGGCAAAAGGTGTACTACCAGATACCAGGGTAGCCGTGAGGAAATAATAGCGGAGAAGAAAAAGCAAAGTACGAAATGGCCCGTCTGCGTAGTTTTGCAGGCTCATGCTACGTGCGTGCACAGCAGTTTCATGACGAGTGATGGTAACGTAGTGCTGGGCATGGAAGAAGCGGTGCACGGTGTATGGAGCAGGCGAGTATGGACTTGGCTCACCGTGCTACAAACCGTGGGTATGAATATAGTGGAACTCAGCGCTCAATCAATTTTGGCTCAGGTACCCCACACCTGCCTTGTCCAGTAGGCAGCTTTGTCTCGCTGCGTTTAGGCTGGGGCTGGGGCATTTGCAGTGGGAATTTTTGAGGACCCAGCCTTTCAGCCTTGTGGCCGGGATACCAAACTGGAGCAACAGACGATTGCACCAGCGGCCACGACAACGACGACAACAACGACGACAGAACGACCTAGGCAGACGAGCCCCCAGTCCAACCCAGTCCCGCCCCCTTGGAAGCCGTCAACGAGGTAAGAGCAGACCGCGACGAGCCCCCGTCAAGATGAGGCTCACGGTCGAGCTCCTCCAGAACTCGCCCTCATGGCTCAACGCGCTGAAGGAGCGCGAGCTCGACCTCCGAGGTACGTTTGGGAAAGAGCAGATACTACACTTTGGAGCCAGAGCAGAGTTGATAGCGATCTCTTCGCACCGCAACAGGTCACCGAATCCCCGCAATTGAGAACCTGGGCGTTGCTGGTGTGAGTATCTCCTCGTCCCGCCCGCGCAGTCGCATGCACATGCGCGTGGCACTGCACCATGGTCATGTCCCGCTAACCTGCCCTATTTTTTTCACGAAAACAGCCCCAAGATGCCATAGATCTCGTCGACAACGATATTCAGGTCCTGGGAAACTTCCCCCTGAGCCCTCGGATACGCACCCTTCTGCTCGCGCGCAACCGCGTCAGCTCGATACAGCCCACGCTGGTCAACTCGATCCCCATGTTGACGAACCTGCAACTCGAGTCGAACGACCTCAAGGAGCTAGCAGACCTAGACCCTCTGGGCTCCTTCTCGAGGTTGACGCACCTCGTGTTGAAGGATAACCCTGTCGCAAAGAAAGACGTACGTTATGATACCTTGATCTCCGATGAGGCGATGCCATGCTGACAACCTGGCAGCACTACCGATATTGGGTCCTATGGCGCTGCCCGGCGGTGCGCTTCCTTGACTACGAGAAGGTCAAGCAGGCGGAGCGGGAACGTGCGAAGGAGCTGTTCGGAACTGCAGAGAAGCCGACAGATCTGGCGTCCACCATCATGGGAATCAAGTCCTCCACCTTCAACGTTTCCACGTCCAACGGATCGACGGGTCTCTCTTCTAGGATGTCGAGGATCAAGCTCACGGACAAGGAGAAGAAGCGGCTGCAGGACATGATCAGGAATGCTACGAGTTTGGATGAGATCACGAGGCTGGAGACCATGCTCAAGGAGGGTCGCATGCCCGCCGGTATTCACGTTGGCGATGAGATGGAGGAATAGATGGTGACCATTCGGACTAAAACTTTCTCTGAGCGGCGGAGATATTGAAACGGCGTTTCGTGCACATATAGATGCAAAGTGCGCGCGGATGGAAAATGAAGATCACATGATATACCCACGAAAAGGTGGCTGTCACTAGCTGTGACGAATGATTGTACTCGTCAATCCATGATGCAAGTGATTCGTTGACTGCTAGAACATGGCTCAGAATGCTTTCTCCTAAACTCCTCGTGACACAAAGACAAAGCTTTTGTAACCCAAGTGACGGCTTCTAATCTGCCATCTCCACATCGCCATCGCCCCTCGCCTGCTGCATCTCCATCTGGAGCTGATCATTGGGGTCGGCAGGCCCGTCGTCCTCGCTCTGCATCCGTGCGACGCGGTGGCCTCCCAACATGCTCCCGATGTCGACGTTGCCGTTCAGGCTCGAGCGGCTGGCGCTGGCCTTGTGCTTCTTGCCGTTGGGCACGGGCGCCGGCGGTTCCTCACTGACGACGTCGGTCTTGAGCTCGCCACGCAGGCTGGCGCGCGTGGCCGCGGCCGCGGCCTTGACGTCCTTGAACTTGGCGGTCTTGGGCACAAGGTCTTCGAGGAATTCGAGGTTGTCGTGATGGTGCACCGCGGTTGCTGGGTTTGGGGTGAGCAGACGGTTCGCGTGATAGACGCCAGGGGATCAACCTACCGATGTCCTTATACTGAATATTCCTCCGGGGTTTACGTTCGGCCTTTGCTGCGTCTAGGGCCTTTGATGCTAGATGTTGTATGAACAGCTCCTGTGTGCGGGCATTCCTGTGAGTAAGGGCTGGCGGCAAGAGTACCGAGTAGATAAAATACTCACTGTTGCGACTGTGATGGCAAAGGCCGCGTTATTAGAGCAGATGTTGATATCCTGATCCTGTGCAATGATCTTCTTGACTCTTGATACTGGAGATTGCGTTAGTATCGCGCCAGACCTGAAAGCCTCTGAGGGCCACTTACATGGCAACAGAGTGGCGCCCGTAACATCCTTTCGGGGAGGGATGGCTGTGGTGTTGTAAGGCATTGTGTATGTCGGTGCCCTCCTGAGGTTTATGATGATGGTCGGTCCAGAAGCAGAGGACGGGGCTCGGCCATACAGAGTCCAAGTAGAGTGGGATGTCGAAATGGATACTGCAGGTGATGTGCTGTCCAGCAGTATTAGCACGATTCTAAGAAATGCCAGCCTTCTTGAATCCCAATTTCATGTCAATTCTTGACAAACATTTCACGTGAGAGAATGAAGTGATCTCATGTACCTCTCTCTTACTCTGATCAACCTGGGCCAGAACATCAAGTGAGCTCATTATGAGATGCGCCACAGCAGGCCTGATCACAAGTTCTCAAAGATGGCCAGGGGATGGCGCAAAGCATGGAGTGCGTGAAGAGGGTTTGCTTACATTTCCTGTTTTGGACTGTTTTTTCGAATTCGAGATGTGAAGAGGCGTGATGACGGCGACCGAGGCTCTATCCAGGACTGCGTGCCAAGGTTACTTCTCATGAACAAACGCGTACTGAATTTGAGAGACGCGATCCGCCACAAAGTGGTTTGAGTGGTTGCATGACTTGGGGGGAAAGGGGCACGTGCACGGCTTTGCATGCAACACTGGAGCGGTTTGAGGTCCACTAAAGATGACCCCCTGGCCAGTCCTCTAGGGGGGCCGACAGCGTCTGGGCCAATGATTTACTTACGTAGCTCAGCTCCAGCCTTCTGTACGGTACACCAGAGCTGGGGGGAGCTGGTGGCCCATTACAGAGAGGTGTCTAATCAGCATAACCTAAGTAACCGGCGACACGAGCAAACTACCTTCTTCCCAGCGCGACCAGGCAATCGAGGAGCTGTCTGCTGTTGCTATCATGGTCGCGGACTCAATGCGATGACTTCCAGAACAACATCATTCACCCTCTCCCGACCGCAACCGAGCCGACGGCCGAGTCTAAGTTCGAGGTTATCCTTCGCCGTTTCCACCGCCGAGCGCGGCGAGGGCGAGGGCCGCGATGCACCGGCCGCCCAGCAGATCGAGGAGGAGATCGCTGAGATCAAGAGATATGAGGTTGGTCCCGACCCTGTCAGATTCAGGCATACTGTACCTCTGTATGACTAATGCCAAGCATCGCAGGACTTCACAACCATAGGTATGCGCCTGCGACCACGCGCCACGTCCCCGTCCAATGCTTACAATGCCTCACAGACTGGGTCCAAGATGCCGCCAGAGAACAGATGCGGCGCAAGGCCCGCCGGAGGAGGACGGCCGGTCTCTTCGACAACGGCAAGGTGACATGGCGGTACAAGCTATGGGAATCCTACGATGCCGCCCAGGGATGGATCGTCGTGACGCTTGTCGGCGCTGCTATCGGGCTGATCGCATCGTTCCTCAACATCATCACCGAGTGGCTGTCCGACATCAAGCTGGGCTACTGCACGACTGCCTTCTACCTGAACGAGAATTTCTGCTGCTGGGGCGAGGACAACGGATGCGACGACTGGCACAGGTGGACCAGTTTCGAGCCTCTCAACTATTTCCTGTATATCATCTTTGCCACGACCTTCGCCTTCACTGCCGCGATACTCGTCAGGTCCTACGCGCCGTATGCGGCCGGCTCGGGTATATCCGAGATCAAATGCATTATCGCAGGGTTCGTCATGAAGGGGTTCTTGGGATTCTGGACGTTGCTCATCAAGTCTATCGCCCTGCCGCTTGCTATCGCATCCGGTCTGTCGGTTGGAAAAGAGGGCCCCAGCGTCCATTATGCGGTCTGCACCGGCAACGTCATTTCCAGGATGTTCGAAAAATACAAGTACAACGCTTCCAAGACCCGAGAGATCCTAAGCGCTTGCGCTGCCGCGGGCGTGGGTGTGGCTTTTGGTAGTCCCATAGGAGGTGTGCTGTTCTCGCTCGAGGAGATGTCGAGCTATTTTCCCTTGAAGACTATGTGGCGAAGTTATTTTTGCGCCTTGGTGGCAACCGCAGTTCTCGCCGCTATGAATCCGTTTCGGACCGGGCAGTTGGTCATGTTCCAGGTTAAGTACGATCGATCATGGCATTTCTTCGAGGTCGTTTTCTACATCATCCTCGGAATCTTTGGCGGCCTTTACGGTGCTTTCGTTATGAAGTGGAACCTGCGGGCTCAGGCCTTTCGCAAGAAGTACCTGACCAAGTACGCAGTGCTCGAAGCCACACTGCTGGCCGCGGGGACAGCTATTATTTGCTATCCTAATGTGTTCCTTCGGATTGACATGACAGAGAGCATGGAGATCTTGTTCTTGGAATGCGAAGGGGCAGAGGACTATCAGGGGCTATGCGACGCCGACAAGCGCTGGAGCAATATCCTCTCTTTGACCCTGGCGACAATTATCAGGATATTCCTGGTCATCATCTCATACGGTTGCAAGGTTCCTGCGGGTATTTTCGTGCCATCAATGGCGATCGGGGCATCGTTCGGACGAACTATCGGCATCATCGTCCAGAGTCTGTACGATTCTTTTCCCAACAGTGCCTTCTTTGCCGCTTGCAAACCAGATGAGCCTTGCATTACCCCTGGGACATATGCATTCTTGGGTGCTGCAGCTGCTCTGAGCGGAATCATGCACATTACCGTCTCTGTGGTGGTTATCATGTTTGAACTTACCGGCGCTTTGACTTATATTCTCCCTACCATGATTGTGGTTGGCGTTACCAAAGCGGTGTCGGAGCTGTTTGGAAAGGGTGGCATCGCAGATCGAATGATCTGGTTCAGCGGTTTCCCCTTTCTTGATAATAAGGAGGAGCACAACTTTGGTGTACCCGTCCAGGCTGTTATGAAGACGGACGTCGTAGCCATTCCAGCCAATGGCATGATGCTTCAGTCTGTCGAAGATCTCCTGAGCCAGCCCAAATACCAAGGCTTCCCTATAGTGGAAGACCTGGAGTCGAAGATTCTTCTTGGCTATATAGGTCGAACCGAACTCCGCTACGCAATCGACCGACTGCGCCGTGAGCGTCAAATCACCATCAACCCCGAAGCGAAATGCGCTTTCTCGCCCCCTGCAACGGCGCTCAGCAGTATCACACCAATTACGCCCACAGTTACTGTCAACAACGCCGACTTCGGTATGTCGGCTGCCTCTATCGACTTCAGCCGCTACGTGGATGCGACCCCTGTCACTGTACACCCGCGGCTCCCATTGGAGACGGTCATGGAACTATTCCGGAAGATCGGACCTCGTGTCATCTTGATCGAACACCACGGTCGCCTGACAGGCCTAGTCACAGTCAAGGATTGCCTCAAATACCAATTCCAGGCCGAGGCGTCCGAAAACCCCCGAGAGGACCATGACATTCAGAGAGGACACGAGAGGCTCTGGGGATGGATTCGGACCGCGGCCGGCTGGGTCTCGGACAAGGTCGCAAGTGTCAGTGGTGGCAGGATACAGCTGGGAAACGGACCCCCACCGCCGCCGAGAGGGGCGGGTGCCATCATGGATGGAGACGAGGATCTAGCGGATCTAGCGGATGATGAGGGTCTAGAGCTGGAGAATAGATAAGTATATAGATCGAACCGATCAATTCGGGACTTGGTTTATGCAGATACTTAATTAAGATCCTCGACAAATGTATGTGCTACATCATTTCGGGGAACTGGTTGCCTCGTAGCCTGACATGCTTGCTCTCTTCAACGTTTCCACGTGGGTTAAAATTGCAGTGCAACTATTCCAACGTTGCACTGCAGATATTGACAGCATTGCAGGTATGTAATGCAGTCTTGGCACCACTAGATCGCTCATGCATATTCCAGAAACCATTCCGCTGGAAACATGTCTTGTTAGCCCCCTGAGCTGGGTCTTACCTAAAGCTCGTCACCGCCCGTTGTTCCAGCGTTGCGGTGCCTCAAGTTCTTTCAGCTGGCATGGCTGGTACTCCATAACCAGGGGGTCTCCTGTTTCACCTTAGGCTTATATGAGCTGCTGGAGACAACACTTCCGGTAGATATACGCAAGGGAGAGAGTTGTATTCGGGATTTAGCGGCGCAACAATGAAGCCTCAGAAATGTGGACGATGGTATCCGCGCATAATTGTCTGCTGGAAACACCCTGTTATCTAGGACGAACCATTTAGGACGAACTAAACATCGTGCGGCACGAAGCGGAATATCAATAATCACTCGTCAGCCCGATGTGAAAGGTCTCATCTATGATGTATGTTATTCGTAAACAAGGGTATCCGTCTGTACCAATGCAGTATCCAAGTCATGTCCACGCAGCCGAGACACTCATCTATCATTCGGGTCATCCAGGTCTCCCAGAAGCGCAACGTCCTCGTCGTCGTCATCCTTCTCCGGAGGCACGACACGCACGGTCGGCACAACAGTGCCGTACGGCGGAACGCTGGCGCCGGCCTCGGCCCCTGAGATGGCGTCCTCCTCAGGATCCGCGGCGACAACCTCGTCTTTGCGGCCAATGATGACGTTACCGGCGACAAGCATCGCAGCGCCGACCCACCACAGCGGCGGTAAGGATTCTGAGAAGATCATGAAACCCAGGATAGCTGTAATCATAAAGTTGGATGATGTGTTCATGATAGACACTTGGGTGGTTGAGGTACCCCTGGCTAGGGCCTTTGTGAATAGGGTCCACATCTGCGAGGCGTTAGTGGACTATATCGTTGTATACTGGGCCTATACAGCAGCAACAGAAGTGGATCAATGAGGCAAACTTACCACGCCATTGAAAACCAAATTAAGGCCGAAGAATATCTGTCATAAAATGTACATTAGCTGTTGGGTTCTCGCCAATGTTGGGTAGCAAGTGAGTTTGGAAAGTGTAGTCAAATGCCAGGTGCAGGTCCCACGCTAATGCAGATTACTCGCCAACGTCGGAATAACCTCACAACGGGCCTCGAGTAGGGTTTTACTTGACAAGACTGGATTGGCACCCAACAACTTACACAGCGGAAAATCAGCTCAAGTGCATTCTCAAAGGCGACCAGGCCAAAGGCCTTCGCGATGGCTGAAGAGATGTTCGAGGTCAACTCGTTGGTAGTTCTGTGACTTGGTAAGCGCTGTGTCGGGGGTTTTCAGTTGATACATGTCCAAAGTGAAAAAGGAAGCATGGTCCCCTGATCTCATCCAATAGGAGACTCTACGCAACTAGGTACAGAAAAGGACGGTGTAGGATATCAAGTGCGAAAGTCCTGAGCTATTCTTGGCGAGATTTATGTGGTGAAGCAGCTGGTTGAGGAAGGGTTGGAGAAGAAGTGGAGGACCACCAATTGGTGTCTTGGAGGCTATGGCAAGAAGTAGGCTACTTACAACTTCGCAAAACAGCCGTTGACCGCGGCGCACGCGCCGCTGGCGACAGCGAAGACAATCCACTCATTCCTGCTTGTCCACGAGCCAGCAGGGGCGGGAGCAATGCTATCGTTGCCAGCCGTAGCGGAGCGGTCGTCGGCATGGTCCATCTTCTCCTGGGCGGCGGTTTCTGCTGCCGAGGGCACCGGGCGTTTCCTCAGGGTCCTCTCGGAGGAGGTGGGTGCGACGGGAGAAGAAGTAGCAGAAGAGGTGGTCGCCGGTCCTCCGTTCCGAAGGGAGTCAGCGGCCTTGCGTCGGGGCATGGTGGACACCTGGCTTCCCGTCCTTTATATGCGTGGTGCGGTTTGTTTCAGCGGAGGGCGCGGAGGATTTGGGGGCTTGCGATGAACTCAGAGCGGGTCATGATCTTCTGGGCGCACGCGTGTCCCTGCGCTTGGCCGAGCTTCAGTGGGGCCAGGGATCCAGGGCTGAATCGCAACGGGCGGGCGTCTGACTCGGCTCTGGCAGCACACGAGAACCCCTGCTCGGTCCGTTTGGGAGCAGGTGACGGTATATGATGGAAACAATCAGGAAGAACTATGTAACCAGGTGATGCGGTCTAGGGCACTGATTGGAGCTTGTCTCAAATGGTTCGCTGTTCCTGCATGCTTTCACGTGCTGGGCGGTCCCAGTGCTACGAACGAGGAGATCCCCGCATCCCAAGGCGGGATGTCACAACGGGTACGGACGGAGTCCATAGGTATAATGTTGAATTCTGAACCCCTCTCCCTGGATATCCAACCTGCATTTGTCTTAGTACAATAGGGAATCAGTAATTCTGCACGGATGCACAACAGTCTGCAGGTTCTGACGGGCTCATCCGTTTAGCTTCTTTTCTTTCTAGCTCTCTCAAACTAGGAGAAAAGCCGTCTTGGTCACTGATGATGCACGTCCAAGCTGTGTATTTGCAGACTGACATATTTGATACTGAGCAATTTTACCTAGATGGATGGCTCGTTTTTCGTCACTAGCAGTGTGAAACAACCGGACATATGTGACAAACTGGGGAACCGATGCGGGCGATATTATCACTTTTGGGACAGCAGGCGTAAGGCAACCGCACTTGTCTATTCGACTGTGGATGAAGACGAGGAGGACATCTAGCATTCAGTCACCCCAAATTTTGGGACCCGAGGTCAGTCTGTGGTCATAACTCTCGTAAACGCGGCTGTCAGTCTGTGAGCCTCAACCATGAATTGGCCCATCATGCCCTAAATCATTCCCAAGAACCCCAACGCCGCTGCATGCGATTTCTGAAATACATCCTGGTCCATATCGTATACGCTGATGTGCTCGACATCTCCTCGCCGCTTAAGTCGTTCCCTGAGGCTTGGCAGTGCAAGACACGATCTTGACCTTGTCGGCTTGTACCGTGTGCTGGCCGTTGTCCATCTTGAACGCCACATTCTTCAGCTGGAAGGTCCAGACCTCATCGCAGAATCGGTACGTGTCCAAGCTTCCCTGTAATGAGGCATGTAAGATAATGCCGAACGACGTCGCCGAGCGCTGGGCAGTAACTCACCTTGAACGTCAGCCGCGAGCGGACCTTGTCCTGCAAGACTTCCGTGATGGCCCGGTCAAAATTGGCAAGAATCTTCATCGCAAGCTGGGGGTCGATGCGGTGGTCCTGGATGAGGTCATCGAGGGTGTCCGTCAAGGCGGTGCCTACGCTACATCGCCACGCCCCAGGGTTAGCCAACTTGGAAGCAACAGTAGGGCGAGCAGTCGGTGACGCTGTACCTGCTACGGCGATACAGCTCGTAGAAGCTCTGCGGACCGGATGCCATCTTTGCTGGTGGTTGCTCGAGGTCCTGCTACGAGTCTGCGTTGGTGTCGGCGATGATGAAAGGGATGAGGTTTAGGTGATTAAATACGATTCGGGGAATGAAGCCGACGACGCAACGATGAGTCAGCAGTAGTCCAGTGTGGCTTGGCTTGGGTGGGCCGATTAAAGATCCGACCGGGTGCCACTCGACCACTAACTTGAGTTAGTTACTGTAACTTAGGTACCTACTGTAGCCTGTACCTAACGTAGGTCCTGTCCCGCCTCCACTGTGGATGAAAGCGGCCACTTGCAAACGGGCCGGAATGCGCACCACCTTGAGCAGGCTGCAATGGGCAGGGTGAGCGCGATTGCCACTTAACGCGTGACATCGCTATCCTTTCGCGTCCTGGCCGATCTGCTCGACGCGCTAATGTGTGCGCATCACGCCGGTGAAATCATCACTTTTCTTCAGCCAGGTCCAAGCCCGCACCAGAAGCAAAACAAATTAACTACCCATTTTCGTAGACGAATGCCCTTGTCATTTTGTTCCCACCGTACCCTCCCTCAATAGACACGATGGAGTCGGGCTCTTCGTCGGATCTGGACTCTGTCAAATCGTCTTCGTTGTCTTCGCCTTCACGTATCCACACTAGTGCACCCTCGTCACCACCAACCTCTGAAGAGTCCGATCACGCCAAAATGACCGCCAACTCCCATTTTCAGGAACAGCGTCTTCAAGCGGAGGAGAAGAGGGCCCGAGCAGAGAACACCCGCGATGAGGCAAAGCGACTGGCAAAGGCCCGCCGAAAGCGGAAGGGAGCCGACTTGAGCCCGCAGGAGCGGGCGGCCAAGGCAAAGGAGCTAGATGAGCTGCTTCGCAAGAGCTCCATCTTCAGCGACATCCTCACTAAGAAGACCAAGGCGCTGGGTCGTGTTGGCCGTGATTTCGACAACCAGGCACTCGTAGATGCCGGGCTTGAATTGAAGAAGCAGCCAAAGAACATGACCGGCGGGACTATGCGAGATTACCAACTTGAAGGTCTGACATGGATGTATGAGATCGTCTTGCAGGGTCTCAGCGGCATCTTGGCAGATGAGATGGGTCTTGGTAAGGATGCACAACCCATGCAAACTAGCTTCCGTGTTAACCTCTACAGGCAAGACAATTCAAACCATTTCCCTCATAGCCTTACTTCGGGAACAGGAGGGCTTCTATGGCCCTCACCTGATAATAGCTCCGCTGAGCACCTTGTCAAACTGGCAAGATGAGTTTCAGAAATGGACTCCTTCGATTCCTTTTGCCCTATATCACGGCAAGCCTGAAGAGCGACAAGATGTCTTCAAAACCCAGATTATGAAGCACTATCAGAAAGGCAGCCCGACCTTGAAGTTTCCCGTCGTCTGTACCAGCTATGAGATGATCTTGAGAGACCATGCCGCTCTATCCAGGATCAACTGGGAATTCATTGTTGTCGTAAGCGATAGGAACAATCCACTCAACTATGGCCTAGGCTAATACAGATGATCAGGATGAAGGACACAGGATGAAGAATGCCGACGCCAAGCTTTTCAGGACGCTCCAGCAGTTCAAGTCTGCCACACGTATTCTTATCACAGGCACTCCTCTGCAGAACAATCTCAAGGAGCTGTGGTCACTGCTCCACTTCTTAATGCCTAAAACATTTCTCGACTGGGAAGCCTTTGAGATCTGGTTTGACTTCAGCGACCTTCAGGATGAAGAGGGCACACAGCAGTTCATTGGAGATCAAGAAAACCAAGAATTGGTTAAAAAAATCCACAAAGTGCTCCAACCGCTACTGCTTCGCCGAATCAAGGCGGATGTTGCGCACTGGCTTCCCAAGAAGCGCGAGTACGTGCTATATGCGCCAATGACCAAGGAGCAAACGGACCTTTACAACGTCATGGGTGATCGAAGCACCGACACGCGGGCCTATCTGGAGCAGAAGGTTGTGGAGCGCCTTACAGGCACTACGAACTCTGCTGTTAATTCGAGGCGCACCAGCCGGCAAACATCTCTGGCTGGCAGTGCCACCACATCTGAAGCTACGTCACCCGCTTCGACCGATGCTTTCTCTATCATGATGGGACCCAAGAGAGGGCGCGGCAGGCCTCCAAAGGCTGTAACAGAGGCGGCCTCGAGGACCCCTACCAGAAATACCCCTTCCAGAGCAAGCACGAAGAGGAGGGCACCTCCAACAACAGAGACACCTCAGGCAAAGAGCAACAAATCAAGCAGACAGTCCACACCGGCGACTAACGGTCGTGGGAGAGGTCGTCCACGGAAGAATCCGCAGGCCTACAAAGTTACAGATGATTCAGACGATGATAAGCTCGATGACGAGGAGTTTGAAGCGAAACTTGTGGCGGAGCTCGAAGCCGCTCAAGTGGACAGTGATGAAGAGCCTCAGGACGAGGAGGAGGCGGAACGAGTTGCCACGCTGGAGCTTGCTAGTAAGGCACCTACTCAATTTTCTACTAACAGAGTATTTGCTAATAAAAAAACACCTGGCAGAAATGCAAATAGCTGAGAAAAAGCTTGGCAACCCACTGATGCAACTGCGGCTGGTTTGTAACAGCCCCCATAACTTTTACAGCCCCTGGGCTTTCGATGAGAACACCCCTGTCGACGAGAGCATTGTAAACTCTTCAGGTAAAATGCTTCTTCTCGACCGTTTACTCCCGGCAATGTTTGCAAGGGGCCACAAAGTCCTTATCTTCTCTCAATTCAAGACTCAGTTGGATATCTTACATGACTACTGCGAAGGACTGCGAAATTGGAAGGTCTGCCGGATTGACGGTAGCGTGTCGCAGACAGACCGTCGTGAGCAAATCAGCAGCTTCAATGAGGATCCAGAATTCAAGATCTTCTTGCTATCCACGCGAGCGGGAGGTCAGGGAATCAACCTCGCTAGTGCCGATACAGTTATTCTATTTGATAGGTAAGACTGCTCTTGTGAGGACCGAAACTTTTCCCACTAACAGGCCTGCAGTGATTGGAATCCTCAGCAGGACTTACAGGCTCAGGATAGATGCCATCGTATCGGTCAGATGCGGCCCGTCGTCGTGTTTCGGTTCGCTACCAAGGGAACTGTTGAAGAAGAATTGCTCATGAGCGCTGACGCAAAGCGGCGCCTCGAGAAGCTGGTCATCAAGAAAGGCGGCTTCAAGACTATGGGCCAGAAGATGGAGCAAGGCGAGGATCTAGACAAAGAAACCCTCCGTGCCCTGCTCCTCAAAGACGGTGAAGTGTATCGCCATTCCGGTGGCGATCGCGTTCTCAGCGATGAAGATATCGAAGTCCTGTGTGACAGGTATGTCCAAGTTGTACCGTGTGTTACTATAAGTAATCCTACTGATATCTCCGCAGGAGTGATGAAGCGTATGCCCGAGCGGCTAGAGGTGCCGGTAACGCCGATGGTTTCCAGGTTGTCGATACTGCTGCAGACGGTATCACACAGATCAAAGGCGACTAAACTGGACTCAATACGATATTCTGTACCATATTGCCAGGCGTCTGGCTAGATTTGCCTTTGGCTTCCTTTCCAAGCGTTGCGAAAATCTTGCGTACTCCTCAATGGGAACATCGATCTGTAGTATAGAGGTGTCATTAGATACTGTACAATGTCATATACAAGACCGTCTACTAGCGATGACCGTCCCCTGTATTCTTAAGCAGATCCAACATACTGGACGCAGAGAAACCCTAAATCTCTTTTTAAACGTTTTCTCATTTGGTTGTGGTGTGTATATTCGAACTACGTGCGTCATTAATTTTGGAGATTCGATACGAGATGCCTTCATTGGAGGGCTTGAGGATGTGAATATGGCTATCGTCTGGAACCTATCAGGCAATGCCTTGTCTTGTGGATGAAGGGTGCTTTGACAGTGCTGGGAATGCATTGTACACCGGCACAAAGATCTTTCATTAAGGAGTCCAGGGGCTAAAGACTTCACACAAACAACCGACGGTACGTGTAAAAGCGAAACATGCCGTCCTCCAAGTAGGCCTGACCAAAACGAGTCTTGTATATAGAGACATCAGCAACATGTTTCTATCGATGTCAGCATAGTTGGCTTTTGCGGCATTCATATCCTTCCTGACTCGAACCTAAACGCTTCCTGAAATGGTGCTGTCGTATCAACGCTTGCAAGAATGGGGGACCACACTATCTCATCTGGGGAGAAGATTTCTCCGAGCGCTGGGCCTGTATGCTCTGAATCTCCTCCGGTACATTGGTCTCCTCGTGACGGTACGACTGCTGGGAGAAGCCGTGAAGATGGAGTGGCACGCTCTGTCGACCGCGGAGTTCCTCGTCTCGAGCAGGATCGTCCACCCGGCCAACATTGGGCAATGGAGCATGTATACGCACGACCTAGACGGCAAGCCGCCGCGATATCGTGTTACTGTGGATGGATTGCGGGTGCCGATGGTTGAGGAACCTGTCACGATTGATTATAGGGACTGGTATTACATGGATGTGACGACGGAGGTGGCATACTTGCCTGGCAACTTTGAGTCGATCTAAGATGTGTTTGTGGTCCATAGTCTTAGTTTCGTTTGTGTTCAAACCAAATGTGAAGCGTCCTGTGAAAAGTGACTTGTGCCTATCCACAGCTGATGATTATCCAGATTCTTGATTCTACACTTTGCATGTTGTGATTGATGATTGCATCCTGTTGCTCTAAGGCATACGTAGACTAGAGCCTCGAGATGTCATTCCAACCGAGGGATAAGGAGACTGGATGTGCTATGTGGTGGCATCGTGTTGCAGTTGCAATTGTGCGATGTTTGTAGGAAGAGGCGCTAAGGAAGGGGGCCTGCAAACGATTTGACTTGGGAATACTAGGTCTAGCAACAAGCTAAGGTCCTCATTGACACCCAACCGCTGACAAGCAATGAGTATGACGAGCCAGTTTCGGTAGAGCCTTGGGATTCCTCTGGTTACTGGGCCGCGGGTGGTCTGATATTGCGAGACAAGTCTTCACTAGTTCAACGAGCAAGGCCACATTGGCCTGATAATTAAATGAACAGTACTTGCTTGTTAGTCTCTTGGATGACGACGGTAAAAGCATCCCCGTCCTAGGCGGACTTTCGCAGACCTTGTCTGAAGTACCGACAGGAAAACAGCCCCGTCGTGGTGGACGGTAAAAACTAGAGACGTAGCATGCTTGGTGGCCGAGCTTTCTTGCCAAAAATCGGTCAACTGCAATGAGATTCTTGGAGACTGATTTCAATGGCTATTCAGAAGGAATTCATTCACTTCAAGTCCTGCGCGCAACACCGGGTGAAAATCTTATGTATCTATTTATGCCTTTTTATCCACCTTGCTTTAGTGTCGTCCCTTCGTTTTGCCATAGAGAACACTCACTGACTGGTAGTGGAATGATATGTGTGTTCTGACTGATGGTAATCTTGGCGTATTTGCATGTTCGCCTGCATATTCATCATAATATCCTGCTTCTTGACATGCCGACTTTTCGCCATGTATGACCGATATATCCCCCAAATGGACGGGACCCTGTCACCGGTCTGTTCTGGACCATGAGCAAGCAAAGCTCGATTCCGAGCTTCAGCGGACCCATCGTCTAGTGTATCGTATACGTAATTTCGTCTGTTCCACGTCCATGCTTGTAATCACGGTGTGCCGTAAAAGCATAGAACAGTGTCTCAGGGGCCTTGTTAGTTGAAGGCAGCTCTCATTCGAAGCCCATCTCGTCATCACTCTCATCGGCTCCTTCATCCCCGTATCCCCTCTCTTCATCCTCTCTCCTTGCTTGCTCGACGCTGGCGCCGATCTTCCGTACTCCATCGACGACACCTTGTACGAAGCCTCTGCTCTCCGCTAACTCCATGGCCCCAACACCCCTCAGTCCTACCACGCCGCCGCCGCCCTCCAACTGCGTCGTACTCCCTCTCATCTTCGCCGCCCGGACTTCTTGCAGGTCACGCAGCAGCGTCCTCACTTCCGCCGCGCTCGGCACATCGTCTGCTGCATGTGCAAGCAGTGTTTCTGACATCTCCAGCCAGTGATACGGCAGGTAGCCTGAGGGGGCGTCTGCCGTACACGAGGGCAGAAAGGGGGGCGAAAGCACCAAATCTCCGGGCTTCGGCTCCGGGTTCGAGGCGTACGGCCGCGCGCCACCCCGGCCGTCGGAGCGCATCACGGGCGGAGGCGGCGGGGAGAAGGCCTCCGGGTCGACGTTGGTCTCTTGGTGGATAATCTCGGCCAGCGAGGCGGGATGCAGCCAGGCCGGCGGGACGATGTTTGCGCGGCGCTGCTTCTTGAGTAGCAGGGCCAGCCAGAGCGGGATTTGCGCGCGATGCGGCGGTCGGAGCGCCGGCGTTGCACCCTGTGGGCTGGGTCAGCTGGTGATGTTCTAAAGGTGGGATGCGTGGCGGGGTCGATCTACACTTAGAAGTGGGATGGATTCCAGCCTCTGGCGAGGTACAATTGTGACCAATTCCATTTCACAGAGGAAAGCCACCTCTGTCGGCACGAGGCCCGGCGGTAAAGGCAGCGCCATCTTTTATGAGCACGAAGTGAGTGACGTGAATATTTCTGCTGCTTCACGAACGGATGTCGTGAGACGCGACTTAACGCGATTTTGGTAAGTGGAAATGCACCCCGCGATTCAGACGTGGCGGTGCAGATTTTGGGGGTTGGCGTGTGGCGCCCGCCCCCCTATTCTTGTGGTGCCTCGTAACAAATTTGTTTGAAAAGGACGTGAATTGGCTCGATAATTGACTGTTAAAAAGAGGAGGATATTGCTACAATGTCAAATGAACTCACAGGTTTGTTCACAGCATTTCTTGGCGTTTTGAAATCATCAACATATTGCAGTATTTCCACTTTCAGCCCTCGCTTACTTGACCTCTAGCACACATGTTGGGCTGACAATTGGTGTAAACATCCAAGCTTATGCGCGTTGGTAAGCGATCCTTGTGCCTCTGATAAAGATTTCGTCGTACGTACTCTCATTATTTAGTCTCGACATGGCCCAGGGTTTTTGTTCGTCACCAAATCAATATCAAATTACAACATTCGATTCACGTCGTGAGTAAACAACCTTTGAAGAGTGCAGGAGGAAGCGCTCTCACTGTCAGCTGCTGCACGAGAGATTTCTGAGGATACTGGTCGTCAAGGGTTTTTGTTCATTAGATTCTAAATTTCTATCGTTCCTCCATTGACCTGCCTCACATTTTATGTGAAAATACGGATAGGTCTTTGAAGAGTGTTTGGGCAGTTGAATCTTAGGCCTAGATCCAAAGTTGAGATCTGCTTTAGCTCGTCTTCAGTGAGGTCGAAAGAGCAGCACTCCAGGTTCTGCTTAAGTCTGTCCACGCTGTTCGACTTGGGGATGACGATAATGTTCCGCTGTGTGCACCATCTGAGCAAGACCTGGCCAGGAGTCTTGCCGTACTTCTCGGCAATGTTCTTGACGATGTCGACTTCGAATAGAGGCTTGGCATTCTTGGCCTGGGGGTTGTTCAACTCGAGGAAGGACAGGGGTCCAAAGGTAGAGTAGCCAGTGACGGCAATGTTGTTCTCCTGAGCCATTTGGATGAGCTCAGGTTGGGTAAGGTATGGGTGGTGCTCGATCTGGAGGACTGAAGGCGGGATCTTGGCGTACGACAACACGTCGTAGAGGAGCTGAGTGTGGAAGTTGGAAACACCAATGGACTTGATGAAGCCGCTGGGGTTCTCAGGGGTCTGAACAATCTCCTCGAGAGCCTTCCAGGTCTCAGAGATGGGGACCTTGGCGAGGGGAGTGACCTTGGTCTGCTCCTTGTCGGACCAGAAGCAGGGCCAGCGAATCTCCTCGAAAGGAATGAACTCTAGGGCAATGGGAAAGTGGATGAGGAAGAGGTCAAGGTAGTCGAGACCCCAGGCCTCGAGCTCGAGCTTGGCCTGCTGGAGGGCATGCTCACGCTTGTGGTAGTTATTCCATAGCTTGCTGGTGATGAAGAGCTCCTCGCGCTTGACCAGGCCATCCGCAATGGCCTTGCGAACACCCTGACCGGCCTCGGCACTGTTCGTGTAGTCCCAGGCACCGTCGAAGTGGCGGTATCCGAGCTTGATGGCGTTGTAGACAGTCTCGGCGCAGGTCTCGCGGGGAACCTTCCAGATTCCAAAGCCGACAACCGGCATGTCCTAATATGGTGAGTCAATAAATCATCGATCGGGGGTTGGGCAGGTAGCAACATACAAAGCCAGAGGCAAGTTTCAAAGAAGGAACCTTAGTCATCTTGGAAAATACAGTCGCAGATCGTGGTATCGTTCCGGGAGGTAGAAGGAGGGTGAGGGCAGAGGCAGAAAAAACCAGCGGAAAAGTCAACAGACGACGGGCAGCAATAACAATTATGTACTGGCCGGCCGGGCTTGTAAATTTCCCCGCCAAAAGTCGCGCTCGCCAGCCCCAGCTCACGAAGCAGTGCTCTCCATGTTTCTAGTGCCCCTCATGACGTTCATTGGAACTACGCAGAGCCCGCTATTTCCCCCTTGGCGGGGTTCGGTGGGGTTTCTCGTGCTCGGGCGTTCCCCGGACGGTGAGTGCTTCACCGAATCGTGCCTGGCAACAGAAAGCATGGGAGGCAGAATCATGTGCTCACTGACATTTACATGGCATAGGCCCTCCGGCACTGCCTATTGAGTGCCGAGTCGTCAACTCGGCATCCCAACCGTGAATGCATCACCATGCCAGCTGGCATCTCATCGCTGTCCAGATTAGGCAACCTGTACCACAGCCCACCACCCCTCTTTTCTGGGTATAGTAAGGAGGCTAATCATTCCCGATGGGTCATCCTCGGCTATGCTGCCGACTGTGACTATTAGGGTCATGAAACAAGGGGGACTGGCCGCGGCTCGGTGCACTTTGCAACTTTGTCCGGCTGGACCTTCATCGCGACATTCCAGTCCGACGGGCAATCTGCCAAGCTTACAGTACTTCTTCGCGGTGTCTCGACTCAAGTAGCCTCACTTCAAGCAGCCTCGCTACAACCTCACAATCCGACACGATGAACTGAACCTTCTGGTGACATTTATCGTTAGATGGTCCCCTTCGTCCATGGTACTAATCCAGGTTATCCCTTCAACAACAGCGAGACTGCTGAGGTTTGCTCAGGTGTGGTAAGAACGAGGCTCGTGAATCAAAATACAGCAGCAGTGTATCATGGTGCACCGTCGCTGGCCTGGCATTGACATGGCGGCGATGAAGCGCTGCCATGGTCACGATGCCATCAAATCTGTAAGAATGCAAACACATCATACAAATTTTAGAGCCGCAGTAGAGAAACGACAAAACGCTCAAGTTCATAGCCGGGTTAGAAACCTCTATTCTCGTATAGCATATGCATATAAGCAGCCTAGCCTTGACGCAAATGGCGCTGGGCCATTCGTGTTCACTGATGGTTGACAATTCCCAAGGCTTGGCATATTGATGCACGCCTCAATAGGAAAGCTAAGACTTCTTCCACGTTCCGGCAACCGTCCCGTCTTTGCGGCGAAATTAATTTCCAGCCGGTCAACTATAGGTGAAACCCGCTCATGCCGCCTCGGTGCCTGGCCAAGTATAATCCACATAGACGACTCTACTCTAAATCTTGCATATTCAACCAACATTGCAGCGTCCCCTGAATATAGACAGCCCGTGGGGGCGCCAATGCGGCTCAACATCCCGCAAGCAACCTCAGCCCTGGGCAATCAATCGTGGTGCTTCCGTTTCCTGACTGAGAGGCGATGACACCTCCGAGAACCATGCGAAGATGTCATTTGGTGCGCCACCGCAGGGCTCGATCCCATGCTTCCGAAAGTTTGCTACCACACATACGCGACATTGGGTCATTCGCGGAAAGAACGGGCTCGCTTGATGGTTGACCGAGTTGTATGTAATTCAACTCACTAGCATGGATTGATCTTGTGTAGACTGGCCAGACGGACCTGTTGTCTCATCTGGGGATAAAAGGTGCTCGACCTCTTCACTTTGGGGAGAGGCTTTTCCCTACCTTACAGTGTTCATCCGGGGAGCTTAGATTTCGTACACATACCGACAAGATGCGCCTTGCTGCACTGTTAACGCTCTGTGCCGCTGCTACGGCATCAGCTGCACCTCAATGGTCTCGGCCCTACAGACGCGCAAATGACACCGGGGTCAACCCATTTGAGGGTAAGAAGCTCTTTGCAAACCCAGCATGGGCAAAGAAGCTGGATCAGACCTACGAGGCTTTCCTCTCGCAGAACGACAACGTCAATGCCAACAAAGTCCGAGTAATCCAGGACATCGGCACTTTTGTCTGGGTATCTGACCGTGCCGGCCTAAAGAACATCGATGATGCCATCACTGCCGCGCGGGCCGAGAAGGCCGCCAGTGGTGTCGACCAAATTGTTGGCTTGGTCCTGTACAACCTTCCAGACCGCGACTGCAGCGCCGGTGAGAGCGCAGGAGAGCTGAGCAGTGCTGAAAATGGACTAGAGATTTACAAGAATGAGTTTATTAAGCCCTACGCCGAGAAGGTGAGCGCCGCCACGGATCTCACCTTCGCCATCGTGCTGGAGCCTGACTCCCTCGCCAACCTGGTCACCAACATGGCGGTTGAATTCTGTGCCAACGCTGCCGACGTTTACAAGGAGGGTATCGCCTACGCCATCTCCAGTCTTCAATTCAAGAACGTACATCTATATATGGATGCTGCTCATGGAGGATGGCTCGGTTGGAATGACAACCTCGCACCCAGTAAGGACAACTACAAAGTCGTGCGGAGCATTATTTGAACTGACTGCTTGTTCCAGGTGCCAAGGTATTCGCAGAAGTTGTGCAGAAGTCTGGCAATAACACCAAAATTCGAGGCTTCGCAACCAATGTCTCCAACTACAACCCATTCAACGCTGCCCAGAGGGAGAACTACACCGAGTATAGTAATTCTTGGGACGAGTCCCACTACGCCTCGTCGCTGGCCCCTCATCTTGAGGCGGAAGGTCTCCCCTCCCGTTTTATCGTCGACCAGGGCCGTGTGGCACAATACGGCGCCAGGAAGGAATGGGGTGAGTGGTGCAACGTCTCGCCCGCTGGGTTTGGCCCGCAACCTGGCACGTCTAACAACAACACGTATGTGGATAGTCTGGTGTGGATCAAGCCTGGTGGTGAGAGTGACGGGCAGTGCGGTATGACGGGGGCGCCGAGGGCTGGGGCTTGGTTTGATGAATACGTCCAGATGCTGGTAAAGAATGCTCACCCTTCCATTGTGCCAAAGAAGAGATAGAAAGGAACAGACAGAACTTGGAGAAAGCTTTATTCACTTTATGTCACTTTCTCTTCTTTGAAAGTACATCTCATTAATACAAAAATATTATGCCTGCCTCAGACCTTCAATGCGATTGCTGCTCCTGAATGGGTCGTTGGGACAGGGCGGTAGCATTCGACCTGGTGGTACTCAAGAAATTGTGCAGGCAGCTGACGCAGTTTTCTGCAACGTGATTTGTCTGTATGTATGGACACATCCACGACGAAATTGCTTGACGTTGGTTCGCTAACTTAAGGCAATACTCTGGCACACAGCCCCAGCGCCCTCAACTCGACTTCAAGCAGAGCACCAAGACTGACCACCATTGTGCATTGGGATCAGACTCCTTGGCGATTGAAAACAACATGGGCAGCCCCTATACTCGACTCTGGTTGCCCCGCGCCATTCGACTTGTCGATATGAAATCAGGTGAATGGGAAGCTCCAATCGATTGCCGACTCTGGTACTACACCCTGGACCGCAAGCCTACCTATCGAACATTATCATACCCTTGGGGCTCCACGAAGGTGATCCGACCGGTGCTTCTTGATGGGTGCGAAGTGGCTGTGACAGTCAGTCTGGAATCTGCTCTAAGGCATATCAGGAGCTCGGATACAGTGTTGACACTGGGTTGACGCTCTCGTAGGTGACGTCTCTCTTGTCGGACATTTTTAAGTAGCAGAATATAGGCTCATGGATTTCCAGTGCATCAACCAGAATGATGACGATGAGAAAAAGCAACAGGTTCTCATCATGCGCGACATTTACGCCTCGTCGGAAGAGACGATTGTCTTCCTAGGAGATAGTCGCGGTCATCGCAACCTGGGCCTCTCGAGCCAAAACCCACCCCATGATGAATAAAATTCTCTAATGATGATCAAGACGATGGTTTTATCGCGGGATTTCGTCATCGTTGGACCACTGGGCCTACTGGATTATATCCGGGTCCAAAGGATGTTTTTTGCTTCATTCAAATTTTCGCAAGGAGAGAGCACCTGGATTTTATGGAGACTTTAGATCAATCACACCTGGATGCCCTTGCAGAGGCACTCCGTATGTTTCTTCCATGCCCCGGGTAGAGCAGAGTGTGGGTTTTCCAAGATGCCATCGTTTCTCGCAGGGTTATTATGCATCATGGAGGTGTAGAAGCACCTTGGGAAAAGTTCGCGGCTGTGGATTCATTGCCAGAGTAAAATCCCAGCTCGGATATGAAGAAGATTTTGGAGCTTTTCGTAAAAGCCGTCCAGGATATTGAAGATCGACGCGTTGCGTGACTGATTACACAGGGTCGTCACCGAAACCAAGACGATGAGGTGACAGAGCTCCTCGCTTTTCTTCAAGCAACGGTAGCCCGGAAGGCGTCAGACGATCGGGATAAAATCTTTGCACTTATAGGGCTTTTGCCGTCTCAGACGTGGCTCATTCCGGACTATACCCTTTCGACAAGAGCAGTGTACACCACCGTCCTCTGTCATATCATTCACAAAACTGGGAGGCTCGACATACTGTGTGGTGACATTGGACGGAAAAAATAGGAAAGATCTGCCAACGTGGGCCGTTAATTAGAGTGTCATTTCGAATGAGCTGAACACCCGACGGGTAGAAACTCTCCTGGAAAGGTATAATACAAGCAAGGGTTTGAAAGCAGTATTTCTGGAGGAGCCCCTTGGCCTTTGGACTGAGGACAGGCAGATTATTCGGGACGAATTGTTGAGGAAATATTGGGATACAATGTCCCAGGAACCAGGCTCTCTGATAAGATGGGCAAAGACACTCACAGATATAAATGAACATCAGCCTCAGCGCCATCATCTCAACGCCATCTCGGACCCCTGCGAAAACTACTTCCGACCACCCGTCGAGTATGTGAAGACCATTTCCATACCGGGAAGCTCTCCTGTGAGTATCATGCGGGAGCAAAGGCCTGGTTGCCTGCGACTGTGGGGCAGAGTCCTTGGGACAGTCGAAGCTATAGGCCACCCTATTCACGGCTCTGTCATGAGGGAGGATCTTTTGGAAGCTCTGTGGACGCTGTTGTTTTGGTACGAGCAGCGAAAACTCAATCTGGGCTCTGACAAGGCGCAAGTCGTTGAAACATTCTCCTTTGGTCTCCAGAGTGTTGAGAGTGTATTTGAGGAGTTCAAGGAATTCAAACGTTGGTCGGATCCTTATCTAATACTGGACAACTGTGAGAGGCAAGGATTGGCAACTGCAATGACAACTCTCGCCGCGCGACGACGTCTGTTTAGGACCACGGATGGAATCTGTGGCTGGGGGCCTACAGATACTCAGCCCGGTGATGAAGTAATAACCTTCCCGGGGGGACGTCTACCATTTGTTCTCAGGAGGTCTCCTGAGAATAGTTCGTATGAATATGGTACAAATGATTGTTTTCGCCTCATCGGAGACTGTTTTGTAAGTGGTGCCATGGACGTAATTGACAGCTTAGCCACGGAAGCGGCCATAACGCAAGACAGCCCGCTCCGAGAGAGACCGCTAAGCTTTTGGGAAGCATTCTCTAGGCAACTCTCATTTCTGGCCACCGAAACCTGCACAAGATATCGAAAAGATCCTGTGTGTAGACGGGACATGGCTAGGAGGTCCGGCTGGAACATCTTGGCCTTCATCTCCAATACAGAACGCGCGCACCTGAGTCTCTCTCACTTCGGTGGAAAAGTATCGTGCCGTGGTTGGAGACAATGGGGAACCCGTCTGAGGCTGCACTTGATAAGGCCCCGTCCCGAACTTGCATCTCAGCTATGGCCGCTGTTGCAGCAATACGAGACCTTGAAAAAGGTGATGGCGCGTATAAGAGGATGTACATTGATCACACTGATTTGAGAGAAATGAAGCTATTTCTAAGCCGGTGGCTATACATAGAGGAATATAGCAACAGGGCAGTCAGCATTGCAAAACCAGCGCGTCCCTCGCTGTCGGTGAGCGGGCTTAATTGCGTCGAGACTAGGTTTGTATCCGTGCTGAACATCTACTAAACTAGACCTGAAGACCGTAATCCTTCACAAAGCAAAGGAAGGGTATCATGTAACATAAGAAACGGGTACGGCCCCAGAAAGTCCAGAGATCTCAGATTAACTCATGCCATTGCCCAACACGACTAACCAGCAATAGAGTGCGGGAAGACAAGCCTCTGCTTCATCATACCCAACTCTGAACTCTTGTCCCAGGTGCCATCCGGTTTCTGGCGGTAACACATGAGCTTGCCCTCGTCTCCAACACTACCCATAATCTGACCGTCATCGTCAAAGCCGACCCTCCAGACGGGCGAGCGGTGGCTCTCGAGTTTGGAGAGCTCCCTCACGGTGTGCTCGATCTGACCGGGCTGGCCGGTGATGAGGCGTTCTCCATGGGAGCCAGACTTGTCAATCTCGGCCCTTATGCCCGAGTGCGCCTGGGGTTGGCCTCGAGGCTGACTATCCTGGGTCGCTGCAGCAGAGTGGGCCCCGGCTCTGTCCTTGCCTGTGATGTCGGCAACGGCCCATGACCTTCCATCATCCTTGTTGTATGGAGTGTCAATCCGGAAGACCCTGACAAAGCCGTCCTGGCAGGCGGTAGCGATCATGTCGTAGCCTCTGAAGTTGCCGGGTGCCCAAGCGACATCGCGGACCAGGCCCCTATGTCCGCTGATCTCAACCGCCTGGTAGAACTCCCTTGCTCGGGTAGCCGCGCCGAAAGAGCTGGTCACAGTGTCACGGGACCGGAAGATCTTGACAGAGTCCAAGCCCGCAACGACCAGGCTCAGGGCATCAGTGGGCACACCGGCTCTCAATGCCTTGTAGCAGGGCTCTGGGTTCGGATCAAAGCGGACCTTGAAACACGTCTCCTCTCCACGGTTGGGCCTGGGCAGCGCCTGGAAATCGTCAATGCCGGTGTAGTCTGCCAAGTTCTCAGGCTCCTCGCTCTCGTGGACGTATAGATGTCCATCCGCTGCGAGGAATGCGAAGTAGGTGTATCTGGTCTCCTCATTATGCTTGACTGAGAAGGAGCGGTATGGTGACTTGTTTGACCTGCTCTCGTGGGCGGCCTTGGGATTACTGCCGCGAGAGCTGAAGCGCCGACTTGGCGCGGCAGAGTCGTCTTCGGCCCATAGCTTGAAACGGCCTTCAATACCAAGAGAAGCAATGAGATTCGGGTATATTGTCGGCGGCAGCCATTGGAGCTGCGCGTGGCCGTTAGCTACTACTTCTGAGGTCGGCGGCGGCCATTGAATCGTGAAAGCGCGCCATGGGGCAAGGCACGACCTACCTCTAGAACCTCGCCGGGATGGGCACCCCAATTATCACACATACGCCAGGTGCCGTCCTTCTGGCGGTTGAAGACTCGAATCTTGCCATCAACTGAGCCCGTCGCACAGCGGTCGCCATATGCATTAAATGCGACGGCCTGGACCAGGTCCCGATGGCCATGGGCAATCAGATCGAAGCTCGCGCTGTCATCCGTCAATGACGGGACATCATCCAGTGCAGGAGGCATGCTCGGCACTCTAGATCACCATTATCAATGGGCCAAAGTGTTCGAAGTCGGTGAGATTGATGCACATGTGAATACATGCATGTACGCAAGTAGTTGTAGCTCTTCAAGACACTCTACGTTGATTGCATAGCGGGGTAAGTTATTTGTTGCTTGTTGGCGTAGCAAACCACGGTTCAGTGCATTTGGGTTAGATGCATTTAGCGAACTAGTGGAACTCGGCTTCAGTCTTTCATATTCCATACCGCTCGACAATACACTAATTTCTTTTACGATGTTCTTTTTTGATAATGAGTGGCTCTTTGAATCTTAAGCCTGGCAGATCCGTCTTAGTAAACGCTGCGAAGGACACCTCTAGGCTTGATGTATGACTTACGACGCTGCATGAGTACCATGCCTCTGGCAGTGAGACTGCATTTCTTGGCTTATGCGTCCTTGGTGGTCATATATATCGGAACATGTTGTTCTTGACACTTCTTTTCATGGCTACGGGTTGGCCATCCTCGTACTCAATGCCCGCCTCGCCTCCATCCCCAGACAGGCCTGACATCTTCCGCTTCATCTCTTCATCAAGCTCTGCAATAGTCTTCTTCTTCTTGGGCTCCGAGCTCTTCGTTTCATCTGGCGTAGTGTAATGCTTTTTCCCAGACGCGTCCCCTTCTTGTTGGGATCCCGCGGGCGGATCAGATTTGCTGCCCACATAGGCTCTCCGGAGTTGGCCTGCAGTGGTCGCGGCTGGTGAGCATAATCCCTTTTGCAAGCGCTGAGGTGCTGTTCGTAACATCTTCAAAGACGCGTTAATTTCTGGAGACGGGAAGTCATTTAACATCAATGGGTTGCTGGCCTCTTTCAATGATGCGGATTTCCGCTCATGCCATAAGTATGACGTCAGTGCCTATCGCTGATACTATATGTTTTGTCCCCTTCAATAACCCATGAACTACAGGCGCACATATGCTGGTGAGTCTCAGTGACCCGTAATGACAACAGCGGTAGAAGAATCATACCAAAAATATATACCCCGCTGCATATGCATCTCTCCAATCACATCAATTCGAGGCTTGAACGGCAGAAAAGCACCGACACCAGCAACGAAGCATGCAAATGCAGATAATGACTGCTACACGATCATGTATTTCTTTTACAAGTATATCATCTTCAGAGACTAGGGTACCCATAAGATGCGAGATGAGTGTCCTGCTTAGACCAAACCATGGTGCCTTCACGTGGTTCTGATGCTTGAACACCCAGCAACTCCAGATCGTACCCTTGTGAGGACAAAAGACAAGGAGCAATGAAGGAGACAGCAGAACAACAGCAAGAGACCGGTAGTTTGAGATACTATGTCCCTTTATCAAAAAAGACAGCACATAAACAATGAACGCCGCTGCCGCCCCTCCTACCATTGTCGTCACAGGGAAGGACTTCTCATACACTACATGCATGATCATAGTACCGTCACTTAATAACAATTCCAATTCCTCGTGATTCAACCGTCTGGAGAATTATTTCACGCAATTCTCCCGAAATCACATCCCCCCAATGGCGGGTGGGATCCCAGCTCGTACCTGGCAGCAGTACCTCGAGTGGGCTGAAGACTACTTTCTGTTCCCCAACAGCCGGACGGCGCTGCTCCCGGTCGTAGCGTTCAGCTTCGATGGAACGTCGCAGACCATCATCGTCCGCAACAAGAGCAGCGCCCAATACACTGGGGCGAGCATCCGGGCGCTGTTGATCCGTATCACGGACTCGGGCCAGCTGGATGGCGCCGCAGAACGGGACGGGCGTGATCTACCGGCCAAGTTGGACATGGGGACTTGCTTGTTGGAGTTCTGGGATGGTGCGTGTAGGGGTCTTTATTGCCCTTTCCTTGTACACAAATAATGAATGGTTACTTACAGTGGAAAGCAGACAAGAATTTGGCTGAGAGGTGGCCAGAGTGGAAGGTCGAGACGAAGCAAATAGGCTGCTCGTCACAATGGTATACCCGAATTCTAGGATGGTCAGATCAGAAGATCAAAGACGAATTCGGCCTGGCATCTTCAGCCGGTCCTGAGATCAACTTCGAAGGAACACCTTGATGACTGCAGATGAGCACCTGGGTGCTTTCCAGGTTATAGATTGGGTCCAATTGATCACGGTTATACAGCAGCTTACTTCGATTAACATTGAGGATACAAGTAAAGATCACTTTTATTCGCTTCTCTCCTAGAATGAATCGCGGCTTGGGGCCGCTAGTGAGAGTGCGTATCTAACCACTGCCAACCAAAGCAATCAGAAGCCCATCGTATACATGTTCATGAACACAAGATTCGTCATTCCAAGTCTATCTATTCTTTATACCTGACCGCACGCCAGAAAGAACCTCATGATTTAATTAGCCGCAAACGTGGGGAAAGAATTCTACTCTTTGGCCTCCTCCGTCTCGGGCTGTGCGTCAGTCATAACCTCGTCCTTAGCAGGCTCTTCCTTCTTCGCTTGCTCCTCTGCAGCCTTCTTCGATTCCGCCTCAGCACGCTTGGCGGCAGCTTCGGCATCAAGCTTTGCTTGTACCGCAGCACGCTCAGCCTCTACCTTCTCGAAATACCGCTGGGTGATGGGGCCAGCCATGGCGCGGATCTCGTCCATCTTGGCGATGTAGATAGCCTTGGTGGCATCCTCGCCGTCCTCGTACAACCAATCCTATTGCATTATTAGCACAGACTCAAAACTGTTGTAATTCGATGTGAACCCACCTCGCTGTCAGTCAACTTGGATCGGAGCTTGTCCTTCTCCTCTTCGCTGGCAAAGTCGGCCAGCTGGTCATCGAGCTTGTTGCGCATGTCGTAGATGTAAGTCTCGAGCTCGTTCTTCTTCTCCTCGGTATCGGCCACGAGCTTGTCCTCCATAACCATGGCAGACTCCTTCTCGGTGGCTGCGTTCTTTGCGGGCTCGTCAAGGGAGGTCGTGCCAGCAACGATGGGCAAGTCACCCTTGCGGACTTGCTTCTTCACCTTGCGTGTCTTGGGCTTGTCGTCCTTCTTGTCGTCGGTATCCATGGCGTCATCGCCCTCCTTTGCCTCGTCCTTAACCTCCTCCTCGACCTCCTGGTCCTCTACATAGTAACCACTCTCCACATTCAAGACACCGTGAATGTTGACACGTGCCTTCAGCTTGCAGATCATGAACTCGGTCTTAGGGTCGGCCTTGACGCCCTTGACGGAGAAGCGTCCGATAAAGGCAGGGACCTTGCCGGGCAGCTCTTCGGGCTTGGCGTATCTGGCTTCCAAGTCGAAGGCCTGCTTTCGGTAGAAGGTCAGGATCTTGGTGGAAGGCAGCACGTTACCCTTGTTGAAGACGGTAAGGCTGGTGTCCTCATCAGGGATGTCGGCGTCCTTCTCCCAAGAGAATTCGATGGGGTAGCTGCAGATGTCCTGGACCGCGAAGTCACGGACCTTGAAGACAGGCGAGAGGATAGCGCAGCTGAAGGCGCAACCTCTTGCGATGGCCTCGTCCTGGTTCAGGGTGAAAGAGAGGGTCTTTCCGAAGAAGGCCTGGATTCTCTCCTTCAGGGCGGGAACGCGGGTGGAGCCACCGACAAGCTCAATGAAGTCGATGTCGTCCTTGGTCAGCTTGGCCTCGGCAAGGGCCTTCTCGATGGGAGCGGTGGCCTTGTTCAGGACGGGCTCTACGAGAGCCTCGAACTCCTGACGTGTGATCATGGCGGTGACATCGATATCATTCATGAGGGACTCGATGTTCATGGGGGCCTGCTGGTTGGCAGACAGGATCTTCTTCAGCTTCTCGGCAGCGGCATCGACACGGACCATGGCCTTGGGGTTGGTGGTGATGTCAATCTTGTATTTGCCCTTGAACTCCTTGTGGAAGTGGTTGACCAGGGCCAGGTTGAAGTCACGACCACCAAAGTGTCTGTCGCAAGCGGTGGCCTTGACAGCAAGCTCACCCTTCTTGAACTCAACGATGGAGGCAGTGTAGTTGCTGTGACCGATATCGATGAAGCAAACACGACGGGGCTTCTCCTCGGGGCCGGGCAGGTCGAGCTTGGTAATACCGTAGCCAAGAGCGGCGGCGGTTGTGTCGTTGATGAGGCGCAGGGTCCTCAGACCTGCGATCTCGGCGGCATCGATCAGGGCGCGGCGCTGGATGTCGGTGAACCAGGCGGGCACGCTCAGAACCATGTCTTGTACGGGAAGTCTCAGCTCGTTGGCGGCGGTCTGCTTGATCTTGCTGAGGTACATGGCCGTCAGTTCAGTGGCGGTGAACTGTCGCTTCTCGCCGAGGTAGGAGACCTCAGCGCCGACCTGGCCGTTGACGTCGACGAGGGCAGCCGAGACATATTGCTGCTCGACCTGGACATCGGGGTCCTTCAAACTCCGGCCTACTAAGCGCTTGAGGGAGCTGACGGTGTTCTTGAGGTTGGAGATTTCTTGAGTCTTGGCCGGCTCACCCAAGTAGCGGGACTTGGGACCAAATCCTACGAGGGAACTGGATAGAGAGAGAGTGCGGTTAGCGTGGATGCGCGGGAGAACGACCGGAGGGGGGTCGACGGGGTAGAAGTCTGGGGAGACAAGGACTCACGGTGTGGCTCGGTTGGAAACCTCATTGGTGATCTAGGACGTGAAAGTCAGCAAACGAACGGTCGCCTTGGGGCACGCCCGAAGGGCGTATGGTAGAGTCGAGAGGATAGAGAGGGTAGTGACGGAAAGAGAGATGCGCGGAAGTACTCACAACATCAACACCGCGATTTCTCGCAACCGCGATCACGGTGTTGAGGGTACCCAAGTCGATACCGACTACGCTCATCTTTACTTCGCGAGTGGGGGGGTTTGACAGGACGTTCTCACGGGAGGAGACGAGGGTTGCGAAAGGGGAGGAGAACCAAAGAGTTGTGTCTGGGTCGTTTTGTCCACGGCGGGTTTTGCAGATGTTCAGACTTTTCGGGACGTTGGAGAAAAAAAAAGCTGCCCGAGGGGATGAGTGGTGTCAAACAAAGGTGGGTAGGATAGGTAGAAACGAACAGGTGCGGTGCGTCCAGTGGTGAGGCTGCCCGCCAACCCGCCCGCAAGTTTCGCTGAGTTTGCGACCTCCCCCTCCTCTAGGCACACACCCCCCCGCCGTTGTTAGGCGCAACCAGCCTCTGCCTGAAGACTCCAGAACTTTCGAGCACCGACCCGACGCCCGCGACGACCTGGCCTGCCTGGCTCCTCCACAGTCCACAGCAGCAAGCTGATCGGCAACGAGGCTACGACCCTCACATCCATGCTCGCACGCCCGCATGCATTAAAAAAAGATAACAGCAAGTATGCCTTGTGGACAGTTATACTCATTCTATACTTGGTATTCTATTTAGAGAGCCCAACACCATCATTGGCTTGCTCCGGCAGATCGGCACGCGGCGTACCTTTGGCCCTCCATCTAGGTCGGGTACCCGTCCTGGCGCCTCTTGCCCAAGAATTCATGAATGGACACAACCCATGGCCAGTGGCATTCTCACCCGCTTGCGTATACATGTAATCACAAACTCTCACATGACAGTAAACACGTATGACGATATGTGAATTTGCGTCTACGGTCCTGTCCCATGATGCCGTTGCCATTCTCACCAGAAATGGCCCGAATGCAGTGAATCCCAGCTCCATTCACTTTCGTCATAACAATGGGTCTTCACGGCCTTACAAGCCCTGCCCAGGTGGTTGCTGGAGGGGTTTGGTGCTGGGCTGCACCCGCACCCCAAGGCGTGCCGTGATGAACCACTATGAGCACAGAAGGCCCAAGACCCCACCAAATTCCTGACCGCCCCGCGATTCCACAATATTATTGCATCACGACCGGGACGACGGCGAGACGTCCTCAGGATTTGTCACATAACTGACTTGTGCAGTGAGGCGAGGCTGAAAACCTCTGTCGACGCCCCCAGGCACCAGAAGGAATACCGGGAATCTGACTCGTCTCGAGATGCTTGACTAGCCCAGGCTAGGGAGACGATTCGGCGTTAAAAGCTCTGGGAGCAAGAAAAAATCTTTCCATTGATTTCATTGGCGTCTAATCCAGTATCTGCTTGTTGTCCGCCCAGGATGGCTCCACACCCCGGCATACACTTTCGTAGTCCCTATACTTTTGCTGGTCTATAGACAAGTCCGACGTCGTCCAGAACATGGTCCAGTTCATGTCCTTGATCTTCATGGTACCCCTCGATCGTTCGAAATACCATTTGTTCACCGGGTTGTCTTTTCTGCTCCTCCAACATACCCCGTCCGGGAAACAATCTCGGACCATCGCATTGAAGACAATGTCCGCTACACCTCCGGCACCTTGGCTTTTCCTGAGAACAGCAAACTTATCGAGGTATGGAATCATTCTGGATGGCGCCACCCTCTCGGGTCCACTTTCGCCAAACGGGCTTTCCCACGTTAGTATGGCCCCTCCTTCATACTCGCCGGCGATGATGATGCCGGCCAGATTGTCTTCTACTCGTTTGAGGTAATGCTCAACGTCAAGCTCTCTCCCGAATGAGTCGTTGATGAGATGCACGAGCCGGCCAAGATTGATGCATGGGTCTGTCAGCTTCAGGCGTTTCTCGCCCGGTTGCGGCGGTCTCCACGGAGCAACGCGGGGGTCTGGGAAGATAGTTAACGGCATGCCTCGCTTAGCTAGTGTTGTCAATGAGCCAATCCGTGGTGACGTCCCATTCGACGACACAACTGGTCGTATACGACCGGATGGTAGAGATGACGACTGAACGGGTCTATCGGTCAACAGGTTGTGAATGAGAGGGTTCAACTTCCTCCTGGTCGATACTAAAGCCCAGTCCAGGTCATCCTCTCCTCCCGATCTGTCGTTCGCTGCCTCCTGAGGTGTCGTTATGATCGCAGAGGAAGTAGGCGGTAGCAGCGACAACGTCTTCCTTGCCAGCTCAGCATTCTTCAAATGATAGAAACTGTCACTTCGTGGCTTATCCGATGTCGTATGTGCTTCACATGCCTCTGAGAGGTGCTTGGTAACCTCTTCATACTCCTGCTCCATGTTGAGGAACATGTGTCGTCCCGTCGCCCTGTTCAGAGCGGGAATGCCTCCCACAGGATCCAATATGATCAATCTATACACCTCGGCGGACTTGAAGAGCCGCGTGAGCTGGTCGTCCTCGGCCGGCTGGCCTAAGAACTGAAGACCCGAAAGCTGGCGGGCCAGTGCAATGACAGTTTCGTTGGGATCAACGGATCTAAAAGAGCAGAGATCTTCCGTGTAACCAATGGAGGGTACAACGGCGATGGCTTCGTCTTGCAGCGTGTCCATCAAATCTTTCGAGTTGCCGACGAAGAGGTCTTCGGAAGTAAACGGCGAAGTGTCTTTGCCGGCCGCATCTCCTATGATGATCGGGGATTGAACAATACGAGCGCTCGCTTCATCGTACTGATCATCGATTGCTGTCACAATCCGGCTGGCTTGCATGTTGGTGACCTGGCGCCGCGTGGCCTCGTCTTCGGAAGGGAGATCACAGTCGACAACCACAATACTTGTCAGGCCCAGCTTCTTGAGCTGACTCAAAGTCCTTCCAACTCCATGCATCGTAGAGTCGTCGAGGTCTTGGGGTGCCCTAAACTTCACCAAGGCAACATAGACAGGCTCAGAAACTGCAGCTGCACTGCCCAATGTCTCCGTTGAATCTTGAGCTTCTGCAAGCGTAGATTGTGTCTCTTTCGTGCCATTTTCTTGGGTTTGAGATGCTTGCTGCTTGAAGTTTGTCGCGCCCTTTTTCTGGAGGAGCGGAACAAACTTGTTCATATAAGCACGTGCATCTCGCTTAGTGACAGATGTCTCCAGAACGGAAAGCAGAAAGTCCTGGAGACCATCAGCAATGTGCTGTGAAGAACGATTATGCTAGGACGGATAGATACCCTGTCTTGTTTCTTCTGTTGTTTCTGCGCGTCTGAGATGGATGCGAATGGCGACTTGAATGCTATTGTTGTTCTGGCCCGACCGCTACTTTCAGCCACCGCTCCTAAGGGCGTGGGCTTTTGCGAGCCATTGCTTGACCGCGTTGCGATGCTCCTCTGAAAATCCTTGGTGAATGGTACCTGAGCATCGTAAGATATGCATTCTTGTCACTCTGAACGCGCAAAAGCACAAGTCATCTGTCATTCCGAAGCTTCGTGAAGACAAGTGAAGAAACATTCGGGTGCGGGAGGTAGCCCACTTACATTGATCGTAGAACTAGCCTTTTTGAAGGCAATCGTTCGCGGATTCATGTCGCAACAGGCATCTTGCGAGGCCCGGGAGGACACTCGACAGCTTTGGGCTTATAGCATCAAATTTTGTCCATGGAAGTGGTACGGAGGAAGAGCGGTGCTGTTGTTCATCTCAATGTTGTGAAGCATCCCCGTGAGTCAAGATCTGATAAGGCCGATAAAGCCCTCGACAGCTAACCGGTATCGGTCAAGTGTAGCGGGCGCCAGCGGGGGCGGTGACATCAAATTGAAGGGTTTTCTGTGCCGACACGTGCCTGCAGGCTAACCGACAAGGGAGCCCCCGGCTGGCACTATGCAACCACCTGCCGAGCTCAAGGCCGCCTTTTCTTCACCACGCACCTGGATGCCTGAAGGGTCAACTTGCATACATACCCGAGTTAGGTACTTAAATATGTAGTAGGTATGTGGTAGAACGTATCAACCCATCAGATCACCATTACCTAACAACATGGATATGGGTATCCTGGTAGCAATGTTTCTGATTATTATTATTTATTAGGCACCTCTTTCCTCCATAGGTGGTATATACATATGCCACTACCTTGGAATATATTATCGATGACTATGTTATTGCCGACCTAAGAATGTAGGTTAGGTACAGTCTTATTGTTACTGGCGTTTGTAATGGCGGAATATGGGCATATCTTCTGCTCTCGATTTGTAGTCTACGCGACAGATATACAGTAAGCTCCTGTAGGCAATTTCAAAATGAGACTTCGCCTTGAAAATGCTGACTGCCCAAATATTCTGACCTGTGGTCGTGGTGCCCCAAAAAAAAAGCTAAGCAGTATGGCTCTGTCAGCAGTCGCTCTTTGCCTCTTGGGATACCAGCAATCCTCCTTGAACCTCCAAAGCGCCTTCCGTGTGCAACGCCATGCGATACACAACGAAACGGTCCGCCTTGTCGAAAGGTTAGCATCATACATTTTCATGGCAACATAAGCCACTCAGCAGTCCGCATTTCAGATCGATAGTCATACGCCGCTGCATTATCAGCACACATTTTTTGTCAAGATGCCTACTATTTGGAATGAGACTTTCGAAATTGACATGCCTCTTTGTGCAGGCAGAAATATCGCTGAGCAGTCAATCAAGGACCTGCAGCATTCGATGAACGTCGGCCACTTCACAGCCCTTGACCTGACCAAGTGCTACCTCGCCTACATTCAGAAACTCAATCCGCGTTTGTCGTATGTTCTCACCAGTGACTTATCCGCGCGGTGTAATAACGACTGAGACATACAGCGCCGTGATTGAGTTGAACCCTGATGCCCTGGCGATTGCAGACAGACTTGACGAGGAGAGAAGATACGGTATTGTTCGAGGACCTCTGCATGGCATACCATTTTTGGTAAAGGACGTGAGTATTTTCAGCCATAACACTCCATGACGACCTGCTTCTCACTATCCTTTCAGAACATTGCGACGAAGGACAGTATGAACACAACCGCTGGTTCGAGCAGTAAGTTGGTTACACAGTGGTGACCAGTGAGATATCTCGGCTCACCATTCTCTGCAGTGCTCATTGGCGCCAACGTTCCTCGTGACGCTCATGTTGTGGAACTTCTAAGACAAAAGGGAGCCGTACTTTTGGGCCATGCCAATATGTCCGAGTGGTCATCTATGCGATCGTTTCATTAGTAAGTGCCGGTTCCCTTACTATCCCACTGGGGACTCCTTGCTGACCTGGGTAGCTCCGAGGGCTACTCGACCCGGGGAGGGCAGAGCAGGAACCCTTACAATCTCTCCAAGAATCCTGGGGGTTCAAGTTCGGGTTCTGCTAGCGCTGTATCTGCCAACATGTGTGCTTTCAGCCTCGGCACGGAAACTAAATCTAGGGTTAGTCGCCTCACATGTACCATGGATGCTGTGTTGACTTGAAAGCAGGTGATATTTCCTGCCGACCGGAACGGTGTCGTTGGGCTCAGACCTACCAGGGGTCGAGTATCGTGTGATGGTGTCATTCCAGTGTCTCGCAATTTTGACACAGTCGGAACTTTTGGTCGAACCGTTGCGGACGCCGCTGCTGCCCTTGATGGTATCTCCGATGGCAACAGATCTTTGACCAATCATTTGACCGACCACCGAGATCTATCCGGTACGTTATTTGGAGTGCCAATGGAGGGAGTTTGGGACTGCGGAGAGAGAGACCCAAGCAAAAGAGCACAAATGCCACGTCTGAGACTGGCTGTACATTGGGCTATGTGTCATGGCGCGCTCGTAGATGTCACAAAGATTGGCAGTATTGGAGAGAGTGTCCCTGATTATGGTTGCTGTGACTGGTATGTTATCAGGCTGTGGCTTCACGAAGTTGGCGCTGGCTCTGATTGACAACTTCAAGGGACTTCCAATCGCTACGGGGATACCCAGAGCGTTCCCAACACACAGTAGTCAAAGTTGACTTCTTCAACGACTTGAGGAGATATCTGTCCAGCTTGGTCACAAATCCCTGTGGCATACACGGCGTCCAAGAAGTGGTTGCATACAACAGGAATATAGCATCTGGAGGAGGTTTCCCTTGGACTCATCCAGCATGGCCTAGCGGCCAGGACAGTTTCGAAAAGAGCATGGCGTCTGGGGGAACCGAGGACGATACATACCGTGACGCCTCATCACACATTCAAAGGATGTCGCAGGACAACGGTCTAGACCGCGCCTTTGAATATGATGATGAGCGGGACTTTGATGCACTGCTGGTTCCGGTGCAGGCCGGAGGAGGTGCAGTCATGCAACTAGCGGCGCAAGCTGGTAAGTTATCCTGCCACCCTCGGCCAAGCCATCGATTAGCCTTTGACCGCTCTCGTAGGGTATCCCATGATCACCATCCCTCTCGATATTAATCCATTCGACGGTGAGTTGGTCATCCCTGGACCTTGAGAAGGACGCTTGCTCTACCCCTGTGAACCCCTTCCATAGAGATGAGTAAATATGCAACATGCTGATGCTCATACCTACCAGGTGTTCCGTATGGAATTGCCCTCATAGTCAAACCCCATCGAGACGATAAACTGATCAGATTGGGTTCTGCTCTTGAAAGAGTATTGCTGATCGAAAATAGAGCAAGGCAACCACCTTTGTTTCTCAATGTCGAGGCCGAAAATCTCATCTTTATCAAAGATGGCACAGACGATGATGACTCAGAAGGTGACTATCACTCCGATGAAAATGATACATACGATGAATACGGGCAATTGATGTCATAGGACGATTGAAGACCAGATTCGGCGGATTTGCAGACGAGTAGGAATTACTACACGCGGTTTGGCGGAGAACAAGATTCCCGAACAGAAGGCAATCAACTCTCTTTATCTGTACTATTCGGCTGAAAAAAAAAATGCATTAGTTTGACTAAACCAGAATAAAAGATGTCGGCAAGTCTGACCCAACAGTAAATGAAACCCTACATAGGTGTGATAGAAGAGGTAGCCTTGACAGTCATCCTGGGATGCTTGCTACATGCTACGAGATATTCAGCATCTAAATTTTGTTTTACAGAATATCCCAATAGAGCTGTGAGATGGACGAACTACAGGTACAAAAAACTTGTCAGTTCAAGTGGCCATGTTGCATGCAAAATCCAGCTTGTTGCCGCTGCCTTGACCGGGACGGCCGTTGCCCCGTTTGTCACGACGCGACGCTGAACCGCTGCTCAGGGGAAAACTATGACGCGTCCTCAACAACATAAGAAAACATAATGTTTGCACGTCAGGTTAAATTTTGTCTTTTTCTTGAGAGACCATCTGGCCCCCCACAGAGCATTTTATCTACTGCTGCTAAGCTTTTGGCTTGCCCCCTTCTCCCAAGACGTTGATAATCCTCCCACTTTCTGATGTACATCATCAAGGATTGCTACTTGCGAAGATGGTTCCCACGATTACAATGCTTCTCTTGCTATTTCTGATCTTGGACTTGGCTCAAGGCATCCTCGTACACACCGGCAATGGGACACTTCCACTTCCGCTTCCAATTTATGACTACATCGTCGTTGGCGCCGGCATTGGAGGTCTCGTCGTTGCCAACCGCTTGTCGCAAGATCCAAGAGGTTGGTTGTCCCCGTCATCCACTCTGATGATCGATCAACCGCTAAATTCTTCCGCAGTCACAGTTCTGGTGATCGAGGCTGGTCCACTGTAGGCAAGCAAGGCTCCGCTTCTCGGCAAGACTGACAAGCGTTTGCCCACAGCGACGATAGGAGTACCCAGGTCGAGATACCCGGTTTCATTGGCTTCGAGAACCCCCAACGCTACGATGCCAATCTGACTACTGCCACCCAAGAATTCCTGGGCAACCGGACTCTGCCTTTCGGACAGGGTAAGGTCGTCGGGGGTAGCACTATCCTCAATGGTCTCTGTTGGACACTGGGCTCGAGAGCCAACTTTGATGCCTGGGAAGCTCTAGGTAACCCAGGCTGGGGCTGGGACGGTCTCTTGCCCTATTTCATGAGAGTAAGCGTTTGTTTTATCCAAGTCCACCGCTAAAATGCTGGCTACTTCGGATGACATAACTTGTGATACTACGCCTTGTTTTGGTCTTCAAAGGGAGAAGAAAGCTCAATTCCGTCGTCCCATCATTGTCATGTTCAATTTACCGTGATTGTGCACTAACGCGCATCTAGTCTGAGAAGTATGCCATCAACGGCGATAAAACTCTACGAGAAGGTCAGCATACCCAATTCCAGCGCTTTGGACATGGTTTCGACGGCACAGTCCAGATCTCGTATCCGAATTACTTCTACAATCAGTCTCGTAAGTCACAGTTTCATGGGCTTGGAACATATTCTGTCCCATGGTTGTAGAGAGCTGGCAACCCTTTCTGCGTGAGAATCTCCAACTAACTCCACCATCCGTGACAACAGAGAAATTCCTGGATGGACTCCAGCAGCTTGGCATGCCTTCAACGAAGATCCAAACCAAGGATATGTGACTGGTGCCTCCGTCATACCAAGCAGCATGTCTGCAGACAACCAGTCGCGCTCCGATGCCCGCACGGCGTATCTTGACCCAGCTAATTCGAGACCAAATCTGCACCTGCTGACTCAAACCACGGCGACACGCATCCTCCATAGCGATGCGCCTTTCCGGAACTCAAGCTTCATTCCGACCATGAAAGGCACATCGATAAGCGGAGTTGAGGTGAGTATGAAATCGTTCGAGGCGGCCGTCTCCATCTCACTGATCTCGTATTGAATCTGCAGTTTGCCGAAAATGCCACCGCGATTAGGCGTGTTGCAGTTTGCAGGAAAGAGGTCATTCTCGCAGCAGGGGCTATCTTCTCGCCTATTTTGCTTCAGATTTCGGGTTTTGGGCCTCGTGACGTGCTTCGTAATCTGGGTGTTGACATGGTCGTTGACATCCCGGGTGTTGGGAGAAATCTTCAGGATCATCCGATGGTTCAGATTCTCTACAACTGTCAGTGACTGCCCGTTCATTCATGCGGGAGGTAAGAACATAACCCCTGGTTGCGGTTTACTGATTCCCTCCTAGACACGAACCCTGCTGATCTCCTCACGGCTGAGAAAATACACCACAATGAGAGTCTCAGGGACGCTACGTTGAACGAGTATGCTGCAAATAGAACAGGTTCAAGCGCCACTTCCAGTTGCCCGCGAGGAGTATACTGACACAAATATGCTAGGCCCTTTTACATCTCCAATGGTTGACGTAGTTGCCTTTCCTGCTCTGAAGTGGTTGCTGAATGATACTGAGTTCGCGAGCCACGTCGCGAAGGCCAAATCAAACGACACATTGCATCTACCTGATGGCTACGACGACTCCCTCATTGAAGGATATATGGACCAGCTATCAGTTCTTCTGCCCTTGCTGTCAGACAATGGATCCGCCGTTTATGAACTCATGTCGACTTCGTGGGGACAGCTCTCCGTCAGCAACATGCAACCCTTCTCGCGGGGGATCGTCCAAGCGGCCTCGCCATGTATCTTCCGCAACACACCGCCCATCATCGACCCTCGTTACTGCTCACACCCGCTTGACTGCGATATCGTAGCCCTTGGATTGCGACTCAACTCACGACTAATACAAACTCCGTCCATGGCCGCACTGAAGCCTGTGCCCCAAGTTGGCTTCGGTCCAGATGAGGTGTCAAATGCAACGGCGCTCGACGACGCTCTCCGCGCGCAGATCAAGACTGAATTCCACCCTAGCGGTACCACGGCCATGCTACCAAGGGGTAAGGGTGGTGTGGTCGATCCGTCGCTCAGAGTCTACGGCACGAAGAACTTGAGAGTCGTAGATGCCGGGGTCATGCCCTTGATCCCTGGGGCACACATACAAGCCGCTATCTACGCCATTGCCGAAAAGGCTGCGGATATAATCAAGATGGAGAACTCGAATTCTCCAGGAGTAGTGCCACCTATTCCCGGTGCGACTCCCACCTTGACGTAAGATCAAAGGGAGGTTGGCTTGGTGGTTGAATGGCAGCATCCGGAGCCTTGGCTAGAAGTTTTGTGGCTTAGTCAACTAGGTGAAGACCTTGCATCTTGCCGGAGACGAGAAGTACGCATGAACGGAACGCCGGGATATTGACGTATGGGATAAATGAAGAAAGAGACCAAAGGCTTTGTGTGTCACTTCGATAATATATGCTTGCATTCCACTTCATGCAGACCCTTGAGGGTAATTCTGTAATGGCCGTCTGCCTAGAGAATTGTCCACTTCACTACACTCAAACCGCTCAATGTCACTAACTTCATCACTCATCATAAGTCGATTGCTCACCACGAGATATGTCTTGTGCAGTGTAAGACACTTTGCCATTCTCGATCCGAGCTGCTGTAAACGAATGAAGTCAAAACACAGAAAAAGGAGATAGCTCGAAGATCGAACACCCGCCTTGGTCACCAGGTACCTCCTCTATGCCATAGGCGCATGTTTGAGACGCTTTCTTTTCCCGGTGCTTGTCTCTGTAGTCCATTTAAGTCTACGTAGAAATTGTCAACCCAACCTTATGAGGCGAGTCAACCAGTGTTACCTGCTGTTGTCGTGACTTGGATTAACGTAGAGAAGAACTTGCAAATATGATGCATATCAGACTTTTTACTGAATGACGCGTCAGCGTTGTGCAAATTCTCTTCTAGGTGTGCTGAATCCTATGGCTCAATGCTTCCGTCGCGGATTCTCGTGTTTGACCAAACCGGGCAAAAGTGACGGCCCACTCGTTCGTCCTCATCAAGATTCCACATAACGTGGTGTTATTGAGCACCGCCCAAACACTTGCGATAGCAAGGTCTCGGTGTTCCTCCCCTTGACCCGGCCAAAAGTTATGGCAAGGGAGTATAAGAATCACCGACGACGTCGTTGACAACTGATGCACCTCATAGCTCCACACTGAATAATGCTGGCGCGTCACCATGTATATTAAGTGCCTTCGACATCGCTAGGTTTAGACATTTGGTCTCAGGTCTAGAGAGACTTGAGTATGGTAATTCCGACGACCTTCCCGCCATTCCACAGGCTGCTTGGCAGAATCCAGGGACAGCCCCGTGGAATCTAGTTACGAGCACCGTAGAGTGACCTTTCCAGATCTGCAGCGAGGCCGATGCCAGTGAACAGCAACAGAATGTTGCAAATACTCTGTTGATCTTCCATTGACCATATCCGACGCCAGCTAGCTATAAGTTTCGCAGTTGAACAATCAGAAGGAAGTTTAATTCACAGAGAAGTATTCAACGTAGGTTGAGTTCTGATTGGCTGGCGCACATAACCCCCACAAATACCTACTTAGTGGACAATCAGCCAAGCGTGTTTCTGCCTAGCCGCATCCCGAAGGAGTATAAGTATCTGTCCTCCCCTCGACCTTATTGCTTTCCTCTTCTTTTCTGAAGCATACTTACCTTGCTTTAAACGGGTGCGATCAAGCATGCGGCCGTTTGGTTTGGGGGATCTGCATTGCACAGCGTGGCATTCTCCTCTCCCCACTATCCTTCGGGGTCGTGGAAAGTGGAATTTTTGATGTCCCTTCCATTTTTCGTTGTGAGCGTCGCCGCGAGCGATGCCATGAAGAAGAAGTTCTAGTGACCACACAGCTTCGTCATTGATGTGCTTGTCAACTTTATCGAGATTGAAGTGATATGTCCGACACTGCTTCAGGCTCTGAATCCCGACGAGCATCTGGTCATCTTTGGAAGATTGATGATGCTGCTGTTGCCATGCCAAAACTTGAGAGCGAAATTTCATAAATTTCAGGCACACTCTAGAGCTTTGCCCTTTACCAAAAACGACAAGAGACAGCGCGCTCAGAACAAGAACCTAGTGTACTTATGGCGTAGATAAGGGGCAGACAAAACATTACGGCACGGCCACCGGCCAGGAACGACGGCAAACAAGTGGCCGAGCGCAACGGCGCGGTACTACAGCGACTGCTCTCGACAATTACGTGCGTTTGTCTGCCGCAACACATGATTCACCGGAGATGTCGAGGGCAACCGTCGGCTTGAAACGTTGCAACCGACAGCAGTACCGTGCGGCATCCGATTGGTGTTTTGTGAGAAGCCGGGATCGACCTTTGCGAACCGACGATCTGGCGCAGATGGACAGGGCATTTGCTGTAGATACAGGAGGCGTTGTCAGTGATTGGAGCCTCGAGCTTTGCAGCTGCAAGAGGAGGCACCATCTTATGCATCTTGAGGCAAAGATGCCGTTGAGTGGACGATAATGGCTACGGTACCCAACCAACTTACTGCCGAGCACTAACAGGTGGCAGCAATCACCCGTGAGATCCGGTTCACTTCATCAGCCAAACTGGCAACCAAATCTGCGCACACGGATGCACGGTCAAGTATTGGAGATATACTATCCTCAACAGGAAAACACCGGGTGGGTGCTATCAAGTTTAGCACTAATTAGTAGAGCTCTCGGGAGTCAAGGGAGTCCCAGCTTGCCGACAAGAGATGTGAGCCGTCGGTGTTTCGAATCGGAGGGCCCAAACCCGTAAGCCGCCAGATCACCGCGTCCGCGAGGGTGGAGCGAGTGCCCTTGGGAAAGAGGGCAAACACCGTGTTGTTCAGCTGTGCTGTATCCCAGTAGATGAACCGATAACGATTTTGTGCGTATTACAGTACGACTTTTCTGACGACCATTGTATTGAACAAGAAATAAGGGTATCTCGAACTATAACAACTGATAGGGAAGCCCAAGTCAAGATTCATGCGAGATAGCGATATGCTCACAGCACAGGTCAGCTAGCCCCAACCCTAGACTAAGAAATGCGACCGTTCCAAACTCTGAAGAGCTGACTTGCGGGACTTGGTGTCTTGGACAGTCAAGAATGACACTGTAGCGGCTAAGGTACAGGGGTATTTAGGCCGTACACCTGTTGATTCGCACACTGGTCACGAGCAGTTTTGCCTAGGTTTCGTCATAACTGATCCTTTTATCCTCAACTTTGCTTAACCCTACATTCATATCGTTCAGTATCGTTCACTCAGCTCGATCATTCACATGGCTAGTCAGCTCCTTCCCGCGGCTACGCCTCACGACGTTGTTCACATGGCGAAAGCAGCAGATAAGGAGAAAGCAACCTCTTTGCGTCCATGCGAGAGAATGATGGCGACATCTTTCTCTCCATAATGACCCTGCCGGCCGAGCACTGAGTCGATTCCATACCGAAGTCTACGGACAGCACCATCAGTCACCTCCCGGTGGTCCTTCATCATCATCGCACATGGCACACACCACCAGAGCAGCAGTCTCATATGATTTGCTGCCTGAGCTGCTGGGGGCCGCGACAAGTGCGATGGCCTCAGGCGACAAGGCAACGGGGGGTTGTGTAAGATGAAGTCAGCGAAGACAGGGGTGGCAAGCCAGGTTTCCGTCTTGGTCATGCAGCAAAAGTGCGCAAATGTCTCACCTCGACCGACGTAGCCCACCGCCTTTTGGGCCTAGTATCACCTGTGGACGCGACATGATTGGCCGGGCTAGGGGGGGGCCAATCTCACAACAATGCAACGGACGGCGCTGGGCTCCTCCTGTGTGTTCGCTTCGCGCCGCGCGCACCTTTGGTCTGTCTTCTCCCTCCCCTTCCCAAACTCGACGTCCTCCCAACTCTCCCACCCCCGCCCCTCTGGCCTGGCAGCCTGGGTGCAGGCGGCCGAGGAGAAAAAAAAGGTCGCAGCTGCGCCATTGGCCATTGGCCAGCGCCGAGCCACCCCCATGGCTTCTTGTGGGATTTTGGCCAGGCGCGATGCAGCATCATTCGTACTCCCTCAGACTGCCCGCCTCTAAAAGCAACACCCATTTGCCATGCAAGCCGCAAGAGTTGGTTTTACCACCAACCGGTACCATATTACCTCTTCTCCATCGACAACTGCCATCCCCGCAGGCACGGGGCATGAAGTCGTCCATTCCATCCAGGTGAGCCGCCAAAGGTGAGAGTTTCGTATCTAGTCTTGCTTGTTTTTGTTGGCGTCTTGATGGTTCTTCAAGCTTTTCCATTCTTCCTTCTGTCCTTTGCAGCCTAGCACCAAAACGGCTACAGCAGCACCCGCCCACCCTATCTATGCGCGTCGTCCGCACGCAGCGCACGCACACACACGCACACACATACATACACACGCGCACACCAAGGTCCTGTCCTAGACAGGACCGCGGGTACGCTGTGGCCGCTAGGGACGGTACAGTTACAGTCCAATGGCGGAGGCGAGGCCGTCCCGCGCCCGCTAGCAGCAGGGCACACAGCACCCCCAGCAGCCCAGCACTTCGACACCACAGCGCCTAGCACCAGCGTGCACCCCAAACGAGGCCAAGGTGCCCCAAGGCCCTGTTGGTGCAGCATTGGTGCTCACTCAGACTCGGGCCTGGCACAAGTCGTTCTTTTGCGTGCTGGCTTGGCTGGCTGGCTGGCTGGCTGGCTGGCTCGCTGTCCGTCTGCTTTGGGGGCGTGCTGGACGTGCCGGTGCTGGTGTTGCCTTGTCGGACGTCTGTCTGTCGCTGCTCGATGTACTGCACTGGGCTCCGCTCCCCATTTCTCCTCCTCCCATCATCCCCCCCATCCGCCGCTGCCATTGGGCGCAAGCCTTTTCGCTTTCCCTCCCAGCCAGTCTCAGGTCTCAAGTCTCTCTAGTCTCGTTCTCTACTCGCACCTTCTCCTCAACCCCGTCCTTCACTCTCGCTCTGTCGACTTTTCCATCCCCCCCCATCTTTCCATTCTCCCTTCCGCGAGACTCGAGCGCGACCACATTCCCTTGACGACCCCGTCTGTTTATTCCCTCGAGATCATCCCAGAGACTCGTGTGCAACTTTTACTCGACCCGCTCCAAAGTTTATTCGGCACTACTCGAGGCGCAACCTTGGAAACCTAAAACTGGTCCTGGCCTCTTCTCGCGATCTCGACGCTGCATCCTCCCTCTGCCCTTCCACGCACGACGGTCGCTCTGGTCGCATTTTTGCCTACCTATCGGCCCTCTCGCGACCTCATTGACGTGCATCCTTCTGCGCGGTTCCGCCGTTATCCTTGCGTCGCGGCCGTATCCTTTGTGCGTAGTGGCCTCTCGCGCCTTCTTGGCCTCGAGTCCTCGACCGACGGATCGCCGACTCTCTCGACGACGACGAGGACCACGACCGCCACCCCGACGCCCACGGCCTTCAGGCTTCCCCCCAACGGATGGTTGACACCGTCACCAGCATCATTTCCCCCATTCGACAACCGCCGTACCGTGCCGTCGTGTCGTGTCGGGAAGGGCTTCGTCATGCCACCCGGACCACGACGGTAAACCTCCCTTCATCATTTCCCTCTGACACCGAATCACCCCGTGAGGTGTCCTGTTAGATTATGACAGAGAAGCTACATTCGCTGTCGACGCATATCGTGCCTCCGAGTCAGACGACCGTTACGAGCCCTAAGCCGGTGCCTGTCCTGCTGAACCACGCGTCCAGCAAGGCCGAGACGGTAGATGAAGAGCCGTACACGATCAAATGCATCTGCCCCTTCGCTGACGATGACGGGAACACGATATACTGCGAGACATGCGACACCTGGCAGCATATCGAATGCTATTATCCCCACAATGTGCAAGACGCCCTGCAGGAGGACTTTGCGCACTCCTGCGTCGACTGCAAGCCGCGACTGCTCGATCGCCATCTTGCCATCGAGCGACAACAAGCCCGCCGCGCCAAGGTCAAGACCGCCGAGAACTTAACCGAAAGGAAACCGAAGCGACCGCCGTCCAAGAGTCACAAGAAGAAGACGAGGCCGAATGACCTCCAAGTCAATGGCCACAGCGGTTCGGATTCAAATGCGAAACAAGCCGGCGAACATCACGGTCACAAGAAGTCCAAGAGCACCCACCGACCCAGTCAGTCGATCAGTGGGACCGCAAAGCGCAGTCCTTCCTATGGCCAGAAGACTACCAATGGAACGTCTCATGGGCACCCTCCAAGTCCTGCCACAACCCCTCCCGATATTCCGACGGACGTGGAGATTCACAACTACTCGAGCAGTTTCTTGACCTTGTACAATGACGACCGCGACATCCAGATCGTCTCAACGAACTCTTTCGCCGGCCTCGAGATCTCCAATGTCATGTCTTTTTGGCTGCGGGATCACGATAGGTTACAGCGCGAGGCTGGCTGTGATTACAAGGATGTCTTTCAACAACTTCCACCCAACATTGATTCGATCAAAAGGACACCAGTGATATCCCACAAGGAGCACCTGATGGCCCCGGATACAGTCTTGCACTGGCAATATTTGACTACACCACAATCGATCGAGAAGGATACTCCTCTCGTCGAACTGAATGGCCAGTTGGGCTTCCAAAAAGACTACTGCGCCGACGAGGCAAACAGATGGGCCGAGCTCAGCTCGCCCCTGCCGTTCGTCTTCTTTCATCCGGAGCTACCCTTGTATATCGACACCAGGCGGGAAGGCTCGCTTGCCCGCTATGTACGGAGAAGCTGCAGACCGAACGCCACGATTGATACCTACCTGTCCGAGGGCTCGGAATATCACTTTTGGCTTGTGAGCGATCGTCGAATTGCGCCCAACGAGCAAGTCACCATTCCATGGGATTTCAGATTTGAGAATGGCGAGCGCGGAATGAAGACTCGCCAGTTACTCGGCATTGGTGTGGGAGAGATGAGTGAACTGCCGGATTACGATCCCACCCAGATTGAGCAGTATGAAGGCCTTCGTACGTGGCTCTCCCTGATCTTGTCAGAACACGGCGGTTGCGCATGCGATCTTGGTTCGGACTGTGCCTTCCGGCGATTCTACAGGAAGTACATCAACAGGTCACACTCAAAGTCGGGAGCAGTCAAAAAGAAGTCGCGTAAGCCCAAGCCTCACGCCATTTCTCCCACTAGCACTGGCCATGCGACGAACAGCCGCGCCCCTAGTGAAGGCCATGGCGACGACGTGCTCGATAACGACTCGGGATCATCACACAGCAAGCCACCCAGCCGGGATATGACGCCTGCACCACGTCAAGGGTCCTTTGACACGCTGGGAATACTGACCGAGCCAACCGACAGAGACAAGCGAAAGGTTGCCATGGTGGAGGACTCCTTTCGTCGGATGGAACAGCAGCAACCCCCGCGGAAAAAGAAGAGGACCTCTGATGGTACGGTTGTATCAAAAGGCAAGCGGAACTCGTCGGGATCTGCTGCTGGCTTGACCAATGGTTTGGGTGAGAGACGCTACGTTGATGCTAGCACCAATCGAAGCATGTCCGGCTCACCTCAGAGTGCCATTGCACCAAACTCAGCCAATCATTTCCGGGCACCCGGCTCCAGACATGGATCTATGCCGATTCCATCCCGTCATTCGTCCGAAGGTCCTCGGCCTGTATACTGTGATGCCGCAGTTCAAACCGATGCGGTGGAAGGGGAGTGGTTCAGCTCGGCACGGTCGACACCTCGGGCGAAGAGGCGTGTAGTCTCACTATCGAAGCGCTTGCTGGAAAATCGACATCGCTTGAGAGCCGACCTAGAGGAGCGTCGAAGGCTTTCGACTGCCTCGCCCACATCAGTTGTGTCCGCCTTAGTTAAGATGGACCTCGATTCACCTAAAGTACAGAACGACCGTCTACAGTCGCCTGTCACAAGCAAAGATAATCTGGGAGCGACCACTGTCAAGACTGATTCAAGCGGTGACGCCGTGATGTTAGACGTACCAATGGCATCGCCGACTGATTCGAAAACGGCTTCCCCTACAGAGACTGCCAGTTCGCCCAACGTTGCTGTCAAATCTCCAGAACTTCGAGTTCAGCTACCACCAGTTCCCACATTTAACAGCACAGCCTCTGTCTCTGCTGCAACGACACCTATGTCTGCGACAGGAACAATAGTGCAATCGCCATACTCATCGGGCAATCTCCCCAGTCCTTTTGGGGCCTCTGTTACCACCAATGGTGTGGCCGTCCACCCCAGCCCGGTGAAAAAGAAACTGAGCCTCAGTGATTATAAGAGCAGGTTAAGCAAGGCGGCGGCAGCGAAGCCGGTGGGGGCAACGCTGAAGCAGCCGGTGCCAATCTCGGAAGAGGCGAAGTCACCAACGGTCACGGACGTGCCCATGTCGGATTCGCCAAATGCGGAAAAGACTGCAGAGCAATAAAACCTGAGCAATCCGCCCATGCCACATCAACCCGGCGCCTCCGACTTTTCTATTTTTTCCTTTTTCTTTGTACGATAAGAGGCGGAAGTACCAAAATATGTGTGTGTAAGGTGTACTTCGCCATGGCCGCATGTCTTTGGTCTGTCTCGTCTCGATCTACGCTTCTTTTCCTTTGAAGATGGATTCCACGTATAAAATGTGGCAAGGGGTTGGCTGGTGTCATGGCAGCGTTGATTTTCCTGCGCCTGGCGTTGGGGGTCTGGTTGATACACGGTCAGCCCAACGGCTGGGGGTTTACTTTTGACTGGTTTAACGCGGAGTTTACAAAATGTTTTGAACGAACGGATGCCTTCACGGCCAATCATTACCCGATATCCCGCCCTGATGGATCTCTATAGCTGCCCCGACTTGCACGCCTTGGTACGATGTCTGGATCCTCATCCGATTGAGAGGATGCCTTGAGAACTGGAACAGGAAGAGCAGGGAGTCCAAAACCACAAAAAGGCCTACATGCCGTGTATGTACTATTAGATGGAAGACCGAGATGAGAGATACCTCCTCGGCTCCATGACTGGACCGGACTTGAAAGGGGCTTATGCTTAGATACTCATCACAAGCGAGCATGGCTTATTCCCATTCAAAAATACAGTTCTGAAGAATGCCTGATTGGCATAATCATTCCCTCCATCAAATTGTCTTGATGACGCTGGCACATGGTGAACCAACCAGCTTAGCATAAATGCAGCCAACAGATGCGGCGGTCGATTTCCGTTCGTGTTCCTGCGTCGTGACGTAGAACGGCCTCGCAGAGTTTCCTATATCAAAGTTTTATGAGGTTGTATGTAAGTTGACCGCCGACTAGGTACTTAACTCCTCTCTATCCTTGATAACCTTACAGGGGCGTACACATGTATAATCGGACCCTGGAAGTATGATGTTCGGAAGGTCGAATTCCTTGGCTGGTCGGTGACCACAGCTTTATGGTGGGTTCGTGCCCCCCACTGAGGGGCAGAGGGGTGGAGGGGCAGCCCACTGCCTGGAACATAGCGAGGCGGTGGGCCTGCATCACAGGGTCTACCGTGACATGTATCAAGCTGGGTCTTCCACTAGACGCCTGCTGTAGCAATTCGACACACGAGATATACAACTCTGCTTCTTCGCGACATGGCGAGCGACGAGGCGAAGCGCAACGCCGAGGCGCTGATACCCAAGTTCCAGTTCGACCGCGTGCTCAATCAAGGTACGGGATGGTGACAGCGGGGAAGTAAAGAGCAGCCAATGTCAGTCTAACAGGCAAGGGATTCTAGCCTCTGGTTGTGGCATATTGGTGGCATATTTGCTTTCGTCGTTTCTTATATAATTGCACTACGAGACTGACGAGAGTATCTCAGATGGGGGCGGACGCCGGATTACCCTCCTCGGCCGTGTCGACGCGGAGCCTGCCCTCCTGGTCCTCGATAGGGCTCCCTTCCCTGATGCGCCCGAGTACCTGTCCGTTTTCCCGGCAAATCTACGCAGCCTGACGAACCTGGGAAACAACGACATCTACTCGTGGTTCCTGGGCAGCGGCGGGCCCATCCTGCAGGAGAACGACAAGGACAAGTACGCCGACTTCAAGATCGACCTCATCTGCCCGTGCACGGACAAGCACATCAAGAAGCACTCGAGGCAGGGCCACCGCTTCGTGACCGAGACGCCCGCCATCTACTGCGACCAGGTACGGCCATTCATGCAGGCGAACCGCGAGGCCGGGCGGCTCAACTGGGTCTACAACATCATCGAGGGGCGCAAGGAGGTCGAGGACGTGATATACAGGACGCCGCTGGGCCGGGACGGCGACGAGGGCTTCCTGATGCTGCCCAACCTGCACTGGGACCGCAAGACCATCGAGGCCCTGCACCTGCTGTGCATCGTCGAACGGCGCGACCTGTGGAGCCTGCGAGACCTGAAGAAGAAGCACATCCCGTGGCTACGGCACATGAGGGCGAAGGCGATCGACGCGACGGTCAAGTCATACCCGCAGATCGAGGAGGACCAGCTGAAGCTGTTCTTCCACTACCAGCCCACGTACTATCACCTGCACATCCACGTGGTCCACGTCGCGCTGGAGGCAACGTCTACGCAGTCGGTAGGGAAGGCGGTGGGCCTCGACAGCGTCATCGAGCAGTTGGAGAGGATGGGAGGGGATGAGGAGACGGGTATGGACTCGGTATCGCTCAGCTACACAGTGGGCGAGGAGTCGGAGTTATGGACAGATATATTCGAGCCTCTCAAGACCGGCCGTAAAGCTTCTCTACAGCAATAATCAGGTCGTTGACCCCCGAACCGTTGGGGCAATCCTTCCACTTCCCGCCGTCTCGTATGCAGTATATCTCTTCGTTTAGTCGGACCGTGCAGCTCTTCGTGACGTTGGCCTGTAGCGCATGATATTAGTACTGGGGGTTTCAGGGTTTCCAGGAGGTCTGATGAGCGGGCTAACGTACAGCGGCTGATCTCTTGACGCTGTCCCTCAGCAACGAGATGCCAAATGCGCCGTCATCCTTAGCCGCGCAGTCGTTGAGCTTCTCGAAATCGATGGCATGCTCCAGGGCGCAGTCCTCCACCAACTCCCGCTGGGGGATCAGCTTGTAGTCCCGGGTCAGGCACATGGTGAACCCCAGGTAGCTCTTGGGGTCCGGGTACAGATGCGCAGCGCACAGCTCGAGGATGTTACCCATGCACTCGTTCGGGCCATGCTTGCACTCGACGCCGTCGTTGGAATCGGTGGGCGTGCCGATGTACGACAGGGTGAAGTTGACCTTTTCGTTCACGCGCATCATGGTCGGCAGGATCATATCCTTGAGGCAATCCTTCGCGTCCGGGCACTTGCTCATGATGTGCGCCTCGAGCGGCACGAGGCCTTGGGCGGCAGTCGCGGTCGTCGCGGTCGTCGCCTTGGTGTCCTTCGGGGCGGCGGCGGCTCCCTGGGCCGCCTTGGATGGTGCCCATTGGTGGCCGGCGTACGTGGTAAAGGGGTGGAAGGTGTAGAATGCGTACAAGAGGATGGCGACGACGGCGAATGTGAGCAGCGGCCTGTTTCGTCGCAGAGATCGAGGCCGCGACGGCCTCTTCTCCTCCATGATGGGTAGACTGATGCGGGCAGCCATCTGTCGGGCTTTGGACTCCGGAACCTCGGATGCTAATTTAGGACGCGGTGCTGCGGCCTGGGCGCTGCAGATATGGAATATATTTTGATGACCGACGGCGCGAGTTGGGGTGTCACCGCAAGCAATAAGTTCATTTATGCATAGTGTGCTAAGGTGAAGCCGGATGGTAAGCAAGGTCGACCGTGACGAGGGCAGGATGTCGTGATCGTGGAGTAGGACATTCCGGCATGGGAACGGGGGGAGGGACGGGAGCGCAGCGGTCCTGGTTGGTCATGAGGAGGATCACCTGGGGGGCCCCTGGCCGCACTGGAGCTCATTGGAGAGCCTGCCTGAAAGTCGGTCCCGACCCCGAGGACAAGCTCCGGTAAGCCCCGTCTGGGTTCTAATGTTAGCACTCACAGCGCTGCGGGCAGGGTCGGACTACAGGGCAACTTACTTGCCTGCCTAGGGACCTGGTCACTTTAGAATCCAGATTAGGCCTGACACCAGTGGCCTGTTAACCGCTCCCCCAGACCTACTTCGCATCTAGTTAGGCTTGTCCGCGGACTCGATAGTGCAGGGCCAAACCTCTATTCGACGCCATGCAGCGTGGCTATTGGGGGCTGCCATGTGGGCGGGTGGTAGTAGGATCCAGCGATCTGTGTAGCGTGTAGCGTCGACGCTATGACTGGCTGGCTGAGAGTCCAGACGCAGCTGCTGGGATCAAGTTGGGAACCAGCCGCCGCGAGCTCGTGCAACTCCAGCAAGGGGGGCATGACGACTGCTGGTGGTGGTGGTGGTGGTGGTGGTGCGGTGATGATGATAGTAATAAAAATAATATTCGCCATGAGTTGCAACCGTCCGTTCGTACACATTACACGCGGCGATCGCCAACCCGCATGCCACCTAACCTGCTGGTGCAGCCTATTGAATCCCAGTTCAACCAGCTCCGCATCACTTGCTGGATATAGCACTCAGCCAGCCCGCCCCGTCCCTCCCTACCTGTGTACCAACCTAGCTGGAGGCCCATCCGATCCATCCAGCTTCCAACTGAAAGTGGGCAGGCTGGCCCTCACTCACTCGCGGCCCTGCCTCAACTCACTGCGTGTTTGTTTATTAAAATCCGGGGGAGTCGCGGCCCCCTTCTCAGCCTTAAGTGGCATTGCAACGTTTCTAGTACACGAACATCCCGACGATGCTACATGAAGGCCCGGCACTTCTTCAACCCATCGCCCACCTCACCTCATATAGTTGCGCCGCCAAGTACCAACGTCGTTTCTGCCTCCCCCGACCCTCCAATCTCAAGCGCCCCCTTTGGCCCGTCGCTTCTTCGTGAACCTCTCCTTGAGCCGTTGGGCCTGTGCAGGCTGTCGATAAGTCGCCTATCCGCCCGGTTTTGACATGCATCCGGCGGCTCTGCCTTCGTTCCCACGTCTATAGCCGGCTACCCCCACCCCCAACCAAACCATGAGGCCGGACCTCGAGCACTTCCTGCGGCCACTCCGCATGGACGTGTCTCTTGCCCACCGTCTAGCCCGCGAGTTCCGCCAGACCTTCAAGTATCTGGCTGCTGAGTCACTAGAGCAGTTCCTCCCCACCCCAATATCCGACACCATCCTCAGACCGGCTGCTGGGAGCGAGAAAGGCCGGTAAGTACTGAGAGGACATCGGTCCATCTTGCAGCTGCCCCCATGCCAAGCCCTGCATAACTCTGTCTGGCGTGTACCGAGTATTATGCGTTCAAGTGCAGCCAAGCGGTAGCAACATATTATCACTGTGCCAAATAGCATATAGAAAGAGAGAGAAAGAGAGGGCTGACGTATTTTCTAGGTACCTTGCGATTGACATGTCAGTTTACTATATGATCTCTCACTACTTACGATAAAATGACTTACAGTCATTCAGCGGTGGTACTAATTTAAGAGTGGGCTTCATTGAACTACTAGGCAATGAGAGAGCCACGGGCACAGCCAAGGGTGTGAACGGCTCTGGCAAGGCCAATGGCGATACTTCACAGACAACACGCCTTCGCCGAGTTCTTGAGAAATCGTGGCCCATCTTGGAGCACCTCAAGAACGAGAAAGCAGATGACCTCTTTGCCTGGATAGGGGCTTGCATCGCCGAGGTTGTACAGGATGGAAGTGAAAGATTCACCCTCTCGCACGAGCAACCTCTCCCTTTGGGGGTCGCGTTCAGCTTCCCGATTGTGCAGCATAAACTTTCAGAAGCCACGCTCATGAGCATGGGTAAAGGCTTTGCGATCACCTCCAACCTCGATCTAGGCAGACAGTTGTTACAAGGCTATGAGAAGGCAAAGTCGCAAAACCTTCCACCCATCAGGATTGCAGCTATAGCTAATGATTCGGTCGCCACCATGGTTTCCTTTGTCTACCAGGCACAGGAGAGCCCAACACGCAAGGCATCCATGGGGTTGATATGCGGAACCGGCTGCAACGCAACCATCCCGTTGCGAAAGGACATGTTGCATCGCGATAAAGTACCGACCGAGGTGGGCGTGACCGATGAAGATAACGGCGAGGATGTGAAGGTAGCTGTGAACACGGAATGGACCATCAATGGAACAGCACCGACGTTGCAGAAACATGGGCTCATCAGTGAATGGGACAGCAAGCTCGATGCCGAATGCGATAAACCCGGCTTTCAACCTTTAGAGTACATGACGGCGGGCCGATATCTCGGGGAGCTAGGACGGCTCATATTGGTTGACTATTTGACGAAACAACTCGGATTTGCCGAAAATGCCCTCCCACAGCAACTGTTACATCGTTACGGCCTCTCGACAACATTTCTCAGCCGCATCAAACCTCCCGATGAGTCGAATTTGGTAGAGACGCTTCAAACCGAGTTTCCTGTCACGTCGACTGAGTTTCGGTGGACTAAAGAGACTGCCATGGCCCTCTATGAAATTGCCAAGGCTATCGAGGTCAGAGCTGCTGGGATCATTGCCGCTGCGACAATCGGTCTCCTTGCCTGCGCAGGAGACCTGCCACTGCGAGCACCTCTCGCTGAGACTTCAAACCAGACGAAGCCATTGAACGGGTCGGGTTCACAGAAAGAGCTCATTGTTGGCTACACCGGAGGGTGCATTGCCCATTTCCAAGATTACCTGGCCGATTGCCAAGAATTCCTCGATCAGATCATAGAAGCCGAACTCGGCGCATCTCCTCCTGTGCGCGTGGTGCTCAGTGCTTGTCACGACGGTGGCATTACTGGTGCTGGCGTTCTGGCTGGCTCCTCGCAGGCGAGAGCTGCCAGTATATCCTGAGAAGGCACACGTGGAAGGGGATGTGGTTGGGTGTCTATTCTGTCCATTGGCTCATGTGAGTATTATCTGGTAGCTCAGGCGAGCTCGCCCCTTACCAGAAAAGAGCCATGGACATGTTGCTGTTGTCAGCTTCGCGGAGCGCTGCTTATGGCGCAGTGCGTTCGAAATTTATACTTGAAGATGGGCTATCACCGTCCAGCTACTCGTCGGCTCGACAAGCAGTTACTTCCGCAGCATATCGATCTCCAAGAAATATACATAGACGAGCGACTCTATATTGAATTATACTTAGCGATGCCTTCCTGATCAGGAACCAGTCTGCCATTTTACGCTCAATGGCGTGATCGAGCCAATCGCGTAATTTTCTTCGACATCGTATGCAACGCGAATCATGAACCGACGTTGTCCCTACTATGGTAAGCGCAGGCTTGGCGGGCTTACAGCGGCTAAGGCCCCGTTGCCGGGGCGGAGATGCCTGCGGGGCAGGAACTGTGCCTTTTTCCATTTGTCGGAGGGAGCCTTGTAGCAGTCTGATGTCTAGACAAGTTCGAGTTACCAAAGGCTCTGCGCCATTGTTCCACAAATCCACAGGCTGATTTCATGTTGCAAGTTCGTAGGGATCATTGCTAAGAGTCGCTTAGAGCGTGTTGTGAGTGGCTTGGACTGCGGTGTATCTATCTAAGCCAACCACTTCAAAGAAACCCTCCGACTCAGATTTAGAGCTCAAATACTCGTTGACGAGACTCAAATCCAGCAGCGCGTTTCTGCATGCTGTTTCTTCCCCTTTTCCAAATTTACTCAGAAAGATTATGGGGGCCAAGAGCGCTGCGTCACACTTGCGTAGCAACGCCGACGGCAACTCTACTGAGCACACGGCGCTGTTGGCAACACCGCATCAACCCAATTACACAGGAAGTCGTGCGTTGACACGGGATCAGTATGAGACCGACGAGGATGACGAAATCGACGCAAACGAGTCGGATCTCCTCCTCGCCAGGACAGCGTCTATCCAGAGCGGGACGGGGCTGGCCCCGGAGTCTCTTGAATCGTCGATGCTTAGGGGGCGTCAACGGCGATCAAGTGTAACTCATATAACCCGGCCCAGGGACGAGCCCGGTGGTTACTTGACCGACGATGATGTGGAAGCTGTTATTCCCGCGGCATTGCACAAATCTGGAAGAGAGTTTCTCATCGACACAGACTACCGAAAATTCTGGACTATTTTCATGGGCATGATGCTCACGTATTTCATCGCTGCCTTTGACGGTACGATCATGGCGTCGTCACACCCGGTCATTACGTCCTACTTCCACAGCTCTAACAGCGCGTCCTGGCTCTCCACGGCATTCCTGTTGACGAGCACTGCCTTCCAGCCCATCCTCGGTCGTCTCAGTGACACCATCGGCCGGAAAGGGCCCTATATCATGACCATGACGATCTTTGCGGCGGCAACGGCCTGGTGTGGGCTAGCTGGCAGCATGACCAGTTTCATCGCGGCGAGGGCCGTCTGTGGGCTTGGGGCTGGAGGCATGATGACACTGGGAAGTATCATGATCAGCGACCTGGTGGATATAGAGTAGGTCAAGATGGCGGGCTCACGATCAAGTGAGAAGTATGGAATAATGTTAACTTGTGTCCAGACGCCGAGGCACATACCAGAGCTGGATCAATGCGGTATACGGCATCGCATCGGCCTCAGGCGCCGCTCTTGGTGGTCTCATGGCCGACACTCTCGGCTGGAGATGGGAGTTTGGAATCCAAGTCCCGCCTGTTATCCTCTGCATCATTCTTGGAGTCATTTTTGTCCCCACAGACCTTGGCATTCAGGGGAAAAGGGAAAGCTTCATGGAGGCTATGCGGGCCTTTGACTTCCAGGGTTCTTTCCTCCTGACCTGCTCTACTACGTTCTTGATATTGGGATTAGTGCGTATCTCTATTGTGCGTGTGCTTGTTAGGAGAAACTCACTAACTATTACCGATATAGAATCTCGGCGGCAATATCCTGCCATGTGAGTTGAACACTGATCCATCGAATGACGCCTACTGACTTGATTAGGGTCGCACCCGTTTATCATCGCCTCGCTGGCCATCTCTGCCACCTGCTTCCCGCTATGCCTCTGGACCGAGTCCAAGGCCAAGCGCCCCATCATGCCCTTGAAACTGTTACACAGCAGTCCGCGCGCCAACTTGATCTTTGCCAACTTCCTTGCCTCACTCCTCCTTAATGCTATCTTGTTTAACGTGTAAGTTCGCCCACCGGGTTCCCATACTCACTCACTCACACACACTGCCACAGCCCGCTGTACTTCCAGGCCGTGCTATTGACCTCGGCCACCGAGTCCGGCATCCGCCTCGTGGCGCCGCAAGTCTCGGCGTCGATGGTCGGCACGGCGACCGGGTTCCTGATCTCGCGCACCAAGCGGCTCAAGTGGCCGCTGACGTCGGGCACGCTGCTCTCGCTGCTGGGGGCCGTCGTGCTGAGCATGATGCGCCGCGACTGGCCCGTGTGGGCGTACCTGTTGTGCCTGCTGCCGGGGGCCATGGGCCAGGGGTTCCAGTTCCCGGGCACCTTCATCGCGGTGCTGGCCGTGTCGCCGCAGGCGGAGCAGGCCGTGGTGACGTCGACGCTGGTGCTCTGGCGCGCCCTCGGCTCCGTGCTCGGCATCGCCTGCAGCAGCCTGATCCTGCAGAACGCCCTGCTGGCCTACCTGCGCGCCTACGTCACCGAGGACGGCGACGGCGGCCGCGGCCCCGCCTGGAAGGAGGACATCATCGAGCGGGTGCGCGGCAGCGTCGAGGCCGTCGCCCGCCTCGAGGGCCCCGTGCGCGAGCAGGTCGTGCTGAGCTACGAGGCCGCCATCCGCGTCACGTTCCTGTGCTGCGTCGGCGTCGGCATAGTCATGGTCTGCCTGGTGCTGCCGATCCGCCTGCCACGTCTGGGGGCGAGGAAGTGATCCTGCTTCTCTGGGAGGGCGTTCCCGGCCTTGAGGACTGAAAGGGGGGCTGACTCTTCTGCGACCAGGGGACAGAGGTTGGCCGGTTAGGTTTTTTTTGGGAGATGAGTAAAAGGGGGAGCGCAACGTTAAAATTTGGGCATGTGGAATGTCATTAGCATCTTGCATTGTCTGGGTTGGGTTTAGCATCTGGGTGACCTGTTCATGTTGGGTTTCATAGCACGCTTCTATCGAGGCTGAATCAGGTTGTCGTATAGTGGAGAGCGATTTGCATTGGGAAATTGCCATCAAGGATATATGCATATATGAACATATACAAAACACGCGCAGTGCAACCAGCTCTCAGGGGTCACGGAGAACCCGGATGATAACTGGAACGTAACTAGGCAATGGGCCAACAGAGTCCTACCATGTATCTCTTGTCAGGTTTCTAATGTGCACAATTAGACTTCGCGAGTACTCGTGAAGACGTGGCAGAAATGATTTTGTATTCCAGCGAGTTGAAGATCTCCCCGGTTTAGAGTTTGCTCTCTTAGGATATGTCACCTTCAAGCCATACTAGGTGCCCGGCTCGCTTCTTCGGCTCCCTCCGAACTCCCCTGTGTTCCGCCAGCCCGCCGTGCCTTGGCTCCTGCCTTGAGCTGATCCCACTTCTCACGGTAGCGGATGAGGTTGGCGCGGGCCTTATTGTAGTCCTTCTGCAGATCTTCCATCTGGTTCGCAAGAAGCAGCAGTTGCTCCTCAAGCTCCTGATTCCTCTTCTTCAGAGTATCGTCTCCGCTCGCCATTGTCCCTGGCTTGCTCCCCGTTGTAGTCGAGACCGGAGAGCTGGGGCGCATGAGCCTCATGCTCTCCGCCAGCCGCATGCCTGACGTCTGCGACATGGACTCGAACGCGTGCAGTCGTTTGCTTAGCTTGTCCAGCATATCTTTGAGACTTTTATTCTCCAGGTAAAGCTCTTCGACTACGTTATTCATCTCCCTTTCGGATCGACTCTTTCCCGTCTTTCTCCGGAGACCTGGTGATGATGGTGCCTGTGACTCCCTCGCATCTACAAAGTCGTCCTCATCTGGATCCTCGGCGACCTTTCCAAGCTCCCCGAGTACAGAGGCCTCCATGCGACGCTTTTCCTTGTCGGCGTAAGAGAGGATGCTGGCATAGGAGGCGGTATGCCCACTGGTCGGTACGACATAAAACGAGTCGGTTGCAGATTGACCATCCCGGGCTATGGCTCTCAGGGTGGACCCGGAGTACAGCTTGCTCAAGTCAGGTTCCATAGATACAGACGATGAAGACCTATGTCTGTTTCGCTTTGGCGGCGGAGTCTCTGGGACTGGCGTTGATTCCTCGGCCGGGTCCTCACCGATCAGAGGCAGACCTGCAAATGCCAGGGGTGCTGAGATCCTATTGATGATGCTGCCGAATGTGCTATAGAATTTGGAGAAGCCCTCGTCGGCAGGTGGTGCAAGGTGATCGCGGGTTCTTGGTGGACCCCTTTCGTTCTCCATGCCTCGCCCCTCAAAGCTCCCTTGCCGAGAAACCTTCCCGGGTGATGAAGCGCCGGGCCTGTCTGCATTATCTATCATGCTCTGCATTTTCGACTTGGATCCAGACCCGCTCCTCCGCGTGGTGAGCTCCAGGTTTCCGGGTGCTTCTGCATTTGATACACTCGGAGTCAAAGGTTGCGAGCGGTACTTGGAGCGGATTCCTCGGGCAGATGCCAGATTGCTAGCTATAGAAGCACCGAGGTCGCGTACAGGATACTTTTGTGGCTTCGGTAGGCTAGGGATGGGTTGTGGGTTCTTCTCGGTCGAAGTATCGTTGTCGGGTTCGACTCTTGAGCTGGGTGCGGTGGGAGTCTCCGAGGATGTGCCCTCGTCGGCCTTCTCTGCGGGTTTCTGCGGCTCATCCTCAGCAGGTTGGTGCGAATGTGCACGTTCCAGCGGTATCCTCAACAGCTCGGACAGTCGTTGGTGGTGCTGCTCGAGGAGCTTCAGAGTTCTTAGGGCCTCGACGCTGGTGGTGCTCCTGGCAGCGTTTGCAAACTCGCCGGCGGCGCGCGTGTGCTCGTTGATGGCCACGGTCGAGTTCGCGGCATGGGTAGCCTCGGATGCGGCGCGCGCATGGTCGTGGGCCTAGGTTGCATGGTCAGTGATCTGTCTGCGCCGGGATGTGTGACGATGCGAGATGTGTACCTTGATCAAGGGTGCCGCCTCCATAGTTCGGCGCAGAGTGTATGCATGCTCTAGGGCAGGCCGGGCGACTGTGCGATGGGATGATGGGGTCGACGGACGTATCGCCAGCGACCTTGCCGAGTGTGATATGGCGATGGCTGAGCGACTGCTACTAGGTCATGGTACTGCTCAGTGGTCCAGCTTGGTATCGATAGATTACCTAAGTTGTACGCAGCCGCCAAGGTTCCATGCATATCAGCGGCTGGGTTTAGCGGGGTTGAGCGGAGCTGCCCTTTATCCGCAGCCCTAGCTAAGGCACTTACTGTACTATGGTAGGTTGACAGGCAACAGGCGCTACAGTGCCTGGGTAGCCCCTGCTGTAGACTGGAGGGGGGCCTGGACAGTTCGCGCGGGGATTGGCTTTTGGCCGCTCTCGAGATGGGATCTGCAGGGCCGAGATAATTGTGTACGATTCCATCATAGTGCATGCCTTTCTATAACCCAGGACATACTACCGATATGGTACTTAGCTCAGCTACATAGTAGACCACTTGGACGGAAACAGCATGCAAAGTGGGTATTTGCCCGTAACAACTTCGAAACCCAGTGGCTGTGGATCATTCCAGGTTGCGAACGCATCGCTGTGACGGAGTTCGGCCAGTGTCCCCTGTGTCACCGGGGGGTTCATCACGAGGCCGACAGGGACACAAGCGCAGGGGGGCCCAATAGAGCGATGGTGACGGATCGCTAGCTGGGCGATTACAGCAGTCGAGGTTATCCCAAAACCGACTGGTAGTCTTGCGACATCAGAGAGTACCTGAGTACCACCCTGTGTAATCTACGTTTCCGTGGTCCAACCGGTTGGGGATGTCCTCTTTCATCTATACGTCTCGGATCTCGGATCATCACCACCGCAAGGACTTGGGCAAGGGCCACCAGGACCACGACTGCGCCGTTGGGCTAAGACCATCAGCACCGAGGAGTCGAAAGCGCCTCACCTCGGAATTTGCGTACCGTCTAGCTCGACCACGGCCCAGAAACAAGTCGAGCCGTCTTTCCCGAGCATGACGACACTTTAGCGGACGTGCTGCGAGACACTGCTTCCAATCCTAAGTTGGCCGTTGTCTTTGTTCAGCACAAGCACGACCGCAGAACCACCTCTTTGCTTATTATGAATGGGACGAACCAGAGCCTCGGTCATCCTCGTGCCTCAACACCTCCAGGCCGCGCACCATGGACGACAACGGTGGGTCGGGTGGTAAAGTCGCGAAGCTCCTACCCAACTTTGCTGCCAGGCGACGCTGGCGCAAGCAGTCCAGAGAGAGTTTTGCGTCGACGACTAGCAGCGAGGATGTTCCTCGCGGCCGAAGCCCACATGGCCGCGAGCCGTCGCTTGGTGACGACCCCTCGGAGCGCCCAGCGTCACAATCGCACCCTACCGAGGCCGTGATCGAGGAGAACGACCGAGTTGGAGAAGACGAAGAGGACGACAATATCAGCCCACTGGCAGACGAATGGGACAATGACCGGTAAGCTGTCTATCGTCCGTGTTTCCCCAGTCCTGCCTCTCGTTTTAAGGTTTCGAGTTGTCCAATTATCACTCCTTCTATCCTCCAGGATCTGTGTCGCAAGCGCAGGCACAAATTCCAAGTTCTTACGACCCAGCCCTCTTTTTCCCTTGTCAGCTGCATCCCGGTCCAAGCAGTAGCTGGACGCTGGACGGGAGCCTAGGGCTGGAGCCACCAGCCGTTCCCGTACGACGACACAGCGCAACTATACGGCCTCGACATGAGGCTTGTGTTGCTGTGCCTGCTCCTTCGGACGCCTTTTTATTACGCTCTACCTCCTCAAACGTGCTTACTGTGCATATGGGAAGCATTGGAGCAGACGGCAACGCCCACTTGGCCTAGCGGAGAAAGGGGCCAACCCAGAGGTATAAACTCCCTCCACATTTCCGTACAACAGTGTCATCGCACACCCTCGGGTTCCTCGCATTCGCATCTGAAGCCGGGCATCGCATCGCCAGTGCAGCGTGTCACACGTCCAAATCAGACAGAATGGGCAGGCGGCTACTGTACGTGCTAGATTGATTCCCTGTATTTTAGCCTCAAGACGGGGCCAGCAGGCTAGTCGCTAGTTTCCAAGGCCTCTCTCGTGTCTGGGCTCTGGGCTCTGGGCTCTGCACGCGTTGACGTACTCCTACGTACTACTACGTACTCCTCACCGACAGCCCCTCTCACTAATAACCCCAGTCTGTCCCGTCCCCTGGATTATACCGCTCCTGTCTATTGGGTGGTCGGCAGATATCGTGGTTATTTGCTCCCTCTTTCACTCGTTTGCATGCAAGTCTGTTCAGGAACCTTTGCGGCTCGACACAGTAGCGATTGATGCTTGCTCGTGTACCTGAGGCCAGATCGCCGCGTCGGATAGCTTGTTACACCGAGTCCTGCTAGTCTAGGAGGCAGCTCTGAGTCTGACACAATTGGAACCCTGGCAGATCACCGGTCCGACCCACCGTCCCTTCAAGCCATCCCTCGCAAATAGGACATTTGACGACATCATCACCCATTATCCAAGCAGAGCACGCACCCGAGGTGCAACACATCGACGCCCTGGCGAACAACAGCCGCGACAGCATCGCTAGGTCGGCCACCTACTCGGTCTCGGTCTCGTCCGACAATTCTGCCGTGCCGACTCGTCAGCTCTCCGGGAGCAAGACCGGCCTGCAGCCCCCCTTGGGCGTCTCGTCCAAGCGGTCCAGGTCGCCTGCCGGCAGGTTCAAGGACGTATTCAAGACCAAGAGGACCCCGAGCGCCACGCCGAGCTTAGGGAGCCAACATTCAGACCAGATTGATAAGACCGACTTCGCCTCCGAGACCTCGTCCCGGCCAGCTAGCTCCAGCTCCCAGACCGGCCAAACCTTAGCTGCCGCACCTGACGCAGATGACGCCGGGGTAGCCTCCTCCAACAAATCGTCACGCCGCTTCAAGTCGCGCCCTGCCATTGATACCTCCAACAGGCCCCGAACACCACCATCCTCAGAGCACAGTGCACCTGTTATAGTGAACACACCGCCGACGCCCACCGACCACTCCCACCCGCCGCAGGAAGGGGTCCCGGCGTCCCAAACCCCGCTCCAGAGCTCTGACCCGTCCTCGAGACCGACGTCGAGCGCATCGCAGCCCGGTGGCACGATATCGCACCGGCGCGGGAGATCCAGGTCGGGATCCGCCACAAGCGTTGGGCCTAGCAAGCTGTCCAACATCACTTTGGCGCCCTTGACCCCAACCCCTGAGAACGCCGTCCCGCCGACCCCGGGTGGTGGTTTCTTCTCCTCTGTCATATCAGCTGCACAAAACGCCGCCAACACTCTCAGCAGCACGGTCTCTACTGCAAACATCGGCATCGGTGGAAAGCCAAAGGCTCCCATACCCGCCGAGTCCCAGGAGGGAGACGGAGACACAACTGAAGTCGAGAGCTCGACGGGCATTTCCAGGGAGACCACTATGGCCGAACCTGCTGTGAAGACCCTGGGGCAGGGCGATCTCAGCTTGAGCCATCTGGGTATTCAAGAGTCTGGCAGCGCCGCCCCGACTCCGCAGGCATCCAAGTTCCCAGACCACGTAACCGACACGAGGTCTCGATCGGAATCTGCTCCAGATGCCCCCCCAAACCCGCAATTAGCCTTGTCAACAGATGATCTTGGTATCAACCGACCGAGATCTGTGTATGGGTCCACCGGTGATCAGACGCCGCCAACCAGTGTATATGAAGGCAAAACTGGCATTCATCGGAGCGGCAGTATTCGAAGTGCTATTGGGCGCAGGCGTAAGCGTGGCAGCACTGGTGGAACTGCTGGGACTACTGGAACTGGGACCACAATCGGGGCGGCCATTGCCGCCGCAAACGCCAGTGTAGCACATCCCCATGCTGCTGGGAGCGTGCCGAAGCTCACCGGCTTTGCCGTGGCGACCAAGAGGCGCAATCGTGACTTTCACAACCTATTCAAGAGCGTACCGGATGACGACTACCTGATTGAAGACTATAGTTGTGCTTTGCAAAGAGAAATTCTCGCCCACGGTAGATTATACGTATCTGAGGGTCACTTGTGCTTCAGCAGCAACATCTTCGGCTGGGTGACGACTCTGGTTATGAGCTTCGATGAGATAGTGTCCGTGGAGAAGAGGAGCACTGCCTTGCTCTTCAAGAATGGCCTCATGATCACCACGCTGCACGCCAAGCATGTCTTCGCTAGCTTTACGAGCCGGGACTCTACATATGATCTCATTGTCAACATCTGGAAGCTGGGCCATCCAACTCTCCGCAGCTCGTTGAATGGGGTGTCGCTTGATGAAACAGGAGGAGATAAGACCGAGAAAGTCGATGATCTGGAACCAATTGCGGACCATAGCGGATCGGGATCAGAGATTGCCGATGATGATGAGAGCGAGGAGGACGACGACGACATCTATGATGAGGATGAAGAGGACGATGAGGCCCCAGAATCAACACGCTTGGTAGAGACAAGCCTGACCGATACCGAGGCGGAAAGATCCACAACACGCAAAGCTTCTGGGCCATTGGCTACGAACGGGACTTCCGATAAGCCAGCCAATGGAGCGCCGGCTCCTGCTGGTGGAAGTGACTTCCCTGGCCCTGCCACCCACGCTCCAACCGAGTGTGGTGACGCAGCCTCGCATTATGAAAGACTGTTGGCCGACGAGATCATTGCTGCGCCCCTCGGAAAGGTCTACAATTACATGTTCGGACCGGCTTCTGTCAACTTCATGGCCAAGTGGCTTACTGTTGAACAGAAGTGTACCGACTTGCAGATGGAGGACAAGATTGGACTAACAGCGGACAACAAGTCGAGAGCTTTTACCTATATAAAGCCATTGAATGCATCGATAGGACCGAAGCAGACGAAATGTGTGGTCACCGAGACTCTCGAGAATATAGATCTGGAGAAGGCTGTCAATGTTTTGATCGTTACTCAGAATCCTGACGTACCGAGCGGAAACGTATTCAGCGTCAAGACAAAGTATTGTTTTTCGTGGGCCGAAAACAATGCGACAAGAGTACAAGTTAACTGCACCATCGAGTGGACGGGGAAGAGTTGGCTGAAAGGTAAGCTCTCACCTATTTCGCAAATTTATGTGGTTACTAATTGTCATCAGGTCCAATTGAGAAAGGTGCCAATGATGGCCAAATCCAGTATTGCAAAGACCTATTCGCTAGCCTAAAGGCAGCCATTACTTCTCGCCCTATTGCCGCTAATGGTGCAGTTGGGAAGGGTAAAAAGAGAAAGGGCAAGAAACTTCAGGAGACATCGAAAGAATCTCTTGCGGCAACTTCAGAGTCGATTGCCAAGGGTTCCCAGGATTGGGGCCTTCTGGAGCCCTTGCACGGGCTTCTTGGGCCCCTCGTGGACATCATCAAACCAATTCTCACCGGAAATGTGGTATATGGCCTGCTTGTTGGGCTTCTGGTGGCATCATGGTTTGGTTTTGGTCTTAATCCGCGTCAGAATATTGGGGGCTACGGGCCTGGTATAGGCTTCCCAGCACACCCAGAGCGTCTGATGGCGTACGAAGAGGTCTGGCGCCGCGAGGAAAGCGACCTTTGGGATTGGCTGGAAGAACGGGTTGGACTTCACCGCATAAATGACGACACAGCGCCCATCAGAAAACGAGTCGTTGAGCCGCGAACTATGGAGGAGAGACTGCGCGAGGACAGGATGACCGAGCGCGAGGTGGAGGAAGCGATAAGAGTCACGGAAGAGAAACTGCACGTGCTCAAAGAGGTGCACGACCGAAGAAAACCAAAAGAGTCGACGTACACGAGGCCGACAACAAGACCTGAAACAGACAGGTAAATGTCTTGAGGGAGAAACAGAGAAGGGGAAGGGGTGAGGATGAGAGAAACGTCGTCATCACATCGCGCGGTCGCGCATTCGTCTTCTATTCTAGCCATGCCAGCAAGTCTGTTTTGTAGTTTTACCATGTATACAAATACAATCGAAATATTCGAGTCAAATGTACTATTCATTGTTTCTAGAATGTGATGTTGTTGCTGGCAGTACCAAACTGACTTTCGACTGCCATTTAAGCTGCAACCCGCCATCATTTTGAGTCTTGAATGTGGCTTCAATCGTGGGCATGAATGGCTGCGTTCTCTATGCTAATCTCAACCTCTCAACCTGAAGGTCCATGCTGAACACGGACTTAAAAAAAATGCTGTTTGCAGGCAATCGGTACCTCGCTTCTATTTTGAACGGTTCCGGTCCCAAAGATGATACGGAAGGTCAGATAAGAGTGCCCCAAAGAGTCACGTTGCACAGTAACATGGTATTGGCCGAGATTCAGCGTGGTGGGATAGTCCGCGCTGAACGGGATACCGCATCCTATGAAGCCAGAGTGAGCTCCCGAGCCCGGCTGGAGAAGTGCCTTGAAGCAATCCTCTGCTGTGACAGTTTTGTCCAGGATTGACAGAAAAAGATACCAGGCGCCTCTCCCGATTGCAACGACAGCAAGAACTTGCTTGCTGATGTTGTCACTGCCAATGATCATCGTACTCAAGCAATGAGGTCTCTGGTACGTGTCTGGTCGAAAGGAAAGTCTCTCGGTAACGGTTATCCTTCTTGCAACAACGGAAAACTTTATCGGGGGAAAGCGAAGATGGCGGTTATCACACAAGAGGCAGCACATTCTCGTAGGGTGACCTCTAGAACAATTGCATTTTGATTTGGCGGCCGATAATTGAAATGACCCCCGTCATTTGACCCTTGAAGCTGACTCTGTTGTTGGACTGGCTTGTGCTCGTAGGAGGCCTGTACAGATAGATTACGGGCCGTTCTTGGTCCCGCTGGGTACGTGAAGGTGGGCCTCTTTTCAGGGTACAAGCTATGCACGCGTAAGAGACGCCATCATACCCAGGCTCGGAGACCGGAAACAGAGGAAGCTGAATGTGAAGGCCAGCGTTTGTAACGCTATAGTCTGGTTTCTGGGCCGAAGATTCAATGTCAAAGATTGGGGTTGGTCGGAGCACAAACACGACTTGTTTCGGTAAACCTAGCAAGCAATACTACTACGGCAGAAGAGCGTGCTTTGAAAGAAATAGAAGAATTCGAATCAGTTAGTAGGCTCTAAAAGAGGAGTAATCACTATGTTGTTGGATTCAGCTTGCCGTAGACGATAGGTCAAGGATAAACGCTCGCGCTCGTCTGAAGATTCCTCCAATGTGAAACTTGTGCACGACCTCAGGCTGTGGGTGACGAATTTATCGTGAAAAGTTTTGGTGGACGAAAATGAGATCCTGCTACTGATAAAGTATGAACGGCAGGTAGGCTTAAGGCTACTCATTCCTTACTTGAAGGTGTTAGGAACCTTAGAGCCCAATGGACGAAACCTATGTTATTTCCAGATGGATATAGTAAGGGCAACATTGCAATTGCCACGATATCTTCAGCATTTCGATGCCAAAACGATTTTATTATCAGACTTTCTACGAACAGTATATGATATATTTCTATTAAGCTGAGTGCTAATGGTTCATTTTTCCTTATTTCCCTCTAAACAACTCACTCTGAATCAAAAAGCACCCAGTGGAGCAAGTCAATCAACCTTTGAACAGAACGCTTTGGCTATTACATTAACCTTGACAATGCGGCAGAAAACCCCACGGCAATCGAGTTCACGCTGATTTAACTCATTTGTGCATGTCTGACACATGTTATATCCTGCCCTCGTACGAAGGTATGTCTATCCGAAACACACATCGCTCTTACAGACGCCAATGGAAGGGAGTCACTGGTACCTTGAGCCCTGCCTTGAAGGCTCTAAGTCTCGGCAAGCGGATGAGGCGCATTCAGCCTAGTAATCCCAGCTACATTGCAACATCATTCGCTCCACTACGCCCAGCTGCTTGAATATTCTGATTTCCCGAGGAAGACCTTTGCGGATCTGTTTGAGATGGTCCTTGCATCCCCACTTGAAAATTGTGGTTGCGACGATACATGGGTGAAGTCCCGAGGTTCACAGCGTTGTCCAATGGGAGTCCTTGCTGGACCGATACACCAGGTTGACCAGAATTGTACGCCGGGTTGTTCCAAATCCCAGGCGAGAAGGAGGAGACGAGATGGGTGTCCCCCAAAAATGCAGCTGGGTCATGTAAATCGGCCAAGAATATGTCATCTGCAGCTTGGAAGCCTTGCGCTTGGAGATGTGATCCAGGAACACTTTGCTGAATCTGAATAGGCCATGGGGCTGTCAGATTCGCTTGTGAATTGATGTCGTAGTGGGTGTGCGAGGAGAGGGGATGGTATCCAGGTTGGGGACCAACGAACCGGGTCGACAGACTAGAGTATAATGGCCCACGTGATTGTTGTATATGATTGAGAGTAGGAATTGGCGTTTGAGGAAAGCGAAGCGTACCGTTAGCTGATATGGACGTAGGCGACGCCGCATTTTGCGGTGCAGGTGGTGATTGAATGTATGCGGCTCCATGCTGGTTGTCATGCATTTGCAAGACGTTTTCAAGACTGTTAGAGAGTGAGGCAGGGCCTGTAATAATAGGTCAAAAAGCAGTTTCAAGTCGTTCATTGTTTTACTCACCCGAGGCATCTTGGTGAAACGGTACGTTAGCATTATGTTGAGTTTGACGACTTCTTTCCAAAAAGTTGTCCAAGAACACTCGAAACCAATCGCAAAGTATCCTTGTTAATTCATTGTCATCTCTTGATTGACGGATTTGAGACGCGAGTGTTGACGTAATACTTTCGCCAAAATCTTGTCGTAATGTTGAAAAAACATCTGTTAAGATTGAGGAAGGGCCTGAGTCCGCCCAGGGTGTCATTGGGACCGCTCGTTCAGGGAAGATCAGTGTGAAAATGGAGTACCATTGCCCAACAGCATTACCTCGCTGACCCTTAGGACATTTGCCGAGAGACTGCTTTTGCTTTTCCGTTATACTCCTCGAGGATACGTCAGCCGCACGTGGTTGACAGCCGCCTTCGGAAATATGATTATCCCTGGATTCCTGACCTTGAAAGACATTTTGGCATCGCGAGCAGTAGAATTGAACATAGTGACTTCGTTGTATGTGCTGCTTCAAGCGTGCAATGCTCTCAAAAGCTTCTCGTATGCAATGCGGAAACAGCAGAGGGTAAGCTTTGCAATACACGCAGGCGAATTTCCTGTGAATAGGCTCACCCGCAGGTTCTTCGGCAACTTCTACCTCTGCCTGAGTACTTCCATTTTGAGAATTCATTTCATCTGAAGGCCCAGAGCCTGAAGCTGGTATGCCGTGGTGATGATTTTCACTTGCTGGAGATGTGATATCAAAGGGGCCTTCATGGTTGCTATATGTGTTCTGATTAGGACATTGGCGTAGACCTGAGGCTCCTCCAAGAATCGAGAGATTTACTGGATTCGCTCTGACCGGGAAAAGAGGCGGATCCTCAACAGAATCGTTCGACTCCCAGTCTAATGTGTCGTCGTCCAAGTCATCAGATGTCTGTTCCTCCAGGAGACTCCCGGTGGTTTTATCGTCATCGCTGTCTATCCGCAGAGCAGCTCCATCCTCAACAATTTTTGCATGAGAGGTTTGTGGGATCGAAGGTTCCCCAGTCTCGGGAGCGGTGATGATTTTACCCTCAATATTTTTGCGTTTCTCCGCTGTAGACAGTGGTGAAATCATCGCTGGCGAAATCCGGCAGCAAGGATCAGCTACATCAGTACTATTCTCTATGGCTTCGTATTGGTCCTCTACAAAACTCTCATGGAGGTTTTGGGGTGATACCTGAGGCCTGGAGAACTCATGATTAATGATATGCCCCGTCGACCAATTTCAAGAAGAGCAGCTTATTGCTTCTTTGACCAAGGAGCGATGCAGATATAACGGGCATAGCTTCTTGGGCAGCTTGGCGGTCTGACCTCGACGACAAACAGTGATCAAGCACTGACCATTGAGATCTGCGTCGCCCGAATTGAATGCAAGAGGTAAAGCAAAAAAAAAAAAAAAAAAAAAAAAAAAAAAAAAATACTCACACAGTAACATTCTCTGTGAAAGTTTCCTGTCGCATGATCCCCAAACCCCCCCTGCCCCCATCGTGCTCCACAGGCTTGGTCGAACAATGCCGCTCCACTGTAAAAGATGGGCCACCTGATGATGCATGTCCATAGCTACTGTGTAATGAGCTTGCATAGTCCGCCCGCGAGTTTGAGAAAATGGAAGTCAATGAAAGTCTGGAACTGATCCCGGGGTGTTTCAGAATGCGTTTGATCTGATTCTTCCTATAGCCAGTTGCGTAGTCAAGTGCGCTTAATTTCTTACAATCTTTGTGGGTTGAGTCCGCACCATGCTGCACGAGTAACTTTATTGCATCGATTGCTCCAGTATCCTTAGAGATTCCTCTTCCAGCAAATCTGACAGCAGCAATAAGCGGTGTCTCCCGACTTGGCCCAAGGGCGTTGATTTCCAAGGCTATCTTGGACCGGCCGCTCTTATCGTTGGCGATGAAAACTTTGATCATCTCGAAGCACCCCTTGCTGCAGGCAATGAAGAAAGGACTGCGTTCATGGTTGTCCAAGATATTTGGGTTGGCACCGTGCTTAAGGAACTCATCAGTCTTGCGTATATACTCAGCCTCGCACGCGAGTGTCAACGCAGTCTTTCCATTCTCATCCTGGATATCAAGGATCGATGTATCACTCTCAAGAAGCAGCTTCATCATCTTGAAACCTCCGGAGTCACCGAATTTGCGACACAACAGCAAGCGATGCAAGCTTGTACGCCCATGGTCGTCAAGCGTGTTGGCCATTGCTCCACATTCTAATAGATCTCTGGCGTAGTCTGAGTTGCATGTGTCAGCGGCCAGTAGCAATAGCTTCGAGGCTATCGAAGACATCCTATGGCTAGTAACAGTTCGCGCCGTGAAGCGGAGCATAGCTGTAAACTCCTCGCGGTGTTCGAACTTCACGGACTTCTCAAGCGGCGACAGTCCGTGTTTCTTGTTCACCTCATAGAACTGATCTTTCTCGAATTCATTAGATTCGCACCATTGGTTGGCAAGCGCCATCCGTCCTAGGATGACCTCCTTCGCGATCCACCGCGGAATCTTCGTTTCATCTTGGAAATAGTCGCTCTCCAGGCCAATGTTACCTTGCAGTTCAAGGACGTCGGCTAGATCTTGAGCTATCGGTATCAGAGATGCCCGGTCGCAGTACTTGGAATTCAGGTAGGTCTCCAAAGCCAGGTGAAGGTAGTGATTAGCCATCTGCAAGCTTTGGGGGCCTCTCTTCCTCAGGTATAACAGAGCTGTTGTAGAACATAGCTTCCCCCATTTTTTGTTTTGCAGAAAACTTTTCTTGGATTCCAGATCAGCCAGGCCAGGAGGCGGGAATGTGACACTCTCCAGGTTGTCGCAATCGATAAGGATTTGAGTATATTGCAGATTCCAGTCGAGGATCTCATCCCCAGTGGTTGGGTTCGTGTTCAACTTTGACTTCCATGCCATCTCCAAAACCTTTGCGTGGACTTGAGATATGGAATGGCCGGAAGCAGTCGCTTCGCCCATGGACTTTAGAACGTCCCGCAAAGGGATGCTTCTTTGCCATGCCGGTATCGACGATGCATGGTCGGATGCTCTCTCCGCCAGTGTGGTTTGGGTAAAGCTCAAACACTCCCACTCATCCTGCTGTTCAGCATTATGTGTCGTACCAGACATGGCGCAAGTTGATGGTTATTCTGGAGCAGGGAGTCTGGAAACAAATGATCGAATCAGACTGAAATTTATCTACGAGGAAATGGTCATTTGTTTGCAGGTCTTTGTTGCAGGTCGATGTCGGAAAGTTGTTGTTTAATGAATGCAAAGCATTCATTTGACGCAACCTTAAGAGACCAGGACGTGGAGCAAATATAATCACTGGAGGTGGACGCGCCAGGATGGCGCACCCTCAACTGTCCCAGAAGTCAGATCTAAACCAAGGTAGAAACTATCTTCCCCGGCCCCACAGGATCCCCATGGGGTTCGGTGCTTCCAAGTTCCCCCGATATTGCTGCCCCTTGTGGCAATATGCAAGTCTCGAAGGTCTAAAGTCATATCAGCTCACATTTCATGGTTCGTCCGGCTAGAGTGTGCAGACCCTGCCAAAATTGCCGCACAGAGAGCGATGACTTCGAACGCGATCGCTCGGGCCTTGCCTTGTCCTTGTCCTTCTATTTTTGGTACAAGTCGCCCAATGATGATGAAGGCGGCAATGTGGAAATTGACGGCAAGGTAAGTAGCAGGCAGCTTAGGCTTGCAGAAAGTGCACATTGGCAAAGTCATTGGCTGCCCAGGTGTTTTCATGGATGACCCCAGTAGCGTATCTGGTATTCGTCTGGTGTATTTGCAGTACACGTCAGATAAAGTTTGGGCTGCGCTGGTCCAGTGGTGCCATAGGCTACAGAAGCGCCACAGCCTTGGAAGAAGCAGAACAGACGTGCTCTACGGCCTATGTGCTATATTCCGCCGCCTCCCTTTCCTTGTGCCGGTGAAAACAGCACAGTGTGTGCTTTACACTCACCCTACAGGCTTCTTTTGCAGACAGCACAAATTGTGTTCTATGGCAGACCACATTATGCGCTCATGGCAACAGCTTGTTTCGTATCTGCGGGCACTGACGTTATGAACCTCGCAAGAGGTGGCATCACCGTGATCAGACTGCAGGGCCTTGTAGCGATTGTACCATTTGGGCGGAATCCTGTATAGCGGATCCCTTGTGTCGGTTTGTCTTTTCACTCAATCTCCCAGACTTGATCGGCTACAATTTTGGCGACAGCTCTTCCAGTATACTTGAAAGCGTTCACAAGAGCACATCGGTGCGCTAAGAGTTCTGTGACCGCAGCACTGCCCCCGGAAGCGTGACCGCAACATTGCATTTGACACAGGACTGGTCAATCAAATCAGAAGCGGGTCTTGGTGCCTTACAAGTTTATTACAGGCTCTTCGTCCTGACACTAGCTGCTCTACTCATGTCACTTTTAGTCACTGTCATCCAAGATGGCCATTCCAGAGCAACCAGAGGATGTTTTTAGACTACAACACATCTTTGAGCGCTTATGGACCAAGATCACGAAAAGGAGAGTCAGCTCGAGAGCTCTGCGCGTAGATGCACGTTTCGAGGATATTTTGTGTAAGCAATCCCTTGTGTATGGCATGACCTAAAACCATTCCAAGCAGGTGGCTCACTCTACCTAACCCAGAGATGCTGATCCCAGATATTATAGGCGATATTCGAGACGAGGACCTCCCATCTGACGTTCGACTATTCCATAAACATTACCTCCCAGATGTCCATTATGATCGACTCCTCAGGGCAGCAAGAGTTGCCAAACACCCAAAGGCTTATGAGGATATTTGCCGTGTCGACCTTGATTGCTCAAAGAAACCTGGTCTGGTGAACCTTAGTCGTGAAGAAAAAGTGGCGCTCCTGAAAGAATATGACTCTGTTATTCCAGAGCCAGGCATGCTTGTCGTTATCCTCACAGTCTCTCTGGCAGCCTTGCTACAGGGGCACGTTCAGTCATCTATCAACGGCGCATCGCTTTACCGCGAGATCCTCAATATTAGCACCTCAACTCAGAAGCACATGCTCGAGGTATTCCCAAATCGTCCGTCAAACGGTGACTGGATATTGGGTATCACAAATGCAACGCCTTTTCTGGCCGCTGCGGCCTTCGGATGCTGGATGGCATTGCCACTGAGCGACAGGCTTGGGCGCCGAGGTGCAATGACGGTTGCTGCTTTCATGGTCCTTGGTACCTCGATATTGATGGCCGTAATCGTGACCATCGACACCGCCATTCCCAAATGGCAGATACTACTTATAGTAAGGATCATAAATGGAATGGGTAAATCACATCATCTTGTAGCGAGCCACGGGCTTTCCAGATTGTCAATTGACTGGTATTCCAGGCATGGGGATCAAAGCTGTGAATACGCCAATGTTGGCTTCTGAGACCGCGATCTCATATTGGCGTGGAACTTCGGTCCTTGCGTGGCAATTATGGTGAGTGCACTTACTTTAAATTTGTGGTAGATGCTAAATTCTGCGCTTTTCCAGGGTGGCATTCGGAATAATGATCGGATTTATCTTCAACGCTGTGTTTTCTACCTTCATTGGCGACAATCAGACCACACTTGCGTTCATTCTCGGTGCGCCAATTGTGCCCTCCGTTGTTTTACTCTTGGCACTTTGCATTTGTCCTGAAAGTCCACGTTATTACATGAGGAGTCATCGATACAGACCATCCAAAGCATACATGGTACTGAAGAGACTTGGACGATGTGAGGTAAGTTTTCGAAGAAATGCTTGGCTCAATCATCATGACTGACACATATGAGCTCATCGCCCTGAGAGATATCTATCTACTTCACCAGTCGCTACACAGGAGACAAGACCACAAGGATGAGTTACAAGAGCACTACATCGGACTCCGCGGGTTTGCGAAACAGTACGCACAATTGTTCTCAGTGCCAAGATTGAGGAATGCCCTCGTCAGCACTTGTATCATGGCACTTTCTCAGCAACTGTGTGGAAGTAAGTGCAACCAGCCGTCTATGAGCAAAAGCTAATTTCGTGACAAAAGTCAACGTCCTCGCGTTCTATTCAGGTAAGGCTCATATCCGATACTTACCTAATTATTACTCACGGCTATCAAGGTGTCATGTTCTCGAACATGGGCAATTCAAAGAATCAGTCGATGTACTACAGTATTGGTTTCGGTATGGACAGCCGCTTACACACTACGCAGAATAACAAGACATACTGACACTGTGTTATCAGGTGCTGTCAATTTCCTGTTCGGCATACCAGCATGGCGTACTATTGACACTATTGGAAGGCGAAAGTGGGTACTTGCTACCCTGTTGCCAATGGCTGTCATGATGGCAGGGGCTTCAGCATCATTTGTGCCTACAATCCATGACGAGAACGCTGTTTCAGTGACTACCACACTTGTCGCAGTGTTTTTGTTTCGTAAGTCATCTGCCCTGTAGACATTCAAATTACCATATGTAACAGTCATATCACAGTGCACGCGGCACTATATTCGCCGGGACTAGGTCAGTAAGCACGATGCACAAGTTTGTGGTCTCATTCTCATTTCAACAGGGCCAGTTCCCTTTACGTTATCAGCGGAGAGGTACGTAGAGAACAATAGAAACTTGACTTAGGCGTCAACTAATGGCGGTGCAGCTTTCCTTTATCACACCGTGAAGTAGTATGTCAATTTTTCGTCGCCGAGCATCGATCTACTTCAAAAGTTCGTGTGCCTAATTCACTAACGCAGGGCTGTGCTTTCGCCATATCTGTGAATCTCTTCTTTGCTGGACTTCTAACACTATTACTGCCAGTGTGAGTAGACAGCTTACGCATCAGTGCGCGAAAAATGGCTCACTGCTGAACAGTCTTTTGTACTGGCTTACAAGCCCAGGACTGCTGTGCGTATTTGCCGTGCTCAACTTGTTATCATTCGTGCTGGTTTTCCTCCTCGTTGAAGAAACCCGTCAACTTTCTTTGGAAGCACTTGAATCCATCTTTGAGAGATCAAAGACAGACTTCTTGCATCACCAGATCTTTAAGTATACACCTTGGATATTTAAGAAATATGCACCGTGGCTGCTAAAGCATTGGATCCGGCTTTTTGTCCCTTCAAAGTATCTTGGAAGCCGAACGCAAGTGGGGCTACACTTCGAGTCTGGCGGTCTGCTGGTAGAGAACTACGACCCTATGCCCTATCCACCCGGCATCGAATCAACGAATGGGTGGCACGCCGAGCTCTCACCGGAAGATCCTCATGCATGAAACGAATGAGTGGCGCGCAACTTTGAATCGAGCTTGAACATGAATCACCCCGATAGCGAGCTTCATGGAGTAAGTAGCATACTCGAAGGCGTGCGATGGTAGCTAATAATAATTTTAAGGGGATTGCAATATTTGACTTTGGGGGTTTGGATCGGGCTGAGTCAGGTTTCTTTCCCTTTAGATTTTCCTTTGGATGCTCGTCTTCAAGTCACAGCAGCATAGGGCTGATTGTGAAACTGGGAATCAGGCGAGATATTAGTAGTACACCAGGATAGTTAACAAAGAAAATTTCGTCCATATTATAGGCCGAAAATCAAATAGACCATTTCCTTTGCGTGCTTCAGTGGCTCTGGTTTTCTCCGATAAACGTATTCGGTACTAGTGGTTGACCAGCTGTAAATGAGGGAATGAGTAACAATTTGTAGCACAATTTGTCTTAGTCGGCAAGATCGAGCTGTGGCGCACAGAACACAGCCTTTTGTGATTCTCGTAGACCCTGCCTTGAAGCGAGCCACGGAACGCTGTTCCATGCATGCCACTGTCTTTAGTCCCTATGTCCCTCCCGCTTGGTACGAATTGTGGGTTTCAAAACAAACACACAACTAAAACGGAAGCAATTCAGCTGATGCTCTTGTTCGACTCAAGTACCCTAGCACGAGAGCCCTATTTGTTTAGTAATAAAGTGCCAGAGTGTGTTCAGAGTGTGCCTTTGACCACTGGCTTGTTCACTGATGACGTTCCGAGTTTGCCACTTGCAGCTATCTTGATGTGTCACTAACGCAGTTGTTGACACAAAACTGGACGCTAGCAGCATTGTCGCTCTACCAACAATAGCTATGTTTATACCCTGCGTAGGTTCAATCTGGGAATGAGAACTGAGGTACAAAAACATTTCGTGCTTTAATCATGTCCCACAATGCGGTAGATGTAGATGAAATGTGTCAAGAGGCTTTATCATGGCCGTTGCCTTTCGGTGTTATCTTGAATATAAAATTCGCCGTGAAGTATGTGTCAAGGCTATCAAAAGCCAATCTGGATTTCTCCAAGAGTAGAAATAAAACCAACCTACTGGTGTAGCCTACTGTTATACTCAATATAAGGCAAGGACCGACTCCCCACAATGGTACAGGGAAATCTACTATTCAATAACCGTTGGTGGTCAGTGGTCATGGCTCACGGCAAAAGGCAGTACGGTCAGAGGTAAGATGACCTTATGAATGTTTGCCATGGAATCTAATGGGTTCAAACAGATATACGGATAATTGCATATGTAGCTGCAATTGTCAGGCAGGACAAGGGTGTAGGAGCTCGAAGTCTAAAGCGGATGGTGCCGATAATTCATGGCACAGGATATTTGGGGGGTGTACTGACATCACGAGAAATGACTTATAATGGTTTACTATTCCAAACCTTCCGTCTCGATTCAGCGGTTTAGAGCCACGTAGCACTTGATACTCAGCACAGTGGACGAATTTTTGGATATATTTTGCTTTGAAATCTCACAAAATTTGCTTCCGTCGTAACCAGTTTTGATACTCTCATACGTAGGCTTCCCAGAAGACATCCTCACCGTCAGTCGTCACCTCGTATCCTGCTTCGTTCAGCAAGTAGACATAGTGAAACAGACTTTTCTCCCCGTTCAACTTTGCAATGTCTATGGTGTCAAGTGCTTCTCCCTCGTAGCCTGGGGGAAACCACCCTGCGGTACAATATGTTCTTTGTTGCGGGTCAGCCTTTCTTCGAAGCAAGTATGATATAGTTGATGAAGCGCTCCGGTATACTGCGACATGTAAAGGGGTCCAACCATGGGTATCGACGAAGTTTGGAACGCTCAGATTCAACGAGATCATATCTCTCATGCCCATTGCACTTGTACCCAGGTGAAGCAATGCCTCCAGAGTCGATGTGTTGTCCATCAAAGCCGCTATGTGGACAGGAGTCCATCCTTGATTCGTGATGTAACGGTCAGGAAATGGGGAAGCACCTAAGCGGTGCAGGAGCCCTATATCATTGGCTGTACCAAACGCTGCACATCTGTGAAGCGCCGTCCAGCCTTGAGAATCTTTGATCTCATCAAATAACAAATCATACCCTAGCACAGCGGCAAATTCGTAACCGTGAATCGAGCTATCACGGTCATAAAGGTAATGCAGTATTGACCAACCTCCGGCGGAGCAATAAGTGGGATCGGCTCCATGGGCCATAAGTATGCGTACAGTGTTTAACATACCATGGGCTACTGCGACCTGCAAAGGAGAGCTGACTCGAGTTAGTGTCATAACTTCCAGAATAATGAGCTATGAAATGGAGATTCTCACCTGTAGAGACTACCAGTTGGAAGATCAGGTTCTGCACCTTCTCGGAGAAGAAGCTGTACGATCTCTTCATGGCCATAGGAAATTGCCATCTATCGCTATTAGCTACGGTTATAAACGTTTCATTGATCACGGCATACACTAAGTGGTGTGACGTTCTCCCATGTCATATCATTGGGTCCCGCAGAACGCGATACTAGCAGCATCCTGACTTTGTCGGCATTCCCATATTTGCAGGCCACCAATATATCTGCATCTCCTGGAATGCGATTTCGCACTGAAACATTCAATGATATCGGACAATTCCATTCAAAACAGGCCGCCAGTTGCATGGTAAGGACTCGACTCCTGTATGTCGTCATCCGGAATAGAAGTGAATGCAAGTGTTTTCTCTGATTGAGTTTGCAGTATTGGAGTTCCAACCGATCGCTTAGAGACCATACAGCCCTCACGGATGCAGCGAACTGACTGCGTTTAGGGGGAACGTTGATATCGTTCGCGACATTTATCGTCCGTTCGAGTTTGTTGCGTGATATTTCCTGCAATCGTTCCTCTCTGATACTAACGGACAAGTTCCGTGTGTACACGTCAAGTTTAGAATGAAGGATAGTATTTGAGTGACTAATATGGTAAATATTAATATTAACCATGGTCTGAAGACAGTGGCTTACGTGAGGCTTAGCAGTAGGTTGGCATTTAGGATGGATATAGCATGCTCCAACCTGCCGGCGAACTTATCGAGTTGGTCCGACGTACACGCTAGACGGACGGATGCCCAACCTCGGGTGATGGGATTCTTTCCATTCTCAATCTTTTCACCTATCCGTAGACGATTTTCAGTAGTCGTTAGCTCCCTTTTGCAGAAACGCAGGGCCGAGTGCATGTTCGATATGTAGAGGCCAGATTTTTCTAAATCTTTTCCCTGGTCAAGCAGATTCTCCACACTGACGGCAATATAGTAGACTTGCAAGACAACATCTCGCAACCGAGTAGCTCCCACTGAAGCGTGAGACACTCCATCGAGAACTTGCTTCAAAGTTTTGGCACTCCGTGCTAACTGGACGGCGAGTGATATAACGGCAATAATACTTGCCGCGCCGCTCAGAGGATCCATGGCATCAATTCAGAGAGATTAATGCAGCGCAATAATACTTCTAGGTGAGTATACACTTCGTGAAGAATTGTCAAGAGTCGAGATCCATGGCAGACGAACCGAGACATAAGTATACTGGTATCCTCGCAGCAAACATTCCGGGCACTGATGTTCTTTTCGGTGAAAGCACTGCCATCTGCAGGCTGCAGACGATTCTGTCGTAGAAGCCGGGCTCCAAGCTTGCGTTGTGCAGCAGTCCGCACTTTGATGTTTACAAATCAGATATCCTATTCGCTAGTGTGCATGAATTGACGCAAGTCATCGCATAGCCGGCCTACCACGGTGCCTTCAATGTAGGCGACTGCCAGTCATCGTACAGCCCAAGACACCATTGTGCCTATGATGCGCTGGCAGTTGTGTAGGCTCCCTGCCCTGCAGGTGTAGCATTGTGGGGAATAGACATACGCCCGCATGAACATGGACTCTTCAGCATTGGCTGACCCAGGAGCAGCTGAATGCGACAATGATCTATGATTGCTAGCTATATATACAACTCTGCTGATTCTTGAGGAACGTCTGAAATGAACTTCGTTGTCCTTGTCCACGCTCCATTGCCTGTGTAACTTGCATAACGTCAAACTATAGAGCTGCAGGCGGATTCATTATCCATCGTGCTCTAGCAATCATGGCGACGGCGTGTACAAACCAGGTCAGCCGGCATCTCTCACTTGGGAAAAAAATTAATTTTTACATAAAAACAAGTATAAATTTTGATGGTACAACATCTCGGAGAGTAGTAGAGCATGGTAGGTGCAGCCACAAGTATAGTCACAGGTGCAGCTGCAGCTGCATAGTCATACGTAGATAGTGAGCTCGGGCTGGTGACATGTGGTATAGAATTGTGGCTTGAGAAAATGTGGCTATACTTTTCGTGTTTCGTTTATTCAATTTCCCTCTTTCCATAGCTTTTAATACACTATCGCACTTTATGCCTTCATTTCACGACTATTCGGGTTGGCGACCGTCGATTTATACGTCTATTTTAGCTATACGAACAATGTACGTTCGATTCGTCGACACTGACGAGGAGGACTGCGTTGGCTAAGGTTGTGTTACTTGGGAAATATGGCCCAGGAGCACTACTCCAGTTCAATAGTCACATCAAAAGAAAAGTTACAAAGAATAATTTAACATTCTTTTAAGCCGATCGGTCAGCCTGAACTAGTACGGGGTCTCATATTCTGTGTTTGTCAAACTCCTGAAGATCAGTGCTGGTGTGTGACATGGCTCTGTTTCGGACCCCAGATCCAATCCCGACCTGTAACTAGCCGGGCTAACTTGCGGGAGTCATACCATCAACGGCAACAGGATGAAAGTCCAACAACGAATGGGTGACGCGCACATGACCTACCTGTTCGAGCCCCAATCGTGGACCCAGACGAGTTTCACCCCCCTTATCATAGTATGTCTTGGGACCTCGCCAGACTTGCCCGTTCCATGAGGCTATGGTCGTAACGAGCAAATATGCCTCGATGGAGTGTTCCAGACAACGGCACTTTCGTTTCTGACTTGACGACCTAGATCCTTGACAGTCTCCGTCGAATTATTTTGGTAAACATGATGGGACCACCGCCACATAAAGACTACAGATTTGCATCTTCACTCACAGTGACCGACAGGACTCTGGGGCTCTTCACTGACATGACTCCCGGACTCTCATTTACGTCACGTCTATGATAATACCGATTTTGAAGTCGCCAACGTTGAATTTGGTCAGCAAGCCGGACGAAGATGTCACGGCGATGCATTCGGTTTACAGAAGGGCCAGTGAAGCTCTGAGCGATATCCACCATATAACCCCCTTCATGTCCCCTTCAAGGGAACAGGAACAAGATTCAGTCTCTTTAAAAATACAACCACACCATGACCTTGAACAATACCTGACCTCACACTGTCCCGCTGACAGAAAACCATGTTCCACTCATGGCCGGTGTCCTGTGGATACTGTTTGTGACCTGCGCCTTCTTTATAAGTTTTTAGATCCCCTTTAATTCAACCACGGTTGCTGTTACGGGCTGGCTAGTGCAAGTGGTTGCTGTGTGTCATGTGATAATGGGAATAAGCTCAGAACTGGCGAAGTATCAACACGTTCGCCACTACCCCGCAGAAATGGGCCTTGTTAAGTAGCCAGGAGCCTCTGCGAGCTCACAGAGGCCCCTCGGTAGGCTTGAGTTGTATTGTAATTTTCAATAAAAGTCATCACCTCTTTCACTCTGAGACCAATCCCTCACACTGTGGTTGGGGACGAGGGGTGATCCACCCCACCTGTAAATAGCAAACGCCACAGTTGTAGAGGGAGCTCTTCTTTCCTCTCTCTTTTAGTTTTAGATTTTTTGCAATACTACAGGATTTGCAACACAGGCTCGATCATACCTGTGGTACCGTAACATTTATAAAGTGCGATGTATGTTATATCATAATTATAGAATGTAAGCATTTATAACACCCACTAAGGTGCATTACCACGGAACTAGCGTACCTCCATACTTACTTGACAGCTGGTAACAGCTGGTGTATAGATAAGGAGATAAGCTAGTTGTGTGGTAACCCACCTTAGTGGGTGCCACGGATACTTGCATTCTCCATCTTTAATACGTCACACATCGCACCCCATAAGGATCGCATCAATGCCTGTTAAAGACCGTGTTAGATACAGCTACTTAGAATCCTCCTCACTCTACACTTGATCATCGATCGTAATCTCCGGTATCTACCTCTATACCTACCAAACAGTTGACGCCCGGAGGCGATAAGGCTTGTGCCTGATGTTTGGAGCGCTTAAACCAGCATCTCGCTTATCCGTGTCCCATGTTACCGCGTCACCCTCATTGTAGGTTTTCAACAGCACGGATACCCAGAAAGGAAGCTTAATACTGACGGTAGATGCAGTATGGATCGGTGTTCAATGCGCCTACTCTCCGATGACGCACGACTAATGCCCACATATGTACTTATATCCCTATCGACATTGATAGCTAAGTAATTAGCCATGGCCAACTTAGGAGCCAATGACGGCATCACCGATATGTAAATTCATTATGAACTTTAAGCAGAATCTCCCGAGCTCGCGGAAATCGGGCGTATACTTCTATTCTTGATAGCTATAAGTACTATCTTAAAGTAGCTAATGGGTCCGGAACTCGGAGACAACTCACGGCCGAGGTTCGCCGCAGAATGGGGTGGATTTTAGCGCTGCGACGCGAGAACATGACTAGGTTGGGTTACTATGAGGAGGCGCTTTATATTGAGTAGATCGAGACTACTGCACCATTGAGGACTTTACCTGCGCGACATCATACCACATTATTCGCTGACGTTCTGTTCCAGAAGTCCGAGGTTGTTGATGTCGACCTAAGGCTTCATCTGCACAGTTTCTACCCGCTTGATATGCATTGCAACTAGCACTGACCGAAATTCCAAGGCAGTTGGTGGAACGTAGCTAGTGATGGTATGTGTGGAGGCCAAAGCATGTGGCCAGTAACAAGAATTGTGAGCGCTGCTCGATTGAAGCATACTGGTTTGCAAGACCGAATTTGGATCGTTAGCTTCCGGCAGAACTTAAGGGAGGCGTCGAGTCGGTAGTTGGCATTGATCGCACAGACGTCGTTCATTCATTGTTGTCCACTGCTGTCCATGAGTACTCGAAATTCCTGAAACAACGACGTGTCGGACTGCGGCCGAAGTTGTCAACCTTATCTCTCAGCGTCGGCAGTCGGACGACGCGGCGATAAGTGTGGTGTGCATGACTGCAGACGCCTCAATATTGGAGCTAGAATCAGTAGTTCCCCTGGTCTGAAGGCGTTCCGCTGTCAATACTCCATTGGCTCTTTGAGTATCTATTTCTCGGCCCCAGTCCCGAGAATACGTCCCCGATCTGGCAGGTGGGTCCCGGGCTGCATGCTTGTCTACCACCCCTGCGTGCGGTCCTTTAGATTTGAGGAGTTTTGAGCATTCTAGTATCGAGGTTTGGAATGATCTTGGTACCAGGCTAAGCTTATTTTCCTGTGTGCCTTGAGCCTGTTGTGGTGCGCAGACCCCTATCGCGTCGAGGAAAAGATAGCGGAGGACGAGCCATCGTCGTCTTAAATCCATCTGTTCGCACCATGTGACAAATGCAAGTCTGTAAAAACCAATCAGTCTATCAAGCGTTCTTAGTTCTTAAATGCAAGCCTCCTTTTATGCCATCTTTCCAAAGCAATACTAGGTGGTGGTCGTCTCGTCCGATGTTGTGTACCCCTTGCTGCGAGTGCCATATCTCAACGTGGGGAACCAAGGACCCCGGCGATGGGCTACCGAATCAGGCAAGCCAATACTGGCACTATATTCATTGGGTATCCTCATCCGATCTTTTACATCCAGCCACTCTGCTACCTGCAAATGTATCTCGGACTGAATACATGATTGAAAGCTTCGAGTTGTGCCCTCCCCGATACCGGCCTTGCGCGCAGGACTTACAAATGCACCTGCCCATATATGTAAATTGACCGCCCCCGAGACTCCGAAAACCCCGAGTACATGCACACTATCCAAACTTCATTATTTAACCTGTGATGGGTGGGTATCGCCGCCTGCGGATACGTGCCATCGTACACCGTGAAGGCTTGAGTGTTGTTCCCATCGGTCCTCCCAGGGGCCTCTAGCAGGAACTCTTGCTGGTGACAGAGGCTTGAGTGGCTTCTCATCATCTGCGGCCTTCTTGTAGTTGCTGCAACTTGGCGTGGGACTCATGTCATTCATGCTGTAGGAAATGGCCACACCCTTTGACACTCGGATGCTTGAGTATGGGTCTTGCAGCATGGATTGGCGGTTTGTGAAAGCCATGTTGTCCCTCTTGGAAGACTTCTGCCATCTCTTCGGCACGAATGTCGTCCACATCTTCTCTCGGAATTGCTTGGTAGTGCCAAAGACAACAAATGGAATCAATGATGCGGTGACACCAGGCAAATCTTGTAGACTCATCCGAATTGCCTTCTCGGCGCTCAGGTTAGGCGCGTGTGAAAGAAAAACAGCTGTGTTGTTTTGTTGTCCAGTGACTTGGAATGTTGCAAGACAGCACTCGAAGATTCTAGCATGACCTATCAGCATCAATGACCGGACATGATAAGTTTGCATCTTACCCGAGCGCAACGAATGCGATTGTGAAGCGAATGACAAGCCACTTGTCATATATTCCCTTTGGACGTGGCAATATGGGAGAGAAGCTGCTCCTTTTCGTGTCAGTTTCGGTTGTAAGGGAGCTTATTCCGTAGGCAGCGGTCCACGTATTGAATTGTCTCCGTGAATGGACGTATTTTGCAAGAATCATCAGCAGGAAGATCGCCCCTCCACCACAGCTGATTATAACTGTAGGATATCAGTGACTGCGTCGGCACACAAGCTAAATCAAACTTACACTGGAAGTCAGCAATAACCAGAAACGCCACCATTTTCCCTTGAATTGCTTCCACTTGAAGTAACGAGACAGTCACAAGCGGGAGAACCACAGATGTGACTTTCCCAACAATGTTTATTCGGGCAAATATACGACGCGGATGAGGCTTCGATGTCCAGCCATAGACTGAGGCCATGAGAGAGAAGGCCCAGAATAGAACGAACGTTGCTTCGACATTATAGCAGTAATACTCTGCAAAGGGTGAGTACCTGGCAGACATAAATTGGTGCACATAGAAGACTCACGAATGTAGAACAGAATGCGATCGATCCCAGTGCAGCCATTGCATATGACGAGCGTTGGATTACCGACGTTGGCAATTCTGTTCTCCCAGGCAGCAATAGCAACATCTTCAAACCAGCTGTTTCAGTCAGACCTGATTGACCGCCAAGATGTTGTCTGGTGACTGACACTTACATATAGTCGTGAAGTTGTTGTATGATACTGCATGTAGTCGATAGAAGTGGAAAATATGATATACAGGCAACATCTACGCGGGTTGCTTCAGCTTTGGCAGCCGCGGAGCGTAAGAGCCGACTTACAGCTTAGTCGCTCGTTGTGTATCCATGCTAGCCACAACATCAAGACATTGCAGATCCAGCAAAATGCTGAGAACAACAAAACAGCCACTGCTACACCTGTCGCCTGCGCTGGAAGTTGCCACATATTCTGTCTCGACGATGTGGACGGGTACAGTGGATCAGATGCCCATACCTATGTTCATTGTCTCGTGCAATGGTATTCAAAAAACTGTCATGGAGATAGAACAGACGGGCAATTGACAAGGCGGAAATGTGTCGGGCATGTTATACCAGATCATGCGTCTAACAGGTATACGACAGGACCCCTGATGAAGATCTCAAAGCGTGACGGGTGAATGTCAGGGGTGGCACATTGGAGGGGACTGAGTCGGAGAGAACGCAACCCAATCCGAGTTGAGTTCTGTTGATAGTCGCAAAGGTCTTAACAAGATAGGATGTGGGGTCGTCTGCATAGTGTAGTACTATGGTATACATAGTACAGGAAGTGACCCGCGCAAAGGTGCGGCTGTGGGGTAGGTTGCCTGGCAGTTCTGCGAGAGGCGTCGAAAGGCATGTATTCGTCTTGGCCGAGTGGAGTCGCAGTTACAAGATGCGGGTGCGAGATGCGGGTACAGCCCGCATAGGTACTTACAAGCTGCCAAAATAGGCATTTGGAGAAAATATGCCCGGCGAAATGGTTGCCTCTCCCATCATCCAGACGGCTTGAAGTGTACACCGCTGGACTTTCACCTTGAACCAATCCAGAGATCCAGACGCGCCAAGCATTCTCTGGAGAGGGATCTTGCATCACACGAAATGCTGGTGTTGCAGGCTGATGTTCAGAAACCTATGCTCCGACAGTCTGACGAAGATAAGCCTTGTGGTTTGAGCTCATCGGGATGTGAACCACAACGGGATAGTGGTCTCGGCCAGTGGTGTGGACACTGGACGATCAGACAACCCCAACCGATATGGGCGGCAATCAAAGAGAGCATTTGTCCGTTGCGGCTCTTGTTAACAATCACCCGCCTTGCCACCTACAATGTCTCAAAATTGCTCTGAGATGCGTATCATTACCTTTATGCGCGCGGAGTCAATGACGTTCTACGTGTCAATGGACAATTGCTGCAACATTGGCGTGGACCTTGTTGAAGCGCCCCGTAGCACCAGTACACCAGTTAACTATGTTGTCCCTTTTTTTTTCCCCTATTTTATTGTCCATTCATGGATAGCAAGATGAAAGCAGAAGAGACGATACTTTGAGGTTTTCAAGCAGTTTCCAGCGCGTCTCTCTGAAAAAGAGAGCTTTGGTTTTATGTGAGATAGTAATTGTAACAAGTTAGTTAGGTATGGCATTCTGCTGGCAAATAGCGGGGCGGAAAGCTCGGACCCTGTCTCACAAGCCACAATGGCCCTCTGCGCCACGCTAGTTCGCGCCTCTTTCCACCGGCAAACGTCAAGCTTCAATCAAGGCTGATTGACTATTTTATTTCGTGACGACCAGCCGCGCATCTCCCAGCCGTCTCGCGTCGTGGCGCCCACCATCTGCTTCGACCAACTCGTACTGCTGCCAAATATGCCGGTCGTCAAGGGAGGAGTCTGGACCAACGCCGAGGACGAGATCCTCAAGGCGTCGGTCTCCAAGTATGGGCTGCATCAGTGGGCGCGCGTGTCGTCGCTCCTGCAGCGCAAAACCCCCAAGCAGTGCAAGGCGCGATGGAACGAGTGGCTGGATCCCAGCATCAAGAAGATCGAGTGGAGCAAGGAGGAGGATGAGAGGCTGCTGCACCTGGCCAAGTTGATGCCCACCCAATGGCGCACCATTGCTCCCCTCGTTGGCCGCACCGCAAACCAGTGCCTTGAACGTTACCAGAAGCTGCTTGACGAAGCCGAACAACGCGAAGCTGGCGGACTAGGCCTCACCGGCCCAGACGGCGGCGAAACGCAAGCACCCACCGCCGATGATGTACGGAGACTACGTCCGGGCGAGGTCGACCCCAACCCCGAAAGCAAGCCCGCCAAACCCGACACCATCGACCTCGACGAGGATGAGAAGGAGATGCTAAGCGAGGCCCGAGCCCGCCTTGCCAACACCCAAGGAAAGAAGGCAAAGCGGAAGGCGAGAGAACGTCAGCAGGAGGAGTCCAGGCGCCTGGCCACCCTACAAAAGCGCCGCGAGCTCAAGACGGCTGGCATCAACATCAAGGTCATCACCCGCAAAAAGGGTCAGATGGACTACAATGCCGACATTCCCTTCGAGAAGGCACCGGCACAAGGGTTTTACGACACGACCGAGGAACAAGGCTTGAACGAGCGGGAGAGGGCGGCATTCGACCCCCGAAAGCAACAGCTCGCAAACAAGCGCAAGGGTGAGCAGGATGATGACGGCGAGAGGAAGAAGCGGAAGAACGAGAAGGACGGCCCTTCGGCCTCGATGCAGGCCGCCATGAAGGCCGGTCAGATGCAAAAGATACGCGAGGCTGAGCAGAGCAGCAAAAGGCGGGCGCTTGTCCTGCCGACGCCGCAAGTTGGCGAGGGCGAGCTCGAAGAGATTGTCAAGATGGGCATGATGGGTGAACGTGCAAACCTAATTGCCCAGTCCAGCGAGAACGATGCTACAAGGGGCCTTGTCAACACATACTCAACCCTGACGTCGCAAACTCCAATTCGGACACCCATGGCGCCGGCCCAGGAGGATCATATTGCCAATGAAATCCGCAACATCAAGGCCTTGACAAATAACCAGTCAGCTCTCTTGGGAGGCGAAAATGCCGACCTACAGGAGGGTTCGGGCTCCACAGGCTTTGAAAGCGCAACTCCTCGCAGACAGGTCGTTTCAACACCTAATCCCCTAGCCACACCCCTGAGAAATGCTGCCAATGGCGTGGGTGCCACACCAGGGAGGGTTGGCCAGACTCCTCTGCGGACCCCGCGAGACAGCTTTGCCTTGAACGCTGCTGGCGATGCCATGGCGCTCATCCCTGGGTCCGCGAAGGACATGCGCCTGCGTGAGACAACGAAGAAGCAGTCATTGAGGCAGGGGCTTGCTTCTCTGCCAAAACCAAAGGAATCCGACTGGGAGCTTGAAGCTCCAGAGGATCAGATGGAACTGGTAGTTGCAGATGAGATGGAAGAAGACTCGGAGGAAAGAGATCGTCGTGAAAGACAGATTAGGGAAGCACAGGAGCAACTTGAACGCAGACGTCGAACGCAGGTCATGCAGAAAGAGTTGCCTCGACCTGACGTAGTAGACATTGATGCCCTGATTGAGCGGGCCGCAACGGTGGAAGATCCTGTGGAAGCCCTGATTGCCAAGGAGGCTGCCTTGCTCATTGGAAATGATGCAGTGAGATACCCCCTACCAGGAGGCACTGTCAAAGGGCGGCCCGGCAGCCTTGCTCGCTTTGACGATGCTGCGCTTGCAGAGGCCCGCCTTCAGATTCTTCTGGAGGTCAAGGACAAACCCAAGCCAGAAGACGTATCCGCTGTCTTCAACAGGGAGAACAGCAACGCCCTTCTGCTGGGTCTAGGCTGCTATGTGGATGATGAGGAAGAAGAGCAGGCAGCGCTCATGCAGTCTGCTTTCGATGCTGTTCAGGCTTCCACCATGTCGACTGTGGAGAAATGCGCGAAGGTCGAAAAGAAGCTTACACTGCATCTCGGAGGATATCAGAACAGAGCCAAGACCCTGGGGCAAAAGACAGCGGAGGCTTTTGAAGCCCTTGGGAAGGCACAGACTGCGCTCAGCGGATTTCAGGCTTTGAGCATATCGGAAGAAATTGCCGCCAAGAGTCGTCTCGATGCACTACGCGAAGAGGTCGCCTTTGTCAGTAGGAGGGAGCGGGAGGCACAAGATATGTATAAGCGAACCAAAGACGAACTCGAATCTCTCAGCAACGTCAACGGTTATCATTAAGTGCGGTTTCTTCGGCCTCGGCGCAAGGCTTCGTTGGCGTTGTATTTTAGACAAATTGTACATCAAGAAATGCTCAGTTGCAGCAAAATGCCAACAATATAACAAAGACCGTGAGCCGTACATACTAGGTGGTTTGGAAACATCTAGTAACAATGATACAGTCATTTCACACAGGCCTAGAAGTGACGGTGGCCCCCTCGACAAATGGTATCTTCAGAAGGGCCTCCTCCATGTATACTCTATAACTAAACAGCACGCCGACGCCACTGTGTATAAGCCACTGAGGAATGTCTCCACGGCCGCGCTACCGCGTAGCATGCTCGTCACCCTCAAGCTGCTCCAGCACGCCGCGGAAGACCTCGGCCTCGCGCTCCATCTCCTTGAGGCTCCTGGCCCTGCGCTCCGCGTCCTCAATCCGGGGGAAACCGCCCCCAGGGCTCGGCCGCCTCCCGGCCGCGGCGACGGCGCGGTCCCACAGCGCGCCACCCACGTTGCCCGCCTCGGCCGCCATCTGCTCGTAGATCTGGTCACCGGGTCCGTTATCCGGCTTCTCCGTCTCCCCGCGGATCCGCGGGATCACGTGCACGTGCACATGGGCCACTGTCTGCCCGGCCTCGCTGCCGTCCTGGATCGCGATGTTGAAGGAGCCATCGTCGGGCCTGGCGCTGCTGCTGTTGCCGTCAGCTTTCCCACTCAGCTGTTTCTGCTCCGGGCTGGAGCCGGCTGCTCCCCTGTCCGAAGAGGAGGGAAGGGACCGGGCGAAGTAATGTCTGGCCAGCATGCGCTGGACGCGCTGTACGGCCTGGAATAGGTCTGTCAGCTCAGGCGCCGACATGTCCGTCAGCCGCAGGTGCGGCTTCTGCGGACAGACCAGGACATGGCCTGGCAGCAGCGGCTTCAGGTTCACAAGGGCGAATGAATGTGGTGTCTTGAGGAAGACCTGTTGAATATCATTAGCATGTGCGACCGAGAGTAGGTAGTCCAAGATGAGACGGTGTGCAGATAAACGTGTCGTCAAGACGCTGCAAGGAGATGCTGTAACTGCGGCGGTGCATCTAGAACATACCTGTGAAGTGACTTCGAAGGGACCAAAGTGGATTGGCCCCGTGGGCTTGGAAACCATGTTCCGTTTGCCGATCACGCTAAAAGGATTGACTATAAGTTGGGTGCCTCGTTTTATCATCACGACGCACTGGTGTGTGAGTGATGGGCATAATGATTGAGTGGGAGGGAATGATCGCCAGGCTTGTCTGAAAGCGGGCTCGCTGCAATGGTCAAGCCCGCTGAGGTCAATGACGTTATGCGCTGGACGACCGCCGAGATAGGGTCCAGCTAGGCGGTGTAACGCTGCGTACCTCCATATACAGCGTACATCCTTATTATCAAGGGGAACCAAACAGCTCCGGGCAATAATTAGTGGCTAAGTAACGACGGCGTTTTTAATCAATTCAATATGTTTGTGTCATTAAGTACCAAAATAGAACATCGTCCACTCCAATGCGCAATGCTATTCTATGCAATACTACACCTAGGCACCGGAAAGCAACTCATAGACCTCGTAGCAGCTCTCCCAAAGAGATTGGTTTTCTAACAGCATTATTCATGCCTTCGTGGAACGTTACCCATACCTTATTCTCCCCCTTTCCAAGCGTCTCATCCTCTCTGGGTCTCTTGTCGCCGTTTCCATCAGTCTCTTGCAGCGGCCGTGGTTCCGTCTTGATGACTCTCCCAAAGAAGTCTCTCTTGACTGGAATAGATGGCAGCTGGATCTCCTTGGGCTTTGACAAGTTCTCCTTATCGTCAAACGAGTAATCTTCTTGGCCGTGCGGGTTACCCGCACGGAAGCGGGCTTGTCTCGCCGAGTTTTCGCGCAGCACCGACATCTTGTGCATCTCCTGATCCAGAACTTGGCGGACAGCGTAACGAGTTGGCGCATGCGTGCCATGAATGACCGCTGCTGACGTCTCAAAGGTGGCCAGCGCATCGAGATCACTAGGGGTATGTTAGCAACTCAAGGTGACCTTTGCATATCTCTGCATATAGGGATGTACTTACGGTGCCATTCGATACACCCACGTTACACCTCGACTGAACATATCGCCTTCAATCTTTCCGCGCTGGAGAGCAATTCCCACATCGAGAAGTGTGTCCGCAGCCCGCTTGACCATCCGTTTTTCAGCCTCCTTTCGGACGCTAGCTGTACCTTTCTGGTCACCGCTACCACCGACGACGACTGGCTTCACATCAGGTGATACTAGGCGGATGAGATAGGGCAAGAAGTCCGTTGCAATGTCCTCAGCACTCCGGAATGATCGTCCTAGCGTGGGAGCCAGTTGTGCTTGAATAGCTTGAAGCATGGCGCGGCTTTCTTTCTGGGCTTCACGAGCAGTAAAATCTGCACGGGGGCCTGAGAATGGAAGCGGCGGCGCTTCTTCCTCTTCCTGGCCCCTCTTCTGGTACATCAGGTGGGAGTGGCGCGTGGGTGAAGCGAACAAGCTGTGGCAAGCCAGAACCGGCTGACTGAGATAAGGGGCAAGCTCCCATTCCTGGCTGCCGAACAACCTTGAAGAGCAGGCATCGTGAAACTGCATCCACTCATATGCTTGGTCAGGCTTCGACAGGAAGAAGTCGTCGTTCAGTTCATGGTTCGGGTAATCGGAGAAGATGTCGGTAATGATGCGATCAACGTCACCACTGGTTTCGATCATTTCCCGCAATCGCTCAATAGCATACTTTTTGGTCTGCTCAGAGAATTTGAGTTGCGCTTGAGGTTGCTCGCCGAGAGGCATTGCCGTAGGAGCAACACGCAGACTGCCCTTGGGAAACCCGGCGCCCTCCTGGAAAATGCGCGTGACTATGTCCTTCACGTTGCCCCGTCCAAGACCTCTTGCTCCTCCTCCGCCATGAGCTAGATCTTGGACAATGTTCTGGTCAACCCATTGCCGCGTCAGACGGAGTGGACTTTTCAGTGTGGCAGCCTTGAGGCGTCCGGCAACCCACTCTCCAACGACCATGATCCCTCTGAGATCACCTTCCGCATTGCTCTCAGCGCCCTTTTTGGCGTCCATGCCGCTACTCATGCCCCAGGCTGCCTCGCAAAGCTTGCGTGCGGCATCTTTCTCGCACGGAATGCCCTCTTTCTCAAAGACACCCTTAAGGCGTGTGACTACCGCATCAATGCTTGGCTTGCCGACATGTATAACCTCAGCCAAACTTGATTGACGTAGCGGCCTGAGGGATGGGTGGTAAACATCATTACAGATAAGGATCAATGGCCGCATCTGTCGAAAATCATCGTTCTTCTTCTTGCGGCCGTGCTGGTATCCAGGTTCACCGACACCCGCACTGTTTCTCTCTCCCAAGGTGATCAGATCCATGAGTGCTTTGATGAAACCTCCATCTCCGGAACCGCCAGAGCCAGTCACAACGCCATCAACTTCATCGACCACCACACAAACTGGGCGGGCAATCTTCTGCTGCTGGCCTGGCTCTGCCTTCTTGTGTTGAACAGTCTTGACGCTTTCGGTCCCTAGACTTGTCCTGATCCGGTTTTTGACCACGTCCTTGCTCCGATCGTCGCTGGCATTGATTTCCATGACTTCGTAACCAGCCTGTTTTGCGCAAACATGAGCTAGAGTAGTCTTGCCGAGTCCGGGTGGCCCTGTGAGCATGAGAATCTTGCGATGGGGCTTCTCCTGCTCGGCCTGTTCCTTGGCTCCTGGTCTACGTCCCGACGGCCTCGATTTGGCAGCGCCAGGGAAGACAATGGGATCCCATCGCTTAAGCCAACGCAAAACGTTGCGATTGGTCCCGTCGTTGCCGCACAAGTCAAGAAAGTTTCTAGCTCGGTACTTCTCGGTCCACAGCATCGACTTCTTTGGCTTCTTGCCAGAAACTTCTTCAACTGACGGCATGGGGCGATCTGGCGAGGCATCGGGGGATGCTTTGCTTGCAGCAATCTCCTGCTTAGCTGCGTCTACCAACTCGTGGATCTCGATACCGTAGTAGCTACGCTTTGCTCGACCCTCCTTCGTTTTGGACCTGGCAGCAACCAAGCGCTCATATGACTGTGTGGTGTTTGCTTTCCTTGGCTTGACATGTACCGTCTTGCCAGAACATGTCGTAATTTTGAAAGCCGCGCGTGACTGTTTGGAAGAGGAAGAGAGGTTCTCGAAAGCCGCCGCTAAATCGCTGTTCTTCCTCAGGAGGGATTCGTATAAGGTGTCATGATCTCCGCTGTTGGTGTTATCAAGTTGCGTGTCCGTTGGCTCACCAACGCTGGGCTCTGATTTGCTGGGTTCGGCCACCTCGACGTCGGGTTGTGCTGGGGGTGATGACGGCTGTGTCGACGCGGCGGTAATGTTTTCGCTGGGGCTGCTTAGCATGCGCCGCTTTGCAATCGGCTCCGTCAACAGGCCCTCATCTTCGTCCGAGTCGTCGTCGACTAGGAATCCGGCCTTGCCTCTCTTAGGCTTTTGTCCATTGTGCGGTTTCGGTCTCTTGTTGACTGGCGGCGACGAGCTGGCAGGATAGACCACTGGAGACGATGCCGACAGCATTTTGACTGTCCAATTTTCCCCGCCTCGTTCGTAGAGAATCGCTGCAGTCAAAGACTTGAGGAACTACTGAGGATGTGTCGAGTGGTATGGATCGGAATCGATAGGTACCACGACTAGAGTGGGTGGTCTGGGGAACGCGGTTGACGCGACTAGACGCGTTGATGGGATAAAGTGGGTGGGGGCGTGGACCTAGCAGTCTCCAAGCAAGAAATCAACTGCAAGACCCCCAAACGTTAACAACAGTACCTCACGCGCTAAGTCCACGCCCACTGAGTAGGTTGGATTCTGCAGTATCGTATTGCAAACAGTGTTAGAAATCTGAGAGGTGTTGGACTTCTTATGTCAGTTGCTCTTCGACAAGATCCGTTTTGATCATGGAGACAGCCCACAGCGTAGGGATAGGGGGGCTGTGGCATCTACAATCCAGGTCTTTCGTGTGATACGTCACGTTCGCAACTTTCGTCATCACGGATTCGAATTGTAATTTATTTCCTACTGGCAACAGTTGACCAACTTTTTGGTGTGGTACCGTCATAGCGTAATCATTGGAAGCACTGCACAATTTGAAACAGTCGATAGTTATGTCTTAAATGGTCAAGAACGCTTCATGACTATCCGTGCAAGCCAGATTTTGGGCTTTTAGCAAGGTGGCGATAGCTTCACATTACGGTACCAGCGAGGAAGTGGTCGGTGACCAGGATGAAACCGATCTACTTAAGTACTGGGTAAGTTGCGTAATGATTTTTCAGGTATTGAATGAAAGAAGGCCAACCAAGCCTATTAGCAACATTGAGCCCGCATCTGCCCCGGTGGCAGTAGCGGTAAGCAAACAGTTGACCTGGATATCGTTAGCTTTTGAAGAGCGCCGGAGGTGAACAGCAAGTGAGCCTCAAAGAATTACTTCCCTCGGCGCAAATTGCAGTACATGGGATGAAATGGTCATACTTGTCCTCCTTGGCGTTTCAAGGATAGTGCTATTGGCTGCCGAAGGTGTGTTGTTAGCTCTGAAATCCCATAAACAAGGGCTGCTGGGCTGCTGGCCGTAGGACAAGGCGGGTGATAGATATTCTATCAGAACGGTAGCAAGACAATAAAACTTCTGTTTTCATTCAATTACAGTGCAAGGCACTGTAAGGAAAGTTATTGTGGCTCTGAAAGAACCAAATATTCAACAACAGACCATAATTCAAAGAACTCATCATCTGGTTTCATTGCGGTCATCGTAGCGAACTCATCGCAGTCAAGATATGACTCAAGTAGAAACCCTCTCTCCTGAAAAGGGTGGGTGTCCCTTGCACGCCAGCTCCGCTGTAGTCGTGAGTGACAGAACACACAGACACCGCAAGCCCTCCAGTATCGACCAAGAAGCTATTCTCAGAATCAAGTATTGGGACGCTTTCCTTGGTCTGGACTCGCTACAGGCTGGTCACACCGAGTGGCTCAACGGCTCGGCACTGGATGTCCCCACGGAGTTTCGATACCTGCAGCAGCCACCAGAGGTTCGGCAGCTGATCAATCTGCTCGACACCAGTGCTGATGCGGGATTGTTCCGTCATTCTGGCGGAACGAGTCTCGAGCATAACGCAGATAAGGTCCGCCAGAGTCTTGAAGGAACAAATCACGGTGGTGATAGCAAACTGCTAAAGAGTATCAGAGCACACGAGTTTACGATGTGGCCCGTCGATGTGGGAATGCACTGGGTCGTTCTGATTCTACACATGCAGCAAACGGGCGGATCAAAGGAGTTTGATCATGTCGCTCAAGCTGTTATCATAGATACAGACCACGACCCTTTGACGGTAGGGTTCGTGCTGGACAGACTCAAGACTGTCCTGGCTGCAGGCGGCATCTCTTTCGCCCGTACCCCAGAGCTTCTGCTGAACATGTGGGTTCCGCCGCAGGATGATGGCTGGAGTTGTGGCCTCAGGTGCTACGCAGCGATGAGCGAATTCATGCAGAGGGTTACAAGGCTTTATCTAGCTGGCAAGACGTACGAAGACTCTCTGTGGGAACCTATGCCCAGCTGGTTCCTTGCCCAGTCTGTGCGAGAAGAAATGGCCGGGCTATGCGCCGCCATGTGCGTTCGAGAGCTGAAATACAAGGCTCGCATTGCTATCGAGCTCGTGGACAGTGAGCACACGTCGCGGAAGGGATACAAGAAAAAGTCTGCGAGTAAATATCTGAGTGCCACAGCTTTGAAGCCACAGAGAGGCACGTCTAGGAAACAGGGGCAAGACAGGAAAATAGGGGTGCGGACTATGTCTCGAGCCAAGTCATCACATATCCATCCCCATCATAAGGTTAATAAAACCGCTCCCCACCGTCGATCCATAGGGCAGCCTGATAATATTTGGCTGAAGAAGAGAGTTCCAATCGTGTGGGATGAAGATGTGCTATAAGTCACCAAACCAAACCTGCCCACTTGGCAGATCTTGGCTTCTGCTCGCAGAAGGCACGCGCTAGTTCTGAGAAGAAAGGGGAGACGGAGGGAGGGGGGCACACAAAAGAGCCTCATGACATATATTTAAAGAAAGGTAAATATGGAGTAGATGTTGCCCGTATAGACAAAGAAAAAGTCAGATATACAGGGCATACTACATATGTGCGTGTGTCATCCAACGCCAATACGCCGAAATCCCCTGAGTCGTGCCCTGTAAAGCTCTAAGAAGCCACCCCATGCGAGCATACGAAGCTCTCGTTTATGTTTTCTATAATGAAGGAGGCCTCTAGAATGACCATATCCATGTCCGCGTTAAATAGTTTACACGCGTGGCAGAGCCTCGCTTGCCACCTCTGCTTCCGTCACAGTCTCTTCATCACTTACAGCAACCGACTCAGAGTTAGGTCCCCCGGCAGGGACTGGCTCGTACGCTTCGTCCTTTAGGAATACTGCGGATTAAGTCAGTAACGATGTGCAAAAAAGGGGTCGGGGGTGGTTGCTAAGGGGAGAACATACAATGAGGCCGCAAGAAGAGACTAGCAATCATAGCCAGCCCAAAGAGCGATGTGAGCAGTACAAAGAATGCCTGGGGAAATGTTTCCACAGTTGCGGCGTAGATGCCATTGAACAAGACCGGCGAGAACACTCGCCCAAGAGCATGAAGCAGTCCAATGGCCCCGAGTAACGAGCCTACTTGCTCGGCAGGGACGTGCTTAGTAGTTGCGCTCTGAATGACGGGACCGCCCAGGCCACCAAAGGCTGTGATTATACCGAACATGACGAAAAGTTCTTCCTTCCGCACCAAGACGTAGCCCAGAATGCCCACGGTGTCTGATGCCAAGGACAGGCGCAGCAACCAGATGTCGATCTCATCTGCTCCCTCGTTCTTCTCGGCTACTATAATACCACTCTCGCGACGCTGACGCTGCATTGGCCGCAGCCGAAACCAGTAGTTGATTAACGGGAAGATGCCAAGGAGCACAATCACGCGGATGAAGCTGATGAGAGACACGAAACGCGAAGCCTCAAAGTTCCCCCAGTTGAATATGTACTCGACGTAGAGGATTGTAACTGTTCCAGATCCCATGGCTGCCGAGAGAATCACCGCGTCGATGAGCGCAAGTATAATCATGTTGCGCCGCAGGCTCTTGTTTGCACGCCCACCGGGAGCCAATATCTTCAGAGGTGCTAAGGGGTTTGCGCTCAAAAGGGCTGGAAGCCAATCGGGGCCATGTTCACTGATGTAACCCGCAGCGTTGGGTCCCACCCAGCCACCCATAACGCGTGGAAGATGAGAGCGCATGCGCTCTGCAAGTGATTCCTGTTCATTTTGATACTTCTCCCGAGCCAGCATCTGGCGTTTCTTTGATAAAGACTCGGGAGTGATGAAGAGAATGAACAGGATGAAAAAGATGTGACATCCAAGCGTGACGTAGAAAATGGAGAGAAGGGAACCTGTCCACTTGACGAAATATCCAGCCAAAAGAGGGCCCAAAGCAAGGCCGGTAAATAAACAGGCGTGGAGGTATCCGATGGTGACGCCGCGCTTCGAGGGCGGTGTGCAATCGCTGGCATATGAGGACCCGAGGATGTTTCCGGCCGTAAACGAGCCTGTGACCCCATCAAAGAAGGCCCCGAGAAGGATCCAGTGGTAGTCGATTACATCGGGGTATTTCGCTGCGAGGATTGTGACGATCTCGTTCAATACACCACCGCAAGACGCAATCGTCAGAAGGCGTGTGCGTCCGTAGCGGTCCGATAGAGCTCCAAGCTTCGGCGCAGTCAAGGCGCTCAAAACGCCGATCAACATGCTGAGAGTCAAGGTGAAGGTCGCGACATTCTTCTGAACAGCTGGTATGTTGCACTGAGGATTATCGCCACCAAGCACGACCGGGGAGAAGGTGAAGGCAGGGTCCTTGAGTGTCTGGTCGGCAAAATAATTGCGGCAGACCAGGTCGACTATCCTACAGAGGATAATCTGATTAGCCACAAGTGCTTCACTCTGTCACGGCGAGTGTAGCCCTGCACGTACAAGTTAAGCTTTGGCACGATGACGCCTCCGAACGCGAGCGTGAAGAGGAAATAAGGGCCAATAAGCCAATACACCTGGCGACCGGGTCAGTACCACGCATGTTGGGAAGTTCATGGCGCCGCTACGCTCGACAGCGTACCGGGCAGCTGGGAACGTACAGACGGCCGCCGCCACCACGTCAGATGCTCGAAGTCCTCGTAACCTATCCAGCTCCTATCGCTCCCTCTACCCTCGCTATCATCGCGGTCGGCGCCTGCGCCAAGTAGAGGTGACCCTTCGCCAGGATTGGACCCCGTCTCTTCGGCGTCCATCATGATAATCTGTCCGCCCCCACCCTTTCCGGGCTGGCTTTCGGTCGTCATTCGGGCAGTCGGATACGCTGGATTCGCTTTCGTGGGTCGCGTTAAGGGTCGCACACGGCCCGGATATGCGCGGATGGCCTGCTGCGGCTCTTGGATGGAACGTGAGGGATTGTATGAGCCACCAGGCGTGGTGGGCGTGGTAGCTATGTGTAGGATCGCGATGGGCAGCGGAATGTCCGGGTGAGGAAGCAATGCGCTCCTAGGCGCGTGCTAAATGTTTTACTAATCGCGCAAGCCCTTGCGAATCCATGCCGCGCGCAACCAGCAGGGTAATCGGATAGGAAGGGCAAGAGATGCTGATGTGAGCGAGGCCGAGATAAGAAGGAGAGCAGGGAGTTATGTACACCGGTCCGTTCCCCAGGTTTAGGTCGGAATACCAGCGTCGACTACGTAATGCACGGCCTAGCTGGGCCATTCAGCCATTCCGAAGGTGTCGGACGCGGACCGGGAAGTTAACTCCGGCGCACGTCAGGAGTATATGCACAGTAAGCCAAGTCCAGGTCATGTTTGGGGGTTATCGGGGCCACGTCTGCGATAAAAGTTGGAAGTGGGCTTCCACGAGAACAGGCAAATGCAGAGGAGCCATAGCTTATCGCGACAGATTAACTAGGCGATCTGCCCCTGGGAGCCCGTACTATGGCTATGGCTATGGCTATCCAGGCTAACCAGGCTGTGGCTGTGAGTCGGGTGTGACTGCAATGCTTCCTAAGCCCCTAGCTAGGCTTCCTTGCAAGCCACGAAGCCCATCCCATCTGTAGATGCTACAGCTTGTCGATCTGGAATTGTCTGGCAGTGCTTCAGACCCAAACAGCCGCGGTGGCATGACTTAATCAGCGGGCATGAAGCACATTGCGTTGGCATGCGTGTGTGTGAATGGCTTGACCGGGTTCTTGTAGCCAGTGGTTTGTAAGCTTTCAGTTCAGTGTCGGGACCGTTAGATTGTGGAATAAGGTTTTAGTTTCAAAATTGTTCGGGGATGAAGAGTTGGGCAACAGAAGCAAGCTCCCGCCAGACGAGCAGACGAGCCCTCGACCACTGCAGGTAGCAGATCCTACTTAAAGTAACAGCCCAACTATACCCCGAAGCTGCTGGGAACCAGCAAAACCCGCGCTCGGTCCCTTTGTTCTCAGAGTTACTTCTGACTTGATCTTCGTAGGGAAAGACCTATGAGTCCTACCCTACAGGAAGGACTAACTCGGGGTAACTAGTGCTAGGTAGTTAGACGATCCGTCTTTCGAGCGCGCGAGAAGTTATGCCGCTCGTCGCGCCGCGATAAGAGAAGAGGAGACTCCGGGCTGGGATCGAATGATCGTGTGGACTTTGTGTTCCAAGTTATCGTAGATATACCGATCACCTCGCATGCGGTTCGGGGCCTCTGCTGTTGGCGCGGTGGATTCCTGCACTTCTCCCATTCCATACTTGTCCCTACCGGTAGGTTGTGGTGCGAGGTGAGCAAAAAGGATCCAGGATCCCATCTTCCAGCTTGCGGCCTTGGCAGACTCCCGTCTCGCCGGTTCCCCTCCCCCTCCCTCTCGCGTGCGCGCCCAAAAAGCCTCCTACTGGAGTCCTTGCAACTCGCCCTCCACCCCCCACAAAGAAACAGACAGGACTGGCTGGGCTTCCCGCATGCGAAACAACACGGACACAAAACCCCGCCATAGCCATCTCGTCACTGACGTACGTCCCAACGTCCCGAGATCCCAAAACCCATCTCTCAAGCGCCCACGCTCGCCCACACTTGTTGGCCGGCTCCGTTTTGCCCTTTCTCTTTGCGACTCCCGGCCGCTACTTCTCGTTAGCGTCACGGTTGTACTGGAAGGGAAAGGCCCAGTGTGCTGTTGTGTTGAGCGAGAGTTTGGTTCGTTGCCGTCCAGCGTGTGCTTCCCTGACGGCCTGTCTTGTCTGCATTTCTTTCTCTACTCGCGACGAGCATCGGATCTGGGACAGCCCGGCCGGCACGTTTGTTCGTTCGCCCAGCAGCTCTAGTAGATACCTAAGCTTGCTGCTCCGTGCCTGACCCGACCTGACCTGACCTGACCTGTCCTGGCCTTATTTCATTACCCACAGTAAAACAACAGAGATCAACCAGGAACCCCAATCTGCCCATCCCTAAACCGCCGCCCGCCGCCCGCCCGCCCCCTCCTCTTCTCCACGCCCACGCCCACGCCAACATCGTCCATCCCCCCCATCACATCACCCTCGCTCGCTGCCACAGCCTGGTCCCGCGCGTGACGACGCGCACCCAACCGCCAGCATGAATTCCGAGGACGATGCCATGATGAATATCTACAAGAAGATCGAGCGGGAGAAGGCCCTGATCAACGCCGCCAATGCTATGCGACAGCAGACCAACAACGACGATGTCAGATCCCGCCTCGACAGCCAGATGCGCGAGGGCCGTAGGAACCTGCAGTTCTTTGAGGAGAAGCTGCGGGACCTCCAGGTGCGCCGCCTGGGCCACGGCGTGGACAGCATGAGCGTCAGCTCCGGCTCGACCGCCGTCGCATCGCTGCGTCCCAAGAGCTCCGACCTGCGTGGGGATGCTGAGGGCCCGCCGACCCCCCCGCCCAAGGATGCCAGCGGCGGATATACCGAGCCGGATCGAGGCTCCTATGGCTCGATCAACTACAGTCAGATTGGCGGCCACGGCGACTTGATGCCCCCGCAGCATCCGTACGCGCCGCCGGGGCCCAGCTCAGGCATCCCCAAGCCCAGACCCAACTTTACGAAGCTGGGTGAGTCTTCTGCTCCGCGAGGGCTCCCTGTAGCCGCGTGTATCTCGTCTCACTCGAGCTGTACTAATGGCCTCTTCCAGACCTGATCAAATATGACACTCCATATCTCGGACCCCGCATCCAACTCATGCTTTCGCAGATCCAGTTCAAGCTCAACGTCGAGGAGCAGTACCTGAAGGGTATCGAGAAGATGGTTCAGCTATACAGTATGGATGGCGACAGAAAGAGCAAGGCCGATGCCGCCGCCAAGCGGATAGAGAGCAAACAAAAGATTCAACTCCTGAAACAGGCCCTCAAGAGATATGAAGAACTCCACATCGACGATGTGGACTCGGTCGACTCTCCCGATGGTAATGGCCCCTCTTTATCCCTATAGTCAATTTGACCTCTCTGTTGACTAACTTGATGCAGATGATAGTATCAACATGCCCAACTTGCGAAAGCCTCTGACAGGCCAGCTATCTTTTAGGGTGATCCAGGTCCGGGATGTTGATCACGCGAGCACCGCCCGGTTCAGCAGAGGGCCGGAAACTTTTGTTGCCGTCAAGGTCGAAGACAACATCGTCGCCCGGACCAAAGCCTCGCGGAACGACAAATGGGAGGGGGAGTATCACAACATTGACGTGAGAGAAGCCAACGAGGTGGAACTGACCGTGTACGACAAGCCAGGCGAGCACGCCTTGCCCATTGCCATGATGTGGGTCCGGATCTCAGACATCGTCGAGGAGATGCGCCGTAAGAGGATCGAGGCAGAGGTCAACAGCTCCGGCTGGGTCTCGGCAGACCGAGTAGGAAACTCAGGGGCAGCCCCGGCACAGTTCCCAATGGGCCCGCAAGCACCGCAGTTCAGCCCACCACCTGGCGCCCAAGGATTCCAAAACCCACAAGATCCGCAACAACAGCAGCCGCAGTTCGGTGCCCAGGCCATGCCGTCGGCTGCTAACCAACCCATTGACGCTTGGTTCACCCTGGAACCTACCGGCCAGATTCATCTCCAGGTTAATTTTAACAAGATGAACAAGGATCGTCGCCAGGTCGATCTCGGCCTCGGTCGTAAAGGTGCTGTTCGTCAGCGCAAGGAGGAGGTGCACGAGATGTATGGGCACAAGTTTGTCCAGCACCAGTTCTACAATATCATGCGTTGTGCTCTGTGCGGAGATTTTCTCAAGTACTCGGCGGGCATGCAGTGCGAAGACTGCAAATACACATGTCACACAAAATGCTACACCAGCGTCGTTACAAAGTGTATCAGCAAATCGAACGCCGAAACCGACCCAGACGAGGAGAAGATCAACCACCGTATTCCTCACAGGTTCCAGGCGTTTTCCAATGTCACGGCCAATTGGTGCTGCCACTGTGGTTATATACTACCACTTGGAAAGAAGAATTGCAGAAAGTGCTCAGGTACGACCTCGCAAAGCCGTTCAGTTTTTGACCATGTACTAACCAGATGGCAGAATGTGGCTTGACAGCCCACGCGCAATGTGTCCATCTCGTACCGGACTTTTGTGGTATGAGTATGGCTGTGGCTAACCAAATTCTCGAGGGCATTCGAACTCAGAAGCAGCGGCAATCCAAGGTCTCATCCCTGAGTGACCGAACTCTTCGCCAGGGCAAGATGACACCCACGTCAGAGGGACCTGTTTCTCCGTACAGCTCAGGAGGAACGGGATCATACCAACCTAGCATCGCGTCTCAGGAGGCGCAGAACGCCGCCAAGGCGATGTACGCAAGCCAAACCTCCCCGACGAGACCCGCTCATCCGGATCGCACATCGTCTAGCACATCGAGTGCAGCGGCTGCTGCCGCGACAGCCGCGATGAGCAGCACATCTGGAGGGCAAGGCAACCGCCCTGGATCAATCCCAGACTATACCTCAGGCCGGTATGGGGGATATGGTGGCCCTGATGCGCAGGATGACCCCTACGCACACAACCAGGGATACAATGCTCCTCAGCAGCCCAAGTACAATCCCGCAGCTTACGCGAATGTCAACACATATCCCAGCCAGCCGCAAGCACAGCCGCAAGGGCGTCCGGCTCCGCAGCAGTCAATGAGCCCGCCTCCAGCGCAGCAAGCCATGTACCCACCCAGCGCTCCTATCCAAAAGCCACAACCAGTGGTAGAACCAGCCTCTGCTGTGTCCAGACCGGGAGCCGTGGCTGGAAAGCCTGCTCTGCCCTCGGCTACCGATCCTGGAACTGGTCAACGAATTGGACTAGATCATTTCAACTTCTTGGCTGTTCTTGGAAAAGGTAACTTTGGCAAGGTCATGCTGGCGGAGACGAAGAAGTCGCGGCGTTTGTACGCCATCAAGGTCCTCAAGAAGGAGTTCATTATCGAGAATGACGAAGTAGAGAGCATCAGATCTGAGAAGCGAGTCTTCTTGGTTGCCAACCGAGAACGACACCCATTCCTGACTAATTTACACGCATGTTTCCAGACGGAAACTCGTGTTTACTTCGTCATGGAGTACGTGAGTGGTGGTGACTTGATGTTACATATCCAGCGTGGCCAGTTCGGGACCAAGCGTGCCCAGTAAGTGTTTGTCGAAGCTCTTCGTTTTGCTTTGCTAACCGCATCCCAGATTCTACGCCGCTGAAGTCTGTCTGGCTTTGAAGTACTTCCATGAGAACGGTGTTATTTACCGTGATCTGAAACTTGATAACATTCTGCTTACTTTGGATGGTCACATCAAGATTGCCGATTATGGTCTCTGCAAAGAAGACATGTGGTTCGGCTCTACTACTAGCACATTCTGTGGAACTCCTGAATTCATGGCGCCAGAGGTAAGCAACATATGGACATTCGCACCTCGGCCACTAGCTAACCCCATGCTTTAGATTCTGCTCGACAAGAAATACGGGCGAGCCGTCGATTGGTGGGCCTTTGGTGTCCTGATCTACCAGATGCTGCTTCAGCAGTCTCCCTTCAGAGGTGAAGATGAAGACGAGATCTACGACGCCATTCTTGCTGATGAGCCTCTCTACCCGATCCACATGCCGCGAGACTCGGTGTCCATCCTCCAAAAGCTGCTGACCCGAGAGCCGGATAAGCGACTGGGAAGCGGTCCCACTGATGCTCAAGAAGTCATGAGCCAGCCTTTCTTCCGCAATATCGTCTGGGACGATATCTATCACAAGCGTGTTGCGCCTCCTTTCCTGCCGCAAATTAAGAATGCTACGGATACCAGCAACTTCGACTCCGAGTTCACGAGCGTTACGCCCGTTCTCACCCCAGTGCAGTCTGGTAAGTCATTGCGCATTCTCCGATCTGGAAGTACAGCAAACTAATATTCCTCAGTGCTGTCGCAAGCTATGCAAGAAGAGTTCCGCGGGTTCTCTTACACAGCAGATTTCGAGTAAAAGGACGAATAATACCAGGTTTGGGGGAGAATGGCCGGTCCACGTACGAAAAGTTGCGGGGCCTGTCGTGGTGCGCAAAAATGCGCAGGGCCAGCAGCATCCATCCCTGTTTTGGATTCTTTCCACCCCGAGGACGACGCCAGCCGGTTAGGCGTGGTATATACCCATGATGACGGAGGGGCAAGGGGCCTTCGAAAAGCAATGAGTCAAAGTGGTGACGAAGCGACGTTGTAGTGTTTTACAAGAAGGAAGGGGAAAAGGTTGGAAGGGAGGAGGAAACACTTCTAGATTCTCGCCGTGAGTCCTGGGCACAATGTGGCCGCCTTTTAATAGACCAGGTAATGTAGCGACTTCGAAACAGAATACGGGCAAAGCGCTTCGATTAGAAACCCTATCCTGCAAATCACCTAGCGTGAGGCCAAGCCCCTATACCTGCTGTACTAGGAACATTCCACAGGCTGAGACAACGGCGGTAACTGCTGACAGAAGTAACAGTAGTGCGTAGAGTGGATTTGTTCCAGTAGTTTCTGGATTAGAGGCTATAAGCGTACAGATTTATCTACAATGTACACGATAAATGGGGCCTCATGGGTCATGCGTAATACCCTGATACCCCTGATTCCTCCAATATGGTCGCCCTTTGATCTTTAGCACTCTTTATCTATACACTTAAACATTGGCCCTGGTCGGCATCGGCAGTGGCAGGAACAGATTTGCGCTGGTCTGCGGTTCTGTCACGTTCTCCGCAGAAATAGTATAGCAATGCTGCCCGCAATGGCAGCGCCGGCGGCCACGCCCTCCAACGCGACCAAAGATACGTCTCGCATTCGGATCGCCACTTTGCGCTCGCTCGTCAGGTCCGCGGCTGTTTCCTTCCACCACGCCGGGTCCGTGAGGACTTCCCGCCACGACACTGCTGCCGCGGGCGCTGGTGTCTCCTCTAGTATTTCTGCCGCCTCGGCCACGGCAGGGCTCGCAGGGTCTGCTGCCACAGAGGCCGGTGCAGCGGCTGCAGCAGAAGCAGAAGCAGCCGTAGCAGTAGCAGCTTCAGGCGCCAGAGCCGCGGCCTTCCGGTCGGCCTCCCGGAAGACGGGCATGAGCTCCTCCCACTCCCGCAGCCGCTGGGCACGCTCCTTCTCCTCCTGGTTGCCCAGGGCCTCGCGGACCTTCTCCTCGAAGCCCTTGACCAGGCGGGCGCGGCGCCAGGGCTCGGCGCCGAACTGGAAGACGAGGAAGAGCAGCACGTTGACGCCCATGAGACCCCAGGTGCCCCAGGTACTCATGCGGCGGATCTTGTCGCTCCAGATCTGCTCCTCGTGGTAGCGGGCGAGGATGCCGGCGCTAAGCTCGCGGCTGAGCCTCTCGGCCTCGCGCTCGGCCTCCTCCAGGTCGCGGGCGCGCTCAGCCACGTCGGCCTCGAGCTCGTAGTCGGTGCGGTAGAGGGTGGTGAAGCGCTCGAAGTCGAGCGGGGTCCAGGTCTTCTGGCGGGCCATCAGCGTCGTCACCTCGCGCTGGGTCGAGGCGCGCTCGGCGACCTTGGCCTTGTAGCCGCCGCGGGCCGCGTGCAGGTCCTCCTGGGCGCGCGTCAGGCCCGCCTCGAGCGAGGCGATCTGCGCCTTGAGCGACTCGATGCCCGAGTAGCCCGTCAGGTCGTTGATGCGCTGCGAGGCCACGAACAGCGACGACTGTGCGCGGTCCATGAACTCGGTGAAACGGGTGCTCAGCTGGGAGCGGCGGGACTCGGTATGCGAGGGCAGGGATGGGTTTGAAGTAACGGGATTAGAGGTCTGAGAGGCGTTCAAGGGCGGCGGCGACGACGGTGACTGCGGTGGTGGTGGTTGTGTTGCTTCGGATGGTGACGATTCTGCTTCTGTCGTTGCTGCTGATTCGGAGCTGCTGGAGGCCGAGACATGTTCGGGCTTGGGCTCGTCTTTACGAGGAGGAGGTTGAGGTGGTTCGGGCGGAGGTGTGTTTGTGGACGAGAATCTCAGCTGCCGGCCGAGGGTGAAGCTGCAGCTCAGACATATCGAGGGCGGCCTGGAGGCTGGCCGGGGACCGAAAGCAGCGGCGAGCCTCCCGGAGCTGGCGGTGGTAGCTAGGCCGTTCTGCCAGTGTTCTAGGAGCAGGCGGGAGCCGGCTCGAAAGAGCGGCCGCACTGCCGTCGAAGGCGACATGGTGGGCTCGGTCGACGCTCCAATGGCCCCCCAGGGTGCGGTAGGCTTTGCCGGCGGACCACGGTCGTAGGAGGAGCAAAGGAGGAGCTTGGGCCGATTCAGCGGAGAGGACGCATTCGAAAAGTCGAGAACTGTGGTGCCAGACCAAAGTGCACACTGGACGGACGGGGTCCCTAGCTTCTCGGACGGGAACGGAAACACGGCCAATTCAACGGGTGTGCCGCCCCGGGGTGGGACGCGCTGTTGCGGCTCACCGCTTGTCGTTCAGGGTCTAGCGCAGCCAAGCCGGGGCTCATCTGCAGCCATTGGACGCTACCTACTCCGTAGGTAAGGTTGGATGCTTGGTGCCGCCCCCTGGCGCCGCGGGGCCGGGCAGAACTACAGGTTACCGCCATAGTGAACGACCAGTGCTACCCTGGCCACCTAGGTACTTCCTTAGTGCGTGCCTCAACTAAATGCACACCTGCAGATCATCCCACCTTGCCGCTAGGTTGCTCGCTGGGCCGCAGCGGTGGTGTTGCGCTTGGAGGGGCACCGGTGCCGCACCCCCCAAAGGCACGGGGGCGGTTGATTGACTCTTGACTCTTGACTCTTGACTCTTGCTTGCAGCTCCGTCGCCGAACGGCCTTGGAAAACATAGTTTCTGCGCATTCATCCCATCCCTCTGTGCCTTTCTCTCCTGTGCTTTTGTATTCCCAAACAGCAACTCTAGAACCTCTCTCTCTAGTCTCTTCGAACCGCCCATAACACCGATTGACACGACAGACCTGGTGTTTAAAGTGACGTCATTTCTATAGTCTTTCTGCATAGGCGAACAATTTGAGAGACTTTTATTCCCACTGTCCGAGACACAGCAGGAACATTTGGGTATATTCCACATATTTGATACCCGCGACACCGCATCGCATAGCCGACACCTCGAACCCTTTCGAGTCATATACACACCTTCGTCCCCTACGCAAACTCAGCACGATGGGCTCCCAGACGCCAGCCTCGCTCCCCGCCCTGCGGACCAACCCCAAGGCCATCTTCTTCACCGACTTCGACGGCACCATCACGCTGCAGGACAGCAACGACTACATGACGGACAACCTGGGCTTCGGCACGGCGCTGCGCAAGCAGGGCAACCACGACGTGCTCGAGGGCCGCAAGACGTTCCGCGCCAGCTTCCAGGAGATGCTCGACAGCGTCGACACCCCCTTTGACGAGTGCATCCGCGTCCTGCTGGCCAACGTCGTGCTCGACCCCAAGTTCAAAGAGTTCTACGCCTGGTGCCGCGCCAACAACGTCCCCGTCGTCGTCCTCAGCGGCGGCATGCAGCCCGTCATCCGCGCCCTGCTGGCCCACCTCGTCGGCGAGGAGGAGGTCCGCGACATGCAGATCGTCAGCAACGACGTCGCGCCCCGCCCCGGCAAGACCATCAACGACGTCGGCGGCTGGAACATCGTCTACCACGACGACAGGTGAGTTTCGTCGTTTTCTCCCTCTCTCCCGCTCAATGGCACCACCGCCGCGGGGCGGAACTGAAGCGCAAATTGTGGAGGAAGGCTGACCCCTCGTGCGCAGCGACTTCGGCCACGACAAGTCCCTGGAGATCCGGCCGTACGCAGCCCTGCCCGAGCGCCCGGTCATGTTCTATGCCGGCGACGGCGTGTCGGACCTTTCGGCGGCCAAGGAGACGGATCTGCTGTTCGCAAAGGCCGGCAGGGGTAAGTAACTCACTACAACGAAACATGGTGGTTGGCGGGGTTCACTAACAGTCTATCGATAGACCTCGTCCAGTACTGCATCAGGGAGAGCGTGCCGTACACCGAGTTCCACGACTTTGGCGACATCCACAAGGTGGTCAAGAGCGTCGTAGACGGCGAGATCAGCGTCAAGGCCGCCGCCGTCAACAGGGTATAGAGAGAGAGAGAGAGCATTGCGAGCTAGAGATATAGATCATAGATATACTCGGCTTCGGCTAGACTCGGCATAGACATTCATAGACATTTCATGGGAGAGGTCTGAATATCTGAGGATAAAAAATAGACGACTAGGATTTGCATGGCATTATAGAAGCAAATGGTATATCTTTTTAGATATAGAGCATGGAGCACTTGAGGATCCCCGAAGAGCAGGGTTACAGTTGAGCTATTTGAGACTGTCAATGACAAGTTCTGCCAGACTGTTCATGTGTCATTTCTTGCTACAGAGGCCTGAATCCTCATTTTCCCAATCCGCTGGCAAGAAATATGACAGGATCAATGGGAATAGATTATGTACATGCTGTATCACGTAGAAGACAGCTCGAGCAAAATTGGGCCTCCGATGCGCCTCGCCCCCAAACTCCCGTCCGTTTTTCGCCGTGATGCCACAACGGAACGCTTACTTCACTCAATAAACTTAGAAGAGCCCGTGGACAATGATACCCTGGGGTCATGGCTCTTGAGGTCATGACTCTTGAGATCAAGACTGTTTAGCCCTCGTGCTTCTTGGGAGGCCACAAGCAGTAAAGCCCCCAGCTAGGAGCCAGTGACTGAACACGGCCGAGCGTGCAGGCATTTGCTGCTACTCGGCTTGATAGGCGACCCCTCACACGAGGGTATGATGAAGAAAGTTCGTCTCAAATCTCAAGATCATATCGAAGCCGGGGCTCGGTCCCTTGTCCAGCCCTTGCTTCTCATGTTGCTCTCAATGACCCTCCAAATCGAATCCACCACCTCGCGGTCCCGCCATCGGCCCGCGTCCGAGCCAACATCCTTCCATCTCTCGACACCCACCGTGGTAACCCTGTGGCCCCAAGCCTGCACCGCCTCGGGCGTCTTGTCTTGCCGCCAGCCCACGTAGATGCCCGGGATGTGACGGAAAAGGTCGTGCGGGTTGGTCCACTTGTAGTTCTTGAACTGCCAGGACTGGCCAGTGGTGAAGACGGCAACCACGCGGTTCCAGTACTCGGGCTTGAATCTCTCCGTGCCTTCCACCAGGACGAAGCGCAGCGACCTGTTGGGGTCGATGTCTTTCATGAGGCGATTGATGTGCAACATGGTGCTCCCCTCGGCCGATGCCAGGGGCGAGTCGGCCGGGACGAATTTGCCGTTCTCGAGGAATGATTTGGCGTTCGTCATGCGTAGAAGCGAGGAGGCGGATGGTGAGAGGAGGATGATAGGATCGGGCCGCCTCTGTTTCGGGTTGAGGGCCAGAGAAGGGTTCGACGAGATGTTCGTGGATGGCTGAACAGGCTTCTTGGATAAGAAGGGAGCCGCAATCTTCCGCACATGTGAAAAGTCCTACAGGACCTAGATTAGCATACAATCGGACAAGGAACAAGCACGAGGGAAGCATACTGTCGGCTTGATCCCGCGCAGCGCGCTGTTCCGGTCTCCCGTCCTTCGTTCGCTGTTGTATATCACGGCCAGGCGCGGGTCTAGGGTTCCTTTGCCGGACCGTCCAACAGTAGAGCCGATGGCCGGGGCAGCAGCGCCTTTGGAAGCCAGGGCGGCGGCGGCGCTGGACGCTGCGCCATCCTTGTCGCCAGCCAGCGGCTTGATGTATTCACTCTCCTCGCTGGAGCCCTCGAGCCAGGCGATCAACTCGACTCGTTCGAAGTAGGCCGGCTTGTGGATCTTGCCGTCGGCCAGCTCGCTGTCCAGCTGTGCCACGGCTGCATTGTACTCGGGAATGGGCAGCTCGCGCTTCAGCCACAGAAAGTAGATGCTGCGCAAGTCGACGGCGGTGTCATTGGCCACGAAGCGCGTCGGGGTCGTGATCGGTAGTGATATTCTGGACGGGGTGGTGAATGTGAGGTGTGTGGCCTTGGATAGTGCGACCTCGGGAGCTGATACATCGTCGGACGCGGTTGGGAGGATGGCGCTGCTCGAAGCGATTGACTGTCGGAGCAGCAGCAGAGGGTCCATCTCGGCGCTCGCCATGGCGACCGTTGACTCAATGATTCACGCGCTCGTCGGCGATGTTCACACACACTGTCTACCCAACCTGTGCTCGCCACGCTTTTGTGAGATGACGGAGTCGAAGCAAGATGCCTGAGGTGGTGGTCGTTGTCAATAGCTGGCGAGCAGCTAGCCTCGCGTCCGAGGCGAAGGCCCCGAAACTTAGAGCTCCTCTGGGGAAGGCTGAATGCTCAAAAGTGGGTCCAACTTGGTACCACTGACCACGCCACGGCCAGGACTGAGACAACGCGAGCCAGTCTGTTTGACTATTGGGAGATTCACGCCCAGATGGACATTGCAAGATCCGAAGTGAAGGGCAAATCCAGAACAAGAAGACACGCGTTGTGATGTCAGTAGGATCCAGGCTGTGATTTCCTGCCATGCATGTATTCCTTTAGCGGGTATCGAGACCTTCCAGTTTATATTACACATTACAGTATACCCTGCCACACACCTCGATCCTGCTTTTCTGCTTGGTCGGGTCGTTAGCCTCTGTTCAGGGTATTGCCCGCACCCTTCGGGTTGGCCTCTACGAACTCGTCCCAATCCCGCGCCTTCATTGTCTCGGCATCTGCCTTTTCGTAGTTGTCTTCGTCGGGCGTCGCTTGCCGGCCACTCGCCTCTCCGCCTCCTTCGATGATGCCACCGCGCCGCCGCTCCTCCTCCAGGTACTCGTCAATGCTCATTGTTGGCAGGTTATGGCCAGGCCGGAACACTCCTTTCTGTAGGTCTTGGCGATTGCTCGTGAGGGTGAACGGCCGTAACGGCTTGCCCTCCCGGCTGAGAAGTGGCCCGTTGAGCACAGAGCCTAACCTGTGCAGCGGTCGGTCCAACCGTTCTGTGTAGCCGTCCTCCGTAGGAGACAGGCGGCGTCTCTCATCCTCCTGAACCGTGGTCGTTGTCGGCATCAGTGGCACGGGCGCTTGTGCCAACATCTCCATTTCTCGGTTGATATGCTCCAGCCCTTGAAACGCCATATGGGCACAGTAGGCGACATTTGCCAGGTGCAGCTCCCTGACAGCTTCCTCGTCACCTCCATTCTCCAGGTAACGCGGCGTGCTCCGCATATATGCAAGTTTCTGCTTCAGTTCCTTCTCCTGTTGGAAGTTTGCAATCTTGGCATTGCGCCGGGCTGCTGGATCTTTAGTGGAGATGGTCGAGAAGGCCTCGGGATCTTCATTGTATGTATCCCAGAGTTTGCGGTCAGGCTTGGACAGGAGTGTGTAGTTGTCCAGCAGATACAGGAACCGCTCGTAGGCGTCCCGCGTCGTCTTCAGAGCGAGCTTCCGCTCCAGGGGCGACGTCACTGAGATTTTCTGCAGAAGCTCGGCGATCCGGTAGCTAACCAACAGATAAGGCAGGTCTGTGGTGTTGATGTCTTCCGGGCCCTCGTTCTCACTAAACAGCGAGACGTTGCTGATGATTTTCAGACATTCCTCGTAGGATTTGAGGGCAAAGCTGAGATCTTCACGGAATGTGAGCGAACTCGCCTCAAATGTGCCTTCTAGCGCTAGTCTTTTCTTCTCGGCGCCTTCGAACACCGTCTTCAGAGTTCTCGGCTCCCCCATGGTGAGCAAACCTGGGCTGGCTGGTGGATGCTGGACGTAGTTCGTGAGTTGGAAGGAGTTTGAAATCCAGACGGTTTCCAGGTTCCAGCGGGTGAAGTCGCAAGTCGCAGCGCCCCTTGTGTGGCAATTATGAGCACTCTGCTCACATGGAATCCCAGCGTGACCCGTTTCAGTGAGGGGCACGCGAACAAGACGGCACTTTTGGGGGGGTCGATCACCAATGCTTGCTTGCTTGCTTGCTTGCACTAGGATTATGAAAGCCAGCTGCAGTTGCCCCTCCAGGCTAAGGTGGCCCCGGAAAGTGTGCCTTAAGGCCCTTAAGGCTCGTAGACCTGTCAATCAATGCAAGGGGCCCAGCCAACCCTGTAGAGCACGGACCAGAGCCTAAGTTGCAGAGTGCCGTCCCATGCCGAGGACCCCTGATCATCTGGTACGCCTTTTCATCTCTCACCGAAATAGTACCTGCCTTACCTCCACTACCTACATCAAGTGTGTAGCCATATTTACATTTGCAGCCAAGATGAATGATAATCAAGAGACAGTTTTTTTTTTTTTTTCTGAATGTTTCTTATTCTCGCTTTCCTTGGAGAAAGCAAGGAAATGAAAGAAATTGGGACAGGCTGGGATGAATGATACGCCTGCAGCCTGCGGACGGCAGCTGTGCTTTCACAGGCTGATGCCGTTTGCTCATGCCATGTTTGCAGGCAGGTGGTGAAAGTCTGACAATATGGCTGCCCATATGTAATTAAAAATGGTAATTACACAATGGCCAATGGATATTCCAAAAGCAGACTTGGTCAAGTTCTCCAGACGTCGAATAGCACAACCAGCGCATCACTTGTTGAAATCTGTCTGCTTCACTGGCCGGTTTGATTACTTGGTCAAGTCGAGGTAGATTTTGCTGTGTCCCGATATGTGAATGTTCAGAAGTATTCACATCGGAAAATCAACGTAAAAGAGGAGGCACAGTCTTCCAACATCTGGAACAATCCAATCCTCACGTCGACAACGTCTTTGGCCGTTTCAAATTCCGGTGTCCCCTTCCTCCGCTGTTCGTCTTCCTACCTAGGCACCGATAGGTTGGCTGTCTGCCTGCCATCATGAACTGAGAGTCCTGCAAGCTCACTTGACCATATCTTCGGACCGTAAGTCGTGCGACCTTCCATCTCATCGTGCAACGACTCGTTGGAGCATGCCTGTCGCTCCGGATCCAAGGAGCCCACAGGGCCAGACAAGGTCTGAAGAGGTGCACAAAGGTTCATCTCGCGGTATTTCGGGAGATCGTCATCACGGATCTCCCTATGGGACCAACTCACATCAATATGTACCACAACATGGTTACCAGCATGCAGCTTCTACAGGATTACCCACGCTCTTGACTGATCTGTCACAAGATAGCGGGCTGGGCTCTGTTGACCCTCAGGTAGGCGCCAGCTTGCATGATGACCATGGCGAGGCGGGGAGTGCAACGAAACCTTCAGAAGATTCAGACCTCTCGGAGGGTGATGAGCCGGTCGTCGAAGAACCCAAGGCTCGCAAGGTCACAGCAAGACGCCTTGCGGACCAAGACCAATTCGAGCACTGGATGAGACAAGAGCAGAAGCGTGCCAACAAGAAGCTCGCCGAATCAGCCCTGGGAGATAACCCCTCGATCCGATGGGATGAAGCTGATGTCGATAAAATTCTCTCTAGTCGAGACCCAGCTCAGAAACGTATCATTTCTAGTCCCCGGGAATACCAAGTCGAACTCTTCGAAAGGGCAAAAAAGAAGAACCTCATTGTTGTGCTCCCCACGGGAACAGGCAAAACCCTCATTGCGGCCCTACTCATTCGTCACACTCTGGAACAAGAACTGATCGACCGAAACTCCAAGGAGAGAAAATTGGAGCCCCGCGTCACCTTCTTCCTTGTTGATAAAGTCTCGCTCGTTTATCAACAGTGGAAAGTACTGAAGGCCAATCTTTCTCATCCAGTGGCAAAGTTCCACGGACAACTTGTTGATTCGATGTCTACTCAGGGATTCTGGAAACAGCAGCTGGAAGAGAACATGGCCATCGTTTGTACTGCGGCCATTTTACAGCAATGCCTGTCTCGTGGGTACTTCAATATGGACCAGATTAACCTCCTTATTTTCGATGAAGCTCATCACGCAAAGAAGAACCATCCATATTCCAGGATTATCAAGGACTTCTACGCTGACTTGCAGAAAGGCTCGTCGAGGCGGCCAAGAATCCTTGGAATGACGGCCTCGCCTGTCGATGCCAAGACTGACTTGGCTACCACTGCAGCTCAATTAGAAGGGTTACTTCATTGTGAAATTGCAACAGTCGATCAACCAGATCTTCTGAGGTCTGGTTCGCTGGAGAGGCAGGGGGGTGGCCTTGAAACTCTGGTTGAGTATGGGCTATCCTATGCTCCGTTCACCACACCCCTTGGGCAAAGGCTCCACAAGCTCATCGGCAAGAACAGTGTCTTCAGAAAGTTGTTTGTCTTTTCGAAGGCTTCTACCAGGGAGCTTGGTCCGTGGTGCGCTGACAGAGTGTGGCAACTGGGATTGCCCCGAGAGGAAATAGTGAAGGCAAAGGCGAGAACGGAGCGAAACCTACTCAGTACCGGATCAGACCTAGCCATAGAAGCCATTGACGCTCGTGTTGCGGACATCGAGGACGCTTACCGAGAGATCCAGAAACACCCATTTCCGGCGGTAGACCCAACGCGAGGTCACTTGTCCCATAAAGTCATTTCTTTGCTCGGCATACTCAAGCAGCATTTCCGGCCAGCATTCGATAAATGTATGATTTTTGTCGAGCAAAGGCTCACGGCGATCGTGCTCGACGATCTCTTCAAGCAGCTACCCCTGGCCCTGTATGGTTTGCAAGCAGGTACCTTGGTATGTTGTGGTGCCTGAATTACTATACCAGTGACTAAGCTGACTCTTGACTAGTTAGGATCTGGGACTGGGGTAACGGGCGAACACGAGAGTATGTCCTACGCTCAACAGCAAAGGGCGATCCAGAGATTCCACAATGGAGATTTGAACATTCTCATCGCCACCACTATTGCCGAAGAAGGCCTGGACATCCCAGATTGCAACATCATAATCAGGTTTGACCTGTACCGGACCATGATACAATACATACAGTCCAAAGGCCGAGCTCGCATGAAGAACTCAAAATACTTCCACATGGTTGAGGTCGGCAACGAAGAGCACGCCAAGAGAGTCTTTGACTGTCAGGAAAAGGAAGAGCTTCTTCATGCCTTTTGCTCCACCATGCCGGAGGATCGCCTGCTGAAAGGCAACGACTTTGATATGGACTTCTTCCTCCGAAAGGATAAGTCTAAACGAGTTTTCAAGATCGAAAAGACGGGTGCCAAGCTGACTTATGAATCGAGCCTCGTAGTTCTCGCCTCGTATGTATCGTCCCTTGCGGGCCGAGCAGACATGAGTCTACAAGCCGACTACGTCGTCAAGAGTGTAAGCAAGGAGTACCAATGCGAGGTAATTTTGCCCGACAACTCGACAATAAAGAGCGCCTTAGGCCGTCGTGCAACCTCCAAGCAAGTTGCAAAATGCTCGGCGGCTTTTGAGATGTGTGTGAAGCTGAGAAAGGCCGGAGAGCTTGATGATTACCTGCAGTCGATTCACCAGAAAAGGCTTCCGGCGATGCGCAATGCCCACTTAGCACTGAGCTCAAAGAAGCGAGCCGAGTATGACATGAGGGTAAAGCCGGAAATCTGGGACAGGCGTGGACTTCCGGGTGCCATGTACATGACAGTGTTGAAGCTTGAGAGCCCAGAAGCACTCGGTCGGCCTTCAAGGCCATTGGCGATTGTTACCCGCGAACCACTTCCTCAAGTTGCCAGGTTCCCTATCTTCTTTGGAAACCAGCAAACATCGGTGGTCAACTGTCTGCCACTTGAATCCGCATTCACGATCTCTCTAGAACAGGTTCAAGCACTGACCGAATTCTCGCTGCGTATATTTCAGGATGTGTTCAGCAAGGAATACAGACGTGAGCCCGAGAAAATGCCTTACTATCTCGCTCCACTGAACAAGGATCACCTATACACGTTCGGAGATTGCGACCAAGCGTGTGACTTGATCAGCTGGGACTGCGTCACGATGATTCACGAAGCAGGCGATCTTGATTGGGAAGGTCAGCCCTTGGGCTTCTTCAACAACAGATACCTTACTGACCCGCACGATGGCTCACGCAAATTCTATACGCTGTGTCCCCGAGCTGATCTAAAGCCTACCGATCCTCAGGTGCCAGGTGTGAAGGGACTGGGCAACAACAGAGCCCGTAGAGACGCCCCCAACGATATCTGGAACTATAGTATCAGTAAGTGGTCCAAATCACGATCTCGAATGGAAGTCCGAAACGATCTTCCGGTCGTCGAAGCGGAGTATATACCATTGCGACGCAATCTCCTGGACGAGTTCGAGGGTGCAGATCAAGAAGGAAATAAATGTTTTGTGACATTCGCTACCCTCAAGGTTTCAGCTGTGAGTTTCTGCTTGAAACATAGATGCTAGGAATAAAGCTAACATAAGGTTACAGTTGCCGGTCGAGGTTGTTGCAATGGCCTACAACCTTCCAGCCATAATCCACCGGTTGGAGTCCAGCCTCATTGTCCTGGAAGCGTGTGATGGCTGGGGTCTGCAGATTCGTCCAGATTTGGCACTTGAGGCGATGACGAAAGACAGCGACAATACAGGCGACCATGCAGCCGAGCAGGTCAATTTCCAGAGGGGCATGGGCAACAATTACGAGCGTCTTGAGTTCTTAGGCGACTCTTTCCTGAAGATGAGTACTACAATCGCACTGTACTCTCAAATCCCAGAGGGCAATGAGTTCGACTATCACGTAGATCGCATGCTGCTCATCTGTAACAAGAACCTCTTCAATAACGCTCTCGACCTCAAGGTTGAGGCATTCATCCGTTCCAAGTCATTCAATCGAAGAAACTGGTATCCGGAAGGGCTCGAGCAACTGAGTGGCAAGATGAACACAAGTATCAAAGGCAAAAAGGGGGCAGGGAGGAACATCCATGTCTTAGGAGACAAATCCATTGCCGATGTGTGCGAGGCTCTCATTGGTGCCGCATATCTCACAGGCAAGGAGTCGAACAGTCTCGATATGGCGGTCCAAGCTGTTACCAAGTTCAGCAATAACAAACTTGAGAACAAGAACCATACAATGGTGGCCTATGGTGAGTTCTATTCGGCCTTTAAGGTGCCCGAATGGCAGGCGGCCGAGCCCACAGCAGTCCACCTTCACCTCGCCAAGCTGATTGAGGAACAACTCGGATACAAGTTCGCGCACCCGCGGCTGCTCCGTTGTGCGTTCATCCACCCATCTTATAGCTATATGTATGAGCATATTCCCCACTACCAGCGCCTTGAGTTCCTAGGAGACGCTCTTTTGGACATGGTCTGTGTCGACTATCTCTTCCATCGCTACCCCGGCGCAGATCCCCAGTGGCTCACGGAGCACAAGATGGCAATGGTCTCCAACCAATTTCTGGGCTGTCTCTGCGTTGCCCTTGGGTTCCAGAGACACATGATTTCAATGACTGGTGGCCTACAGCAGCAGATCGCTCAGTATGTAGATGCCATCACCACCGCACGGGAGGACGCCGAGGACGAGGCCGAGGCAGCCTATCTCGAGCCGTCTGAATACTCACGCGACTTCTGGACGTCGGTAATCGAGCCGCCTAAGTGTCTCCCCGACATAGTCGAGGCGTATATTGGGGCTATTTTTGTCGATAGCAAGTACGACCTTGGCGAGGTTCAGAAGTTCTTCGACAATCACATCAGGCCATACTTCGAGGACATGCACCTGTACGACTCCTTCGCCAACAAGCACCCCGTCACATTCCTATCCAACTGCCTGCACCTCAACTTTGGCTGTGCCAACTGGCGTGTCATGGTCAACGAGATGCCTGCCGCCGGAGGCTCGTTGAGCGAGAAACAAGTCGTTGCAGCCGTCCTGATCCATGGCCAGGTGCGAGCGCATGCTACTGCGAGCAGTGGCCGATATGCCAAGATCGCCGCGGCCAAGAAGTGCATGGCTATGCTGGACAACATGCAGGTTCACGAATTCAAGGAGCAGTTTGGCTGCAATTGTAAGCCTGAGGAGGTTGCCGAGAGTAACCCTACCATGCATGCCACCGCTGTGTAATCTCGTGACGAGGCCATTAAGTAGATAAAGATACTTCCGGAGAACGCCTTGGCTAGGCTGACTTGCATGATGTGATCCGGTCTATCATAATTGCTATGCATGTATATAGAGATTTTCGAAAACTTTGCCACGCTAGAGATACAATGAGACGGCAATGAATGTGATTCTCTGATATTTCACTTGTGCCACCGTGAGACGCTGGCTCTGATGATGATATCGACCTCTTAAACTACACGATACAGCACTGCTAATTATCGGTGCAAATCCTTCAGTATGATAACAATGTTTGCTGGGGTTCAAACAGGAGAAAGCAGAGCAAACCCCACGTCAGCGCACATTGCAAACATCCACTACAATACTTTCGATTAGTATGGGTTAGCATCTACTATTGAACTACATTGAGCTGAATAACATCATAGTAACTGGAGCTTGTAAATAGCTGCATTTTAGACCTATTCGGGCGTTGCTTGGGTGCTTGATGAGGTAGCTGGGCGCTCATTGATACGAACATCCATGATGCTGGTTGGTGATATCGTATACGGCGCAACGCGCGCACCTGACCTGTTTGCCAGCCGCCTTGCATGGCTGCGTCTTGATTCCTTCCTTTAAGGAGTATGCTTTCACCTTGAAAGAGAAGACAGTGAGCAGAACTACCCAGTCCAGGCCCTCTACGGGGGCGAAGGCAATCTCCGGCTGATAGATCAGGCTGTTATTGTCCGTGGGCGAAATTCTGGACAAGTTGGGCTCTTTCTGCACAGGTGTCGGGTGTTTGCAAAAGTAATATCCTGTTTAATTACCGTCACATGGAGGAGGATTCTCGGGCCAGGACTAGATGCTCCCGATGATGGATCATGAGGTCGTGCTCTGTGTTTGAGGCGCATATGGTGATATTCGGTGCCATACGCACCAGCCCCTACTTGGCGACATGTCCGCAGGCAAGCTACTCAAGTCTAACGGGCGCGGCTGGAAACAGGTCCTGTGCAGATTAGGTAGTATCAGACCACTTGTTATTCTTGGTATCCTCTTAGTCCCGCTGTCAGAGCGCAAGCGCAGGTGAAGGTCCCCAGGTCCAGCACGGTTGACCCGTCAGCGGACCACTAAGGCGCCTGGGCCCGCAGACTCTATTCCAACCAACTGTCAAACGGAGCATCTGCTTGTGGAAGAAACCGAGTGTTCTATCGGTTCGAGCCATGTGCGGTACCAGCATGGGTTCATCAATTTTGATGGCACCCAGATGATGGTGGCTCAGGGGCTAGAGGGAAGCACTTCATTTGAACGGGAATGAACATCTACTGAGAGCCGAACTTCCGTCATAACAAACGTACAGCTACACGTGTCCCTCGTGCAACTCTTGTGACAGGCAGCGCTAGTCGTTTGGTCAACGTGACGCTGGCTCTAGTCGCGCTGTTTGGAGGACCACCAGAGAAGGTGGGGTTTACCTTGCGAAAGTGAATTCTTGCGAAATGGGATTTGAGAAATTACTACACCCCAGGCCCCCTCTAGTACGGTGAGTTCCACGGCTCGCGGCCGAGAAGCGTTCCAATCTGCCAAGAGCAGACTGTTTCTGGAAAACCAAAATGTTTCGTGCAGTCAATCCACGTGGGTCCCCCCGGGGTGTCACCTCAGACCCCTGACTCGGACCCCTGGCCCCTGGTCGCTGAGGAATTGCAATTTCTCGAGAGCGGGATATTGCGAACTCTTAGCACTTCAGCGGGCAAGCTGATCACGATGGTAATCAATCAATGTCCGGCCCGACACAGCTTGGCCTTACCTAGGTAGGTATCTACTGTAGGTGTTTCGAAGGTCTCCAAGAAGGATCTCCAAGACGGCGTGCATCATCCAAGGATCACGGTTCGACCAGAATGACTTCGATCTGCATCCTGGCTGCCGGGCAATTGGCTTCCGCAGCCCAGCGCAGCTTCTTCGGACCCCCTAATGCAACAAGATACAGTAGGAGCTCGTAACTCCCCGGTCGTCATCAGGGGCCAGGTGCATCGAGCTATCCAAATCTTGCAGTCGCAGCGATGAGCAGCGGAGACTCACAGTGCTTCGTACTGGGATCCGCGGCCCGCACCTGAGATGTGTTTGCGAGGTCTGGTTGTGTGATGGGAAATGGGTGTGCTTTCCTGGGCATGGCACGCCTCGCAAGTGCGCAGGAGCGTGTGGTCTGATGGCGACGCCTCTAGTGTCGTCGGTTTGCCATCGTCGAAGGGCTATCCCGGAAGGCAATCATCGCCTATCTGCCACGGCTCCAGGCCAGATCGTCGGGTGGAAATCGACGGCGGCCGACTAACTTGAGCGTTTGCAAGACTAGTAGACGTTCAGGTGCGAATCAGCACATTGCGCAGCCAAGCAGCCAGCCACTAGGTCGGACCGCTAGTGAGGCACAACCCACCACGCGGCCAGATGTCCAACAGTTCCCAGTGAGCTAGTTAATCCTCGGCCGGTGGGCAAGCGGGGAGGTCGGGAGGTACATAGTAAACGGGCGTACTGCGCGCAGCATTCCTCCCACAGCGCGACGAGATGCCGTGTTGCTCGCTCCCGCACGCAACAGCCGGCGCTCTTGAGCCGTGTGTGACGTGACTCGGCTCTGCCCGCGTTGTCTCCCTAGTTGGTTGCATTCCGTACCTGGGAATGGGCATGACTGGACCGATGGATGGGTGAAAGACAAAACAGACAGGGCGAACCACTATGGTGGGATGTGCAGGCCCTGCTTGCCCTGCAACCTGGTGCTGCGTGGGCAGGGATGTGTGTGCTGCTGCAGAAAAGGCCCAAATCGAGCTGAGAGGGGGCCCCGGACGGGTATAGTGCCATGTCGGGGTCCTGCCGGATTGATCTCCCCTTTCCGTTCTGAGTGGACGCCCGAGTCATCAGCTCAGGGGTTTTGATTGCTGCTCGAGCATGGGTTGAGGGAGGGCCATGGGCCATTCACTGGGCGTCGATCTTAGCGCATGTCTTCGTTGATGTCATTCACGCTACAGCAGATCTCCAGCCCTCTAGAGTGCCTTTCTTTTTCCAACGGCTCTTCCGAGATCTGGTGCAGACGACTTTCTTTTTCAGCTACGACGGGGTCCGCCGAGTCCAAGTCGGGCTCGACACGGGAAGACGTGGCACGGCAGTTATGGTTTGAGTTGATTGCGATGGCCCTAAGCATGGAGAGCACCCGCCACATGAAATCTCTCGAGCACATGGACCGCTTTGTTTTTCTTCCCAAGTTTCAAGGTTGAACTGTGTCCGATGTAGACCAGGGAACCAAGTCCAATGTCTCACCGACAGAGTTCCGTCAGTAATGAGATGGCAGAACTTACCAGAGGGCCGGCGAGGACTTGGAGGGCGACTATGAATGCCACAGTCAAAGCGTTGAGGCGCCCCAACCTTTGATTCGTTCAACCATCCCGTTTGCGTGCTTGGGATGGGATGGCCGCGTTGCGTCGCGGATGGATGTGTAACGCTGAAGCAACTCTTGCCGTGATGCTCACTAGAGGTGTGCATGCCTGGGCCAGTGCCTACCAGGGCAATATGTTACAGGAAAGTTGCAGTCGTGGTGGGCGGTCGTCCAAACGGGACCCTGGCTCACACCGTGCAGATGGATGGATGGATGGATGGATAGGCCCGCCTTTCGTGTGGAATGGATCCCGGAGGGGTGCAGAAGTGCAGAAGCGCAGAAGCCTCTGGGGTGGGTGGATGGACCCAGAGTGCAGGGTCGAGTACATAGAGTTGGCTTGCCTAGCACGGTAAAACTAGACCTACATATTAATTAACTTAACTAGCATCCATCAGGGTGGGAACACAAGGTGCTCAGATCCAAGTGTTCCTTTTGCTCTAGTTGCGCGCCGGCGACGACAGCAGGTACCACTTTCAGCCTCTAGAAAGAAAGTTTCACTCAACTATTGTCGCATCTCGCGTCGCACCCCCATTCTCTCTCTCTCCTCTCGTATCTTTTCGTGCTGACGAGTGCTTGACTGGCCGCTCCCCGTCCTTTCCGCTCACTCACTCTTCTCTTATTCCAACTACTCTCGTCGAGCTGAGAGGCATTCTTTCCCCCTGCCACCGGGCTCTTGGGGTCTCTGCTCGTGGCCAAGATCGACCCCGAATGGCGGCGAACCATTAAATGCCCTGCCCTGTCTGCCGCCTCGTCCAGACCCCGCATCACTGACGTGAAACCCGACAACCTCGCCCATTGGACCCAGCCTCGGTTCCAGAGAAGAGCAGCGTATGGCCTCGTAGTGGCAGACAGTCAAGATGGGCTTTTTGAGCTTCTGGTCCAGGAAGCCGCCGCCCGTTTCCGAGGATACCGATGTTCTCAAGGCGCAACCATACAATGCGACTGTGGCGTCGCTGCCCCCAATCCTCGGTATAGTCGCACCGTAGCAACCCTGCTAATTGGCCCGTGGAATCGCTCTTCTGACTTCTGGCTTAGGAACCCTACCGGTAGCAGGCAATGGCCCCAGCATTTTGGAGGCCATTCAGAGGACAAAGATCAAATCGCAACTCAGAAAAGCCCCGAGCTATTCCACTGAGGCATACGTACCGACGCCGTCGATACGCAAGCTCCGACAAGATGAGTCGGGACGTCCGCAGACGGCGCCGACCGAGGACCAGGCCGGATGGCTGGGCCGTCGCAGGTCCGCATCTCTGAAGGAGCATCCAGTTCCTCAACTGCCTACCATCTCGCAGGGGAACCGTCCGCCCTACAGGCTGCCGGGCAAACTGCCCCATCGTTCAGACAAGCCGCGCCCGCCAATTGTCAAGTTGCCCGAGAAAATCTTCGACGCTTCAATTCTCAACAAGCCACTGCCCGCCATCGCACACGAGAAGACCTCGTCCATCAACAGTAGCAACTCGGCCGCGACCAAGCTATCCAGGGGCTTCGTTGACCTACTGGACGCGCAAGCGGGTTTTCAATCTACGGATTTGTACCAAAGAGTCCAGGCGACGGGTGCTCGGAGTTATGGCGAAGATGTTGCAGATCGGAACGTTGGTGCCAGCGGAGTCAAGTTGAATTCGACCGAAACCTCCACACATCACAGCATGAACTCAGCGTCCGCCGCAAGATCTCAGAATGGAGGAGATGAAGATTTGCTATCCAAGTCGAGGAAGAGGCATTCCTTGGGAGCCGGTCTGCGGACCACTTCACTGGATTCTGAGACCTATGCTGTAAGGTCAAAGGCACCAGGTACCGACCCACCTCTGCCGCCCAAAAGCCCTCTCCGCCGTCGTATTATCGATGACGAGGCCGTCTCAGCGTCGACCAAGGCGGATCGGCGCAAGTCTCTCCCTTCGTATCTGCATTCCTCACAGAGGAAACATGTTCAAGACAGTGATTCTGATTTTCCCGACTCGCTGAAGGCCAAAGGCAAAGACGCGGCCAGAGCAGCGGATGGCAGACTGTCGTCCATCAAGTCGGTACCTTCGCCTCGGAATTCGTCACTAGATAAGAGACGCTATGCCAGTCGCACTGGTGAGAAAACCCATGGATCAAAGGACCGAGATAGATCCACCAAGGGACGATCGTCCAAGACCACGAAATCGTCTAGGAGGGAGACATTGTCCTATGCATCAAAGTCAGCTCAGAACCATGTCGCATCAAAGAGGTTGAGTTTACAGAGCATGCAAATGACCTCCACCGGCAACGACACCGATGGAGGCAGTATTCACCGTGCAAGACCTCAAAGCCCAAGATCGGATACGCAGAGCAGCTCGCGCCGCGATCTACGGATGCAGGCATTTGAGACACCTCGTAGGTGCCCCAAGAGCTGTCCGCAGTTATTTGTTGAAGCTGGTGCTGACAACCTATACAGGTCCTAAGTCCTTTCATAAACGTTCTGGTAATCGAGATGAACTCCTGATTGACCAATTTGCCCACACGCGAAGTCCCAGGACTGCGCCGGGCAAAGCTGTCAAGAAGCCTGATCTCGACGAGACTATCCCAGAACGAACAAGCAGCTTGCGGCATGGCTCCATGGACTCGACATCGGCGACGAGTCTCAGCTCTAACCCTTTCAGACCGCAGTCCCGGCATACTGCCAATACTTCCATCGACCTCTCGCCATTCGCAAAGGAAGCCAACTTCAGCCATGATTCGTTAGGGGCAGTCTCGAGCCGCACAGGACCGGATCATCGCCTTCCGTCCCCGCTCGCAGTGTCGGCCTCGTCACCGCTGAGATCAGAAGTGAAACCGAAACGCTCGACCAATTTCAACATTGACGACTACATCTCATCAGACGATGATGCTGATAAACCCCGCCGGCCCCGAGGCGAAGGCGAGGAAGAGCTTGTATTCAACGACTCGGGCTATGGTTTTGGTTTTGAGTTGCCCGGCCTTTCTAGTCAATTCGATGCCACCCCTCTGTTCGCACCTTCTTCGCCCCCAAGATCCATCTCCAGATCTAAGGGTAGGGACAATGAGAGGGATATCTCAAGTTACAAACTCGATGAGTCAACCTTGACTGAACTTGAAAATGCGTATAGCGGGTCCCGGGCAGACTATCGCCGCCGTGCACCCCGAACTCATGTGTCAGCCAATCGGTACGATGACTCGACCGACACCGAGTCTTCTACGGGGGAGGAAGAGCAAGATTCAGAGGATGAGTTATCATTCGATATTCCGATGACCAGGCGAAGCACGCCCTTAAGACAGTACCGTGCTGCTAGGTACGCCAGTCGAGAGGACATTATCATGGAGGAGAGGGACATCGAGAAGATGGACGTCCACACCGCAATGAGGCTGCGTAAGGAGGAAAAGAGACGCAAGAGATTAAGTGGTGCCAGCGGGACCACAATCCGCCCTTGGAGTGAGAAAGGCAAGGAAAAAGAGTCGGTCCACCCGCATCGGATTGACATGAAGGGCTTCGATGCTGATGTGGAGTAATGAACGTCGCAGCCTCGTGGCTGTAAGCGGCGATTGTTTTTGAGTTACGGTACCTATGATGGAGAAACAGCAAGGCGTTTGGCGATGAGCAAACCAGACTTGGGGGCAACTCAGCATTGCCCTTTTCCCCAGGATTCTCCTCGGAATCTTGGCAACACAATAACTGCTCCCGTGAGCACTTTTCATTTATTTTTTTTCCAACTTTTCTCTTGTGTAGCTTTTTATGGGTTTGCCACGACACTGTACGGATACGGCCAGGCGGCGAGTTGCCCAAACATACTTATACCCCCATCTTTACGACCTTTACAGCTGGATATGCTTGGGTATGCCGATAGATAATACAGGCTCGGCAATTAGGATAGACAACGATATTGATAGACTCAGGCAATATGATTCCTTGTGTAAACTACAAAGCTATTGCATCATGATCAGCGATTGCGGCCCATTATACCCCAGCCACCTGATTCATGGTTTCAAACCCTGAAGGCCAATCTGATATTGCAGTTGGAAATCCCTTGCCGAAATTCAGGGGCGACCCCTGACCAGCATTTTATTCACAATCGAGGATTGCTAGCAACCTCGAAGCCTGATTCACTTCCGCCCGGTCACCTTCTTCATCGTGACTAAAAGTGTAAGTGCTGGAAATGCCAGCCTTTCGAGCAATCGATGGCAACTGTCAACCTCAGACCTGTCTTGCGCTTGCTATCTGGACCGATGCGACGAGAAGGAGCGTACCACCGCTGCCCCTGACGAGCACTGGAGACTGCCGCGTCCTGATAAATAGCTGCAGAAGGAAGCTGTTGACACTGGCCATCGTGTTGCTCCGTTCGTCACGAACCTCTTCTCGCCTCTTTTCCCATTTGTTGACTTTGACCATTGAGTATCGCTGCATCATTATCGAGGACTCTGCTGGCTCCCCGGCTGCCTCGTATTGCCGCATATCCTATCTGACTGCTTCAACACCTATTATCACTTACTCGACTCGCTTTCCACCATATGCCCAGAGTACTCGTCCCCAGGTTTCGGCTGTGGTCCCCCGAGAGAACAGAAGAACCCGCAGCAGCAGCTCCACACATCGTACCTCGTTCAGCCATGGCTCATCCCGGTCCTGCCTCTCATCATGCTGAGCCGGGACCGTGCGACTGGCGCGGGGATAGCCCAGAACCCCAATTAGATGATCTTGCGCATGCGGAACCTCGTCCCGTGGAGGTCTGCGATTAGCAAGGCGACCCTCCCGAGCTGCAACATGACGACCTCGCTCATGATCACCTACCAAAGCCAGCCTCGGCACCTCCGAAGCAAAAGAAGCCCGATACGGCCCCTCATGGTCGTAAGCCAGCTCTCAAGGAGCCTGGGCCTGCCCCCCAGGAACCAAGGAAGATCCCCTTGGTCGTGAAGCCCAAGACTCCCCCGATGGAGATTGTTCCCATATTACCACCGCCTACGCCCAAGGGTAAGGCCGATACTCTGAACCACTGCTTGAGAAACGGGGTTTTAACACATGCTACAGGCTTGGAGAGCTTTCCGACCCCCAACGTCCCACTTCTCCATTCACCTGTGCCGAAGACGCTCGCCACTCCCGAAGGACCCCTTTGCGCGTACCATGCGCGCCAGAAGTCTCCTCCGCCCACGCCCCCTCCAAAATTAGTCGAAGATCTGTCCCGAAAAGCCCGCAAGGCTAAAGAGCGTGAGGAGAAGGCGCGACTCAAGAAGGAGAAGAAGGAGCACAGGACCAAGGAGCGCGAGGAGAAGGAACGGCTAAGAAAGGAAAAGAAGGAGAAGAAGGCGGCAGACAAGGCACGCAAAGCCAAGGAAAGGGCTGAGCGAAAGGCGAAGGAGAAGGAGGCCAAGGCGGCCAAGGACGCGTGAGCAGGCGACCAATTGGTGGAAGAAGACATACACAGTTGGGCAGTGACGGGTACCTGGGCGCGTGTATTCCTGCTCTAGATCATAAGGCCGGCTTTGGCGCAAATTGACATGGGTATCAAGATTGAGAATGAATCACTCGAGCGAGCCTGCCAACGCCACGCAACTGAAGCGCATATCGGCGCCCTCACGCTCCAGGAACTTCAACGGCCCCCACAACAGCGCAGACTCAGACAGAACGTCCTCCGACTCCTCCAGCTTTCCCCGTGCGATCGGGCCCTTCCGTCGTCCGTCCAGCTCCCACAGTGTGCCATCTTCGGTCTTGACGAAGCAGACGTAGTGCAGGTCGACGTCGTCCTGCGCGTCAGGCGCCGCCGTGTCGCCCTGGCTGGCGGCTTCTTGGTGCGCCGTTGCCAGGGACGATGTCCGCTCGAGCAGCTTGGAGCGCTCGGCGGGAGCGAGGGGAATGGCGTCCTTGATGAGCTTGTCCAGGTCGGAGCCAGACTCTTGATAGGGGGGATGTGGAGTCAGTATGATGAGAAAACACGGAATAGCAGGGTAGCAGACTACACAGCAGTAGAAAAGGCGACTTACCGACGTATCCCCTCGCGGGGCCGTTGCTTACGGCGTGGAGCAGGCCCATGAGGCCGCAGGCGTTGCGGATGGTCTGCTTGAACCAGACGACGGGCTCGGCGGGGCCCTTGGCGGCGTACTCGGGCAGCGGGGCGTCCTCGGCCATGCGCTGGGACTCGTAGACGGCCGAGACGGGGAAGACGAGCAGCAGGGCCAGCGCGGGCCGCGGGATGAAGGCCAGCAGTTCTGGGTCCGAGATAGAGTAGACGTCGTGCACCTGTAGCGCCGCGCTGAGGCCCAGCTTGCGCAGCAGGCTCGTCATCAGCTCCGGGTTCGCCTCCAGCGGGATGAAGGCCGGCGACGCGCCCGGCGGCGGGTCCGGGTGTGTCTGCGTCGTGGCCATGGTGTCTAGCTCGTGTCCGGCTGGCGGAAGGGGACCTCGGAGGGAAGAGGGATGGAGTGTTTTGTGGGTGTGATATCGGTCAGGTTCTCGAGAAACTAAGTAGCTTGGATCGTGTGCCCTCCTTCTTGATGTCGGATCGTTTGCCCCCAAAAATGTACGCTCTCCTCTTCGTCCGGCAACGACTGGCTGCGAAGGATATAGGTGACTTAGAGCTTGTGGAGGCCAAGTTGCCCCTCCATCGATTAAGGCACCGGAAGCTATGACGCAGCAACCTTGGAACTTTCTCAGCCGCGCTTGCAGGGGGGTTGCCCGCTGTGGGGTGCCTGGCCATAACTAGGTCGCGAGGGCAAAGGACAAGCCTCAGATTATGTTGGGGCGCGCCTAGAACGGCATTGTGGCCAATTCGAAGGTATTTCGCTCTGTGTCAAGTCATGCAAGTCTTTTGTTGCTCAGATGATATCCCGCCTTAGGAGACCAGCGTTTCAGTTGTGAAGAGAGTCTTGAGAAAACGCACCCCACTAGCCAATCCCATAGATGAAACTCTTCAACTGTCTTCGGAGATTGTTCTTTCTGGACAGCTCGGTGCCATTGCGTTTGAGGCAAGGCTCTTTATCTTCTCTATGATCTATACAAGCCAGTACGGCCTTTCTTACCCAGTGGCAGCTCTGTACCAAAGCAACGGTACTGGACACATTAATCTCTTCTCTGATCTATCAAACCGTTACTGTTAGGTTTCAGCAACAACTCCGTACGCCGAAATCAGTCCAAGGTATCTTGCCGCTTCTTCCTCTCGCTTATCTCATTTATGACGACTGCTCCCGCTCTTTAAGAGTGTGCTTTCTGGTTTCATCCAGCTCCTCCTTCATGACCCTGTTGAAGTCCTCTGGGTTGTCAAGGTAAAGGTGGTGGCCGGCTTTCTTGATAACGATGACCTTGGCGGCGCCACTCTCTTTCCTCTTCTCCTCCTCGGTTCCCTGGAGGAGCGCCTTGACCTTGGCTTGCTTGAGCTTCTCCTCGGCAGCCAGACCTCCAGCGACATCCATCCAGTCGTTTTCGCCATACATGAACACGATCGGGAACCCGGTTTCCTTGACCGCTGGCGTCGACCCGGTGGCTGGCTGGATGACTTGGCGGCCCACGTCCTGGATACGGTTGATGACAGGCCGCCTGGCATGAGCGCCTGGTGCTAGCAGGTACGGGAGAACATACTCGCCACTGCCCCTCTGCCGGAACAGACTATAGGCGTACTCGTGGAGGGTCTGCTTCTCCTCCGACGGTAAGTGGTTGAACCGACGGGATGTCCAGCCCGAGACGAATCTGGGGCCCAGCGGGCCAGTCATGCGTACAATGCTGAACGGTGAGACGTTGGCGTCCCAAAGCCATACGAGCCAGCCCGGGTAGGGCCGCCTCTTGGCGTTCGTGGTGCCAGCCTGCTGTTCGTTGTTCTTTGTATTCAGGAAGTTGTTGTTATCCCGAGTCTTGGTGGTTTCCTGCTGATCTTGCGTGAACTCGTCCTGGAATGTTGACTCCCGCGGCTCGGGCATGTCGGCGTTGACCGCGTATGGGTCTTCCGGTACACCGACCGGCGATGCCAGTATCAGCTTGTTGAGATGGCCAGGGTATTTCAGAGCGTACGAAACGGCGAGATAGCCGCCCAACGAGTGACCGAGGAGGGTGAACTTCTCCAACTTGCGGATCTTGCGCCATTCCTCCAGCGCGTCGATGAACCAATTCTCGGCCTCGGTAATCTTTCCGGCTGGGTCTTTGGCGTGGATCTTGAAGGGCGGCCGCGTTGAGTTGCCCATTCCCAGCATATCCAGTGCATAAAGCTTCCAGCCTTTTGACCGAGTGAGGCTCTCGAAGTTTTTGTAGTAAAAGCCCAGGCCAGCTCCATAGCCGTGCAGCATGACGAGGTTATCATCGACGGTCTCGCCAACTCGTTCGACTGAGAACTCATTGAGGCCGCGGTTTTTGCCCGATAGCTGGACCATCTGTGACTTCCATACTCGCGGGCCATATGGGTCGATGTCGGTCGACGTTTCTGTAGAGCCAGGGTGGTCCGCCGAGGGAATATCTGCCAACGGTGCCGTCGAGTTGGCCACAGCCTCTCTGAGGTATGGAATGTGTGAGATGACATTTCTTTCCGCGACCGTCGGCGTTACACTTGTCCACTGCAGCTGGTCAGTACCGGAGGCGGAGGGAAGCAGCCCGCAAGGCTACAAGGAAGGACACGGACCCACTGGTATACGGCTTCCTTATAGCCGAGGGGGAAGTAAGGCGCCATCCTTTGGAAGGCCTTGGGCTTCTCTTCAGTCTTGTGATGTGTTTGTTCCGACTCTCTTTGGGATGCCAGCATGGACGAACCTCCGGACTGGGGGTTAGCGGCTTCGGTGGTCATGTTAGCTCGTTGTCTGGGTGGATAGGCTTGATTGTCGGTCTGGATTTTCTGGACGGCGGTGACGAGTTTCCTCGACTGGAGCACGGCTGATGTAGAGGGATTCTTGATCATACCGGACGGGGGGGAGCGGGTGGCAAGCGGGCGGAGGGACACGCCTACTTATTGGCAAGCCACATCAACGAGCGAGACAGACAAGGAGGATAGAGAGCGGGAGGAGTACGTAAGCAGGGGTGAAATGTCCGAAGGTCCGGACGAAATCAGCAGAGGCTACCGGAACGATTGAGTATACACTGCAGCCTAGCGGGTGGCAGGGACTTGGAACAGTCGATTCGCAAGGGACGCGGTGAGGTGCCAGCGGTGGTGGTGGAGGTGGTGGTGGTGCCGTGCGAATGCGCTCGTTCGCGGATTGGCCGCGGCTGAGGGCTCGCCGCATCATTGACGTGGAATTTTGCGGGTTCCGCGGAGTTAAGGCGCTCCCGGAGATTCGCAACCCCCCTGTAAATCCATGGTCGGGCCTTGCATCTGCCCGCACCGAGCCCTGCGAGCCTGGACTGCCTGCAGGTTCCGGGAGGCGGCACTGGAGAAATAAAAGTCACCGACTGAGACAGGACCTGCAGAGCTACAGTACATAGTACACACAAGAGCCTGGCCCTTTTATTCATTTATTTTTAGGCACGCAATGCCACCTTGGGCCTGCCGAGTCCCGACTGGCTGCTGTTGTCTGGTATAGTCGTCACCACTTCGCAAGCCATCAGATTGCAGTATATGGGACGATTGTTGCGCATTCCCTTCCGACTAGACATGACGTATAGCATGAAAGGTTACCTGTCTTTCTTTCGATTGACCGGCAATGGCCAGACGGGACGTGTGGTGTTTTCCACGTGGACCCCAGGAACGAGTCATTGGCATTGCACCGGGGCGGCGCGAACGCTATACTTGCCCAGAAGTAGTGTTAAAGAGCGACAGGTCTGCGCCTGTCCTGAGAGTACTCTCCTGCGATATGACTGGGCAAAACGCAAGCGAACTTTGCATGCATGTATGTGATAGAGGCATTGATTTCCGAATAAGCCACAATTCCACGCCTGGATATATGTATAGTTAGGACACAGCAACTTCCATGGGCCCTCTGACTCTGACCGCCCAGCCTCAGAGTCGTGATCAATTAACGCGCTGCAGAGGCAGGGATGGCGCGTCTCACCCGCGCCAACCCGCCAAAAACTTTCTTTGCTGCAGGCTCTGCCTGTTTGGTGGGGCAGACAACGCAAATTCTACTGCATACCACTTACTCGACGCCCTTGCAGCACAACCTTTTCTCTTCCTTTTGTTTACCTCACTCGAGAAATCGAGTGCAGGTCGTAGAAAGGGATCCTCATTCACAACACCATCGACTGGACAAGCCGTGCCCGACTGTTCAAGATGAAGTACGTTTTGGTATCCGGCGGTGTTATCAGCGGTGTGGGCAAGGGCATTATCGGTATGAGCCAGCTTGTTGTATCCGTCGTCGCATCTCTGGTCTCGTCCACTGACCCTCCGTAAACAGCCTCGTCCTCTGGCCTGCTGCTGAAGACCCAAGGCCTCAAGGTCTCGTCCATCAAGATCGACCCCTACCTCAATGTCGATGCCGGCACCATGAACCCCAAGGAGCACGGCGAGTGCTTTGTCTTGAACGACGGAGGAGAGGTCGATCTTGACCTTGGCAACTATGAGCGCTATCTCGGCATTAGCTTGACCCGGGAGAACAACATCACCACCGGCAAGATCTACCAGCACGTCATCGAGCGCGAGCGCCGCGGCGACTACCTGGGCAAGACGGTCCAGGTCGTGCCGCACATCACAGACGCCATCCAGGACTGGATCGAACGCGTCGCGAGGATACCTGTCGACGACTCGGGCGAAGAGCCCGACATTTGCATCGTCGAGCTGGGAGGCACTGTCGGCGACATTGAGAGCGCACCCTTTGTCGAGGCCCTGACCCAGTTGCGTCACCGTGCTGGCAAGGGCAACTTCATCAACATCCACGTCTCCTACGTGCCCATCATCCACGGCGAGCAGAAGACCAAGCCCACGCAACACGCCGTCAAGTCGGTTCGCAGCGCCGGTCTGATCCCCGACCTGGTCGCCTGCCGATGCGAGGTACCGCTCGAGGAGAGCACGGTCAAGAAGATCGCACACCACTGCCAAATCGACTACGAACAGGTCATTGTCGTTCGCGACATGCAGACCATCTACCAGGTTCCCTTGCTGCTTGAGGAGCAAGGCCTCCTCAAGCAGTTCCGCCTGTCCCTCGAGCTGGACAAGTTGACTCTTGCTCCCAAGATGCTCCAACACGGTGCCGACATCTGGAAGACATGGAAGGCCACCGTCTCACCAAACCCCTCGCACCTGGAAGAGGTCAGCATTGTCCTTGTCGGAAAGTACGTCGAACTCCACGACTCGTACATGTCCGTTGTCAAGTCGCTTGAGCACTCTGCTATGAAGTGCAACCGGCGCTTGAACCTGATCTGGGTCGACGCGGAGCATCTGGAAGAGAAGACCCGGAAGACAGACCCGGCCTGCTTCCACAAGGCTTGGCACGAGGTCTGCACCGCGTCCGGAATCTTGGTCCCCGGTGGGTTTGGCCAGAGAGGCACAGAAGGTATGGTTGCCGCTGCCAAATGGGCACGCGAGCAGAAGACGCCGTATCTGGGTATCTGCCTGGGCATGCAGGTCGCTGTCATTGAGTACGCGCGTGACATCGCTGGCTTGACCAAGGCTACTTCCGAGGAATTCGATGCACAGGCAGAGCAGAAGCTGATTGTCTTCATGCCGGAGATTGACAAGACCACCATGGGAGGCACCATGCGCTTGGGTCTCCGACCCACCCTTTTCCAGCCCGGCAGCGAATGGAGCAAGCTCAGAGCTCTGTACGGAGAGGCCGACACTGTCAAGGAGCGCCACCGCCACAGATATGAAGTCAACCCTGAGTACATCGAGCAGTTAGAAAAGGCCGGTCTGAACTTCATCGGCAAGGACGAGAAGGGCGAGCGGATGGAGATCATCGAGCTGAAGGAACACCCCTATTTCGTTGGTGTACAATATCACCCAGAGTACCTGAGCAGAGTCCTGGACCCTAGCCGGCCGTACCTGGGTTTTGTGGCAGCGTCCGCAGGGCCTGAATGTCTGCAACAGGTCACCCAGAGCTACTTGCAAGCTGGCCTTGCCAACGGAGAGGTCAAGACCAACGGCATCTGATTTCATAGAAAGATCTAGGCAACTGGGCATACCGTGGGTTTTCTGATGGGAGTTGCGGGTTGGGAACTGAATATATCATGCATCGACACCAAAATTTGCAGCGCTGATCCATCTCGATCGTAACTGTTATATTATATCCTATTTCAAATGCCAGAGTCTCAAGCCCGTGACAATGAGGCCCAAGGCCGTGTGCAAAGCTGAGATCTGTAGCGAATCGGCGGAAGGGTCCCGACCAGCCTCGTCACGCCCGTGTTAATGACTTGTTCGGTGTTGCCAAGACCGCTGCTCGATGTTTGATATGCCTCGCCACACCAGAAGTCTCAACCGTTTAGTCTATACGTCTTTGTTATTCCAGAGTGCGAATTCGTGAAATCTGCATCAACGTATTTCGCAATAGAATTTTTGGTAATTCCATGTTGAACGTGTCCGTACTCACCATAGTCAGTCAAGCCCCCTGCTTTCATCTTTGGTCCGAACCTTGGAAGTGCACACCCCACGGTGTCGCGGCTCCGACTGAGGCCCGCAGGCGCCAAGGAAATGGGCTGACCCATAATATTTTACGCCAGAGCTTCCGCGTTGCATCTTCAAGGTCGCTTGCCACATACATTTGCGCAACCACAGCAGACCACGAACCCCGGTTTCCCTTACCCTGCGACCAAGATGGACGACTTCGAGGAGCTCGAGCTCCTGTCGTTGGTGTCCAAAGTCACGTCCGAGCTGCAGAACCATTTGGGCATCTCCGAGAAGGTCCTCGCCGAGTTCATCATCGCGCAACGGCTAGAATGTAGCGACATCGACCAGTTCAAAGAGAAGCTGGCCGGCATGGGCGGCGCCAAATGGCCATCCAGCTTGTTCGAGAGTATAGATCGTTTAGTGCGCACCATGCACCCCAGATTCAAATCGAACGGAACAAACGGGTCGACCGCAGAGGAGCACTTCGGACGCTCAAGAGAGGAGAAGAAGAGTCTGTTCTCCGGTCTGGCCATACCCGACAAGGACGTGCCGGCCGAGGATGGCGACGCCATAGACGACACCCTGGCCCTTCTGGAGGATCTGGAGCCAAAGGCGCGACAGCCACGGACGGATGGGACATCACGGAAACGCAGCAGAAGTCCCAGAGAGGAAGATTCGCACCACCGACGCAAGGAGCGGCGCAGATCTCGCGATGGGCGCCGGGATGATTACGACGGCGACGACCATCATGACCGATCGCGACGGAAACACAGAAGCAGGAGGGACGACTACGATCGCGGCCGCAGAGACGACGACGATATGTTCCGACGGCCCCCGGTACCCGAAGTCGACGACCAACCTATCTTGAACAAGGTATACGAGGGCCATGTCACTGGTATCAAAGATTTCGGAGCCTTTGTCAACCTGCATGGAGTCCGAGGCAAGGTAGATGGCATGGTGCATATATCCAGTCTCGTCCAAGGTCAGCGGGTAAACCACCCGTCCGACCTTCTCATCAGAGGGCAGGACGTCAAGGTGAAGGTCACAAAGATCGAGGGGAGCCGTATAGGGCTTTCGATGAAAGATGTGGATCAAGAGACGGGGAGAGACCTCGTTCCACAGGCACGTATAGGATCTGGAGCCAACATGGAGGCCCTTGGCGGAGGCCGCAATGGAGTTGTGGCGGACAATACCGCCGCACTGTCAGAGTATGCTGCACAGCCTCGTCGCCAAAAGAAGCGCATGACTTCTCCGGAGAGGTGGGAGATCCGGCAACTGATCGCTTCGGGTGTTGCCAAGGCTTCGGACTATCCGGATCTGGAGGAAGACTACCATGCCACCCTCAGAGGCGAAGGCGAGTTGGAGCTGGAGCAGGAGGTCGACATTGAAGTCAGGGAAGAGGAGCCTCCTTTCTTGGTTGGTCAAACGAAACAATCGCTCGAGCTTTCGCCCATTAGAGTCGTTAAGGCACCAGATGGCTCGCTGAACCGTGCCGCCATGTCGGGAACGAATCTGGCCAAGGAAAGAAAGGAACTCAAGAGACAAGAACAGGAAGCTGCGTCTGCTGCCGCCGAAGCGGAGTCGAAGTCTGACCTTGCATCGCAATGGAATGATCCAATGGCCAACCCAGACTCTAGGCAATTTGCCAGCGATATGCGCAACGCCAGGATGAACGCGCCAAAGCCTGACGCGGTGCCGGAATGGAAGCAAGCTGTTGTGAAAAGAGACGAGCCCTTGGGAAGACGGACGAACATGTCGATCAAAGAGCAAAGGGAGTCGCTCCCCGTCTACGCATTCCGGAACCAGCTCATCAAGGCAGTCAAGGAGAACCAGTTCCTTGTCGTGGTCGGTGAGACTGGATCAGGCAAGACGACACAACTGACGCAATATCTTGCAGAGGCTGGTTTTACCAACGATGGCATGTTGGGCTGTACGCAGCCGCGTCGTGTTGCCGCCATATCAGTCGCCAAGCGCGTGTCGGAAGAAGTTGGTTGTGAACTCGGTCAAGAAGTTGGATACTGTGTCCGTTTCGACGACAAGACCGGCCCTGCAACGAAGATCAAGTACATGACCGACGGTATGCTCCAGCGTGAGATCCTGATGGATCCGAACCTGGAGAGATATTCTGTCATTATGCTGGACGAGGCGCACGAGCGGACCATTGCCACTGATATTCTATTTGCGCTGCTCAAGAAAACATGCAAGCACCGTCCGGACTTGAAAGTCATCGTTACCTCCGCAACGCTAGACGCCGACAAATTCTCAGCTTACTTTAACGAATGCCCGATCTTCACCATTCCGGGACGCACATTCCCGGTCGAGATCCTGTACTCTCGAGAACCCGAGTCGGATTATTTGGATGCCGCCTTGGTGACGGTAATGCAAATACATCTCACAGAACCCCCTGGCGATATTCTTGTCTTCCTCACAGGACAAGAGGAGATCGACACCAGTTGCGAGATCTTATATGAGCGCATGAAGGCTCTTGGCCCCAACGTGCCGAACCTCAACATTTTGCCAGTATACTCTGCATTACCCAGCGAGCAGCAGAGTCGAATTTTCGACCCGGCGCCCCCAGGCGAACGCAAAGTCGTCATCGCAACCAACATTGCTGAGACGTCTATCACCATCGATCATATTTACTACGTGATTGACCCAGGCTTTGTAAAGCAGAATGCCTACGATCCCAAGCTTGGTATGGATGCTCTGGTCGTTACCCCTATTTCCCAGGCTCAAGCCAACCAGAGGGCTGGGCGAGCCGGGCGAACGGGTCCCGGAAAGTGCTTCAGGCTGTACACCGAAGCAGCATATCAGTCTGAGATGCTGCCGACAACAGTCCCTGAGATACAGCGGCAAAACCTGTCGAACACAATTCTCATGTTGAAGGCTATGGGAATCAACGACCTGCTAAATTTCGATTTCATGGACCCGCCGCCAACGAATACCATGCTTACGGCATTGGAGGAGCTCTATGCACTTTCGGCGCTTGATGATGAGGGTCTTCTGACCCGTCTTGGCCGCAAGATGGCCGACTTCCCCATGGACCCGTCACTGTCCAAAGTGCTCATTGCTGCCGTGGATTTGGAATGCTCCGAAGAGGTCCTGAGTATCATCTCCATGTTGAACGTGCCTACTGTATTCCATCGACCCAAGGAGAAGCAGCAGCAAGCAGACCAGAAGAAGGCCAAGTTCCATGATCCGAGCGGTGACCACCTGACGCTCCTGAACGTCTACAATGCATGGAAGACTTCGGGCTTCTCGAACCCCTGGTGCTTTGAGAACTTTATCCAGGCGCGGGCCATGCGCCACGCCTTCGAGGTCCGGAAACAGCTCGTCCAGATCATGGGGCGGCACCGGCACCAGCTCGCGTCGTGCGGCCGGCACACGCAGAAGGTGCGGCAGGCGCTCTGCTCTGGCTTCTTCCGCAACTCGGCGCGCAAGGACCCGCAGGAGGGCTACAAGACGCTGATCGAGGGCACGCCCGTGTACCTGCACCCGAGCTCGGCGCTGTTCGGCAAGCAGGCCGAATGGGTCATCTACCACACGCTGGTGCTGACGACCAAGGAGTACATGACGCACACGACGACCATCGAGCCCAAGTGGCTGGTCGAGGCCGCCCCGACCTTCTTCAAGGTCGCCCCCACGGACCGGCTCAGCAAGCGCAAGAAGGCCGAGCGCATCCAGCCGCTGTACAACAAGTTCGCGACCGAGGACGACTGGAGGCTCAGCGCGCAGAGGAAGGGAGGCAGGGGTGGTGGCGGTGGTGGCACCTGGGGTTAGAGAGGCCGGGCTTTGTGTAGATATTAGAAGATTGGCGTTACCCTCAATGATAAATACCAGGCTGCATCAGAGCCGGCTTGTCGTCTTGTTGACACGGCGCCCGATCCTTCTAGGACGATTCTCGGTTGTGAGCTACGATCTGTTCTGATATGACAGGTATTATAAGGGCGTTGTCATCTCAGTTGCTGCGCCGGTGGTGGGAACGCATTGTAAAGTACGACGTATATATGTTTGAGACGACTTGGTGTATGGGTCATTATCCCTCCCCCTGCACGACGAGAGAGCAACAACGATACGTTAGCATTGGTTACATGCCGCATTCAATCTAATTAGCGTCCTATGAGGCTAGGGGTTCTGGGGAAGAGTGACGTCTGCCCCACAATGAACGGGCTCAACGCGCCTGGCCGCTCAGAGCCGCCCCCCCTTGGCGCCCTGCAGGAGCTGAGCCACTCCACTGTCGTTGCCTCCCGCACCACTCAGCCCCTACCTAGGTACCTAGGAAAGGTTCCTCCGAAGGCACCCAACTTGCCAAGGGACGAGTCACCCAACTAAGGTCACAACTGGCGGCTGACCTACATACACTGGACAGTCGAACCTCGTCTTCCCATCAACCCGACGCACGTCTGCCTCATCTGCAGACTACCTCCCCAACTTTACCCCAGAACACAGCGCACCAGCTCGAGACACAGAGTCGGCCTTCCGACCACGCAGCCATGTGCTCTTCGGACATCTTCCTCGGCTTCCTCGCCATCCTCTTCCCTCCTCTGCCCGGTACGTCATGATCGCATCCCCGCCAACCGCGGCTATCTCGCTGCCTGCTGCTTGTGTGGCCAGCTGCCCCGGCCAGCATCCAACGATGGTTGTCGGGCCATTCTCGAAATTACCAGGAGGCTAACACGCGTTATAGTATGGGTCAAATGTGGTATCTGCTCGGCCGACTCCATCATCAACATACTCCTCTGCGTCCTCGGCTTCGTATGTCTCACCTATCCCCCCTGCCCCGGCGCCATATCGCCATGTGGGCGTGTTGCGCATGCATATGCGAACCCTTACTGACAAACCCCAACACAGCTTCCCGGCCTCTTACACGCCTGGTACATCATCGCCAAGTTCCCCGATGACCACGACTACCAGCGCGTGCCCCAGGACGCCGAGGGCGGCCGGGTCACGTACGTGATCGTACAGGAGGACGGCCGCCGCGAGCGGAGGCAGCAGCAGGGACCGCGGGGCCAGAAGCAACCTAAGCCGCAGGGCGGCATGAACTACGGGACCGCGCAGAATAACGGCAACGCGCCTTCGTCGTCCTCTTCCACGGCGGCGCAGGCCGGGAGCAGCAACGGCGAGAGGCACGAGCCGGCGCCGCCCACGTATGCCGAGGCCGTCAAGGGCGACAACAAGGTCCAGACGTCGGACTAGGCGCGGGCCAGGAGTGATGCGCGGTCGGTTATCTCACTGATACAGGCGCGGAGAGTGTATGCTACAGCGGCGTAGATTTGGCTTGGGAGACATTTTTGAAGACATGTAGCTACTGAGCTGTCTATGGAAAGATGGGCGATGTGCGGATACGTCATGACTAAATTACGAACAGCAAGGGCACAGGCTTGTGTATGGAAACCCTCCTTTTCGCAGTACAGATATGGGGCGTTTTGGGAGACATTACTTGATTTATCTTGGTTGTTCTTTGTAACATGGTAGCAAACCCGTCTATACAATCTACTGACTACCAAGCCCTACCTGCAAGCCATAGTACGATCCCGTGAATGACTGAGGCGGACATTCAAGCCGAGATATTCGTCAAGGAAGAGGGGTTCTCCGATTGCTTCTGTTGATCCCACAACCCGTTGACACAGTGCTCTCGAGGGACAACGGTAGAGCAAGCAAACCATGATCGTCGATTCTCTTGGAAGCTGTTTGCCCTCGGGTTTATTCAATCGTATTAGATTCCATGACGCTGCATAGCACAAAGTGGAATCATACCCACACTATCACGTATAGAGTTGCGGGTACTGACTGCATGGACGGGAGACGCTTCCATCTGACAGCCGACCGTCGACTTCAGCTGGTCTTTTAACGTCTGGATGCAGAGAGACTTTAGCTGGATCGTCCAAACGTGCCCGAAAAGGAAAAAATTGAGGCTACGTAGCTAACAACATATCGGACGATGACGAGTCGAGTATACCTGGCCAAGATGGACGAAGCAGCCAAGAACGAATGCTTTCCTTCCCAGCCAGGGCCAGGCTTGCGTGTAGTTGAGGGTTGCCCTGTGCGGGCAGCCAGGACGTGACGACAGGTGGCCAAGGCCAAGACCAAGGCCACTATCCAATGGTACATTCACCTAACTCAGGTGCCAACGCCGCCCACCGGCTTCGAGCCATTGGGCCCATTGGATTCCATTAGGGGAGGCGACCACTGGACGGTGGACCGTGGGCGGTGGGGACCAGCGCCAGAACCAGTCAGGCCAGTACTGGACGTTACCCAGAACCAGAAACCAGCCTTTCCTGCCTTGGCCAGCCTGACCACAATTGCTTGCCATCGGGCTTCCACCATCTGACCGAAAGGGCATCCCATACACTACACACAATACCTCACTTGCGCTCTCGACTTACCACCCAAACTCGCCTCGCCCCGACTCGACTCGTACACATCTCGCTACCAATTGACTCGCACCGCACGGCATTATCCAGACTCCTGAGGAGAGGAGAAGAGAGACAGAAGAAAAAAAGACCTCAGCTCGCCGCCCCATTCGGAACCATCGCACACCAGCATACGGACAGCACGTACCAGAACACCCCCAAACCGACCTCGGGACCGCCGCCCCTGCCCTCGTCACGCCCACCCCCTAAGTTGCTATCCAAAACATTCAGACGAACAGGATTTCCACCGAATCGACCTCAGCAAGGGCACGGCACCAGGCCACACACACACCCGACCAAGGAAGGCACCTCACCTGCCCTGTCTGCCTGCAACCAATCCATCCCTCTCCCCCAAGCCCCCCCTTCCAGCTGGACCGACATCACGCTCCCACGTCGACGCATCTCGGGTCCATCGACGACGGCCTTCCCACCTCTCACATCACAGCCTGATCTGTCAACCACAGGGGCATCGGCCAGGCATTGAAACGCAACCACCTCCAATTACGCACATCAGCTCTTTCATCCTCGAGCTCGCCTGATCCGCGACCAGACTCTACACCCGCCACTCCTCCACTGCCACACCCCGCACAATCCTCAAACATTTCAACCATCCATACCGACCTACGACACATTCGCGCGACCCAAATTTCACACCGCTGATCCGCCGTCGCCCACGAGCGACCGTATACCACCTACCTGCCCCAAGTCCGGGCAGCTTCTGATGCTCTACACCCTCCTGGCCGCTCAACATTGACAGCAGCCTCCCCTCAGATGCTATGGCAACACGATACTCTGTAGAAGCGTTACTCTTCCTGCGCGAATCGCCGCTATGTACCAGGCCCAACGCCTTACCTCCTGCCGAGGAGTGGATGGGGTAAATTCTGCCCTCTCCGATCGTGTTTTTTGCTGCTCCCAGCCTTCGATTCATCACGAGTGACGCATTTGCTAACCTCTGCGCCAACAAACACAGACCACCTCCTGAGACATTCCGCAACAACCAAACCACTGGCAAGACGGGGACGGATCGGACCAGATCCAGCGGCGACACCTCGTTGCTTGACCAAACCAACAGGCGACCAGGCGTCGACAGGCATATGTCGCGGAACAGCGCAAGTAGGTACCACCCTGTCTGCGTGGAAAATTAGTTTCGTCCGATCGCTGACCATTTCGTCATGCCAGACCCTGAGGATATCATCCTGGGACCGCCGCGAACCACTTTTTCGTCTGCTACCCTGTCGCGAGGCAGCAAGCCCTTCGATAATGACAGGACGTTCAAGGACTCTGACCGCTTTGCCACCTTCCGCAAGAACGGCGACGGCGACACGGATCGGTTCCGTGAAAGGGACCGAAATGGTGCCGACCGCGATGGGAGGAACAGCTTTCGCCGCCGCGGCGACGGTACCGACCAGGACAGCGATGGCTGGAGCACCGTGAAGCCGCGCAAGAGCTTTGGCCACGAGGGCGCCGAACGATTCCATGGCCGCATTGGCGGTGACCGGCCGGATCGATTCGGGGGCGAGCGCCGGGCCCGCGACGCCAATCCTCAGGATGAGGACGCCGAGAGACCCCCGCGCCGCAGCAACTTTGGAGAGTTCACCCGGGACAAGGAGGGCGATGACGGTGAACGACCGCGCCGAAACGGTGTGAACAGGAACCGCCCTGACCAGCCCTCTTGGGCCCGGGGAGGGACGGATGCCGAACCCCAGGCTCAACCTACTCGCGAGCGCTTTGACAGAGCCAAGAGCTGGCGAGAGAGAAATAACGATGACCAGCACGCCAACGAGAAGCCTCGCGAGCGCAACGAGCGCAACCTGGGCCGATGGGACAGGGACCACCGCCAGGAGCGCGAGCCGGAATGGCTTGATGAGCCTGCCGAGGAGAAGTCCCATGGTCACACAGCCGAGGACTTCCAGAAATTCATGGAGAGCATGAAGGCTGGTAAGAGGGCTGGCGCCCCAGCTGAGCAGGCAGCCAAGCCTGCCGTGGACACTTCTGTGCGCGACGCCGCCTTGGAGGCCGAGAAATCAAAGGTAAAATCCGCACCAGCGGTCGAGATGGGCCCGGACAAGTTCTTCGCCAACTTCGCACCGACGCCCAGTGCAGAACTGATCAGCCCCATGGAAACCCCCAAGGAGAGTGCGCCGCCCAAAAAGACGGGTTCGAGGTTTCAGGGTTTCTTTGCGTCCCAGGAGGATCGCAGACAAACAGAGCCCTCGACACCCGCTGCTGGTCCGCCAGTTCAGGAACCCAACCCTCTACTGGCCTTGGCCGGTATTGGTGTCAACATGGGTCCCAACGCTGGCGCCGGCAACCCTGCAGATAAGCAAGATAAAATGGCATTCGAGGCTATCCTGCAGAAGCTACAGAAGTCGTCCATCACTGCCAACACCCCACCTCAGGGAGGATATCCGGCACCCGCTCCGAACCAAGGTCCTCCCCACGACAGAATCCCGCAGGGAAATATGGCATCCCCAGGGCCATACCAATCCTTCCCCCAAGAACCTCGCAACGAGCCAATGAACCGCGGCCCCCCTCCTCCTCAGCAGAGGCAGCAGCAGGGCAATCAGCTGCCGCCAATGCGTACCGAGCAGCAGATGCTCCAGGACCTCTTAGGGGCACGCCTTCCGATGCCCAGCCCGGGTTCTGGCCGTGTTGATCCTAACCAGGGTCGAAATAGTAACCCCAACAAAGATTTCCTAATGAGTCTTATGCAAAGTGGCAGAAACCCCTCTGAGCCGCCACGGAATGAGCCACTCCTCAGGATGCCACAGCCATCCCGCCCGGCTCAGATTCCGCAGACGCCGGACCGTGAGCCCGATTTCCAGCGTGAGCGCAGCGCGTCGCAACACCAGGGACGACCGCAAGGCCCTCCTGGTTTCTTCGATGAGCAACAGCTTCACCACCACGAACAAGACAACCGAAGACAACAACCTACCCAGATTCTCCAGCGCCAGGGACCCCCCGGCCTGGAGCCAATGCACCCCAGCTTCCTGCAAGGTGCGAACCAGCAGTTGCCCCCAGGCCCGGGCAGACCTATGATTCCGCCACCTGGACTTGCCGGCAACCCCCGCAACGGTCCCATGCCGGGTATGTTCCCCCCCAACTTCCCGATGGGAGCCTTCCCACCCGAAGCCATGGCCGGTCCGCCGCGCAACATGCCACCACCGCCTGGCTTCTTTGGCGGTCCTCCTCCTCCGGGTTTCATGGGCCCCCCGGGTATGGCCGGAGGTTTCCACGGAGGACCTGAGGCTCTGGCCTTCGGTTTCGATGGTCGCGGCATGCCTCCTCCCGGTGCTGCCAACTTCCGCCGGAACTAGAAAATTCGTTCGGAACCCGATGAGCCCTCCACCAAGACTGCAGCGGAGAACCTATTACTCCAGCAGATACGTGGCGGCCTGTCATGCTTTGACGGAGCGAACGACTCCCACGATGCAACTCCTCCGGGCGATGATGAAGGGGGCCATTGAACAGCCCCTATATTGGTGAGGGGACTTGGCAAGGTCGAGGCTGGGCGACGATGAGAAGGACAAATTATCATGTATCAATTGTAATCGAGCAAACCCATCTCGCTCATTAGGAGCTCTACGAATACTGGATTGGCTCTCGCCAGGCCTGGCACGAGTCTGCGACCAGCCTACCTCGTGGCAAAAGAGAGTCGAATCGGACGTACACGTTTGGACGTACCGTCCTAGCCAGCCAAATGTCGAATAAAACTCTTTGGAAAACCGAGAAAGAGAAAACCCCGAAGAAAGAAAAAAACCCATCTAGTGACTTTTTCGTGCCGTATATGTGATCTGCTGCTACTGTACTGGAACCGCAAGGTCTATGCGCAAATTTGACGTATTCCACGAACTGAAGTCCATAAGCCTGCCTCACTCAAAAACCACGCCATTCAGGCACACACATCAGAACTGCATGGGGTTCGTTTTTACATAGCATTCATTCCCTTTGCTGTAGTTGTGTGTATATATGCAGAAGAAGGACCCGCACCTCATGTTGCAGCGCTATAAGATATCTAACCTACACCGCAAACGCCATGCTTTGATGCACCTACCCACTTCCCACCCTCCTCTCTCTGCCATACCTCCCTTCCTGTCTTGGGAAACCCCCACCGTTGTGTTCGGAAATTTGGGGGGAAGAGAGACGCTCGCCCGGGCCGGCCCCTGGCTGTCGGGTTTGCTCTTGGGCAGACCGAGGTTTCGTTCTTTTACAATGCATAAAGAGCTGCCAATGCATGGTTGACCCCCTCTCGTCCCTTTAGCCGTGGCTGCTCTTCTTGATGCCCAGGAAGCCGCGCTTCTTCTTCTCCTTCTCCAGCTTGTGCGGGGTGCTGGGGCTGGGGCTGGGGACCGCGCCGGGCCCGCCGTTCGCGGGCGACATCTGCCTGCCGCCCGAGCCCAGGCTCATCTGGCCCATCGCCTGCGTGGGTGGTGCGGGACCGCCCACCCTCGGACCGCCGGGCAGGCCTCCCGGGGCCGCGCCGGGGGCGGGACGTCGGTTCGGCATGCCCGTTCCCATGCCCGGCGGCGGAGGCGCGGCAGCCACGGGCGGAGCCGGTCGCTCGAAGAGGTGCGCTGGAGCACGCTTGGGCGGGCGGTCCATCGGGAGGTCGAGACGGCGCTTGTCGACGCTCAGGTCCCCGACCTGGCGGACGAACAGCTGCGGCGTCAGCATGTGGCTTGTGGCGAGCACGACGTCGCGGCCGAGCTGATTGCCGACCTCGTAGCACGTGCGAGCCTCGGAGAATGTGGCTCCGCCAGCCATGAAGACAATCATCCTCTGGCGATTCTCGGGGACACGGCGGCCAGCACCTGCCCATGACGGCTTTGCCGCACGTAGGGAGCCCTGGCCGATGATGGCGTCCTCGTTGGGGTCGAGCGGCGGCTTGACGTATGGGAATTGTGTCTGGTCGAGGACGCCCCTGCAGAGATGCTCTAATAAGGGTTTCAGCACGGGCTGGAAACGGGAAAGTGCGTATTCCCCGTCAGGAACCGCGTTCTTGGTATCGATGGGGAAAATAGGAGTCGTGTCACGTTTGGGGTCTTTCAGGCCGCGGGTTGTCCGTCCACCTAGAAGCTCCATGTTTTGTACCACTTCACCGTCCTGAGGGGGGAGCGCCGCATGTGCTAGCAAGCGCTTGATATCTTCTGAGATCACGCCGTCCCGGTACAAGGCGTACATGATGATCAGCCGCAGCCGGTCCGACTGCGTTATCGCATCGTCATCTAGAAGCTGGGCCACGGCTTCCAGCACGTTTTTCGGTTTCCGGAAATCCTCATCGAGCCCAGTCGCCATTGTTTGTTCTGACGATGCTATATCTGGTAGTTTTTGGTGCTGGAACTTGTTCATACACTCCTGGGCCATGGTCAGGTGAAGCGAATACGACTCCTTCATTTCTTGGAACTGCGGCAACCCGGCCATCATATCTTTAATCGCATTGAGACTGGTCGTATCGCTGTTTGCGTTGGTGAAGTGGGGGTTTTGGTCCAAGAATTTTTGAAAGTCGCTCATCAACTTGTCGATGGTGTCTTTCATGTGGCGATGTCGATTGTCCACCCACACCTTGTCCTTGTCGCTGAGCTCCATGTCCTTCTCCTCGGCCTCCGGCGAGCCTTCATTGACGGTCATGTGGAAGGTGGTCTTGGCGCCATCCTGAATCGGGAGAAGGTCATGAGCCATGGCTTGGTAGGTGAATTCGTGGACCAAGGGTGCCATCAGGTCCATCGACCTGTCCGTCACCAGCAGCACGCCTTGCGGTCTTGTAGACGGTGGTGGGAAGTTCGGGTTCCACTGCGCGTATGAGTCGAGCTCCTCCGACACAAACCTCGCAAGGTGGGAGCTGAGGACAGCAGCCTCGTGTAAAGGCGCCTTGGGACGGTAGTACCTGACCTTGGGATACTCCCCGAGCGCCACGCAGAGACCTGTAATCTGATATTTCGACGTAAGCATCTCAGATCCTCCGTCTTGCGCTGATCATGTGGGACCTACCTTTTGCGCCAGCTCGCGCATGTGCCTCGCTATCAGTCCGTTGCAAGCTGGGTGGTATAGAACCGGGAAGCTCCAGGGATCCCTGAAAGTCACGAGATGCGACTCGCGCGGGAAGAAGTCTATGGACAAGGTCTCGAAGCCGCCCAGCGCCCTCTGTGCCATTGGCGACTTGTCTATCCGGTGCCGCAGCTGGGGGTCCAGGACGCCGGTCCAAACCAGGAAGCTCTTCTGGTAGCGGCGGCTCTCGAAGTCGGCCATGACGCAGTCAACAACATAGGGGAGCGGGGAGATCAGGTAGATGGCGTCCATGGTCGGGTTCATGTCCCTGCGCTCCTCGATGCGCTCAATGTCTAGGGCAATCGCGTAAGCCAAGGCGCTCATCAGGTTCGGCCGAGGGTCGGAAAATGCATACTTGCGATGTTCTGGTTGAGAATGTCATCTTCCTTGACCACATTGTCGAGGATCTTCTTGGTTTCTTCGTCTATGACTAGGACTTTCCACTACCACGGATCAGTATGCGGGTCATGCCTGCGTGGGAGCCGGCCCGGGTCAACTCACATCTCCTTGTGTAATGTTCTTGAGGGTATCCAGGATTACTGCGTGAGTGCGAGGCCATGGTTAGCTACAGTGATCTTGGCGCGGGCATAGTTATGAAGCTGGCATGCCGACGTGCTCGCGGTATGACGTCCTTACTTTCACGCTGCTCTTGCACAATGGAAACCCCCATCTTGGCGCTTGGCCACCCTGGCAGCTAGCACCAAACGTCGAACTTGCGGCAGTGGTCCCTGGGGACGATGAAGAAGCAGACCCGGCCGGTATCCGTGGTCGTTCGATGTGGCAGGTTGTCGGTATAAGCCCAGCTCGAGCAGCGGTGGTGGTGGTGGTGGAGTGGACCTCCCCCCTTTCCCGGCCGGTTGATGCAGCTACGCAGCAAGAGGTGGTCTCCAAAGACGGCGCAGAGCGTACTCGACTTCCGAAAGGCACGTCTAATGCGGTAGTTCGTGTGGCAGCAGTGCGGATCGGCGAGGTTTGCAGGAGGTAAAGAGTGACGGTGCAAGCGACAGGGTGGGAGTCGTTGCATGGCCTGGGATCAAGTTGGCGGGGTTTCAGTTGAATGGAGAGCCACCCAGCAAACAGCACCACAGCACCACAGCGCCAGGGCAGTACTATCCATGTAACAGAGTGCACCAAACCCGACTCCGACCACTCGCATCGCAGTGGCAGAGACGCAATGCACAAAGCTTGGTCCTTGCCCGTTTTTAGTGAGGTGCCACCGCCCCTCCAGGCCCCCTCCTAGTCTCCTGCCACTTTTACAGTTGAATTTAGGCGTCGATGGTTCGGGCACACACGCCCCCCCTGGTCCCCATCGGCCCCCTGGACATGCATATCAACGACAGCCAAGGGGGGATTTAGTGCTGCCACGGCTGCTCCAGCCTCCAGCGCTCCAGCCGCATTATGCACCTGCCATGAGGCTCCAGACACCAGACACCAGACACCAGACACTGAATTGGCCTGCGTCTCATACAGGATCCAAAAAAAACCCAATCAATGCCTTGAAAAGCTCGACTGACTGAATGTATGCACAACTCCTCAACTATCTGGTCACTTCACAAGCATGGCGGCAGCAACGATCGAGCCCGCTCTCTGGTCGTCCATCCGTTTCGTGGTCACGATCCCGGTTCGAGTTGGTTCGAGTTGGGGGCAAAACGCAAGTTAAGCTCCGAGACACTTATTGTCTGTCTGTGTGTTGAATATTATGCAGGCGAGTATACTCGTGTATACAGACTTCGACAAGTTCTATTAACAACAATAAAAATAAAAATAAAGAGAAGGAAAATTAAAAATTGCCATGCATCGTTCCGTGTTGGGGGTATCATCAAACCAAATCATATCCCATGACGCCTTTGCCAATGCTCCTCAGACGCCCTACACGCCTCTGTGCCGTACCGTACCTGGCAGCACTCCCTTATTACTTGTCATCACCTCCCCAAGTATTTCTCCAGCTCCCCGTTTCCATAGAACTCCCTCTGCAGTCTTTCTCGCCTCCGCTTATCCTCGGCCGCCATCTGGCGCGCCTTGCCTGCATCGGCCTTCTGTACCCTCTCCTTCTTAAACCTCTCCAGGTTCTTGGGCACCCGGACGCCGATACCCAGCGTGTCGTTCTTCTCTTTCACCTTGATGGGGTACTGTGGACCTTGCTTTTGGGCACCCAGACCAACTCGCGAGTCGGGGTCCCACCCCTGTGACTGCAGGACCGACATGCCCAGGCGCCTTCGGTCAAGGGCCGAGGGCGGATGCGAGTGCGCCAGGCATACCTGATGAGCCAGCGACGTCTCGTGCTTCTTGAACTTTTGCTTGCCCGCGGTAGATTCTAACGACTCTCCATCCAGCGGCAATTGACACACCTCACAGACCTGCGGCGGCGCCACGTCCGGAGTGGTTGACCCCGACTCCTTCCCCAAGACGATATCCAGATAGAGATCGGCGACGGACGCTGTTGCTGCATCTGACCTGCTCTCAGATGTTGCCGAAGACCCCGAGACTGCGGGGACAAAGGCGATGGGCCTGCGGTGCAGACCCGATCCGAATTGGCGCTGGTGCTGCAGAGGGATGGCGTCGCCCTCTTCATCGCTGTCATATGGCTCACGGGAGGCCATGGCCCAACTTTGGGGATCTCGTGTGTTATTTTACAGTGCTCCCGTGAGCGTCACAGATGTGATGCAGTTGGACAGGAAAGAAAGTGAGCACCAACTCAAGTCCACCTGCCTGTCCTCTGTTCCCAGAAGGCAAGATGTTGCAGATAAGGTTATGCAGCAACCCGGCGGCCATCTTTAAAAGAGCCGCCACCACGGCCAGGACTGTCAAACTGTGGCCGAACTTGGAGCTGAAATGTGGGGACACCCTCTTAGCCTCACACCCCCTGGCCGTTGACATGCATTGCCGGACAAGGCCAACAAGACAGCTCCGACCGGCCGTAGCTGACGAATATCCCATGGGCCTAGCAGATTGCCCGCGCAAGTGTCCAGCTCCTGACATGGGCCCGTAGCACGTAGGAGACTCAACCTTCTCAACCTCCTTCCCCTTCTCCTCCTCAACCCTTACCACACCATGCCTCTCCCGTTTCTGGAGAGCGTCATCTCCAATGGCCTGCCGGCATGGGTGCCCGACCCTTGGATCCTGCTCTCCGTCGGCACCGTCGTGGGGGCCCTGTACCTGATCAAGATCTACAGCGGCGGAGCGACCAACCTCTCCGAGAGGGACATGCACGGCCGGGTCGTCATGGTCACCGGAGGTACTTCAGGCATAGGGGCCGCCACGGTCCGAGATCTGGCGGAACGGGGGGCCCAGATCGTGCTGCTCACGCGGCTGCCGCCCTCGGACACGTTTCTGGCCGACTTCATCGGCGAGATGCGCGAGAAGACAAACAACCAGATGATCTACGCCGAGCAGGTCGACCTGACTTCCCTGCACAGCATCCGACAGTTTGCGACCAAGTGGATTGACAACGCGCCCCCCAGGCGCCTGGACATGCTCATCCTCTGCGCCTCGACCCTGACGCCGCCGGGCGGGAAGAGGATCGAGACTGCCGAGGGCATCGAGGAGACATGGATGGTCAACTACCTGGCGAACTTCCACCTGCTCGGGATCCTCAGCCCAGCGATACGGGCACAGCCATTCGACCGAGACGTGCGCATCATCGTTCCGACCTGTCCGGCCTACATAGCGTCGCCGCCCCTCGTGGCAGAGTTGGACAAGAAAGAGTGGTCGGCTAGCAAGGCCTACGCAAGAAGCAAGCTGGCTCTCATGGTCTTTGGACAGGCTTACCAGAAGCACCTGGACGCATACAAGCGGCCCGATGGGCTGCCCATGACGGCAAGGGTTCTGTTTGTCGACCCGGGTCTCTCGAGAACCCCCGGTCTGCGGCGCTGGCTGACCCGGGGCAGTATCTGGGGCTTGTTTCTCTACATACTGGGCTACTTCCTACCGTGGCTGCTCTTGAAGAGCGCCGAGATGGGTGCACAATCTATTCTGTACGCCGTCATGGAGCCCAGCCTCGTACGCGGCCAGGGTGGCAAGATGATCAAGGAGTGCATGGAGGTGGACTTTGCCAGGACGGACATCCGGGACGAGGAGATCGCCAAGAAGCTCTGGGAGTCGAGTGACAAGCTGATCGAGAAGACGGAGAAGGAACAGGCAGCCCTTCGGGTTCTGGAGAAGAAAGCCAAGGAGATGAAGGAGGAAGAAGAGAAGAAGTCGGAGCAGGCGAAGGAGGTCGAGTCACTGGTTGACGCTATCAAGAAGGGCAAAGAGGCAGAGAAGACCAAGTCAAGGAGGAAGAACAAGAAGGCCACGTGATGGAGTCGGGGCAGGGAGATGGATGCTTATAGAACATCGTTGGCAGACAGCCAAGATCCCCATACCCTGCGGCCAAAGATGTGTAAGGCTCTGCCAGTCCAGCCATTGCACGCAGATGGGACTGTGTACGGATTTCTTTCCGAGGCACGCCTGGGCGGGCAGGACAAGCCGCCGAGACAGCTGACGGATAGGGCCGAGGTGCACCCCCACTTGGGGGCGTTGGAAGCGCGTTCACTGGCCCAGGTTAGCGGGTAGCCCGCCGTAGCTCCAGGCCTTGATAGCGCTTCGGGTCCCGCCCAGCGGAGCTGTCGCCTGCATCGTCGCGGGAAAAAAAGACTGGGGATATGGGATATAGAGGAAACATGGTGTCAGTCAAATCCTGTCCGCGGGCCAATTCAAAAAGTCCTCATGCCCCCCCCAAACTATCGCTGTGCCTCCGATCGCTGGAACCGACCAGGCACGGGACATAGCTAGACACAGCACACGACAGCTGGGGCGCGCATCGACAACGCCATGGCGCTCCGGCGTTCCGCCTCCCAGATCTTCGGGTCCCCGCACCCGGCCCTGCAGGGCGCACGTGAAGGTGACGACGGCGCATCTGCTCCAGCTCGGCACCAGCTCTGGAGGGGTCACACCATCCTGGGCCTTCGAGCTTCCCCGGCCCACGCCCCGTACGCGACCTCCAAGAGCCGACAACGACGTCAGGACCCCGACAACAACGACCCCAGCTTCAACAAGCCGCCGCAGCAGCAGTTCCAATCCAACTCGGACCCGGCGCCAGTCCTATCTACAGATTCTACGCAATCCCATGAACCTGCCGCCCACTTGAACCCCACCGCAGGAGCCACACAGAGCTGCGCAGATCTAGAAGCGTCGCTGGAGGCCGCTACCCTCGAGTCCACCACCACCTCGGCTTCGCTCCCACCGCCGCCTTACCGCCCGGCGACGTCCAACATGGCCCCGGCCGCCTCGCCCTTCTCGGCCCCCGCCACCCAGGCCCTGCAGCCCACGATGCCGGTGCTCAAGGGCTTCCAGGCGGCGTGGGAGACGCACGCCGTGCGCCGGCAGCAGCAGCCGCGCGACGCCGCGACCCTGCACCCGGTCTTCTTCTCCGACAGCCTGCAGCGCGCCCCGCTGGTCGCCGACGCGGCGCTCGCGAGCCCCGTGGCCCTGGGGTACGGGTACCCGAGGGAGGGGCCGAGGTTATGATTGTGCATTGAGAGACGCAAGAGCATCGGATTATTTGCGAGAGCGGGTATGGCGAGGAGATGATGTTGGGGGTACTTGACGATCGACATTGGCCATCAAGGGGGACCCAGGTTGTCATTAATTCATATTCGATGACGATGGAGCTTGGTCCTACTGCTCCGATGGTCTACTGGGTGTCTACTGGGCTGTTGTATGGGATAAACTTGGAGTTTCAATTTCATGTGCGTATGCTACTGAAGAGCACCAACCACGCAACCGTGTCGCCAAATGCCATGGCAAGGGAAATAGGGCTTGTTGCTTCAAATCCAAAACCAAGAGGATTGTGCTAGATATACAAAGCCATGATACATGAAAGCCCGCGTTGCCTAAACTGGAAAACAAACCCGCCCTGCTGAGGTATCGCCGTAAACAAATAGAAAGGAAAGAGCCCTGTTTGAGCCCGAGTTTTGCTGCTGTCCCAAAGACACCCTTGCGCGTTATGTTATCCCATACGGCCCATGGGCAATGCTGCTGGTCGCAACATCCAAGAAACCTGAACAGCGAAGAGCCTGAGACCCAGACTGTGCATGGCTCCGCGCGGTTCCGCCGGTCCCGTAGAATCCTTGACCCTCCTTCTCCGCTCAGCTCGCCGCATTCTTGACGGCGATGACAATGGCCACGATGATCAGGGTCAGGACCAGGATCAGCAGGGCCATCAGCTTGACGTTCTTCCACCACATCTGGCGCTTGAGCCCGCGGCTGCGGACGCGGAACTCGCGGGCGCTGCCGCCGAGGCGGTCCGTCTTGTCGACCAGCAGGTCGATGCGCTCGCCGCGCTCGAGCAGGCCCTCGATGTTGCGGGTCATGATGCCGCGGACGTCGTCCATCTCGCGCTGGACGTTGGAGATGGCGTCCTCGCGGCCGCCGCTGGTGGTGCCGTAGTCGACCATGAGGCGCTTGAGCTCGGCGTTGAAGCTGCCCGCGCCGTAGTTGGGCATGTCGGCAAAGTCGGCGTCGGGCAGGGCCTCGAGGAAGCGCCGCCGGATCTCGACCAGGAAGCCGAAGCTGATGCGGCGGCCCAGCGCCGAGTCGGCGATGACCAGGAACGTCAGCCCGCCGGCCGAGGCGTTGGCCGGGTGGGCCGACGGCGCCTCGGACATGTAGTGGATGTGATAGGAACCATGGGTGAAGGTCATCTTCTGTGGGCTGTCGTGGGTGATCTTGGGCAGCACCAGCGAGGACAGCGACGAGGTCTGCGAGGAGGCGCTGGTGGTGCATTCCGAGAGGATGGTTGTGTTGTGGGCTATGCAGGCACTGGAGGAGGGTGAGCCGCTGAGCCAAAGGTAGAGGGCGGCGCCGTGAGATTCGCGACGAGAGAGGACGGCAAGAAATGGTCTGGGCCTGCTACTTACTAGTACAGCGGCGTCTTGGGGGTGGACGAGGATGCCATCTTGATGGACGGGCGGGCAGTTGTGCCTCGATCTGGTTGGGTTTGGGGACTATAGGGTGCTTTCGGAGTGTGGTGGCCGCTGGGTCTCTCGGTGGGCGGTGGGCTCGCGAGTCCCCAAGCAGACAGGCAGATTGGGTGTGTATAGGAAGAAAGCCTGGACTAGCTCTAGGTGATGGGCGGAAGGAGGGATGAATCCGAGACCTGGGGTAGATGTCGATAGAAGCCGGAAAGTGCCCGCAGTGGTGTGGAAATCCCCAAACATGCAAAAGCGTTCCAAGGTTGTCCAGTTGCCGGCGGTGCCTGCGGCTGCAAGATGACGCTGCGATTGATGCGAGGCGAGGCGGCCACTCACGCCGACCCCCTGCCCGACGACGCTCTACGTTAACTTACCTAGTAGGTACCTAGGAAGCACTACAGGGCACGTTAAACTGAGCTCGGTCTAGCCTCACTCAAGCGACCAGTCTCACCCTGGTGTCAACTGCTGAAGTGCCTACTACGGTAGTTACTTAGTAGGTTACCTACTGTCATACATAAGTTAGTACGTACGGAAACCTTGCTTAGCGCTGCGACGCGGCCGGTAGCTCAAGTACCTTGGGTCCAGTAGCTAATGGGTGGGCTGGCCGATAAACGATAAGTTAATGGGAGAAAAAAATATTCCCGTATCGACGTCCCCCTTGCTGAAGTCATTGAACGGCGACATCCACTTACTTGGCGCGACGACTGGGGCAGACCACGAAGGCTCTCGACCGCGAGACCTCAGCTGTCAACCTCCCCCCTGCTATCACCGCTTTTCGCAACCATGCAGCTGTGAAGTGCAGTCGACTCAGGCCATCAGCTGTGGCATGATTCCTCACACGCTCCCCAGCTGTCATGCTTTCCCTATATAGAGCTGGATACCTCCGTTCCAGCCTGGCCTGCCGAGCCTGTCGCAGAAACGCCTTCTCGACCACCGTCGCAACCGCTCGGAGCCCGCCCAGGCCAAGCCCGCGCAAGTCTGAAAAATGGGCGCGGCGTGCCGATTCCCGCCCTGCCACCAGGGACATACTGCGGGAATCTGAAGAGTCGGACAAGTCGGTCGAGTCCGGCTCCAAGTTCGAAGCGATCAAATACGTCGCTGTTGGGCCAGGCAGGCAGCAGGACATCGTCCATGGCGCCCCAGCGCACGCCTTCGGCCCTCCGCGCCAGGCCCTGAAGCCAGGCTCGCCCGGCTACCACAAGGCAAAGACGGCACAGAGGACCTACGAAATCTTTGGCAAGCTGGCCCTCACCCGCGTCGACGCTTATATGACCCACCAGGGAAGCTGGCTTGCGAAGAGGGAGGAATACAAGTCCTTTGGCATCGAGACGGCCCTCGACTTTGAGCGTGAGGTCAAGCTGTTCAAGCAGGCCATCGAGAGGGCTTGCGCCCTGGCCACGGACAAGAACGATGTCTCTCGCACCGAAAACCCCTTGTTCTGGGCCCTGAGGAGCGCCTTCGTCGAGGGAGATGTCGACGCCTTGACCAGAGAGATCAAGCACAATTTCTACAACTTCCTCATGCGCTCCCGCTTCTCCAAAAACATCACAGCCACCCACGCCAAGATCGCCGACTTCCGCTTTCCCTACGAGTGGTTCCCCGCCACCCGGGCTCTGCAAAGGACGGTGCATCTGCACGTCGGCCCTACCAACTCCGGCAAGACCTACAATGCCCTCAAGGCCCTCGAGGAGGCCAAGTCGGGTGTCTATGCCGGCCCTCTGCGGCTTCTGGCGCACGAAGTCTACTCGCGCTTCGTGGCCAAGGGCAAGCCTTGCGCCTTGGTCACCGGCGAGGAGCAGCGCATACCCGACGTCGATAACTACTTTCGGAGCTGCACTGTCGAGATGACACCACTGAACTACCAGATGGATGTTGCCGTAATTGACGAGATTCAGATGATTGGGGACAGTGACAGAGGCTGGGCCTGGACGCAGGCCTTTCTCGGTGTCCAGGCCAAGGAGGTCCACGTCTGCGGTGAGGAGCGTACCGTGGAGTTGATCCAGTCCTTGTGCAAGCTCACGGGCGACAAGTGTATTATTCATCGCTACGAGCGCCTCAGCCCTTTACAGCCCATGGATCGGAGCTTAGGGGGCAATCTGAAGAATCTGGAGAAAGGCGATGCCGTTATTGCCTTTTCACGCGTCGGAATCCACAGCCTGAAGCAGGCCATCGAGAAGGCCACCGGGAAGCGCTGTGCCATTGTGTACGGTTCACTGCCGCCCGAGACGAGGGCGCAACAGGCCGCGCTTTTCAACGACCCAGACAACGACTACGACTTTCTGGCCGCCAGTGACGCTGTGGGCATGGGTCTGAACCTTGAGATCAGGCGTGTCATCTTTGAGGCGACCCACAAGCGTGACAAGTACGGCTTCAAACGGCTTTCCGTCTCAGAGATCAAGCAGATTGGTGGCCGTGCTGGACGATTCCGGTCAGCAGCGCGGGCCAACCTGACTGCTGCTGCCGGTGAGGAGCCCGAGCAGTCTTCTGGGCCTCCGAAGGCCCCCGAGGGCCAGATGGGTTTGGTGACGGCGATGGAGGACGAAGACCTCGGAAACGTCAGTCGAGCGTTCAGTCGCAAGCCGCCACAGATCAAGACAGCCGGCCTTCAAGTTCCGCCGTCTGTTCTTGAACGCTTCTCGGCGTATTTCCCGCCAAATACCCCGTTGAGCTACATCATCCTGCGGTTGCGCGACATTGCAACCGTCAACCACCGATTCCACATGTGCAATTTAGGGGAAATGGTCGAAATTGCAGACCTGATTCAGCCGTTCCCAATGTCTGTATATGACCGCTGTGTTTTCTTGAATGCCCCAGTCTCTCTAAGAGAAGAAAACGGCAAGGCTACACTCCAAGCATTCGCGCGGTGCGCCTCCAATATGACTGGCGGCGATCTCTTGGATATACCCGCGGTCAACCTGGAGCTCCTCGATACAACCAGAGAGACATACCCGCTGGGTAAGTCCGCCTACCTGAAGCACCTCGAGGCCCTGCACAAGTCCATCACCCTGTACCTATGGCTCAGCTATCGATACTCGGGGGTTTTCCGCAGCCAGAAACTGGCTTTCCACGTGAAGGAGCTCGTTGAAGCCAGGATCAATGAGGCCCTTGGAGAGGTTTCCATGACGCAAGAAGGTCTCAGAGCCCGAAACGTATTCATCCGGAAGCAAGCTGCGGATGCGCAGCGCCGCAAGAAGGGTATCCTCGGCGGCGAGATCGAGGACACCGACGACCGCCCGCCGGAAAATGAAGGGCCGGGTGACTGGAATGAGGAGGGCCATCAAGAGCCTCTCTACGAAGATCCCTCTGAGGTCGATGTGGCCACCAAGAGAAAGGACGCCGATGTACAATAAACACCATAACGCATACGGGCGACTGCGGGGGCTTCTGATGGCATGTCCGTTGTATTACGAGAGCTGCGTCGCTATTGTATTATAGAGGAGATGGTGGGATGGAACAAGTGTCTGCATGATAACGGCACCTGTATATGTAATTTTATCTTGGCAGAGATAGACTCGAAGGAGGCAATGAGGGGTAGAGATTTGTGTATATCACTGCTATCTTTATAGAAGAAGATCCCGAGTAGAGCAATGAGAGAGAGAGATCAAAGTCCGATCTCGTACGTACCTAGATAAGTAACGATAGTTAGCCCCTGAAGATGAGCCGAGTGCTACAAGTAGCACCTTCCCCAAGCAAGCCAACAGAACAGAAACCAGTGCGCAAAATGCCGATTGCTTCCGAGGCAGGAGAATATCTATTATAGTGTCTACAGATCTGTTCGAGAACAGAGATTCACGCGTCTAGTATATTCAGCGGTCAAGTATATTTGTCGCTCAAGGGCTACGTGATCATTTGCGCTAGGTTTTTAGGACATTGGCGAGACTGGGCAGGTGCTTTCCTTGAACCCATGTAACGCTCTAGCGAACACTTTGGACCTGAGCATGAAGTGAAGTAACGTCATTTCCAATGCATACACTATTTTGCCTTGAACCCTATGTATCGCTCTTCGCTGCGTTGTATTTTCACAATTTCGGTCGTTTCTTGTAAGCATTCAAAATCCTGCCCTTCGAAAGCCGGCTACTTGTGGTGGTCTTTACACGGTACTGTCGCTCCTACCTTGAAGCTTTGGCGAGTGCGAAGAATCTCTTCTGCCAGAATTTCGAGTTATCTGACCTAGTTCGAAGATCATGGACAGACGAGACTCAAATAACGTCAGCCCCAAGGCGTTTGCACCAGAATATGAGGATCATGAACCACCAAGCCGATAGTGGAGGCGTCCGTCTATCCCGCGCAGCATCTCAGCCATCGATGGAGCCACGAGTCGACTTCCGTCTTCGATCACGTCGTACACGCCTGGGCACACTCCACCTCTGAGGACAGCCCAATCCAGCCGGGATCTCACCTACCCATTGACAAGTACGCCGCCGATAACAGCTGGTGGCATCGATCCACCGCGGGCAGCCCGGGAAGGGTACGAATGGGTATGGTTCCCCCAGGGCTACTGGGCTGAAAGAGAGCGCGTCGAGTACCCCGGCACTCCCTCTGGCGGAAAGGGGTTCAGGTGGCGGAAGAAATCAGGCCGAGGCGGCAGCTCGAGCCATACCGACAACAGCACCGGCACGGCCGCGATTCGCTTCAGTCCCAAGGGCCAGCATCACAGTCCCAAGGCACAGCTTGGGCAAGCCGAGTCCTTGGCTGGCAAGGCACCGCTGCCCAGCCCCTACTTGACCGAGGCGGACCATGTGCTATCCTTGCAGCGGCCGGGCGTGGGACGCAAGCACACAAGTGAAGAGAGCATGGCAAGCAGTACCAGGTCCATTCTGCCCGGCAGGTCTACGACGACAGCGGCTCACATAGTCTCGAACAGTCCATTGTCTCTCCCTCTCGAGTCTGCATATACCAGTCACTCGAACGAGACAACCACTCCTAGCACTGCGGAAATGGACTTTAACACCATGACTCCTACTGACTTTTCTGCATATGCCGACCTGCGAGTAAAAACTGTCAAGCCTAAGCGATCATTCATGGCACTTTGCCCCAGATCTAAGCTCGTAAGTCCGGCTTGTCTCACAGTTACTTTGATGCCAAGCAGCCCTTTGCTCCTTAAGATTGGGTGGTAATACTGGGCTCAGAAATCCAAGCACGATAGCATCAGAGTCGAGAAGCTCGCTCAAGATACCTTTGGGGATCCGTCAACTTCGCCGACGGGTGATATGCCCGCGGCCACTGTTGCTCGGATAGCGCACATACTTCGCGAGGGCACGAGGAGCCCGCCGAACGGGGGAAAGTCCCGCGCGCGCAAGCTGTTCGGACGCAGCCCCTGGCACCGCAAGACCTCGGGCGAGTCCAGCTACAGCGTGTCCAGCTCGATCCGCGAGATCCTCCGCGGCAACACCCCTCATAGCTCGCCGGCCGGGGAGGCCGACGCATATACGTGGAGTGAGGCCAGCCCAGCTGCGGTATGTCACGCAACACTTCCCGCGTAGTATGCACGTCCGCGAGAAACAGCGACAAAATTGCTGACTTCACGCCTTACTGCTTGCACAGGCAGCACAACACCCGCAGGTTCTTGCCGCGCACTCAGATTTGCCCGACCCTCGCAAGGCCTATGACCTATCTCCGGACGTGTCACAAGATCGGCCAGCAACTGCCACACCACACCCGCCGCCCTTCAAAAACAGCAGGCCGAATTCCAACAATGCACCTGACCCCCTGGCCATGCGTGAGAGCAGAGAGTGGTGGGAGGTGCCGCTCGCCATCCCGCGTTGGGAGGACATGGGCCCCAAGTCCTTCGAGTTCGACATGCCCGAGCACCTGCCCAACAGCCCCATGTGCCCGGCCAACAAGAAACACAAGAGCGGGGGCACGGGCGTCTGTGTATATCATGGCCGGAGGAAGAGGAGCGACGTGGCACTGGCGCAGGACGACGGGCTCCTGGTTCAAGGGGCGGGTCCTGGTGTGCAGGGCCAAGGGTACAGGAAACTGGAAGGTCTCTTGGGCAAGGTCGAGTTGAGAGATTGGGAAAGTATGGAGGGAAACCTCTGACTGAACTTGGATAAGACAAAGGCTAAGGCAGCAAAAGAGTAACAGTCAGAATCGAAACAAGAATGTCCCAAAAACATTATCAGAAGCGTGATTCACGCCAAAGTTTACACATGCAAACCTCTTCTGACACAAAAAATTGAAAACAGGTGCTGCAGTATCATGAAGAACGTGACACAGGCTGGCTTTGGTATGTACAAAGTTGATTTGCAACCGAACGGGCACAAGATCTAGTCATCCGCTTCTGTCTGTGAACAAATACACGCAAGCTATGGGATGTGGCAACCGTGCTCACTTCCGATACATTCCGTTCCAACGGGTCACCGACTACCAAAGTCTGTCTGAACATCCGTCTAGTGAAGTGCGCAAGCGCGGCAAAGGGGGTATATGCGGACAGTCGCCGACCAAACAAGAAAACAAAAAGACAAAACAGCCCTCACTTCTGTACAACTCCTGCACAACAATATGTACAGGTCCTGAAATGACGAAGTGCAATTGGCGTGCCCCGATTCATGCGCTCAACCGGTCTCTTCGTCCGCAGGAGTGGGACACCAAACTCCATGAACTCCTGATCCATGCACTCAAATGAAAACTGTGACGCCGTAAAAAATGCAGATGCGCTATGCTGATGCTGTTCGTGGGCACATAGGGTGGGCAGGCAAATCAGGTCTTGGTACGATCAGGAACGTCCACAAAGGGGACGAAGGCGGGTCGATCCGTGTAGCGATCTCTGTCGAGCGCGTAGCCGTTCTCGATGCCACCCATATCGTCCTGATCGTCGGTGTCCATGGTGTCCTCGATGCCTCGCTTGGTCTTTGCGGTATGGGGCGAAGCGGAGCCGAGACCGGCAGACTGCGTGGTGGCAGGCGAAGCAGTCGTGGGCGGGTTGAGGAGCTGCTGGCGATGGACGGCCTTCTGGGCGTTCAGTATGCCCTCGTACGTCATCAGCAGGTACTTCAGATCCTCGTCGAGGCCAACACAGAAGCGGCGGTACTGGATGAACTGACAGGCTTGGATCATATCCATGCCGTAGACGGACATCAAGTAAGCAATGACCACGCCGGCTGAGCGGTCGTTGCCGGTCTCGCAAAAGATCAGGACTCTGCCGCGGCGGAACTGCTCGGGGTTAGGGTTGATGGCGATCTCGCCGTCCTGCATCCTGTGGTCACCGTCATACGTCTGAACAGCCTGGCTGCGGTAGACATCGAGCATGTGGTTGTTGATCTTGCGCACGGTGTCGGGAAAGGAGCGGATGAGGCCCTGGTTGTTCTCGACGTCGACGTACTCGGCACGGATGCCGAGCTCCTTGGCGACGCGGTCGACGCCCATGATTCGGGCCTGGGCCAGGCGCGAGTCGCGGGCGGCGAGCAGCATGGTGATGCCGTGGTCCTGCAGGAACTGGCGGTCGCGCGCGACGCTCGACGGGCCCAGGTAGAGGAAGTCCAGGATGGGCTGGGCGGTGCGGCGGTCCTCGTACGCCCAGTCGCTGACCGAGTCGTGGGCCTCCTGGGGCCTGTTGCGCGTGATGATCTGGAGGTCGGTGGCGCTGAGGAAGAAGGGGTCGACGTTGGCGTAGCTGGGGGTGCAGACAATGGGCTGGTTGCCCTTGAGGAAGTTGGGAGCCGGGATCATGATGGCGGGGGGACTGGGGGGTCTGGCGGCGTAGGGCGCGGCAGGCATGACGCCCGGCTGGAGCTCGCGGTCTGTGTCCATCATGGTGTCGCGTTGCGCAAAGTTCGGGGATGAAGACAGAACAATGCAAGGTAGAGGGTAGAGAGTGCCGGGCGACTCGAAGTGAGCTGTGACGCAGGGTTGGTGTTTCTGCGTTGGCCGGGAGTATGAAGGTCAATGAAAGCTGAGGTTGAGCTGGTTGGCGGTTGCTGGGGAAAGCTCGCCCTGGTGGACTCAGATCAGTCCCGCGGAGGACGGAGCCAAACAAATGAGAGCGTGACAAATTTCACAATCTGGAAAATCTAATCTATTGCCCGACTGCGCAGAGCCTTTGTGGCATCAATTGAGCAGAAGCTCCGTGGTTCCGGTTGGGATGGATGAGGTTCGTCCCTTCGGATTACCATCGAAAGTGAGGATCGAAGTCCCAGAGGTCCGGTCCAGCCCAGTGATTGGGCGGGCGCCGGGCTGGTGCAGGTGGGTGCCCAGGGTTTGGCTCGGCCTAAAATGCGAGCTGCAGCCACTCTCGTTAACCAGTTTGAGCCGCTGCTGATCTCCACCCGCCGCTAAAAGCCGTCCCAGCCCAACCCCGGCTGCCCTAGGTAGCCCCTAGAACTTCTGGATCGCTACGGGGCAGGGTTAACTGTATTTAGGCAGGCAGGCAGGCATTGGATCTCTCTCCATGTCAACCTGTCATGACAGAAGTGGGTCGGGGTTGGTGTGCCCTTTCCAGGAATCCATGAGTCTTTCATGTTAGCACGTCAGTTCTCCAGCCATCTTATATTTGGTCAGTACGAATGTGTGTTTCTGGATTGCACATAGTCATAGAAATGACTCCTGAATGCCTCCATAGGTAGTCTTTGTATTCCAGCTGGGGCTGAGCTCTATCTGGCTCTCCTCGGTTATAGTGGCTTATACAATCCTAATTCTCCTGAAATCTGTCTTACCGTGAACAATATCAAAACATCCTTCGAAGCATCCTGACTCTTTGAAAGCTGTCTTCGCTTGCTCTTGAGGAGATGACAATGATGCCACATTGAGCCGAACCTACTATATGGGGGCGCCTTCCGAGAACAACAAAATGCAGGACTACCTCACCATTAATGTAATGTTGGCTGCGGGAGTCATAGTCCATGTCAACATGATTAATCCCGCAGTCTCGAATGCTCCCAGATCTCCTTGCGCTTGGCAACTCTTGTCGCAGCCCGAATGCTTCAAGCATTCGGAAGAAACTGACCCTCAGTTCTGCGCGTCTTTGAAGGAGAGAAATGATGGCATTGAACTCCTTGGCTCGAATTCGTAGTATTGGCGCGTAAAGATCGAGCCATCCATCTTTCACCCCTCCAAACTTATTCGAGCCGGAAAGTGTAACCTTCACGTCGAGCAGCTTTGCAATGGGGAAAGTGAGATTATGAGCACTTACGTCGTTAGTGTGCTCGTTGCCAGTGCTCTCGTCGTCATTCTCCTCATGGATTCGTTGCGGCGAACGGGGTGGAAAGATGGTATATTCGATGGGACTGTCATGAGATGGCCACGACCACGACAGTCACCGATCCATGATCTGCTGCGGTCTGCCGCTGAATGTCATTGCCCAAAGAAGAGACACCACAATATGATTCCGCCAGTTTCCTACCACGTAATCACCACAAGATTCGACTCTTGAAAACTTTTTGGCCGTACCTGACAGGGCCGGAAGGCGGTCTGAAGACTTCGTTACAGAGCACTCGCTGTATCTCGACACGGTTTGCAGCCATAGACCGACGACGGTCCAACCTGCGCCTGGAGTTGCAGGGTCCATGGTCTCATGATATATTATACCACCGCTTTCAGTCAAGGTCGATACCTGGCACTGCCTGAACATCTGGCTTGGTCCGAACAGAATCTTGCGCGTCGAGAGCATTCGCTCTTGAAGGGCCCAACCGCGTGTGTTGAGAGGCTCCCACTGCAGGAAACCATCCAGTGTGCGATCTCCCGGGCTGCAAGTGAGATACAATGCCTTGGAATAGCATTTGTGCTGGACCCAGCCGCTTCATTTGGCCGCCGTGGTTTGAGAAATCCTTCGTGTACACCCGAAGCACCTGAGGCACAGATGGTGACATAGGATTTCATGTAGATGGAACCCATTTTGGAGCTCTGCATCTGCCAATCAACAGGGTTGTCTTGTAGTATACAAAGCGCATCGACCCAGAGAAAGCGAAAACCGAGCTTTCTTGTCAGAGACACTGCGTCTCTTATAGTTGAGGGCAACCTGTTCAATGATATTCCAGCCCTCATATACTCGGGGTAGCCTCTGTTAGTTGTTATTGCCCATTTTGGCCCCAACAGTAGCTCATGGCCGTATAGCGGCCGGTTTGCACCGTCCGTTTCAAGAAGATAAATGTACCCATCTTCACGATCTTGCACATCGAGGACTCGGTCCGGCAGTCTAGAGTCTTTGCACAGATCCCGACAACTTCTGTGCGACTCACAAGTTGAAAGCCACTCGACGGCTTGACCGACCATTCGGTCAGTTGGCGCATCACGGTTCACGATATTGCAGAACGGCTTTGCAGTTGCGCAACTTCCTGCCCATGAGGGTGGCCAAACACCAGCTGAGTGTGTGTCAACTCTAACGTGTATTTATGTATCGCGCATGGTTTTCCATTCAACATACCATATGCCCGCTGAAACCCATTGAAATGCGAGTCTTCGTATATTCCACGTTGCAATCTTACGTCGTCGTACGAAACATCGTGTAGACTGGAACCATTTCTTCTACAGGCCCTCAAAGGTTCTGAAAAGTCTTGAGCCCATGCAGAAATTATTGTATAGAAAGTCGCAACAAGCGCAGTGGGGCGAGTTGTCTCTTATGCTGCGCAACGATTGCTTCGACTTGACGCAGTCAGTGAAGTCGTGACTAAATTTCTCAAGTTTCAAGCTTCGACATCTGGTGCAGACAGACGATTCGGAAGACAAGAATTCGTCATCGGCAGACGGATCCACCAGTCTCAGAAGTTCTACCCTAGGAGAATAATGGTACAAATATTCTGCAGATGCTGTCTTATTTCCGATAATCTCGACTGCGTTAGCACGAAAGAGCAACGGATCGGATATCTATCAGGCAGGTAAAGGCCAAGCCTCCTAGTTATGGTTCTGTGAATAAATCCCGGGACTTTGGGAGAGAAGCGGTAGGTTAAGTTTAATTCATCGTCGAGGCTTGATTCGTACAAGATGTTCGAAGACGTTGACTCTGCATTGGCAGCCATTACTTCTGCAGAACCGAAACCGATGTGATTGCTGTCTAATTCAGTAACTGAATAAAGGCGCCTTCTGAAATACAGTATATCAGGTCATGCCAGTGGTCCGTGGCTTCTTTGCAGATAGAAGAAGACAGGAGAACAATGGTTCATGAAAGTCAGCAAGGTAAGCGATGCACCCACCATGTTTGAGGCTGAGCCGATCTGTGGCCCGTTGTCCTGCATCCCTGCAATCGGAAGTCGGACTCTTATCATCCTCACCGAACGTCCTCAACCATTTCCAGACTATTTACAACGTTTTTGATCAACTTTAAGAGAAGCGGACATGGGGATATGTTGCAATGGCGATAGTCCTGTGGTTGACGCTACTCATCCCACACGTCGCGATTGCAACACACACAGTGGTGCTTGAAGCTCACGAACGTGTTTAATCACCTGGGACGCTTCAAAACGGTGTTGAGTCTGATGTCACGTATGTACGGAAAGCCATCATTGGTAGACAAGAGCAACAAGACTCAAATTAGTGTATTCTATTTCTGCCCAAACGCTAGAGTAATCAATACCAACAACGAGCACGCTACTCTTGCTGTGAAATGCTTGATTTCGAGGGTTTCTTCCTCAGCGTCCGGCCGCTTCCCTCGGACCCAGCGTCCGGAGTGGCACTGGTTTCCTTGGCGAGCGGCGAGGGGAAATCCGGAGTCACGGATCGCGACTCGACGCCGGGCCGCTTCGATCTCGAGCCGGACGACAAGTGCTTCTTGCCCCGTTTCGCCGACGAGGTGGATGCGTTGCTGCCTCTCCTAGCAACCGGTCCGCCCTCCTCGAGCTCGGTCGGAGGCGTAGGGCTGCGAGACGAGCCTGCCGATATACTACTTCGGCGGGCGTTGCTACCGCTTCGAACGCGCTTGTGTTCCTTCAAAATACTCGACTGTCGCTGATGCAGTGTCTTCTCGCTCTCATGGTGTGCTGGGTGCAGTTTCTCCTCCACCTTCTTCCGGCCGGGCAGCCACCATAGCCACGTGCTCTGCTGCTTGGCAGCCTCTCTGTCCCGTTGCTTTAGTTTCGTCCGTAGTAGCGCCCTGCGCTCATTCTCTCGGTCCCAGTATTCGGTCCGATACAGCTCCCAGTTCTCACGGAAGTTGGGCGAGAATGGTTTGGGCAGCAGAAGTAGCTTGACATAGTCTCCGCCGGGTGCGATATCCTCTTCGTGGCCCCCCTTCTCCTCGTCGGTGCTCACAAATGGCAACTGGGGGTGATCTTGGTGCGACAAGTTCAGCTCCTTGTCAACCTCACGCAGGATTGACGGCTCGACAAAGCGGTATTGGCCTGAAGTATTGGAGAACGCCCCATACGTAAAGAAGAAGCCAATAGTCGAGACGAGCTCAACCCACCATGATCTCTTAATGATGACAAGCTTGCAGTTGAATCCTCTCAGGCCGCGGTTCGATATGCCGAACCACCGCCGCGGCCACCGTATGCCTCGCTCCCATATCCCGGTGGCCCACACTAGCAATGCGGTGAGAATACCGGCCATGAAGCACACCTTCTCTGCCATGTCTACCATCCAGTACACCGAGCCTCCCACTCCGACACCGTCCTCCCGGGGCGCGAAGAACAGGGCGTAGGCGAAGCCGGCATTCCACACACTGAGCAAGCTGAGGAAGAACGTGTGCTTGCGCCGGCGCGCTCGGAGGGTCAGGAACTGGGCGCGCAACGACGCCTCGAGGATCAGCATGTTGAGGTAGATCATGGATGGCGAGCTGGGGGTGTGGTTCAACGGGTCGCCGGGCTTGACGGCTCCGAGCGGGCTCGTACCCACGGGCGGCGACTTGGCCTCCATGTTGGGCGCCGGGGCGCCCTTGACGATCGAGTCGACGGATTCCGACATGGCTGTGACGGACGGCTTGGAGGTGGTCGTCGACGACGTTTCCCCAGGCTCCTCTGGTTTTCGCTGTGCGATGCGACCCGCTGTACAGGCCAGGGACGAAGCTGTCCGCGTCAGCTATAGGGATGTATCACCAGCGCATTCGCGCGCAGAAGGTGGACGACACCGAGGAATCGCTGCTGCCTGAGCGCCGTCGCGGGGTGCGGATTGGGATTATCGCGGGCGTCGTATGATGGGTGTGCAGTGTCTGCTGTGCTCTGCAAAGTTCAACGTCATTAAGGTTCTGAAAGGAGCCAAGGAGCCTCGGGCTGGGGAGCGAGCCAAGCTGCCAGTGGGGCTGGCCATAGCGCTATAGCCCGTGGCGCCAGGCACCACCGACAGCGCTCTCCACACTACGACATCTTCCTGGAAACCATGCCCAGGTAAGGTCAGGTAAAGTGAGGGAGTTGCGTACTCACATAGGGACTCTCACAGCGGATCAAGGGCCCGGGTGAAACAAAATCGTCGCAATGCAAAAGCGAATCAATGCATATGCAGCATAGTGCCTCTGTATGCATCGTTTCGGGGCGCACCGTGGCATGGCGAGGCTCAATGTACCTATACGCTCCTGCCTAGAGTTGTTACCCAACACGGCCAATAGTCGTGGTCGTCTTACGTACCACGGTGAGATTGACGAATACCTGCAGTAGACCGCCAATCCCATTTGCGGAAATGAGAGTATGCCGATTCTGCATCACCATACCATGGGCCTCAAGTTGCTTTTGTCCCGACCGTGCCAGTAACGGCGGCTTGTGGGTTGAATGTGTATAAATCTGGCTGGTCTATCCTCACAATGATATCTCCAAGAAATCCCAAACAAATCACTTAATTCCATCAAAACTATCTTGTGTCTTCACACGCGCAACTCTAAAGCAGAATAAGAGCCATGCCGCCCGTAAAAGAGATCAGAGAAATCCTTACCTCCGAAAAGCCGGAAGTCAACTTTGCAAAATCCAGCTCTCCGCAGCAAAATCACCACAAAAGGTCAACCCAGTCGCAGCATCAGTATAGAGAACATCTTCCTGCTGGTTTTCATCCCGGAAAGAAATCCAGCTTCCGGTAGACGCCGCAAATCTACAGTCGGTGATAAACACAGAGAGCATTAGGGACTGTAAACGTCCTCCAGAAAGAGCGATCCTTCACCTATGGGAACCGTCGTCGACGTAGTGCAACATCTTCTCTCTCTCGACGAGACAGCCGGCGTTTATGCCTTGGAGGATTTGGGATACAATCTGTGAGAAAGTTGTGGTTCTGTCATTACTGGATGAAGGAGGGAGCCTAATATGTAGAGGAAATCAGGTATGGTGAGCAGTGAGAAATGCTCAGCATTAAAACTGGATGGTCTACTCTATTACTTGATACACAGGATGAGTGCGGGTTTGCGCTAATAATGTCTTTCACTTTCGGCTGGAGTAATAATGGCTGTCTTTAGGGCATCTCAATAATAATAGATATTTAATTTCAAGGCCGTTCGCACCCTTAGATGCAGGTTAGGGAAGTTCTGTGATACTGAAAATGGGTTCACGAAGCCATACTGCAGCTAAGTGTGGTTGTTCTCAGTTTGGATATGTTCTTTACACACAACGGAGGGATGCCGTGGTGCACAAGTGCCACTGGGTGGCCATTATTCCATCTTATTGCTTAACTTCAAATGCAAATAAAAATTTGCCCACCACCACCCTCAGCTTCCGTTCAAACACCAGGCAGCAAGTTCCCACTGAATTCTGCAAACGGACCAGAATCTACACCGCACAGAGTCTTACTCAACACGCCCACCGACCGAGCAGCTCCGCATTCAACGACGAACTTGGCAAGTTCATCGCACCCAAACATAGATCTTGAAAGCGCCTTAAAGGGCTTGAACCTCATGGTGAAGGACGCAGGAGTCCGAGTTACCTGTGCCGCCGAGCTCAAGAAGATCGAGGATGATCTCGAAAGAAGAATCCAAGGCTTGATGAAAACCAAGGCCGAGAGTACCAACAACATCAACGCTACACTCAAGAAGCCCGCGGTGCCCACAGCAGCCACTGCAGCTCTCGGTGGTCCATCGCAGCTCATTGCTCCGGGTGCTCTCAAGGTTCAACTGCCACACAAACAAAATTATGCGTTGACTGTTGCAACAAAGGCGACTGCGCAGCCGCCTGTGGTGGCATTTTCTCTGGCAAGCTCCGCTCCTGCAAAAGCGCAGAATACCAAAATCGAAGTTCTGGCCGTTGACAAGAAGGCAAAGCCGCCCCAGAACGGTTGGGAAAACAGTGGGTTTGGGGCAGAGGGACCAGGAGGATGGGGATCTACAACGTCGGGGGATGGAGCACGGGATCCCGGACGAAGTCGAAACGGCTGGTGAAGTCATGGAAGGCCTGTTGAGAGATCAGTATGCTCGAGGCTCGAATATATCATACTTGGGGGTCATTGCTTCAAGGAGAGGCGAGAGAAGGGTTCCGAAGATGCTCTTGCCAACATGTGGTCAATGAGGATCCCAAAATAACATGTAATGGATTGGTGGAAGGAAAACAAAGCAAGGCATAAAGCCCTACTAGCTACTGGTGTCAGGTTTCGCACACAATGACAAGCATTTTTTCACCCTCTTCCGTGTAGCTATGACTTGGATACAACGCCTCTGTACAATTGCGATACTGCTAGATACCGACAGCAATCACGCCGGGCGTTCCTTGGACATGGTAATTAACACAAAAAAAAAAAAAAGTACTCATCTTGTTGATATGTTCTGTACATCATCCTGCGAGACTCCGATTCTCTGTTTTGAGAATAAAAACGAGATCGTATTGACTGGGCTTCCAAGCTGCGTGTATATGCACAAGCGCCCAAAAAAAAAAGCCAAAAAAGAAATTTGAGTGATGAGAGTGGGATTCGAACCCACGCCGGGTTACCCCGATGAGGAAATTGATGCTAAGATTTTGACCTTAACCTCACGCCATGGACCAACTCGGCCATCTCACCGCTGTGATTCGTTGGAGAAGCAAGCGTTTATCACAGACTAGTACACTGGCCACTTGCGCACCTTTGCACTGCAATTTTAGTCTCCTCAGAGCGGAGAATGGGAGGTTCTGGGGTATTGAGTGGGTAGGTGTGAGTGGGACTGTAAGGTTTTCATTATGTATTGACTATCGATAATCGATGGGGTTGCATGTTAGTCGACCTGCAGATGCAACTTCGACCTGCGGATGGGAGTCAATTGGAGGGGTCGGATACGAGTTGTATGCACCTGTGGTCCAGGGCTGTTGAGCTAGCCAATGCCGAGCTTCAATGTGGGACGGCAGACCAGACAACCCCAAATTCACCACTATGAAGGACGAATGACTGGGGAGATGAAGTGATGGGCACTGCATTAGTGTTCTGCCGGACGGGTTGTTATAATGGCATTAGAGTTAGACAAATGTGTGCCCCCTGTCACGGTAAGTATATCAACACTTCTAATGTAAATACGGCAAGAGATTCTCTCGTCGGGCTATACGACATAATGCCTCACAACAAAGGAATCAAAACATTTATATCATTTTGAAAAAGTTCTTGTATAGATGTCCCATTAATGATTGTTATCGATATACTTTGGCCCAGCCCGAGCATTGAGATCTTGTGCTGTACCTTTCTTGACCTATATACAGTCCTTGGAGTGAAGAGTCCTGTCATAAGAATTCGCTCAGGACCGTGACCCTCGTCCTAGCAACTTCGGAGCCTTGCTTTCCCTCGCCCATGGCCTGCATGATCTGGATCATGCGTGCTGTTGATTTGTTATCCATGTTAGTTCCTGGCTATTTTGGGATAGGAATCTTGTCCAATGGACTGGATGGATTGAAGGAAAACTTACACAAATCCGCCTTGGCCCTCGCGAACAGCGGATCTCGCTCGTATCTATCAGCCTCGTCACCACCGATTTCCTTTGCGGTCTCACGCAAAACGCTGCCAATGCACAGAGCTTCGAGGAACGCACGGTGGTTAAAGACCCACCACACACGAGCTTCGTGGTCGAAAAGTGTATACAGCATGAAGAAGGCGTTGATGGCCTCGTGCGCAGCGTCCAGCGTCGAGCGTACGTTGACAGGCACATCTGGACTCTCCGAGGCGTGCACGAGCATGAGGTTGTGGTAGTAGTTACTAGTGAGGAACAGGGTCTGCCGGACTATGCGCTTATTGCTTGCCGCTAGCTTTGTGAGCGAATCTTGGTCCCAAGAACGGAATATGTCCGGGAAGGAACGGTAAACGGAGCGGAAGTCGGCTATCAGCTTCGATTTCTGGCGCTGAGTTGAACATATAGGCATGTCGAGGGAGCGCGGACTGCATATCATCTCCTGGACCAGATTGGCCAAGGACCATGAGCCACGGATGTATGCTGTGTCTCTGGGATCCGTGCTGACAATATCATCAGGATCGTCGATGAGGTCGTCCACGTTCACGTCGGTGTGGGTAGCACTCGGCGGGAGTGACAAAAGGATGGTTAGGAATGTGTCCTGATGAAGCACCGCTTGCCATAACTTGCGCCTTTGCTGCTTTTCGAACTTGCTTGCATGAGGCACGACTGTGAGGTTGTTAGAATATCAAAATCCATAGATACTCGGCAACAAGGTCCGCTTACCGATGTTGGGGTCCCGGTGCAGACCCATGGCATACGCTTGCCTCATCAAAACACCTGCAAAAGACCATCCATCCGACGCATGGTTGTCATTGATTAGAAAATACGTGAGTAGAACCATAGCTTGGATCGACTGTATCGAGGCAGAACTCAGGTACGAACTAATTCGCAACCCTTGATTTGACGCTGAAGCGTAGAACTCGGCCGACTGCTTCCTGTCCTCCGGGCTCTGGTTCTCCTGGAACTGCGCGCCAAGAGCCATCATTACGAACAACAACGCAACAAACGCAGCATCGGCGTTTTCTGCGTCGGCCTTCTGGAGCATGAGTGCCCAGAAATGCTCATAGTCGGCATAGAAAGTTTGTCGATGGATCATCGGGTATATAGGATCCACCGACTCAAAGTATTGTGCAAGCAACATGTCGACGGTCAATTTCTCCGACGGCATCACGGCAATGACCTGCGAAAGTTTCCCCTCAAAAGTCCAATAGTTCGCGAAGGGGTGTTCCGCCCCTACTCCGAAAACCTTGGACGCGGTGGGTAGGGAATAAGGAACATTAGACAAGAGACCAGTGGACGACGCCACAGATCCACTGGACATGATGCCAGCCGGCATACCTCGATCAGCAATGTTGGGTACCGATGCCCGCGGGTCTCTGGCTTCTTCAGAGATTTTCCGCTTAGGTGGTTTTGTCATCCTCCGTCCATTTGAGGCGGACCGGGTGGTTTGCCTGAATAGTCACATTGAGTGAGCCAATAGAAGGGCATGTCTGAAAGGCACAACTCACTCTAGCAGATTGGCAACGTGTGCATACTTGCATTCGGTCTGCCGCTTTATACATGCAAGGCAGTTGGGCCTTCCTCTGTCGCACTGTAGTAGGGACTGTCAGTCAGCCCAGCCGGAGCCATAGAGTAAGACATAATAAGCACGTTGAGAGTTAGATGCACGCGTTGCAGCATGCGCGGGGGATCTGCACTCAAATTCCAATGCAGATGACCGATTTGACTTTCGGGTCCGTGGTGGACAGGTATATCAACTGCATAATCTATAGCTGTAGTGGACGTGGTCGTGTCTGAGAATTTGGACAAGTCGGTCTCCGTGGTGTTGCACGCTCTTCCACGTTCCAAGAGAAACAAACAGGGCATAGAAACGAACAAAATGGCGTGGAATGCATACAGAAGGAAAGGTAGAAACTCACCTTCGTTTTTCGCTCAACGCACTCGTGACATGATAATGTGGGCTTGTTGCGCTTCTGCCTCTTTTTGACTGGACCGTCCTCTAGCTCGGCATCGTCTACAGAACTGGGGGCATCGGGGTCGGGCTTGACCGTGTACGAAGCCGGTGATCCATAGACGGTGTGGCCCGAATTCACAGATGTGGGCGTCAGGACTGTCGCATGATGCAGCCTGCCAGAGCTGTATGACATTGTGATTGGTATGTATTATACGTACGAAGTACGGGTAATACCCTTCTTATTCCCAGAGAGCGCGGACGCGCGCGCCCGCCGGCCGTGGTGGATTCCCGGCAAGGAGGGCCCCAACGGGAACGGAAAGGATCTGGGTCTGGCTCTGGCCCTTCTCTCAAATCAGCTTGTGAGGCTGAAACATTTGGGAGCTTGGTTCTGTCCGGAAATAAGGTCGAGCGATCCGCGATATTAACCACCGGGGGATCACAGCGTGGCACGGCGTACGCAATTGAAGCTGGTCCCCTCCCTCGCGTGCGGGTTTTGGGCCGGGAATGAAGTGCGATTGGGAAAAGAAAATGGGGGAGGCGGCTGCGCTGGAGATAAGGAAAGAGTCGGCCATGGGAGGAGAGAGGCGAAGACGCTCCCCCTCTGCCCCCCCTGCCCCCCTGCCTCGCTCCCCCAGGTTCCAGGCTTGCCAGGTTATTATTATGGACCGACCCTAGGCTGCATGTAGGCTCTGGCGGCTGTCCTGGGCACTGGACACTGCACAAGGGCAGGCTGGCAAGCCTGGCAAGCCGGGGTGCCTGTCCGGCACTTTCATTTGGTTATCGCGGCTCCAGGCTAAGCTTCTGGCTAGCCACAGTAGCTGGAAACCGGGGCAGCAGCTGAATAAGTCCCTAGCTTCGGCTGGGCGCCACCTCTCCATTGGATGACCGGTGAGAGCTGGGGAGCATCTGCAATACCACGGCATCATGGTCTTGAGTCGTGCACTTTGATGTGCAGAGTGCAGAGTTGCGATACCGCGGGTAGTTGTTCCAACGCATTCCTTGCGGCAACTGCCTTGCATGGCGACGGGATGCAGGGACCTACCGAATCCATCTCGAGCCTCCATGGGAATGCCCGCTCCTAGTTGACGTCATTCCCGTACGATGCAGAGTCAGTACAACAACACCTCCAGCACTTTATTGGGGTAATAGGTTGGCTCCATCGGCCTGCTAGACGCCTTGTGGTAGGGTCTTAAACAAGAGCACATGTTAGACGAGCACCACACCACCAATTACTGTGGTAGCTATGTCAAGTGCAACACGCCACACGTAAACTAGCACGTGATACTCCAGAGAAGCTATAGGAGCGATGAATTATACGTAGGTACGCGAGGTGGGTTGATCAAGCCTTGGCACATCTTGGTAATCCAGCTGTCTCGCCATAGCAAACCATTGTCTTATGCCAACAAAAACTCGGCTTACAGAAGGTGTGCTCCACCGGCCGCTTTGCGATAGGATGAGTATGTAGGTTAGGGTCCTGGCTCTGAAGCTTGCTTCACCAACTGCCATCAATACTAAGCCGTGAGTGCGTCGCTCTATCAACATCCTCGAGACATTTTCCTCGTCCGGGACCCAGGTCTCTCGACGCAGTTGCGTAACCACTCCACGACCAGGGACACACCTGTGAGCTACTCAATAGCAACTCCGCATGATGGCATCACCGGACCACAGGCAGGCATTCGTACAGGGCCTCAGTTTTGATGCTGTGCTGATGACGACGGGATGGCACAAGATCTTGTAGAAGTTGGATCTTTCGGTGAGCCCGGTAGTCGTTTTGATCCCACAGCTGCAGCCAGAGGTATAAGACTAGATAGCAACGGGGAAGTGATTTTGCTTTTACTCAAAGTACGAAACACTGTTTCTCAGATATGGCTTGATAGAAGACAGTCGTGATTGCAACTTGTGATTGCATGCAGTTCAATTAAGACCTACGAAGAACCACATGCAAGCATGATCTTGTTAAGACGCTTCGAATGGGGGTTTCTCTATTGATACTCGCGCAATCCAATGTACTTGGTAAACACACTACACAGGTAATGATACTGAGCTTGTGACTCAGGAAGCACTCGCAGGAGAGAGTACAACCAGGAGAGACTTGACACCTGTATCATACAGGGTTGTCCTTGGATTTTGAGGTATGTTGCCCAACCGCTCAGCCCAGCTTATTCCCAGAGCTGCCAGAAGTAGCAAAATCTCTTGATCCACACAACGGATCAATGACTCTGGGCGAATGAGATGAGGAGATCAAGCTCAAGAAGTCCATTGTGGCGCATGGCTTTGCATCCCATATTCGTTCTGGGAAGCAGGACGAACCATCAAATCTGGCATGGTGACGTCCGGAGGTTGGTAGCTGGGAACACTTCCTTCGTTAAAGTCCGAGACATGACTGCGCGGACCAAGCTCCCCGAAGGACCCCTGAACAGGTAGGCTGAAGTTGTTGAACATGAGGGGAAAATAGGCCTGCATTACAGTATGTGAGTTCTTGGCCCACCGGAATAAAAGGGAAAACTTAGTAAGCCGTCGTTGTTCGCAAGAATCAGAGTCGACGGCTTTGGAGTAGTCAGGGGAGAGGTTATCTGCAACAACTGACCTGTAGGTTATCGAAACTGCTGGGGAGTTGGAAGTTGTCCTCGACCGTGATCGTATTGCCCGTTCCGCTCTCAAACCAAGAGCCGACGAACGCGGGTGGATTCGCAGGCTCTACGTTGGGTCCAAAGGATGCTGGAACGGGCGGTGTTTCGGGTTGCTGGCTGAGAGAGTCGGTACTCTGTGTAGCAGCAGTGGGTGGTATGCGTTCCGGCGCATACTTCTCTTGGTCGTCTATATCCCGCCGTGCCATTCGGTATATCGCTAGTGGGTTGAGGATATAGTCTGGAGTAAATTGAGGTGGCGGTTCGAGGGTGACAGGCCTAGTATTCCAATTAGTGGTTGGTACACAAAGGCGATCTCGTTTTACTAACGAATCATTATCTTGGGTGATGTTGGTACGGGCTAAATGCTCATCTGCAAGCTCATTTATATCGAAGCCCCCCTCTCGGACCATATTCGAAGCGGCAGCGTACTAGAGACGAAGTCAATACCAGAGCTGGCGACGCCACATCACCCAACCTACCAAAGGTTTCCCGAGCTGGAAGATGGGGACCATTCTCTTGAGGGCTGAAATGTTGGCTTGCATGCACGAGATTGCATGAGGCCGAGTCATGACTTGTCTATCCCTGGATGTTCCAAGCTTTCGGGTTGCGTAATGTACAATTACTCTTGTAGCATCATGTGCTATAATGGGCAGCCACGTGTCCGCAAAGACCTCGAAGTTGTGTCTCAGCGCTTCCTCAAAAATGATGGCGGTTGCCGTCGCATGCTCGAAGCAGCAATCCTGCACACGCTCCTGGAAGCCCAATCGCTCTGGAGGAAAAGTTACCGGCTTGCGTATTCGGAACAACTCTCGCATACCTATCCTGTAGAGATCGCACAGTGTCGCGTGATACGTCCAGTGGAGGACTAGTAGAGCTCCGAGCTGTGATAATTCTTTGCGCGTATTTAAGGCAGTACGTGTAAACTGCAAGCTGTTCGGCAAATCCTCATACCAGGCCAAAAGGCTTTTTTCCAAGTTTGTGTATTCAGACGCTGGAAGCCACGGCGCTAATTCTGTATCGAGATGTTTGACATATCTTCTCAAGTCAGCCAGGTTATCCATGCTATTTACTTGCAAATCAACTTACCTAAGAACTTTTCCTCGCAGACTCATGAGTCTGATGTACTGTGCTTGAAGATCTGGGGTATCCACTGGGCCATCCGATCGATCTTTGGCTGAAACGAACGGCAAATATTCTCCTTTTTGCAGAGTCTCGACGATGCAGGGTATCTGTAACATAAAATTCCGCTCATTGCAAGGCAATTGGATTTTTATGTCGGACTCTCTAATTAGCGTAAGCTCATCAACGCCGGTTCCAACGCACTAGATGCGGTCTGTCAGCTTTACACTCCACGAGAGATGGGGCTAGATGACTTTCTGTAGTGTTTCGAGATGGAATCCAGTGGTAAGCCACGGCGACACAAATTCTGCGTTCACGATGCTGAGTGCTCGGGGGATTTGCTTACAGCGTCCATAATATAGATGCTCCACATGAGACGCCGTCGTGCCTCTCGACATGACCATAATAGCTTTCCATCACCTGTGAGAATATTACTTGACCTTTCCAGGTTTATTTGCAGGGCTTGCGCCATGCGGACTCCGAAGCCCGTAAGCAAGAACGCACTGGCAAAGTTACCAACTCGTAGATCATGCTCATGCAGAAGGACCACAGCCTATAATACATGATCAGTGACGACATCCAAAGAATATTGCCGTGGTCCGTTGTTCTTACCATGGTGTTCTGGACCGACACATTGGTCATGTTCATGAAGAGGTTCAGCTTGGCCTTCGATGCCCACTGATTGCCCACTCGGAGTGCGAAATCCTCTGGTAGTGGGTTCTGTTCACCGCACTTCAGAGCGTAGAATCTAATTGCATCTTTAGCACCAGCGTGATCAGTCGCCTTGTGTCGGAGGGTAAGAGGCCTTACTTGGCACCCAAGGCACATATCGCGTGCAAAAGGCTGCTTTCTCTCTGTACAGCGGGTGACTGTTCATCCAATTGTTGCATATAGGACGGCTTGTGTACGAAGCCAAAGGAACGAATATTGTGAATATTCGCAAAGAATTCTTCCGCCAGAATCACTATCTTCTCTTTATCGGGTAACTCAGGTGACATAAGCCTAGGCCAGGTTAATTGACACTCTTTCTCATCAAGCGATGCATCTCTCACCATGAAAACTCGTTCGGGCAATAACCCTGGCTATGATCCCCGTGGTGCACTTCTTCTCTAGAGGAAATTTGGGCTGGTTGATCTGACTGCTGTCTCACGTGTCTCTCGGCGGGGGTACTAGCCGGAGTAGGAGCCTGTAGCTCCTGATCTGTTGATCGTGGTGACCCATGTTGCGTCCGGGTCGCTGGTAAGACCGTATCTACCCAAGCAGGGGCTTGTTTGCCATCGTACAGGCATTCAAGCCTCCTCTGTTGGCATCGCAGACACGTTGGGCGCTCCCCGGTGCACCGCGTCTTCGAATTGCGGCAAGGCTTGCATGAACGGTACGTCCTCAAGCGCTTCAGGCCTGCCTGTGTTTGAGCAGACTCGTCAATCGGTCTACTGTGCCGACCAGGATCCGGTCCATTAGGACAGGACAGATTGAGCCGAGCACAGTTCAAACATCCGCCAGGGCGCTCGTCGCATTTCACCTAAAGAACTCCTCAGCCGAGTCGGGCACTGGTGGGACATGTGTACTTACTTTTCTAGAGCGACAGGTACGACAGCCCGTCCGGGACCTCTGCTTGCCTTGACTATAGGTCGGTTTGCCGATGTCTCCGCCGTCATGGGCGGAAGATCGGCTATCCATAGTAACGGCAGCTTAGGTGCATATGGCGGGTAGTTACTTGGCGTGATCCTCGCACCGCCATCCCCCACAATTACGTTGAACTTAATTCCGTATTTTCAGGTGCTTCGCCTGATTCTCCATCGCAATCGGCGCTGAGAAATGACACAGTCTAGAAATGTGATGGTGAGAGGGATTCGATCAAAGCGGGCATTTTCCGGCAATCCTGGAGGGGGAGAGAACGAGAAACCTTAATTTGACGTCGCCAAGGAAAACGGCTGTGTGGGCACTATCGCACCCCCTAACCAGGTCCTCTTAATAAGCCTAACGGGTGTATGCCTGTTGTCCTCCGCCTGCTAACCTGATACTTAACTAGTGTATTGGCACTAATTTGTCAAGCGGAGGGGCCATAGCAGCGTGACAAGGGCGTTGCACTTACATCAATGACTGCAAACCAATCATTCACCGACATTACGTGCGAGAATTGGAACGCAGGTTGACGGCGCACGAACTATTGGGCTATCCTGTTAGTCTTACCAAGTTCAGCCCTACAGCCAACAGCACCCTTTGTCGCAGCTGTCGGAGAATTGGCTACCAAATTGGCACTTGTGTAAGTTTTGGTGCTATAATTTACTAATATAGTGTAGCAACGCTCCTAGCAGACTAGCCTTCAACCCTGCCTCAGTTCCACGAATCCATACAAGGGGTACATTTTCCTGGGCATAAAAAATACAGGAGGAGCATCCATTTCATGACGTGGAATGAAGAGAATGGAAAGATGATGCCCAGGACCTCCAACGCCTATAGGGACAGCTGCTTGGCCATTATTTGCGGGCTCGTTCAAGGATTCGATCTGCCTTCGATGCCAGCAATCTTGGGGACAACACAGAAAGGTCTCCACCGGTCTTTGCCCCTAATGTATGAAGGTCAGACTGATTTCTACAGTAGTATAGAACGTACTTCAATAACACCGATGCGGTAATAGCTGGCCACATCACGGCTAGCATGACAGGCGGTTCTTTAACAGTCGCCTCGTTCTCTTCCTGGACGGACGACAAGATCGGACGACGCGACTTGACGCTCTGCAGGTTCATCGTCTTCATCATTGGCTCAGCCCTCATGTGCGCACTTCAGAACCAAGCCTGGTCAATAGTGTCCCGGGTGGTCAATAGTTTTGCAATCAGTATGTTCACAAGTCAGGGGCAAGTACTCTCTCGGCTTCTAACAAGAAGGCCAGTCTGACATGATTTACCAGTCCTGGATTCGTCACCGAAATCAGTCAACCGTTTTGCAGGGGTGGCTTATTGCATTATAGCAGTGGATAACTACCTGAGGCGTGCGCAATCTGCAAAGCCCAAACATGTTGACACTGACTCGTTAGATCTTGATAATGTACTTGGTCTCTTTCGGGACCTCATACATCGCGAGCAATACCTCTGCTCGACTTCTCTGGGGCTTGCAGATGATGACTGCTATTGTCTTGATACTGTACCTGCCTTCCATGCCTTGTTCGCCTAGATGGCATGCAAGTCAAGATCGGTGGGACGAGGAAATGGGCGTGTGGCAATACTCAGGCACAGGGCGACCGAAAAAATCCTGACGTGATTGCCAAGTTGCAACTGCTGAAGGGGGGGATTCAGGAAGTCTTTGATGATGCCTTTTCTCCGTTTTGCCTGTCCTGCTTACAAGCTCCAAGACTCGAGGTCTGACGCAAATCGACGGGATGGACATGATCATGCAGCGCCGAAGACATCATCTGCGTACATTGTGCTGTATTTGCACATATATGGTCTCCATACGGCACAAATGCGCTCATCTACTGTCAGTCGTCCCAATGGCTGCATTGCAATTTTTCGAATTCTTGTCTGTATATAAATGTAATGATTTAGGCGGGATCAAGAAGATTTTCAACTCGAGATCACACGTCGACTAGAGACATCACCTATCCTTTTTTGTCCAAGAGTAAGCAGCTAACCTGATCTTCCCACTAGATATCATCTACATACCCCAGGTAACAGGGCTTACAGGGCAACACACTCTGGTTTTGCCTTGATTCAATATATCATAAATGTTATGATGACCGTATCCGTACTTGTCCTTATCGACAAGTTACTCAGAAGGAGGGTCATGACGGTAGGTTCATTGCTGATGGCGATTTGGCTGTACGCCACAGGCGCCGTTATGACCACACGTGGGATGCAGTCACCCAGGTGGTCCCTGAACCTAATCTGTTCAAGGTGATTATCGCATGTTCGTATCGATTCGTCGCCACATATGCTTGTACCTGGGGGTAACGATGATCCCAACAACTCGCTTGTCATCACGATACTAATCATGGCCTAGTGCCATGGGGTGGATATCCCCCGCCGAGATCATAGCCCTTCATATTCGTAGCAAGAGCGTCTCCTTATCAACGTTCTTCAATTGGGCTAGCAACTTCTCACTCACGTTTCTCACGCGTCCCGCGTCCCAGCACATTCAGTAGCCGGTCAGATTCTTTTGTTACATCTCATACCGCAGTCAGGCAACTAACAACCATGACAGATATACATCATTATTTGACACATTTAGCACTCTCGCGCTGTTATACGCCTTCTGCCTTTTCCATAAGACACGCGGGAGGTCTCTCGACGCGATAGACGACGTCTTTGATAGCAATATGTGCGCTTTCTGAAAGACCGAGGAACCGCGCATGACGCTGCACGACCGCGTGCAGAAAGTAGACGCCTAATTACACTAAGTTGCCGACAACCTGAATCATAAGCTTATGGCAGCCAAAGGGGAGAATGGTGCAAGAGAATCCTTCTCGAGATAGACGGTACATTTCAGGAGGCTTGACCATCTCCGACAACCTATCTCGGCCTCACTCTGTGATTCTTGTGATTGGAAATGTCTTAGGGGAGGTCTATAGAGCCCACACTGCGTAGTTGCGATTTGCTTCTGAACCAGGACTACGTCCTCCCGCCAAACAATCATGCCATTGGACTTGATCGTTGTTGTGAGAGATATAGCCTTACAGTATACCAGTGACTGTATCACTGATTGGCAACTTTCCACCAAGACTTACCACCCGTACCTACAGTCCCAGCAAGTGCATAGAACACTAATTTACGGATGGTGGCACGACCGTACACGTTTGTCCCACGCTGGGACTTCGCATATCCAGCGCACCAGCCAACCCCGGATTACAGCAAGCATGACATCTCCGTTCTGCTTGACCGAACCAGCTGTGAGGAGATACACAATGACGACTTGAGCTCGATGTAAGCCGTTGATATTGGCAGAATTATAGGGTGCCCACGTAGCTGCGAGACTTGTCCACGAAGCCAGAGGCGTATATCATTTGCACCTTTTCTGAGGGGGGTCAGTTATTCCGCACAGAAATTGGCAAGAGGATGGAATTCCGAGATGAGCCATATGAGGGAAATTCATGTGTAGTATCGACGACGATCTGTCAGCCACAAAACCGATGATGGTGGCTCCAGTTGACGGCTTAGCCGGGTGCCTGCAGCAGGGCGGCTCGGGGACCTCGACAGGTCGATTCCCACGTGGTTCGGGGACCTAACTGCAACAGGGGTGGTTGGGGCCAACACAATGCAGCTACCTACCTCCTGTGCATAGAAACCAGAGTATGTGTCCACCAAGACACGACACATGCAAAGGTCTTTTGTTTTCGGCGCCGATCCATGCGCGCGTGCTGGTGGTTTTGATCTTCCAGTTGGGCAAGGGATGGACGGCAGAGGGTGCCAAGGTGCAAGGTTTCTACGGAGGGTGGGCTAAGACGCGGGAAGAGGGAGGGCCGGAGGCACGTCCGTCTGCGCGGCTGCCCCATCAGGTCTCCTGTTTTATTCCCTTTCTTTTGGACGGCTACGAAGCGCTGTCATCAAACCCATTATGCAAGGGAACGGGCCGTGGTGAACATGTCAGACCAGAAGGTCCGGCCGAAACTGGATTGAATGCGACTCGACAGTGCCTTTGAAACGGCCCATTCGATCCAATGAGGCAATTCCGCTGCTGTCGCGTTCGTTGGTATAGGAATGCTCGTAAGCCAGCCACTCAGATGGGGTGCTGAGGTGTGACAGGAAGATTGGACGACTGCACGATTGCGGGACGGCCGTACCAATAACCCACCGGCTCCATCGTACCCATTCCCCGAGTTTACCACAACCAGGTACGGTGAGGTGGCCTCAGCACCGGGGGGATATAGTTATTGGCAATTGCTGTTGTATACAGTAGATTGGCTCTCTACTTCACCTGACCTCCGTCGATCGAGCACCGTCGTATCCGTCGTATTCTCGCGAGCTTCGGATGGGCGACGATGCCACATACACTTGGCCCTATCGGGGTCGCAATTCCGATACAAACGCCAGGTGGAGCAATTGCACATTTGTGTGTGAGGCCGCGGGTGTCGAGGCCGACAGCCCTCGTGGTGGTCGGGTATACCTTATTTGACCGAACGAACATGTGGGATCGGGACCGAGCGTCAAGGACAAAAGAGCAGGGGCCTCAAGAGGTCCTTTTCTCCAACCTTGCCTTCCAGAAGGACCTGTCGTGCCGGCTGCGAAGATGCCAACTCGGCAATGACACGCATCTCGATGACAGCATTAGTTTCGAAGGGTCCCTCAAGTGCCGAATCTCCATGACTTCGACACATCACAAATAACATGAAGGCGTTGTTCTAGCGTACTGTATGCCCTGAAGCGTGGGGCTCTGGTGATCTGCAGTAGTTAGAGCCTGCGGAACACTTCCGACGATGCATGCACACTTGCCTCTGCTGTTGAGGTTTCACAGCGTTTGATTGCGATGAGCTATAGAACGCCATTTCCAGCGCCGGGCCATCAGATACACGTATTCGCGACGGCCACCATTTTCGAGCTCGGCCGTGTCATGGAACTTGCAGCACCCATTTTGAAGGAAGACGGATATGTTGCCAAACGCCGAGCCACCCGCATAGACCCGGGCCCGATGCGTGGTTGGTTGCGTTACATTCGTCTTTGATCCTGCACGGGACTTTTAGACGCAAGGGTCCACGATCAGCAAAAACCGTTGGCAATGCAGCACGCGAGCAAGCAAGTCTCCGATGCAAACTGTTTCAATACGGTGCTTTGGCATCCGCGACGAATTCCCAGCTCGAAGCATTGCCAACTCCAGTGGACGGTCAAGGCTGCGCTCGATGACTCTCGCGACGTCTTCACGGGCTTCCTGGTTGCGACAGGTGCCTTGGGTGCGAAGGAAAAATAGAGAGGAGAGCACGACTCCGGCACTAGTAACAATCTTAGGTACCAGCTAAGTTTAGTTACTGGTTGGGCGGGAGCGGATCACCGTTACGCTACTGTGGCACGAGAAGGAGATGGCGGGTTCAGACAGGTTTAGCCTCACCGCTCCCCGGCCCTAGACTGTACCATAATAGTGCTAACACACATGAGCTAAATTGGTAGCCGAGATGTGGCAGCAGGGCTCCCGACGGCCGCGTGGATCACAACTCATCGAGACGGCACTTGTCGCACGGGCAGATCTTGAGGCTATCGACATTGGCAGCTGCAAGAGCCCGACGCTGAGCTTTAACGGGGCTGGAGTCTCAAGCGGACGCGGCATCTGTTGTTTTCGGTGGACCAACGTCCAAGTGGGAGAGGACGTGCTGGTCGCTGGACAAAGTAGAAGCTACCCGATTGTGTCCTCGAATGCATGTCTCAACTCTATTAGAAGAATATCTAACGACGTGGTTCAGAGATAGCTTTAGTAATTTTTCAACATGCCATGACCTTGCAATGCCAGGTGGTTGTGGGATTTCTATCTTCTATTTCTTCCCTGCGTGTCAGGTAGACTCTTTACAAGCCCCAAACTATGACGCAAATTGGGATCATCAACGTGAGTCGAGTCCGTGTGACGCGTGTGCAGACTACATGGTATTTTATAACTACTGTATGTCTTGACAGCGATCCTATCTCGATAGCTGTAAGTGCTGTATCCTCCATGCGACCCTATCTGATGGAGACACCTGCAGCGTCAGCCACCTTGGCCGTAGTTGCTTCCTCCCGCACTTGCAGCAGAGGCGGTCCTGGCACGATCCGATCCTGTTGCTTAGTGTACCTTTTGCGTAGGATTGACCAACAACCCCTGGCCATCAAAGTTGTCGGACACAATGGGCTGTGCGCAGCAGCCGTCGGCAAAGAGAGTGATCCAGGAAACGCCACCCCGTGGTGTAGGTCGAGCGTGGGATCCTGGCCTGCTCACGGCATAACGGGGGACTGGCTGTACCAGAGTATTTTGTCTCACTTCCAATTTCAAAAAGTACCTGAGCACTGAACTTGGGCATTTATACTCGCGCAATCATTGGCTCTCCCTCCGCCCAGTTGACGAACGCGAATGCTCTTCAACCTGCATTCGCCCAAGAGGGAAAAAGAAGCAGGTTCGGGCAGCAGTCGCTAATTCGAGCTGGATTTGGAAGCAGGCGCTTTCGCAGCCCCGTGGATAATACTGCGGTATCATACCCACCTCATCTATCTTGCATGGGGAGGGACTTTTGGCAGCGGGCCAATCGGATGAAGCTACCCCACAGCCCACAAGTCTCCGATTTCATGTGTTCTATGTTTTCTGTTTTCCTTCGACACTAGTAGGGGCAGGAGGAGACAGGCAAGGAGGGGGGGAAATGAGGGGATTAGGTATGGACTGTTAGAAGGCCTCACGAAGCTCAAGCTTTTGCTCGAGCCCATATCAGTCGCAAGGAGCGCGGAAGTGAGTATCCACTGACAGGTTAGTGCCGTGGCAGATCAGCAAACATTTTCAACTTGTGATAATATAATTGTAACGTCTTTGATTGTCCTCCTCGGAACCTGCCAGCGGTCGACGCCAAAGTCAAAGCCAGTCCCGCTATGGGGGTTACCGTATCTACTATGTACAGCAATTACCGTAGTGGTCCGCCAGACCCGTCGAGCTGTGACGCTGATCGATGGGAAGCACTGTACATACATACTCCGTACATGAAATCACACATGCATAAGCCTTGTGCGAAGTGTTGAATTTCCATCCGGCGCGTACGTGCATGGCACCGCATGGTCTCGCATTGACTTCCCTCTCCCAACAGTGCTGCATCGAGCAGGTATCTCCAGTACATACGCGCTTGGTACAGTAGGACAACAACATCTATTGTCAAACAAACCAGGTTTGTCTCTGGTCATCCGGCTCTACCACAGCTATGTAGTCCCCTGGCTAGTGCCAAACTTATTTACAGATCATATCATACCACTGGGGGAATATGGCCTCCCACGAAGCGCTTCCTTCTTCCTTGGACCTCATCAGCCACGTGTCTACATGTTCATGCCATGCAGAGGCAGAGGCAGAGGCAGAGGCAAAAGCAGAGGCAGAGGCCACACCGGCACGGCTCCGGCACCTACGGCTCACAACACACGGCATACGGGGAAGCTTCAATAACACAGTATACTATGTACACTCAGCACTAGTTAGTTGTGTGCAACTCATGGGAAAGACAAAGGGGAGAGAAGAATGACCAGGGTAATATCGGTCTGAGATGACCCCATGGCGATTGGGGGTACAATGTAGATAAGTTACATGGGAGAGCGCCGATCAAACCGACAGATGCCACGGCACCGCAAAAGCACGCGACGCCCCTCACCACCACCACCACCACCACCACCCCCCCCCAAGCAAGAACTCCCATTCACGGCGGACCAGGGGCCCCCTTGGGGGGGAGGGGGGGGGGATATGCGGGCAACTGGGCGGGCAGGCGGGCAGGCGGGTGGACGGGTTCGACATCTGGCCAGCGCAGCGCGGCATGCTAGCCTAGCGCCCAGGGAAAAGCCCAGGAGCTCGAGCAGGAAGCCCAGCCGAGAAGAGCAAAGCCCAGCAAGAAAGCAAAAGCCACCGTGCCACCGTTTCCACCGTTCGCTGCCTCCCATATCCCACATCCCAGCTCCAGCCCACAGTCTCTCCACAACGGGACGACGGGGGTGCGACTGGTTTGGTCCTAGGGCCGCTTGGGATATCTCCAGAACATCCGCCCGTCGGCCTTCCAACTCGTACCTCTGCTCTTCTTTCTGAAAACCCTACTCTCTCTTGCTGCTCACCGTGTCTCCCATTCGATCGCGCCTCGAGACACGCAGCCTACGAGGAGCCTTTGCCAGAACCAACCGACTGACTGTCTGCCGCGGCGATACTTGGCGCTGCGACATGACCAGCTTATAAAGCTGTGATCGCTTCTCGACCGCTGTCTGTTGTCAGCTGCTGCGAAGCTCCTCGCCTCGCCGCCCGTGCGTCCTACACCCACCCGCAACCGCCTGCTACTTAACAGGCTGAGTGCGGTCGCTACAGCAGGACACTCGACGACGAGCTCTGGGACAATTCCTAAATCGCTCCGCTGTACGAAACCGCCCTTCGCCTCACCATGGATCCCCTAAAGAGCCTAACGGCCAATGCTCCCGACTGGGTGAAGCGGCTCGACGAGCTCAATGGCCAGATTGAGCAGCGCCAGCGTGATCTGGCGAAGCTCGCCGAAACCGAGCGCCCCAAATCTTCCGCTCGGTCCATTCGAAATCAGGGCTCGACCGAGTCACTGAAACCCAAAGACGACGGCGCAGCTTTCCCGTCCAACGACGTGCATCGCAACCCGGCCCCGGCCACACCGGCCCCGAGACGGTCAACACCGCCACGGCAACCGTCGCAATCACAACAAGGCAATCGCCCGCCATCGAGCCCCGGTAGCGATCGTAAGTCGCCTTCTTCTCTCCAACGGCAGACCAACGAGGTGGTTGCGACAGCCCAGAGACGCGCCCGCGCCGTCCTGCGGAAGCGCCAAAAGACCGACTCCATGATCAGCGGCGAGGGTGCTCCACCCACCTACAGAACCCGGAGCATGATCCTGGTCTATTACGATAGCTACGTGCAGTCCTTCTTCGAGGAACTGGTCAAGTTCGTTTCGGCGCAGAGGAACCTGATGCGCAAGGCCAAAATGGCAGCAAAAGTGGCACAGATCAAGCGACTCGCCGAACTGGAGATGCCCGACGACGATGACGACGATGACAACGACGTGGACGATCCTCTGCAGCCCGGAGACGCCCTCATCGCGGCAGACCCAGCAATCGCCTCGCGGCCGCCAAGGGAAGCGCGGGAAGATTTGAAGCTGCGATATGTGAGCACTCGCATGATGGGGCCAACGTCACGGATGCCCCACGCCGGCCTGGCGCAGATGAGAGGGTCTTACGGCGGTATGGACATGCTGAACCGCGGACTGAGCGACATGGACCAACCCAGCGATGTGTTCGACGAGCTAGACCGGGGCTTGGAGTTTGTGCAGGGCATGTGTGAGCGTGCCGCGCATCAGTTCCTCCGTGACGGCGACTGCGAGGAAGAAATTGCAAAAATCAAGCGCCGACTGGCGCAGACCAAGGAGGTTGCCGATCACGAGATGGAGCGCCTATCCAAAGAAAACCCCAACGTGCTGAGCGAAACCGCGCCGCCAAATGCTCGCAGCTATCGCCCCTCGACCATGCGAAGGGATCCCGGTGCGTCAGTCCACTCTAAGAAGAAACAACTGGAGGTTGACGATGAAGGCGTTGAAGACATGTGATAATCGCAACGTCTCTCACGGCCAGCCCATATAGGCAAACTGCCCAATTTTGGACCAAATAAGCGTGACGCTATCACGACAACTACCCAACCCCCCGAGATTTATATCCAGGGGTTGAATTTGGCTGCAAGCTGCAGCCATGATATCATTGTTTATACCTCGCTAACATTGAGCATCGCGACGGAGTTGGCACTTTCAGGATCAACGCGCAAGTCATATAGAATAAGTACATAATCACACACCAGGGATTGCATCCCCAGGGGCTTTAGAGCCACCGTACAGTACCATCTCATGAGGGCGGCCAGAGGGCGCCATAGGCCTGATGCGATAGGCTTGATCATGGCGTTTGCCGCGGGTATGATGCTATAATAATTTGGGACTGAAGGACACGGCCACAAGGACAGGAGTGCGCTCCTAAAATAGGCGCAAGCGATGCCGATGTCGTCGAACCGCATTCGTTGAAGTCAGAGATAGCAAATAAGATCTCGAAACAGTATCAAAATTTCTCCGTGGCATATATGTTCGGGGTGAAATAACCTTTGTGTGCCGTTCACCCACATGTAGAGCTTGCTGTATAGCCATGTAAACCCGAAGTCTATAACCCTGCTTGCATATCCATCTTATATGTAGAAGCTCGCGTCTTCCTCGAGAGGTCCTTGCATTGCGCTCTACAGTCGAATCGTGGTTGACGAGCCCGCTGAGACTTCAGGAAGCCGAAACTTTTGAAGTCTGAACACCTCCCAGCCGCCAAAGACCCAGGGGCTTCACGGCCATGTCTCGACCTTCTCCCACCCATCGACGACCTGCCCGCCGGGATAGACCGGCTTCTCGCTGCCCTCGCCGCCCGCGAACCTATACAGCCACCGCCGGCCCCTCTCCGGGTCTGACAGGTCGCAGCGGTCGACCTCGAACGGCACGATGACCACGACGCGGAAGTGGCGCCGCGCCACGGCGTCCTGCAGGTCCGTCACCTTTTGGCCCAGCGCCAGGCTGTCGTCGCCCACGGGCACCGCGACCGGCGTCCCCGGCGGCGGGTTGCGGAACGAGCCGCGCATGCCCGGGCTGAGGTTGCCGAAGTGCGCCGTCAGCTCGCGGGCCCAGCTCCAGCCCCCCTTCGCGTCTCCCTCGCCCTCCGCCCCCGTCCGGCGCATCCGCGCCTGCAGCACGTCGCGCGCCGCCCGCCCGCCCTCGGACGACTCGACGTCCGGCGCCAGGACGTAGGCCCGGCCCCTCACGCGCCACTGCACCATGGGGGCGTCGGCCCAGAAGACGGCCTCGACGGGCCCGCCGCCGCCGGAGGAGCCCTCGACACCGCCGGACGGCTGGCCCTCCCACAGCTCCGGCATCTTGTCCATGCGCACGTCCGTGGTGAAGGTCAGCAGCTCCGACTCGTAGCAGTCCGGGTTGAGCTCGGCGTCGTTCTTGGGGTTGACGGCCAGGTTGGCCCACATGCCGCGGAAGATGCAGGTGCGGGCGCGCGGCACCTGGACGAAGCCCTGGCCGTCGCCGCTGCCGGCGTCCATCCCGTACCGGGATGCCGGCACGCGCCGGATGGTGGAGAGGGTGAACTCTGGAGACTTCATGCCCTCCACGTGCTCCAGGAAGAGACTGCGCCACGGCGCCGCGGTGGCTGTCGACATGGTAGCGAGCTGGGCGCTGCGTTTCAAGTGTGCAGCGACTTGTGTGATGCGGGATCCGACGATATCTGTGCGTAACAGGGTGTTTAACGGTGATGAGCGCAACATATGCAAACCTTTGCGGTGTGGTGGTTTACGGAACCGTAGCTATGTTGGCCTCACGTGGCACGGCGACAGCGGCTTTTGTGTCTGGTCCGGGATGGTGATGATTCAACACTCCTAGCCTAGGGCTCAGAGGTGTTTCTGTTCCACGACACTCAACCCAAGGACGCAATACTATGACGTTATGGTCTCAACGGAACAACCTGGCTCAGCTCCAGAGTCCCCAGCTTTTGAATTAGACTCAAGGCTTAGTTGACGAGTACTTAACTAAGTAGATTGCGCAAGTCACAAACCTTGAGGCCTGGAGTCTTGATGAAGGTCGCCCCATTTCAAAGGCCCCACTAATGAGGAATGTTATACCCAGGTCAGTAGCTAGGAAGACAGATCACGCACGAGACACACAAAAATCAGCTGAACGGAACGAAACATATATACGTAGGAACTATATACATAACATATAATACATAATATACCTATACCCCAAACGTACGCATACCCGACGTACGTATAACGCCATATACCCATGATATGCCATACGTAAATCATTCACTCATGAGTGGCTTGAGCCATGCATTGTCTAGTTATGCGTTTGCCTTTCTACCTCGTAATACTGTGGAAAAAGATCCCCCCCTTTACGGACACGCAATACAGCTATCTAATTTTTTTTAAACCTTGTTCTAGAAATATCCGCAAATCAATCTGTACAAAATATCAGGTGCCCAGAGTACTTCAAGGCGACATGACCAAGGCCAGCAAGGCCATGCGACAGTACAGACCGTATCTCATCTGGAGTGAAAGTCAGTCAAAATATTCTTGGTCGCCGGAGAGGGGACAAGAACTCACCTGTCTGAAATATGCCGCTCGCTGATCGAAATCAACCTCCTCAGCGACCTCCTCGTTCCTCGGGAGAGGATGCAATACAGCCAGAGTGCTCTTAGCATGCTTCAGCGTTGCGTTGTCAATGCGGTACGAGTCCTTGACAGCCTCATACTCCTCCACACTCGGGAACCGCTCCTTCTGTACCCTGGTGCAGTACAAGACGTCACTCCTCTCGAGAATCTCCTTCGTCAATGTCTCCGACTCGCATACGAGCTGTCCAGAGGACACTAGCTGCTCACGGATCTTGGCTGGCAACCGGAGCGACTTGGGAGACACAAGCTGCACTCGAGCCTGGTAGTGCTGGAGGAGGTAGACCAGCGAGTGCACGGTGCGGCCGTACAAGAGGTCACCAACGAAGGTGATGGTAAGACCCTGTACGGTACCGAGCTCTTCACGAATAGTGAAGAGATCAAGGAAGGCTTGGGTGGGGTGCTCCTTGCTGCCGTTGCCACCGTTGATCACCGGTACGGGACTGAACTTCTTGGCAACATCGACGGAGCTCTCCTCGGGGTGGCGCAGGACAATGGCATCACCATAGCAGCCCAGGGTCCTCAGCGTATCCTGCAGAGTCTCACCCTTCTGGACAGACGAGTGTGTCGTCGAGATGGCAATCGTTCTGCCACCGAGACGCTGCATGGCAGCGTCAAACGAGGCTGATGTACGCGTCGAAGGCTCGTAGAACAAGGTTGTGAGGACTCTGCCCTTCAAAGTGCTCAGCACACCTTCCCTTTGAACACCCAGGCGCATCTCTTGAGCGACCGTGAACAGAAGGTGCAGATCCGAGCGGGTATACTGGGAGACAGACAGAACATGGGAGTTCTTGAATGACGAGGGCTGTCTCAGCAAGTCCCGCAGAGGATCAAATGCCGGCTGTCCCATAGATAAAGGCAGGCCGAAGTCATCGCCAGTGGAAGACACTCTTTGGTCGCCATCCATGAGACCGTCCAGAGCTCGTGGCTTGAAAGAAGACCTCTGTCCAACAACAGAAGGACGCCTTCCATTCTGGGTGTTAGGAGTGAAGCTGCCAAGGGCCTGGGTCATAGGCTTGATGGGAGGTGACATAGGCGCCGGCATGCTGCCGTGGGTTGACATGTCTTTGCCAAGAGGCTCAAGGGGAAGCGTTTCGCCATCAAGACAGACAGTCTTGTCGCCAAAGGTGACTCTTTGTACCGCTCCGCGCATGGTCTTGCCAGCAAAAGGAGACCAGGTTGAAGTAGTGGGGACGACGTAAGGTCGGTCAATCTCAACTTCAACAGAGGTAGCGACTTGCTCGTGGAGTTCAAAGATCTCCTTAGGGTTATCGTATAGACGCGCCTTGATATCATCAATGGTCAATCTACCCTCCGTAACCGAGGTCAGCAGGAGCGGCAGAGCATCTGTGATGCCCACGGCCGAATCGGTTTGTGCCTGCTTGCTGCGAGCAAGCTGGTATGGCAGACTGCCAATAGAGAACACGTCGATGGTGTTAAGGTGATCCCACAGAGCCTTTTGGTCGGCCAAAGTAGGCAGGGCCTGGCACTCTGGGTAATCCTCTCTTGTTAGATACAGCGAGTAGATGGACACATCACAGGTGACGTTGAGGCTCTTGGCCTTGCTCAGGGCAATCAGGTGAATGTCCTCCTTGGTAGTAACACTGCTGACATGAATACGTCGGTTGTGCAGGCTGGCGAGCAGCAAGATGGAGGCAAGATCGGTAGTCTTGGCATCCGTCAAGATGGGCTTGTGAGTCGGCCATGAGTCAAAGTGGGCCATGACAGCTGCGACCTTGTTGATGTTATCCGACAAGTGATTGAAGGGAATAAACAAGGAGCCAACTTCGCTAGTGACTTGAGTGATCTGCTCTGCGTTGTCAGAAGTTGCAGATACTGAGAAATTGTAATCACAGTAACCGCCGCGCTTGCTGTTCTGTTGGGCCAACTTCAAGCTCTTGGCATCGGTGATGGAGCCATCAACACCAAGGGGCATCACACGGATCATGGTAAACCCAGCAGCGACAGAAGCCTTTGTCACAGCCTGAAGATCGCGGCTGCCCTGAGACACAATGCCAGGAACGAAGGCGGCGATATTGATCAGCCCAGGCAAGACAATAGTCCTGTGGCTTGTCTGGTAATCGCGGTTTCTGACCTCAAGGTCGAAGTGTCTGGCAATAGCCTCGATAAGGATCTTGGCGTTCTTGACGTTGGTAACCAACGGGATCTGGTAGTCAACGGCCATTCGTCTGGTTTGGTAGCCTTTGCTCATATAGTTGGCAGGTCGACGGTATTTGTTGTTGGATGGCAGGTTGATGTACAGGTCAATCATGTTGTTGGAAAGATGCTGCGACAAGGAGTACTCAGATCGTTGATCTTCCTCTTCGTTTCCGAGAACTTCCAGATACTGAACTGGAATGCCGTTCTCTTGCAAGAAGTCGGCAGTACCCGCGGTTGCGAACAGCTTGTAGCCCATCTTCTGCATTTTCGCAATCGATGGCAGCATCTCCTTCTTGTCCTTATAAGAACCGATAGAGAGCAAGACGTTGGCCTTCGGGATCTTAAAGCCAGTTGCGATGAGCGCCTTCAAGTAAGCCTCATACTTGTCAGCACCGAAGCAAGCCACTTCTCCAGTGGAAGCCATCTCTACACCCAGGACCGGGTCAGCACCAGAAAGTCGAGAGAAACTGAACTGCGGCACCTTGACACCGACGCAATCTGGCACAATCGTGGTCGGGGGGTACGCGGCAACTGGCAAGCCCATGATAGCCTTGGTCGCCATCTCAATGAGGTCCACGCCCATGACCTTGGACACGAATGGGAAGGATCGCGAAGCGCGGACATTGCATTCAATCACCTTGATATCGTTGTCCTTGGCAATGAACTGGATGTTGAACGGACCAGTGACGTTCAAGGCTGCGCCAATGTTTCTGGTTGCGTCCTCAATACGCTCAATGGTCGTTTTCTCGAGATCCTGAGGCGGCAGAATGAGTGTGGCGTCACCTGAGTGCACACCCGCGTTCTCAACGTGCTCAGAGATAAAGTGGCCGATGACCTTGCCATCCTGAGCCACGGCGTCCATCTCGATTTCCTTGGCGTTCTCAATATATTTCGTGATAACGACCGGGTGCGAGGGAGAAACATCCACAGCTTGTTCCAGGTAGGACTCGAGATCTGCTTCTGAGTAGACTGTGTTCATGGCGGCACCGGAAAGCACGTACGAAGGTCGAACGAGCACCGGGTAAGTGACCTTCTGGCAGAATGACTTGGCATCCTCAAAGCTCGTCAATACCTTCCAGGTAGGCTGGTCAACGCCAATTCTGTCCAGAGTACGAGAGAACTTGAATCTGTTCTCTGCATTGTCAATCATCTCTGGCGACGTTCCCAAGACCTTGACACCAGCATGATGCAGTGGGAGTGCGATGTTATTAGGTGTCTGACCACCCATGGCTCCAAGCACACCGCTGGCGCCCTCCATCTGGTAGATATCAAGCACAGTCTCCATCGTGATGTTCTCGAAGTACAGCCGATCGGCCTCATCGTAGTCCGTGGATACAGTCTCCGGATTATAATTTACCATGATCGTTTTGAAGCCTTGCTCGCGTAATGTACGGATGGCCCTGACGGAGCACCAATCAAACTCGACTGATGAACCGATACGGTATACTCCGGAACCGAGAACCATCACACCATTGTCGTTGAAGGGGATATCGTGCTCCGACGCATTGTAGGTCAGGTAAAGATAGTTGGTGAATGCAGGGAACTCTGCAGCAACGGTATCAATCTGCTTTACGAAGGGCGTGATGCCGGCATCAAGTCGCAGCTCTCGGATCTCAAGTTCCGTCGAGGAGATGAACTTGGCCAGCTGCTGATCACTGAATCCGAGACGCTTTGCCTGAAGAAGGAGATCAGGACGCTGCGCCACATCGTCAACCTTGTACTGGGTCATGGACTTGGCAAAGTTGTTCAGGCCCATCAGCTTGTTCAAGAACCACTTGTCGATCTTGGTCAGCTCCCAGATCTTGTCAACAGAGTATCCCTGGTGCATGGCGTTCGCAATAGCAAAGAGACGCTGGTCCGATGGGGTTTGGAGCTCGTCATCCAAGGACATGAGAGCCTTCGTCTCGTTGAATCCAAGGTTGCTAAAGTTGACGGATCGTATGGCCTTCTGGATGGCCTCTTCGAAGCTTCGGCCTATGCTCATGACTTCACCAACACTCTTCATAGAAGAGCCCAGCTGTGTGGAGACCCTGGTGAACTTCTTCAAGTCCCACCTGGGCATCTTGACTACGACGTAGTCCAAAGATGGCTCGAAGCATGCGCATGTGCTCTTGGTGACGGAGTTCTTGATGTCCTTGAGAGGGATGTTCAAGCCCAACTTGGCGGCAATGAATGCTAGAGGATATCCAGTAGCTTTGGAGGCCAATGCAGACGATCGGGACAATCTAGCGTTGACTTCGATGATACAGTACTCCTTGGAATCGGGGTTCAAAGCATACTGGATGTTGCACTCGCCAACGACACCGAGGTGGCGAATGACGTTGACTGCGGTCGTTCGCAGCATGTTGTAATCCTCGTCGGACAAGGTCTGCGAGGGGGCAACAACGATGGAGTCACCAGTATGGATTCCGAGGGGATCGAAGTTTTCCATGTTACACACAGTGATGCAGTTGTCCTGGGCATCTCTGACAACTTCGTACTCGATCTCCTTCCAGCCCTTCATACTCCGCTCGATCAGGACTTGGGGACTGACGGCGAAAGCCTTATTGCAAAGTGCAAGCAGTTCCTCATCATTGTTGGCGAAACCACTTCCAAGTCCACCGAGGGCGTATGCAGCTCGGACAATGACGGGAAATCCGATGTCCTTGACGACGCGCATAGCCTCCTCGACGTTGTTGGCTGAAGCTGACTTGGCGCATTTCTCGCCAATAGACTCCATGCTGCAAGCGAACAGCTCACGGTCCTCGGTGGTAATGATGGTGTCAATTGGAGTACCAAGCACCTTGACACCAAGCTCTTCAAACTCATCCTTGAGCTGAATACCCACTTGCAGAGCAGTCTGACCACCGAAGGTGACGTAAATGGCATCCGGTCGCTCGTACTGGATAACCTTACGAACAAAGTCGGCTGTGACTGGGAGGAAATACACCTTGTCGGCCAGACCCTTCGAAGTCTGGATTGTGGCAATGTTGGGGTTGATGAGGACAGTGTAGATACCCTCCTCCTTCAGAGCCTTGATGGCCTGACTACCCGAGTAGTCAAACTCTCCGGCCTGACCAATGCTCAGACCGCCACTGCCGAGGACCAAGATCTTCTTGACGTGAACTCGCGGGTGTCGTGCCTCGTTCTCCGCAATGGTGCCGCCCGGGAACTTGACAGGAGCGTTCAACAAGCTGTTGTCCTTGGCACAGTCGACAATAGTGTTGATGAAGACGTCAAAGAGGTACTCAGTGTCTCGAGGACCAGGAGTGCTTTCGGGGTGGAATTGCACGCTGAAGTAGGGCTTGTTGACATGCATGATACCCTCATTGCTACCGTCGTTGGCGTTCACAAAGAGCTCCTTCCACTCGGTGGGCAGAGTGCTGGAGTCAACGGCATAACCGTGGTTCTGAGATGTGATGTGGCACTTTCCAGTAACCATACTTGTACAAGGAATGTTGTGTCCTCGGTTGCCAAACTTCATCTTGACGGTGTCGGCGCCAGCCGCGCGGGCAAGGAGTTGGTGTCCAAGGCAGATACCGAAGACCGGTGTTCGGTTCTTCGCCATGGTGGCGGAGATGTGCTTGACAGTATCCTTCATGACAGCTGGGTCACCAGGGCCGTTGGAAACGAAGAGACCGTCGTACTCCTTTCCCGCTTCGGTGGAGAAATCATAGTCCCAGGGGCAAACCATGACCTCGACTCCACGCTTCAGGAAGCACCTGAGCTGGTTGAACTTCATACCGACATCGAGGCAGAGGACACGCAGGGTGCGTCCAGAGGGATGCTTAAGGGCAATCTCTGGGTTCGGCTTGTATAGCTTCGGTTCCTTGATGGATACTAGCCACTGATAAGCACAAGTCTGACCTTTGCAAGCTTTCACAACTTACCCTCAGCGACAAGGTTCTTCTCGTTCGGGTTGACCCACTCGATCGTCTCGAAGTCCGATTTTGTGTACTTCTTAGCGACGTGAGTGGCGGCGCCATTGACTCCGTTGGGTACTCCATTGCTCTTGTCGTCCTTTTGCATCATCAGTCGACCAAGCATGCTACCCTCGACTCGGATGCGCTTCGTAAGAGCTCGCGTGTCGATACCGTAGACAGCGGGGATGCCCTGCTCCTTGAGCCAGGTGCCCAGGGAGGAGGTTGCAAGGTGGTGAGAGTAGTCCTCGCCGGTGTAGGAGGCGGTAACGAGACCGGCGATGTGGATCTGGTTGGCCTCGAAATACTCGGGCAGGTCTCCCAGAAGCTTGTCGGTGGCTTCGCGAGAGGGCACACCGTAGTTACCCACAAGGGGGAAGGTGATGACGAGGATCTGGCCGCGGTAGGACGGGTCCGTGATAGACTCCGGGTAGCCGACCATGCCCGTCTGGAAGACGAGCTCTCCAGCGATGCTCTTGTTGGCACCAAAGCTGTAGCCCTGGAAGGTTGAGCCATCTTGGAGCTCGAGGCACATGAGGCCCTCGTCCTTGGCGTCGACGACCCGCGCCGAGGCGGGCTGATGGTGGACGACTTCCATCTTGTTGGCGCGTTTGCTCAGTGTGCGTCTGCGTCCGTGTCCGTGGTCGTGTTTGCTGTCCAGCTCAGCTCAACCAAGGGACCCCGCGGTTATTCTCGGACAGGGAACAGGAAGCCCCAGTGGGGAAGGATGGGGCGAGGATGCAGCTCAGAAGCTCACGTATTGTGCACTCTGTGACCGCGGAACTTCAACTGGCTCAAGTTCTCATGCCGCCGCTCCGTTGACTGGCGATTCTTGGGAAGAATAAAGGAGGAGGAGGAGGAGGAGGAAGGGGAGAAAAAAAAAACTCGACCAAGCTATTGAGAATGGTTCTGGGGAACCTAGAACTTTTTTTTCTGTCGGTCCCCGCTACGGCAATAAAGCGGGGCGGCAGCCCAGAAATCTTTGCGATCTGCAACATTGCAGCCAATGGGACTCTTGCATTGTGTCAGTCCTGCAAGGTCTTACGTCCCGGTGCTTGAGTCGGAAGCCATTGTCCAACCACGCGGTGAGCCTCGATGCTGCGAAAGCCCTACCGGTCCCTGCCTGCAGCTGGATTGAACCAGAAAGTATTTTTTTATGCTGTGTTGAGCCAGGTTCAGCGCTGGACGTTCCTGTATTGCACAGCCAACGTTGTGCCAAGCCATCTCTATGTGCCCATTTAGACATTGACACCATCTGCTATATGAGCCTAGGTCAGGATCGTGAAGTCGTGATTTTCATCTGGCTTTTTCTCATCAAGGCTGGCGGGGGACGCGTCCCTGACATTTGAAAATGACATCCTTGGACCCCGCCATCGGAGCCGAGACTTTTGGGGGCTTATCGATACGGAGCTCTGTCAATTGACTTTTGGCCGACGACGCGACCCTATGTGCAATGCTTTACAGTTGGACACTTTCTTTTGAACAGAAGATTGGCTATAGCACCCTCTCTGATCTGGTCCGTAGCTTTGTGACTCTGTACATCTTCCGTTTTCTTGCATATATGGTGCATGATCGCCAATGTGAATCCTTCTCTCCGTGGCGTCATTCGCTGACTATCAAGCTTATCGATAACGATGTGGTGGAGGAGGCATTGGCATATTGTTACTGTTGACGGTTCTCTACTGGCCTGCCGGGGTTCCTACTCTTTCTTATCCATAGATGACGAAATGTACAACCAACCTCAGCGCTCCAAACTGCAGAGGATTTCACCGGTCGGAGTAGAATGTATATCAAGGTCATAACGAACAGGCGTTGCACGGCTAGTTCTGTTGGAAATACCTGGGTTGTAAACAGTACTTTACGACTAGATCTTTTGCAGAACAACTCACACAACTGAAATGCTAGTGCGGGAACTCTTCAAATTCAAAGCCACTACTTCTTCAAGCGGGCGAGCTATGGCAAGCATGAATAACGATATAAATGACCTTGAATAGATATGGACTACCCATGCATATTCCGACGACGCCTGGAGGATGCGAGCCGGCTTTCTAGCTGTTAGGATGTGGTCCAATGCTTACTACGTTGAAAGCGGCGTGGGAAAACGCGTCCATCCGCATGTCCTACCTATGTACTTATGGATGCCTTTTCCCGTTCGCTGCTAAGTTTCTGGGGTCGCTTGGACGATTTAGTTATCTTGGTCGTACCGTCCATCTACCATAGTAGGTTCCCAAGGCTTTGCTTCTAGTGGGGTGGCCGGCACAGCTCCCGACCGGCCGACCATCATCACGCCAATCCGATGGGCTGGCCAAAGTCAATAGCGCCTCTGCTGCAAATGAAGAGCGAGAACTGCCTACACGCGCTAAAGGCGAGGCAAGGTGTGGGATTGTCATGTGTTCACAAGGTCATATAATCGCATTCAGCAAGCAAGACTAGCGAGACAAGGTGTTGTGGGCCGACAGCCATATGAGGCATGCCGGACGTAGATAAGATGCAAGATGGGCTGGGGACGATTGGTCAAATGCAACCGAGACCTGCCAGCATCGATCTGCAAGTACATGCCCTCCACACCGAGGATTGGCGGTGTGACTGGCGCCGTTATGCTGTGGCACACATCATGAAGCAATCACGTTTCTTGGTGCCATGGTCTGTGGCCCCCTGGGAACGTCAAGTCTCACGACGGCATCACTTTGATCGATGGACTGCGCCGTACACAATCCACGTCCAACCGTTACTATGATGGGGATAGCATTGTGAAGCTCGGCTCGGTATACAGGGGGTTGGTTGGGCGATCCTGCATCAGGTGCAGCGTTGAGCGCCATGATGGAACGAGGGTAGTGTCATTGACTCCAGGTTTAGATGGCCACCCTCCCCGAGAATTGATAAAGCCAAAGTGTGGGGGATCTAGATCGAGTGCCCAAGATCTGTCGTTTCTCAGGAAAAGCTCCGGCTTGCCAATCAAAGATAGCAAAGCCCCTAACTTAGCAAAATCGCAGGCGAGTTTGCATTTGGTGACGGCTTGGCCGCATGATTATTCGATGCCGGCTGCTGTCTTCACAGCGTGCCATCGACTCTGCCCATGTTCAGGTGAAACGAACCTTGAGTCTATACACATACACAGGCAGCCCAGCCGGTGAAGAGGAGGGGAGCGGTGTGACGATAAGTCGAATTTGGTGTTCACTACCACAATTCAACGTCGTGACTAGGACAAGACACTCGCATCCGATGTGTGGGTTGGACAGTGATCAAAGTCGATAGAGTTTCGGCAAGCGGGTTCTGCCATTGTAATTTGACCACTCAAAGGCCCGATAAACCAATTTGACTAGAGGTTTGAATGTGTCAAATAATAGACTTGGCTAAGACCCAAGGGATATACCGCGGTCGGGCTGACATCCATGGTGAGGTTTGTTTCTCGTCCCTCAAGCCCAGGAGTCTACACGACCGTTGCGAAGCCCGCCATCGCGATGGGCCTTGTCATACGAGGGTGGCAGGCCCTCATAAGAGCATGCAATCTCGCTATGCTGACGACGTTGGGGATTGCTGCGGGCCACGGCATGCTGGTCATGGCCAGGACGCTGCGGGTGGTCAGTCGTGCATGAAGCCCCCATATTTCGGGGTGCATGGGCTGCCTCAGCGGTCCACTCAGCGGCAGCTGATCCCTGTGTTTTCCGTCATTTAGCGGGCCGCAGGTGCTATGGCCGTGGCTGCTAGCGAGGACACCCATGGTCGTCACCCCGATCTTTTTTTATTAGTGCCAGCTCCGTGTTATTGTATTCTCTAGCTTCCGCAGTTCGCGGTCGCCTCGTCGCGCCGTCTCCTGCAGCACGCACAGCGAGTCCGTCGGGTCCCTAATGCTCTTATAACTTTTCTCGCCGAGTCCTAGGGGCCGGGGACTGAGTTCGCAATGACGACTCGCGCGAGGGAGATGTTGTCTTCGCTGCTGCCGCCCAGGAAGACAGACAACGACAACAGCAGACGCCGCCTCGACTCGTCCATGTTCCATTCGAACCCCAACACGCCTTCTCCAGGCCCCGCGACCCGCCGCGACTATCTGGGGCCTCGCCATGCCACTGCCGACTTCACCGAGGCCGAGGACGACGAAGACGAGGTTACGCACGACGAGGACGAGCAGGACGATGGTGCAGACCTCTCCAGGTTCACGCAATACAGGCCCGATGGGGGCATGCGCGACAGGGACGGACGCAGGAGCTCGGCCACCACAATGCCATTGTTCTCTGCGAGCTATTTAGGTAAATACAGGGCGCGTCGTGGGGCTATCAATCGCGCTGGCTGCTAACCGTGAACGCAGACTCGTTGCCAGTCTACAGCATCGTGCACTCTATACGCATCATCGTACAAACCCGAACCGAAACGAGCCTCACATGGGATCAGCTGCGGTCTCCCCAGGTTTCGCAGTTCCTGGTGAAACCTATGCAGCAGCAGATTCGGACCCAGCACTTCAGTCGGGCTACCCTGTATGCTCTGATGGCCAACTGCCTGCAATTTGGGAGAGAGGGCCAGTTGTACCCGGGCAATGCAGGCACCAGCAATACACGGGCCAAAGTTTGTGAACTGCTCGCCCTCAAGCTTTTGAAGGAGTACGGCACAAGAGAGCTCATTGACGCCTTATCGTACGACTTCTACCCACTGCAAGGATTGCCTGAGGCCCAGAACGGATTTCGGCCTGCCAATAGACAGCCCGCTGCAAGAACTTCTACGCTAGAGGTTGCCATTCGCGCCTCGGCCAAGCATTTTCTAGCCCATCCCCTGGTGGTGCAGCAGTTGGAAGCTATCTGGAATGGTGCCATCAGCTTCTACTCTGCGGCCGATTACCTCCATCGTAAGCCTACAACGCCGCAGGACAACAGCCCCAAGTCTCCGGGCCACGGACCAGCCGATTCCCGAACGCCATTGCTTCGCTTCGAAACGGAGAGCGTGAAGGAAGACAATGGCAGCCTGCCGCTTCATGCGGTGCCTATCAAGCGGTCTGTAACGCTATACAATCCGCGGAACGCATCTCCCTTGAAGCTGTCGCGCCTGCGTGTTCCACGCTATCGGCAGTTCTTGTCGACATGCTCCTTGTTCATCCTGATCTGCTTGTTTCTTGCTGTACTCGCCCAGCGGTCAAATCGCATCACTTCCTTGGAACTTGTATTTTGGTTCTGGAGTGCCGGGTTTATGCTTGATGAGGTTGTCGGTTTCAATGAGCAAGGCTTCTCACTTTACATCATGAGTTTCTGGAACCTCTTTGACATAGGAATCCTGCTCATGCTTGTTGTGTACTACTGCATGAGAATATATGGGGTGTTCCTGGTGGAGGCCAAGAGCTGGAATGATATGGCATATGATGTATTGGCAGCAAATGCGATATTGCTTTTGCCCCGTATCTTCAGTGTGCTCGATCACTACCAGTACTTCTCCCAGCTCCTCATCGCTTTTCGACTTATGGCGGTGGATCTTGCAGCTGTCTTCATCCTCATCCTCATCAGCTGCTCTGGGTTCTTCGTTTTCTTCACCCTGTCAAGGAATAACAATGACGCTGGGGAGGTCGCCTACAAGATATTCCAGATTCTGATGGTGAGTGTTGAAAGCATAGCTTCTTGTTTGCGTTCTTTTTCCTGGTATTGTCGACTATACCGACGGGATAGATGTTCCGTGAAAATCAACAAGCCCTATAAAGTTCGCCTATGAATCTTAAGAGACGAAGCTAATGAATCATTTTCGCAGGGATTCACACCGGCTGCCTGGGACGTGTAAGTACACGTTGACTGATTTTAGATAATTACTGACGTTTTCTTGTAGATGGCCCGAGTATAACTTCCTAGGCCGGTTTCTGTTGGTAATATTCCTTATCATTTGTCATTTCGTGGTTGTGTAAGTAGCTTCCCTTGACCTGGCCACTGCGGTTGGGGCTAACATCTCGAAGGACTATCCTCATTACGGTTTTGACCAATTCTTTCATGGCAATCGCCTCGAACGCGAACGAAGAGCACCAGTAAGGCCCTATGCTACAAATTGGGAAGCGCCGCATACTAATTCTGCAACAGATTTCTGTTTGCAATCAACACCATATCAATGGTAAAGAATGACGCCCTTTTTAGCTACGTAGCGCCTGGGAACATCATTGCTTGGATGTTGACGCCCTTGCGATACGTCATGCCCATGCGGGAATTCGTGCGGTTGAACCGAACTGTCATCAAGCTTACACACTGGCCGTTGCTTTTTTGCATCTACTTCTACGAGAAATACTTCTTGGCTTCAAGTATTTACGAGCCGACGGATCTGGTCGAGAATCACGGACGAAGTCGAGGGCGACTCATCTCATTCGCTGATCCAGCCAGCCGTACCGCTTTGTACAGTCCCAATATTCGCATGCACGAAGGCTCCGTCGTCGGCCAGCAGAAAGATCAGGCATTGGCAGAGGTGTTCCTCCGCGCTCCAGATGCAAGCACCCTGAGACAACAACGGAGGCAGGAGAGAAGAAAATCGCAGACGGCAATCCGGAACTGGATGGATCAGAGCGATCAAGCTGGGGAGCCCTTGTCCCATTGGCCGACCATGGACAGCCGACGAAGCGGTAACAGCAGATTCACGCGGAGATTTAGGACAATATCAGATGTCAGGTCAGCCGCTAGCGACCCTGCAGATCTTATATCCAATAGCGGTCATCCACTCGCTAATTTCAGGTTTGACGCAACTCCCCAGGACCAGCACACGGAGGATAAGGACCAGACGGATGCTGATGGTGATGATGAACTTGTGACCAACGATGAGGACGAAGACGAAGTTGCCACCGAGGATCAAAGAGCTCCGAAATCCCGCCAAGACGAGGAAGAAGAGGAAGATTACTTTACCACGCCAGTAGCCACCCGCTTCGGTGTTCTGGCACCCGCTTCCTATAGCTCCATGCACTCATCAAAGCCTTCGACCGCCAATGCCTCGCCTCGGGCAGCTCCGGCACGCCGCCAGGGCTTGCATAGTCGCACACTTTCGACCAACACCATTCTGTACGCGCCCCAGGAAGCCAGACGTGGCCTTGGCGCAACCACTGAGGTCGACTCGGAGGAACAGCCAGCTGGGCGGCGTTCGCGACCTAGATCCAACCGTCAGACCCCTGCAGTAACTCCGGGCGGCACACGTTCACCACGCAAATCTATCTACATCCAGCCACCCTCCAGACCCCGCCCGATCCCGGCGAAGACGGCACCAGACCGTCCGGCGATGCTGAGTGCTCCTGATACTAGACGCAGTCACATTCCATCAATTGACGTCGACTTGAACTCGGACATACTTGATACCAACGTCGAATTCAATGGGGTCCCAGCCTCATTCGCTACGCAGATGGCTTGGGCAACGGGCCAGCTTAAGGGGCTGAACCGGAATTCCCAGGAACGTGAGACTTCGGAGCGCATGAGCCGACTGGTCTTGGCCCGTATGAAGACGCTGGAAGAGAGCTTCGCGGATGTCGTCCGGGAGATGCGTACCATGCGCAGTGGCGTCCCTACGGCACAAAATTCGGGCGATGACGGGAGCTGGAAAGGAAGAGCTGGCGTTGCCATTGAAGTCGCCGGTAATGACAGGAGGCGGCCAGTTTACAAGAAGCCAAAGGATGGAAGGAGCCGACCCACCACCCCAAGGGTGCGCAGTCGACCTGAGAGTGCCAAGGAGGACCAACCTATCGCACCGCTCACCAGTACAAAGCAACGCGACCAGGGCAAGGGCAAGGGGAAGGAGAAGGCTGTCCCTTGGTCCGAGGACAGCGACGGCGGTAAGGAGGCGCGCCGTCAGCGAAGGAGGGGCAGCTCGTTTTAATGCATTGCGATCTCGGCTGGCTTAGGCGGATTTTTTATCATTGCAGCTGTGCGATATACCACTGCTTGATGTGTGCACTAGTAAGGCGTTCCGGGAGCATCTTGACATTTGTACATTGCGTTGCGATTCGAGGGCGATGCATATGCTTTGTGAGCACGGGAGGCTGATAATCTTGAGATGGTTTACCAATACGTGTCGCATATTTTGACGATGTGATGGCCGTGTCTGAATATGGGTATGGCTCTGCAGAAGATTTGTTTCGGCTATCTAAGCAACAAAGATATTTGCGCCGCCAGTACCAGATTCTATGTGTCACCCAAAATTGGGAATCTATACCTCTGGCTTGCCTGATCGTGAATAGAGAACGACTGGTAATCCCACTGACGGATTACAGATGGCCGGCATGAAGCACGCTGCCCACCACATCATATTGAATTGATGCCCAGCCATGTCTAATTCTTTCCCTTGTTGCCATGGTTGTATGTCCATGAAGCATCCGGCACGACCATCTGGGACAAAACGTAGCAATGATCAAGCAACTTTGCAAATCAATATCATCCATGAACTTTCAGTCGACAACTCTATATCGTGTGCTGAAGTGACAGTCTCGGCCAGTGATCATGGTTGCTCCCGGATCTCTCTCCCCTGCCCTGCTAGTCGGCAGTGGGTTGCTTCAAATACCACCGCCGCTGCGGTCGACGCTGACGTAGTAATTCGACCCGCCCGAGTTCTTCTGCGCCTGCTCGTTCCGCTGCATCGACCGTTTCTTGTACTGCACGCCGGCCACGACGGCGGTGGTCGCAAGGGCGAGGACGGCAAGGCCGCGATGACGACTATACATCAGTGGGCGGTCAGCACTCGGCCCCAGTCAATACTGCTGTTGGCAGGCACACGACGTGGCACCGCCAGTGGAAAAGGCGAGAGGAATGCATCACTCACACCACCGGACGCAGCGGCTGTCCTCCTGCACCTCCTCCAACATTGGGTCTGACGTGATCCATTTTGCGCGAACTGCCGATATATGTAATCTGGGCGGACGAGCTCTGTGAGGAGCCTGGAGTGGTACTGCTGTCGGTTCGTGAAGACGCTATCTTGAGGACCAGACTGGTCGACTACCCTCCACACCGACTTTTGACTTGGACACAGATTTTTGAATGTTCTCTGATCTGAGACACACAAACAAAAGTTTCAACTCTTGAAATGGGGAATAGGGAGATGCTGTAGCAGGTCTGTGGGTAGGAGACGAGAGGGGCCTGGATTCGGAAATGGGTCGATGATGGTATTATAAAGGGTCTGTTGACCAGATAGCTCCTGCGCTTTATGTCATACAATTGTCGGACGATTAGACTCGTCGCACGTTCCTCCCTGCCGGCAGACGAACCAACCCCAGACACCCGGGTCGTCCTCCTCCTCCCCAAGGGTCCTCAGGGCGGCGTGGCACGCGTAGGTAAGGCATCTTTGGGCGACCTTTTTGCCTCCGGCTCGTCACCAAGGTTGCACATACGGTGAACAGCTGGGGCGTCCTGGGGCGTCCAAGGGCGCTGCTAGTGCCCAGACCAGTAAGGCGGCACGCGACATGGCTCGAATTGGAGTAGCTCATGGCGGGGAAGCGTGTAGTTTGTTGGGGTTCTCGGAAACTGGAGCTCGGTGATTGGACGATGCCTTCCAGCTAGCGGGCAGATCAGGAAGTCTATCGGATGCTGGGATTGGGGGTTCGAAGCTACGCGGGCCTGGCCATAGTTATCATGCGCAGGCATCATGCCCGACGAAGATGTAGGCACTACGGAACAGGCTGCACACGCCTTCCCTTATCTCTCTGCCTCTGCTCACTGCGTAACTCGTAGCATCGTTCCGCGTGCTTCGAGGTATTGCCAACTCGCTGCAATAGCCGTCCGAACTTACAACTTGATCTCTAGTTGAGGGCATATGCCCAGGTACTCAAGGTACTTTGACCGTTCCTTGCAGGGATGTGGAAGGTTGAACCTGCACCACAGCCAGATTGCGTTTCCTCCTGTTAGTATTTTGACTATTGGCCGAGATAACCCAGAGTTTTCCAGCGCCCACTTCGACATTGCACTCTAATTTATGACGTCTCACTGTAGAGCCCAAGCAGCCAAAGGAGACATCGTCACCAAGTGGCTATGTCAATCTATTGCGCTCTCGATCAGGCCCCCTTTTGATTATGAGGCTGTTCTTGCTATAATTTGTTATGCGGGATATGCAGCCATCGTTATGATTGGTTCACGCATTTGGCCTAATGCCATGATGGGGAAGCTCTGCATATCTACACCCTTTTCTGTCTCTACGTTCTGCAATACGTCGGCCCTTCCGTAAAACCGCTGTGGATTACTACTCCCTTCTATCAGGACCAGCAGTTAGCCAATTCGTCCTTGCAGCAATTGTGACCGTCAGTCGTAGCAGTACCACGTGGCAGCCATTCCACTGTTGCCTGGCACCTATTGACCACAGGCTATATGCTATATGACCTTTTGATCGAGATCCAAAGTATAGTGAGAACTCCCATGCAGCATGGAATGTAGCCTGGCAAGATTACATTATCAAGTCACGCTTAGCCATATGGAGAGAAAGCAGATCCAGGTCATTGTGATCCATATACCCTAGCCACTATATGTGCACCTCCAAGTGTCCTTCAACATACGAGGAATAAGTGTTCATCATTGTGAATAAAAAGTCAACGTTCATGCGCTTCGCAGTTCGGAAATTATACCCCTGTGTAAAACATATTCTGCACTATGTCCCGAGAATTTCAAATGACAGGACGGACCGTGGCTGCGAGACACTCTCATAGGCAGTCATGAACGCAGCCTCTTCATGCTCTCTCCCTATGATGCACAAGCCAAAGGGCCGCCCGTTATAGTCGAGCTGTCCGAGTGGGACCGTAACGTGCGGACATCCTAGTGAGGACGTGAGCCACTTTGTGATTATATACTTGGGAGAGCGTTGTCACTTCCCAGCGGCTGCAGTATGGATATACAGCAGCGAAACGTTCGTTTCAGTTGAGCGAGATCTTCAGCACTTTCAGCCGTGTTAAGAGCTTGATTGAGTTGTTATTGTTCTGCATAGGCTGTATACTTGTTGGCGCGTGCTTCGTGCAGTTTATCCGAAGCAAGGGAGCAGACGGACGATTGGTGGCTTCTACCGCCTTAACATTGACATGTCTTACTTAGTAGCAAAAATATGACAATGAAGAATAGCTTAAGTGTATAGTATGAGTAAACGCGTCATAAAATAAAAGCTTCAATCATGACAGATTAGAATAGTTACGCAGTACCGTAACATAAAGCTAAAAAGAGAATAGGTAAGGTATGAGGACAACGAGCCAAGGATATTAGACACACAAAGTACCAATGGCCGCTGCGGCACGGGTTCAGGACGACGGAAACGGTCGAGTGGGTTCCACCGTAACAGCATAGACCGGCGGTGCTCCGTATTGTAGGATGAGGCGGCGCCCGTTACGCGACCACTAAAGGGGTGGTCCTTCGCTCTTCTGCCCAGAAGGCCCCGGTTACCAGTTTATCCATGTGCTCGCGGAAGAGATCCTGATTTTTCTAGTCCTTATCGTCGTAAATGCTTGATAGTGAGCTACTAATAGTTGTGTCCTACATTCCGCGAAAATCGGCATGTTCTATTCTTTATTTGAAAAGGAACTCTACTGTAAGTTCTGTACTAGGACCTTCGAGCAAATGTTATAGTCCTCTACTTCGAATTATGTATATTTACTTGTGTTGTGACCACGACGCCCGAAGCTCCACCCTGCCTCAGGCTGCCACCCGTTAACTCCAAGTCACTGTCCTGCTCTCGCCATGTATTCGATTCGTTGTCGGTCAGGACCGAAAAGGGCCGCTTGTCATCCTTTCCTTGGGCGGTCACAAATGCCTTGCTACTCCCATGCTCTTGTGGGTTGAGTCGCAGACTACTGGGCCATTTCCTGTCAGGCAGTGATATGGCTGGTCCGTTTCGTGGTGTGCCGTCGGGGTTGGTCGAGCGCACTGTGCTGTGATTCCATGACCCGAACATGATGAGGTTGAAGAGGGGTTTGAGATTTGGGAGGCAGGCTACGTTGGGCATTAGAATTAGCTCTAGTAGAAAATTATTGGACATCCAAGTCTTACCGCAAATTGTGGCTACATTGGTTTCCACACCCGTCCACATCATCTCGTCGGACCAGTTCCAGGTTGCGTCGATAGCCGTCAAGTCAAGTGCGAGCACATACTGAAGTCGAACGATAGACACCGCGGTGACGCTACCAGGCCGTTAAATCAGCGTTCCGTTCGTCATCATTTCTCGTCAGGCAACCTACAATAATCCGACCACAAAGATTCCCATGATAGCGTATTTCTGGCTCCGGGGGAGGTAAAGCCTATAAATGGAAGGCAACGGTACCAATATCATCAGGAAATCTGTGAGAATGTTCGGGATCGCGTTGCCTATGAAGAATTCCTTGACCCCCACTCCGCAGGTGTACTCGGAAGCTTGCATCGGGTTGACAAGATCATAACGCATCCAGAATGCATTTACCGGCAGACACTGGAAGATCGTGACTAAAATCTGACAATTTATCAGCACAGCTTCATAGAAGCTTACTCATGATCAACTCACAACTGCAATTCCCCAAGATAGTACCATACCGGCCATTATATAGATGAACAGGCGAGTTTTCGGCTCGGCGCTGAATATCCGCCAGTAAAATGCAAGTATAGAACACTTTACGAGAACAAGACTGAGCGTATAAGTCCACTCTGCGATGAATAGACCCAAGAAATATGATTTCAAGGCATCGGCGGGGGCAACCCATATGTGTTTCCCGAGTCCCTGAGGTACCACTTTGGGCTCTGTGTTAAGTTCGCCTCTCTCTTTCAAAGCTCTTAAGGGATGCTTACTGTAGCAGGTAACATCAAACATGAAGGCGCCGGACCAAATCAACGAAGCCATCACCAGCCAGTCATCCCACCACAGCTTGTTGCGGCGCACAACCAGACGGACAAAGACACGCAGGCCCACGCATAACACTCCAAGCACCCAGGTGACCACAAATACCGAGACCAGTTCTGGAACCTTTGTTTCGCTAAGGTCGATGTCGGCGGGAGGATCTGGTAGTGTTGACATCGCGTCGAACTATCTTTGGCTGTTTTCGCCGGTCCTGGCTCCTTTGTCAGTGCGACTTTCGAATCGCCGTATTTTAACGATATGTGGTCATGGGCAGCTGTTGAGTGAAAAATGGATCTCGGACTGGGGCACCGAAGCTTTTCCTGGACTCAGGGGTAGAGTGAGCCGCACTGATCTCCGTCTATGGGTCTTTGTTCGACCTTGATCAGATCGCTACCATTCCTTCGGGAGCCTCAAGGTGCCATCTGGTGATCTCGGGCCTGCAAGATATAATCATTTGATAGATACATCAGTCGACCTTAAGGACAAGGGCCTGTAACCGCTTGGCGCTCACAAGGAAAAGTCAAGATATTGCCTGCTTGTCTGCATACGAAAAATATTCTAGGATCTACAACAGCAATCACAGATCACGTTCCGCCGGGAGAGACCATAGCATCTCGGATGGGAGTGCGCAAGTACCAGTGTGGTGGGTAGGGGTAAGGACATGACAGTGGGTCAATAATGCAAGTGAGAACTCTATGAGCCTCCCCGGAATTACCATGGCGTATGATACCGTATGTGAGTTACGATTTACAGCTGACGCTTCACTTAGTAAAACGACTATGTTACTTGGCCGTGCGGCTGAGCAAGGTGACTGACTCGTGAACCACGATGCACAGAGGTATAGGTGGAGTCATGGAGCCGTCTTGCCGGCCGGGCATTTAGCAAGTCAAATTATGACCGACCCCTGTTCCGGCAAGAGGACCGCGTTCTATGTACTACATCCGCCATGTGGATTATCTGCCCCCCGGGTCTACTTGGCCTTCCAGCTATACTGACGACAGAACTGACCGTAATTCAACCATTAAAATGAAGAATTACATAATCGGAGTCAATTATACCATTGATACGGCTGGTTTCCAACATCAAGTTCAGTCCTAGACCTCATGATTTACTACAGCTTACAGAATTGCATCTCTAAAGCTCAGGTGCCGGCCTTCTCCTGGCCCACTTTGGCTGCCAACTCCAATCCCTTGACCGTCTCATCCACCTGCGAGAGGAAAGGCGAGTGAGATGCCGTTGTGCGGAAGTGAGTTTGTCCAGGCAGCATTTTGGCCATGTTCTCTTGGACGGCGATTGGGATTGCCTTGTCTCCTTCGCAGAAGAAGTACATGCATTCAATTTCGTGCCACGGCTCGTAGTCCACCGGATCGGTGAATGATCTGATAGCTTGGTGCGGTAGACCCGCCACTGCCTTCTTCTGCATCTCCTCAGGGACGTCGTGGTAGAAAATCTCGGCTGGTGTATCAGCATATACGTAGTTGCCCTAGTCAACATATGTAAGCCTGCATATCGAGATCTGAAGAACTTAGGCAAGGCAATTTACCTCGGGTCGCATCCAAGGAAGCCAGTTTCCGCCTAGCATGCTCAAGATGCTCGAGCCAAGCGGCGTAACGAAGGCCGCCAGGTAGACGAAGATGACGATTCCTCCGGCCTTGCCTTCTTTGGCCCGCTGTTGGAATCCCAAGCCTTTGACGGCATTGGCTCCTACCAAACCACCATATGAGTGAACGACACACACAACTTGTTTTCCTTGCGCGACCAGCTCCTCGACCGCACCTCGGAAAGCAGCAGCATCATCAGATATGCCCTTTGTGGGAGGCTCGGCACCCACGGTCGGGTAAGTAACGCCCACGGTCTCAAACCCACGTTTCTCTAGCTCATCACGAACAAGTTGAAAGCAGTCGGGCGAATGCCATGCACCGGGCCCGAAGACGATGGCTGGCTTGGTCGACATTGCTAATGATACAACTTTAGTAGTTGTGTATAATTCTAAGGTTGATATTCGTCTGCGAAACACGCAAATAGAGAGCGTATGAGGGGAAGATAATGAAGCAGGTCCGCGGGAAACACCTGCTTTTGATCAATTAAACCCCCTGTCAATGGACGAGGGGAAAGCTGCTGCAGCCTGACTCCATTGAACAACCGATATTCCACAGCATCTCAAGAATTGGCATTGAGTCTTTGGTAAATGATCTTCCTCCATAACTACACACCAAACCCCCGGGTGAGCCCAACCAAGGTTTCGATCTTGGAGGACTTTGCGATGTTGCAGATAATAACAGATCGTACTATTTCAAGTAGTCTGAAGTAGCGTGCACGTTGACACGTCTCGGGAGAGTCAGAGATCATCTGCCCGTTCGTGGGCCATCGCCGAGGGGATCGTGGAGTCGAACCCCAGTTGTCTTTCGTAATTAGCTTGGAACCCGCCTGTACTACAAGTACTGTCGTTGCCTGGTTTTAACTGAGAGAAAATCGGACTTCCCTCAAGATACTTGGCTACGCTCTGATCAACATACTTATGGTAAACTATACCACATCTCTTGGTTCTCTAGGTTGCGTTATGGTAATGAGAGAGGTGGTGGAATCTAGAGGGCTATCAACTCATTTCAGTAGGCCACATTCAGTGCTTGGGCTAGGGTGGTGGGATTACCGACTTGCCGAGGTATGGATACATCTACGAAGTACGCGGTAAAGATCAAAAGAGCCGGGGTGTGTTTATCCAATAGCCACCGCCTGACCATCGATCGCGACGCTTTGATCAAGGGAGAGGCTCATGACCTTCACTTCTCGCGTCCGGCAAGTCAGGGTCTTCTCAAGTGGGTTAAGGGTCCGCTTTGGGCAGCGGTAGTAGTGTCTTTGCTATTTCCCACATTGAGAATAAGTGGACGCAGTGGTGAGGGGCGCGGGTCACCTTGCAGTGAAAGCTGAAAGTTAAATTTCCGTATTAGTGCGTGTTGGACGTATTGGATTCGTGGCCGGGCAAATGCACGGTGCGACTTGGTACAGATTTGTTGCCTATCTACCCTTTTGCGTGGCCAGGATTTGATATCATGCCGTATTCGGTGGTGACTCTGCACCTGAGAAAACCCTCCTAGGATTCTACAATCTAGACACGGATTGAGTCTACACTTGAACCAATTGGCTTGACGGCGAAAACCTACCCACACGCGTTATAGAGCCTACGTCCAGGCGAGTACCACTTGGTAGTTCCCAAGCTGCACCAAGAGCTCGCGAAAGGCTGAGCAGTTATGGTTGAGCCAAGTGAAATCTCAATGGAGCTCTCACTGACGGCGCCCAGAGCCCACAAGCCTGCGCTACGAGGCGAGGCTAGGCTCTACAGAAACCTTGCGTGTTCTTTCCGGATAGGTTTCTCTAATGTGTCAATCAAGCCTTTCAAATAGCTATCCATCGAACCAAACTAACCAACCTCCTGCGTCCTGCCTGGCAGCTGAGGTCGTTGCTCGTGCTATCCTGGAAACAGAACTTGACATAGAGTTTGACGCGATTAAATATGCGGCAGTCTGGCACACACCGTCCGGGCGGCCCGGGGCTTAGGACCAGCGAGACGGAGCGCCGCCTGACGGAGCACACTGGGGCGCCGGCTGCGTCCCCGAAAACCGGCCGGGTCTGATGTCAATTGGCTACCAAACAGGAGCTGGCTGTCAGCTGCCGGGGATCTGGCACGGCTTTCGCGCGCTCGTAGCTACCCCACCACGTCACCCCGTCACCCCGCGCTGCAGCCGATCTCGCAACAACTTCTTTTCCACTACCCTACGTAAGGTGCTGCTCTCTGCAGCTCGGGATACCAATTACACCATAGCGTGGGAAAATCTCAATTGACTTCACATCCACCTGGAATTTCCCATCGTTCTCGAGTTCAGCACACCCTACGCGTTGCACTGTTCCCCCAGCCAACGTACTCTGCAACGATGCCGCAATCTGCCCTCCTCCTCGGCTCCGGCTTTGTCGCCGCCCCTACCGTCAAGGTCCTCGCTGACGCCGGTGTGCACGTTACTGTTGCCTGCCGTACGCTGGCCGCCGCCCAGAGCCTTGCTGGTGGCTTTTCCAACACCAAGGCCGTCAGCCTCGACGTCAACGATACCTCGGCTCTGGAAGCTGCCGTGGCTCAACACGATGTCACCATCTCGTTGATCCCCTACACATACCATGCCATTGTGGTCAAGGCAGCTATCAAGGCCAAGAAGCATGTAGTCACTACATCCTACGTCTCGCCCGCGCTGCAGGAACTGCATGAGGAGGCCAAGGCTGCAGGTATCACTGTCATGAACGAGATCGGAGTAAGTTGAATACACACCGAGCGCCGCGACTTCTTTGGCTGACCATTCTACTCGCAGCTCGACCCTGGGTAAGCCCCTGAATTATCATGCTCCATTCGTTCTGCCTGACTTACACTGTTCTCAAGTATCGACCATCTCTACGCTGTCGACCTCATCGACCGTGTCCACAAGGCAGGAGGCTCCGTCCGTGCCTTCAGGAGCTTTTGTGGCGGTTTGCCCGCCCCAGAGAGTACGAATACCATGATGATGGAGTCAGGTCGCCGAAGCTAACATTCAAAACCAGACTCCGATAACCCTCTAGGGTACAAGTTCAGCTGGAGCAGCCGTGGAGTTCTGTTGGCGCTGAAGAACGACGCCAAGTACGTGTTGGACGGCAAGGACCTGCACGTCAAGGGTGTCGAGCTTATGGCGACAGCCAAGCCGTACCACACTGGCTTCCTCGGCTATAACTTCGTTGCCTACGGAAACCGTGACAGTACTGGCTATCGCGAAAGGTATGAAAACGGACCCATTCGATTAATCACAAATGTCTAACGCTGTTTAGATACAACATCCCCGAGGCGCACACCATTATGCGTGGCACTTTCCGTTACGCCGGCTTCCCGGAGTTCGTTAAAGTCCTCGTTGACCTCGGCTTCCTCCGTGAGGAGGAGCAGAGCTTCTTGAAAGAGCCAATTGCCTGGAAGGAAGCTACTAAGCAGCTGCTTGGTGCCAGTTCATCCAGCGACGATGACTTGGTGCAGGCGATCTCGTCCAAGACATCTTTCAAGGATGCCGAAGAGAAAGGCCAATTGGTTGCTGGTCTGAGGTGGCGTAAGTAACTGAACCCTGGCAATGACTACACTGGTGATTCTGACAACCCATCACAGTCGGAATCCTTTCGGATGCCAAGATTACGCCGAGAGGAAACCCCCTGGACACACTTTGTGCTACCCTTGAGCAGAAGATGGCGTATGAGGAGGGTGAGCGTGACTTCGTGGTATGTAACATTTCCGAGTCGCCGAATTTTTCTATGAACGCCCAAGTCTAACATCTGGCAACAAGTTCCTCCAACACAAGTTTGATATCGAGAACAAGGACGGCAGCAAGGACATCATCACCTCTACCCTTTGCGAATATGGTGCCCCCATTGGATCTGGCGGTTACTCGGCAATGGCAAAGCTGGTCGGCATTCCCTGCGCTATCGGTAAGCTTTTCCTTTTCTTCTCAACTTTATGGCGATCCTCTACGGTTGGAATGGCTTCACTTGAGATCCTGTTCAGACACATCTTTCTTCACCTCCCAACTGTCGTACAAAGCCCCGGATCCAGCATTCTCCTATTAAATAGACATACTAACGTAGCATGTGTTACAGCTGTTAAGCAAGTCCTTGATGGCACCATCTCAGAGAAGGGTGTCCTCGCCCCAATGCACCCCAGCCTCAACACACCCTTGATGAAGGAGCTGAAGGAGAAGCACGGGTAAGTTATCCTGACCGTTGTCCTTAGGCTCATACACTGACTGGGTGCCCAGAATCGAATGCATTGAGAAGATCATTACATAAGAGAGAGGCTCAACAATGGGCACAAGCTCTTTTCCAGCAACACCGTCGAGGCCTGTAGCTTGACAACACAGTGACAGAGAGTCGAGTACGCGATATGAACGAAACTAGATAGGGATAAAACTGGTAGAAAAAATGGGAAAAGTTACAAGTTGTCTAGCAACCACCTCTCTATCATGCTGCGAAGTGTGCCGAAAGCCTGTCAGTAGTTGGTATTACAGTGTCCATTGTATCCGATCATCTAGTGACTGAGGAGAGTGGCAGTGGGCGGAGATGTCGCTGCTAAGTTTATCTATAATACAAAATTGATTTCCTTTGGGAGGCAAGTGTCAAACAAACCAAACAAGCACTCATGGCTTGTGCCCGAGAGGGACTCAGTCCTTTCTCCCCCATGCCGTTCGCGGGTCAGTTTGGGGGGAGAGAGTATAATTCCTCTGTCCGGCTTTCCCTCGGAACTACACGCCGCCCAATGCAACCAAGAATTCCCCCCTCCCGTGACGTCTATGGGTTTTTGTCTCTAGAGTTAAGCACAACACGCCGACTATCGTCTCCCGTATGGTACAATCACAGTCTCGCTTTCGTACATCTGTACAGCATCACACCCTACCCCATCCCCTCCTTTTCCCTTCACCCGGAGCCGGAGCCCGCGTCCTTCTTCGGTTCGTCGTCTGGCTTCTTCGTCTCGGTTTTGCCTTCGGGACCCTTGTCGGCACTACTCGATTCGTCGGACTTCTTCTGATGTGCCGGGTGGTTCGTGAGATTGTGCCACATGGACTTCAAGAAGCCCTCGTTTTGATGTGTGGCAGGGTCGTCGCCCTTCTTGGGCGACGGCGACGGATCGGACCTGATCAATGGGGTTAGTTAAAATACCATGTTGAGTCGCTGGGTGGAACTTACGTAGAAGGCATCTTGACATTCATGATACGTTTAGCCGTCTTGTCGCCCATCTCATCGGCCAGCATTTCCAGAATCGTCCGTTGGTTTGGCGATAGATACTTGGGCATGTTGACCCGGAACTCGACCCGTAGATCTCCAGCACCACCCCTCCGTCCACTGAGCTTCTTCATGCCCATGCCGCCAAGTGTGAGCTTGTCGCCTGTGTTGGTGCCGGTGTTGACCTTGACATTAACCTGACCATCAAGGGTAGGCACAGTCACCTCGCCTCCCAGCATAGCCGTCGTCAAGGGGATGGTAGCCGTATAGAGGATGTCCGAACCTGCGCGTTTGAACTTGGGGTCGGCAGCCACGCGGATCAGCACGTAGAGATCTCCCCGAGTCGTCTTGGCATTTGGGCTGACGCCGTCCCCGGTGGCAGGCGCATCACCCTCGCCGTCTACTCTCAGTCTCATTCCGTCCTCGATGCCTCCGGGGATGTCCAGCGTGATCGACTTTCGTTCCCGCACGACTCCGCTCCCGGCACACGGGTGGCACTCGGATCCACGCGGGGTGGTTTGGCCGGTTCCCTTGCAGGAATCGCAGGTCGAGGCCATCTGGAAACCTCCAGTCATGAAGTGCACGCGGGTGCCAGTACCTCCGCAGGACTTGCACTCGGACCGCTTCATTCCAGTCTTCAAGCCGCTACCGGAACAGGTGTGGCAGGTGACCCTCGGGTGTATTGTCATGGTCTTTTGCGTACCCTTGGCCGCTTCCATGAACGATATCGTGGCCTGCATCTCGATATTGTCTCCGACCAGTATCTCCTGTTGAAAGGGGCTGCGGCCCCGCCGGCCACCAGCAGCTCCGCCAAAGGGGTTGCCGCCCATACCGCCGGTGAACTGTGAAAATAGGTCGTCGAGGTTGATGTTGGCACCGAATCCTCCCTGGCCGCCAAAACCGCCAAAGCCACCAAAACCTCCGCCGCCGCCGAACGGGTGGCCTCCACCCTGCTGGGGATCGCCATTGGAATCGAAGCCGGCGGCACCAAACGAGTCATACTGCTCCCTCTTCTTTGCGTCGGACAGGATCTCATAGGCGGACTGGATATCGCCAAACTTTTCCTTGGCGCCGGCGTCCTTGTTGGTATCGGGGTGGTATTTCTTAGCTAGGCCATAGTAGGCCTTCTTGATCTCGGCGGCGGTGGCCGTCTTGCCTACACCGAGGGCCTGGTAGGGGTCTTTTACTGCGAGAGAGCTGGGCGACGCATGGAAAGCCTGGAGAACCATGGGTCATCAGCAACCGCGGGTAGCCGGCCGGGGGAGGGCCGCGAGGGAGTTTCCCCGAGAACCTACCTTCCTGTGTGTCGATGTCTGGCAAGCTGGCTGGGCGGCGCACACGCTGGGCCTCTTGGCAGCATACGCGATGGTCCTGGCCGGGGCGCACTTTTGCAGATTGTCGCGTAACCGCTGGCGTCGGTATATCTGGGCGGGCGAGAGCAGCCGCGACGGGATGGCGGCCTTTGTCAAAACGTTGGAGTTCATGTTGGATGAAGACCACAGCTCAGGGGTATTGTGCTGGACGAGGTATCATGGCAGGCCGGGTCGGGACAGAGGCCGCGAAACACATGCGACGGGCGTTGGGCAGGGCGGGCGAGAATGGCGCAGAGTCGAGAGTGGCCTATTCGCTACGGAGGTATAATCGTGAAGCAGCTGGAATCATCCAAAAACTTTTTGGATTGGAGCCGGGCCCAGCTAAACCAACGCCAATCGGCTTCGACGTAATAGGCACGGCGGGTGGGTCCCCCTGGGCGCCCCCGGCGTTCCACGCAGCACATAGCCCGATAGCGTTGTATGCAAATGAGCGAACCCGCGAAGCTTCGGGCCCTCTGAGATTGGGACGAAATGCTGGCCTCAGTTCTCAGGCAGCCAAGTCACTGTCGGTCATCACATCAACTGAAGATGACCTATCCCCCCACCCAACACTGGAGTTGCCTGGGCGCGTGGGCAGCGAACCCACTTTATCTGCCCGTTACCCAATTTGCAGGTCTGTCTTGGGCCTTGGCTGGTTAGAGTGCTGTCTAGCGGAAGCGCGTTCCGTGACAGCGGCATCGGGGGGCCACTGAACCACCCGACCAAAAGCTTGTCAATGTGATTCTTGGAGACAGAGCACGAGACAAAGCAGCTACATGAGATGCTGTGTGGATGCAAAGCCAGGATACCCTTCATATTGGCACTACCTAGGTATATACTAACTAATACCACTATTTCCTTTTACTATGCTATATGTCGGCTCCAGTTGCAGAAGATGTCCATTCGTAAGGTTGGAAAAAAAAAATTCCCCAGTGTCCCTGGGGCGTAGGTATCGATTACTGTGCCCCATCCTTATCGAGCCGGCGCCAAAAACTCCATCCATTGATATGACCCAAGCAAGATGCCGAGGGGGGAATAAAAAAAAATAATGCCGTACGACAGCAAAAAAACCAAAGCAAAATCCTCCCAAAATGTTATAGATCGTGTATGTCTCATGTGATGCATTGCCATCCCAGGAAAATGAATGGAAAAGTAGCCACTAGGGCATCGGCGATGCGTGTGGTTGTAGCTTGTTCCTCCTGGGCCTGGTAATCCCAGGGTTCTTGACTCTGTGCAGGAAGTTGACCACGACGTCGTTCTCTTGGACACCCAGCCCGTTGAAGTGTTTCCTGACCACCTGGACGAGCTCTTCCTTGCTCTGCCTCTTGTATTCACGTCGCCGTGCCATCGTCGGGGATTGCAGGCCGATCGAGCCCGGCCGCGAGAGCACGAGGTGGTGGTACGACTGCTCAAAGGCCGTGGGGGTGTCGAGGTTGTGTTCGCGCCGGTAGTCGTGGAGCACGTCGCGGTCGAACGACGACCAGTTCAACTGGAGAGACATTACGGTCAGTGACGCTGAGACACGGGCATGCAGTTCAGGACTTGCGTACCCCTGGCGGTGTCGAGTGTTGTGTGACGGTAGCAGCGGCGGGTGCTGCAGAGGTGTGCCCGTTCACCGCAGTCGCTTCACGCAGCTGCGAGCCGGTCGAGCTGGCGACACGGCGGAGCTTGGCGCTCGTGTGGTGGGTTTCCTTGGCCACATGGCCGTTCTTCTCTTTGATGCTTGCCGTCTCCGACTTGGAGTCGTCGGGGTTGGGTTTCGACTTGGCGGGAGGCATCGGTCAGGATGTGACGAGGCGGGAGTCGGATTGGGGGGAGAGAGAGAGAGAGAGAGCGAGAGGGTGGGTGCATGGGCAACCCCCGGTGGGAACGAGTGCTCGCACAACGGGATCGGTTTGTTCGAGACGGTCGACAGTGTCTTCGAGTGTGGGATAGGTAGGCAAGGCAGCATCTGCGGAGAGGAGAGGACGAGGACGAGGACGGGGTGAGGCGATCAGCAACGGTCAGGTTGGCTGGCTGGCAGGCGAGCAAGCGCACAAATTCGCACCCGCACCTTGGACTCGGCGCACCCCAGTACGGCCCCAGGCCCAGCGCGCATTGGAAATTTCGGGGTCTCGAGCAAAGGACCACCGACTTTCCGCAGGGCCACAGCCAGTGACGACATGGCGACCGTCTCCACTTCCCGAACCTGGGCTGTCCCGCATTGGGCTAGTGGACCCCGTGCCTGCCTTAGCTCCGAACCGAATCCCCGCCAAGTCGAGTCAAGGGGGAGAACAGACGGGACCGCATATCACGACAAAGAATCTCGGGTCCACGGGGACATCCTGAGATGTCAAAATATACAAATACCTATACCGAGAAATTGGTATCGACCAGTCATCATTTACTTGACCTCATTGGCATATTTTGTCTGCAAAAACATAATGAAAAGAATAGTAACATCGGCGCGTTGGCCCATCTCCGTTATAAGTCGCATAGCCGTGAGCAGTCCCCTCCTTGTCTGTCGACTCAGCACCGGATGCCATGAATCGTGTACGAACATTCACGCAGCAACGTAAAGAGTTTCTACATGAATGATCTTGTAAGAAATGTGGTAATCAATTCTGTTCCAAAGTTTCGACTGAGATCTACATTTTTGACTGACGTTTGCAATAAGCTTGGGGATGCGTCGACACTGCGTCGAAATATAGACCCGAGTGCTGATAGAAAGCCTTCAGTCAATCCGGATTCTTCTGTGAACGCTCGACGATGCTTCGACTTGGAGAGTCTGGTGTGGGAAATAATTTCCCGTTTGTGTTACTGTCATTCTAGGTTAGTGGACAGCTAGAGATATGTGGAAGCAACCTGGGAGGGCTCGTACCAAAAACCCCAGCTTACGCTTCTCGTACACAGACGTGGAATGACAGGTCTTTCCCTGAGCTCAAACTCAACGGGTCATCCATAACTCCACCCAAGAAAAAGTATGGCGTTTATTAGAATTCACAATTGGGTTCCGTGGGTTTGGCTCCAACATATCAAGTACCCCAGAAAATGAAGGGCAGTCGCAAGAACAATATCTGTCCAATGTACAAATGCGATCTGAGGGATTACCATATGTGATATAATCATCTGGTCTGAAATTACAGACATTGATTTGATTACGAGTTGCTTGAACAGTCGCAACGGTCACTATTTGTGTAACAAGACACAATGACAAATAGCCACATTCGGTATTGCTCTGGCAGCCAGCACTCTCGCTCGACGCTCGATGCTGACAGGAATCAAGGGGAAATGCATATGTGTTTCTTTGCCTAGTCAACTATGCGTAGAAGACCTGAAACACTGATCTGGCGTCTTAGCAGAGATGGATTCGCATCCGCGTTGCAACTTGTCAGTGTGGGATGGGGTTACCAAACGTCAACGTCAATTCTGATTGCAGACGAGACTTGTAGACCTCTAATTAGTTGGGACAAGAACCACGTTATGATACTTACTCCCGCCCTACCCTACAACCGTGTTCCGCCTGCCCAGGCCTCAATATAACTGTGACAACTTCCTTCAGCCGGATACTCTCAAGTCCTCATCATGTCATGGACAGTGCTGCTAACTTGAATTAGAAAGCCCTCAGATCGTGTCCAAGACAGCAGCATGGTTAATATCATAACCAAGTGGGGAGAAATGAATTGGATCTATAAATAAATAAGACGCAAGGCTATCTCAACTGTAGCTATAATATCAACAGTGTTGTTGCCGAAAACCCAGCCAGCACAACAGCCATGTCAGCAATTAGGGGCTAAATACTCCCCCCACTGGTCCTCCAGCAAATAAGCGTGCGCCGTGATGATGCTGTGGCTGACCAAGCTCGAGTACTCACCTAGGTACAGACATAAATTTAGCCGGCTAGTTGGCAATCCGGACCGCGTTTCTTGTGCAACCTGTGCCACGCCCTCGGTCATGTGCTCTGTCTTAAATGCTGGCACTGCATCCTTCCCCATTGTTACACCGAGCGCATGGAAGGGATCACAAGCATCCGTGACACGAGATTGTGGCCGGGGCCCCCACACTCTCTATGTTCTCCAGCTTACCGGGGACGCCCATCTGGAGTAAGCAAATCGCCGCATCGACGTGGGTAAGGTGACTCTCTGGTCCTCAGGCGCTGGCAATTTTCCCCCAAAAAAATGCTCGGTCGGCTTACGTTCCGCCAACCAGCTACTGCTTCTTATTCTATTGGCGTCCTATGCATCGTATCTGCCATCCTGCGTGAAGCCGGCTTCGGGTCGGTAGAGTGGGCGGTGATATATGCAACTCCCTATAGCAGCACAGAAATGTCAGGGTACATGTTGGCAAAGGGGCGCTGAATGTAACCGCCGACATTTAATGGACGGGGGTTGGTGCACGCCTCTCCTATGCACCCCAGTTCTGACGGCTTGGTGACAGTCCCTTGGTCATTTGGGATACCGCATTCATCGACGTGCAGATTCTAGCCCCGAGCTAAGGCGCCCTGGGGCAGATCGTTCTCCAGCAGGCTTGCTTTTTTCTCCCTCCTGGGCAACTGGGGCCAGCACTCAACAAATCATGCCGCTGAGCTGGCAGGGCACATGACCTCTTATGGCGCAAACCATTACCCTCCTCTCGTAGGGCGGACAGTAAGGCGACGGAGATGTCGTGATTGTCCGGCTCAGGAGAACAGCATGGGGGGCCGACGCCCGTACCGAAGCCAGTCCCAGAACCCTGGGAACCAGCTAGTATGAAACCCCCACACATCTAGGTACTCGGTGGGTATTGGGGGTTAGACGGCATGGATGATTTGCCTGCCGGCTGAAGTTGAGTTTCGTGTCCGGAAGAACCTTAGCTTTTGCACAGTTCGAGCTGGGTTCAAGTCCAGGGGACAGCTGGCGATCCCTTGGGCCCAGGGCCGGGTCGCTAACTAAGCCCAGTCACGCGAGAACGTTGGTTGGATTTCTCGCTTTGCTGGAACTAATGTATGGTGGCTTGCAGCAACACGCCGTGACCGTGGGGATGTCACAGTCCTTCTCTCGTCTTAGTGCTCATTCGCGGTGCGCCCACCGTTGCGTGATGCTGCTGTCACAAATTGCTTGTTTGCTAACTTAGCTGGTCTTGAACGACGCGTTCTCCGACCACCGCTGAGCTCTTGCGATGCCGGAAACTAGCAGATGGTCGCCGATCTTGTGTTGCCAACTAGTGGTCCACCAAGGCTTCATCTAGCAGTCTGGTTGTGACAAATAGTTCTCACAATTCAATATTTGGTGCTGGCTCAGGCGGTCGCGGAAGGGCTCACTGGATCTATGCAGCATAGGGCTATATCTCCAGAAAAGGCGACTCATGCTCTGTATATTGGATCGAAGCTTTATGACCGTCTTGTCCACCTGCCTGGCTGCTCGTAGCTGCGATTGAGTAAAACGTGTGGTCACAATATGAAGCGTGGAGTCAATCAGCTTAGAGCTGTGCTTTAGCTCCAGACTTATCGGCGTTCTGAGCAAAACTCCAAGGGTACGAAGCGTCGATGCTCCAGCCAGCCAACCAATTGTATATGAAGGGGGATATGATGTGTTCGGTCATCTCAACAACCCCAGACCCCACACAGAGAGGCTGACGACCGACAACCGGGCCCATTTCCACATGCATGGGTGGTGATTCCCACGCTAATCAGATCATCTGCGTTGGCCGTGTCTCGATCGTCGGGCCATGAATATTTTCTGCCAGAGCTACGTAGTGTGGACGACGACGTACTATGTATATCCTGCCATGTCTCTGATGCTGGATGTCTTGCATGCAGTTGCCAGGAGCCTCAAGGTTCAAGAAAGTCTCCCATGGGGCCCCGGAAGTACCTACATAGTAACATGGGGGTTTCCACCAATGTCGACAGAGCTGCATCCGGAAATCCACAATCTCAACGCCGCGACGGGGCCAGTGCCACTTGCAGACAGTTCTGTGTATTGAACCAGAGATGCGCGGCTTGGCTGCCCTACTTCCTTCCTGCGAGTTCGACTCCACCCATCACCAGATCCAGCAGGCAGGGCAGGTAAAGGCTCCATTGCATCGTCGGCATTGCCCGTCAACCCGTCGCGCGGCCCCGCTGGCTGGCTGGCTGGGTCTAGGGGACCTTAAGGCCAATGTGATATTGAGTCGCATGCTGTCGCTAGGCCATGATCATCGCAGATAAATGCCTCTTCTCGGAATAGCACCACACCCCTACGGGCCACCGACTCAACCGGAGACCGCAACCTAGTCGACGCGTTTAGTCCCCTGAAGGTACACTCCATTGCCTGCCAGACATCCAGGCCACCTTTGGGCAGCGCCTGGCTTGTCTGGGAGTTCGCAGCACGTCAAGGTTCGCGGGTCGTCCGGAAGTGCATGAGGCAGACAGGCAAAGCACTCTTAAAGATTTTCGCAAAGAATTTTTTTTTTTTCCCTCGCAGAGCTGGTGGAACGTTTCCGAACAAGATCGATCGGTAGGAGTTTCCGAGACCACGATCCGGTTCGAAATTTGATTCAAGAGGCGCGTCTCATGCAGCTACTGAGAGTACAGGCGGCCCAATCCTGCTTCTGGGCCAGCGCGAGGCCAATACCTCCTCTCCGGAGCGGAATCTTATGGCCCGCCTCACCCTGCTTCAGTCAAGCTCTAGCTATGTTGGTGGCTACAGGCTAGTTGAGGAGAAATAGTGAATCCTGCGCCAGGCGAAGAAGTATAAACAGGCGACAATGTTTCACGGTCATATAAAGCCACCTGGACTGGGATCCCCCGTCGCGCACCGTAGCACGCACGCTAGCCTGGGGAAACGAGACTTCCTCTAATCGACGGGCGCTATTATCGCATCCTCGTACCCTGTATTTTGATTAGTTCCCGACCTCCCTGTGCTAAGGTACTTAGTGTCAGTCAGGAAAGGACATCGCGGACAGCAAGTGAATACAAGAAAAAGCAACCGACGCCGGGCTTCCTCCTCTTGTGGACTCGCAAGGCGACGAGCGCTCAGCTGCGGCATTATTATAATTGCCACTGGTAGCGAGAATCGCACGGTCCCGTCGTATGTGCATCGTCAAGGTTTACCTGCAATTCCCTCGTTCCACGCACGCCCTGGCTGGCCGGGGGGACGGGGAGGAGGAGACGTCGGCTTAACACTCAGCCTTTTCCCTCCCACAGGTCTCATGGGCATGGGTTGGATCGTCGCGGCTTACCGCAGCCCGCAGTGCCTTAAGACCCAATAGCCCCCCACGCGTGGTCAATCGTGCGAGTCTATTTCTCCAGGTTCGCTTTGACTTTCGACCCACGGCAGCCAGAGCACTGCACCACGCGCGATCCGAGTCTCCATTTCAACCTAGAACCACGGGACCGGTTGAACCCCATTCTTGGAGCCGCTGTCAATACTATAATCTTTTCTTGTATCAAGTTTCGTGCAACCCCGTTGCGAGCCCTCCCGTCCTCCCGTCTCCCTGGGCTATCTACGCCGTCGTTTTACCCGCAGTCACGACTGGACTGCCCTGGGCATTGATTGATCAAGCCTGATAAGACACGCCATCTTCTGAGCCGCCGCTGTCCACTATCCATATTATCCATTGACCGGCACGGTACGTTTGAACACGCAAGCGTTGCACGGACAGAACGCCTGCGGTACTCTGTCTTTCTTTCATGTCTGCTATCTTGCGCCGTCGATGCATGCCTACTTTCTTTGTCCCTCCAACCAGAGACCGAAGGACTGCCCAGGTCAAATCGCCAGAACTCCTTGTCTCAACGCCCTCGAGCGATAGAAGGCATCTGCCGTCTTGTTCAAAACCACGCATTTGAGCTGCTTAGACAAAGCAGAACGAGAACAGCTTTATGCCGGGCTGGAGAAAACCTAGCCAGCGCGATCTCGTCTCCTGCGTTGAGAGGCATGCTTGCCTAGGTACTTCGTTGGCGCAGTCCTGGACCCTGGTCTTTGGAACCCATGTCTCTACATAGATTCATCAATGTATGGCCCGGTTCCCAAGAATGGCATTGATGCTACAGGTCGCTTGAGCACCCGCATCCCGCATCCAACCCACGTCCGATTCCACATCCCCGCTCAGAGTCGCTAGCTTCCATTTTTCCTTCCTCTCCCATGCGCGTCCAAAGTACAGATTGGCATCCGTGGATCGCCTCAGATCAGCGAGCGCTCGTCATCCTTTGTCTTCTTTGCGCACCCTGACTAACGAGCTCTGTTCATCAATCTAGGCCTCACTGATAGCAACACATAGTCGCGGACACATTGAGCGACGTTACCCTCTTCAACAGTGGCATCGCACTGCGCTGCCAAGCTATCTTCGGTGCATAGTCCCGTGCGGGCCTGCCGTGTTGTGCCGGCCATGTGTTCGCAACTCCGTTAACTGGACTGGGGTGAATTTCGCTGTTACTTCTCGAGATCACCATTAGCTGGAGTCACCGAATTAGTAGACTGAAGACTTTCCTCCGTGTACCTGGCAACGCTCCCCGGTCAACGTATTTGGTGGCGCTGCCGTGTAACAGCTGGACGTCGACCTGTGGAACGCGACCTTCACGTCTCCGGCGGATTTGAGACAACGTTATAGACGTATAGCGTTCCTTGGAAACTCTAGAACCCATTCTTCCAGAGCTTGAACTATTTATACTGAACCCCGGGCCGCGCGGTTTAAAGTCCAACTGCAAGCTCCTTCATCCTGCCGGGAAGTCTTGGGCCGAGAGACATTGTATGGATTATGTCATCCCTCGTCGCAGTACAGCCTGGCGAGATCAAACCCGCCTTGCCCGTTGCACGAGCTTCGCCTATGATGGCTCAAAAGCAAGGGGTAACTCCTCAGTCAGACGGACCCGAACGAGGGCGTCCCCGCCACCACGTCGATGACGATGAGTCTAAAGACAAGAGCGACAATGAACAGGATGCAGACGGCGAACTTGAAGCTAAGAACGAGCATTCCTCTAATGATGATGGGGGCCCTACGAGAAAACGCAGACGGAGTCGGAAAGGACTCGACAAGAAATTCGAATGTCCTCACGAGGGGTGCGGGAAAAGCTATTCAAGGGCCGAGCACCTGTGAGTTAAATTGACCGTCTCCGCTGACCGAGACTAACCAGCGTGAAGTTATCGCCATCAGCTCAACCATACGCCTAAGATGATCTACCACTGTACCTTTCCTGACTGCACACGAACGTTCGTCCGGCAAGATCTACGAAATCGTCATATGGATCGTCACACTGCTAAAGGTTCAGCGCTGAGTCGGAAGGACTCTATGAGCCATCATACAACTTCCGGATCGATATCGCCAGAAGCCAATCGACCAGGATCCGGGTTTCCGAGGCCTGGCGGCCCCGGAGCCAGTCCTTACACGCCTATATCTGCTACACCTCCCATGTATCCCCACGCCGGCCCTGCTCACGGGGTAGACGGTTTCCTCCCCCAAGACACTGGCTATGGCAATGCTGTGAACCATCGCCAGGCGCACCAGTCGCCAGCTGGCCATCCCCGCCCATCGGTTCAGACCAACGTTTCCTCGTATGGGGTGCTATCACCTGTGTCGACGCATCATGGTGGCTATCACAACCAACAAGCAAACACCCCTCAGCAAGCCCCAACGGGGCCGTATGTTTCGCAACAGCACTTTCCTCCTTTCACACTGCCACCCTCCGACTTCGCCACTACTTCGCCAACTGGTGTGTCGAGAGAATCAAGCCAAACATATGGGGCAGCCACCACGGCCACGACGAATAACGAATATAACGAATCAGCTCATCAACAGGCGTCGGGAGAGATGATGCTCTTAGACCAGATGGCAACACAGACCACGATTCCCGTTTTTGGTACTGATGGTGTGCTCAACAAGTCTCCATATATCTCGATCCCGGAAGACTTCGTTGCCTACCTGTTCAACACAACAAATCCAGACGGTTCTCCTTCTGTCGGCCACGTTCTAGCGCAGAATCAATATTCCAAGTATGTTGCTATATGTTCAAGACCTGAATCGAGGACTGATGACTAATGGCGAATAGCTATGGTGACTACCAATCCCAGTACAACATGACCTATTACGGGACTGATGGCGTGTCTCTTGGCTACTTCCCACCATCGAATCAACCCCAACAAGTCATGTCTGTCACTAACCTTCTGGATCAAAACTTGCCCGAATCGTTACTTTCTGAGGAGAAGAGTCAAGAGATCTTCGACTTCATCAAAGAACGCTTCCACGAGAACGACCACGCTCCTGTTGAACGCCAAAGAGACAACATGCTCGAGGGCGACCGCAGCGATGAACAGCACATGTTGAGCCGCAAAATGATGCAAGCTTACATTAGCTCTTATTGGGTGCATTTCAGTGATCAGATACCCATATTGCACAAGCCGACCTTCTCGCCAGACAAGACACCAAACCTCTTGTTGCTTTCGGTCATGGCAATCGGCGCATCTTGCCTGGACAGGACACACGGGCATAAGGTAACCAGAGCGGGCGCACAGCTTTCCAATTTCCTGGCTTGGCATGTCAGATGGGAGGTATTCATGGACGTCAGCAGTCGTCCCCCAGCCAAGCTTTGGGTTTTCCAAGCTTTGCTGTTACTGGAGCTCTATGAGAAGATGTACTCGACCCGAGAGCTACACGAACGTGCACATATTCATCACGCGACCACCATCACTCTCATGCGTAGAGGAAGGTCGCTGATTGGCAAATCCGCCCTGGACTCGCCTCCGCACTCTCGCGAGGAGAAAAATGGCTCAAGACATTCTTCAACCTCGGGGCTTGCGAACACACCCGATGAATGGTGGAACCACTGGATCACAAACGAATCTACAAGACGGGCTGCGTTTGCGGCATTCCTTGTCGATTCGGTACATGCAACCATGTTCGGCCACTCTACAGTTATGGTAGCCCACGAAATGCGTCTGCCTCTGCCGTGTGAGGATCAATTGTGGAAAGCCACCAGTGGGGCCGAGGTTGGACGTATTGAAGCGAATCTGATGTCTAATGGGATCAAACCTATCTCGTTTCTGGAAGGGCTGAAAAGAACGCTCAATGGGCAGGAAGTGCACACTAACTCATTCGGCCGACAGATCCTCATGGCGGGCTTGCTGAGTGTGAGCTGGCACATGAACCAGCGGGATCTACAAGTGAGCTCGTTAGGCGGAGGAGTGACGCAGGCACTTGGAGGTCGCGACAAGTGGCGCAGCACGTTGACCAGAGCCTTCGATTCCTGGAAGACAGATTTCGACAAGTCCTTGCAGCGCTCCGACATTATCACAGACCCGTATGGCAATCAGACAAGGAGTAACGCCAATGTTGTGTTTGAGAGCCGCACAGTCTTGCATCACCTGGCACACATGGCGATGCACGTCGATATAGTCGACTGCCAGATATTCGCTCGTGCAAAAAGACTTCTCGGCCGCGCGATCGGCAACCAAGACCTCAGCAGTGCCCAGAGAAGGATGAAAGATAACTGGGCGCCGACAGCAAAGGCACGTGATGCCACGTGGTATGCCCTCAAGTTCTTGGCTTCCGTCTTGTTAGCCGATGAGACTGGGTCGGGTTCTGGCGGTTACAAGCCAGGCGAACCCTATGTGGCCCGCGACGACGTGCTTCTCAACCGGCCTTGGGTTCTCTACTTTGCAACACTAGTTGTCTGGTGTTATGGATTTGCCCTTGAAGGGCCGTGTCCGGCTGCTTCTTTGCCCACGACGCCCCAAGAGAAAATCGAACACATGAGAGATTACTTGCATAAGTTTGGCGCTATACCGACCCCCGAAGACTTGAAGCTCATGAAGGGGGTAAACCACAACACAGCATTATTGCTTGTGCTCAAAGATTCGTTTGAGACAAGTCGTTGGGAGCTCCTTCACGAGGGCGCAATCCTCTTAAGTAACTGCATCCATTTGAATACTGGCTCCACCATGGTCTGATCTTGATATGTACATCTGTACGGACATGTAAGTTCTCAGCGTGGTCTGGCCTGGACAATGTGTGGAATGGAGGAAAGGCACAAAAGTTATCTTTTCTACTTGTCCATATACATATGTTGTATTCCGTCTTGTATCTACACTTCTGTCTGACCCTATATACCCCCCAACGCGCCCTGGGATCGAGGCGTGGCGTTACTTTTTAGAAGCGTGGATTTGTTAAAAAGTATCAGTTTCACATTGCAGACGATGCCCGTCGATCGGCCCTCAGATGGCTTTCTCTCCCTTTGGAGTATTAATCCATGCATCAGAAGGAGCTTGCTTGGGCGACCGTAGTGACGAATAAGCCTTCATGTCATCAATAGTGAACATGTTCCTCGTCCGCGGGTAGAGGTGGGGGTGGAGAGCTCAGCTCCCCATTGATGCGCCCTGGAAACTTTGTCAAAGCAGTTACCCTCAGTCGGTGACATCGTCATGAAAGTGGCTGTCGGAAAGCCCAGCTCCTCTCTTCCTCATGGTCGTCGGTCAGCCAATAATTATCATTCTCACTTGGAACAGCTAAGCGCGAAAATGTAGGCGGTATTTGGACATGTCGGCTTTTGGATGGCAGGATGAGATGTCCATGCAGCGAAACGCCGGAAAGTGTCGTTAAGTCCGACCGTCCACACCCCAGACTCTCTTGCGTCAGACGCACCGTAGTTATCTCCATGGTGGCTTCGGACCGTCCTCGCCCAGCCAGTTAAGTTGACATATCCCATCCCGCCGAACCCCGCCTCCACTTTGAAACCCATCCCGACCTATCCATGCCGAGCTTCGTATTATTATCGTGTCATTGGACCCGGGGGTTTTATCATCGCACCTCCCCCGACATCTTCAGTCCTCATCGGGCATCTGTAATACTCTGCCGTTAGGTGATGTGTGCCGCTCAGCTTATCTCTGTTGACCTGTAAACCGTGAGACCTCATCAGCAAAGCACGCGAGCCTGGGCTACGCAAGATGGTTCTGGTCACGGAGTTGCCTCCGGAGATCATCCACAACGTCTTCCGCTTCGTGGACCCGCCCGATCTCGCATGGATTCCTCGTGTTTGCAAGTCCTTCCACTATGCTATTAGGGGCAACCCCATGCTATTCAAGGATGTGTATACCGCACACTTTGATAACCCCCCGCGTGACGACGTTGATTGGGAACAGATCCTAAAGGACGTCGTGCGGCTGCAGGTTGTGTGCCGCCGTCCAGGGGTCGAGGATAAGGTGCGTTGAGCTGTATTGCAATAGAGAGGACTGCTACTGTTGAAACTCACACTGGACGCAGAGAGACGAGCTGTCGTTTGTCTATGAGACGGTGAACCAGTTCCTCAAGAATGCCTCGTCGCAGGGGGAAAGGGCCAGCAACTCGGCGACGCACGCCCTGTCGCGCAACGCGGCATTGCTCACCGAGCTGTTCAGCGACCCCAGGAACCAGAACGCCTTTCTGGAACGTTCGTTCATCTACGAGCGCGCGCGCGGCGAGCTGCCGCCGCATGCGTCCTTTTCCTCTCCACCCAAGGTGGAGCACCAGCAGAGTGCGAAGCTTCACTGCCTGTACGGCGTGCCGCTGCTGCACTTACACCGGAGCTCGCACGACACGCGGCAAGGCAAGATGTCCCCCTTCGCCTGCTCCAAGGTCTACGACCTGAGGCAGTATACCGCGAAGACTCGGTGGGGCCCGTTCATGGACGACGGCTCGGATAGAACGGACTGGGAGAAGGTCGAGGCTATCATGTTAGTCCTGGGAGCCAACCTCAGTCGTTTGGGACTTAATGTCTTCCCCATCTGCAAAAACTTCTGGGACGTCCCCTTTGCTGGGGTATGGCCTAATTCGTATATGCCCCTCCCGGTTCTGGAGCGTGAGAAGGACGAAAATGAGCTTGAGGACCCGTATGGCGTTACAGGGACTTGGTTGAGGGTTGTTTGCTTTCTGGACTATACGGACTTTTTCAATTTCAACTTTAACCCGGAGAATGAGTTGCCGTCAAACATCCCCCGCAGGGCTATCCACTATGGCGAGGCGACCAGGCTGATCCTCATGAAGATATCCGTGACAAAGGTCGAGCCGCCAGGACCGGAAGATGGCCAAGCATTACCGGTGGTTCATTTCAAGGGCATCTCCCGGTCGCTGGACGACAGCTGGGACGAGAACGCAAATTCGGATCTCCGAGGTACGGTCGAAATCAAAGGTGCGTTCCGCGCCTTTTGTTTTTTAATCAGGGGCCTGCTAACCAGTAGTACAGGAACTGTGAGGTTAACAAGAGAGGGCGAGGTCCGGTGGACGACCTTCTCCGTATTCAACGGGCAAGAGAGGTGGCGGAGCGAGAGCGTTCAGATCGGCGGCGTCAAGAGTGCCAAAGGTGTGGTGGGCCACTGGTTCGACAAGTAAGTTTCTGCTGAGCTTTCTTCCGATTATAGAGGTAACGAGATTTGATATTGAAAATGCGCAACAGAGATTACGATCCACGCGGCCCTGCTGGTCCGACTGCCTTCTGGAAGACGTCGGACAAGGTTACCCACGGGTCTCATGAGCACCAGGCCTTCCTGGACGAGTACCAAGAGATTGAGCTCGCAGATGCCGACTACGACCCGGAGCAGGACGAGGGTGTTGAGGACGATGTCGACGACGACGTTGAGATTGAGCTTTTCCTCGGCCCTGAGGTGGATCTTGCCCATATTCTACACAGCCATGAGCTCTGAGACGTAGGAGCAGCATACACCCGGACGTCAGCTCACCATGGCACAAGCGAGGTGCTGGGAGCTGCCGTGGCTAGGAGTGAGGGGACGAAAATAAATATACAGATATGTGAATGCGTCATGTTCGGATGGATTCGGGGCCAGCAACGGTCTAGCGAATCAATTGTAATGACAGGATGGGAGCACTTGAGAGTCGTGCAGCTTGTCAAACTTTGCACGTCCTAGGCCATGGGGCGTGATAAGAAGGTCATTCGGCATCATGGCCGTTGATCAAGTTGGTAGTAGGATATTCTTCTATGTAGAGAGCTTCAGTGGCTTCAACTTCGAACGGCCGTATAACCCAGAAATCACTCTGTTTCAAGTATCACGACGCAACGCTGCACATAAGCATGTATGGCCCGGGTATATCGGCCGATTTATTATTCATGTTTAAAGTCATCCTGTCCACATCTGGTCACGGTTTATCGGAGACAACTGCATCTATGCCCTTCGCATCCCCGGGTTGTGCGTCCTTGGATGTGATGCTAGACGGTGACAAGGGTCGCGTTGGTCCCTTTGGACATGCGGGACTGGACGAACCTTCAGATCCCACGCCATCCAGCACACTCTCGCTGAAGCTATGCTGTGTCGGTGGTCTGTCATTGGCATCCTTTTCGCTCCCGTCTGCCGAAGCTCGGATACCCAGAGCCTGATATTTCTCGTTGGACGGAAATCCCGGGGAGCCTAGGCCAGGGCTGCTCGCTGCACTCCCAGTCTTTTCGCTGCTGGTCCTTGATTTCCTACTGCCGCCGAAACCCCAACCCCCGCCAGTGCTGCCGCTTCCACCGCCGTTGCTGGACTTGGAGCTCCACGCCTGTTTCCGGCGTTCGCCAGCCCATGCAGCCCACGAACCGATGTACGCCCCTGCTTTCGCGCCGACTGAGTTCATTGTCTGTTGCGCCTTTACAAGATCCACATTGGGTACAGTGGAACCGGGTTTCTGTGTTCCTCCAGGGGCAGCTCTTGCTTCGTCGGCTCTTTTCCGCTGCGCTTCACGCATTGCCTCCATGTCGGCGTAGAATTTGTTGAACATGGTGCTAGCCTTTTCACGAGCGGCGGCGGCGTTGCGGCCCAGAACCTCGCGACCAGCAGCGAACCGTTCATCAAGGTGCAAGTCCTGTACTTGCTGCTGGATTCGGCGCTGGACATCGTCGACAGTCAATCCGCCGGCACATGGGTGCTTAGGTTCCACGATGTCGAAGAGAAGTGAGTCGGTGTGCGCGTCCCAGATCCGGTAATTTTCCGTCTTTTTCCAGTACTCCACCCACTCAGCGCTGAAGTCCGTCGACGGATCGCCTTCGATATGGGGCAATGCGGCCTTGGAGTTCCCAGCTGTTTTCTTGAGGTGATTATGATACTTGACTGATGAAATCAGAGAAAGAAGGTATTCTTCGAACTGCAGCCTAATGAATTCCTCACTACCACGGTACCCCATGTGATTTGGCCGCCCCGGATTCTTCTCGTCCCAGGTGTCGTTAACCTCCTGTGTGATGAAGTCAATCCAACGGCGATCGCTAGCAGACAACGCAAGCGCAGAACGCAGTGACGAAGATGTAATGTTGATCGTGTCGTCATCCAAGTTGATCAAAATATCGCTGTAGCGGTCCTTTTGCTGCAGAAGAAGCGAATTAGTGCTTCCGACTATGTACGATTTGGTACCAAAATCGGCGAGTATATCAAGCTGCTGCAGCGGCGTATACGGGCCAAATAAACTGCCCTTGCCAAATATCTGGAGGGGTAGGCCCATATATGAGAGCAGAGAGTTCCGATCGCTCGTTCTGAGGCTGGTTGGTTGGCTCAGATTCTTATTGTATTCATCCAGTTCTGGGCCGGCACAATCTTGGAGGTTTCTCAGAAGTCCTGGAATCAGAGAGATGAGAGAGAATTGCATCATGCATAGCCGCTCGCATCGTGAGCCGAAGAAAAGCATCTGCGACTATTAGTGATCTGTCTGCTGAATTTGATTGTGATGCTGCGTGACTTTACCTTTGGTTGCAGCAGACAACACTTGAGCAGGACCAGAGTCTGCCACCGGAACTCGCGAACCAGCTCGCGCAGACTCATGCCCAAGTATTGATCCCGATCTTCTTCCTCATTCAGCTGACCTCGCTCCTTTTCTTCCTTCAAGCTTTCCTGAAAGTGTTGCAGGATCTCGCAGTCGGTAAATTCACGCTGCGCAAACCAGGCGCTGGTCACCATGGAGAGGCGCTCCCTTAGCATCCCGAAGTACTGCGGGCTATCCGCAATGACCACGACGGCTTTTTGTACGGTCGATCGGGTAACGTCAGCCGGTCTATTAAGGAGTTGCGAAGCGTCCATTTGTCGGGTGCAGGATATGCCGAAAAGGGAGGTCGCCGGGGTGTCGCCCTGAGCTGGTCGCAGCAATGTAAAATAGGAGAAGTCCTCTGTCGAACTGTCGGAATAGACTGTTGTCAGCGGCCCGACATAGCCAAGTGCAATATACAGTCTCAAGACTTACGCATGTGCGCCATCACTGAGAGCCATGAATGGCAGCAGAGTCCAATCCCAGTCCGCCGCAGGATCTGTTCCCTCCGGCACCCCAAACCACTTCTCGACTTCGGGTCCTCTGGCATGGTGGAAGTCGACGACTGTCACAAGCGGTATAAATCCAGCTTTGCCACCGGCGGCATCGCTGACAACGGCCCCCGCTTGATCGGGGCCGGGACTCGACATGGTGGAGGTCGACGATGTCGCTTGCCTGGAGAACCTGGGAGATGCCAGACTTCAGAGGCCAGCAATACGTAGCTCCAGGGCCAATGAGCTACCTGGACAACAGCACAAGCTCTCCCAGCAATTCGGCGGCTGGACTCCTACAGCTAGCAGTCTTGAGTTGATCACGGGTTGCTGGTAAGCAGGGTGAGCTGACGTCACGGCGGCTTCTCCAGGTATCTCGGGTCAGATGAAAGTCGAGGGTCTATGAGTCGCGCGCATTCCTCGTGGATATCATAGAAGCAAATTGAATCACCAGAGGGCCACACGGGTTCTCTCAGTCGGCGCAAGTGTTCATGCCGGCAATGAATTGGGGGTGATCAGAATCAGGAAAAGGAGGCGGCGGTCTGGATGTCGGGTAGTTCTAAAATCAGGGCCGATGTTCAACATGTATCGCGACAAGACCTCAGCGGGGCATGCCGTTAGATGGGTTCCAAATGAGAAGGCTGCCCATTCGCCCCAATTCCGAAAGAAATCCCAAGCAGCCAGTCCCGGACGCGTAGCTGACCGGTCACCAGATTCACCGACGGGGGCATTGACTACCCAACAGTCCGGTCGAAGAAGCAATGAGCGTGATAAGACGGCCTCGCGTGGTCATCCCGCGGTCAAGCATGTGTTTTTTTCCCCCTCCCCTTGTGGCAGACTCATGGATGTCTGTCGGCAACGTAATAAATTTCCTGGAGACACGGGGTCCAGCAGCGGCAATGCTACCATTCAATTTGTGTAGCAGGGATGACTCGCAGTCAGAACCCCACCCCAGCACCCCAGCGCCAGCCCAGGGCGCTAAGGACCACCCATGGCAAGCATGGATGGCATCTTCCAGGCGACATCAGATGGTCCCGCGGGCCCAGGCAAAATACCCCGGCGTACCTAGCCGCCTACACGGAATCCGCCAGCGTCTACGGTGTAGCCTGAGATCAGACAAGTGGCTACCTGTTAATCGGTCATGAACAATCGCACCCAACACTGCAACTCCTGGCTGAGGTCAATAAGTTCGACATGTGCCACCGGGTCGACCACACACGAACAGAAACAATTGCCCCTGCCTCGACGTTGAGCGATATGGGAGTCCAGGTCTGCCCAGCTACTGGACGTGGCAATATGCCAGTTGTCCTGCATTGCATAAACGAAACCTGACCAGTTGAGGCCGCTGAGAAAATCCCGAGTCCTACGGGCCGCCAACAATGCCATGCGAGATTTGTGCAACAGATCATTGGGAAAGGCTGATCAATGAACCAATCCGAACACGGATAGTGACGGGGTTCCCGTCGCCTTGGGTGCGTGCAACCACCGCCGAGGTTGCCCTTATCGTACACGCTGCAACATCGACCGCGAAACTCGAAAAAGGAGAGTGTCGTCCCATTATCAGGGCTTGGTCAACGGCATTCGAGAGTCTCGACCCGGAACTCCCACAGCGTCTCAGAGATGTGACAACATACTTATTACTGCGTATTTTCAAGCCTTATACTAGTCCTATTCATGTAAAATATGCTGTTCAGCCGTTTATGATACTCCACGTAGTATAGAAGTAATGAGGCTGCCAATTGCTTCTCAGACCAAAGCATCTAACGCAACAACCTGCGCAACAACCTGCGCTACGACAGACTCGACGCACTGCACGATCATTTCACAGGGTGTTTGCCAAGTTGCAGTTGAAGTACTCCATAGAAGAAACAAGTCTATGTCTACCTATGTAGGCAGAACGCACGCCCTTGACCCAAAGGTGATAACACTTGACTTCAGCAGGAATTTACTTGAGCAAGCACCCACGCCGTGCAATGTGCAGCTCGTCTTAATAGCTACGATCAGGACATGAAGCCGGCTGATAGATGCAGTGGGCAGAGTATAAGAGTACCAATGGACAGAGTGTTAAGAGTACCAATGGACAGAGTGTTAAGAGTACCAATGGACAGAGTGTTAAGAGTACCAATGGACAGAGTGTTAAGAGTACCAATGGACAGAGTGTTAAGAGTACCAGGGGTCAATCTTTGGCAACGTGTATGGTTGTCGAGGTCCTAAGGTCTGACCTATTGGAAATATGCAACAGAGAGCCTTGGCAAGTCGCTGCAAGCGGGTTATCACCATGTCGCAAAGCCCCGAATTACAGTTCAGATTAACATACGAGCAGGTTCCATGCCAGTTTCGCGAAACTACTCAAGTACTTGGGCACTGAGCTTGGCTGAACAGTGGGTTTGGAGTGGTCAGAGGTTTTTTCCAATGTAATTATCTGGTGATATCTTACAGGGCATGCTCGAACGCGAGCAGCTCAAATTTTGAAGGAAGACCCTTTGTCGTTTGTGGCAAATCCCTGGTAGCCTTCCAAAGTGGTCGAACAATCCCTAATATAAACACTTATGTACACAAGCTCACATACGAGCTCCTCGTGCCTGCTCCTGCTCCTGCTCCTACTCTTGCGCCTGATCCCGCTCTTGCCACCCCTCTATGCAACGACGTTGAGGCCTATCGATTTGGCCTGGTATATGATAGACTTGCACAGGCCCTCTAAAGAAAGACCCGACAGGCGTAGCTCCGACTGCTTGATCTTGGCAATCTCGTAGACGTGTTTGAGGGTGACGCTGCCGACGACCTCCTGGCCGGGCTTGGCGGCGCCCTTTCTCTTCCCCTTCTTTCCGACCGGAAGCTCTGCGGCATTCTTTAACAGCCACGATGTGTGAGGTGTGCGTACGTCGAAGTGGAATGTCCTGTCGGCGCGGACGGTGACTCGGGTCGGCATGGGGGTGCCGGGGTTTATGTGCTGTGTTCGCGCATTGAATTCCTGCGGCGGCCGTCAGTCCTGGATCCTCAGCACTTCTAGTCGCTGAAGACGGCTCACCTTGCAGAAGTCCATTGACTTGACACCTTTGCTACCAAGCGCAGGACCAACGGGTGGACTGGGTGTTGCTTGACCGGCGCCTACGATGAGCTTCACGATCTGGTCCGCTCCGGCGGCAGCACCTCGCTTCGACATCTTGTCGGCCGGGGTCTCTGGGGTCACAGGGCTGCGGTTGCGCGTGTCGTCGGGGCAGTTCGTCGCGTCGATCGAGCCTGAAATCGAGGACCTTGATTGATATGGCTCTTGAGGCTCAACAGCTGCGACCGATTGCAATTTTCGGCGGCAGGGGAGCAACTGCATTGCAGCTGCCAGTCTGACCTCAAAGAGGCTAGAGCCGGAGCGCCCTGGATCCCGGCTGCCCGTTTCGGGACAAGCCGCAAAACTTACCACGGCGCAAGTCGTCAGTGGCAGATGCCACCTACCTAAGGTACAGAGGAGCCCCCCAGACCCAGGCAAACCCAGGGGCTCCAGGGCTGGCTGTGGCTGCTAGTCAGTCCCAAGTCCAACCTTGCAGCGCAATTGCAGCCAAAGCAGCGGGCGCCATGCCTCGTGGTCAGTGGCTGATCAGTGGACGTCACCCAATCACCCCTCCATTCAGAGGACCCTCGTTCTGTTCCGCGTTCTGCATTAACTGGAGCTCTTTCGCCTTAGCCGGCCAGCCATCGTGATTCGTTTCCCAACTAGAGAATTCCCCTAGATCCAATATATTCCCCTTCCGGCACTTCAGACATCACCGCTCTTTAGATCCATACAGATAGCACCCCTCCCCGTCCTAGATCCTACTTTTTGCAGAGGCCACATTCGCCATAGGAGGGAAGACGCACTTCAAGAAGATGTTCAACTGGGCCAAGCAAACGTATGTCTGCCCCACCATCACGACTGACCAACGTCCCGTAACGCATCCCACGTCTAATCTGGGCCAACTTGGCTGACTTTCTGCTCGATAACACAGCTTAGCCAACGTCGTTGGCACGGAGGAGCCTATATACGGGCCCTCTGCCATCCGATCGGTCGCCGAAGATGCAAAGACAACCCCTTACACCGAGCTCAAGCGGGACGACTTGAAGTGGGAGGTCAAGGACTCGACCTCCGTCGAGACCCAGAGTTTCTACTTCATGTCGGAGAGCGGCCACATCGGTCTTGCCCAGGTCATCTATAGTAACGTTGCGTATGCTCCCACCTCTCTCGGCCCCGTCCTTCCCGGCCAACACCGCTCTAACCTCCGTGAAGCGGCATCCGAACGACGGTCCAGTTCAACTCCAAGATCATCTACCCAGATGGTTCGAAGCCCCACCTTTGGTGCTCTACCCCCCTGAACGAGCACTCCTTCAGTGACGACAAGCTGAACTTCCACGCCAAGGACTGCTCTGTAGAGCTGTCTGACGATGGCAACACATACACCATCAAGTCCATGACTGACCAGCGCTGCATCGTCAACCTCAAGGTCACCAAGGCCGCGCCCGGCTTTGTCGCCGGAAAGGACGGAAAGACCTTGTACGGCACCGACCTGTCGAACCCGTGGGGAACTATGAGACACGCATTCTGGCCTCGTTGCGTCGCCGAAGGAAGCATGATGACCAAGGACGGACCTGTGGATTTCAAAGGCCAGGCCTTGTTCATTCACGCACTCCAGGGCATGAAGCCGCATCACGCTGCTGCCAAGTGGAACTTTGTCGACTTCCAGGGCCCAACCTACTCGGCTATCCTGATGCAGTACACGACACCACCGTCCTATGGAACCTCGGTCATCAGCGTAGGAGGCATCGCCAAGGATGGCGAGATCATTGTCGCCGGCACCGACTGCGACGCCGCGCACCTGAAGACCCAGCCCGACTCGGACAACGAGTGGCCAGAACCCAAGGAGGTAAAGTTCACTTGGACTGGAAAGACCAAGGATGGCAAGGCGGTCGAAGCTGCCATCGAGGGACCCTTTGAGAAGCGCATCGACCGTGTTGACGTCATGGCCGAGGTTCCCGCATTCGTGAAGAAGATCGTTGCTGGAGCTGCCGGCACGAAGCCCTACATCTACCAGGTATTTGCGCACCTACAAGTACACACATTATTGATGTGATGGTTAACACGTTCGTAGTTCGCTCCTACCGACTTTACCTTGAAGTTGAAGATTGGTGACGAGACCATCACCGAGAAGGGCAAGCTGTTCAGCGAAGCAACCTTCATTTCAGGCACGGAAACCGGTAAGAACCCTTAAGCTCCCCACGATTACATTACACAAACTCAGGACTAACCGACACTTTCTATAGCTGCCGCTCACTCTTAGGAGAGAGATGATGGCAATGAGACGAAACCATCACGAAAACCCGAAGTGCCACCTACCATACCTGTCCAGGTTTGAACAGCGCAGGCACTCGGGCACGATGCCTTTTCACGTTCATATAAGATCCTGCCAAGATGTCTGACTGGGGAGAGTACATTGGGCTATTGGGTCACGGCGTTATAGAGGCCATGAGGGACATATCGCTCGCTTGGGAATTCAGTTTGCATGGAGGAAAGGACGCAATTACAACCTAGAGGATGATTTTTGATAAGACCTTGTAATGAACAGAATAATTACATATACACAATCGTTTTGCATATCGCGTCAGGCTCAGCTGTTGGCCTAGGCCTTCGCTCGGGGTGGGAAGAGGGCGGAAAGTCCAATACACCGCAAAGTGGAATGATTTAATTAGGATGATGATGTCTCCCAAACTATTGGCGCTGGGCGGGGCATAAGAACATGCTTACCACTTAAGGTACCTTGAATACCTTTGCCATCCACTGATCGGGGTTACTATGTACAAGCGAATAGCAGCTCGTACTCCTTCCTGCTCAGCAAGAGCATGCATGTGCTTTCGCGTCTCTAGCGCGGCTACTTATCAGCCGATAAGTGGCGAGTTAGTCCACTTCCTGCTTAGCGCTGTTTGTGGTTGCCCCCCGGATTTCAGCTTTCGCCTCCCCACCCTCACAATACTTATGACTTATGCGCCCATCGTGAATTCGAAGCAGTCGCCATCAAGTCAACGTTATCGGTCCTCGCATGCCGCGATGGCTTCCACCTGAGAAATCCCACATCCTCAACTTCTAATCTCTCCACTCCTCCTCTTCAAACCCGCCACGCAGTTTGGTGTTTTGATGCGCCTTTCCATCTGCCGCAACCCCATAGACCTCCTGTGTTCCGAATAACTTCGTGCGAGACCCACAGACGTGATGGCTCCAGTGGCGTCTGGTTCCAAATTTGCAGCTATGGCCGGTCGCGGCAAAGGCGGCAAGGGCCTTGGCCATGGCATGGGCGGAAAGACTGGTGCCAAACGCCACAGGTAAGCTATCGTCCAACTTGAAATGCGATACATATCCATCCTCGAGACTCCGTGACTGACACTAGCCCAGGAAGGTTCTCCGAGACAACATCCAGGGCGTCAGTAAGTGAACATTGTCCTCACTGCTGCTGATGATCAGAGCACTGCGATTAACTCGAAGCTCAACTATAAGCCAAGGGAGCCATTCGGTAAGTCCTTCGTGCGCCTTCCCACGATGATATGTTACGACGGAAAGGTTGCAAGGACAGTGCCAGAAGGGCCACCCGGCTGTCCTGAGCCTGCATGTCACTGTTTTTATCTGCTATACAGATTTCTCTTTTGCTTTGCTCTAACGAAACTGATCTCAACAACAGACGCCTGGCACGCCGCGGTGGTGTGAAGCGTATTTCGGCTGGCATCTACGAGGAAACCCGTCATGCTCTCCACCTGTTCTTGAAGGACGTACGTTCTGCTATGCCTCGAGCTCAGCCTTTGTTGTGAGGGTCTGGACTAACTTGGAGATAGATTCTTCAGGACTGTGTGACATACACGGAATATCGTAGAGCGAAGACCGTGACAGTCACCGATGTGTGTTGACCCTTCTGGGATCCAAGGAGTATTTTATCACTAACCATTTTCTAGGTCATTTACTCACTGAAGCGCAAGGGACGTCCCATCTACGGCTTCGACGATGGCTACAAGATGGCACAGCAAGCTGGCAAACGCCGCCATGTCGTGTAGAACTCACGACACCTGAATTACCAAGAGCGCGCAAGGGACGAAGGGATTGTATGAAATCATGAGCAACAACTGCTGGGATCTGCTATTTTCGGAAATGATGAACGGCAAGGAGTACTAGGCATGTATGGACATAACCTGAGGAGTTGAAGGCTTGGCTTCAGGGCTTCGTTGTCACGAGATACCCAATGACGAACCGTATACGATTTTGTTCACTTTTGAAGCGACGCTGAAGACGAAAGATCACGACTCCATGGTTGAAATATTGAGCTGACGCTTGAATAAATCGCGAAACGAAAGAACGGGGTATCAACCGCCATCTATCCTGTCTATGCCAGGCCTCTCTTCAAGATGGATCCACAACGCCAAATTACCTAGAGTTCCCTCTCTTATGCCGCCGAACCTCCTCCCACTCGGCCAGCACGTCTTCCAATGCCTTCGCCGCCTTCTGCTCGCCCCTTCTCATCTGGCCGTTGAACGCCTCTGGCATCACCACCGCGCTATTTGCATGCTCCTGGGCGAACCCGACAGCGGCGTCTTTGCCGCACTTCTCCCTTGTGACCTTGACAGCTTCCTGCAGCATATCTGTGCCTACGCCCTTATGCCTGTACTTCAACTTTACAGTCCATGCTCGAATCACACCTTTGCCCCCTTTCAGTGCCGAAGCACGGGTACGCTTCTTCCCGGTCAGGTTCGGCGACGGCTCAAGCCGCAAGAACAGCGCCCCAATCAACTCTTTCCCGAATCGCACTCCGATCACCGTGTCCTCCTCGCCGTCCTCGCCCACCATCCAGTCCCATTTCATCGCTTCGGCAACGACAATGTACCGCCCTGTCACGAATCGTATGCCAAGGAGATATGTCATGACAACGCCGCTGTGCAACATCAGGGCGAGCCCCAGGTCACGTTTCATGCGCCATGAGTACTGGAACGCAAGCGCGAGGCTGACAACAAGGACAGAGACGAGGTAAGGATGGAAGACCAAGTGTAGCGAGCTGGTCTGGCGCTGCTGGGCGATCGAGTCCGTCACCAGGTTCAGAGCATCAACCTTGTCGATCTCGGCGTTCACGACACCGCAGGACAGCGCGGGCAGGTCGTCAGGGACGGGCTGCGAGGGCGGGTCGACGGTTACCAGGGGGGATGGCGAGGGTGGCGGCAGCGCATGCGTGGGGTAGGGCTCCAGCATTGGGGTATTCGCATTCGAGGACATTGCAGACGGGTTGACGTTGAGGTTGGCGCGGAGGAAAGTGAAGAATGCTGTTGGGCACAGGATCAGTCTAGGGGCCTCGGCTGAAGAATCTGAATAGTTTCCCGTACGAACTGCCACCCTTGTTTCGATTGATGATGTTTTTACCAGCAATTGGGTGTCCAATAGCTCGTGTGACTGCGTCCCGTTGTTGACCACTGGAGGTCTTCGAGGTGACTTCACCAACTGGCGCGAACCCCACTATAGCAACAACCTTCAAAAGTTTGTCTGCAGGTGAACTGGCCGGTACGGAAAGCCAAGAAAAGAAGACGAGAACTCGGGGAATTCCAGAAATCAACCAAAAAAAGACTCACCAGTACTAGTTTTGAGGCCAGGAACTGCATTCATCTTGTCCACTATGGACCCGTGCCCGCCATAGTGGTGGCTCAAGTCCAGTTCCCTAACCACGTGCGCCATCTGAGCATTGTGTGTGGGCAGCCAGCGTTGTTCGGTGACTTGCAGACTTGCAGAGCCTGCAGCAGTCCACGGTAGGAGCGAGTGAAAAGGAAAACTGCTGTTGGTTCCCTTTCCGCGGCTCAGTATAGGGCAAATTTACAACGCTTGTATGCGCGCAGAATATTTTTTTTTCTGGTAGGGTGCACGCGGCCGGGTGACGTGAGCCTGCAATTAATAGTGATGCGCTTTGGGGGGAGGCTAGTAGAGGAGGGGCTGGACGGGGACCCTGAAAATTGGCGAGTAGAGCGCGTGTAGGGGGGGAAACGATTAAAATCCCGAATGGAACTCTGAGGCTGACAGAGTGCTCGTGTGTCTAATTTCCCAGGGTTGCCATTTGATTATATCGTAGTATCGTTAGAAAAATTCTGCACACGTATACCAACGATAGTTGAACAAGTATATGCCAACAATTGGGGGAGCATAAAAGGATTTAAAATAGGTCTTTCCAGAGGAGAGATGACGACGACGCGAGCAAGGGCTTTTTACCGGGTCGAAATGGGAACAGACAAGGAGACTGTTGATCGACGACGGCTGCTTGGGAATGGGTGGATATATGGCTGATCATATTCGTTCGAGACGTTGGAGCAGCCAGCCCAGCCAGCCAGAAAGATGGGACCAACTGCACCATCTGGCACATGTGCCGTCCGTCTATGGACACATGTAGACAAGATACTCTTATGCGTTCGCTCCCCCCTAGACGCCCCTCCTCCTTCTCCTACAACCAGCCCGGACCCAAGCGCAAGGGCATAGACACACCCCCTTCTACAAACCACCGCTTCTGCGATGTGGCACTGGCTGGGTCGAGAAACACCTCCAGAAGATGTCATCCCAGCCGAGGAGCACGCACTGCATCGGATGGCTGGTTGGCTTCCAGTTGGTAGACCTTGGGGTTATCTGATAAGGTCTGCAAGTCTAGACGAATCGCGTGGACGAGTTGGCGATTAGGTAGGCGCCACAGGCGCCCGCAAGCAGGGAATCGAGACTCGCTATCAGCAGTTCTGCATCGTTGGCTTCACCAAGGTCGGTCGACTATCGTTTGCTGCTAGCCCACATCGTGAGCGCCCTCGCGCCGCATGGGACGTTCAGCTGTGCAGCCCGGGCCCTTGTGACGTCCCACCATGAGTCGTGATCCATCTCGACAGTATCAGGGGCATGTCTGTTTACGGGCGCCCCCGTCGTGGCAGGGTAGCTATTCAGGTTATCTACTACAGCATCTGTTTCGGGACCCGAGGGGGGCAATACCCAGAAACGATGTCACAATAAACAGATCCTTCCTTGTCTCTTTCGTCTCATCGTGCAAACCCTCGATGGTGCCAAGCCTGCTTGTCTCGTGCTCTCGGCGCATGGTTGGCTTGCCAAGTCGTTAGGTTATTCAAAGGGTATTCTCGCACCGTTCATTCGCCCACATACCCAACCACTAGTTCCCCATTCTGGGGACTTGCAAAGATCTGAGGTGCATGCGGGAGAGTTTGGGGTAAGTTAATAGGCCCAACCGCCTTCCTAGAGCCTGTCAATCTGAAACCATCAAGCTCTGGGGGTGAGCAGCGGAGGATTGAGAGACACCCAGGCCGTCCCCATCCGCTGGAACAGGTGAGCTCAGCGTGCATTGTTTGAAACGAGCCTAGAGCCGAGCGGCCAGAGGAGGTGGTTTTCGGATTGCGAGTGGGATTACTTTAAAAGGGTATGCGGAGCATGCACCTGCCATCACCAAGAGGGTTTCCGCATAATCACTAGTATGCAGTGAAGCCTATCAACGATGATCATGCTTACTGTGCTCAAGGTGCAGCCACCAACATATGAAGTTCGGGACGTTGGGAAGTCCGGCAGGTCCGTGTCTGCACCGGCCAACCCGTTGGTTGGTTTGTTGCCTCGGCCGGGAGCAGTGGGACAGATGCGCAACGATAAACCCACGGACCGGCAATTCTACGTCCATAGATACCTCAAGGGAAGAACCAATGATGGCTTATCGCGAGAAAGCTAGGCTTTGGTCCGGCTGATGAAGTGTCTCTCATTATGCGTGTCAGTCCCTGGAATTCGCAGCAATCCTTTATCATTCCTACGCGGGACCGAATTGAGAGGCATTCATGATCTCACAATGTTTAGCACTAGACTAGGCAAAGAAATTGAGCAGGTTGAAGGGTCGCATCTTCTGTGCAACCGTAAGCGATGGGACTGTGCATGTAAGCTCACATTACCGTGGCTTCTGGGGCCTATCAACATGCGTACGCGTAATACTAAGAGAATCGAAGGTGCCCGCCCTCGTTCATTATCCAATTTGGGACGAACTGGTTGCCCTAAGGGAAAAGAGGCCCGGTCAAAACTTGTGCAATAGGCTGGTCACTGGGTCTATCCAAGGAATGGTAAACGTCGAGCGGTGGGAGCTTTCGAGGACGGCAAAGAGGACGTTGCACTTCTTATCTAAACTCGATGGTGCTGCCAATTCTTGGTTGCAGCCAACAACCTGCTGCAGAGTGCAGCCTTCATCGTAGCATGGTTGTTAACCAAAGTCCTACATGGTCTTGGCAGGGATCCATGGATGGCAGTGGGGTGGGTGGTTCCACCGTGTCGGCTTGGCGCTGCACCAGCCGCTGCGAAGGACTTCTGGTTGAATCCGAAAAAGCCAGAATCGAGCTTGCCTCAATCATCAAGTCGGGCCCGACTTGAGCCAGCCCTATGGCCCAGATTGCGTCGCCTATGGGTGACTTTGTTTCGCTTGATCCGGGGTAATAGTTAGATCAACACTCGACTGGGGACCTGTCCTGGCCAACGATTGTTTAGTTGCCCGGGGGTAAATGGGAACCCAATCGCGGCAGCAACCGAAGGAGCTTTGGCTATCTTTCGAGGCAAAGCACACAGGGTGCTGCTCGAGTGCCCTTAAAATATACAACCCTGCCCTCTGCATCCTCTCGCGACTCCATCAGTCAACGCTTCTTTCTACGTCGACGAAGCGGACACTCTGTGAGAGGAGCCACCAACCGTGCTGCTTGGGCGGGTAGACTGGCGAGAGCGCATTCACTCGACGCTTTACCGAGGTATTCGGAGCAGTCGACTCTTGCGTTGACGTCCTTGACGCAATTGAGGCATTCGTCAAAGACCGAGATGAGTGCGTCCAGGACTGCCCGAGTGCGCTCGAACATCGCAGGTTTCCTTGGGTGCTGAGTGCGTCTGCCACCTCGGTCAGCAGTGCGTCTGCGGCTCTGATTGGTCGTCGAGCGATGATGAGGTCCAAAAGTCCTTCGCCCTCTCAGCAGGCTTTGTCCACATGGCTCGAGGCATATTGACCCGCAGATTCAGCCTTGTTGCCTGTCGTACCTTACCGAGTAAGATCCCGCCCCCAAGCCCCGTCGGTGCTCAATCCTTCGCGACTCCGGCACTGCGGGTTGAGGCAACCTACCAATTAGAGCGGAGCGCCGTCCAAAAGTCCTACGGCACGCACCCATGTAACCCGTCAGTCCTAAGTGAGCTTGACCCTCGTCATTCTCTCGAGGCAGCGTTGGGATGCCTTCCAAATACTTTTAGTCGTGGAGGCGTGGTGAAGCCCATGATGATTTGCCACTTGTAACTGCATCCGTTCTTGTAGACCTGTTGTTTGCTCCATTGCGTTTTGTCCACAGTCCAGGTGACGATGGAGTTCAAGAAGAGCTCCGGCGCTGTTGGTGTTGGTTCGGCCAACACCGACACTTCAATCTACGAGCGAGAAGTCTCGACAACACGGCGCGTGACACAACGCCTTCGTAATTCAGTAGAGTTGAGAAGACAGTCGAGGTCGAGCCTGAGATCCGAGTCGAGGTCGTCCACATCCGTGTCGTGCGTGTAAGTATCGTTCACTGCTCCTGCGAGAGAACCGCCAGCTGAACTCGGTAGGACCCGTCAGACGATTGGAGATGACTGCGCAAAGCAGAGATTCATAGTTTGGGCAGCAGTCAAGCGAAACAGATCCGTGCGGATGGCCCCCAATGATAGACTGAGGTGCCCATTAATACGATGCGGAGAGCAGTTCACCGATCACGAGAGTATGCTGAGTCACCTCCACGAGTGCCAGCATTTGGAATCTGGGGAATACGTTTGTTATGAGTGCATGAGGGTCGAGAAGTTCAACGATGGGAGGTGCAAGTGTTGTCTTGGTCAGCCAACCAAGAGGCGTCGGATCATCAATGCCGCGAAGACCTTCTTCTCTACACTGGGCCACAAGTCACGGAAAGATGACGCCTTTGAGGTCGATCAAGAGGAGTTTGGGATGGAACCGCCAAGTTACGATTCTCTCGACATCGGAGAAGAGCCAGAGGCCCCATCAGAGGCTCAGCTGCCATTAGAGCCTGAGATCAGTGGCACTGAAATCCTAGAGATGGACGCCGCACCTATGTTTCCAGTGGAGCTTGATTCTGTCAACTACGAATCACGCCCTGAGCCTCCTCAACAACCATCCAGCCAAAACGGCAATTCACTTTATAGCGAGTTCACTACCCTGCGGCCACCGGAAGCGCCATCTCGTGGCAACTTGCAGCAACTACAAGCAAATAACGGTAGCCGGCCCTCACTCGCCGTTGATACCAACCTCGATCGACCTCGAAAAGTGCCGAGAACCAAGTATTTATCACCGAGCTCTTCTTTACGATCTACGAACAGTTCTCAAGGTATCATATCTCCTCTGAGTGCTGGATCTGGAATTTGGACGAACGCCTCAGCGATTGATACCACCTTGGCCTCGCCCATCACTCCGTTCAGCGCCGATGGAACGGATCCCGGTACATTGTCTCGTGAAAATAGTTGCAAGTTTCCGAAGGATTATCACCTCCCTTCTTCCAACCCCGGATGGAGCACTGGGTTCAATGAGGCTATTCCATCTGAAACCCCAGGGCTCCCCAGTTTAGACGACAACTATATACTGGACAACATTTCCGAGTTGCCGGGTGATCTTCCGGTACCGAGGATCTGGGGCAGCGACCCTCTCTTATTCTCTTTCGACCCGAAAGACAACTACTCGTGGTCATCAACTATGGATACGGAAGTCAATGTTCTATTCACTGGAAATCACTTGGCATCCGACGTACAAGACGAGAGCGCGTCAGACACGAAAACGCTGGTCGCCCATACTTCGGAGGCGCTGAGGGCACAGATGGCGTACACGGTTCCAAATGTCAAAAACGTCAACAACGCTCTAGCTCGTCGCCTGGAAGCTCTCTCAAGTAGAGAGGTGAGCCTCAAAGGTCTTGCGAGTCTTCGGAGGATACTCAATGGAGTCGACCCAACGGACCCATTGGACTACCTCTGCTTCATCCATCTTATCTATGCGTTCTCTATTGTTATTCACGAAGAAGAAACGTCAGCCCGCTCCTATAGGCTCTTTCAACAAGCGATAGCATACCGAGGGTTCTTGTCCGCTAGAGACCGTGATATGTATCAAACAACGGTTGCTGCGCTCTGGGAACCGAGAGACTCGAACAAAGCCCAAGCTGCTCAAGCAGCCTTGAACCGATCTTCTAGCTCAAAAGGCAAGAATCCGGAACTCCGTTTCGACTCAAGATCCAATTACACTGTCGATCCCCTGGTAGGCGAAGGCCTGAATTTCCTTGATGGTAGGTCGATTTCTTTCTCCTCCGATTCCATCGCTCCCACATGCGGGCACTTTTCACGTTACGCCAATATAGCCGGTATAGCAATGATGAAACTTGAATAACCAACATGGGGGTAACACCAACCAATACATCACAAGTATTTGAATCTTATTGTGCAGCGAATGGCCCCTGGTTTATTTCATTAAAGTCAGATTACTCCAGCAACCGAAGCTAACGTCAGATCAGATCTTGAGTTTTCAGTTATGAACAGTACGACCGATAATCGACCTATCGAGGTTCTCACGTCCGATCTCTGGTCAGAGCACTTGTCAGCAGATGTGCCAGGCACACAGCATTCTGCGGATGCGTTCTCAGTTGCAGCGACTTATATCGTCCAGATGCTCAGGCAGAAGTTCAGCTCTGCTGACCAGAGTGAAACTCTGATCAGACGACTGAAAAGTGCTGATCAACGAGTGACGGCAGGCCAAATCACTACCATCAGGCGATTTGAACTCGAACTGCTCCAGGCCGGTAAAGCGACACTCGACTCGTCTCAGCTTTTTGACGACTATGTCCCACAAGTCAGAAGCTTCTGCGACAACATATACGCACAGCAAGGCTACAACCCAAGGCAGAAGTACCAAGTCCTTGGTATTTCCTTGGTTGAGTCTTTAATTCAGGCCCAGGCCCAGGATAGTGTCCAGCCCCAAGTGGCTGTCAATGAAACTATCGGCCAACAGCATTCAAGTCCCACCTTCTCAGTAGATACCAATGATGCTTCGGACCCTCTGGCCGAATTTTTAAAAGACTTCGATACTAGGAATTTCGCAGATGATTTCATTCTCCCCATGGATCCTTCTCTGGGGGAGACTGTTGAGGCACCGTCAGAACCAACACCAGGTACAATTGCATCGCCGGCTAAGATGCCAGCTCCGTCCCATCACCGAACTATTGATCCAGCAAGCCTTTTAAGCCACGTGGACGCCGAATCACAACCGAAAATCTCTCCTGAGCCAAAGGACCAAAACTACCTTGCAGAAGCTCAAACGTCGGCCTTCACGACAGCTGACGAGCCCCAAGGCCAGGTAGATGAGGGTGCACCGGCCGAGGGCAGCACGCCGGCCTCTACGCAGCAGCAGAAGGTCGAAGCCGACTCGTGCTGCGACATCTGCGGCTACCGCCCCAAGGGCGACCCGCAATGGTTCAAGGGGTCCATGGCCAAGCACAAGAAACTACAGCACTCGGCGAACCCGCCCAAGATCTACAAGTGCCCGTACCCGGGCTGCGTCAGCGCGTACAAGAACCGCCCAGACAATCTGCGGCAGCACCAGATCGAGAAGGGCCACTTTGTTGAGGGGGAGGGCAGGACCCGCAGGCCGGGAAAGAGAAAGCAGATGGACGAGGAGTAGTGGGAACACACAAATGGGCTGGGTATTGGAAGGGTGGAGCTGTAATGATTCAGGAGTAATCTGGGGAGGGATCCTGATTTTGCAACTTGGGGCGTATCGCATGCGACAGGGTAAAACCGGCCTATGGAAGCTTCTGGGAAGCATGCAGGCACAAGGGATGGGTGATATAGGAGCACGAGATACCATTTGCATATAGAAAGCGCACAAAAGTGCCTGGGCACATTGTGCCGTGCCACGTTCCAAAACACACTTGAACTCGGTACCCACCAGTCCCCCTTAAGAATCGCTGAAGTACTTGATTTTGAGTGACATAACTCGCCATGCGGAACAATCGCTAGGTAATTTAAATGCAACGCTTTTATCACTATTGTGCCTGTGGTACATGTGTTCGATGTGCCAAGGCTGTGCTAACAATCAAAATAAGAGCTGACAATTGAATGATATAAACGCTTGTAAAACACCAAAACGCCTGGGGTATCATTTTCCCGGCCGTGTCATCATGATCCGGTGAGAGAAGGAGAAACTCTCCATATCAACCACCAGTTGCGCGTAAACAGCCGAACCCACCGAGGAAGGACTTCTTGGCCGTGGATCCAGCTATACGTATTCAAGTATGCTGCCAGTCCACACATCACCTTTGGGGTACTGACAGATGAGAGGGTCTGGTATTTGTTCGTCAATATGTTTACGTTTTGTGGAGAAGAACCGATGACTTACTCCGATACTGCTCGCTGTGCTTATAGGCAAAGAACCTGTCGATGATCCACCGTTCGAAATCTATCAGGTTTCCCCTCTTGGCGGTGTCGTGCTCCCAGCGACGAAACTGCTGTCCTGTTAGCATCGTCCGAGCGATAACACTAGATAGACTTGCCTTGTTCATGATCAGCTCATAGTAACATAGCTCGTTAAACCAGAGCGGCCAGTTGTGGATATCCTTGAGCTTAAAGACGACCTTGAACTTGACGAGGTTGTGGTTGTCCAGGCATTTGAGAAAGTCGGTCAGCACCTTAGACCAGACCCGACCGCTGCCGCTCGTGCCCTCCCCGAGGCTCAACCGGAGCTCGACGTACCTGACGCTTTGTAGTGTTGCTTTTGTGATGAAGCTCGAGATCGGTAGCGGCAAGGTCTCACCAATGACCCACGGTGGAATACGGTCGATGACAAGTACACGGGCTCGAAGGATAGTCAGAGCCTCCCGGGTGATCTGTTTGCACAAGAGTAAAATTGTCGGCGTGTGCAACACGATACTGACTTTCGACTTGGATCTGCCGGCCAGCTGCTGCGCTTGCTTGCCCTTGGCAGCTGAATCCGTGGGGTTTTTCTTCCGCTTCTCCCTCTGGATATAGTAGGAGTCGAAGAGCTCCCGGGAGCCGGGGTAGTGAACGAAGTACTGATAAACCATGTTGCGAAGTTCTGGAGCGAGGGACAGGAATGAGAGGCGGCGGGAACTGGACCGCAGGCCGTAGCCCCGGGCGGCAGCGGACGGAATCTCATATAGACACGCTGGGAGCGTTGCTATACTGGATGCGGCATCCTTGCCAGCAGCGGGAGCGGCGAAGCGGGGCTTCGAGGAGCGGTGCTGGTGGTGATAGTGGGGTTCGTACGGCTCCGATGTGGGATCCGCCCGGCGCTTGGCTTTGATCGATCTGATGACCTGCTCTCGGCCTCGCTGGAAGGTCTTACCCCAGTCGTAGAACTGATTCAGAGTCTCTGCCCTCATATTGACGACCGGGTTGAGCGGGAGCGAAATGAGTGCCAGCCTCGGGATCAGTGGTGACTGTCAGATCATCTGGCGTGTGGGTAGTAGGGCTGCGAGTTGCCTTCGGCGTCGGCGAGTGATAGAGAAGTGGGCGCGAATCGCTCTCAGGTAGCGGTCCATCAATCCCGAGGACGTATGTTTCTGACAAACGTACTGAGAGATCTGTGACAGTAGCGGGCGAGTTTGATATCAAAGATCTGGATGTTTGTTTCCCACTCGTCCCTGCCTCAAACCAGTACGACGTGGTAGCGGTGCAGCTCTCACACACGGCTGGCTGAGAATGAGCAATCACAAACCAACCACCTGGCAGGCCAGTCACCGAAGGCAGCCAATCCTTGACGAAAAAGGGTTTCTGCATTCACTTGTACTTAGGTTGAAGAACCGGATGAAATATGTCCAATTAGTCGGTTTAGGGTTCGCAAGTCCGAGTAATTCCAGTGGTCTTCACTCATCTCCAACGAAACATCAGGAATCAGAGTCAAGGTAAGTGACGGAAGGATTAAATCAGTCGCCGCCGAAGGCAGTATCTCACGAGCTGGACGTCGCAGAGAGGGACATGCCGAAGGAGACGTAGCAATCAATATAAATCAAGCAGCTGCACAGAATCGTATGTACACGAGCCGATGCTAATGGTACCAGTGCGTCTGAAGTAACGCGCCTACCCACTGAATTGATGGAGCTGGCTGTCTTGCTCGTGACACCCCCGAAGATCTCGATCAGGTGTCTAAGACCTAGAGCTGCTGGAGATGGAGGGCCTTAAGGAGCAGCCCGTCAGGTCGCTCAGGTGGATATTGTAGGATTGAGAGTATCTGTACGGGTAAAAAAAGTATGTTCAGGTGTCAATTGAATGCTGCATACGCCTACGGCGAGGATGTATCCCGGGCTATCTAACGGATTATACAACAGCGACCCTCTGCCGAAGATTCCGTGTTGGTCCACAGTATGGCCGCTCTTACTGTGCCGCACCGCAGGGAGCTGGGTATGCTATGGTATGGTAAGCCTGCAGCGCAGTCCATCGAGCCAGGTGACTGCCATCCAGGATAGAGCGTACGGGGCAACGCGAGGTCTAGAATTGCACGCGTGATATAGGACTTCCACGATGAACAATCTCCGATCCCATGACGGATATCCAAGTTGGGATTTTATGGCCACTGTATGAAGAGATGTGGCATTTGGAGTATGTAGTCAGGTACCCACTAACTATATTATAAGCAGTGCATGACCCACTGCTTGGAGTATTTTTGGAAACCAGCCAAGTACGTGTGTGACTTGCGTCCAGTATAGCTGAGCCACCGTCGGTTCTCCATGAATAGCGCTCGCAGAATTGTTCGAGATTGGCAATGGCCGGTCAACTTCCTAATAGGCCGAGGGCACGCAAAGACGGCGAATCAATTGAGTGGTTGGACATCACTGCAGTTAGCTACCTACCTGCCGTCAGGATTCCAAAGGCCTTGCGGCCCGACCAAACATCCGCCTGTGCCCGAACCTTATGGAATGGACCTCGGGACTGGACCTACAAAGTACGAAGGGAAGGATCCCAAACCTTGAAGCAGCAATTTCCTCGAAGGTGGGTGGGCTATTGACAACAAGTTGGCATTCTAGAATCCCGACCGTTTTTATACCACAGTTAAGTTGCAGTCGTTCTCGGCTGGTCCTAGCATCACCGCCCTTGACGGCGATCAGAGAGGACGTTATCCCTGACGAGGACTAGCTGACCACAAAGGCGGCATTGGCTTAGGTTCCAGCGGGGGGCCAGGCATCCCAGGCATCATCCCAGGCATTAACTTGCTGTTGTATGCCATCCCCCTAGAAGTTTAGCGTGCCTAGAGTAGGCCAGCAGGCAGTAGCTTAGTTGGTCGTTGGCTGGTTCCAGGCTGGAGGCCGCAGGACACCTCCAGCTTGGACACGTCCATTCACACCCCCCAGCCCCAGCAGCCCAGTCCTAGCCCCGTTGATCCCGACGTTCTTCCCCATCCGCCATCTCGCAGAAGCCCCGTCCGTCCTGTCAGTTTCTGCCAAATCTCATTCAGCACACACCCGTGTGAAAGATCGTGATATACCTACGCCTCCCACACTCGACTGCTTGCCCACCCGCCAGGGTTGACACTGACATCGCATCCCCAGCGTCAGTGCCCTCTACGTTTCCAGACCACCTCCGACAGTCGTCTGTTGTCGCTGCTGCTTTGCTTGCCACCCCTTCGCCTCTCTTTCTTCCTCCCGTGTCCGTGTCGTGTCGAGTATGTCGGCCTTGGGTCAGACGGGGACCAACGCCCACAACTCGAACACACACCAGGTGCCCGGCCTCAGTTTCCCGCAGCCGAACGGTAGCCTGCGAGGACGTGGATTTCCATCATCTCACTCCGCGACACCGCCCAAGCCGTCACCGACGCCGCAACAACAGCAACAGCAGCAGCAACAACAGCAGCAACAGCAACAGCAGCAGCAGCAGCAGCAGCAGCAGCAACAACAACAACAGCAACAACAGCAGCAGCAACACCAGTCGCCCTACGGTCAGCCTCAGCACTATACACCCCAGCAGCCACCACAAGGGACATACCCACCGCCGCTCTTCTCGACCACTCCATCCCCCGTACCCGGCGTCCATAACATACCGAATGGCAACGCAAGGCATGGCTCTGGCCAGGCACACACGGCCTCAGCCGTGGCGGCGTCTCGTCAAAGGGCTGGCCAACAACGGCATATGCAGCAGTCACCGAACCAGATGGCCTACATTACACAGATGAACCAGCCAATGCCCCAGCAAGTACCGCAACAAGTTCCGCAACCCGTGCAGCAGGTCCAGCCCCTACAGCAGATGCACCAGATGCCTCAACAGGTCCAGCCCATACAGCAGCAGCAACAACAGCAGCAGCCCGTGCAGCAGTTACAACAGCCGCAGCAGGTGCACCAGCCGAACGATCCAAACTTGATGACTCAAACTCCTCGCCCGCAAGCACGCCACCCACCGCACCCACAGCCACACCAAACTCCCCATCAACAGGCACATCAACAGGCACATCAGCAGGCACATCCGCAGGCGCATCAGCAAGCCCACCAGGCGCACCAGCAGGCGCATCCCCAGGCACACCCACAAGGACCCCCACCTGTGCCTGTTCAAGTCCACCAACAACACGCACCTCTCCAACCGCAACCACATCCAGCACCGCAACAGGTTCAGCCGCCTCAGAGCCAAAATGCACTGCCCAAGTCCGAACCTGGCGCTCAACCTAGCGACCCGCACAGTGGCGACGAGATGGAAGTAGACAGTCAAGAAGAATCAGGAGATGTGGATGGCCATCTTTCGCCGAAGCTCCTGGAGGGTACCCCGTATGTCCCGCGAACGCCCATGGGGAATATGATGTCGGCACCACCTGAAGGAGGCAGCTACGCGAGCCTCGAAGCCGTCCACAAGGAGGTGCTAGCGTACTGCACGTCAGTGGGTTATGCTGTGGTGATTGGCAGATCAAAGAAGACTGTGCCGGGTCTGAAGAAGGTCTTGTTCGTGTGTGACCGTGCTGGGAAGCCGCCGAGCCGTGTCAGCCCGGAGGCCAGGAAGCGCAAAACATCGTCTCGCAAGTGCAACTGCCAATTTGGCTTCTTTGCGATCGAGCAGAGGACGCAGTGGACTATTCGCTACCGGCCAGATCCTGTTCATCTCCAGCACAACCATGGGCCAAGCGAAAGTCCTCTACTGCACCCGGCGGCGAGGAAGCTGGATAGCAAGATGGTGGCGTCCGTCAAGCAGCTAAAGGAGGCCGGTAAGTTCGAGAAAGTACGTGGAACCTGGATGGATAGTTTTGTTAACCCCAAAAAAAATCAGGCATTGGCGTCACGCAGACGCTGGAAATACTGCAGCAACAGAACCCCCACGTGCCCCTATTGCCCAGGGATATCTACAACGCACGTGCGGCAATCAACCGCAATCCTCAGAAAGTGGAAGCTGGTATTGCGGACGAACGCCCAGCCATCTACAGCAAGCCGGCTCCCACGCCAGAGGAGCGGATCCGCTCTGATTTGCGCCGGCAGTTACAGATGGCCAAGAACGAGCTAGAGCAGCTTCGAGAGGACAGCAAGAAGGAGATCGAGGAACTCAAGGAGAAGCTCCGAGAAAAGGACAAGATGATCGAAAAGTTTGAAATGTTTATTGATATTTGCAACGAGCGGGTCATGGTTCAGAGGCAGAAACTGACTGATCCGAGCGATGGAAACGGCAACGCCAGCGGAGCGAGCAATTAGTTGCCTCGAACGGACCCCGGGCGTGTCATTTGACCAAGCCGAGGCTGGCCAGACAGGAGTTGGCGTTATGCTCATTTGCAATGGAACAGCGGCGGCGTTACGGATGAGCTGTGATTTGTCTTTTGGAGGAGGGTTATGGCCATGGATATAGCGAAAAGGGGTCATTCATAGTGCCGGCAGGAAAGGAGTTACTCTGCTTAGGTTACAAAAAGGGGGGCTTTATGGTAGATATGAGCAATGGTCGGCATTAGCAACTACAGGAAAACGTTATAGCAAAACCTGAGACATACAAGAAAGTAACTCCAGGCCATCCCTCTGTTGTGCACGGGGATATCTAGTCAAGACCGGCCCTGTTCCTGTTCGCCAATGTTGGACAGTCTGTCAGCAGATACCACCTATTCTACTCTCCTGTTATGTACTGCATGTACGGGTGGCTAATCTCCAGCTTACGTCATGCTGCGCTGGAATGTGTGCATGATTCTAGGTACGGACGGGCTGATTTGAGGGCTATACATTGGCATGTATGCACATTCGCATGCCCGATCCCAAAGACTTGGGAACAAGACGTGCCCGCGTAGCTGGCATGCATGCGTATGCCTACCACACAGGGCGATAGACGCATCGTACTGTAATAGGCCCTGGCTTTGATTTCGGGGTCATTCTGTACGTCGACGGTGGTGTGTTTAACTAGACGCCGGGGGGAGCTGGTCTGTCGGCACTGGACAGATGTTTTAGCAGCCTTTCTCGATGTGCTTTAGTTTTTACCTAGCCCATACATAAGTGGTCGTGGATAACGGGCTGTTCCCTGCAAGGCAAGCTCGGGAAGCATTGACGTTGCCGACAGGTCGGCCAATGGGCAGCTCTGCATGGTGTCAGGGGTTGACGACCGCGCAGTTCTGCAAGCCTACTGCCTGCTGTACTATGTAGGAGTTCCCAAGCAACAAGTCAAGTTGCCCCCTTGGCCCGCCCAGCACACGCCCTGCCACGCACCCCTGCCGGCACCCCCCTGGCTCTAACTAGGTACCTAGGTAGGTACTGTAGTACTCTTTTAGGTGGGATTCCAGCAGCTAGTTGGGTGGTACTGTGGTACTCAATGCTGCCAGTCGCGAACTGCTGCTTCGCGTGTCGGGGGTCTGGTAAAACATTATTCGGCGACCCTGTGATACCGAAACTCCAGACACAACCTGCTGCTTTATTGACAAAGGTGCCGGCAAGTCCACCAAACGGCGACGACAACAACAGCTATCGCCCTCCTGCGCCATCGACGCACGAGGATAGAACCAGCTCAGACTCCACACTCATTTTGTTTCTGCTTGTTTTGTCTTTGTCTACCTGTTGCGCCTCAACTCCCTACACGCACTCCTTCACCCCCCGTCTTGATGCCGAGGAGTGGTACTCTCGACCATTCGCACCGAAGCTTCATGCCACCGATGCCAGGCCCGACGACGCCTTAGCCTCTTCCGACCCCCTCTGCTCTCCCTTCTCCGTCCATCGCCGCCATGATGGACACTGTGGCCTCCCCGTTGTCGCCGCAGGAGCCCCTTGCTAATGGCATTCCCTCCCCGACCTCCTTTGCCGCCATCGAACCCGAGAAGATCGTGCAGTACCTGGCCGCCGTCGTGACGATAGCCCTTGGGGCGAGCCGCGAGGACTTGGAGAAAGACGGGAACCCTCTGTCGCCCGCAAACTACGCCGACACAGTCCAGAGATGTACTCGCTTTGCGACCGATTCGCAGGTAGCTCTCTACATCCAGAAGGAGGTCGTGCCAACGCCCGAGGTGCCCGACGGCCCTGTTGACAACGGTATGCAGCTTCTCTCCCGCTCCCCCTTTCCAGCTTCCTCTGGGAAACCTGCAACTGTACTCATCGCGTACCGCTATAGTCCCTCCTGTATACACATATTCCGTCACGAGCGAGATCTCTGCGTCACCCACGACCGCCGCCTACCTCGCCCTCCTCAAGCGCCCTCAGGCCATCGACCCCTCCCTACCCTTGACTTCTCAGATTCAAATCCAGACGTTGCCCGGTGCCGCCTCTCTCAGTAATGTTGTTGCCGACCAAGGACCTTCCGCTTCGCCCTTCGAGATTCTACATACTATTGTTCATAATGCCTTGGCTCCCTACTTCGATGCCAACACCAAGTCCTCCCAGTCGGTCAACGGCGCCAGAAATCGCACAGATGTCGACGCCAAGACGGGCATTCCCGTCACCAAGAAGCGCATGACCGAGCTCGCCTTGAGTTTGCTACACCTGCAGCAGAATGTCGAGATACCCGAGCTCCTTCTGCCCTTCCACCCCGTCGTCCAGTCTGCCCTGGAGAATGCCGCTGCTCAGGGTGCCAAGCCCTCGATTGATATGATACCCCCGACCCTCCTGTCCGACAGTACCTTCATGAATAGCTTACAGACAAGCGTCAACAACTGGATCAAAGCGATCCAGGGTATCACGAAGCTGACCAGAGATCCCGTGACGAGGACGGCAACCCAGGAGATCAACTTTTGGCTGTCCATGGAATCCGCTCTCGAGGGCATCGAGGTCCAACTGAGGAGTGAGGGTGTCATGTTAACGTTGGAGATACTGAAGCACGCCAAGCGTTTCCAGGCCACCGTCAGTTTCTCTTCTGATACTGGCTTGAAGGAAGCCATGGAAACTGTGCAGAAGTACAACCAGCTCATGCGGGACTTCCCCCTTGATGAGCTACTCTCTGCTACGTCATTGACAAAGGTCAACGACGCCATTGTCCAGATCTTCGGCCACATGAACAGGAAGATGAGATTCAGCAACTACCCCATCAAAAGAACCCTGGATCTTGTCGAGGCCATTTCGGCTGACCTGAAGGAGGTAATGCACCGCCTTCTACCCGGTACCGACCTGGTGAACCTCGAATATGACGACTTCAAAACTCTCATGAGCACCGCAGATGAGATCTTCCAAGGTTGGGATGCCCAGATCAAGGAGTTCACCAACATTGCGCGCGAGACTACGCGAAGGCGCCAAGAAAAGTTCATTCCCATCAAGATCAGCCCCCGTCATAGCGACCTGCAGGCACGGCTGAAGTATATCGCCACATTTCGCGAAAACCACGAGCAGCTGCAACGGACTATCGTCATCGTTCTTGGCCCCAAGGCGAACGTGGACGGGGCCGAGTCCGCTGTGAACGGCGCCCCCCTGGGCGAGGAGCTCGGTGATGTTGACGCCGTTGAGGAGGTTAAGCAAGCGTGGGATTCGCTGAAAAACGTGGACCTGCTTGACGTCTCCGATGAGGGCACTCAGCGATGGGCCCGAGCTGAAAACACCTACAATGAACGAACTACTCGCGTGGAGAACTCTATCATTGCTCGTCTACGTGACCGCCTGGCGACCGCAAAGAACGCCAACGAGATGTTCCGCGTCTTTTCCCAGTTCAATGCCCTCTTCGTTCGTCCCAAGATCCGAGGAGCGATTGCTGAGTACCAAAACCAGCTTATCGAGAATGTCAAGCAAGCTATCTCTGCACTCCACGAGCGGTTCAAGCAGCAGTATGGTCATTCTGAGGCTCACGCCATGGCCCAGCTGCACGATCTCCCCCCTGTTTCTGGCGCCATCATTTGGGCGCGACAGATTGAGCGGCAACTGGATGGGTACATGGGCAAAGTTGAAGACATCCTTGGCTCTGAGTGGATTCATCACACAGAGGGACAGAAGTTGCAGACAGAGAGTGACCTGTTCAGAAAGAAGCTCAACACGCAGACAATCTATAAAGCCTGGATCGAAGACGTTCAGAGAAAGAACATCACCATCTCGGGCCGACTGTTCAACATCAACAAGATCAGGTCCGCGAACAATGCCCTGGATCTTGCTGTCAACTTTGATGCCCAGATCATCACCCTCTTCAAGGAGACCCGCAATCTTGGTTGGCAGAACTTCAATGTTCCTCACTCGGTATCGAACACAGCCAAGGATGCCAAGCGAGTGTATCCTTTTGCCGTCAGTCTCATGGAGAGCGTTAGAACTTACACACAAACGTCGAGACAGATAACCGAGATGGCCGAAGTCTCCATTCTCCTCAGTGGCTACCAGCATGACGTGCACAACCTGATCGAAAGGGGCGTACCCTTAAAATGGTCATCTTTCCTTGATGCCTGGGACGTACACATGAGACAACACCTCCCGAATGGCACTTTCGAGCAGTCTCTGGGCAGAAACACTGCTGGCAGCAAGCATGTTCAGTTTGTCCGTGACTTCGCTACTGCCGCATCACTTCTTCAGTCCAAGACCGTTGCTCTGGCCACGATTCATGCGACTATTCAGAAGGCTTTGAAGGAGCTTGGGACCTGCCCCTACGAGGCGAATGAGTTCGAGACACGGCTGCAAACAATACAGGCCGCTGTTGACCAGCTGAACCTGGAGCAGTACGTGAACCTGGGGTTTTGGGTGGAGCAAATGAATGAGCGTATCAAGACAACCCTACTTGTTCGCCTCCAGCAAGCAATCACCAGCTGGATTGAAGCATTCGAAGATGAGAACCCCAGCTCCACCGATGATATTTTCCGCCGCAAAGCACTGGCGCCCTCCGGTGAACCCTTGAAATCAGATGCGCCAACTCTGAAGAACCTGGTGCATGAGATTACCATGAGGAACCAAGTGATCTATCTCGACCCTCCTTTGGAGTATGCCAGAGCCAGCTGGTTCTCCCAGCTCCACGACTGGCTCGGGGTTGTTTGCAATCTACCCAAGATCAAAGCTTCACGATACCAGATGACTCTTTCTCTGGGCACTGCCGCTGCTGAGGAGGTTCGGTTCACGGATCTTCCCGCAGACTGCACTGATATGCTGACCACCGTCTACGTCTCCGTGGAGAAGAAGATCTCGCACATCGGTGAATATGTCGAAAAGTGGTTGCAATTTCAATCTCTCTGGGACTTGCAGTCAGAACAGGTGTATGAGTTGCTTGGAGAGGAACTTTCCAAGTGGCTGCAGTTGCTCCAAGAGATCCGCAAGTCTCGTGCAACTTTTGACACCACTGAAGTCAGCAGATCGTTTGGTCGCATCACCATCGATTACGAGCAAGTTCAGACCAAAGTGAATGCCAAGTACGATCAGTGGCAGCATGAGATCTTGATGAAGTTTGGTAGCAGATTGGGCGGCCGCATGAGAGACATTCACGCCGAGATCGAGAAAGCCCGTAAAGATCTTGAGGGGCAGACTCTTGAGGCAACGTCAACTGCTCAGGCCGTCCAGTTCATAACCATCGTCCAATCGTGCAAGCGTAATGTCAAGATCTGGGCACCCGAGGTCGAGGTCTTCCGACAGGGTCAACAGATGCTCCAGCGTAACCGCTACCAATTCCCCAACGACTGGCTTGACATCCAACAAATTGACTCTCAGTGGGATGCCCTCAATGATCTTTTGGCTAGAAAATCGAGAATTGTGGAAGACCAGACAGATGCTCTCAAAGCGAAGATCACGGCCGAGGACCAGGTCGTCACAGGTAAGATTGCCGAGATTGCAAACCAGTGGAACGAAGAGAAGCCCGTGTCTGGCACCATTGCTCCTGAGGTTGCAGCCAGCACACTCAAGTCCTTCGAGTCCCGCATCAACAAGCTGCAAGAAGAATTTGAAATGGTCGCCAAGGCCAAAGAAGCTCTCGACCTTCCTGCAAGCCAGGAGACGTCTCTTGGCATAATTCTGGAGGAAGTCCACGACTTTCAGTCGGTATGGGCGGCCTTGTCGACCATTTGGAACAGTCTCAATGAGCTTGGCGAAACGCTGTGGCCGAGCGTCCAGCCCAGGAAGATTCGTACGTCCATTGATGGCTTGATCAAGATGACGAAGGACATGCCGAGTAGAATGCGTCAATATGCTGCATTCGACCATATCCAGACTATCCTTCGTCAATATCTGAAAGCCAACAGCATTTTGAGCGACCTCAAATCCGACGCCATCAAGGAACGTCATTGGGAAAAGATATGGAAAGAACTCAAGCCTGGCAAACGCTACTCGCAGGTTTCTACGACTCTCAGAGATGTGTGGGACCTCAACCTTGTTGCCAGTGAAGTCATCATCCGCGGTGTTATCCAGCAAGCTGTCGGGGAAATGGCGCTCGAAAGATCTTTGAAGGAGATCAAGGAGACTTGGGAAAACTACTCCTTGGACCTCACGAACTACCAAAACAAGTGCCGCCTTATTCGCTCTGAATGTTACGATGACATGAACACCAAGTCTGGCGAGAACCTGAACAATCTTCAAGGCATGAAGATTTCGCCCCACTACAAGGCCTTTGAACAGGAGGCTGCCAGCTGGGAAGCTAGAATGAACGAACTCGGTGTACTGCTCGATGTCTTCCAGAAGGTCCAGCAGAAATGGGTATACCTTGAGGGAGTCTTCACCGGCAACGCCGACATCAAGCACCTGCTCCCTCATGAATCCCAGAGATTCCAAAAGCACAACGGCTCATTCAACAATATCATGAAGGCAGTCACTAAGAAGCCCATGGTTCTTGAAGTTCTACGTATCCGAGACATCCAAAGCAACCTTGAGAAGGTGCTTGAAGGTCTAGGCGCTGTCGCAAGCGGACTCGAACAGTATCTCGAGAAGGAGAGAGCTTCATTCCCTCGGTTTTACTTCGTAGGAAACGAGGATCTCCTGGAGATGATCGGAAACAGCAACGATACCATGCGCATCACAAAGCACTTCAAGAAGATGTTTGCAGGTATCAACAGTCTCATCATGGACGACAATGGCATCATTTCCGGATTTACGTCCAAGGAAGGCGAGGTTGTTACCTTGAAAAAGGAAATCTCGCTCGTCAAAGTGCCCAGGATCAATGATTGGCTTTCACTGCTCGAAACTGGCATGAAGGCCACACTCGCGGAACTGCTAGCTGAAGCTGTAGAGGCTTTCACGCCTATTTTCAACGCTGAGAAGATTGATCAAGCCTCCTTAAACTCATACATCGAGCAGTATCCTAGCCAGGTCATGGTTCTTGCCACCCAAGTGGTCTGGACTACGGCGGTTGAGAAGTCCCTGAATGAAGGTGGCAAGAACCTCCAGTCTGTGTATGACCAGGAAGTCCAACTTTTGGAGCTTCTGGCTGAGACGGTGCTTGGTGATCTCGAGGTCATTCAGAGAAAGAAGTGCGAAGCTCTTATCACAAACTACGTCCACCAACGTGATTTGATCGAGAAGTTGATCAAAGCCAACGCCAACTCCCCCAGTCACTACCTCTGGCTTATCCAGATGCGCTACGCATACGTGCCTGAAGGAGAGTTCATCGACCGGCTTCAAATCAAGATGGCGAACGCCACCCTCAACTATGGCTTTGAGTATCTTGGTATTCCGGACAGACTTGTTCGCACGCCTCTGACAGATAGATGTTTCCTGACCTTGACCCAAGGTCTGTGCCAGAGACTCGGTGGCTCGCCATACGGCCCTGCTGGTACCGGAAAAACCGAATCCGTCAAGGCCCTTGGTGTGGAACTCGGTCGTTTCACTCTGGTCTTCTGCTGTGACGACACATTTGATGATGGTGCCATGGGCCGTATCTTCCTTGGTATCTGTCAGGTCGGAGCGTGGGGTTGTTTCGATGAGTTCAATCGACTTGAGGAGCGAATCCTATCAGCTGTATCCCAGCAAATTCAGGACATCCAGCTTGGCCTAAAGCATGAGTCTAAGATTATCTTGAAGAAAGACTCGGGCCCTATTCTGGTCAACACGAACAGTGGAATCTTCATTACCATGAACCCCGGTTATGCCGGTCGTTCCAACCTACCGGACAACCTCAAGAAGCTTTTCCGAAGTGTTGCTATGTCAAAGCCAGACAAGGAGCTTATCGCCGAGGTCATGCTGTACTCGCAGGGTTTCAAGCAAGCCAAACAGCTCTCAAAACAAGTGGTGCCGTTCTTCGACAAATGTTCAGCAAGACTCTCGAAGCAAGCACATTACGACTTCGGACTCCGTGCTTTGAAGAGTGTCCTTGTCAGCTCAGGTGGTCTAAAACGGTCTCGACTAGCGGTTACCGGCGGCAATATTGGCGCCGAGGATGTCGTAGAGCCTGAGATTATCGTTCAGAGCGTTCGTGAGACGATTGCGCCTAAATTGATCCAAAGCGATACGGAGATTCTAGTGGATGTGGAGGCAGATTGCTTCCCTGGCGTCGAATACGTACCTCGTGACTTGGCGGAACTGGAAGAGGCTATTCGACGATTAGCCAAAGAACGACATCTAGTTGTCAGCGACACGTGGATGACCAAGGTCCTTCAGTTATGCCAGATCCAAAATATTCATCACGGTGTCATGATGGTCGGAAACTCTGGATCCGGAAAGTCTGCAGCCTGGAGACTGCTTCTCGATGCTCTCCAAAGCGTTGAAAAGGTCCAAGGTGTTTGCCATATTATTGACTCCAAGGTCATGTCCAAGGAGGCTCTCTATGGAACGCTCGATCCAACTACACGCGAATGGACCGACGGTCTATTCACGGCCATTCTGCGTACGATCGTCGATAACCTCCGTGGTGAGGACAAGAAGCGCCACTGGATTGTGTTCGATGGTGACGTTGACCCCGAGTGGGTTGAGAACTTGAACTCCGTGCTAGACGACAACAAGCTGCTTACTCTGCCTAATGGTGAGCGTTTGAACCTCCCATCAAATGTTCGAGTCATGTTTGAGGTCGAAACCCTGAAGTATGCTACGCTTGCCACTGTCAGTCGATGTGGTATGGTATGGTTCAGCGAAGATGTTGTCAACCCTGACATGATGGTCTCACACTATCTTGACGGGCTTCGCAGCGCTGCTTTCGAGGACTTGGACGAGGATATAGTAATCGATACGACCGCCGCACAAGCCCTCGATGTTCAAAAGCAGGTCGCCGATCTATTACATGATTTCCTCACCACGGACAGGTTCCTCCTGGCTGCGCTTAAGGAAGCACAGGCCTTCAACCACATCATGGAGTTCACAACTACTCGAGTTCTCACAACCTTATTCTCCCTCCTGAACAAATCCATTCGCAACATCATTGAGTATAATGCCCAACACAGCGACTTTCCATTGGATGCTCAGCAGGTTGAAGACTACACTGCCAAGAGACTGCTACTCGCTCTGGTTTGGTCCCTAACTGGTGATTGCCCTCTGACTGATCGCAAGACCTTCGGAGAAAGAATTGCGGCTCGAGCGAACTTTGGCTCACCGCCATTGGATGAGTCGAGCTCCTTGATCGACTTTGCCGTATCCCTTCCCCAAGCTGAATGGATACCTTGGCAGAATGAAGTTCCTACCATTGAAGTCAACACGCACTCCATCACTCAAACCGACGTGGTTATCCCCACTCTTGACACTGTTCGTCATGAAGATGTGCTTTACTCTTGGCTCGCCGAGCACAAGCCCCTCATGCTTTGCGGTCCTCCCGGTTCGGGTAAGACAATGACGCTGTTCAGTGCACTTCGCAAGTTACCCAACATGGAGGTCGTCGGTCTCAACTTCTCCAGTGCGACCACGCCTGACTTGCTCATCAAGACTCTTGACCAATATTGCGATGAACACAAGCAGCCCGGTGGTGCCATTCTTACTCCAAAGCAAAGTGGTAAGTGGCTGGTGGTCTTCTGTGACGAGATCAACTTGCCTGCTCCTGACAAGTACGGCACTCAACGCGCCATCTCCTTCATACGGCAATTGGTTGAACATAACGGCTTCTGGAGAACAAAAGAGAAGCGATGGGTCACTCTTGACAAGATCCAATTCGTCGGAGCTTGCAACCCGCCTACTGATGCCGGCCGTACACCACTCACCCTGAGATTCCTTCGACACGCGCCACTCATCATGGTAGATTATCCTGGCGAGATCTCTCTCAACCAGATCTACGGTACTTTCAATAATGCGGTTCTGAAGATCGTACCGTCTTTGCGCCCACACTCTGATCAGCTCACCCAAGCCATGGTCCGATTCTATCTCGAGTCCCAACAGAGGTTCACCGCAAAGATCCAGCCTCACTATGTATACAGTCCTCGTGAGTTGACCAGGTGGGTTCGTGGTGTATATGAGGCAATCAAGCCACTTGAGAACTTGTCTGTAGAAGGCATTGTTCGCATCTGGGCACACGAGGCGCTGCGCCTCTTCCAAGATCGTCTCGTTTCCGAGGATGAACGACGATGGACCGCCGATGCCGTCAAGCGCATTGCCATGGAATACTTCCCCAACATTAATGAGGAGAAGGCTATCGGTGGGCCCATCCTCTTCTCGAACTGGCTGTCGAAGCACTACGTCCCGGTCGAGCGAGAAGAATTGCGAGAGTTTGTCAAGGCTCGTCTCAAGACTTTCTGTGAGGAAGAGGTTGACGTTCCCTTGATCCTATTCAATGAGGTTCTCGAACATGTTCTACGCATCGACCGAGTCTTCCGCCAGCCACAGGGTCATTTGATCCTGATTGGTGTCAGTGGTAGTGGCAAAACAACGCTTTCAAGATTCGTGGCGTGGATGAACGGTATGAAGGTTTTCCAGATCAAAGTACACGGTAAATACTCGGCTGCCGACTTTGATGACGACCTGAGAGATGTCCTTCGCCGTACAGGATGCAAGGGCGAGAAAATTTGCTTCATCATGGACGAGGCAAATGTCCTGGACTCCGGTTTCCTCGAGAGAATGAACACCCTACTTGCCAATGCAGAGGTGCCTGGACTGTTCGAGGGAGACGATTTCGCTACGCTGATGACCGCTTGCAAGGAAGGTGCTCAGAGAGAAGGTCTCCCACTGGAGTCGGAGGAAGAACTTTACAAGTGGTTCACAGGACAGATTGTCAAGAATCTGCACGTGGTGTTCACCATGAATCCTCCTGAGGAGGGTCTCTCTTCTAAAGCGGCCACTAGTCCCGCCCTTTTCAACCGTTGCGTGTTGAACTGGATGGGAGACTGGTCTGACCAGGCCTTCTTCCAGGTTGCGAGCGAGTTGACGGCATCTGTTGACCTCGACAAAGCTGACTTTACCGCGCCCAACTCCATTCCTGTGGCTTATCGTGGTTTAAGTTTGCCTGCAACGCACAGAGACACCATTGTCAACTCGATGGTCTACATTCACGATTCCATGCACCGCTTTAACTCCAAGCTGCGTGTGCAACAGAACAAGATCACCTTCCTGACACCACGTCATTTCTTAGATTTCGTGGCACAGTTCACGAAACTGTACGGTCAGAAGCGTGAGGATCTTGAGGAACAGCAACGCCATTTGAATGTTGGTCTGGAGAAGATTAGAGATACGGCACAAGAAGTCGACAGGATGCAACACAGTCTCGAGAAAACACGACAAGAACTGCAGGCCAAAGAGAAGTTGGGTCGTGAGAAGATGGACCAGATTATCTCAAAATCTAGGCAGAACGAGGATGATACGCGAATATCCGAGGAGCTCAAGGTGAAGCTCGCACAACAGACAAAAGCTATTGAAGAGCGGCAGAGAGCAGTACAGGAAGAAATCGAAACAGCTCTGCCAGCAGTTGCATCAGCACGGGAGGCCGTTGACAACATCAAGAAGCAGCAGCTCTCCGAAGTTCGGGCTATGAACAATCCACCAGTACCTGTCAGAACTACTATGCAGGCGGTTTGCATCATGCTACACAAGACTACCGGCCCAGCAGACTGGGGTGTGGTGAAGCAGGGCATTCGAGACGACCAACTCACCTCCAAGGTTTCAGGTTATGACACTCACACTATGCTTACCAAGCCTATCCGCAAATTGATCAAAGAAACATACATCAACGACCCGAAGTTCAATTTCGAGAATGTCAATAAAGCCAGCAAAGCCTGCGGACCCCTAGTTTTGTGGATCGAAGCTCAGGTCAAATACGCGGAGATCCTTGACAAGATGGGCCCGCTGACGCAGGAGATCACAGATCTAGGGGCAACTGCGAAGGTGACCCAGCAAGAGGCTGCAACTGTCGAAGCCAAAGTCCAACAGCTCGCTAAGGAATTAGAAGAATACCAGCAAGAGTACCAGGTCCTTTCTGGTGATATCGATAAAACCAAAACACTACTCAAGCAAGTGAACGAAAAGGTTGAACGCAGCAAGAACCTCTTAGGCAGTCTTTCCTCGGAGAGAGTTCGATGGGAAGAGTCAAGCAGAGGGTTCGAAACCCAAATCGCTACCTTGGTTGGAGACGTCTTGGTCGCCGCTGCTTTCTTGGCCTACAGCGGTTTGTACGACCAGACTTTCCGCAAGTCTTTGATGGAGGATTGGTTGCACCAGCTGGATATGTCTGGCGTGAAATTCAAGCAGCCAAATCCCATCACGGAATATCTCTCGACCCCGGACGATCGGCTAGGTTGGCAAGCAAACGGTCTACCGGTTGATGATCTTTGCACCGAGAATGCCATCATCCTTAATCGTTTCAATCGATACCCTCTCATCATTGACCCGTCTGGCCGCATAACCGACTTCTTGCAAAAGGAGTCTAAGGAGCGCCGTCTCACCGTGACGAGCTTCCTGGATGGTAACTTTGCCAAACAACTCGAAAGCGCTATCCGCTTTGGCAATCCCATCTTGATTCAAGATGCAGAGCATCTGGATCCTCTTCTGAACCACGTTCTGAACAAAGAATACCAGAGAACTGGTGGCCGAGTTCTTATTCAGCTTGGAAAGCAGCAAATCGACTTTTCGCCATCTTTCAAGCTTTTCCTATCCACGAGAGATCCATCCGCCGCATTCCCTCCGGATATCTGCAGTCGAACGACCTTTGTCAATTTCACTGTGACCCAGAGCAGTTTACAGACCCAGTCGCTTAACGAAGTACTCAAGTCTGAAAGGCCTGATGTCGACGAGAAACGGTCAAACCTCATCAAGTCTCAAGGCGAGTTCAAGGTTATCTTGCGCCGGCTTGAGAATGATCTTCTGCAAGCTTTGAATAACTCGCGCGGTAACATCCTCGAAGACGATACCATCATCGCCACGCTCGAGAGACTCAAGAAAGAAGCTGCCGAGATCGCCGCCAAGATGAGCGACACGGAAGGTGCTATGGCTGAGGTGGAGCAGACCACAAGCCAGTACACAGTTGTTGCCAAATCCTGTGGTGCCATATTTGCCGTGCTCGATCAACTACACAACCTTGGCCGACAAGGTCGTTTCTACCAATTCTCTCTCCAATATTTCTTGGACATTTTCCACTCTGTACTGCATGACAACAAGAACTTGGCAAATGAATCAAGGCAAAACTTCGAAAACCGTCGGAGGATCATTGTTCAGGACCTTTTCGTGACCACGTTCAAGCGCACTGCAGTTGGTCTTTTGCAGCAGGACCTCGTCACGTTTGCCCTGCTTCTTGTGCAAGCTCTACCGCCTACTTTGTACGACATGGACAAAAGCTTGATCGATGTCATCCTGGACACAAAGGTAGAAGGTCAAGACCTTTCTACAGACGTTGACGCCAAAGACGAAGTTTTCGCTAGAGCGAGGGAGGTTAGGGTTCTTGGAGACAAACTCGACCAGGTGCCGGCTGCCGCATGGGACACGTTCTTGACTGAAGAGCAGGCTGAGAAATTTGTGCCACAGATCGGTGATCCCAACATGAAGCTGTTTGACCAGGGTCTGCTCTCACTTCTCATCGTCAAGTTGTTCCGTCTTGATCGTTTCCTCCCCGCTGCAGAGCGCTTCGTTACGAGCGTCCTGGGAAGCGACTTTTTCGATGTCACAGAAGACCTCAAGCAGACCATGGACAGAGCCTCGGCAACAACCCCGATTTCGTTAATCTCCAGTCCAGGCTTTGACGCAAGCTACAAGGTCGACAGCTTGGTCGAGCGCGAGCGTGTCAAATGCACCAGTATCGCCATGGGTTCCAAACAGTCCCAAGAGATAGCTAGCAAAGCTGTCAGCGACGCTGGGGCCAACGGAAACTGGGTGCTTATCAAGAACGTGCATCTTACCCCAGATTGGCTTCAATCCGTGGAGAAGGTCATGGAATCGCTCAAGCCGCTACCTGGCTTCCGTCTTTTCTTGTCCATGGAGGCGAGCGACAAGATCCCTATCAATTTCTTGAGAGCCTCCAGAATCCTCATGAATGAGCAGCCTGCAGGTGTCAAGGCCAATATGAAGGACACCATGAGCTCAGCCTCTACCAGAGCTGCCAAGGATCCTGGCGAGAGAAAGAGGCTCTACCTACTGCTGTCGTTCTTGCACGCTGTGGTCCAAGAGCGCCTGCGATATGCGCCCAAGCTTGGATGGAAGGGCTTCTGGGAGTTCAACGATGCTGATGTAAGTTCCCAATCATCTGTCGTCACTCGACCAAACACTAACATGATGGATAGTATGAATGCTCAGCCTTTGTCATCGACACTTGGATTGAATGGGCTGCCCAGACTCGCAGCCATATCGCACCGCAGAATATCCCCTGGGATATGATCTGCTACTTGGTTCGCGAGTCCTACGGTGGCAAGATTGACGATGAGGGTGATTTCAATATCCTCACAGATCTGGTGTACAAGGTCCTGCAGCCGGCTGCCTTCGAAGATGGGCACAAGCTTGTCGAAAGCACCGAGACCGAAGAAGGGCTCGAAGTCCCCAGCGGTACTACACTCCAGCAGTTCAATGACTGGATCAACAAGCTGCCAGAGCGTGAACCGCCTACGTACCTCGGCTTACCAGCCAATGCAGAGAAGATCTTGCTCGTTGCGCAGGGCAGAGAGCTCATTGCAAAGACGAAGGACATTGGTACCAAGCTGAACGAAGCCGAGCAGTTGATGGAAGACGAGGCGCCAACCGAGGCTGCCTAGAGGGGGTCTTCCAAGTGTACAGACCACTTGGGTGTTAGTGTACAGAATTGTAGACCGTGAGAGGGCGTTAATGGTTTTGCTGATTTTCCTACGGCTGGGTACGTTTGAGGGAGGTCTTCACAACATGGTGGTCTTTTCCCGCCGCACGCACTGATACCCCCAGACCGTTCAATGTTGTTTTCCTTTGTCTAGTACAGTGTGAAGATGTCGACTGCAGTCTGTTGTTCGTTTGTACATATTTAGAAATTAGATTGGAATATGATGAGACTGCTATACGTAAACTGTCCCAACGTGAAATTTACGGTATATCTGATGGTGTATCTGCAAATCTGTAGGTATCCAACTTGCTAACCCAGATTGAGGCCACCCAGGGCTGCGTTTCCCAGCGTTCCAAAGTATCCTACTGTTAACGTTACCTTGTCCGTGAGCCAGGACAGGTCAAGATTGGCCAACGGCGACGTATCCGTGGCGAGCCATCTTCCAACACGGTTTGCGACCCAGACAGGATTCTCATCAGCTGTACACAGGGGCAACGTCAGTAAGGAGGGTCGATTTGTGCAGTGCAGCATCGTGCGACTGTATGAGCGGAAGAGAGGAGACCCACCAATCCAATGCCCAGCCTTGGGTACGATATCGATTTCGCTTCTGGTAGAAAAGCTCCCCAATCCCTTCTGTAAGATGGCACGGATCCCAAAGCCGGCCTCGCCGCCGAGAGCCAAGACGGGCATGGGCAGCGGGGCATTCGAGCTGTTGGACGGCGACGATAGAGCACCGGTGAAGAAACTGCGGTCATCCGCCACTGCGGCCGAGGAAAAGGGCCCCGTCATAGCGCGCAAGAAGCCCGGCTTCGAGATGGACGTCGTGTAGCGGTTGACCGTGTCCTCGGACATGGACGTCGGCCCGGAGTAGGACATGTGGTAGAAGTACCACTGCAGGAACTGCTTCTCCTTGCCAGAGATCAGGAACTCGGCAAAGTCTGGGATCTGGAAGAAGGCTAGCTGCGGGTTGGCGTACAAGTCCCAGCTATATCGAGGATTTGTAGTCAGCAGGCTTTGATAGCTAAGGCGGATTTTGACAAGCCAGATAGCACGTACAACGGAGCGGGCATTGCCGCTTCTTCATACCCGAACCCCGGAAATGCGTACTCGCTCATGCCGAGCATCTTGACGAGGCCGGGATACTTGATGGCCAGCGCGGCGGCCATGCCGACGCCCTTGTCGTGGGAGAAGACGTACGTCTCGTTGACGCCGAGGAAGTCGAGCACCCCCTTGAGGTCCTCGGCCGACGCCATGGCGCTATAGTTGCCATTGGCAGGGATGGACGAGTCGCCGGCGCCGCGGTTGTCTGCCGCGATGACGGTGTAGTTCTCCGCCAGGATGGGCCCAATGAACTGCCACGTCAAGCTGAACTGCGGGTTGCCGTGGACGAGCAGCAGAGGCGGCCCGGACCCGGCGTACCGGAAGTGGATGGAGACGTCTTGAAGGGCAACGCGGCCGTGCGACCAATCGTCCCAGCTGGTAAGCGATGCCGCCAGAGTCACCAATGACGACAAAAACAGCGCCTTTGAAAGCATTCTGGCTGGTGGAGGAATCATTGACAATGTATTGATCTGTGCGTTCGTCGCTGAAGGAGTTGTATCTAGACCTATTGACTATCCATCCAAAACTCAAACCGAGAGCGATGGACGAGAGCTTATATACAGCTGCCTCATAGTGCTCTTCGTGAGGTCAGTGTAAGACACCCGCCAGGGACCAAGCGCTTGTGGTCGTTCATCATACTAATTACGAATCACCCAACCCAGCCTGGTGGATCAGAATAACCAAGATGTATAAGCTTCTCTCGCAAATACTGTATCCTGCAAGGGGATGCATGGGATGCGGCCGTCATACGAAGGTGCTCGTTTGGGGGTACTTTCTACCGAATGAGATTGATTAGAAATCTAGTCAATCCTGCTTATTGTATGGTTTAAAACCCAGTCGCATATCCATAAGTGCAGAGAAAATGTCGGCAGCCTTGATTAGATCATACCAAATGTTGCCAGTTGCTACGCCGCAGCAGACCGGGATTAGCATATGCCCCAACGTGGGTTAAGGAACCCAGGCCACGCTTACATATCAGCCGTCCTTACTCCGCACAGATGCGGAGGTATTCAGTAAGACCATGCAGTGACGGATCCAAACCGGCCAATTCGCCGTATAACACCGGCCTCAGCTTGGCTTCCTTGCTTTAGGACCTAGATCCTACTTTGATGTTCTGCTACATCTGCTCGCCTTGTACTGAAGCGGCTTGGAGCGCTCCAATCCGGCAGCGTGCACTCCAGATTTCAAGATTTCAGGTAGTCATGGACCTAACCACGGTTGATGGCCAAGCTCTGTAAAATGGTAGTGTCGAGTTCGGAGGCTGAGGTCTAGGGATGCGGCGGGTTGAAACGAGATGCACACCGGCAGGATAATTTCATCACGGAGTAATCGTTGTTCATCGTCGTGGCTCGAATGGAGCGCAATTTTTCTCCCAGTTTTCGTTGCACACGCGACGCATCAGTGACTTAGGCGCCTTGAAACCCGTCATTAGTTCGAATGCCTCCATGGCCATCTCGGACACCACCTCAAGGCCATCGACAATAACCCAAGAAGTACCGCCCGCCTCGCGTATGTCCCGCATCTGCGCAACGAAGGACGTAATGAGAGGTTCATAAGCCAACTGAGGGATACAGTTAGTATTTTGTGAAGTTCCCGGTCATGGGTACTTACTTCAACTACCACGCCACCTGTAGGGCTGTTGAGCCATTGTGATGGCACCCGGAAGTCAATCGTAGCGTCATGCAAGTCTCCTGCTGCAGCAATACATGAGACTATCAACGTAGGTTGTTGGTAGCCTTGCGGCCATCCCTGCGCTGTTGAATCCAGAACGTGGCAGATCTCTGTCACTGGGCCATGACTAGGCACGAGCCGCCGCTCTCGGGCCCAGTTATTGAAATGCTCTGCAACCTTCTGCGCGTTCGCTTTTGTTCGGTTGAAGATGAAGATCTTGCGACAGCCTAGCTTGATCAGAGCATAGATAGCGGCCCTCGCCATGCCTCCAGCACCAATAACAAGGCCTGTGGTGCGAGATGGCTGAACAGTGTTCCTTGGGCTAATGGCCCGCCGTAAGCAGGTCATAATAGCGCTCCAGTCAGTGTTGTCTCCGAAAAACTTGGTCGTCGAACCTGCTTGGTTGCGAGCTTTTGCGTGGTCAAGAATTGAGGCAGTCTGCCCGCGCAATGGCAGAAGCGTGTTGACCGCCCCAATGGCCTGGGCATGGCTACTTAGATGGTCTACGTGGGTCATCATGACGACTTTGAACGGAGCCGTCAAACACGCACCGCCAAAGTCATACTCGCGCCGGAGCCTGTCTAGTTCCTCGAGCTCGTCGCATTTCCTAGCATCGAAGGAATGAGGCATCATGAGAAACTCGTATGCCGCTCGATGCATGGCTGGAGACGCAGAGTAATAGACTTTTGAGCCCACAGTGTAGAATTTCAGGGGCTGGAGCCGCCCGTGTCGAAACATCAGCCGCATGATACCACGAGTTGTGTTCACTCCAGCAAGGTGTTCCCGCGACGATGCCTTGATAGAGTTGTGGCCGACTGGATAGAGTACCAGGCCCGACGGGGCCGCTTTGCCTTCACTGAACGGGCCCCCATGCACCGCGCCAAGGACAGAATACTCATAAGCGACGAGCTGGGGCTTTGGATCGGGCATGGAATTGATGTGGTCCATAAGCCTTTGTCGGGCTTCGTCGTCTCGATTCTGAGCGCAGAATCTCGCGAACCGAACAACGCTGCACCCGAGAGCTTGCGCGCGCCGATAATACTGTATGTAAATGGGGTCTGACCACTTTGGAGCGTTGAATCCCTTCAACGTATAGTTGCCGATTATTTTTGTTCGTCCTCGCAAGGAAATAATCTGAGATACTACCTCCTCGCTGCGTTCCAAGTCCAGGCTCAGGTATTCAACGCCAAGCCGAAGACCGTGAAGCATTAGCGTAAAGTCGACGGCGTCGCGCTCTTCCTGGCTTCTTTGGCGCTCCTCCCGTGGGTTCTCTTCTACGTGGTAAAGAATAGGCAGACCCAGCTTACGGCGGATTGTTGCAACTTGCGTAGCAAGTACATCCATGATGTTATCCGGCCATGTGTCAACAATGATTTCGACGGCATCCGCCCCGGACTCTAAGGCCTGCATGTTGATCTCTTGGGTCAGGAAGTCCGAAAGGCGCAAACGCAAGACATACGAGTGTGCCCGCCACTCCGGCGGTATAGCGTCAACTGAGAAGGGGTTTTCTAGCCACGACCGCGTGACGCCTTGTCCTGTGATGTGATCAAGGAATTTGGTAAAGTCCTCTTTCACTTGTAAGAGTCTCGCCGAAACCATAGAGGCGGACCTCAGTCCTGACTCCTTTGACCCATTGCTCTCAGCAGTAGAGTCGTGGAGGTTATAGTACTCCAAGTTGCAGTACTCACGGTGCTTCTGGTCGGCAAGAAAAAGTCGCTCTGCGTCCGCAACGGGAATCTTGAGAAATCTGTAAATGTCCTCCTTGTCCCGGTGGACGTATATGACAGGATTGGTCTGGGAAAACTGCGAGAGCAGCTGCTGGGTCTCTTGGCTCCAAGTTCCCATCCCGCATTCTATCACACAATTCGTTCGGTTAGCCTGCAGAACCTGCGCCAGAATCATTGTCAACTGGCTGTTGAGTGCTTCTTTGCCATATTTCTCCATGAACTGAGCCCTGCTGCACCCGGTGGCCTGTTTGAAGTAATGGTCCTCGGTGAGAAGCCGGCGGTGAAGGTAAGTGGCTCCAATGAATCCCAAAGTCCTTTTGCCAGCGCCGCGACAACCAACCAGGACGATGGATGCATCTGGTTGAAATGTTCGCCGGTTCTGCAGGGGTTGGGCCCCTGGGCCATACGTGTTATTCATGACAGATGGAAGTTTGGCGAGCGGGCCGTGGGGCCACCACGCGAGGTTGGACAAGATTGAGAGAAGGGCGTGAGGCGCTACAGGAAACCTCCAACACAGAATGAAATGGCCTTGAACCCCCTTCTTGTTAGATGATCAAGGAAGCCTCGACCCAAGTGGCGGCCAGACGGTTGACAAGCAAGGCGTCGTGGGACCTTGACCGATCTGTGAGCAAGACGTTCGAGGTGTGCAGTACTTGGCGGAATAACACTTAAGCGTACACTTACCCATCGATTGGCTACCACAACCCCCCTCGACCCCTCCAAACACCTGGATCAGGAGAAGGATTTATAGTGCCTGACGACGTCGCGTGTGGTTGAGAGCATGCATGGGCGCTGTCGCTGATAGCCATAGGTTTTTGCAACGATATACGATGATTATCAGCAGAGAGTCGTCCTTGCTGCATCGACGAAGCGGGCGTTAATGTGGTACAGAAAGTCTAGAGCTTGTCGGCGTCGGCGTCGGCATTCCTGCCGGCATTGGGGAAACAAAGTTCGCCCACTTTCCATAAGTCCCGTCCCAAAGTGACCTCTTGGCATGCCCGAGCCACACCCGGCCCCGGCCTAACGTCAAGTTAGTGAGCGCAGTCAAGCCACACGCTAAGCTGCCGGCTAGTCGCTCTCTCTCTCTCTACGAGTCCACGGTGCCAACGACATCCCGGCGCCCCGGATGCCGCTTCTACTGAAGCCGGTGAGACAAGGCCGAACGTGGAAGTCCCATGTTACCAGGAGTTTCAAAACGCTCACAAGGTGCTCAATGGGACTTGGCGCCGAAGCGACTTCCATCACAGTGGACTCAGCATCCTACATATCATCCCGGCCCCTCCGCGCCCCACTCGGATTCCGAAGACGCGTTGCAACCAGAGCGATTTCCAACGAAGCTCACGCCAGTCACGGGCCGACATTGCTAACTTCGCCTCAGAGCCCCTATTCAGACGTCAATGGGATGGCGATATAGAGCAGGCACAGTTAACGACTGCATGGAGGCTGCTCAACCTACGCTGGCCTGGTGGGGTGTAACGTCTAGCTTTTTAAGTCATTGCGACAGACTCCTTTCTTACAGGCTTGAACCCCAGCATTGTGGCTCTTTGCTCAGCAAACATACGGCGCAGAGCACACGCATAAGCTGAAGCTCGTGGTCACGGGCGCTTGCGGCATGAGTGACGTGGAGAGCGAGGATGGCAGGCGGGCATCCAAGAAACGCAAGGCCAGCCGCGCTTGTGATCGGTGTAACGTGCAACACCAGCCATGCGACAACGCCTCCCCAAAGTGCAGCGTCTGCGAGCGTGCTGGCACTGATTGCACATACAATAGGCCTATACGCAAGCGTGGTCCTCGCACGGGATACACTGCGCAGTATGGGGAGCGACTCTGGGGGCTGGTTCTGCAGACAAACCCGGAGATCGAAGACCTTGTGCTGCATACCCTAGCCACCAACACATTTGGCAACACTGGCGTCCCGAATGCAGACTACTTCAAGAACAATGATCACCAGGCGGAACTGGTAAAGCGTTTCAACGAAAGCCGGCTTGGCCGTTTCGTTCAAACCGGCGAATTGCCTGACCTACGAACGCTCAAGAGGAGCGAAGCATCCATGTCATTTGCCACTTCAGCACCTGTGCCACTTCATCAAAGCCCCAACTCTGGAGAAATGGGGCCGTCGAGAGGTACTGGCCCCCGTTCAAGAAGGAGTACTTTATCTGCAACGTCCAAGGCGTCGCCTAGTATCAACCCTCATGGAGCTCCACAAAACCCTGGCGAAATATATACTTTGAGTGAGATATTCCGGAAACGTGGTTCTCATTCCGAGACGACTGCCAGCCTCCCGGCCGACGATATTATAGCTCGGAAACCATCTCGTGATCCCGCTTGGCAGGATTTCGCTGCGGCCGGCGACACCGAGATTCCTGCATTCGATTTCAACCCGAACGGGTTTACAAATGACTACGATGCTTTGCTTCGTACGCCTATCCAGAATGGTGGTCTGCCCAGTATGCGCGGCCCAAACCAACTGTCTGATCTGCTCAAGAACGCAAGTCAACCCATGGCGGATCAGGATGCGGCTGGAGCTCAGTCTGGGGGCCAACAACCTGTTGACTTCGACTTTCCGGACATGAATCAATGGTAGGAGAACCCCCCCCCCCCCGCGGATCCCACATATCAAGGAAACCCTAACTCACTATAATCAATAGGTACGAGTCCGTCCCAACAGAAACACTGCTGAACCTAGGCTTTACCGGTGGAGACGGAATGGCGCAGGATTTCTTGGACCTCTGTGAAAATCCAGACCCTTTCGAAAGCGCACCAATTTCGCCAAGTGGTCAGAATGAAGACGAAGAGGCTGTATGGCGTCGGCTCGTCATGCGAGGTCGCTTCGTATGAAATCCCTTTTCAGTTACGGACCAGGAAACAAAACGCCCAGCTCAGCCCGCTTAACAGAACGCGGCCTTGGCTATATGGCTTCTACGGGGTTTCATGAGCTTTTAACAACCTTGCCGAATATCAGACGCGGGCTCTCCTATACCAGGCTTTTGGTTTGTCGGCCACACGATGCCAGACAAGAAGGGTGTTTCTATGCCGACAGTTTTTCGCGTGCTTGAGGTCTCGGCTGAACTTCACTGGAAGGTTCATCATAGAACATCGGGCATTTCCAACGACCTTTTGGTTGCGGCCCAAGTCATTGCAAGGAAGGAAGGCCCCCAACTTGCGCGAAGCTATAAGGTTTTGTTCGAAGTTCGGGAGTCTAGCAATTTGATGCTCAACTCATTCAAGTCAGCATACCCTCCCTCAAGTCCTGCTTCGAAGCTGACTGAGTAGATTGTGTCACTTTCAGAAGCCAGCGTCTTGTCTACTGAGTATCCAATCTTTTTCGTCACGAGGCATAATACTTCACGTGCCCATGGTGAAGCCATAGGAATACTTGAGCCAGTCGGCGCCGGGTCTTTCAAGGGCGGAAGACCTATTCAGCGGCAGTTTGAGAAATATGAGTCTGTCGCATATAGCGCCCAGTAGCTCTGTGATACCAGCAGCGTTGAGGGGATTGTGGCTGCTTTTGGTCTGCTGAGTGGAGGCGTCCAGGCTTCTGAATGATGCTGTGCATTTCCACTTCTGTAGCATGGCCGACAACTCTGAGCGCCATCATACTTGGATGGTAGATCATGCAACCCGGAGGCTGAGTCGTTAGGTGCTTTGCTACGCCTCTACGCTAGCGTTCGCTCTTTGCATGCGCCGAACCACCAATTGTAGCCGAAGCGCTGAATCCTTCGCGTCTTACTTAACCGAGTATTATGTGACGAAGCACGGGCCTCAATCTGTCAGACACTGCCCACCAACCTCTCGGCCAAGCCATATCAGAACAGAAGCTCAGCCACCAGGCAGCTACACCCACCCTCAGCTTCAGCCTTACCAAATCACCAAGATCGAAAGCAGAGACACGCGGCTTTTCGGCGGACAAAACACAGAGAAAGAAAAGGCCTCCTCTTCGAAATCTAGTGAATTCTTTTCTTGAGCTCTGCTTACCATCTCGGGCGTGCTGTTGAGATCAGTTCTTACTTAGATTATATAACCTCGCAGTTACGCGTAGGCCATTTCGTCTTACCTGTCGTGTCCGAAGCCATTCTTTCCTCCACGATGGAGGATCAAGAGTCCGTCTTGGCTGATAAGGCTCGCCGAGCCCAGGGAGAAGTATACCGGCCACCCGGAGCTTCCGCAACTGGCAACCCGCCGCTGGCTGATGAATACGGAGAAGATGGTACTGTCAGTCCGCCACCGGAGTCACAACAGACGAAGCTGCCGCCATATTCCAGCCCGCATACAAGTTATGTGGACCCACGTAGCAGGACAGTCGTCCCTAAAGGGCCGCAATACTATCCCGGCCTACCGATCTTGGACTATCGACAGTACTCGCCCCCCATGTTCGAGTTGTCTGCAGATACCAACTCGATTACAAGCAAGGCCACTTACCTTTCCGAAAACGTGATGGCCTTGTCAACTCTCATCAAGAACTTAGCCACAGTCCCACCCAAGCCTCAAATCCTGGTCGTTGGGAACCGAGGCAGGAAGGTCGACTTCAGTATCAAGTTGAACCTGCTGAGCCTGCTAGTTCCAGACGACGCGAGGAATCGCCTAGATTATCTCCGTATCATAAACAAGGACGAGATGGGCTATCGGGGTGGCCAGCAACCCGCTTTGAAACCAGAGGTCGAAAACGGTGGACTAGAAGAATGGTGCAAACGGTTCGTCGATGACCCGGCAAATGTGAAAACATTCACGATGGAACGGGTTGTTGCGAACATGGACACCAATTGGCTGGAAGGTCAGATTCGGAGCTTGGTGGCGGCTGTTCAGTACAAGGGTCTGGTGACGGTCTCATTCCCCGTCACCCACTCACGAGTGACCATCCAGAATCCAGACAAAGTGAACAAGTTCTTCACCAGCGTCTCTGCCCTGTTCACAGGTAAAAGCAAGTATGAGGTCGTGAAGGCAGTCTGGCCCTTCGCCACGGCCCAGAATGGGGAGCCGAACAGACAGTGCCTCGTACAATCCGAGAAGACGTGGTGGGAGGAATGGAAGGACCCAATCAGATACGCTATTGCTACGAAGAGGCACGGCTGGGTTACCAACGAAGACAAGCTTGAATGTATCATGGAGTCCAAAGGCAAAGGCCTAGACATCGTCGACTGGGGCCCGGACTACTAGGTTGTTGGCGGCGTGGAGGCACCTTGAACCAGCCCCAAGAACCATGTCGCCACCAATAGCATAGTTGCATCGCGCAAGAGCAATCGCGCGTTGGATCATCAGTAATCAATAATAGGACGCTTGTTTGCCATGATTCGAGTCTGGGCCATCACTTTGCATGGATGAGGGGTGCTCTCCAGGGTAGCCTTGCACCCAAAAACTGAGTAGAGGGGATCATTCTTTTCATCATTGGTTGGATAGAATGGAAGGAAGAGGCTTATGGTATGCTGTGGGGTTATAGCCAGGTGACTCCACAACTCGATTTTAGAGACAGGTCGGTTTCACATCCGAACAAAATCAAGCGGCTGATCTCAACGAAGATTGGCATAAGAAAGAAGCAAACAACTTTACCGTTACCGATATGCCGGGTCACCCGTTCGGATCAAGTCGCACAAGAGCCTGCTAGCGGACCAAGTCTCGGTCCAGAACTCCCGTAGTCCACGCCCTATCATACGGACCGAGAAAAAGCAAAGGGTGTGATCACAAAATCATCCGGTCTTTTCACCAGCGACATATCCCTTGCTTCCTATTCGCTCGCTCATACAAAGTGGCATCAAACTTCACTTGCTTTCTTGGTGGGCGGTTGGACTTGTGTCAGTCTTCTGTCATTTGTCTCCTGCATGCAGACACGGGACTAGTCCGCAATGGCCCCCGATCTGTTTGTCATTCAAGCTTCAAACCCCAAGTTCAACGGCGCCTGGCCTATAAGGTAGTCTGATACGAGTAGGGACCTGCGTGACATGGTATTTTTGTCTTGATCCGCTTCCAAGCGCCGCTTATGTGAGATGGTGTAGGAAGGCAGCAAGGAGTTCGAGAGTCACCGTACGAGGTCTGATAGGACGGGACGCCACAAACAAGGGTTTGCAAGCGGTTTAGGTATCGGTAACGGTTCCACTGGGAGATCCTGACGGAAGAAGAAAGCTGCATTTGTTGGTCGGCTCATGTGATTCTTACTCCATAGGGGGGAGGGGGCCAAAGGAATGACTTCGCGATACCGGAAATGGAACAGAAGTTGGTTGCGCCATACCATACCAAAGTGGGGACTGTATGTGCAGCTATGTCGCCAACACATTATCTATAAATTGAGGATTACTGGCTCAGTCTACTCTGACGATATCCTTAAGGTTCTGCACTCATCCGCGTTTTCTCGCTGCCTTGAGTGACTGCCCTCACTAAGTCCTTGCAGGGCATCTCAACTCTTAGTCCAACCTGGAGCAAAACTCAACATCAAATTATTGACCGTAGATTCTTCTTGAGTAAACTACCTATTCTATCGTCAGTTGACTGCCACTTATGTAAATAAATTCAGGGACCAGAAAATACACGTTACCACCAAGTCCCCCTTTCACCATCACGATGAGTGACTACGTAACGGAGACTGTTCACGCAGAGCGCGTCCATGGCGGAGTAAGCTCAATGTCAACCTCTTTAGTATTGTATACTTGGTTCTTTCCTAACTTAATGGGTTCAACAGGTCATCGAAGCGGAGGTCAGCGGCAAGAAAGTCGATATCGACATCCAACGGCTGCGCAAGCGTATTCCTGCTCACTGTTTTCAACCTTCAACCATCCGCTCCCTAGGATACGTGGTGCAGGATACTATAATTTTTTCCGGCTTGCTGACAGGCGCTCTGTATCTGGCGGATCAATCCGACGGCTATGCTCGACTTCTTCTATGCTATGTCGCCTATCCTTGTTTGGCTGGGCTGCCCCTGACCGGTTTGTGGGTTCTGGCTCATGAATGCGGCCACGGTGCCTTCTCAGCAAACAGCTTCATCGCCAACCTGGTTGGCTGGGTTCTGCACTCGGCACTGCTGAACCCCTATTTTGCTTGGCGGTCCAGCCACGGCAGACACCATCAGTTCGCGAATAATATCTCTACCGACCTCAATTACGTGCCACCTATGCGACAAGAATATAGCGAGCTCTTCCGTGGCAAGGTCGATCTTGATCATCTGGTCGAGGATGCCCCAGTGGTGGTGCTGCTTCGAATCATCTTCCAGCAGGCAATCGGATGGCCGTGGTATCTCCTGACACACATCACCGCTGGGCCCAACTCTTCACCCAAGAAGTCAAGGGGCTGGTGGGACAACAGTCATTATCTCCCGTCAAGCTCACTTTTCCGACCGAATGAGTTCTGGTCCATTATTGCCTCTGATGTTGGTATTGGCTTGGTTGGGGCAGCGGCTTACGCACTCAGCCAGTCATTTGGGTCCTTGACAGTTGTTTGGACTTACCTCCTTCCGGTCATGTGGGTAAATCACTGGATTGGTATGTGTTCTTGCGCTACCGCCATGATACTTCGATGCTAATGAGCAAAACTGCAGTGATGATTACCTATCTCCACCACACCTCGCCGTCGCTTCCAAAATACACTCCCGAAGCGTGGACATACCTTCGAGGAGCGCTCGCTACCGTCGATAGGGACCCTGGTTTTCTGTTGAGACACATGTTCCATCACATCATTGACCTGCACGTCATCCATCATCTCTTCCCGTGAGTGTATTATCCATATGCCAGAAAAAATTGAACCATGCTAAACCTGGGATGTAGTCGGATTCCCCATTATCATGCTCAGGAGGCCACAGACGCGATCAAGCCACTCCTAGGTGACTACTACCACGTGGACAGAAGTTCATATTTTGGTGCCCTCTGGACAGCATTTACTGAATGCCAGTGGGTTGAGGCAGACAGCGAGAAGACAGCACAAGCAGTAAGAATGCCCCAAATTTTGTATTACGTTATATTTATATTTATATTCATACTTCTGTACTCCTGCACCGCGGATTAAGTGAGCTAACTTCCAGCAGCGTGTTTACACCAAGGAAAGCCTTGATGCTGACCTGGGGTTTGCAAAGATAGACCCAGTCGACGTCACAGGTGTTCTTTGGTATCGACCTGGGCCCATGCCCAGGCCCGCCACGGTGATGCGATCTTGATAGCGGACACATTGGAAGTCTCCATGGCATCGCTAGAACCATTGAAACTATATGAATCTCTAACGAC